TCTATGCTCGGTTGGGTGGGTGGGTGGGTGTGCGTGCATGCGTGCGGACAGATGTGATTCTATTTCGATGTCCGATCTCGTCATAGCGCTCGATGTTCTGGAACTCGCTGCACCTGAGTGGGGGGACACGCTCGACGCACAGACGTCGCCAATTTTGACATCACACTGTTGCAGTGCTTGTTCGCCTCGACGGAATGTGGAGGTTTGGCTGTGTGAAAAAAGACACAGCACAACACGACGTGCTCGCTTCGCGTAGGGCTGTACGAGATTATCACAAGGCGTGTGGCCGTCGACCTCGGGAGCGACAGCAGCATCACTAGATGCAGGAGGCAAAGCCTACTACTGTACGCGGCACCGCTTCCGCCTCGCTTGACTGGGCTGTCAATGATGCAGTGCTCGTGCTACCGGTGAGCAATGTCGTGAAAGATCCGAGAAAGATCTTCTCGATGCACGTCGCAGCGTCCCATCAGTGTCGCATGGAGCCATGTGTCTACCGGCTGTTCAACCGAAGGCCATAAGAGGCCGAGACAAGTGAACAAAGCTTCCCGAACTATGAATGTCGAGGCCGTGCACTCGTTCTTGGATGTCCCACAGCCCATATATAAACCAGCATTATTGTTCCCTTGATCGAGACTTTACACCACGACCACATCGCCGTTTCACACCAAGTTACCACAAACATCTTTCAACATGTCCGCTCCTGAACAGAACGCTCCCCCCGCTGGCGGCCAGCAGCAAGACGCCCTCGACAAGGCTGTCCAGTTCGGCACCAAGAAGGCCGGTCACGAGCAGAACGCCAGCACCACCGAGAAGATTTCGGATGGCATCCGATCTGGCTTGTAAGTGATCTCTCTTTCGTTGGCTTTGTTCATCTTCTCGTCGTTCTTAGTACTAACAATCGTTGCATCTGCTAACACATTTTTTCCCATCGTCAACAGCAAGAAGCTCACCGGCAAGGATGTCCCCATCCAGGACAAGCAGTAGATCTCCCTCGCCACTGAATTCAGAACATACACTGCACCACCCGATACCTTATCACAGCCGAGTTTGATACCAACCGTTCGCGGCCACTGCGCTTCTTCTAGGCTTTATCCGTCCTCAATCTAATTGACTGCCTGCACTATTTCTGCCGTGCGTGAACCCTTTCGCCGTCATGCCCCGGCCCTGACTCTGGCTTACTCGCGAAGCTTTGTGATGAGATCCAAAAGTCGCTTTGTGGACACCGGCCTGCCCCTTGCGATGCTCGTGTCCGAAATGTGGGCATACATATCGTCAGAATTATGATACCGAAGCTCATGTGAGGGAGACGTTGGCGTAGTGATCGCCCGAGGAGTTGTTGTGAGAAGTTTTGAGAGGCGAATGTTGTTGTCCATGACAGAGACTTTCCCGAGCTCTTTCTTGAGCGAACGACTGGCCACTTGGGTTGACTGGTCGACCTGAGCCATGTCCTCGATGTCATCGTCGTCGTTTTCTCGTCGATTCGCAAGAGCCCTCTTCCGCCCAATCGGATAAGGACGCGATTTTGGAACGAGGGATGTTCGTTCTACATTTGATCTTGCTGATATCTCGACTTTCACGTTGGGGAAAGCGCCAGTCTGCCGGCTCGAAAAAGAGCTGCTATCAGCCAACGTGCTGGCGATGAATTGGCCAGACTCGTGGCTGCGTTCGGACATCAGATTCGCATTCGTGTCTGCGCCGAGAGTAGAGCCAGGATGCGTACAAAACAGGTCGGAAGGCGTCCTGCTCGCCTTCTTGCAAAGCAGAAGTGGTGCAGATGCAGCTTCACAAGCCCCTTTCGAGACGGTACTCGAGATCGGAACGACCGACGTGAATGGTGACGACTCGATCAGCTGTGACGATGTCCAACATGAGGAGGCCTCAGAGCCAGCTTGACAGTTCGTAAGTCCGCCTTTAGGAGTGCCTACGTGGTCAGCAAGTCGTTCAGCCGTTAGAGGAAGGAGAGGTCCTACGTCGGCAGCTGACGTTGGGGATTGCGTGCGCAGTTCTCCAAGCTCAGGTCGATCGACGGTTTGCAGCCAGGCAAGTACAAGGTCCCTTTCGTCTCGGCTCATAGGAGTGAGAGGCTGGTGAGCGCTGTTTGCTTCTCGAGGAAGCGACAGGTCCGAGTGCATTTCACTCTTGAGCGACGATACGTGATTGGCGAACCCACTTTCCGTTTGTACGACGTTGCCGTATGTCCGTCTGGGCTCTGTGGAGTGCTGTCCCGTTGACTTTCGATAGTGGATGAGGCCAACAGTAGAGTTTCGCCTCCCAGGTTGGCGGTCGCGAACATCGATGCGTTCAAGTCCATCTTTGCTCAAGACCTCGAGAGCTTGCTCGTTCGAAGACAGCAACCAGAAGAGGAAGAAGCAGAGCGTTAGTGAAGCAATCTGAGCTCCAATACTACAGAGCTGCCAACCAAGCAAGTAGCCCATTGCGAACAACAGGGCACACGTGCCTGTCATGGTCACTTTCGTAGCTTTTCGACCAGACATGAGAGGTAAAAGTGAAGGATAGGGTGGCAAGCTGAAGGACAGGAGCAGAGTCGCATCTTATAGGCCCGTGATCGTAAGCGCTGCTCAATTCATAGAACCGCTGACAGGCATGTTGACGACCCGCTGTGGCCGCCAAATGAGGTCCGATACAGTGAGCATCCTCTAACGTGAAGACCAGCGCTTCACAGGGCTTCATTCTTCCTTCAAGAGAGAGCAGCGCAGGACCAGCAACAAGCTTCGGGTTGTCAAAGTCGAACCTTAACTTATACCATTGCACATTGTCGACATGTCAAAGCTTTGTGGTTGCGCTCTAGCGACATGCAAGTTATTCTATTTGTCAAAAATGATGATCCAACATGTCGCAATATTTTAAAGTGTTGGGCTCTTCGGCTCGTCTCCGATTCCGGACCAACACCTCCACGCCGCCCAAAAATTGAGGGCACATCAACACTCTTCATCGCGCGTGCTATGAGCTGTCACTCAGCACCCTGAACCACCACATCCTCTTTACACTTCATCAACGACGACCGCTCTAGCATACTATTACCGACTCCGTAACTTCATCGGATCTCAGGGCGACGAGCCATGACAGCACCTCCTCCGCCGACCGGCTCCAGTGGGCAGCAGGCGCATCCGCTTAGACCGTACTATCAGCCGCCCGAGGACTCGGTGTTTATCGCCACGGCTCCACGCTTCAGCATGTCTGGGACTCCAAATGCATCGGCCGCGAGCTCTTCTTCGAAGGCATACGGCACTTCAAGTGCTCCTAAACCAACTTCGAACCGATACGTATCGTCCAACGATGCAAAGCCCTACGTCGCAACGACGTCCGCAGGAGGATTCGGCGAAGCAGACGCCAGCGTCTCGGACATCCTGCGCGCGCTCCTCATCAGCGGCGCGCTCCAATACACGAGCACATGTCTTGCCATGCCTTTCGAGGTGGGAAAACTCCTGCTGCAGGTACAGTGGGTACCGAGAGACGATGTCTGGCTCTCACTCACACAGCAAGCGGCGCTGGCGCAACGACGTACCATCGCATCCGGCACCAGACAGTCAAAGCAAACTGCTCATCAATCGCAGGCTGAGGAGGCGACGGAAGCCTGGGAGCAGGAAGTATCACCCGAGGCTGGCGAGTGGGATGACGAAGCCGATCCGCAGCACGAGGACGATCTGCAAGAAGATCTCCTCGAAGCGGATATCTCGGATGAAGAGGATGCCGACGCGTACTTCCGCGACGTCACATCGAAGCCCTCGCGTCCGGATACCTCGCTCTATTCTGGCCGCAAGAAGCAACGCATGGTGGATGCATCTGGCTACGTGATGCGCAAAAGCGTTTACGACCAAGGCGCACGACCCGAATTTGTCATGCCCGTCGTCGTGAGAGGAGGCGTGTGGGAGATGATGAAAGCCGTCGGCCGAGGAAAAGAAGGCTGGCTGGGTCTCTGGAAAGGATCGCTGACCTCGTTTATCCTCGAACTGACCTCCTCCACAATCCAACCCATCATCTCTTCCGTCCTGTCGCTGTTTGCACCCACAGCGCTCTCACCTCTTCCGCTCGCCTACGCGCCCTATCCATACAAGACTCTGGGCCTGCTGCTTTCGTCGCACCTCATCACGGGTTTCCTCGTCTCCCCTCTCGACCTCGTACGCACCCGCTTGATTGCACAGAGCACCCTTCCGGCGCATCGCAAGTACAGCGGTCCCTACGACGCCATCAAAAAGGTGGTTCGCGAAGAAGGTGGTTGGAAGACAGCGTATCTGCATCCCAACCTGCTCATCCCCACCATCCTCGATTTCACCTTGCGTCCGTTGCTCTCACTTGGTGCGCCGCTGCTCATCGAGCACACTCTTCGACTCGAGCCCAACACGCATCCCATCAGCTATGCTCTTGCCGAACTCGCCATCTCCACTGCCTCTCTCTGCATCACACTCCCCATCGAGACGGTCCGTAGAAGGTTGCAGCTGCAAATCCGTAAACCACAAGGTGCCGAAGCGGAAGCAGCTGGCGCTAGCTCGTCGCGCAAGATCACCAGTGCCAGTGTGCAACAGCAACAGCAACAGACGACTGTGACTTCGCATGGGGGGATCAACCTGAGCACTGGCAATGTCGGGGTGCGAGGTCTGCGTACGTGCGTCGAGACGCGCCCCGTCGCCTACGTCGGTGTGGTGGAGGCGATCTACCGGATCGTGACCGAGGAGACCGTCGCAACGCACGTTCGTTCGCAACCAAAGACCGCAGAGGCAGGCTCGAAGGAGGCGTCCGAATCGAAATCGGAATCGGCGGAGACAGCTCACGCCATGGCGCAGTCGGGCATTTTGGCTGCAAAGACAGGTCACTCGTCACTGGGCGGTGTTCGCTCGCTGTATCGTGGGTTCGGGATGGCGTTCAGTGCGAACCTGGTCGTCTTCATGCTCACGCTCGTCAGCGGAGAACGGGCGGGTCCTGCTGGCTGGGCGGAAATTTGATCTTGGTTGCCGCTGCGATATCACCTTCTTCCCTACTCCGTGGATTTCTTGACTCTCCAGGTGTGTCTCGCTCACCAATTCTGCGCTTTGTTGTACAGATCTCATGCTGTGAATCGATGATTTTGGTCAGGCCGTGCCTCGCAGGGATTTGCTTTGAACGCTCACAAGTGAGACAGACTCGTGTCTTTAACTGTGCTGAAGTGTGCAATCTGAGCATTGTGCTATGCATGCGCAGGCAGCAAGCTTTGTACTTTGATTGGGTTCGAGGCACTCGAGTACACCCGAGACAGGGCGATCATTGGCGCACAACAAGACCCGCAATGTGACGGTCCGCATCATTCAACCCAGAAGTCGAACAAGGCGATCTTCGTCGCACACCTTGTCGTCGGCTGTGGCTCATAGAGCAACGAACATAGAAACCTCATCCTCCTCAAGCTCTTCCACATCCGCACAAACGGCTACGATATCGCTGGCCAGCATATTTTATTTCTGTCGGACTCGAAATCTTAGTGATCGGAACTATGGTGTCTGCTTGCAGGCTCTTTCTTGACTTACGGAGGGTCAGAGACCAAGCATCGCAGCAAGATGCGTGGGCGGGCCTTTGCCTCTAACCGTCGCTGTGGCTACCAGCGCCTCGGTCGCCACAGCACCGCACGAAGCGGCCCAGATTGATGCCGTTTCCGGTGTCCCCAGGTCCATCTTGACAAGTATGAGTGGCCTCGTTGAAAAATGTGGAGCGATGCTCCGCGGTGGCTGCACAGCAGTCCTTGGTGATCTGGTAGGTGGGTGGACCCGTGCCGTCTTTGTTGTCGGTGCAGTAGGCCTCGTGTGTGGCGTTCACCTGTGCGTAGAGCGCACTGAAGGCGACGATGAGGAGGAGAGGAGAGAGTTTGATTGTCATCATCGTTTCTTGTGTGAGGAGATTGAGTTCTGTGATTTGATGTTGTGTTAGAGACGGACTGAGCTGTTCAGGTATGGCGCTTATATACGGCTTCAGAATCGATGCCTCAGCTGGCTACGAAGCTAGTATAGCGTCTTGCCCCATCCACTGCCGAAACGTCAAGCATACGGAGGCTTTTAGTTCTTCATGGCTCGCTGTAAGCATGCTGTGCTGCCCGCCGCGAGCGACACACGCGCTTCGAGTCAGTCTTCTTCATCAGACACACTCAATACGTCCGTCAGCGACACTTTGTCAGCCTAGCGCTTCTTCGGATGTCGACACACATGACCAGCCTCCCCCCACGCCCGCGGCACGCGAACGAAGCCCTATGCGGAGCAAACATGCTTCACACGAGGCAGGTATGGCTATCAGAGCTTTATTGTCGGAACGCGATGCTCGGTCCAGAACGCGACGGCACGGGGAAAACGTTGGACTGCTTCGACCTCGTCTGTCTACGCTTGATGTGACTATACATTGATGTGACGGTCTGCATGTCCGACCATTGCTTTCAATTGATTGTCGGACGTCACTGCATATGAAGGTGGCAAGAAATTGTGGGTGCGATGACTAGCATCGCATTGTGATCACCGTGTGTCATTTTGTCTGGTGCGTTGTGGGTTCAATAGGAGGATTCGAGTCGAGACACGTTTCCTCCCGTTTTACTCTGCGACTATCGCGATGCGGACGTTACCACCATCACAGGAGCTTCCAGCAGGCCTTCGGCCCAAAGACCCGACCCGACGTCGCCAAGACAGTCGCCCCTTTCGTTGGTCTTTCTCAACCTTTACTCTCACGCTCTCTTGTGACCCCCCTTCCTCGAACCTCCAAAGACGACACGCGCGGGACGCAGCTTTCAAGATGATCACACGATCCGTACAGTCGACTTTTGCCTTGCTTCTTGTCACTGTGACCCTCCTCCTCGCATCCTCCCCACCCGTGGCATCGTACCATCTCTCACCCGACGACGGTCAAGCGGACATCGGAGCGTACCACGTGCAACCCGGTCGATGCGCCGACGTCGAACGACGACTCGGCAGACGCTACAGCTACTTTTGGCGCTCCTCGCCCTTCTTCACGACCTTTACACCCGATCCCTCCTCCTCCCTAATTCCCACCGCCGGCTCAGGAGTGGAGCAAATGGATGCTACCTCCCTCTGTACATCCGATCCTCTGATCAACGAAGGCTACGGAGCCGGGTTCGACAAGATGCGTCTATACCTCGTCTACTCGCGCTGCCTGTTCGGCACTAACGAGATGCGCGTTCTCTGCGGAACAATCGATGATAAGGGCAAACCGATGAATTCCTACTTCAACCTGGTCCAAGCTGGTTGTCCGCAGGGAACCAGGTGTAAGAATCTCTGTGCGACGATGCGCGATCCCAAGTTGACGAGCCCATACGCTGCTAAGCAGGTCCAATTGGCTCAGTGTATGGACGAGAAACAGTGGCAAAAGTTGACCGATATGTACAGACCAAAACCTGCAACTTTGGCTGTGACAGTAGCACCTCCTCCTTCGCACCTGGATCCTCAAGTCGTCGACAAGGTGCCCTCGAAGAACCCAACCCAAGATCAAACAAAGCCGGATCAGGACGGAACTATCGCGGGACAGGTGCTTTCACCGACTGCTGCCGGACAGTCCGAACCAGGTCACACGACCGGCCATCTACAGCTCGATCCGAAACAACCTCCTGCGCCTCCTACACAGAATGATCAGCCAAAAGCGGACCAGGGGGCGGACAGTAGCAAAGACATCAAGGACCCTCCACAAAAGGCGCCGACGGTGATGGGCTTCCGCAGACGCAGTCTGGACTTCTCTGTGCCCTCTCGTCGCCACGATCCGCATGGGCATCGAAGCAGCCGAGCCCCCGTGGATGCGCGGGCAGATTCGTGACGTGCTCTTGCACAACTTCCGTCTTCGTCTTCGCTCCCCGCCTCCTCACTCATTCACAGTCTAGACATCTTCTTCCAACAGCTGTGCTGTCTCACTTTCGCTTACTGCCTCAATTCGCCTCACAAATCCTACTCATGTCTGTGATTGTAAGATTGATGAGAGACACCTGCTCGAATTCTATGCAAGAAGACTTGGAATGCCGAGCTCGTCACCAATCAAAGCCAGAGCCTCTGACGCGAGCTTCGCAGCATCTGCCTCCGTCACTAACGCCTCATCCGCAGCCTCGCTCTCGAGATTGAGAACGTTGCGCGTAGTCCCGACGAGGCCCAGCTCCAGCCCGAGATCGGCGAATGTCTTTGACAGCTCTGTAGTGTCAGCCGGAACGAGCGGCGGAAGCGACGTGCCGATGCTGGCCATCTCCGCCGAGATGCCAGCAGACGGCTTTGCAGACGACAGGAGCAGCAAAAAGTAGCGATAAGCCGCAAACAGATGCGCACGTTCCGATCTGTGCCACGCGCCGTTTTCGGAAGCCTGTGCATCGCTCGTCGCGGTCTCGGCTGTGAATGCGCCTGGCCAAAGTCGTAGCTCGAGATATCTCTTGAGGATGTAATTGAGCTCTTCCTGACGAATCCTCTGCATGGGAATCATGCTTCGAATCTGTACGTCTCGGGCAAAGGAGAGGAGCGTGTCTTGGCAACGCCGCGTCAGGTGTGGCAGCAGAATGGTGGCAACCCTCTGGCGACGTTCCGCACCATCTGCACCGTTACCAAAGCCGGAAGAGCATGCCAGAAAGAGCAAGTCAAAGCACCAGTACGCGAAACGCTCGTTGGTCGTCTCGCTGGGGTCGTCGACTCGTCCGCTTTGACCATCGTTGCTAGTCTGCGTCTCGAACGTGTATAGCCTCGAGCCAAGCGCCAGCGTACGTCCTACACGCTCGATCAGATGCTCTGGTGCATCCTCCTCTCCCAGATACGGCAGAACATGTCTCTCGATTGTGCTGAGCAAGAACAGGCCAAAACGCTCGTCGTTATCCTTGACATCCCTAGGCAACAAGCCGGCGGGCGACGGATCTGCAAGCACTGCCGCTTGCACAGCATCGACAATCTTGGTCCATAGCCGCTCCGCTGTCTCGGCGTTTAGCCCGTCAGACCCCCTCCTGGCACGCAGCTTTGGGCAGCAGCGTGAGAGGATTCGGCACAGCGTCAAAGTGGCGACCTGCCAGATTGGTCGAGCATCAGCCTTGCGATCGGTCTTGGAATTTGCATTGGGCTGATCCGGACACTCGTATTTGAGCTTGATTGGAATCATCAACGCGGATAGGAGACTTTCAAAGGCGCCGCCGCTGTAGATGCTGAGATCATCCTCGTGTTTGACAAAGACGCCAAAGGCCTCTTCGATGCTCGTACGCGATAGTGCGATGTAGGTCGGGTTCTTCTTGTCCTTGCTCGACTCTAGAGCCGCGCCCGAATATGCGAGGCAGATACACTCCGACAAGTCGGACAAGATCAGCGCGGGAACGTCCTTGACGTCCGCAACAGACCTGGCTGTAGCACGAGCCGCCTCCTGGACGGGGGTGAGACTCGCTCGATCCGACGCGTGGTCCGGACTGCGGGGATATGACACGCAGGCTTTGAGGCATGTCAATAATGCTTCGACCTGTTGTTGGTCAAATCGAGTGCGCAGGACGCGATGAATGGGCGGGAAAGCTTGGATGTATGCCAGGAGGTTCTTTTGCGTGAAGTGCAGAGAGCTGTGTGCGCTATCTTCGCTGCTGCCCTCCGCATTTGCTTCGCCAGCATCAGGCTGCCTTGATGCTGCGCTGCCGATGTGGTCACCGATCGCTACCCAATGCTGCCACGCCATTTGCCAGGCATGCTGGACCCTTGCTTGCGCGGAGTCTTCCGTATGCGGCCCGCCGTCTACTTCGGCCGACACTGAATAAGTGAAACACTTGATCGATGCTTGCGATAGGTCAGCTGGACCGCGAAGGAAGGCATCCGTGGTGAGATCGAGCAACCTGGCCCACGTCTCCTCGAAGGCGCTGCTGTGGACCAGCTTGGTTGGCAAATAACCTCGCACCACCTCGCCGAATTGTGTCAGAGCTAAGCTCTCGGACTCCTGCCATTGCTTCAGCTCACTTGGCAGGGCGCCCATCAGCTGCGCTTTCCGATCTTCCTCCGCCTTGCCGCCATCATTGCCGCTCTCGAGATCTCGTACCGATGCGCCCAGCACTTTGATCAATGGGAAGATGATGGTGTCGACGATCTCCTGCCAGGCAGCGGAGCTCAATATGTCTCCGTACTGTTGAAGCACTCGAAACAGATTCGAGATTGCGCCGTTCCGTACTTCGGATCGGGGACTTTGAGAGATGGACAGAAGGCATTGCAGCAAGAAAAGCCAGAGAGGCTGTGCATCGTCTTCGACGATTGCTGCAGACGACTCCGTCGATCTTTTCTTGGCTCTGGCGGCCATCTCGGCTGTGACACCCCAAAGGCAGCCGTTCGCGGTCAGCGCCACATTGACGTCGAATTCTTGGCTTCCGAAATCGTTGAGACAGGCGCAGCAACTTCTTATCTGATTGACGTCGAGGGCTGACAAGAAGTCCGAGCAGACAAGCTGCAAGCATGAGAAACCAGCCTTGATCAGGGACAGCTGCGCCTTTTGAGCAGACGCCGATGATGGTGGAATCGTGTCCGTGCTCCTCTTGTCGTCCTTGCATGTGGCGGAGCAAATGAAAAAGATGGTGTCCCATCCGTGAATGAGCGAATGGCCAAACGTCTCTAGGACCTTGTATAGATGTTCGACAGCGGAAGTTCTGAGCTCCATGTCGATCGACGTCGCCCTGCGTCCTTCGAGAACACCGGCAATCGATAGAATCTGCAATGCCTGCTTCTGCAATCGCAGCCTCTCGCCTTCGTCGGACATTTCGGCTGCGTGCGACATGGCTCCCGAAGCGAGCTTGCTGGCAGCTTGCAGAGCTTGCGTGCGCCAACGATGAGGAAGCACAGGATTGGACAGGGCTTCGACCAGATGTGTTGTAACGACCTGCCATCCTTGATCCGCCAAAGCCCGACAGATACGCCTCATATTCAATGACGACACCAAATCGAGGCACGCGATTGGATAGAAGACTGTTTTGGAATCGTCTGCGCTTGAAGAAGGACGATGCCGGATACCGGACGCTCGCGGAGAAGCGGGTCCGCCGACGAGGTTGGCTGACCGAGGAATCGCCACCGAGGCAAGCAAAGTCTCGCTGCTGAGACGGCACAGCGCGGAGACGAAGTGCACAAAAGCGGTGTTTTCCAGCGAGCTCGTGTTCTCAAAGACACTCTGGATGAGCGCTTGGAGGCGATTGGGCTGCAGTTCCGTGGCGTTGAGCAGCTGAAGCTGGTTCCGCCCTGATCGCGTATCGAGCGAGACCATCGAGCTGTGGGTCAGGGTCGAGAGTGTGGCTCGCCCGTTGCGACTCGTGTCAGCATCATCACTTTGATCGTTCTCGTCCCTTTCGCCGATTGATGCATTGAGAGGGATGAGAGACGCTTGAGCGCTGCATAGACCGCTGAGCACTGGATACCAGAAAGGTCCAAGTGCACCAGAGAGATAATAAGCAACCTGCACATATGCCTTGAGGCAGGCAAGATTGCGTGTCGATATCGGCCCACCATCTTGCGCGAACAGCACGGCATAGGGAGAAGCGGCGTCCCAACCAGGAACAGCCAGGGTGATGAATCTGGTGAGGACCGCATCACGCTCGTGCACCAAGTCGAGGGCACCAACGACGTTTGTTAGGTTCCTCAGCGCCAAAAGGGACTCTTCGAAGACCGAGTCGGAGCACTTGATGCGCAAGTGACGCGCAAAGACTTGGCTGAGAGGAAGAGCCGAAGACCTCAGCATTGCTCTCGTAAGGCGGAGACCATCGCGTTCGGCTGGGTTGACGAGGGTGTCGACGTCGGCGTCCTGCATTGCTGGAGGTGCGGGTGCCGCGTCCTTGTCGCGAGAGTTGACAAACTTGGAGTAAAGTGGGAGGGCGTACAAAGCCATGGACTGCGTCAAGAGATGGCAAGATTGCAGCGCAAGGAGCTGCGGGTAAGTCTTTGGCAAGGCCGGCGAGGCCACGACAGGTGCTTCAGTCTTGTCGAGCTGGTCGATGATCTGAATGGCTGGCGAGCTCGTGGTGGAGAGGGATTCGGTGCCAACGGTGTCCGAAGAGCCGTACATGCCGGACATTGCAGCACTGGCGACGCCCGCTGCAGCCTCGTAGAGACCAGAAAAGCTGCGATCGGTTGACGGCCGCACGCGGCTTCTGCGAGGACTGTCCGGAGCTTGCTGATCTTCCGAGGTGTTTTGCATGGACGGCTCCTGGGCGAAGAGTCTTTCGCCTTGCAAGAGGACATTTTGGAGCGTTTCGACCAGCTTGGAAAAGACAGGTATGGCGGCTTTGGATGGTTCATTGGTATCCGTGCCGGTGGCACCCGAGTCATACCAGAGCCACAAGCTGCGAAGAAAGACATCGTGGGAGCATAGACTTCGAAGGACTTCGAGCGCAAGAACCTGTTGCCAGAGTGGAGGCTGGGAGCCGCCATGTACCGCAAGCTCCTGCGCTGAAGGGTTGATGGTACGCAGCAGGATAGAGAGAAGGATCTCGACCTCGAGCACAAGATCGGAGCTAAATTGCCGCAAGAGGAGGAAGAGGAGACGCATGAGCCGGAGATGGATGGGAAAAGCGGGAGGCTCGCTGAGACTCTTGATGAGCAGTGGGCAGACCTTGGACCGTAGCAGATACAGCAACTCTGGATGTGAGGTGGACTGCAGATCTGTTGAGCCCGCAGAGGCAAAGAGTCGCTGATGGTTGGACAGTACGCTCTCGATAAGCTCGAGCGAAAAGGTTTTGGAGAGAAAGTCAAGCGATAGGAAGGCTGCGGGCTCGGCGTTGGCGAGCGAGCAAAGGTCTGAGAAGACGAGGTATGCATCGCGCGATGATGGAAAGAGGGTGACCACGCCTTGGGGAAGATCGACAGACATGGCTGCGAGCGGTGCCAAGGCAGCTGCGTCCTCTCCGCCTCCTCTGATGCCGTCGAGCACCACATCCTCGTCCTTCACCTTGTCAAAGACGGCCATGACGCTCTGTCGCAGGGTCGCAGCTGCTGTAGAGCTGACCACGGCGACCTTGCTGCCTTCATGCAGCTTGAAACCGAGCATGAGCGTGCACGAGAGATCGGCATTATGCAGGTTTGGATAGGATGAGAGGAGCGCGGATGCGATCTGCAGGATCTTGAGCTGAACATCTACGTCGCTTCTGCTCGGCGGGGTGAGGAGCTTGTTGAGGGTGTTGACGATGGTGGGGATGCCTTTGTCTGGAACAAGTCTCTGAAGCAGGATACGCTGGAGTAGAGCCATGGCGAGCGAGATCAGCTTGGGTAACTTTGTCTCGCAGCTGAGTAGGATCGGTCTAAGCAGCGGGTGATCCGGAGGTGGACAATCGTCGTTGCGTGAGGATGCGAGGTAGCCGTCCGCATCGGACTTGAGCCGAACGAGTGCGGCATCGGCGGCCTGCTTGATCTCGGGATGCTTCCGTCGAGCTTCGGTACCAAGCGAGGTGAGCTCCGATATGAGTAGCTGAGCCATCTTGGCGTCGCCTCGCTCGGGATCTTTGGCCGACGATCTTCTGACTCAGGCAACTGCGGGCACAGAGTACGATCGAGAATGAAAGAGACGGCTAACCCTGTCGCATTCCGGAGCCTAGCGGATCAGTTGGTGGTAGAGTGGAAGCGGATCGTTCAGAGACTGCTAGCCGTATCATCACGGCGAACCGTGCGTTTCCAGGGTTCTCTGGTGTTGGACTCCACCAAAATCAGACACGCGCCGACAAGTTCTTCCGACCGCTGATGTAGACAATGTTTCGGGTAAGGCTGCTGACGGACGTTTTGGGTACCAAAGGTGTTAAGAACCAAAAGTAACACAGCGAGAAAGTGATTTTTTGACCAGCCGAAACCGATCTCGATTTCGAGAAACAAGCAGACAAAGGGATCTCAGTGGTTGCGGCCTGGTCGTCGTCAAGCCCCTTTCTTCAGGTGGACGCTCTCCTAACTCGCCCTTCTCAGTAAGACTTGGGAAAGGATCGTTGTCGATTCCACCTGCGAACGGCAGAAAGAGTATGCTCGAGGACAACGGGCCTGTGCTCACGATGCTCGTTCCCCCCTGAAGTGTGAAGCACCGCCGAAGTGAGTCAACGCAAATTGTCCAGTGTTGGTGGGCGTCATGCGCCGTTTTTGGCAGGAGGTCGGCTGCAGCTTGGGCTAGAGGAAAAAGAAAGGGTTCAGCAGACAAGCGCCTTTACGTTCCGCGTTCCGCAAGGGTTCAAGAACTCCACTCTCGAGCTTTCGCATGGCTGGGACTGCACCTGCACCTGCGTGACGTCTGAAAAGAAACAAAAAAGCGAGCAGCACATGCGGGTGGTCCGCATCCCCTTTGTCGTGAAGGGAAATACTCTCGATCTAGGTTCCTCTCACAGTCGACCTTTCCATCAACTCCTTCACGTCACTCGCCCTCCCCAGATCACCGATACAGCGAGATCGCTCGCAAACAAGGCTCGAAGCTCACTTTTCATTTGGGTCGGTGGGCTTGGGCCAGGTGCGATGCGAGGGCACGCCAACGATCCTCCCAACTCGACTTCATTATCTCTGACCGGCACGAGATCAGGCTTCCGACACAACAGCTGCTTTCTTCTGTGACGCATTGTCAGCGTCGTCTATCTGCACAACGTTCGCCAATCGACCGGACCGAGTGTACACCACAACGGTCTGGCTTCGTCACAATCAAAAAAGGGCTTTCCATCGTCTTGAGCTCATCCAACTGCGTCCCAGCGGCATCTTTCGCACCAAGACATGGCGTCCAGAAACAGCGACTTGGCGCATGCAACCAAGGCGGATGACCGACAGGATGTCCGATCTACGGTCAAGTCGACACAGTCAGAGCCAAAAGGGTTGATGGAAGCGGTTAAGCTCCGGCCTCGCCACGCTCGCAATCCTTCGGACTCTAGCACCAGCGAACAGTCATCCGGCTTCGACGAAGAGCGCCCATCGCAAGACGACGATGACATCGACAATACACCTGCAACCTCCTTTGGCGGCTTCCTCGCATCCCGCAGCGACACCTCTGAAGGGCATCGATCCGAATGCAGTCACGTCTCCAACGCCGTCCTTCTCAACAGCGGTCTCTCTGTTGCATCCGACGATCCGACCAGGATGGACGAGTTGCAACAAGAGGTCAAAGCGCTCTTCGACAAGTTTCTGCCAGATTTTCAGGCTAGTCAAGACGTTAGCGAGACACCTGAGCGTCAGATCGAACCAACTCTACTTTGCCGAGATCTGCCGGCCATCCTGTCCGAGTTTGGGAGGCAGAGGGATCGGCCCTTGATCGACGCGAATACGTTCAGTCAACTCGAGGCATTCGTGAGCGAGAACCCGCAGGCGCCCATATCTTCCAACATGCTCGTCAATCTCATCCACGCCTTGGAGTCGAGCGCACATTCGGTCATCTTGGACGAGGCCGGTCCCAACATCCCGCCTGTGTTGGACCGGGCCATATCGTACAGCACTGGCAACGACTCGACGCCGATCGCTGCGTCAGAGCAGCTGCTAGATCTTAGTCAGGATGACGACTACCTCGTCAGAGATGCTGACGACAGTCGCGACAAATCTGCCGAGCTGAGCGCCGAAGATGCCGTCATCCTGAATCTCAAGGAGGATCTACGAATCGAGAGAGACAAGACCGATGCGCTTCAGCTCACACTGTCGGACAAGGAGAGGCGCGTCAATACTCTCGAACATAGGCTCACGACCTCACAAGAGCAATACGAAGAGCTCATGCTCGAAGAGCAAGCCAAGCTCGAGGAATTGCACAAACAGATTCAGACCCTCCGTCGAGAGGACAAGGACCTACGCACCAAGCACATGGAGCTCCAAGAGCAAAACAATGCCTACGAGTCGCAGCTGACTGCACTCAACAGCCAAGTCGAAAGCGCTGAAAAGACCAACATCAAGCTCCGCAGGGACCTCGAGGAAGAATCGAGCCAATTGATCAAGGCCAAGGCGGATCTGGATCGTCGCATGAAGGAAGCCAAAGAGCTCTCCGAGTATCTCTTCGAATGCGAGCAAGCTAAGGATGCCGCCGAGCAGGCTCAACTTCAACTTCGCCAGGAGCTGGACAAGGTCACGGCCGAAGCTGCCAAATTGCAGGGATACAAGGAGGAGACCGAGGAGCTGCGCACCAGCGTCGATAAACTCGAAATGGAGCTCGACGAGATGCGACGGCTCACCAGTCTCCACAGCAAGGAGGCGTCTTCTCAGCAGCACAGCAATCCAGGCACCGTAACCAGGCGTCTCGGAAACGAGCTCGCGCGAAGCATGGAGCTCGATGGACACAGCTCGGGAGAAGAGACCTCGGTTGAGGACAAGGACGCCGATGCGAGCAACGTCGATGACTACATCGAGACCGTCATTCAACGACGTCGGAGGCGTGTCGGGAAAGCTCGCAAGTCGGTGCAGATGGTGGCGCAGTCGACCCAGACCGATGTTGTCGAAGAACCTGCCATCGAGTCCATGGTCGCGGAGTCAAGGGAAGGGATGCGCACGAGTTCCAGCACAAAGATCATCTCTTTGTCTTTGCCCTCGATGCTCAAGCATGCCTCTGCCGCCCTAGTTGCTAGGAGTACCACGATTCTGGTGGCGCTCTTTGCCATCGGTCTAGCGATCGGACTAGTGCTCAACACATCGCGCGACATCTACCACATCAACCACCAGATGCTCGATGCAGACGAGTTCAGAAAGCTCAACTACGCTCCCGGCGCCAGTCAAATTCACTACTACGATGGCCGCTACCCAAATGCCGCGGTCGGCAGCAACTTTCTGGACGACTACGTAGGGCCCGTCTTGGGCGCCGTGCTGTCGTTCGTCGGACAAGGAGGCCCGTCGGGATCGTCATCAGGCGGCATCGTCTATTAGACGTTGTCGCTAGTCAGAATCACCTCATGTATACCAGCGCTAAGCACGCACACCTCAGGTTTCGGCAGCATTCGTCTTCGTTTCTTGATCCCTGTATCAGCATCTTTTTCCACACAGCAGCGAGCGCATATACCACAGCGTTTCTACACGCACTCGACCAGCTCAATCGCCTTGGCTCGAGATCAAAGATCGGCCTTGACGAACATCTCGGCACGCACCGATACTGTCTTTTACACGATATTCACATTCTTTCAAGACCATGTATCACACAATCGATGGTAATGAACCCTGAATTGTGCTTGAGATTTTTGTGAGGCATAAGCTGTTTGTGACCGGGTATAGAGCGTGTACTAGGAGGGTATCTTGGTTGTTTGGGGGAGGGGAGGTTTCAGGACGACCAGGTTTTGTGGTGGCAAAGAGTGCAGCTGGAAACGCGCTTTCTTGTCTTGTTCTTGGCACTGACTTTCTTGACTTTGTGAATTCTTGCGGTTCGAGCTTTGAGGGTGATCTGATTCAATCCTGGCACAAGAGGTAGTGCGCAGCGTGAGCATCTCGGGTTATGTTTATGGTAAAAGTCTGGTACGACCTTTCGATCGATCTCCTTGTCTGGAACTTCAGCTTCGGGCTCGATATCTTCGGCCCACAAGCTCCGCCGGTATTTGACAGCATGGATCTTTTGCGTCGACCACATGGCATCGGACGTCTGCGTCTGCGCCCGCGCAAAGCGAAGGAAACGGCGTGAATGCGAAGAGGCCAGATTGGGAAGAGTGGTAGAGGAGATTCGAGCGAGGTGTTCCTGATGCAATGCTTGTAGTGTGTTGGCTTGCGATGTTGATATCGCTTCCGTTCTTGAAGACGAAGGTGAGGGTTTCGGAGAGGAGGAACGAGATGCTGAGGGTGAAGACGAGGCAGACGACGCTGCTACGGCGTTCTTGAACTGTAGATGTGCGAGAGGAAGCTTGTGGGTCAGTCAGCGCTGGCTCACTTTTCAGAATTTCGCCTCAAGCGGCCCACAATATACTCACCTTTGAAAGCTTGTTCTTTGACGACATCTCGATCGAAAGGTAGATGAACGACGAATGAACTTGGAAGGTAGAAAGCAGGAGGGTGTTCGAGTGCTCCAAAACTTTTTTGGAAGCTTGTCGGAAGTCGGCTTTGCATCCACTCCACATCTCGGGAAATCCGCACGAGAATCACGCGCACACTTGCACCTGAGCAGTGTGAGCTGGAAGCCTCGTGCTCAAGCCCACAGACCAACACCTTCGGCACGCCACGACCTCTTTCTCGACACTACCACCACCACCACCAGAAGATCCAAGTATCTCCTGAACTAGCCATCAATCAGGCAAGCAGGCCGTCGCGGACTTTCTTGTGTCACCGCTCGACGAGTACGAGTCTCACAACGCCTTGCATGGTACTTTCCAGCCAGCGTGCCTAGTTTCAGGCACTCCCTTCTCTCATCACCACAACGTGCGGTCGCCGTCCTGCTCGTCATTATGCCGCCAAGCACGTTCATGTCCTGGGTCACTCGGCCCAGGATCTACGCTTACGGTATCATCTCAACCCTCGCTGCCGTCTCCACCGTTGGAATCGCCTTCACCGAGCGGAGCAACTTCTACGCAGCTGTCGTCTTTCTCGGTCGATCCAATGGATGTCTTTTAGTTCTGCTCAACTTCTTATTCGTCATAGCACTCGTCGCCGGTCGGATACTTCAGCTGCTCTACTTCGGTCAATTGCGGCGGAGCGAAGTCGAACTCGTCTGCGAGCGTTCGTGGTACAGCCTGGTCGGTACTCTGTTGGCAGTCTCGATCTTTCGAGACGATTTCAGCGTCGCCTTCGTCATCCTGTTCGGCGTCCTACTCTTCCTAAAGATCTTCCACTGGCTGTCAGCAGAACGAGTGGCGTCCATCATGCAGAGTCCTTCGGTACCACGGATCTTTCATGCACGAATGATCTCGATCCTCTCAACCTTGCTGTTGGCAGACTTGCTGCTGGTCGGCTTCTCGCTACAAATGCTTCTCGTCAAAAAGATCAAGATCGGAATGATGGTCCTCTTCACCTCCGAATTCATCATCTTGACAGCGCTACTGTGCAACACCGTCGCACAATACATCCTCAACTGCATCGATATGGCCAGCGAAGAGCCGTGGGAAGCAAAGTCTCTGTACGTGCTGTACGTCGACTTAGCACACGATGTCGTCAGGCTCTGCACCCACGGATACTTTTTCGTGCTATTGACCAGGATGTACGGCATCCCGCTCTCGTTGATCCACGACCTGTATAGTGCGGGTAGGAGCTGTACGGTGAAGGTGAAGGCGTTGGTGAGGTACAGGCAGGCGGTGAAGAAGATGGAGACGAAATATCCGAACGCAAGTGCCGCGGATTTGAGGGCTACGGATGGCACGTGCATCATCTGTAGGGAGGATATGGTGGCAATCGGGGAGGAACAAGCAGATGGAGAAGGTGGCGCTGGTGCAGGAGGGGCGGCGCCGACGGCCGCGGCGTCAGCAACGTCAGCGTCCGTGGTGACAAACGTGACCCCGAAGAAGCTTGCGTGCGGACACATCTTCCACTTTCGCTGCTTGCGATCGTGGCTCGAACGTCAACAGAGCTGTCCGACTTGTCGTCGGATGATCCTCGACGACGAGCCAGACGCACCTGCGCCTCCGCAACAGCCACCAGCACAACCAGCCGACCAGCAACAACGCGATCCGGCAGCGACAGCAGCGGGAAGCAACACCTCCACACAGCCTTCTCCTGATACGGGATCCGACACGAGAACTCAAGCGGAGCAAACCTACGACGCCAGACTGCACGGATTTCTGCATCGACTGCAGACAGATCTGCGAAAAGTGCGCGAAGAGGGCAACTTGTCAGCACGATATGCGTCAGGATCCACCAGGCAGAGGAGGAACGCGAGCCGAAGCGGGCACACTACACCCCGCGTATCTGGTAGGAACGAAGCGACGAGTTTCGGATCGCTGAATGGCGGTGGCAAGTATGTGGGAGTCAGTGGAGGGCTTGTCGGTGGTGAGGCGGCAGGGGTGGAGATGGCGTCGGGAGGTGGACTGTGGATGCCACCTCCTCCATCGACGTTGTATGCTGCGGGTAGGGGGAGACCGACGCAGTCTAGTCGCGTACGGACAGCTGTGCCCGTGGAGAATGGTGATGATGTGAAAGGGAAAGGGAAAGCACGTGCCGAGCCGACCGTTGTCGATGACGACGACGGAAGCACGGACGAACCGACAGATCCGGTCGATCCGAGAGAGGCGATTCGTCAAGCAACGCTGAAACGTTTCGGTCAACTCGCCTCCACTTCTACCACCTCCTCCGCCGCCAGCGACCCCGCGCGATCAGTCGAACAACCAATCTCCATGATCCCGCTGTTCGACCCCACCTCCATCCCGCACTTCAACGCTGTACACGCTACATCGCTGCCCCACCCGCTCGCCGACCCATCACCCTCTCTTCCGGCTCACCCGGCCTCGACCACCGCTGTCGACGTCAACACCATTCAGTCTCAGATCACACAGCTGTCGGCGATTCAGACGCGCATCGATGGGCTGATCGTCGACCTCACCCGCGTTTTGGACGCTGTTGGCGCCTCCGGTGTTGATCGATTGCAGAAAGAGCAGCCACAAGGAGAGTCGCAGAATCAGGAGAAAGGACAGATCGACGTGGCGCAGAGTGCTCCGCATGGCAAGGCAGAGTCGTGAATCCCTCGCACACATGTTGTCTCATTTCGCCGCCCCTGTGCAATACACATCGCCGCTTGCATCTCACCAATGCCTTTTCGTCACGCAGCCTGTTCGTGCCTCTCGCCACGTGTGCCCATGAAGAAGCATTCCATGAAAAACCCCGTCTTGTAGAAATACAGAAATACAAAATTGAGAGTCACAATGTGTGACTTTGTCTCAGGAGTCAACGTCCATCGGTGTATCCGAAGCACCTGAAGCGCCTGTGCTGATCCGACGAGCCGCGACGACGTCGGCCATGGCGACGTCCTTGTCGACACCTGTTGCAAGATCAATGTCATGCTTGCCGTTCCTAGTGGGACCGTCAAGCGCATGACTAGTGTCTGCCGATGCGTCTGCGGTGGAAACGCGTCGGCTGGGCGTCATTGGACTTGATTGCCGATAGTCTGGCGAAGCGGTCCCCGCCGACAAGGGCGAATGTGGTCCCGGCTGCCCAGCCTTAGCGCCCTTGGCTCGTTGAGCAGCCAGCTTGACCAGACTTCCCTTGTAAGGAATCTGGCCCGCTGCCATCTCGGGCGCTCTACGTGCTCGACCAGAAGTGCGCCTCTGCTGTGAATCGCTCTGGTCCTGACTCGAACTCGCTTCTTGCGCTGCAATCTTGACCGGAGTGATTTCTTCTTCGATCGCGGTTGCAGGCGCAGCGGGCACGGCGGATAAGGCGGGCACATCGCCTGCTGATGGCGACATGCCAGGCGTGCCTCCGTTTGTCGCTATACCCACCCCAGGCGCTTGTGGAAGAACGACGGGCGGCGTCTCAGGGGCCTCACTCTGCGTCACAGTGTTCGACACTGCCATCGGAACGGCCTCCGTCTTAATTGATGCGATCGGCTGGCCTAGAGTGGCTGGTTCAGTTGCGGCACTTGACTGGGTTGAGACCTGGTCGCGGTCCGCAGCCGGTTGGCGAAGACTTGGCTCAAGCGGAGATGCGTCCAGACGGTTAATGGGCGGCTTGGGCAGGCCAGAAGACGCGACTGCCTCCTGTCCGATCCGAAGTGGGCCCTCTGTGCGAGGCAGCTGCATTTTGATGTCGTCCTCGGATCGCGGCGGGGGCAGGCTTACAGGACTGCCGTTGAGACTGGGAGGTCGACCAAGCGGGCTTCCATTCGGGCCCATCGGGCGGCTCATCGAGGACTTCCCGCTGCCCCAGCGGAGGTTCTTGCGCATGGGCTGGCCAGGTGCGCCACGTGGAGGCCCGGCGAGTGGTGAATTGGAACGAGCCGCTGCTGCTGCGAGGTCGGGACGAATCATGCCGGGAGGCCGGAACAGTTGCGCGGAAGGCAAGAGCGGTCCTTTGGAGTCTACGGCGCCTGTAGCCTCGGCACCTTCCTTTGACTGCAGCACCTTGCTGATCGCTGAAAACATGTAAGGCCTTACTGGCGGCTCGCCGCCTTCACGATCTTCGTCATCACTGCTTTCCCGACTCGTCTCCATGGACCCGTCGTCCGACGCAGCCACAGATCGAGATCGTGCGCTTCGTTCTCTGCCACTGTGTTCGTCGTCTCCATTGCTGATGCGGGATCTGGACGTGCCGCGTGGCTTCTTGACTTCGGGCGTCCGGCTTCTACTCGACTCGGAGACGTTCCTCGATCGCTTCGCAGGCACTGCCGGTACGAGCACCATCTGCGGCTCTCTCTGCGCCTGACGTCGATTCCGCGTTCCTCCCACACCAGCTGACCAGAATAGAGCTAGATTAGACTCTGACGTTCGCTCGACACCCGATGTAGCTAGACCGGGCATGCTGCCCGCCGACGTCTTGGGTGGTGGCGCGGACGCCGATGGTGCCGTCTTGGCAAGAGGAGCCGGTGAGGCCACACTGACTGCGGAAGACGGCGTCGATCGATCTGGTGACTGACGGATCTCTGACTGCGCTCGAATCTGCGCGAAGGATGCGTCATTCATGCTGGATGTCTTGCGATGCTTGGACGCTGCTACGACAGGAAGGGGGCGTGCCGCAGGCGGTTGATGCGATGGTGCGTCTTCGACGTCGGATGCGGACTCTGCGACGAGGCGCCGCTTCAATTTCGGGGTGCTGTGCTCGTCAGCGCTGGTCTCGCGGAAGCTGGAGCGACGCTCTGCGGGCTTTTGCGTGAGGTCCTGAGAGGACCGTCGCGCAGCCAGCAAGGTCGGACCGGGGTTGATGGGCGCCTTTCTGCGGGCGCGGCGATCGCCTTCCACAGCACCCCAGTATTGAGCCAGGACGTCGGTCTTTGCATTTTTGCCCAGCATCTTGGGACCGGGCGGCCCGGGACTCGAGCTCGACGATGAGCGATCCGTTTGGTCAGGCTGCGATCGGCCAGCAGCAGAAACGGGCCGGGGTCCATGATCGTCATCGTCTTCTTGATCTTCTGTCTTTGCAGCATCACCAAGCTCAGACTCGGGCTCTGGCGTCAGGTCAGAACCATCCGAATCCAGGTCGTAGGTGGCTTCAGATGTTGCCGAGCCTCGGATGGGTGGTGTTGCGAGAGCTCGGGCGACCAAAGCTTCATCCTTACGCTCTTGCTTGCCACTCTTTCCTTCGACACCCTTCGCCGGGCGATCGGAAAGTTTAGCAGATCCTGCAGATGTCGATGTGCTCGGATTTGCGACCTTGGTGGACTTGCCTGTCGGCGTCGCGACGGTGGATGTCGCCAGCGAACTGGTGCTATCGCCAGGTGTGGCACTGCCTCCGGCGGGTTTGCTTAGCCGCGCTTTCTTTTGCGCCTTGGGAGTGACGCTAGCCTTGGCATCGGTGGGTGTGACCGAACGCTCTTTACCGTTGCGTGCGGGTGAGGCAATGCTTGCGATATGTTCTGAGATCATCTCGGAACTTGTCCTGCGCTTGACCCCAGCTTTGCGTTGCAAAGCGCCCTCGGTCGGAACACGACCTGGCCAGTCTGCTTTAAAGATCTTGTAGTGACGCTCGCAGCGTGGGCATTCGTCCGGCGTCCACCACTTCTCTGGGGCCCAAAAGGTAGCTCCGCACGTGAGACATCGGCACATGGGCCCGGCTCCTTCGGCCCAGGGATCTGAACGGTCGTCTGATGGACCGTGCTCGGCGAGCTTGAGGTCCGCGAGGAAATCGCGCTTCGACTTTTTGTCCTTGGGAGCTTCTTCACCCGGCAACGTTGTCAGGGATGGTGTCAAGGAAGGTGTTGGAGAGGGGGATGGAAGCGCCGATGAAGAGGTTCCTGTTGGACGGCTAGCACGCCGTGATTGGCGGCGACCGTTCGTCTCATTCGGTGTGCCGGTTGCTGAGGCCTCCTCCAGCTTGACCTCAACGGCCTCGGAGTGCTCGGTGGGCTCGACTGGTGGTGGCACGGATGGATCTGAGAATGCGCCGGTTCCTCGAGACTCGCACGTGGCGCACATGCATTCGGAATTGCCCCATTCGAAGTAGTTCTCACCGTAGAAGGTGGTGATCTCCTCGTTGCGATGGATTGGTCGGATCACCTTGAAGACCATTGTGGCGCCCATGCGGTAGAATTCTGTGTTTGGGTTGCAGTCGTGATTGACGAACCTTGCTGGACCCAGCAAGAGCTGGCTGCACCCCTTTCTGGCGGATCTGATGACGGAGAAGTCGCGTCCGGGGCCGAGGACGCCTTTGTATTCGGCATCTTTGCGTTTCTCGCGCGAGGAGCTGGCTTCCTCGCGTAGCGCGTCATCTTCGCTCTTTGTGAGATCTTTCAACCCGCCCTTGCAGAAGTTGATGAGCTCGCCGGGCTTGAAAGTCCGCATGGCAAGCACGCTGAGGTCGGCCTTCTCCGACGCGGCGGGTGCAGCACCGATGCTGGTGGCAGCGCGATCCAGTGACGACCTGCCTTTGGCGCGAACCTTGCCTCTGTCCTCAGCAACGTCTTTGCCAGGTGACGAGGGTGCATCCTCGAGCTTGACCGCAGACGTAGACGCCTCTGCATCCGCACCAGGCGCCCTGCCGGCCTTCTGCATCATCACACGCTTGTAGCGTGTGGTAAGAGCGAATTCGACGCCACTTTCAGGAAGGTAGCTCTCGAGGTAGCGTCGCGCATGCGAGTGGAAGCTTGAGATCTGGCGTTGCGTTTTGTTGGTGAGATATTTCTGGATGATGCCAAGTTTGCCGAGGTCCTCGATGGCGGCGGTGATGTCCTTCTCGATCACGACACGCTTCCTGACGATGACACTGACGGCGTTGCGATCAAAGCGGTGACCTCTGTAATTCGGGTTCATCTTGTGTGTCGAGATGGCGGGCTCAAACTCGAGGTTATCGAGCAGGATATCCGAAAGGATGTCGTCATCTGCGGAGAGGTCCTCCATGATTGCAAGCGCAGCGGCAGCCAAGCGGCGCCGGGCTGTCGCGCGTGCTGTACGTGTTTGTTGGCGCTATCGCTTCAGTCGAGGCAGCCTAGATAGTCTGACGAGACGATGCAGTGGAAAGGGTGATCGGGAAGAGGCGGCCGAGCGAGACGATGGCGAGGCATGGAGAGCGTGGCGCGACTGCTCGGTGTGAACTGCGACGAAGCAGGATGCGAGTCCGAAGCCTCGTAAAGATCGGATCGATGTCGAGCGACACGGATAGCAGTAGCTGCGCGCGTAAAGAAGCGCCGACTCGAGTGCTCCTGGATGATCGCCGCTGCGTTTCGCGACGAAACTTAATTTCGGAGCATCCGACCTTGACTGCGTCAATCCTTCAGTCAATCTACAGCTACTGTGCGTCAGGCTTCGGGACAACGGAGGTCGAGTAACGAGACCAGGGCTTGACGGAGTCAAAGGAAAGGTGCGGTGACCCGGTGCGCTCTGCCCTTCGCCGGTGATCGAGGGACCAGAGTGGGCAAGTCCGACCAAAAGCGATTGCCGGTGCCGAAGGCAGCTATTTTCGATGGTGTCAGGGTGTAGGAAATGCCTCAAGGGATGTGTCCACCGCGATCAGAACCCCGAAGTATGCGTCGACAATCTTGGTAGCGCGGGCGGCCACGGTGGGGCGGGGCCTTGGAAGGATGCAAAGGGAGCTGTTGGAAGCCTCATTCGAGTGTGTAAATGAGCTTATAAAGGAAAGGCGGACGTGGGCCTGGAGTGGAGATTGGGACCGGAAACTGGAATATCGCACTCTGGGATTGCAACTGGAACTGGAACTGGAATTGGAACTGAGGAGTGGGGAGTGCGGCGGAGGCGCAACGGACGAATGAGACGAGAGAAGCAGACCTGCCGCGCTAAGCTGGCTCGCTGCAGCCGCTCGAAGCAATGCGAGGCAGCAGAGCACGACTGAATACTGGGATCTGGGTGAAACCTAAGCTGCAGCAGGGCGGAGTTGAGTCGATGTTGGGCTCGGGTCATGGTGACAGAGAGTGGCTCCACTCTCAGGAGGAGGAGCAGGGAAATTGCAAGGAAATTCCGAATTCAGGCAGGGCTCCTTGACACGAGATGCGGATCGATTCTGGGAGCATCGGACGATGGCAGCCCGTCCAACTAACTGGTCCAGCAGGCAAGGCTGGCTCCCCGACCTTCCTGTTCGAAGAGACCGGTGGACTGGTTAAGCACAAGACACCGATCGAAGCCGACACACGACTAACAAACGCCCCTCTGACATCAATCGTACCACGTTGCAAGCACCTCATCGGAGCTCAGGTCACAGGCTGCGCTGTTCTGGGGCAGCCATCGCGTTCGCCTTTCATTCGAGGCACACCAGACATAAATGAAGCGTCGACTCAGTCGGACCAGGCGTCTCGAAATGAGTTGGCAGGTCAAAGCGGGCTCTCCGACGCGTGTAAGCGATGCGAGCTATGCATGTGTGCGTCACGTTTTTGGAGCTGGCGAGGGAAGATCTCGAAGCGTTTGGCCCTGACTAGTCCCGTAGCTTCATCCCTCTTCGTTTCGACCTCTTCATCGACGAAGGATTGGGATGCTCGGGATGACCAAGCCAACGGAAAATCGGAAAATATCGTCGCACCAAACTCGATCAATGAATGACGAGAACAGGTCGTGAATTACAGTGTTCACGGAATGCGCAGGTGAGCGCCAAGAGAGCAGTGGTCCGTGCTAGGATAAGTGACAAGACCCTGAATCCGACTCAGCAAAGTGAGGACGCAGGTTCAATCCAAAAAGGAGAATTGAAGCCGGCGAAAATGAGGTCTAGAAAATGATCGCCGAAAAGGATCGACTGCCCTTGCACTGTCTTGGCCCTTTGTTCGCCGTCGAAGTACGATAAGATCATGCTTCGGCGGGACCGAGCTGTGGAGGCAGCCAGTCTGTGAACACAGAGCGACTACTGCTGAGCGGAAGGCTCCCGGAGTTCAAGACCATCCTTGTGCTCGCTGTGTGGGGAAAAAAGGGGGCCAAGCCAATCTGGCTTCGACTACTCGACCGTTGCTCTGAGATTCAACCGGATTTTCGACCTTTCCAACACTCCACAACGACAACCTAGCGATCTGAGTCCAGATTCTCAGCAAGGGTCCTGTTCGCCTTGGCTTGTACAGCACTGCGGTTAACGCTACATCAAGCACTCTACTCGCTCGACTTTGATACGAGAAATCTCCGCTTCTCTCTGCCGCCGTCACGGATCTTGCCTACCGAATCAACAACCGTCCTAGCTTTTCCCTCGACCGTCCTGCCATACAACGCCAGAGTAGCCATCCCGATCCTCGAGACCAGCGTCCCTCTCCACGTCTGCGTCCCCTCAAGTGTTGCTTCGCCCTGTCATTTTTGCCGGATCGTTGCCAAGGAACTCTCGTGGAGGTACCACCAAACTCGTCCGATCGTGTTCGGAACATGCCGCTGGACAAGAGATTGACTGCCATCCTTCCCCATCTGCATATCCGGCTGATAATACCAGCTCGCCTGGGATCGCTCCCCGCATGAACGGACTTGTCCTCCCTATCGGCTCCAAGCAGCCTTTGAGGGGCGATGCCTCTCACCATGCTGCACCGCTGTCGCCCGTCAAGCTCGATAGTTCCGGGCTTGCGAGCCTTGTCAAGACCGAGGGATCTTCGCCAACACAGCGTGCCTTCGGCGGTGCCGCAAACGTTTCGCGCGCGTCTCTGACATCGCCGACTTCGAGTTCGAGCGTATCGAGCGTCGGCAGCAGCGGACCTAATGCCCTTCGCAGCGCCTTGTCCACTTCAAGCAACACAAGCGCAGCTGCGCTCGCCTTCATCCCGAGGACGTCACGCAACTCCGCCGCAGTGCAGAAACCGATACACCTCTGTTCCGAATTTGAGCTCGAGCAGCGACTGGATCGCAACGAGCGCATCCTCTCGACCCTGGAAGCTACGCAGAGTCCCACCAAGGACAGGCTTCGCCTCGAGACGGAGGCCATACGCGATGTGATTCTCTCGCTTCGTGCCATGAGAGACGTCAACGATGGCATCTCATCGGTCGATCTCAAAGACCCCACCAAAGAAGCCGAACTCGAGTCTGCTCTGCTCGGCTTGTCGGTCAAAGATGCAGCCCACTTGGGCACCAGCCCACCTTCGGATGCCTTCGGCTGGTCACGCGATACGGTTGCCGTGAAAAAGAAGCTGGCACAGTCATCTGGTGCTTATCATCCCGGACGCAAAGTCCAAGCAATGGGGTACGAGCAGTCTCTGGCCATCCAGTCGGCTGCTCTGCTGGCCGAGCGCGAACGCGAACGCCTCAAGAGCACACCAGCGCCGCGCGAGAGGCCGTCGCTAGGTGTGCCGAGCGGTGCTGCGCACAGACTCGGCCGCAAGTCGATCTCGTCGTGCTCTGGCTCGATGCGCAAGAACTCTTCCTCTCACTCTATCTCGCCGCCGAAGGCCACACGTGCAGGCGGGCCCTTGGCGCGCAACCTGGATCGAGGGCCCCAACATGACGCAGCTTTGGAAGGTGGCGAAAGCGATCAGGACGATGCTGGTCTGTACGACATGCCGGACGACGAAGAGGATGATGAGGACGCCCACCCCGGCCCGCGCCACGAGGACGACGGCTTCAGCTTTGGTCAGCTTGACCAAGAGGATCCGTAGTCTAAGCCCTTCACCATCTCCAACGAGCCTTTTCCCTCGAGACATCCATCAGCTCGCTTACGTTTTTCATTGCACACCTGTCGTCGCCACTCGTCCATACTTGCATCTTGCACAGCAGTTCCGCATCTTCGTCAACATCCGTTCATACTCATGCCTGTAATGTATCCTCACGTGTATCAGAAGCTTCTCGTACATCTCACAAATTGCATCCGTCTCACTGTGATGAAACGGCAATTGCTGTTTTGCGTTGTGTCGTGCCAGGGATGATGCTGAATGGTGACGGTGGTTGAACATTGATCTAAGGTGCTAAAGATTGATGACAAGGTCGGATTACATAAGACAGGATTTAGTAGGGGCGAGCGGCAGCTTGGCAAGCCTTGAGCTGCTCGAGGTAGTACGAGCAAGAGTTCATATCGTTTGCTATGTGAGAGGAAGACGAACGCAAGGATGGAGAGTCAGTCTTCTGCTTTCCAATCAGCTTTCAAAGACTATATCAGATTCTGGCACTTACTGCTCTCGAGACACTTGATGAAGTCCTTGCTCTGCTGTTCGCAGTTGGCACCCATAGTTTGCTGCTGACCGGGGTAGGCACCCTGGTTGTAGGCCTGAGGAGGCTGCTCGACCTGCTCGGCGGGTGCAGAGCTGCTACCACCGAAGAGCATGTTGGACAGACCGTGACCCACGGTGGATCCAACGGCAACACCGGCAGCGGTGGAAGCCATCTGTCCGAACAGACCAGGGCCGCGAGACTGCTGCTGTGCCGCCATGGGCTGCTGCTGCTGGTAGGCTTGAGGAGGCTGCTGGTGTTGCTGCCTTTGCTGTTGGTGTGGAGCAGCCATGGTGTGTGCGCCACGCGAACCGGCAGGGGCAGATCGCGAGGATCCAGATGATCGACTTGAACGAGGCATGATGAAAGAGACTTGTGTGTCTGTAGTTGGAACGTGGAGACGCTGTGGTGGCGGAGAAGAACGGAGGTGATGTACAGAGTGTCAACAGCTTGTTCTCGGTCTTGGGCACGGAGGCTTCTGGCAAAGCCGGGTCAAAACGTGCCGCTGCCCCAATCGGACTGAGCCCAATTTGTGTGGCACAAAGCTAGACGAGGCTGAGAAGGACCCTTCCTTAGTCAAGTCGAGTCGAAAATCAGAAATCGAGTCTCCCGATCCAGCCGATTCCCGGTGTGGAGTCTCTTCGTGGCAGGCGCGCTTCGATCACGCCGCGAATTACGGCTGCTGCAGCGCTGCGTTGTGTTGCTCCACTTGCGCGTCTCGCTCACGGCTTTGGCCACCTCGTTGCTGCTGTTAACTATCACCAACCACCAGCATCTCCAACACTCTCGCACCCGCTCTGGACCTGTACCAGCTCCTTTCAATTCGGGCGCATTCCCCACATCGTCAGAAGTCGTCGCATCAGCAGCCACATTCTGGCTTTTCGGAGCACACATCGAGGTTTCTTGGTGACCGGCTCACGCCCTTAAGTACACATCGACTTCGTATCACAGTGGCCCATCTTTCGCAGGCGCACCGCTATCAAATATGGAGGAGCTCGGCATCTCATCTTTGAAGCGCACAGAGCCTACGCTTGAGGATGCAGCCGCTGAAAAGGCGGCCATCCGACAGGAGATGGCGGCGGAGGAGGACACATATCTTCGTTTCAAGAAGCTGCAGCAGCACCTCGAGTTCCTCAACACCATGGAAGAGTACGTCAAGGACGAGCAGAGAAACTTGAAACGCGAGCTCGTACGAGCGCAAGAGGAGGTCAAGCGTATCCAGTCGGTACCTCTCGTCATCGGCCAGTTCCTCGAACCTATCGATCAGCACACGGGCATCGTCGGTTCCACCACGGGCTCCAACTACGTAGTACGCATCCTGTCCACAATCGACCGCGAGCTGCTCAAGGCAAGCTCGAGTGTAGCATTGCACCGCCACTCGAATGCATTGGTCGACGTGCTGCCGCCAGAGGCCGACTCATCCATCGCCATGCTCGGGCAGGACGAGAAGCCAACAGAGACGTATCAGGATATCGGAGGTATGGACATTCAGAAGCAGGAGATCCGGGAAGCTGTCGAGCTCCCACTGGTGCAGTTCGACCTGTATCGCCAGATCGGCATCGACCCACCGCGCGGTGTGTTGCTCTACGGTCCACCAGGAACGGGAAAGACGATGCTGGTCAAGGCGGTGGCCAACGCAACCACCGCCAGCTTCATCCGTGTCGTAGGCTCCGAATTCGTGCAAAAGTATCTCGGCGAAGGACCAAGGATGGTGCGTGACGTCTTCCGACTGGCGCGCGAGAACGCGCCTTCCATCATCTTCATCGACGAGATCGACGCCATTGCCACCAAGCGTTTCGACGCGCAGACGGGTGCCGATCGAGAAGTGCAGCGTATCTTGCTCGAACTGCTCAACCAGATGGATGGGTTCGACCAGGGCAGCAACGTCAAGGTCATCATGGCAACCAACCGAGCCGACACGCTCGATCCGGCGTTGCTGCGTCCCGGTCGTTTGGACCGAAAGATTGAGTTCCCCACACCGTCACGTCGAGAGAAGCGACTGATCTTCCAGACCATCTGCGGCAAGATGAATCTCAGTCCAGAAGTAGATTTGGAGGACTATGTCGGACGACCCGATAAGCTTTCCAGCGCCGAGATTGCCAGCATCTGCCAGGCGGCTGGTCTGCAGGCGGTGCGCAAGAACCGTTACGTGATCATGCCGGAGGACTTTGAGGAGGCGTGGAAGCAGATTGTCAAGAAGCCGGACGACTCGAAGATGGAGTTCTACCAGTAATTGCGTGTTGTGTTGCGCAATTCATTCTTCTCATTCATGGTCTTGCACGCCGGTGCGAGTGAAATCAGGGCCTGTGATTTGACGGTATCATATGGGCTCGTTACGATGCGATGTAGCTCGCGCAAGCAATGACTTCCGAATCAGGTGAACTCAATCTGACCTGTCTCAGAACAGTATTCACTGAGCCTGACATCGACACACGTTGCTTGACTGCCAGTTGTTTCGAGACCAAGAGCTGGTCAGAGACATGTGATTGGCTCAAGAAGAACGCGTCGAGAGAGGGCCGTCGAGATTTTTCTCCTTCCGAAAAAAGCATTCATTGTGCACATCTTCTCCTTTCCCCCTCACCATCTTCATAGACAAGAGTGAATCTCGAAACAAAGCAGCCGAACTTGTCGCAACAGCTCGAAGTTGATGCTGACCAACTCGCATGCCTTGGCAGACCTCTCTCGCCAGTCTCCTTGAATCGACTCCTGCCGTGTCTTGCTCAGCGTACTTTGATCCCATCAGCAACGCATCTCACCCTCCTCTCGACTCGCTCCAACCGCCACTCTGGCCTCGCACTGCAACAGCACTTCTGCGTCCCTTCATCCTGCATCTTCGACTTGATCCCTAGCTCTCCCTCCCCCTCCAGCCGCACGCACCTTATAAATTTACCGTCTTTGGCGTCATGATAGGCCAGACGGTTTACGGAAAGGTGCAAGACCAATACTCTTTTGCCGACCCCTCATCCGCTTCGTGTGGACGAGGAAGTGCAGGAGTGAATCCCATGCTTACTCACGGCGTAGGCCGTTTTTCGGTGGCCTTCACTGTCCAAGCACCGAGTATCACTTTCACTTTCACTCTGGGTACATGCCTTTTCGCGTTTCTGAAGTGTGGCTGAGTTTGCAAAGAAGAGGCCCGAAGAGGGTGTGCAATGGATATCTTGTACAAGTGTACGACCTAGTCTAAATCGCATGATCGTCTGTGAGAGGGGTGTTGAGGAGCATTGGGTTGTGAGGTGCGAAAGGAAGAAGTGAAATAGCCCGGTGCGGGATCGGGCCCGATGCTATCTCATGGCGAGTCATTTGAGAAAGCGTTTATCCGCACCCTGAGAAGAACTCAGCCTGCACGTCTTGCATGAAGGCGCGGGCAACTCTTGGCGGCAGCATTCAACCTCGAATGTGGCCTTTGAAAAGCATCGTTCCCTACCTCGACCTTTCCATCCCACCCTCGACAAGATCCAACAACGATGCCGGGATACACACTAGCCGTGATCGGGTGCGGCACCATGGGAGTAGCCATCCTGTCTGGCGTGCTCGACTCTCAACGATCTCAACAAGCCATCGCCTCCTCGATGGCATCCTCCGTCTCCTCCCTGCAGGACTCCTCCATGGGGGACGATCTCACCGAACTTCCCACACGATACATCGCCACCGTCAACCGAATCGAGTCCGTGCGTCGACTGAAGAAAACCTTTTCCGCATATCCCGATATCGAGATCCACTCTGGCCAAAACGTGCACGCCGCACAGTCGGCCGACGTCATCTTGCTCGGTTGCAAACCTCAGATGGTGCAAGACATCATCGCCGAACCTGGTATGAAGGAAGCGCTTTCCGGCAAACTCGTCATTTCCATCTGTGCAGGTCTACGCATCTCCCAGATGCTGGAATGGGTGACTCCTTCGACGAAAGTCGTCCGAGCAATGCCAAACACCCCCTGCAAAATTCGCGAAGGAATGACCATCCTCACCCCCCTCCCTTCCACCCTCCCTAACTCCGAGCTAGATCGTAACATCCTCCTCAGCATTTTCTCCGCCGTCGGCCGGTGCAGATTCTTGGACGAAAAACACTTTGACGCCTGCACCGCCCTAGCCGGCTCCGGCCCCGCTTTCGCCTGCGTCTTCCTCGAAGCCATGGCCGACGGCGGTGTAATGATGGGCCTCCCCAGACAGGAAGCCCTCGAGTTGGCAGCTCAAACAATGCAAGGTGCTGCGAGAATGGTCATGCAGTCCGGAATGCACCCCGCCGCTATCAAGGACTCCGTCACCACTCCAGGTGGCTGCACCATCGCAGGCTTGTTGAATTTGGAAGATGGCAAGGTTAGGAGCACTGTTGCAAGGACGATCCAGGCTGCTGCTGAACACGCGAGTGGTCTGGGTCAGAACAAGAAGTGAAGCAGGAACTCACGCACTCAGCAAGGTGGTAACTCACAGACAGACAGTTCAATACAGGATCAGTTTGCAAACAGCGTCTAAAAGATTTGCTCCGGAACATCGTGAACCCGTCGTGACTGTGTTCCGCTACCTCAAGCCTTGCACAGCAACCCATCTTCATCCAACACGGCCAGCTGCGCACCCAAACACCAACCCAACTCCGTGCCTCCCAGCTTCTTGGCGATGCTCACCTCCCTCTCCCCACCCAACTCGTACCCCAGGCTGAGCAGTCCATGCATGAAGCTGAGATCCAGACACGTCTCGGGCCTGTCCTCCAGCTCGGCGATCGCTTTGGCGTCGAAGCCTTGTGTGTCGCTCTTCGTGTAAGCGCATGCACGCTGCGCCACCGCTTCCAGGTCCTTGATCTTGAATTTGGGTCCGAGGCCGAGCGGCTCGAGTCGATCGTAGAAGTAAGACAGGGCCATGATCGGGGCCGTTCTGAACGTCTCCATCAGCGAAGGCTGGTAGACGCCGCCGAATGAGCACGGACGCGAAGTGCATACAGCATCCTTGTCCATCATGACTTCAACCAGCCGTCGACACGCGTGGAAGCCGCCATCGGTGCCGATCATCGTCACGTTGGCGTGCGTCTTTTGACCCGGTTGCGAAATGAGCACCGCCTTGGTGCGACCGTTCGTGAAGCAGGGCGAAGGGATGCGTGTGGTTTCCGGTCGTAGCGTGGACCATTCGAGGGAGCCTTGCGCTCCGTCGTGCGCCGAGCCGGTGAGCACGGCGTTCGGATGCGCAAGGCTGTACGTGAAGGCGGCGAGCGAGTTGATCGACATTCGCGCCTGCATCAGTCCATATCCCAGGTAGGAGTTCTGATAGAGCGTGTAGGGTTTGGTGCCAAACGCGTTGAGCTGGTAGACGTGCTCGCCTGGTTGCATGCCTTGCAGCGCCGAGGGGAAGGTCGGTTGGAATACGATCTGAGTGGAGCCACCACCAAGATCCATCACCGCAGCCGTCTCGAGCTTGTCAGCCGACGAGGAGCCAATTCGGTTCAGCAGATAGTTGACGGTGATCCATGCAAAGACCCCTTCGTCCTTGCCGTCCATGATTTCGACACCTTTGGTGCTTTTCGACCCGTCGGCGTTCTTGCCGTCTGCGATGGGGAAAGGGAATTCGAGTTCGAGCATGTGTCGCACCGCCTTGATCACGTCCTCCGCCTGCTTGCCGGGCAGCAGACGCAGACCAGCAGTGGCCTTGACTGCAACCGGCGTGCACTTTCGCAGTGCGTGCGGCACGCGCTTCAGCGCTGAGGAGAGCAACGGCCTCAGCGAATCGGCAGCAGCAGCTGGATTGGTGCCGTAATTGCTGAGACCACCTTTAAGCATCTCAAAGTACTCGTCTTCTAGCTCCGGGGAGTCCGAACAGTAGTTGAAGCGGTACACGTGTATACGACTGCCGGTACTACCCGCATCGATCATGAGAGCGTACTGCACCAGCGGCCTCGGCTGGCCTTTGTGGTCCACGGGCCGAGGCCCTGTGCCATCGCAGCGGGTCGTCTTGCTGGGATCCGGGTGCAGCGCGGGCTTCTCACGCACGATGTCGGCGCTAGTGCCCGTGACAGGGGCCTTGGCGGGTGTTGTCGATGGCGGAGAAGGGCTGACGGGGAAGCCTACAGCGTGATTGCTGTCTTGATCCGGCTTGGCCTTCCATGGCGCATGCTGCACAGCTTGTCCGACCTGACCAGCCTTGTCGTTGACGTAACCCACCACAGCGTCCCTCGAGTCCCTCCTTCCAAAGAGGACGATCAATGCCACGAAGCCGAAAAGGATAAGGGCGAGTCGCCTTGATCCGAGCGGCATCCTTCTCGTCGACCACGCTCGTGTTGGAACGCCTGCAGCACCGGCCGGTGGATAGCCGGTATGTTCGTCGGCCTCCGAAGCGAGTCCGTTGGGAGCAAGCAGAAGGGCACCGGTCTCGGAGTTGTCGAGATCGACCGAAGAGCGAGTGACGGACTTGGCTCGGTAATGCTTCTTACCCGAAGCGGTCGGAGCGCGGCGGGGGCTGGTATGTGAAGGCGGAAGAGACATGGAAAATGAAACGCTGAGCGCTGTCGGAAGCCGAAGCGCAAAGCAGCTCCGGTTCGGCTCGAAAGGTTCGCCAGCGACCCCACAGGTGCAGCGAAACGCGACGAAAGGCGGATTTGGGGAGCGTGGCTGGATGAAGGACAAGGTCGAGATGATGGTGGGATTGTACAAGGTTCCAAGACCTCGTCGGTGCAACTTCTTCCAGAAACAGACAGTCGGCCAGAAGACAGTCACCTGCAGGACGTTCCGAAAAGAAGCTCAAATCTTTCAGCGGAAATCGAGCGCGTGGCTTTTTGCGCGAGACCGAGCTGTTGGTGTCAGGGTCCTTTGGAAACCGAATTGAAAGTCACAGATGATACCAGCGTCGAGTCCCTGGAAGTGTTGCGGGCCTGGTTGCGATGAAGGTAGGAGGTTACGACGCGGAGAAAAGACAATCCTCGCACCAAGTCATCCTTGTGTGCACCATTGATCCATGTCTACTATACAATGTCGCCTGCAAGACGGTGGTTGGTCTCGGAAGATTCGCTGGATGCAGGTCGTGTCCCGTCGCCGAGCCATCGCGGCAGGCCGAAAGTCCAATGTTAGATCGCCGAACAAGTCACAGCCCCAGCGGGCCTCAAGAATCGATTCCATCACATTCGTTCGCAGCGTCAGTCGAAGATGGCAAGGGACAAATGACGCCGTAGTTGATGCGTCCCGAGTGAGTGTAAGGTGGGATCGCTTCTAGTGAGGAAAATAAAGAGAGAGTGGGTATCGGCAGCATGGCCAGCTGGAACGTGCGTTGGATCTGGATCGTGCTCAGCTTCCTGGACAGTGAAGCGGTAAAAATGCCGGGCTTCTTGAACGGCACAACCGGAAAATTTCGAGCAGCAGGCAGACGCATTTGCTGACTGGACTCCGTGGAGCGGTACGAGGAGGTTATGTGCATCATCTATCAACTTTCAGTCGGCTGTTGCGAAGTCACGCTTGGCTTCCATCAGCGGACATACAACATCACACCATCTACTTCACTGTCGAGGTTTGGCGGGAGTCGCGCCCTCTGGCCCGCCTGTAGAGCACCGGCCGCGCAGGATACATTTCCCCCTCGATCGACACGACCAATATGTCGGCTACTCCGAATTCATCGGGTCATCCGACATCACATCACACGGCCCAGCCAAGTTTGCTCAACCCAGGCATGGCGACCAATCCGACATCGGGACTCACCCGGTCCGAGCCGCTCAGCTCAAGCAACTCGCAAGCGGACCAGCTTCGCGACGCTACCGACGCGGCCGCCGCCAGCTTGACCGAGGACGGAGCAGGTCCGCCGATCAACAAGACCCACGCCAAAGTGCACGATCTCTCGTCGTTGCCGCACAGCCACCCTGCCGATCAATCTCCTGCTTCCCTCAACTCGCCATGCTTCGTTCACTCGTACCTCGACAGGGGCGTAGCGCTCGGAGAGAGTCTCAAGAAGCAACGCCGTCAATTCAGTCGGCAGCGCGCGCACCGCTCCAAACTTGCGCGGGGGAACTCGCAGAGCGACGCTGCTTCTGCCGACAATGATGCGTCACCCCGATTCCAACCGGCAGAACCTGCGGCTGTAGGTGCAGCTGCAGCATCTCCGTCTACATCCAGCTCCGCATCCGCCGGCAGAAAGCAGGGAGCGATAGACTCAGACAATCTCTCCAACTCAGACTCACCCTCGACGCGCGCCAGACGGGGCGCAGACCGCACGTCTGCTCGAGTTCGGATCCGCACCAGCTCGGACGATGACGATGGCGACGACGACGATGATCGGGATGCCGACAACACCGCCGATCAGCCTCTCTCGGATCGAAGCTCATCCTATGGCTCGTCGTACTCCTACTCGACCGACGAAGACGATTCTGACAAGGTGCGCTCGCTTACACGTCAGCTCGCAGAGACAGCGGTGGGTGTGCGAGAGATGAGCAAGCAGCTTGGACGTGCCAGGGTCAAGTCTACCATCCAGTCCGTTATGATCATCACAAAGGCCAGAGACAATCACCTCATCAAGCTGACCCGTGAACTCGCCATCTGGCTCATGACAACACCACGCAACGGCAAGGCCACCGGTCTCATTGTCTACGTTGATTCGCAGCTTCGTCAATCCAAGCGCTTCGATGCCGACGGCATCCGCAGAGACTACCCTCAGCTCTTTGACTCGAGACCGCCCAAGCGAACACCTAGTCTTTCTGCTTCCTTCTCGTCCTCCGCCGCGTCAGTATCCGACAATAACGGCACCTTCAACAGGTCGGACGGCGGCAATCAGCTGCGCTTTTGGAACTCGGACATGTGCTCACGCTCGCCTCACCTGTTCGACTTCGTCGCCACCCTCGGCGGTGACGGCACCGTGCTCTTCTGTTCGTGGCTCTTCCAACGCATCGTGCCTCCCGTCCTCCCATTCGCTCTCGGGTCGCTTGGATTCTTGACCAATTTCGACTTCAAGGCGTACAAAGACGTCATGAAGTCGGCGCTCGACGACGGCATCCGCGTCAACCTGCGCATGCGCTTCACAGCCACCGTCTACCGCGCCACGCTACCATCGTCAAGCTCGGCCGATCGACACCGTCGTCAAGCCATCAAGTCTGGCAAAACTGGCGAGATCATCCTCAATTCGGTCAAAAACTGCGGCTGGGATGCCATTGAGTCGCCTAATCCCGACCAATCGCACCAACGGCGCTCCGATCTGCGTCCTGACGATGAGGTGGTGCTGCCATCGATGGAGAAGAAGTCGAGCAGGAAGGGTCGGGGCGGTAAAAAGTGCCGTGACAAGGAGATCATGTGCTTCAGCACCCGACCCGTAGAGACGTTTGAGGTCTTGAACGATCTCGTCGTCGATCGAGGTCCAAGCCCTTACGTTAGCTTGCTCGAGGTGTTCGGTGATGAGCATCACATGACCACAGCGCAAGCAGACGGTCTTTGCATCTCGACGCCCACCGGCTCCACCGCCTATTCGCTCTCGGCGGGCGGAAGTCTTGTTCACCCTGAGATCCCCGCCATCCTCATCACGCCCATCTGCCCGCACACATTGTCGTTCCGTCCAATGCTGTTGCCAGATAGCATGGAGCTGCGCATCGCTGTGCCGTACAATTCGAGGAGCACAGCGTGGGCTAGTTTCGACGGACGTGGTCGCGTCGAGTTGAAACAGGGCGATCACATCAAAGTGACAGCAAGTCGCTACCCGTTCCCCACAGTGTGCGCAGAGAACCAGTCAACCGATTGGTTCTCAAGCATCTCGCGCACGCTCAAGTGGAACGAAAGGCAGAGGCAAAAGTCGTTTGTCGTGGTGGAGGAAGGTGCCGAAGCCGATTCGAATGAGAAGGGCAAGGACGCCACATCCAAGGCTTCTTCAGGCAAGATGTTCGCTAAGCACAGCCGCGGAGGCGAACAGGACGACAGTGATGACGACGACGATGACGACGACAGCAGTGACGAGGACGGCGATGCCAAGCGGGGTGACGAGGAGGAGGAAGACGCGGAAAAGTTCGACATCGATGATACGAGCACCACAGTGACCCGCAGCAACAGTCCCAACTCGCACGGCGATGGTCATGCTCACGTACGCAGGCGATCGGGCCAAAGCACGCCTCGACACATCAATGGGGGGTCACGACGCAGCAGCGGTCCATCGCTGTTGAGCAGCTCCTTGCCTCGGCTGACTTCGATTACCAACGCCTTCAACTCCAAGTCGAGCGAAGCACAGGCAAGTGGTGACCAGCCATCGACGGCTTCATCTCATTCACGCTCGCTTCTAAGCAGTCCAGACCGTTTCGGTCTCCAGGGACCGCCTCTGCCGCCAAAGGCCATCAGCGAGCGGCACCTGCTCAGCGCCGACTTCCGTCTCGATGGTGGAAGCCAGACGTCGTCATCGACCATCACGTCTCCGAACCGAACTGAAGCTGGCTCCGAACGGTCATCGCAAGCGTCTCGCGCCACCAACAGCGACCGCAGCAGAAGCAAGCAATCAAAGCCGATGACGCCTTCCTCCGCAATGTCTCGGGACAAGACTCCGCAGGGCATCCGCAGTGGGTCGACTGGACAGAGCGAAGGTGGGAGAGGCTCAGAGCAGACGTCAGATCGCTTCGAGCGAACGGCAAACAGCACAGGAGGTACAGCGCTCGTAGTGTACGGCGAAGATGAGAGCGATTCGGATTCGACGACTGGAGCAGGACATTGACGACTTCATACTTACACGTGTCTTTGGACGCTCTTGTTTGCCCATCACGAAAAGATGCCGGCCCCACTCCGCCGGACGAATGCGTTGAGGTGCAACGATGCCCGTTTCTGTGAACAGCCGAACGGCTTGCCTGATACTTACCGGCGGCATAGCGAAGCTAGTGGCGAAGTTCTCAGTTCAAGTAGCTGCAATTGACGAGGCAGGAAGGCGACAGAGGCGGCGCGCGCAGAGGGCTGGCGGCGCAACGGTCGGAAACCCTCTCGCTGCCGAAATAGTTATACGCGACCGGCCAAGGACAGCGAAGAGAAGAGCTCCTTTGTCGGCGACACGCACAACGGCACGGGCTCTCAGGATACCCACGCCAAGGACATTAGATTGTGCCGAATCGCCACCGGCTCGCTGCAGTGGGCTAAAACATTAACGAACGAGGTGGACCCTGAACCGTCGGACTTTGGCCCTCTTGCTTCGACATCTGTAGTCGGCGGGACCAAGAATTTGGCTCTCCGCTTTTATCGCACTTCCTAGGTGACCGGGACCAATGCGCATCGGCATGTCTCCATGATCCGACCGACCGATTGAGTGATTTGCAAAGCGTCATATCGATGGAATGAGAGTAGAGGGCTGTCGAGGGATCGTATTGGCCGTTCATTCTCTCGACATACTATTCTCCTGTGCAGCAGCAGCCACCGACGCACACATTCCTGCCCCGCGGAATGCTCCAACAGACCTGGAGCACGAGATTCCGGAGAAATGCGTGCGTGTCTGCTGAGAGGGTCAGCCAGATCTGACACAAGAAAAGACTTCGAATGGATTTGCCCGAATATCTTAATTCATTTGTTTGGCAGTAATCTCCGCCAGCGAAAGAGCTGTCTCGGTTGCAAATCTAGGCTCCGATGCCTGTTTCTTGCCCTCTGCTCGGGACGCACACCTATTTGCTGATTGTATCGGGAAAACGTCACCTTGATGAACGAGTGGATGACGACGTGGATTTCGAAAGCAGGCGCTTATCATTCCACAATTGGTCTCGCCTGCTGCGACGATCAGGATCGTCAACCCGCTGCATCGGTTACAGCTCGCGGGCGGAACACTTTACGCCAGGCTAGGATCTTCAAAGACCGATCCTGTCCCAACCAGCCCTCTCAAACTCAAACAAGCAGGGAACCAAGAATTTCCCCTCCGGGCACTGCCAAGCTGTGGCATGGTTTCGCAGTCACAGGCTGACTTTGCGAATTTGGTGCGAGCCGTCGGATGCTCACCCAATGATCTACTTCGGCTGTTTCCGTGTCTCGAAAGCTTTGCTGCTGAAGACCGGTTCCACATCTCCGGATCGTTGCCAGAAGGCGCGATCGTCGAATGCGAGCAGAGAAGCCTCAAGAATCTCCTGATCAGGAGCATGAGCCCGAATGCCGGACCGTCGATGCGGTTCGCGAGTCACCGCGACGTCGCCCACCGGCGTCGGTGAAATGAATTCGAACTTGGCTTCTAGCCTCTAGGGTCATCTGACGGAAAGAGGCGAACAGATTCGCCACTCGATCTCATTGACTTGGTCCTCCGTCTTCAGTGCTGTCGAACGGTTAGCGACTGGCTGAAGGTGTTCTGCGTCAAGTGTGCGATTCACGGAGGGGCTCTCGATGATTTCTGAGGATCCAGCCTTGCTGCAATTCCATACGGAGAGACTAATTTATAATATTTTTATTCAGTGCCGGGTTTTGTGTCGTTGCTCCGATTGCTGCTCGTTCTTCCACGTCGATCCCGGCGTCTTTTGTTGCACCATGATTAGGAGTGAAGATTGTATTCAGAATTCAAGACAGACACGCGGAGAGAGAGGGAGAGGGAGAGAAATAGAGACCGAGGAGGGCGGTCCAACCTCATGGAATGATATCGACCCTCGGCGCTTCTCGCCTCGTTTTGCGAACCATGCGGTTGACAGGCAATTGCACTCCGCACGCAAACAGTCCACGCGTTGACAAGCGAGGCACAGAGTACTGTCGTGTAAGATGCGACGACTGGCAAGTGCTTCTCTCGAGGAAAAAGACCTCTAGCGGCATCCTTCCAATTGTGGTAAGGCGTATAGTAAAGAAACGCAATTTTGAGCGTCCGTCACCTCGTGTTGGATCGTCGATCCGGCTGATGAGCCTCTGAGACATCAATCTACTTTTTTTGTGGTATACTGTAACTATTTAATCTCATTTATTTATCACAGAAAGGAGAGGAGAAGAGGCGATTCTTGCGCGCTCAGCCCCGCTGCATCTTTTCCCGCGCGCCGCAACTGCTGCTCCGCTCATGGACACCCTCGCGTCCGTCCGTGACGTGGATCGACATGGCTGCAGCTGGAATTGGAGTGGTCGGACGTGCAGCAGACTGGACAGATCCAGAACTTCTTTGAGCAACTATTTATTTTTGGACCTTCGTCTTTGCTTTGGCCTCATCATCACTGCTGCTGCCAAGGTGGCATTCGTAGTAAGCATTCAACTGAGGCCAGGTTTCTCCATTCTCCAGTTATGTTCTGACCGGCAAAGCGTGTTCCCTCGTCGAAATTACCTTGTACCAGGATGGAAGACGAGACAGAGCACATGCAATGCCGAATCTGGAGGTACGTGGCGAGCGAGGCGGTGCACTAGAAGCGAACACCGTGTTGCTATCTCGGTGGTTGTGACCTGCCTGCTTTTCTAGACTCGTCATCTCTTTTCCGTTCAAAAAGGTAAGAAATGTCTTTATGTTTGAATTTTCTGCAGCCCGTCGCGCTCCATTACGTCTCCCCGTGTGGTGAATTGGATCGACCCGCCTCTGCTCTGGTCCGCACATAGGCAATCGACGCTCGATGTCCGGGACCCTTTTGGTGTGTCTTTGTGCATCCTCGCAGATCTTGCTTCAGCTGTGCCTCGCTCTGCCGCTTGGTTGCTTGCTGGCCGGCCTCCTCAAGTGATTGATGGACTGCTTGCTCCAGCTCGCCTACGCTGAGCCACTTGATCCTCTCCACCGTCTCCGTCGTCTCTGACAGCTCCGTCCCTTCGCACACATCTTCCTCGTCTGCCTCGATCACCGCCCTTTCCTCGGAACAAGATCGCAGCCGTCAGTCCAGCTTCTCGCGTCCCTACCCACCGCCATTGTTGCTCCAGACCTCGACCGCTGAACTGTTCCCACTTCATTGCACGGCAACGCAACGATCAGTCAACCCACCACTCACGATCTCCTTTGCAGTCGCAATTGGGCCGAAGACTGCCAACTTCATATCGTCGGCGAGCATCTGCCAGCAACCCCCGTGTCCAAATCTCCAACAAGCCGTTTCACCAACCCCGGAGATTGCTTCCCGTCCTTTACCCACGCTAGCCACAGCGGCCCCGTTTTTGGTGTTCACTCGTATTCCGTCAACGAAATACACACACACACACACACACACACACAGAGCACACACAGCTTGTCTCTGTGTCACATCGCATTGCATTCCTGTTCGACCACCTAGCGACCATCGTCCGATCAGCCCACCAGTGCTCAGCTTGCATTTGGTCTGGCGTCATCGTCCCCTCGCTGATTGTTCATCCTCGCTCAGTAGCTCCGCATATCTTGCTACTCGGTCGACGAGTCGATTCTCTTCTCAATCAAACCGTCCTGAGAGCACAGGTCCCGCTCCAATCCGCACCGTCACTTTGCGGTATTACCACCTCTACGCAGTAGCTTTGCCGCAAGTCAGCGCTTGCATATCGCGGCCCCGCAGCTCGCCTTCGACAGGGTTTTTGCATCTCCTTCCCGACTATCACTTTGAAGCGACAGCTCTACTTTTCGAGTCGTCAACATCTCCAAATGTCTTGCCGCCCGGTACCAGGCATCTGATCAATTTTGCACCATCAGCAGCCACATACCGGCTCTTTTGAAGATCTGCGGTCGGCGCTGCGTATACCCAAAGTCAGCCAGCCAGCTAGCCCGAAAATTCTCTTGCTAAGATCGGAGGCTCGGTAGCTTATCTGTCGACAGCGCAAACCAAGCTCGACTCGACCATCTATCCTGATCTACAAGGCGCATCCATCGGCCCAAATACAACAACAGCAACGATTTGCTGAGCCAGGCGGGCTGGCCAGCTTCGGCTTTCATCATTTTATCAACTCAGAGAGCCATGGGGCCGACCGGCGCGAGAGCGGGAATCCCGTTCCCCGGCGCCAGCAGTGCCGCCGCCTCTACCAGTGCCTCTGCACGCGCTGCGTCCATACCGCGCTCTATCGCCGACTCTTTGTCCGAGTCTGGCGAACCCGCGGAACATCGCGACATGGAAGTCGACCCGGAATCCACAGGAGCAGCAACTCGCACAAACCAAAGCGGACTGGAGCCTTCCACCAGCCTGCCAAGCATTAAGAATCTGTTCGGCCTCGAGCGAAAGGAGCCGCTGGCCTCCGTCCGACGTGTTGACGGCTTGTCGGACGATGGTCACTCTTCCATCGGAACCGCTACGCCAGGCTCCCCTGCTGGCCTGCCCGCATCGACATCTACCCACTCGGTCGACCGACGTGGCCATCGCGGCCATGCCAGCACAAGCAGCTTCTCTGAATTCCAATCGGGCCTCACGCACAGTTCTAGCTCCTCGTCGCTCGGTCCCATTCGCACCCGCCACCCGTCCAACGCTTCGGGCTCGTACGGTCGAGCCACAGGGCTGGTGCCAAGCACGCCTCCACGCCATGTCGGTTCTTCGACGCTAGCGTTCAGCCCCGAAGATGCTAGCGCGAGGCGCAGGGTCGACTCACGCTCCCGGCAGGCACAGGCGCTCAAGGGGCTCATTCTCTCACCACCGTCCCGCAGACTACCGCTGGAAGGTGATGGGCCCGCTTCTGACATGCACGCCGGCTCGCAACGACGTAGCGGGCATCGTCCTGCCTCGTCAGCTTCCGGCTCACTCTCGACACTCTTCTCGCACATTTCGACCTCATCCGATCCCGCGCCCATGCTGCCTCCAGGCTACGTACCCTCGGTGCAAACCTCCGAGGAGAGTGTTCCTCACGAAGGATGGGGTACTGGGAGCGCGCCTTCGGACAGCACCAGTCCACGCACCAGCTGGCACAGCCGCTCATCGACCCTCGAGTCAGGCGAGGCAGCCTACAAGATGACCGGCGGCGATCGTGCACCGGGGGGATCGCTGCTACCGCCGTTTCGTGAAGCGCATTACGCACAAGGCGAGCCTCCACGGCACTCGCCGGAACAGCAATTCTCGAGCCTTTCTCGTCACAGGTCGATGCGCACTCCTGGCTCCTCTGCCAATCTGCCCGGCGCAAGTCGACCGCGCGCTCGCACTTTGACGCATGGCGACCGTCCCATCGCTCCCCTGCCCAATTCGGATGATCCAGCGAGGAAGCAGCGGCTTGAGGCCGCTTCGGAGCTGTTGCGGATGGGACAGCCGAGAGGCGACGACCCGCACCTGGTCGGTGGCGGACGCGGATATTCACACAAGCACAGCATGTCGATGCAAGAACGCGTCCCGCTTCCCATCGAGCTTTATGAGAACGCAAACACGATTCGAAGCCACCGCCCCAAGTCTCACTCGATGTCTGGCCAGGAGCCTTTTGATCCTAGCATGATGATGCACCATGGCCCGCCCGGAATGCAGGCGCCGGGGCCAGGTGCGCCCATGTTTGACCGAGGTGGACCACCGCCTCCGCCAGGGGGCTCTGGCGCATTTGACTCGTTCCATCCGAGGCGAGGACGCGGCGCTGGCGATGAAGCACCCCGCCCAGGTGGCGCCGGCTGGGTTTTTCCACGCCGACCTGTTTCGTCGGAATCGGCCGAGGCGCAGCGCAGCGCGTTCCAGGCACAGATGATGCGAGGGCAAGCACTGGCCAGCGTACCCGACGGGATCATTTCTGCTCAGCACGGCGGTGCGTTCGGCGGCGCTGGCGTACGTGCAGCACCGAGCACGACAGGCACCATCGCATCTGGTCAAGCCAAGTACGAATGCGCCTGGTGCGGCAAGAGGTTTTCGCGTCCTTCGAGCCTCAAGATCCATCACCATTCTCACACGGGTGAAAAGCCGTTTGTGTGCAACGAACCTGGATGTGGTCGCTCGTTCAGCGTTCAATCCAATCTGCGAAGACACCAAAAGTGCCATGGACCTGGCGGCGATCAATCCGAGCTCGAACCGTCCCGTCAGCAGCAAGGACACGTAGCGAGTCGTAGCGACGACGGCTATTGGGCACGTGGACCACCTCCTCCTGCTGCCTCCTCCGGCGCAAGAATGAGCCCTATCGCCGGTGGAAGCGGCGGTGCATGGCATCCAGGCCATATGGGCTACGGTCCCGGGCCCAGCTCGGGACCGGCACATGGACCTGGGCATCAGTATGGCATGGGACCACCGCCAGGAGGGCCGATACCGCCTCAGATGCAGATGCAGATGCAAATGCACATGCACGGCAAGGATCATCCGCCGCTCTCGCGATCGGCATACGAACCAGGTTCACGCAGCATGAACACCTGGACCGAAATGCGCGGCGCTAACATGCCACCGCCTGGTTACCGAGACTATGAGCGCGGTGCACCTGTCGAGGGCTACGGCATGTCGGCATCTCCGCGTCGTTTCTCGCAGACGCGAGAACGTCGGCTGTCCGAGTCGTCGGTAGAGGAGGAAGAGGAGGACGAGCTGCTGCACGAAGATGAGCAGCCCGAAACTCGACCTGATCTCAAGACGGAGCGTGCGGATCCTCATCTACGCAGAGCCGAGGTCGACTCGCTGCCAAGAGGCTCCACCTCGGGCGGAGGCTCGAGCGAAGACGAGGCGGACACGACGGTCACCATGCGGAGCGGACCACGACCCAGAAGCACCACGACCGGCAGCGCAACTTCGAAGCTGCGCGCCGGTTTCAACTCGCTCTTGAATCCTGAAAGCCATCAGCCGGAAGCTAGCGTCAAGGATGAGCGCTAGTCGATACCCCTTTTCACCCTCTGTAGCCAGTTTGATCGGCACCATCACATCAGCAGCATGCATTCTATTCTTATTGTTGACTTTGTTCGTTTGTGCACCGAATGATGTTGCGCCACCAGGTTGCAGACCAGGGTCATAGAGAGAGGATCCAAGCCGGGTCCTGAGCGCGCATGTGCGTATGCAGCGTCTTGCGTGTCAGCTCTGCGCCTCTTTGTCTTTCTCAGGGTTCAGAGAGGCGTGCACGTGCAAAACGCTTGGTTGCTTGACAGAATTCTTCTCCGCTTAATTCACGCGAGCAGAGGTGAGAGTGTTGCGTGTGACATGGATGCGAAGTCGCGTCGACGCCGGGCCAGTCGACTCTTGCGGCTAAACGGCTGTTGCCTTGGTTCCGAATCAGCGGATTTGTGCATTCGGCACGCTTCGAGAAAGCAGCGGACAGCAGCATTGACCCTCCTTTGTTCTGCACGGCAATCATAGGATCCTGCAGCCAAGCTGTGCTGCTTCGCATCTCCCCTCAACGAGCGACCGCACGCACAGCACCTCGGATACGGGCACACCGGCGAGTTTGGCGCCTGAAGGATCTTGAACGCATCTTCCTGCACCAGGCTGCAACTCAACCTACAGTAGTCTCGTTCGACGACAATTCAGCGTCATTGCCCACCATACCTTCATCAACTGCGCCATTCCTGGACTGTACCGTTGCATAATCCAACGCCATCCTTCAATTGGCCGCTGTCCTCATTCGACCGGTCGGACTTCGTCCGCACGCATGTCGTCGACCTCGGCTTTGGGCGCCTCGAGGCGTGCCTCGACCTCAAGCGACCATTTCCAGATTCCTTCATATCCTCAATCCCGCAATGTCGAATCAGCGCCGCTGCCTTCGAGCGATACTGCATCTCTAGCCGAACGCAAACCCGACGCGAAAAGGTCCTACCCCACATTCCTCAAAGGTGCTCGTCGTCTCCAATCGCAGCGGCCCGACACGACCAGCACCACCGCTTCCTTCGCCTCAGCCAATGGCGACGCCTCTACAACTACACCGCTAGCGACCGCATCCAGCTCTCGTACCAACTCACCCAGGAAGCAGGCTGCTCCTGCCCGCATCGGCAGAGATTTTGAAGCTCTGCTCGCTTCCGATGAGACCTACGTCCTCAGAGACAAGGCAAAGATTGCATTGGACGCCGAGGAAACGCAGGATCCCGCGGCACAGCTGCTACCGTCGAGCTCTGTTTCGAGCGCCAAAAGGGTCATTGTCGAGCGACGACAACAGCAAGCTTCGTCATCCTCTTTGAATTCCGACCTAGACGAAACGAACGACGATCCGGTCGATAGTACGCCTCAACCGCTACAAACCGACGTCTTCAGGTCACCTCAGAAGAAGTCTCAATCCTCCGCCTCCTCTGCCACGCTCCCACCTTCTGCCTCTTCGTCGCGCGCAGCCTTCGGCAGAGGATCGCAGCCACCTGCTTCGCCCGACAGGACCACCTCACTTCAACGTCATACCTCTCCTTCTCCCAAAGCCTCTTCCCCTGCGCCCAAAACCATGCAGAGCTTCATTCTTCAGCCCGCCTCTGAGCAAGGACACGGTACGGTCCGATCCCGCCCACGCCTCGGTGCCAGCGTCGGACTCGAGCAAGAGATCGACTCCGCCTCCGGCCAGGAACACAACGCCACAGACCCATCTGCCTCCATGGGCTCGTTCCGTCAACGCATGAAAAAGACCAGTGGCTTTCTGCGCAGGCTGCGCAAGGATATTCCGCCGAGCTCCAAAGCAAGTGCTTTCAGCTCCTCGAGCAACGCTTACTCGGTGGGCTCGAACGCCTCGGTTGCGTCTCTGGGTCGAAGTGCCACGAGCGATCCGGCTGCTGACCCTCTCACCTTTAGACGAAGAGGGAGCAAGGCTAGTGTTTCCAGCATTGGTGCCTCATCGACCACTGGCAGTGCCTCGAAGGGGCAGCACTTTGCCTCGACCGACGGCATTGCGGTCCCGAGCATTCCGGAACGCTTCACGCAGCCTTCCACAAGCTCTACTTCTCACGTTCTGTCGGATGCCGACGCTGTCGAAAGCATTGTCTCTGCGCGTGGTGGCGCAGCTTCTGGTGAGTCGCAGCAGCTTGCATTGCAGAGCAAGCCCGGTCTTCGAGTTCCCTCCGCGCCTGTCACCTCGACGGAATTCGGCCAAAGCACCAAGTTCGCTTTGCCTCAACGTTCGAGCTCGCAGGGACACGAGCACGAACGAGACAAGTCACTTGGAACGACCGATTCTTCTGGCGCTATTCGATTGGCAGTCCAGCAGCTGTCGTCTCACATGGACGATGCTTGGAAGGACGCACCGGCGCAGGACGTCAAAGTAGCTGGAGCAAGGGATGCAACGACACCCAAACGATCGTGGGGCCCTTCGCCTCAGCTGCCGGATCTCGACATCCAACATGACAAGCAAAGATCGGGAAGCTTTCTGGAGGAGCCAGAGCTCATTTCAGACCGTGGATTCGACGATGTGCAAGATACAGCGTCCCGAACTGTCCGCTCCGTCAGTGCATCGTCGGACGCAGATATCGGTAAGAGGTTGAATGGGGTTGACGACAGCAAGCACGCGACCGGACTAGGCATCATCAGCACGAGCTCCGCTGCAAACATGCGCAAGAAATCCGGCACCGCCCAACACGGTGAGGACGCGGACGGGTCGACGGCGAACGGCCCGAGCGAGGATCAGAACCGGCAGCCGCTCATGGAGCTCACACCTCTCAGACCAACCGAATCATCCAGAAAATCCGTCGAGCCGAGCCCGCAGTCCGCTGGACACTCTCCACACTTGCCGAATTCGGCACGCAGCAGCCGTCGTAATTCCATCGATGCGGCTGCTGAGAATGCGCGACGTCGAACCATGGATTCCGGCGCGAGCCTCGTCAGCGTCCGGTCCTTCGAGACGGCAGCCGAAAGCGCGGGCCCGGGCAGTGCAGACGCGAAGGTCGCTGCGTTCAATATGGCTACCCCCAACTCGACGCAAAGTCCGTCACCGATGGCTCAACGAGATGCTGCTAAGCCTGTTGCTGGCTCGACTGCTGCATCACCTAGATCAGTGTCAAACCAGATAGAAGTTGCGAACGGAAGCGCCCATACGAGCGGTGCAAGCGGAAGGGAGACAGACGTGGAGGATGCAGAACAAAGCATCCGACTAGTGTCCAAACGCTCCAACACCGACGACATCAACCTTGCCTCTGACAGCGCAACCACCATTGTCACCGCTCCCAAATCACCGGAGATGGACGTGCCAGCACTTCCGAAGCTATCGGAGCTATCTGAGTCGTCGCCACTGCGGCCTGGGCGCAATGGCAGTCTGAGTCGCGGGGGCTCATCGACCGGATTGCTGTCCACCGTATCTGTACACAGGAGTTCTTCTCCAGTCTCGTCACTGACTTCTGCTAGGACGAGTTTCGACCATGCTGCAGTCGCACGGGCTGCAGCGACAGCTGATGCCGGTGCACCACCTTCTATCACGGCCTCGGCGCAAGAGCTGGCGACTAAGTGCTGGGAAGAGGACCCGAGCTTCTTGAAACGGGAAAAGATCGCAGAGTGGCTTGGTGGGCTGGGGTTGGTCAATAAGTCAGCAAGAACTTTCTACTTTGCCAGGTTTGATTTCGGCGGATTGCGATTGGATATGGCTTTCCGAAAGCTATGCGACAAGCTATTCTTGCGCGCTGAGACGCAACAGATTGATCGCATCTTGGCTGCTTTCTCACAGAGGTACTACGAGTGTAACCCAGACTCAGTATTCGGGAGTGCTGACGTGGTTCATTCCGTCGTCTTCAGTATTCTGCTGCTCAACACGGATCTGCACATCGCCGAGCTGCAGGAGAGGATGACGAGGCAGCAATTCGTACGCAATACATTGGGAGCGATCGCCGAGACTGGGACAGAGGGTCAAATTATGGAAGACGAGAGGAGCAGTCTCAGCGTCGCGCATGCCGACGATCGCAGTGCGGATGCTCAACCGTCAACAGCGGGACGAAGGAACAGCATCAGTAGCTATCTCGGAAGCAAATCGAAGCAGACGAGCACGACCAACTTGGAAGCATCCGTGGAGGCGGCAGAAGCTTCGAGGCCTGGTTCGGCCGCTAGTGGAGCCAAGGGGAAGGAGGCCGAGATCGAGACGTTGCTGAAGGACATCTACGCAGCGGTGAAGTCGGAGCGTATTTTGCTGCCTACTCCCGAGTCAGGCGCGGGGACGAGCGCTGCAGGTAGACCGTCCGGAACATTCAGTCCGGCACTTGGCGGCGGAAGACGGAAGATGGGGACTGATCGGGTGACTGCTCTCAAGCGTGGATCGATACGAGGCATTCAGGGACTGCTAGGCGGATCGAATGGGTTGGACGGATCCCTAAGTCCGAACCCTTCTCGTACCTCGATAGATTCGTGGGGTCGATCCTCAACCACCGCTGAGCGCGATCGAATGCTTTCACCGCTTCCCAGCATCACCCCTGGTTTTGCAAGCACCCTTTCACACACCATCATCAAGGAGTCTCAAGAAGAAGAACACATCACGACACCGAGCTCTACAAAGAAAGAACTGCCGATAGACGAAGAAGACGATGACGACCAGCTGGCACTCGCTGGACCGCCGTGGGCGAAGGAAGGCTCTCTCACGCGCAAGTACTATTGGGAGAGCACGAACAAACGTGCCAAGGACAAGAATTGGATCGAAGTCTTTGTCGTAGTCTCGAAAGGAACCTTGTCGATGTTTCGGTTCGATCTGCCTAGCGGTGGTGCCAAGAAACACAACGAAGCCTCTGGTGCTGCAGCTTTAGGTGGAGGGAATTGGCTCTCTTCAGCAACGTGCCTCGGAGAGATTTCGCTGGCTCACTCGCTGGCGAATGCACTACCTCCACCAGGTTACAACAAGACTCGGCCCTATGTCTTCGCCTTGACTCTACCTGGCGGGAAAGTGTACCTCTTCCAAACGGGACACGAAGAGTTGGTGAACGAGTGGGTTTCCACGTGCAACTACTGGGCTGGTCGAGTGTCCAAAGAGCCTCTTGCGGGTGGAGTCAGCAATATGGAGTATGGGTGGAACAAAGTGTTACCTCGAGAGGAGGAGGAGTGGGAGGAGGAACTAGATAGTTTCTCCGCCGCTACTGGAAGTGGTGTTGACGCAGACCCGCGAGGTTTTACGCAGTCTCTGATGGACAGTCAAAGCGTTCGATCCAAATTCTCACCAGCGCCCTCAACCACCGCTTCCGTATCGACGTCCTCCAAACTCGGGTACATGACAAACGAACGCACATTCATCAACGAATGGCGCATCCCCGAACTTCCCACCCTCCCCTCCACCCTCGGAGAAGAACGTCAACTCTCCAGACTCGAAAAACAAGTCTCCTCCATCGAACTCCAACTCACCCAGCACAACGACCTCCGACAACCCATGCTGCAACTCTACTCCCCCAAAGGCAACAACCATGCCAAAGCCCTCGCCAATTGGGAGCGCAAGAGCAACTGGCTACTGCAAGAGTTGGTCAAGTACCAGAGCTACGTCGAGAGTCTGAGGAAGAGTGCGGATGCCAAGGCCGAGAGGAGGGGCAAGAGGGAGGTCGAGGAGATGGTGAGGGCGGGAGATGAGATGTTGGCCGAATTGGAGGTTTGAGAAGTGGGAAGCATCACGTCGGACACTTCAATGCAGTCGTTAGGAGCTGCGGACTTTGCAAGAGATGAGAGTGTGACAGCATGTGTGTGAATTGCATGTGGAAAGGCTTGATTTGAGCTGACGCTCTGCTTCGACGAGCTCCTTCGTCAGACCACATTCACGCCGTCTCGCCGTCCTCCGTGACCAACCCGATCCTCGCTCGCCACAGTTCCTCTTTGAGCTTGGTGACTTCGGTCCACATCTTGTCTTCCCACTCCATCGTGTCCAGCTTATCGAGGTAGAGTGCGGTCACTGGCGGTGGCAGCGGTGCAGCAGCGGCGATGGGAGTGCGAGGCGGTAGAGGAGGTCCGGGGGTGTGATGACGTCGAGGAGGGATGGCCGGAGCCGGGGAGGCGGCGCCGGAGCCTGCACCGCGAGCCACTGAGCGCGGTGGGAGAGGCGGAGCAGAGACAGCGGTGGCAGCGGCCGTGCTGGCATCAGCTGGCGTGATTTCAGCCGGAGCTGCGGCGCCTGCGGAGACATCGTCAGCTTCGACCTTGTCAGCGTCTGTCGTCGTGTCTTCCACCTTGATCTCGGGCTCGACTTGTTTTGGTTCGGTCGGAGACGACGGCGCATCGGCAAAATCGTCATCTTCACCCGCTGGCTTCTTGTCCTCTTCGGAAGACTCTGTCGCGCTCGTAGCAGCTTCCTCCTTCTTGTCGTCAGTGCCTTCCGAGTTTTCTGCTTCGGCCTTGGAAGCATCAGCCGCAGCGGCTTCACTGCTCGACTCTTCACCCGCTCTCTCCTTGATCTTCTCAGCCTCCGTCTTTTCTGCTTCGGTTTCTCCATCCGCTGCCTTCTCTGCAGCTGCTGCATCTGCTTCCCCCTCCGACTTTTTGGCTTCCTGGGCCCCAGCGCTCTCTGTCTTCTCGTCAGCCTCGGCATCGGCGACAGCTTTTTCCAACGTTGCGACCTGTTCGCTCTTTGGAGGCGGCGCTGCTGCAGCTTCCTTCGAGGATTCGAGCGACGCGGTGCTGACTGCCAAAGGCTGCTGTTGATCTTCAGCCATGAATTTGCCCTCGAGGACGACAGAGCGTTCGAGATTGCGGACAAAGCCCCAGTACTGGCAAGCAGCGCGCATTCGTAACAGGCAATGTTGCGGGCAGAGCAAGTACCGTGTTGGTGAACTTTCGCTGAGACGGAAGATGTGTGTCGGAACAGGCAAATGCGCCGGCACAACTGCATCAGAAATCGAAGGGGCTTGCGTGTCGGTATCGGGTGTCGTTGGCGCCGAGCCGTTTGCAGCAGCATCCGCTTCCGCTGCTGCTTTGACATTTGTCGAAGACTTTCTGAATGAGCTAAAGAGTCCACCGCGAGAAGGCTTAGGCGTGATGGTGCCGGAATTGCTGCCACTGCTGGATCCAGTGATGGAGCCAAGGGAGCTTGCAGCTGAGCTCGCCCAACTGGATGTCGCGGTAGCGATGCTGCTCGGCACCAACGATGTCTTGCCACCTTGTTCGGCTGACATGGCAGTAGCGGCAACGCCGCCCGGCAGAGGGACATTGACGACGGGGATGCCGCACATAGCGCACGCTGCTGGTGGTAATTGTGCATTCTCTCGGCGGATCAGGTCTTCGTCAATTGACTTGCTGCCCGAAAAGATGGGCTCAATCACCAGGTTTCCGTCCAGGATAGCAGTGTTAGCTTGGCGTCTGCTGAGCCAGTTGAGACCGGGCGCAAAATCGAGTCGTAGACAAGGCTCGACATCCTCCTCCTGCGATCGTTTGATGAACGGCAATGAAAGCTGACTCGGAAGAGCGACCATGTTGTCCACGCTGGAAGGAAGGGTGGGATAGTCACGATGTCGGCTGACACCGGCGATGGCGAATGGAGATGTTGTGGTGACAGCACTGCCAAGCCCTTGACTGTAGGCTGCGGCAGCTGTGTTGATCGAGCCCGTCGCTGTCGAATTGTCAGCCGCTTGCTGCGGCGCCGGAGAGGCGGTGCGGGGCGTTGGCGTGCCATTCAGCGATTCGCGGCCATGCGTGAGAGGATAATTGTAGAAAGGGGCTAGTTGTTTGCGAAGTTTTCGCAGATGGGCGATAAAAGAGCGGAACTCCTGGTAGGGGACGATGTTGATGATGAGACGGGCCTCGGCGGCAAGGTCGGCAGACGGTTTGTGATTGCGCTCCTTCGTTGCTGTCCTCTGAGAGATGGACCGGGCCAAAGACGATGTGTTGATGCGGTGGAAGCTGAGTGCCCCGCTCTCGACTGACACGATCGATGCGCCATCGTCGGCGTTACTCGTCGAGGTGGACCCACTCTGCAGCTTCTCGACCTGGCGCTGCAGATCAGCCAGCACCTTTTGCTGCTCAAGCATGATCCCCTCCGTGTCCTTGAGACGCTCCTCCATGTTGCGACTCTTCTCTTCGGCTCGGGCGCGCGAAAGTCGCTCCACGGCCACCATCTTGTTGGCCTCGCTGAACAGACTGGAACTGAGCTCGTCAAGTTCCGACTCGATTTTGCTCTTGTCGCTTTCGGCTTTGCCACGTTGAGCCGTCTCTTCGATGACACGGTCCATCATCCTCTGCATTTCGCTGCTCACGTGTGCCTTTTCGACCAAAAGGCCGGTGTTGAGAGCGTCGAGGTGCTCTGACCGCTCCTTTTCGAGCTCCTTAATCTTGGCAGACATGCCGCGTATCCTTTCCTGTGCCTCCGAGTAGTCATCTTCGAGGTCTGCGACACGATTGAAGGATCGAACAAGCTTCTCGTTAAGCCCGGTGACCTGGTTCGTCAAATCTTTGACCTGGGCTTGCAGCGCTTCGGGCGACATGCTCTCTGGCGTCGAAGTAGCTACGGCAGCCGCAATCTCTGCATTCGTTGATTGAAGGCCGACCTGGTCGGCTATTGGAATCGACTCAGACTGTGGGCGAGAGACGCTGTTTGCATTCGAATGGTCGGTGCTGAAGATAGCAGAAGCTGCAGAGGCACGTTTGAGAGCGGCAGCTCCGTCGTCTTGATCGCCACTGCCACTGCTGGAAAGGCGCTTGGTGGAAGCGTCGGTGGATGATTCGTTCCCGAGCACATCATCGGGATTGGCTTCGTCGGCCAAAATCGAGTCAGGATCGAGGCGTTTCAAGGGTGATTCCGGAATGGCAGCGTCCAAAGCGTGTGCCTTGTCTGGCTCAGAACCGTTTGCCGACGACGACATGGTGGATGGCTGACTCGACTCGAGCGTACTGGTGCTCAGTCGGAAGTCCCGACAACCGTGGCTGCGAGAGGACCTCTTGAAGCGAGGAGACAGAAAGCGATTGTGGAGAGCGTGTGAAGGAAAGAGAAGAAGCGGTATGTCACGTTACCCTTGCGCTTTCGGCGCCAATTTCCTCGCCTCCACGTTCACACACGTACAGAACCCCAGAATTTCCAGTTGCTCAGGGAGATCCGTGAAATCCTTTACACTCCCAATGCCTATTCACTGTAACGGAAAGCTTTACATCGCCACCGCAGGACTCGGAACGGCGCTGAGGTCCTGTAGCGTACCAGGCTAAGGGTATGCGCGAGCTGCTTGAAGTAAGAGGTCCGAGCACGGAGGTCAGCATGCATCGCAGCGGTGCTCAGTGTTACTTTTCGCCCGCCGCCCGGCTAAGAATTATCGTATTTCCTTCGACACGCACGCACGCACGCAGTCCGCGCATCTCTTCGAGCCGCTTCTTGGCCTGCACGCGCCATCACGCGCACAGGCTGGCGTAACTCTAAGTGACACTTTAAGCACGTTCGAAGCACTGCAACCATCTTCTCAAGCCATCACACTTCTCGTCGGCTATTGCCTCACCTCTTGCTCTTCTTTGCATCACTTGCCAGTCAGGATCTGCGCAGAACCTCACTTGCCACCGTCGAAGTCGTGGCACCATCTCAGACCTACGCTCTGTGCTGGATTGCTTCCACCTCTGTAACTTTCCAGACCTCTTTACCCGTCCGTCGCCGAAAGCGCAACCTTCGCCCGCAACTTGCTGATACGGAAGACAGACCTACTTTCCAAGGTCCGCAGCCGCTGGATCGAACTCTTGCAGGCGCTCCTTCTCGTTGTCTAGCCACGACCTTCGGCACGGTCATAGCTCTTCCTTCTGTGTGACAGCGCACTTCATCTGGGCAAGGGGCAAGACTCCGAGATCGCTCTCTCGAACGAATCCTTGATCTCGGCATCACCGAAGATTCAGTCATGTAAGTGTTCTTGTGTCGAAGTATTGGGGATGGTACGTGGAGCCGCTGGTAACCAACTGTCACGACGGTCTTCCTTGAACAGGACAAATGACAGGAGCCAACCCCTGCCCAAGGCTGGCGCGAGCCTATCGGAACGGATTGCAGCTTTGCAAAGAAAGACCTCGAATCCGGTAAGGTCAAACAACCTTTCGCCTCCAGGCTCCACAGCTTCAGCACATTCCGGCAGACTCAGCCCAGGAGAAAGTCCATCACGCTCGCCGTCGGGTGGGTCCGGCCTCAACGCCGTTCGCGACCGCATTCAAAAGTTTCAGTCAAGCGACGAGAAGCCGGTCATGCCCAGAAGTTCTTTCGGTTCTCCTGCACCCAACCCGGAGATCCGTCATGCACGGAGCCAGTTCCCAGGAGCCAGCGCAGTAAAGGGCACGGGCGCATGGGGAGAAGGTGTTTTGCGGCCTCAAATGACCGGTGGAGTTTGGCTTGGGGCTGGTGCAGGTGGTGGCTGGGGCGAACCCGGTTCAGCGTCTCTGCGTCCTCAAATGACCGGTGGTGCTTTTCTTGGCAACGGTGCGCCTCGCACCTCTAGCTTTGGTGCGTCAAGGCCGATGCGAGGAGCCTCGGACAACATTGTGCACGGCGTCGGTCGTGACGCTTTCGCTGAGCTCGACGATGACCTCGTTCTGACAGGTCGCAATCGCCCAGAGCAAGCAGCGGACGCAACGATCGATGCGACCGACTCTTCAAAGGAACAGCTCGCGAGCGGCGCTGCCTCAGGTGACGGAACCGAGCCGCTGCCAACGCTGCCGGACACACCCACTACTGAGATCGACTTGGCAAAGATACATGCAAGCGCCGGCCTGCCTGAGCCACCCGCAGCAGCAGCCATCCCCGACTTCCCTCAAGCTCCCTCTTCAGCACCAAAAGACGCAAACAGAGTCAGCAGCGCCTTCGAAGCTATGGACTCGACTCCGGATACGTCGATCGAGATTGGCATCCATGGACGTTCCGCCGATGACATTGAACGTATCCGTCAACGTGCGCAGGACTTGCAAATATCAGAAGAGTCGGAAAAGGCTGCGGACGATGAGCCCTGGATTGCACCTCCGCCGGCAGACTTGGCTGGGCAGGTGCCCGAGCCAATCGACACGAGCGAGATTCTGGCTGTTCAGAGTCAATCGTCTAAGGACGACGGTCAAGAGCCTTGGGTGCAAGGCTACGGCAAGCCAGCTGCGGATCGCGATCTCGAGGCAGCCGGTCTTGCTGCTGCCGACCAGAGCACACCGGCGCCAGCAGAGTATTCGACTTCTGGGTCGTTGCCTGAGCGTGCCCAGGTCGAACGCACAGATTCGGGCCGCGTTGATCCTTTGGATCCTGCGGCTCATCAGGTGCGTGGGCCCGGACTGCTTGTTCCACGAGACGAGATTGCTGAAGCGAGAGATTTTGGCCAGGGTGCTGTCAAGGCTCCTCTGGCGCAGTCTCCCCCAACTCATGATGCCAGCGTCGCCAGGGTAGCAGCACCTGCACCCACCGGCTCCAATGGGCACTCTGCCATTGCGGTCACGCTGGCTGAAGAAGCGCGAAAGGCCGTCGCTATGGGGCGCACCAAAAGTCAGTCGCAACGATTACGACGTCCGCCGCCAGGCACTATGCTCTCGGCCGCAGATCTGGACGCCAGCGACGACGAATACGAGCCGGGATGGGCTAGCGTCACCAGCGTCATGTCTTCGTCGCGCTCATAATCCGATCAATCTTTCATGCATGTCACCAACCCCGTGCGATCGGAACACAACACTCAAATGGGCCAACAGCACTGCAAATGGAATCTGAGAAGATACAACACCACGATTGCCGTATGATGCACAAACCGATACGCCACTGCTCTACACTGTGTGAAATGACCCTGATATTTCAATAGAGAGTGTTATCGAGAGATTGCCTTGCACTGAACCCGGTGCCACACCTTCCCACAATGCCGTAACTTACAAACGACTAGTCAAATCATGAGCATCGATCCCCTCGTACGCGATCGAGTAAACAGCCTTGAACAAGGGGTAATCGTCGACCTTTCCTCTTGCCGCCAACAGCTCGTGCACCTCTCTCGCCGTCTCGGTCCCTTGCAACTTCTGACCGTTCAACAGCTCCTTCTCCAACTGGTCGAAGGGCTTGCCCGTCTTGACGAACGCCTCTGCGCACTTGCGATTTCGTCCACCTAGACAGGTGGTGATCAGATCCGCAACACCGGCACTCGTCTCCGTGAACGTCTCCGGCTTGACACCGTCGAAGAACTCCTCGCTGAACCGCTTCATCTCCATCAACCCGATCCTCATCACTGCGGCTTTCGCGTTATCACCCCAACCCAATCCGTCGGTGAAACCCGCCGCGATAGCAACGACGTTCTTCAATGCTCCACACAGGCTCACCCCTGCCACATCCTCGATGATCCCCACCTTGAACGTCGGAGTGTCGAAGAGCTTGAAGAACAGCTCGGCGTTCTCCCTCCCCTTTGCATCTGCACGATGTCCGATCGTCGTCTCTGAGAATTTGTCCTGTGCGACTTCGTTGGCAATATTCGCCCCGGACAACGCCGAACACGAAACACCCAACGACTCTTGAATCACATCAGCAAAGATCGAAATCTTGCCATCTTTGACCTCGACACCTTTGATCATGGAGATCGCATGCGCATCCGCACTCACTTTCCCCTTCAGCTGCTTGCATACCGATCGAATGAACTGATGCGGCAGAACAAACACCAGCAGCGTCGCATCTTTGACCGCATCGACGGGATCAGGGTTGGCCACTACGTTCTCGGGGAGCTGGCATCCAGGTAGATATTTTGGGTTCTCGTGCGTTTCGTTAATGACTTGAGACAGAGGTTTGCCCTTGTAGTCTTCCTCAAAGACGTACATCTGAACCTCGCGTTCAAACGTGTCCGAGTGACGTTGCGTGTTCTGACCTGCGATACGGGCGATGGCCGAGCCCCAGTTTCCAGAACCGACGATGACTACCTTGTGCTTCTTGGAGCTGGGCGCGGCTGAGGATGAAGACGACATGGCGGCTGACTGCAGGATGTATCGAGACGGGAGGGTTGAGGGTTGAAAGCAGATTCTTCTGGAGGCCGTAATATGGCAGTGTGGGCTGGCAAAGTTGGAGCGAAGCCCTGTCAGTCTAAGCTGACGAGGGATGATAGAGCCGAGTGTCGACAGAATCGTGAAAGACTGTTCGAAGACTTCTTCAACGCTTGAACAGCAGCAATCAGGCTGGCAGAGGGTGCCGAAGGCGACCTAGGCTATCCTGAACTCGAGAGTGAATGCGTCGACCGACAAAGTCTGTCAATCCTCGGATCAATCCGTGAGAGAAGGCGATAGTAATGCGGCGATGATGGAAGTAGGAAGGAAAGGTCTTCGACTTTGCTCTCGAGCCAGTGATTTGGGTCAGGCTGGTTCGGATCGGTCAGCTGAGCGTAACGGGAAAGCGCCGAGCCCAAAATCTCTCTCACGCTGCAAGCGCCAAAAATCAGAAAAAGGTACCGGATAAGAATTGTGGAAGCCTGCCGCTGCTTTTTTTTCTTTTAACAAAAGAGAAAAAGGCCTAATCCGAAAACGGAAAGACGCAGCAGCTAACGTGTGGAGGATTTTGGTGGTTTTCTTCGCCTCGTTGTCCCGTGCTCACACACCCTCCTCCCGCAAGCGAGAGAAGTTGGGGTTGCAAATTGCCCTCCCAACTCGTCAAGATCAGAGCGTCAATCGAGACCGTGCGCAGAATCAGGGCAGCAGATCTAATCTCTCTTGACCCATCACAACCTACCCGAACCAACATTGCCAAATCGACCTGATCTCATCTCCTCTGCTCATCGACTATAGTTTCACGATCGCCTTGAAACCTGCAGTGTAAAGTCGATCGGACCTTGTTCCGGTTCGATAAGCGAGTGATGCGCGCATGTGGTTGCAGCTGACAGGACGAACTTTGAAATCGTTGACCCGGCTGCACAGGGTCTTCCTCTTTGTCTGTTGAAACGTTTAGGTGGATTCGGAACAAGAAATTCGGCGCCGTCCGCTTCAGCGTTACGCGCCCGCAAGCCGCTGCATAGTCCGGCGTCTGTCAGCTGAACTTCCGGCTCTTGTGAGCGTGATTCTCACCGGCTGATCAGACCTTGAACGCCGTGAACTTCGACCCTTCCCGGCCCATCTCTCATAGGCACGATATTTTTGCAGTCAGTCGCTCCTGTTGAATTGAATGGATTGACAGTGCCGGTGCCTTCCGTCGATGCCGGTGCTCAGACAAGAAATCTTCAAACGACGGATCACGTGGGAGTGTGCACCTCGTATATGTTCGCAATGCTTGATTCAATCGGCACGAATATATGATGAGCACATTGATGATTATGCTAGAAGATCGAAACGAAAGGCGATTTTCAGCTACAAGAAAATGTCGGGTCAATCGTCCTGAGGCGGCTTCACAGCGATGGCTAGCGAGTGCTGACCAGCCGTGGCAGCGGCCATGATGCGCCAGGCTCCAGGCTGACCGGGCATGGCGATTGCTGTGGGTGTATCCTTGCTCTGGTTTCCGCCAACATCGTCCGCTGGGTGACCGAGCGCATCGTCCGACGTCGTACCCCATGAGTACAGGGTGCCGTCAGCCGCCAATGCGAGCGTGAAGCGCATGCCGGCACTGAGCGCCACGATCTTGGTCTTGCCGTCCTTGGTCTTTGCCGATTCGGGTGCCCACGAAGGTGGTGCTGGGAACGGCACAAGTGTAGGTTCGCGGACGACGATCGGATTGGACGCAGTGGCACCTTTAAGAGCTGCATGTCCGGCCGAAAGACCTAGCTTGCCCTCGTCACTGTCGCCGCAGATGTAAACCTCGCCGTTTGAAAGCAAGAAGGCAGTGTGGAAGTTGCCACCTACGATTTGTACCACCTCGGCACCATTGTGACGCACTGGGCTGAGCGACGCAATGACGTGTGGGGTGGAGATCTTGGATGCCTTCAAGCCGGTTCCTGTCTGTCCCTTGGTGTTCAATCCCCAGCCGACAACCTTGCCGCTCTTCTCTACCGCAAAACCGTTGGTGAGGCCGCAAAAGATTCTCTTGCACTCCGCCAGACCGACCATGGGTGTGGGTGTCAGGTCACACTCCTTTGGAGGTTCGCCCGTGGAAAACTTCTGAGCCACCCTACGCGGGTTCGAGCTGCGGCCGAGCTGATAGCAAGTGTTGGTTCCCCACGAGTAGACCTTTCCGTTGAGCGAGAGCGCGAGGAAGTGATTCTCTCCCGCTGCCACTGCCGCGAATGTCTCGTTCTCGATACCTGGCAAAGCGATGGGGTACCACTGCTCCCTGTTGCGGCCCGGCGCGTCCGAGTCCGCAAAGCAGACGCGTCCCTCGCCATCCTTGAAGTATCCCCAAGAGCGAAGGCGGCCCTGATCGTCGAGCACTGCCCCGGCAGCGTCGGCAGAAGCCACCCTGGTCGCACGATACTTTTCGACATCACCCTCTTTCCCATCGATGGGATTGACGCCCTTGCCGGTAGGTGAGAGTCCCTCGACGGGAGAAAAGTTGAAGTACGACTCTTCAGCATCGCCAGCATCGCCGCGGTGTTTGCGTCCGAGTGTGCCGTAGTCCTCGGCACCCGAAGTGAGGATGCGGCCAAGGCTGTCGATCAGGACCGAGTGCATGCCACCGCCGACGATCACCTCAATACCGCCTTGACCAAAGTCTCCATCATCGATCTGCATCGAAATCTCCTTGTTGCCGAACGGCTTTGGCTTGTTAAGCTTGTTCGGCTTGTCGTCCTCGGGAGGGCCGACTCCGAACTGACCGGCATCACCTGATCCCCAAACAAAGAGTTTTCGAGGTAGCACTGCTCCCTTTCCTTCAGTAGTGAGGGTGCCGTTGCTGACTTCGACGGCGATGCCTTCGGTCACGTCGCCGGCATGCACAGGTTGAATGGGTCGCGGAACCGAATTGATAGGGCCTGCAGGTGTGGGAGCGCGTCGACTGCGCTTGATCGGACGCGCCGTTCCGTCGGTCATGTCGAGATCACCTGCGGGCTCAGTCGATGCAGCGCGTCCCTTTCCGTTGCGTCTCTTCACATCGGGGAGCGGAGCCGCAGCATCTTTGGCCTCAGAATCGTCTTCTCGAAGCTCGTCCTCTTCCTCATCCACCTCTTTGGCTCGCTTGGTGCCACGCTTTGGAGCCTCGACCTTGACTCCGTTGGTTGCCGGCTTCTTTCCGTTGTCCTTCGACGCCGCTTTTGGAGCCGACTTTGCCGTGGCTTTTGTGGCCTTTGACTGGGCTGTTGATTGCAGTGCGAGAAGGGACGGCGGGTCAGCAACGTTGGAAAGCCTCACACGGCGAGACGAGCGATTTCGAACCTACCTTTTGGCGCCATCGTGCTTCAATGTGATTCGAGATCCTAACGAAGACGGATGAACGACTTTGAGTACGGATGCGGATGGGTGAGAAGGAAAGATGAGCGAGGAGAGACGTTGCTGCTCTGAAATGCGTGTTGGAGAGGCTGAGAATGAATTGGTTCAACTTCTTCTCAAGCAGAAGAGACCCAAGCGCATCGGAAAAAAATGTTTTGGTCATGTTTGATTTTCGCTCGAGACAGTCGGCCACATTACACCAAGCCTCCACACGTGATGACTGCGATTACGCGCTGTGCGGTAGTGTTGATCTTTCCGGCTCTGACACCGCAGGACCAACACTCAGAGCAGCTGCGTGTGCGAACTCGACAGCTGTCACAGACGCCGATTTGAATCGAATTGGACGCCCGAAAGTGAGGTTCTAGAGCATGTTCGATGATGGCGTAGCCGTCGTGCCTCGGCAGCCCTCGTTCGGCTGTCTTGACTGCTAGCCAGCTTTTGCTATGAAGAATACAAAACAGTCCTCAGCCTAGTACTGCCTCCCTTCTACCTTCCACACCATCTAGCAATCAACGCAACCATGACCTATCGACCACACAAGCACATCCCTGACAAAGAACGGGTCATTGCAGGATATGTGGTGAGTTGCAAGCCAGGAGTAGCGAGCACCAAGTCTTCGAAAAGTGCCACGCTGATGTATCGTCACTCTACCTATTTCTAATCGTTCCGTGCACCACCTGCCAGTCGGCTCTGAACAATCCTTCGACTACGAGCGAAGGAAGGGCTCACGCACGCAAGCAGCTGCTCAAGGTACGTTTAAAAGCGGACCTGTGTTCCGACCCGGTCACAGGAAGGGGCTGTCCGCGCGCTTGGGATCCCCTTCAAGTTTGCTGACCCTTCCCTGGCTGTTCCTGCTCTCCATTCGGCCTTCTACAGAAAGGACACATCAAGGATGCGTTCTTCTCCACGAGTGTCAACACCCGCATCCGTAGAATGCTTGGCCTGCGAGCCAAGCGCAGGCATTGACTTCTTTATCGCTTTGAGCGACCTCCGAATATCGTCTCTGGTGCGGCTGATGATCGAGTTACCCACATACCCCCTCAATGAATTCTTTGACCAAGATTGTCTCAGGCAATGTGCTTGTCTGCGTTCGTAGACCTCGCTGCCTGAGCGCGGAAGGGGATCGCATGAAATCTAACATCTTGCGCGCCGTGCACACGCTCGCCGAGTGGAGACAAGCCCACGTTTATGCAAGCTGAAGTGGGTGTTCAGGGTCCGTGCGGATGTCGGTGTGAGAGTGCGGCACGGCGCTGCGAAACCCTGCGTCGTTGTGCACAGATCCCCCACACTTTATTCAAACGAATGTCGATCCCGCCTTCGCTCCGGCAGAGCTCGAGCCGCTGAAGCGAGAAAGGCGGCGAGGCTTGCGTTGCCAGGAGAACGATCCCACACGAACCCTGTGCTTTGTCTTCTTAAACCATCGCGATCGTCTCACAGCCTACTTTACCTCAGTCGCTCGTGAGCATTACACGGCGTGACATCTGCGCAGCCATGTGTCAACACGGCAGGCTACAAGCCACCTCCAAGTCGCCGGACTACCCCACCCACGCCAGCGCTGAATCACGTCCAGTACGAGCCGGTCTCATCCGTTCAGTCCACGAGCGCCGGCTGGACGAGTTCATCGGTGGTCAGTTTGGCGACTACAATCTCGCCTCGGTTCTCTTCGAGGCTCGTACAGACGATCCCAAGTATGTCTCGATTCAGAGCTGGACACCCAAAGCAGGCGCCAAGCCCTCGTTCGACGAAGCCAAGCGTCAGACGTACGTCAAGGCAGACAAAAGCATCAAGTTCGGTCCTTCGTGGACCAACCACTGGCTCAAGCTCAAGCTGACCGTCCCCAAGGATTGGGTCAAGAAGGAGTGGGTTCAGCTCGAGTTTGATCCCGAGTGCGAGGCCCTCATTTATTCCGAGGATGGTCTTCCCCTCCAAGGCATCACTGGCGGAGGCGACAAGCGACGTGTCGATTTCCCACTCAAGCCGGAATATCGCCACGGCATCACCTTCTACATCGAAGTCACTGCCAACGGCATGTTCGGCATGCCAGCTGACGGCTCTGGTGATCCCGACCCTAATCGCTACTTTGGCCTGGCATCTTGCGACATCGTAGTCAAGCGTCCCGAAGCCTGGAAGCTGATGTGGGACTTTGAGCATCTCGTAGGCTGTGTCAAGAACTTGCCCAGGGACACTGAGCTTCAGAACCGTGCGCTCTGGGTCGCCAACCAGATCCAGAACACCTTCCGCAAAGCTGACCTCGACAGCATCACCAAGTGCCGAGAGCTTGCTCAAGAGATCCTCGGCAAGGATTGGGACGAGAATATCGAGACCATCTACGACCGCGACGTGGTCGAAGGCCGTGAAGACGTTCGAATCTGGAGTCTCGGCCACAGTCACATCGACAGCGCCTGGCTCTGGCCTTACTCGGCTACACAGCAAAAGGTGGCGCGTTCCTGGTCGACGCAGATCGATCTCATGGATCGATTCCCCGAACATCGCTTCACGGCCTCGACCGCTCAGCAATACCAGTGGCTCGAGACGCTGTACCCGAAGCTGTTCGATAAGCTCAAGGGTTACGTCAAAGACGGCCGCTTCCAGCCCATCGGTGGTTCTTGGGTCGAGTGCGATGCCAACATGCCGTCCGGCGAGGCGTTCGCTCGTCAGTTCCTCTATGGTCAGCGCTACTTCCTCTCGCGATTTGGCAAGCGATGCGACATCTTCTGGCTCCCGGATACCTTCGGTTACAACGCTCAGATCCCTCAGCTCGCTCGCCAGTCCGGCTGCGACTACTTCTTCACCCAGAAGCTCAGCTGGAACAACATCAATCGCTTCCCTCACAACACCCTCATGTGGGTCGGACTCGACGGCACTCAGATCATCGTTCACATGACTCCGGTCAACAACTACGACTCCAGAGGCTACGTCGAAGAGATCGTGCGTGGTGTCAAGAACAACGCCGATCTGTGGGTTCAGCCCCATGCGCTGATGCTCTACGGCTTCGGAGACGGCGGCGGAGGACCCTCGGAAGAGATGATTGAACGCATGCGACGTGCTCGTGCAGTCAACAACAACGGCTTCAAGGACATGCCCCGTCTGCACAATGGACGTTCCGCCAAGGATTTCTTCGAGCACGTCCGCAAGGTCACCGACAATGGTAACCGCCTGTCGACGTGGTCTGGCGAGATCTATCTCGAGTTCCACCGCGGTGTCTACACATCTCATGGCTCCATCAAGCAATGGAATCGACGCTTCGAGGCCTTCATGCAGAGGCTTGAGTGGCTCACCACACTGGCTTCGATCAAGGTGAGCGGATACAAGTACCCCAAGGAGGCGCTCGATGCCATCTGGGAACCGCTGCTGCTCAATCAATTCCACGACTGCTTGCCAGGAAGTTCCATTCGCAAGGTTTACGACGACCTGGAGGAGATGTACGCCGACATGGCTATCAAGGGCAAGAAGCTGTGGCGACAGGCTCTCAATGCTCTTGGCGTTGGCGAGGAGGTGATCGCTTCGAGCAAGAGCGCTTATACGGCTGTCAACTCGCTGGACGTGCCTCGTCGCGAGCTCGTCGAGGTGCAGCTTTCCAGCCATATGCCGCGTGCTGAGGCGATTGCACTCTCACACCAGTCGATGCAACTTTGCAAGGCTGGTCAGAGCGCTCTTCTGCTGCTCGAAGACGCCAACGGTAGGGGTCATGCCACTGTCGTGGATAATCAGAGCTGCTCCCTCACCGAGTCGCAGATGGTCAAGGTGGAACAGTTGGAGCACAACAGCTTCCTCCTACAGAGCCCGGCCATCGCTGTCAAGGTCACAAAAGGTCGGATCACGTCGATCTATGACCGTCTCGCTGATCGTGAGCTCATTGAGGGTGGTCGCACCGCCGGTCTCGCCATTTCGGAGGATTACCCACCTCAATTTGACAACTGGGAGACCGAGCTCTACTCGCTCGATACCGAGGAAGAGATTCCTTTCACCAACGTGCGCATCGCCGAGGCCGGCCCTTGGCGTGCTAGTCTTGCGCTTGAGGCGAAATTCGGCCAGAGCATCGTCAATGTCAGCATCGTCCTCGACGCTCTTCCGGCAGTGCCCCTTGTCGACAGCAAGGACGCTCGCCCGCTGCTGCGATTCGACACTCAGATCGACTGGTGGGAGAAGCATCGCTTCTTGCGCTTCAATGTTCCTACACGCCTTCGATCCGACATTGCCAGCTTCGAGACTCAGTTCGGCATCACCAAACGTCCTACCACGCGCAACACCAGCTGGGAAGCGGCCAAGTTCGAGGTTTGCGGTCACAGATTCGCCGACCTCTCAGAAGAGGATTACGGTCTGTCAATCTTGACGGAATCCAAGTACGGATACAGCGTCGAAGGAGGATTGATGAGGCTGTCTTTGCTCAAGGCGGGAACGTACCCGGATGCACACGAGGACGAAGGATTGCACCAATTTGCTTTTGCACTCTACCCCCACGTAGGTGGTGTCGGTAGAGGAAAGGTGGTTCAGGTAGCACGAGTCTTCAACGCTCGCTTTGATGTTGACTACGGACGTCAAGCTCGGATCGACATCGCTACACTTGAGCGAAGCGCCGTCACCAATGGAAGCGACCTGCAGATGCCCATTGAGATCGTCGACTCGACCCGCGCCGGTGCCGTCATCGATACGATCAAGCGTGCCGAAGACGACTTTGAATACTACGGCCAAAAGCCCAAGGACTCGAAATCGTTTGGCATTGTTGTGCGTCTCTACGAGTCGCTGGGAGCGCACGCCAAACCGACGATCAAGATCAAGTTGCCCGTCAAGGATGTCAACCTTACCAACTTGTTGGAAGACGTCGACGAGGGGAAGAAGGACGAGCTCAACTTCAACACGTATACAGACGAAGACGACAACACGCTGGTTCAGCTTGACTTCAAACCGTTTGAGATCAAGACGATTAAGATTTCCATTTAGATGTAACGGCCCCGAGGCATCGTTCCTCTTGCAATGACATTTTTCTTCCTCGCACGAAGCAGCCTGCCGAACCGTCATTGTACCTGTACGATGGTCAGGGCACGCATGTGAAACCAAGTTGGTGGGCTTTCGTGGTGGGTCAGCGTGACGCCATGTCTTTGATTCAGCATGGTAGGTGGAGATCCGATTGAGGTCTAGTGGCACTTGTGTCCCCCTACTCACTTCCCTTCCTATCCACCCACCATCCATAGGAAGAAATTAGCCTCTCTGAGTGCGGTCCCTCCAGTCGATGAGGGCGGCTGTGCAAACCACCTTGGATAAAAGGACTGCAGCTCGAGTCGCAGATCGTGACTCCCTTCATCTTCCCCATCTACATACTGTACCTTGCCTTGACAGTTTCCAAAGGCTCCCTGTCCAAAGATAATCCAGCATGCTGATCAAGACCGCTTTCTTCGCTGCTGCTCTCGCGTTTGCCTCTGTTGGGACTGTCGCTGGAGAATGGCTGAAAACTTCTCCCGGTAACAGCTGGGCCGACTACTGCACGGGTCAGGGTTCAAAGTACAATTCGCTACGGCTGTGCTTCAAAGCCTCTCCCGCAGTGCTCAAGCGTGTCCACAATACGCCTAGCTTTCAGGGCTTCCTTGCACCAGATGGAGCTGGTGAGTGATATACAATACGACCATCTGGACCTCGAAAGTGGCACTGACAAGTCAGAACACCATTTTCCCTCTACATGCATCAGGATTCGTGGTGATTGACAACGGTCAAGACGCACAGGTAGTGACAGATACTCACACCATCAAGATCCATTTCGGCAGCTTCGCCGGATCTGCCGATAGTGTCAATCAATGTTCGACGATTTCAATCTGGACGAACAAGGTTCCCACGACGTTGGGCGTTCAGACTGGCGCCTGTAACGGAGACTACTACACTCTTCCGGACGACATCTGATCGGCATCGAGATCCGGTGCCATCAAGGCGTGAATCCATCCGGTCAACATGCAAAGCGATACAGCAGCAAGCGTCTGAGGCTCCATCGCAATTGTCGACACCTAAGGCTGTCGGTGATCGGCTTAACACGTTCGAGAAATTTTAGACTTCTCTCCGGAAGACTGTTGGCGGGCCAACTTTGTGTCATAGTATGATTGCGCGCGCGCAGGTTTGGAGAGCAACACTTCGCTCAGTCAATGTTGTGTGCAAGGTCACGAGGGCGTTGAGGCGCAACCCAGAAGTCATCAGCCGACCAGATTCTTTTTTCTTGATGATGGGCACACTGTTTCGAGGTTCACGACACACTGACAGCAGGCCGTTGCTCTTATCTCGCTATCCACCGAGGGCACAGTGAGACGCTACTTCGTGTGGCGGCATTCTTCCGTTGAACTGCCACCAGAGAAGGCGTCACGCGGTGCCGGAGGAGGGAAGCATTTGAAGTCGTGCAAAGAGCGGCCAGCGCTTGCAGAGCGAGACGATCGTGGGCCGAAGCGACCTCGACCACGGCGTCCGGAGTTGACTTCCATTCAATCAAGATCGGCCAGCATGGAGTCTTTTGACATCAACATTTCTGATCACGAGCAGCGCCATGACTCGGGACTGCGATGATGGTTGCCCAACGGGCTCGGGAAAAGCTCGGACCAAGTACCAAGTGCGGAGAATTCGCTGCGGCCTAAAAAATGGGCGCGTGGACCCATATTCTAGATCCAGACTCACAAATGTTGAGGACGAGGAGCAGGAGGAGGGTCAGAGAAGGCTTCAAACGCCATTTTGAATTGCACAGATACCCTTTTCGTCTGTTCCCCCTTTTGACTGTACTGCCATCGATGTCGGACTGCCTTCAATCGAAGCCAGTACGTTGGACCGTCCAAAGCCGTGCCCTAGTAATACTCCGAACAATCGGTGATCCGGCAGCTACATCTGACAACGGTGCTGGTGACCAAGCTGAGATGTCAACAGCATTGGATCCTCCTGACCAAGTAGCGGAGGAGCGAGCCAAACAGAAGTGCCTTGAGGCTGGACCTCTGGTCTACAATTTCGAAATGCCCTACAGCGCCAGATACAGAGAAGCGTTACAAAAAATACAGAGTTGCTCACACAAGTTTCTATCCCATGTCAGCCGCGACCGCTGACCGCGACAGATCCTCTGCTCAAGTGCAAGCGAAAGGAAAATATGCGAAATTGCAGGAAAATACTGGCTCGAGTCCATTTTGCGCTCAGTCTCTGCGGGCCGTAGATCAGTGAGTGGTCTGTAGCCTCGCCAGCAACGGTTGGTTTTTGGGGAGGAGACAGAGAGAGAGGGAGAAAGCGACAGGGCACGGACAACAGACCAATTACCACTTTGCAGGAAAAGACGACTCTGTGTGCTCTAAGCTGGCCCTGCTCGTCTGCCTAAAGCACTCCTCGCTCTCGCCCTCCCTCCATCCTTGATTGGCTGCAACACGTCAAAAGCGGACACACAGCAGCTCCAGCTCCACTTCTTTTTGGGTTGGAGTCTCTGCCTGCTGGTTGCTGGATTCTGGCCCTTTTTTGTGTTTTTTTTCCTCGGCTGCGTCTCTGTCTTTTGTCTGAGTTCTACAGTCAGACTGCATTCAGTCTCTCTGCACACTCCACGGTCCACGCCACGGTCCGCGTTTGGCTGGCGGGCGGGGGAGTCAGTGCACAGCTCACCGAACTCGGTCGCCAACTCCATCTGCACCTGCAATCACCGTCAGCTCCTCCTCCTCCACCATCACCATCACGCATACTTCATTCATTACGTCGCGTCATACGGGATTCGCATCGTTCTTACCCTACTGCGCATCACCATTCGTCACGACTGGGTCGTCCTCTTGCAAAGCATCGCATCTTCGTCACCTCCCGCCGACCACCGCTTGCTGCATTCAGCGCACGACACTGCACGTCTCGGGCCTGCTCAACACCGGGTCGTTCTTCTCGCCTTGATCACCAACTGCTAGCCAGTGTATTTCGTTGTCTCGCGCACCGTCCTCGGAGCCACCGCACCCATCCTGAAGATAGGCAATCGACGACTCACAGTTTGAAAGGCACTGAAATTCTCGCACAACTGCGATTCTACCAGACGACACCTCAATCAAGCCAAGAACAAAGGTGATCTGGTGACACATCAGGTCATACACGCTTGTCCACGCTACAGTCATGTCCAACGCGCCGCTCAACGGCGTCAAGCTCAATCGTAGGTACCACAAGTTTCGGCTCTCGCGACTATTGCACAGTCACCCCACGTCGCATCATACTCGCCGCCCACTACGCACTTTACTACGGCGCAACGAGCTCGCACTTGTGTCACGCGGAAGTTCCGTTACAGCGACGGGCATATGCATATCATGATGCGCGCTCGATGTCTGTTCGACAAACGAGGGCAATGCTCCAGGTCGAGCTAGCAGGGCGACGATGCGTTTGCACCAATTCACTACGAATGATTTGCTGACCATTTTTTTCTGCCCCCGCCTTCTGTTTGATTGTCTTTTCTTCGATGCCTCTGCTCCCGTTCGTGCATCGATCGCAGCGCTCGATGACCCCAACAAGGTAATCAAGGTGCTTGCCTCTGACGGCAAGACGGGCGACCAGCGAGAAATCGCCTACACCAATTGCAAAGTCATCGGCAACGGAAGTTTCGGTGTCGTCTTCCAGGCGAAGCTCGTCTCACAAGGCTCAGAATCGGCAGAAGGTTCGAGCAAAGAAAGCGATGAGGTTGCCATCAAGAAGGTCCTGCAGGACAAGCGTTTCAAGAATCGTGAGCTGCAGATCATGAGGATCGTCAAGCATCCCAATGTCGTCGACCTCAAAGCCTTCTTCTACTCAAACGGCGACAAGAAGGACGAGGTGTTCCTCAACCTTGTGCTCGAATACGTGCCAGAGACGGTCTACCGCGCCTCGCGTCATTACGCCAAGCTCAAGCAGACCATGCCCATGCTGCTCATCAAGCTGTACATGTACCAGTTGCTGCGCAGTCTGGCCTACATTCATTCGATCGGCATCTGCCACCGTGACATCAAGCCGCAAAATCTGCTTCTCGACCCCCCCTCTGGCGTACTCAAGCTCATCGACTTCGGCTCCGCAAAGATCCTCATTGCAGGCGAACCCAACGTCAGCTACATTTGCTCGAGATACTACCGAGCTCCTGAGCTCATTTTTGGTGCCACCAACTACACGACCAACATCGACATCTGGTCGACAGGGTGCGTCATGGCCGAGCTCATGCAAGGGCAACCACTGTTCCCCGGTGAGAGCGGTATCGACCAGCTTGTTGAGATCATCAAGGTGCTAGGAACGCCGTCGCGAGAGCAGATCAAGACCATGAACCCCAACTACATGGAGCACAAATTCCCCCAGATTCGACCGCACCCCTTCTCCAAGGTCTTCCGCCCACGCACACCTCCCGATGCCATCGACCTCATCTCGCGACTGCTCGAGTACACTCCCAGCGCGCGTCTTACGGCCATCGAGGCGCTCTGCCACCCCTTCTTCGACGAGCTTCGAACCGGGGAGGCGCGCATGCCCAACGGTCGCGAGCTTCCACCCCTTTTCAACTGGACCAAGGAGGAGCTTTCTGTGCGACCTGACCTCATCTCGCGACTCGTACCTCAGCACGCCGAGGCAGAGCTTCTTTCGCGCGGCATTGATGTTCACAACTTCCAGCCCATTCCGCTCGAATCGCTCAAGGTCACCCTCGACTAAACAAAACCCCGACAACAACGGCGGCAGGCAGGTAGGAAGCGAGTGAGGGCCGATGTGTTCCATGTCCTGTCGCAAGGAAGGGGCAGACTCGGGGGGAGCGACGCGGTCGGGAAGGCCGGTCGATTCAGTCAGAGCGAGGTCGTGGAAAATTTCTCCTCCCCGAACCGGTTTCGGAAAATCCGACGGCTCGGTGAAAGGCGCTGCGCTGTCGGAGGGGCTAGCGTGAGCAAGTGATCGTCAGACAGGATCCCTGCTCCGCCCAAGCAACAGTCTCAGCAAAGCTCGACCTCGTCTGTCATCCTTCGCCTTGGACGGATACTGCAACCTCAGATACTCGCAAGACGAACCACCAAAACCCATCATCGATACCGCTCCAACCCAAGCGAGCTGGACATCCTCAACAAACTTGTACATATCACCCCTCTGCTCAAGGCATCTTTTCTTTCTCTCTCCTTTTCTTCCCGCTTGTCAGCCTCTCATCCCTTTTTCTCTCTCTGCCATTCTCTCCACACGCCATTGAAAGAATCTCTTATGATGTAGCCCTCATATGCACTCGTATGTCAAACGTGATCGACACTGTCTTATCATATTCAACGCGAGTGTTTTGACAGAATACACGATCGAGTGTAAGGTAGCTAAGTGAAGCCAACAACGCTGTCTGGGTGATAGGGATGTTTGACGAGTTGAACGAACAGATCTTGGGGTATGTCTCTTGCGAGGGTTACGGTTACGTTTATGATTTTCCTCGCGTCGAGGGGTGGGAGGTTGCGGAGGAGTTTCATGGGGCTTTGACTGTCGAGTAGATCTTGACGTATGATGTGGAGTTGTGCTACGATGCAGAGGACGTTGTAGTGGACACCGAAGGCGAGAAGGAAGTCCCAGAGTTGGAGTACTTCGGGGAGAGGGGGTGTGCAGGCGCAGAGGGTCATTACGGAGGGGAAGGCGTAGATCTCGGCGGAGAGGTTTTTCGAGCGCAGGTGGGTGTAGAGTGGGGGATCGAGGATTTCCAGGCATGAATCGAGCAGCTGATGAGGAGGGAGGAGAGTGGATGAAGGAAGGTTAGTGAATGCTTCGATGCCTTGGAAGGAAAGAGAAGAAGGGGGAGAAGGGGGAAACATACCTGTAAACCACGATGAACACCACTCAGCGTCGGCTGCACATACAACGGACAACACTCCTCGATGAACCTACTGAAACACCTGAACGCCTCGACCTCACTCTGACACGCATACAGAAATGGCGCAGCAACAACGTTCATCCCTTGAACATAGCTGAACTCATAGCACCCTCCCTCGCCGCCGCCTCCTCCTCCCACCTCGTCATCATCGTTACCACGATGGTACTTCCACACGAAAGCATCCAAAAGTCTGATGAGCTTCTCCTCCTTGACCCGCTCCTTGAAGCCTTGATCGGTAGCCAAGGTTCGGAAGGTGTCGTTGCGGATCTTTTCGTGCGAAGGGGATTTGCCCTTTGCGACTAGGGAGAGGTAGGAGGCGATGTCGAGGTCCGAGATGTTGAGGAGGAGTTTCCAGACGATGCTGCGGTAGCTGGTGGAGGTTGGCGACAGGACGGTGTCATGTGGTAGTGGTGTGGTGAGGATCTGATGACGGATCCGAGAGAGCGGATCGGATGAGGAGGTAGGGATCAGTGGGAGAAGAGAGGATGAGTCGTATCGTTGCGGTTGAGAAGGGTGACGATGTCCACCTCGAGATGCCTTGCCCCCTCTACCACGACCTCTGCTCGTATCCCCTGCAGCCAGAGATCTGTGGGACGACCTCGTCGGCGGTGCACCAGACTGAATCTGCTGAAACAGCTTCTTCCACTCCCTAGCACCCACACTCGCAGCATCCTCGGTGCTCGAAGTCGAGCTCGTCTTGCGGCTCATAGTGCTGTCCACCGAGCCTGCCCCTGCAGACGTCGATGCGGATGCAATCACCTCCATCCTTGCTATCTAATACTGGAATCTGTTTGTCCTGCGTTAGCGACTGTTCGAATGTCCGCCAAGAGGTTGATGGTCGCCTTGTGGTTGACGGACAAGACGCAAGATGCCGACATGCTCACGTTCGGTGGACCCTGAATGGAAAGGGGGTCGGCGCGCGTGCCGCCGAACCAACACTTTTTCCAGACTCAGCTGCGACAACACGCGTTTCAGGCACATTTTGGCGCGCTCCACAGCCTGGCTGCCCGCGCTCTCATTCAGTCGTCTGCGCACGTGTCAATGATGATGGAGTCGAAAAGAATGCAAATGCGTAGTAGTACAGATGATCATGGGAACGAGGAATGCAAGACAAATGCTGAGAGGGACTAAAGATGGGTTTGCGACAAAGGCGTACGGGGGCGAGCGACTGGCCCTCTGATGGGAAGCAACGACATGGGTAAGGTGGTAGATAGGAAGGGCAGGAAGGAGAACAGACGCGATGCTGTGCGGCGGCACCATGATGGTATAGAGCAACGACGACAGCAGCCTGAAGTGTCATACAAACACCTCCCAAGCGGAATACTTGCTGCCAGCTTCCTTGGTGCACTTTTGCCCACAGCCCTGAACGGGGCATTCGAAGCGTTTGGGCTTCTTCGCCTTCTTTGGCGCCGCCTCCTTGGCCTCCGGAATGACGGCCGTAGCACGGGTGCGCGCAGAAGTTCTCGGGACTTTGGCGGCCGGCTCATCCTCGACGGTTTCGAAAGCCTTGGCCTTGCCTTTGGCCGCGCCCCGGGACTGAATGGCATCTTCTGCTTCAAGGCTGTCCGTCAGAGGCGCCAATCCGCTGAGCTGATCCACGCAGCGTCCATCAATGACGTGGCCACATGGCAGCACCCAGATCCTTTCATCACCGTTGGCACCTGTGACCAGGGCATGTCGGCAGCAAGGGCAGATGGGCGTAGTCTCGGGCAAGGGACCGGTGACGACGGCCTTGTCGTCAAAGTAGGTGTCGAGGTCCACAGGCGGTTCTACGATACTATGCGTGAAGCCGGACTGCACCTCGTACGGGTGTGTCCACTTAGGGTCGTACTCCTGCGGCACTTTGCGCTCGGTGCTTTGCTGGTTCTGATGTCCTCTGTTGTGCAAGCCGCGCAGCAGATTGCCTAGCACTTGGCTGTAGCCAAGTCCGCTGAAGGTAAAATCTTCGGTCAAGCGCGGAAAGTAGTTGGTGTCGGGACTGGCGTTTGTGCTGCGTCGTACTGTGGTGGTAGTTGTAGAAGGTATCGCTGCGCGTCGTTGCGGTAGCAGCGGATGTCTTGCGGACGCAGACGAGCTGAGAAGACCTATGCTTTGCGAAATGCGTGATCCAGCGCCATGGGGCCCGCGGCCAATGCCATCGTGGAAGCGCAACGAGGTTGTTGACGTAGAAGGTCCAGCAGACGAACGATGCAAGCGGTGTTGATCCAATGATAAGGATCTTTGAAGGGGATGAGAGCTTCTGGCAGGACCAGAAAGACCCGTAACGGTGAAGCTGTTGTCGTCGTCATCTTCGTCATCGCTGCCGACAACGATGGGCGCAGCTGCATGCCTGAATGGATCCGTACCACTGGAGGAAGAGGCAGCATTGCGGGTACCGCTATGCGCCGGTGGTCGATCGGAGCGGGAGCCGGAAGACCAGTCGAGGATGTGGGTGTCAGTGCCCAATGTTGACGGTGCAGGATGCGTGCGAGCAGGCGGTGATTCCTCGGTGAGGTCGATCACCGTACTCTGTGTCCAGCTCATGGTATGATGAAGGGCGGATGTGGATGTGTAGGAGAAGAGGTGATGTGAGTGGCGAAGGAGCGAAAAGGCTCAGTCGGTCGAGCTTGTCCAGGTACAGTCCAAACTCAACCTCCACCTCGAAACCAATCGGCCGCCGTCTGACGGAGGCTCGGATTGTTGCCCCCGCGACGACTTGTGACGGGGTGTATGCGGAGCCGCAGTAAGCTTCGACGAAGGCGATGACGTGTGGTACAAGCGTCAGAGGGTATGAAGCCTTGAATGATCTTTATGGGAAGGCAAGGCCTGTAGAGAAGAGGTTGATGATTTCGCTATCGACCCGCAAACCTTGACTGTTTGTTGTCGGGCTGATATTCAGAAATGGCGTATGCGATGCGCAGCAGTAAGGACGGTTTCAAGATAGGCGCTCTTGCTGTGGTGCATCGACTTCATTTCGACGCTGAAGGCCCGTCGGGTGAATTCTTTGGAACTGTGGAACGCTCCTTGCTTTCCGGCTGGGGGCTGTGGAAGCTCGGATTCCGAGGGCACGAGGTCCTGTGTCCTGGTGCGGCGGTGGAGACCCTTAATGGAGCTCCAGGGTAGCCCGTATTGTACGAGTAATGAATGGTGACCGCGGATCGTAACAGCGGCCGAGCTGATGTCAAAAGTTCAGATGGTGTTCAATCAAGTGGCGGCTGAGGCTTATTTCTCGATAAGTCAACGAAATCAATTACTGGTGTACCGGCTGCAGGAGCATCATCTGTTGCTTAGCATTGTGCGGATCTTGTGCTTTGGGGATGACGTGAGGCTTGCCCACAAAATAGCCAGCATGCATGCATTTCGAAATAGGCGAACAATGTTAGACCTTATAAACTCAGCAAATCTTGATGAACAGGCGGCATACGTACGAGATGTCCATTCTGATCGCGTCTCAGGAAGAATTTTCGAGACTGCGGTTTGCAGAGCCAGAAAAAAAAAGACAAGAAACAAAGCTATGTGCGGGAAGATTTTTTGCGAGACAGAAACAGCAGCAGTCGACTTATAGTCACGCTGGCTAACGTGTATTCACTCCTTTCCATCCCACCAGATACCCCCCTTCCGTTATTCCCTACCTTTCCACCATCGACCACTTGTACAGCAAACCGCTTACGAGTGCGTCGATCACAGTGCTGAATGTAAGTGTCTCCTCGATTTCCGGCCACAAGCTGGACGGCTAGGTGTCGCGCCGATCTCCCTTTCCACCCCCTTTTCCAGTGATGACTTTTCACTCCTTTCCCCGGCCTATACGACCATGCCGAGACGATAAGGAAGCTCGTTTCGCAGCGAGCTCTATTCATTCTTTTGTGCATGCCAGCACACTTCTGTCTGATGGACACGCCCTGCTCCTCGTTGTTGACGCCTGCACCGCAGCTCGACAACCTAGACCTGGCTTCCTCACCCCGCGCGCGACATCTGGCTCCTCATCGCAAGCCATCAACTTTGAAGCAGGACTCAACGCTGACCTCTCCGCTGTCTTTCCTCGCTGTGTCTCTGGCTAGTAGACTTCGACCCTCTTGTTCGATCTCGTGAACGCGCTTCTTCTCGAGCTCTCACCTTCCGACGTGTAGCGTAAGTGTTCACCTCTATCACGCGACCCCGTGACGCCTCCGAAAGCACATTCGACATTTGCAGTCAATTGCGACCACATGGGTCACGACACGGATCCGCCGACCCAAACGCCTCCGACGATGATAAACCTGGTATCCAACCAAATTCGCAGTTTCCACTCTAGGACCCTCGCATCCCCCTAGGGGGGTGGGGCATTTTGGCTCTCCTGGCGAGAGATTCATATGAGTTGTTTGCGGCCATCTTCTTCGGAAGAGGTCCACGGCACGAACCCTCCTCTGTTCACAGAGGAGAGCCGGTGTGGCCAGTGCCGCCTTCTCGAATCGCTTGTATCGTCTGGATCGCAGCCGGCTCTGGTCCGATGAGGGTTTGCAGACCTTCCTTGGAAGTCTGAGGGGCATTTTTTCCTCTATTTTGGGTCTTTCGGTTCGCAGTCTGCTCAGAAGTCACATGTGCTTTCGGGGAGGGTGATCCCAGCAAATATCAAAGATAGGTCGCTGACTTTCTCTTTGCTTTCACCCGTTCCCCTTTTCATCGAACGCCTTGCCTGACCCTTTCTACGGACCTTTGCGATGGAACAGTCCTCCCTCTGTACAATAGATTCACTCCAGGGCGCACTGTTCTGGACCCTCTCCTGCACGGTGCGTACCGCAATTCCCAGTTCCCATGCTGCCTATACCCTTGATCTTTCCTTTTTGGTCTGCTGCTCCTGCTTTTCTCCTCCTCGACGCCCCTCGCACGCTTCCACTGGAGACGACGTTGCCGACCAACGTGATGAGCTACTCAAGTATAAACCGATAAGCATTAGGAAGAGCCGTCGTGAGCGGGCGGTCTGTGTGCTCCTTTACGTCTCGTTACGGACACAGCGAACGGAAACGACTCGGTTTCAATCTCGCTCGACGCAGCTTCGTACTGGAATTCGTTCTGGTGCTTGAGGCAGCTCGAGTTCAGAGGAGACCGCGGTTGTTGCTGGTGCTTTTGTCCTCGTAGAGGTCCTGTCTGACGATGGGCGAGTCCTATGTTCATCCCTCGCTAGAGCGTCTCCGTGGTCGATGGGACCGGCCTCCTTTCGGGGGTCGGACTCTCCTGCGTTGTAGACGCTCCGAGGCCGATTCGAGCTTGGAACCCCACGTCTGGATGGGATAGTGAAGTTGAGTGCCGCGTCTTCGCAAGGTCGAAAGTCTGGTTTCCTGAAAAGTCGGCAACGTTGTGCTCGTTGCAGTTGCATTGCGAGAGAGGGGCAAAATGAAGCAGGCGGCAGCAGACGCGAAGGAAAGTGGAAATAGGACGGCGGTTTCTTAATTTTTCCTGACTGACACTTTTTTCGCACTGCTTTCTTCTCATCTTCACCATCATCTCTGCAAACAGTTGCACTTCGTTGGTCGAATCTATCACGCCAAAAAATGTCTTTCCTCACACGCAACGCCTTTGGGCAGGCCAGGTCGAGCCTCTCTCGCCAAGCGATCTCAACTTCAGCCTGGGGCATCCGACACGAATCCTCCTCTTCCACCGCCAAACCCACCCTCGCAACCTCTTCCTCCTCTACGGAATCCGCCCCACCCACACACTACCGCATCACGCTGCGACGATCCGGCATCGGAATGCCCGAAAAGATCAACCGCACACTTCAAGGCCTCGGCCTCAAGAAGCGTCTCCAATCCGTCTACCGTCCCATCGGTGCCGACATGGCAGGTGCCATCCTCGCCGTCAAGGAGCTCGTTCATGTTGAGAATGTCAGGAGGCTGCAGCAGGCCGATCAGATGCTGTTGAGCGACCAGGAGGCGGTGTGGGTGAATGAGGCGGGAGAAATTGTGGACCCGGGGAAGGCAGCGAAGAAGGCTCCGAGGGGTTACAAGGTGGTGGGGAATGTGGTGAGCGAGGTGCGTGATCAGCAGATTAAAGGTGCTTCTTCGTAACAGGGCACAATTGCAATCATATCATCGGTGACCTTCCGAGTGCACTCTTCAGAGCGATGATGTCCGACATGTCTGACCGGTCTTTCGCAAGGTCGAGATCACTTCTCTTGAGACAAGAGGTGCGCTCCGCGTGCATGAGTGAGGTGATCTGGGAGCGTTGATCGTCTGCCGTCAAGTTGTTCCAAACTCTCGCTGACAGACAAGCTCTGCACTGAGTCTGATAAAGTGCAATCGCCACTTCCGGCTTGTCATCCTTATCCGGGCTGAGCACGAAAGATCACCCACGGGCCTAGCGTCACAAGCTGCAGTCGGCTGCTAGACCCTTGATGCCATCCCCTTGTCGAGGGACATGTCTCCAAAATAAGCGAGCTTTAACTTCCCCTGCCCCTCTGAGACTCACCCTTTCTCTTCCCTCCTCCTCATCATCCTTTTCCACCATGACGCCCCCCGCGTCGGGCTCAACCCCTCCCTCCCGCATCTCCAAGTTCACCCTCTCGCTACCCAAGATCGAGCTCCACGCCCACCTCAACGGCAGCATCCGACGCTCTACCCTCTCCCACCTCGCTGCCCTGCGCAACGTCGATCCTTCCACCACGCGCATCCTCTCACACATCCCCTCTACGCTTTCCGAGGCATTCGATGTGTTTCGTATCATCCATTCGTGCGTCGTTACGCTCGCGGATGTTGAACGCATAGCGTACGAGATCGGGGAGGATATGGAGGAGGATGGAGTGGTGTACGCGGAGATTCGGAGTACGCCGAGGGATATGGGTGAGGGAGATTTAGAGGGGTATGTGAAGGCGGTTTTGCGGGGGTTTGATCGATACCGTTTGGAGAAAGGGAAGGTGATATTGAGGCTGTTGCTTTCGATCGATCGTGCGAAACACACTGCCTCGGACTCCTACGAGATTGTATCTCTTGCTGCAAAGTTTCGTTCCCAAGGAGTGATCGGTATAGATCTATCCGGCGATCCTACGAAAGGAGACTTCGGCACCTACCTCCCCGCCCTCACCCACGCTCGTTCACTCGGTTTGAAGATCACACTGCACGCGGGAGAAGTTCTCAACCCCACCGAGTTCTCTTCCATGCTCGATTTCCACCCGGATCGATTCGGTCACTGCTGCTTCGTCGACCCCCCCAACCTCGCGCGTCTCACGGAAAGCAGCATCCCCATAGAGCTGTGTCTCACTTCAAACCTCCTCTCCAACTCCATACCCACTGGCAAGTTGACCGATCACCACTTTGGAATACACCATAACGCGAAAAGCGAGGGTTCAACGATCTGCTGCATCTCCACGGATGACAGTGGCGTTTTCGGGAGTCCGTTGTCGAACGAGTACAGGTTGGTGATGGACAGTTTTGGGTTGGGTGAGAGGGAGGTTTTTGAGCTGGCGAGGAGGACGCTGGATGCTACGTTTCTGGAGAGCCAGAGCGGGAAGAATGCGGATGAGGCGACAGGGAAAGATTCGGAGGATCGGAAGAGGATACAGGACAAGTTCGATGAGTTTGAGAGGGACTGGAGATGGAACTGACACAGGAAGATGAAGTGAACGGAAGGGCATATCTGGATCGCACCATAAACGAGTCAAGGATTCGCAATGCAACGGAGCTCAGCAAGTGGACATTCTCACAGCCTCATGAGACCCAAATCATGTCTCTCAAATGGCTGACCCGCACTTCGTAACTGATGACGAGATTGTTATTTTGACGGAATCGCAACGATAGAAGTACACCTCGTCCCACACCGACTCTCCGCATTCAACGACGAGGCACCCTCCCACGCATCGCCTTCTGCATTGTTCCCGGAGGAGCCTTGGGACCGGGCTGAGCCTTCTCACTCGCCTGATTCCTGATCGTCTCATCGACGCTCAAGATCAAACAAGCCGCCTCCGCCGCCGACGACAGAGCGTTGATCCTGACCAGACTCGGCTCCCACACAAATTTATCCATCAGATTCGCCGTATCCTCGGCGTCGATGTCGATTCCTTCCCACTGAGCACCCTGCGCATGCTTCATGCGCAACCTGTTGAGCAGATCGGTCGCGTCGAACCCAGCATTGTCTGCCAACTGACGCGGGATGCACTCGAGCGATTTGGCAAAGGCACCGATGATCAGCTGCTGTTTGCCCTGGATGGTACGGGAGTAGTCGCGCAGGTACTTGGACAGCTCCATCTCGGTAGCTCCACCTCCAGCGACGACGTGCGAGTTCTTGATGGCTCGTCGAACGATCATGATGGCGTCGTGGAGACTGCGTTCCACCTCGGCGATGAATTGCTCGGCACCACCACGGAGGATGAGCGTGCACGTCTTGGCCTGAGGGCACTCCTCAAAGACGTTGAAGCGCTCGCCTCCGATTTGGCGCTCGTCGAACTTGCCGCAGGTTCCGAGGTGCTTGTCCGGGCTGATGTCGGAGCAGGTGCTTTGCACCGAGCCTCCGACGGCTTGGACAACACGCTTCATGTCGTCGGCGGGTACACGACCGGCACAGAAGATGTCGCGGTCGGCAAAGTACTGCGTCGCCAAATCACCGATGGGGAGCTTGGAGAGGACCACCTTGGCACCGGTCTTGACGATGGCTTCGAGCTTGTTGAAGATGATCTGCCACTCGGCATCCACGACGGCTTGGTATTCGGAGACCTCGTTGATTCGCACCTCGGCGTTGTCCTTTTCGGCTTTGAGCTCGAGCTCGACGTTGAGACAGAGAACCTTGGGGTTGGTGAAGCTCTTTGGCTGCTGCTCGAATCCAGCATACGCAAAGGTCTTCTTGAAAGCGACACCGTGCACGAGGAGCGAATCCTGCATACCTCCACCAGGTACCTTTTTCATACCGATCAAGCTCTGGTCCAAATCGTCCTGATCCAATGACGTGACGGCGTCCACGACCATCTTGCTGAAGAAGGGGCGTTGCGATACGATGAGCTTGGACGACATGCTGGTACCGGCGCACTTGATCAGCAGATCGTAGAATGCCTGCTTGTCCGACTTGTCGATGGTAACGGCCATATCCTTGATCTTTTCCACTGCAAGCTGCACCGCTTTCCTGTAGCCCTTGATGATGATATGTGGAGCCACGCCTTCTTCAATGAACGGCTTAGCTTCCTTCAGCATCTCGCCTGCAAGCAGGACGACCGACGTTGTGCCGTCACCCACCTCGGCATCCTGAGCACGTGCAATGTCGACGAGCGTCTTGGCCGCAGGATGGACGATATCGAGCAGCTTGAGGATGGTGGCGCCGTCGTTGGAGATGGTCGCTTGACCACGTTCGTTGACGATGAGCTTGTCCATGCCGCGAGGGCCGAGTGTCGAGGCGACGCAAGATACGATGGAAGCGCATGCGCCAATGTTGTGCAAAAGCTGCGATGTTCCTTGTGAGATGTCGGTGTCTTCGCGCAACAAGATGATGGGCGCATTGGGCATCATCCCGCCGAGTCGTCCCGCCATGGTGAAAGAGTGTGTGTGAGGAGCGCCTCTTCAGATAGCTTGCCGGAAGAGAGATGAGCGATGCACTTTTGCAATCCTTCTAAACGACGGAAGTGTTGTGCCTGTGGTCGATGGTTTGGTGAACGTCGCAATCAGAGCCTGGCGTGGTTCCCTTGACAACACCTTGTTTGTCTGTTCGTGATTCGAGAAAAGGAGGAGAGCCGTCGTGGTGTGTGCGAAGGAGATCGTGTGTGTGCGTTGTGCGTTGCGAAGTTGGCTTTGTGTTGGTCTTTGAGCTTCTCTTCTGCTGCCTTCTCGCGCGACTTTTTGCTTGCAAAGGCTCAGCTGCGCGAAAGTGTGCGCGCTCGAGCTTTTGCGCCAATTCTTCTTGCAGCTTCCAAAAAGAGCGCTCGCTCTCTTCTTTTCTTCGCACACGCGAAGCGTCGATCAACGGCCCGATGCTTCCATTCACTATTGTTCACAATATAGGCCTAACAAAAATCACAAAATCAGCGACATCGTTACTATATCCGATCAACAACCACCTTTCGAGCAGCCTCACAAGATTATTCTGTATCATTATCCAACAAAATGCATTGCAAAAGAAGAACGAAAAGTCCACTGTATGGCACAAACATCAAAGCGCCCAATCTTCCACCCAGTGATCAGGCATCAACAGCAGCGCCTTGTCTATAAACGTCAGAAACCTCGTCCTGTAATCTGGCGGTGTGATGATTGTCGGCTCACCCTTGCCCGCACCGCCCAGAAGCGCCGTTTCCTTGACGAAACTCTCCACCCTCTTGTCCCACGTGTACGTCCTCACAAAGTCGATGATGCCCACCACCAGCTGCTTGGTCTGTCGATCGACGCCCACCATCAGCGAATAGTCCATCACGTTCATGTCGGCCAAGAACAGCGAGTCGTTGTACAGACTGGCGCGCAACAGCTTCTTCGAGTGTTCGCGGATGAAGATCGGGTTGAGGTGGTTGGTCTCGATCAGGTTCTCGTCGAGCAGCACTTCGTTCTCTTTGCCCGTCTCTTGCACGTATCGGTTGCGCGTGCTCCCCTTGAGATCGTACGATCGGATGCCCTCGACGCCGTAGAACAGATTTTCCATGACAAAGCAGTCGAGCTTGATGCTCTTGCCCGTCTGCGGGTTGCGGAATCCGATCCGGAAGCAGCCGAAAATCTTGGCGAGCGCCGTCCTACGGCCACGCGATATGCATTGCGACATGTAGGCAAAGTACTGCGGTGCAAACTTGGAGAAGGCATCCATCTCGAAACGCGAGAGCTGCTTGACCACCAATCGATTGTCCCGCGTCTTGAGGAAAGCAGAGCCAGACTTGCCGCCCGAAGAGTCCCACTTGAAGCATCGGGAAAGCGACTCGACCACCGACACATCGCAACCACACGTCCGTCGTAGCGCATCGAATTGCTCGGCAAACAGGATCTTGCACCACAGCCGCGTAGATCCCGACTCGAATTCGCAGCGGAAGTGTCGTCCTTCCTTCTTGAGCGTACTCTCTAGCTCGTTGATGTCCAAGTCGACCACGCTTCGGTCATCCACAGAGCCAGCGATGCTCGCACTGCTGGGCATCAACGCCTCTGCTTTCTCCTTGGGGCGTGGTACTTCGTTCCGCATTCCCTTGAGCCGTTCCTTGTACTGCAGCGAGCTCAGCGTGAAGGCGACGATCGATGTCGGCTCGTCCTCGCGGAAGATGATGTCCGAGTCGGCGAACACGTGCTCCGAGTTGAGCATCGGGTACTCCAACGGCACCATTTCGCCTGTGCGGAAGGCCCAGAAGCCCGATAAGGTCTTCAGGAAGCTCCTCTCCAGACTCGGCATCGAATCGGAATCAGACGTGAAGCCGCTGCGCAGATACGAAGGCAACGTCAGCTGCGTGTTGTTGCTCGTGGTCGCCACCGATGATGCGGCAATCGACTGCGCATCCGATTCGAGCTCGCTTGCTTGCGCCGGTGGCGATCGATTGGCTGTCCGACCTGTCGCTTCACTCGCAATGGTGCAAGCGTCGTCTGCTTGCGAAGAGGATGTAGTCGCAGCTGCCAACGCCGTGGTAGTCGCTGATGCGGACAGATCAACGTCATCGCCAGCCTCGACTGTTGAAGAACTGGGTCGGCCTTTGACCGTCGAGTCTTTTGTGATGTCTCGATCGAGCTCCGTAGCAGCTTGCTCTGTACCGGATTTCTTGATCGCATTGGCGCGTCCCGACTGCTGCTCATCAAGCTCGAGGGGATTCGTTTTTCGATGCTTTCCGTTCCCTTGGCCTTGCGATCTGCGACCAGCTGGCACCGGCACGCCATGCTTGGCCTCAAAGCTTGTTGGCCCCACCGGCAGGTCCTCGTCCGAGTCTTCGTCGTCGTCATCCTCGCTCTCATCGTCGGCAGCAGATGCGCCCTCGTCGTTGCTTGTCTCTGCAGCAGAATCCGGCTCGCTCTCATCATCTCGCACCGCTTCTCGCACGCTGCTGAACACCTCTACTCTCGCTCGCGTCATTGCCACAGGTCTGGCTCGTTTCGCCCGTTGCGCCAGCAAAAGACGATGCTGTCGCTCGCGTTCCCGCTCGGCCTCCTTGCTGATGCGATCAAAGTGCTTGGCGATCGTCGACACACGGCTCTTTGTCCCAGGGCCGTGCTCGCTCCTCCGTGCAATGGGTACGCGGCTTCCGAGCGCAGCTCCAGCGTTCCGACTGCTGCCACCGTCGGACTGATATGTACCGCTCTGGCTTCGGTTGCCTGAGGTGACCATTGCTGCGGATCTGGACGCAGCTACAGAACCTAACGCTGCCGCGGCGGATGCACCGGACCTCCCAATGATGGGTCGCGGGCCTGCTTTGAGCCCTTCGCCTTTCGGTGGTCGGTAGCTGGAAGGCGGAGGAGGAGGAGGAGCGCCGTTGTTTGGCGTCGCAGACCCGCTTCGACGTCCAATAGTGGCAGTCGAGGTAGAGCTGTCGTTGCGCTTGACTCTGGGCAGCCGACTCGAGCGACCGCCGACTCCAGGGGTCGTCACTGGCGAGTTGGCGTTCGAGTCTGCGCCCTGTTCGTACGTGGAGGAAGAGATCCGAGCCTTTGACGAGTCCTTGCTACGGACAGATACCACCTCCTCAGTTTTGCCGCGGCGCAAACTTGGACGACGAACCGAGCCGTGGTCCTCGGCACGAAGCAGAGCAAGGTCGGTACCGCCTGACGCACCGTTGCCTGCGGCTGCTCCGACGGGAGGTGTCCCCGCGGTGTACCGTCTGGGATTGTCAAACCGCCTGATGAGACCCGGTATCGAGCGTGCCAGCTCGTTCTCTGTGCATGAGCTCTCGTCCGCACGAGGGAATTCAACCGACTCGAACGCGCTCCGCGATTTGCTGTAGGTGGGCGATGCCGGCGCGGTGACAGGATTGGACATGGCACGTCGACTGATCATGGGTCGTACTTCGACCGGCGAAAGATCTGCGGCATCCGTCTCGTCATCGAAGTTGCCATCGCGGTATCTTGAGGTGTCTGCGCGACCGACCTTGTTAAGCTGGCCGGAAGCGGTCTTCGAGCGAGGCATGGCCCCAGAAGCTTTGCCAGCGTTACCTGTGCTTGTCTCCTTGGGAGCACCTGCAGCAGTCGCGGGAGCGATGCTCGGCGGCACCTCGCTCAGCGGAGTCTGGACCGTATGAGTGACGAGATCGGAAAGCATCGGCACCACCGAGAGGTCGGCACCGGCCAAAGAGAGGATGTCCATGGTTGACGCGCTTCTGCTGCTGAGAGCCTTTTCACCCGCTGAAGTCGAATGCTCCGACTCGCGACCTTTCGGTTTTCCCTCGGCCGCATCCGTCGAGCTCTCGTCGATCTCGGCAGCAGGCGGCAGGATGCTCGAGGTCGTGTCTGAGCGCGTGGCGTCGGATGGATCCTTCTCGGAGAAGAGCCGTTTGAGATGGGTAGTGGTGATGCGGCGGATGTCCTTTTCGGACGGTATGCAGTTCTTCTCGAATTCGATAAAGTCAATGTCCCACTTAACTACCTTCTCCTGCAGCATCCGTCGCGCTTGGTTGAGGCACAGCACGTCCGTAGCTGGGCTGAACTCGTACAATTCAGCCACCAGCGCCTCGACCTCACGGCGATCGACCTCGCATCTTCGTATCATCTCGGAAATGACGGCGCGATTCTTCTCGCGATTGATGCCGGCGGTGTCGGAGCAGGCATCGTTACCGAGAGCTCGGATCCGTGACATGACGCTATCCCAATAAGCCTGGCTCTTGCGCACGAACGCAGCGGTTTCTTCATTCTTGATGTTGCACTGCACTTCCGGGTTGATGAAGAGCTTGAAGTGAGGCATGGCTACCTCAAAGAGATTGTCAATTTCTTCCGAATGGAAGCGCACCGCCATGTTCTGATAGGCAAAGTAGCGCACCTGGTCTCGGTAGAAGTCGTGCTCGCATAGCTGCGTCTTGCAGTGGTCGTGGCGGTAGAAGTACAGCTCAAGATACTTTGCGAAGCTGAAGCTCCACGTCTCCGGGGTGACGAGCGCCACAGGCGTCGCGTTCTCGCACACCTTGCAGTAGCTCCAGCTGAGGAGCCGATTCTCCTCGTTCGGAAGCGGGCATACGAATCGTTCGAGCACCACCTGGATGCGAATCTGGTTGTGGACGAAGGTATTGTAGTGCAGCACGTTGTTCTTGCCACAACCTTTGGTGGCACAGCCTTTGGCGCTGGCGCTGCTAGCGGCAAGACGCTCGATATGCTCGCCGAGCGTTTCGTCGTGCTCGCCGTAGAACTCGATCGAAGCAAGACTCGGGCCTTCGCAGGGTCGCGGCGTCAGGGTGCAGTGGCGAGTCACAATGATCTGGATGCGCTTGTGGTTGAACGGCGAAACAGCGTCTGCGTGGATGTCGAGGTAGCCTCCCCATTCCGTCAAGGAAGCACGATGCCTGTCAACCGTGATTGCAAATTCGGACTCCTTGGCGATCTGAGACGGCGCTTTGAGAAGCGAAAAGAGGTCGAAGACGGGCAGAGACTCCTGCTTGATCGTGTTGAGCAAGGATGCAGAGCTTGGAGCAATGGTCGACGTAGAGCCTTGGCTTGCATGCGTGAGGTTCGAATCGGGCCCGGGTGTTGTGGTCCGAGTAGGCACTTCCGAGACGGGAGCAGAGACAGATCTGCTCATCGAAACGTCGGCTGATGCAACATTGTTCCGCAGCTCAGACGCCAAGGCCAGAGCATGACCCGGCTCCTTGGCCCTTGTCTGAGCGGGTGACGACGGTCGGGGCGTTGGCGTGGTCGTGTTTGGCCCGCTCGCAAAAGGACTGGCAGTCTCAATTATGACAGTAGCATCGCTCCCTTCCCGGCGCAGGGGAGGGGCAGGGCCAGGCTCATCCTGCTTTTCGGCGAATGCCTGCGAGCCTTGACCTTCCGAAAGAGCAGGAGTCGGGCCTGGTTGCGGCGTCTCCACGCGAGACGATAGACCTGCGTCTGAACTGCTATCCTCGCCTTCTTCAACGATCGTGTCATGAGTCCGCGTGCTCGGCGTCTCGTAGACGGGTGTAACGTCGCCGGTGGAACGTGACTCGACGGGAAGTGCGTCGTCGCCAGCCGCGCCTTCCTTGAGCGATGCCGCGCGTGGTCGCACTGTGGGCGTGGGAGTGTCCTCCTTCACTTCTTCATCGTGGCCGTCTGGCAGCTCCACGATCGAGGTTGGTCGAGAAGCAGGCTGGTCCTGCAGCTTGCCTTCATCCTTCAAGATCCTCTGCAGTTCGTCAGCTTCTTGGTTGGCAAGCAGTTCCATGAGTCGGTCACTGACGCGCTTCAGCTGCAGAATGGTGTACGGAGCTGGGATGTGGATGCAGACGGACGAGGTGATGAGCGTCGTCTCATAGATACTGAGGGCTCGCAGAATTCGAGCACGCGATTGAAGCACAAAGGACTTGTCATCCTTGATACGGCCAACCTGGCACGAGGGCTCATCGCTCAAATCGAGATAACTGCCATCTTTTAGTCGCTTCAACTCGTCAGTGGCGCTGTCGAGCGTTCCAGCTTCCACAGTGCCGCAAGGGCGCGAGCCGTTGAGCAGGCTGCTGTCCGAATAGATTGTCTCCATGGCCGCGCCCTCGTCCGCCATGACGTGGCCTTCGAGACGCAAGTTGTACGCAACGAAGATCATCAACGTCAAGATCTTTTTGACGCGACTGAGCTTGACGCCATCGGCTCCACGCAGAACGATAGTGCAGCCGAGTTGCTTGGGCGTGCCTTCGAAGCGCATGAAGCTCTTCCTCCACTCTGGCCGTGAGGCATGCTGGAATGTCTCGACGTTGAAGTAGCGGCACCGACCGATGCGCGGATCGAGAGCAAGTCGATCGATCGAGGTGATGATGTCGGCCTGTGTACATCGACTGATAGCTCGAATCGCTTCGGCCTTGACGCTCCATACGACGACGATACCTTCCCTCTCGAGCAACTCGAGAGCCGTACGCGAGACACTTTTTTCTACCACGACAATCTGGGGCCGGAGTGCGACGATGCGCGCGACGAGGATGCGGATGAATTCATGCTCTTGTGCCATGAGGGGCTCGAGTGACATGAATTGGTCTGGTCCACGGTGGTAGTCAAGTGGAAAGCGTATCACGATGATGCGAGCGTTGGTGAGTGGGACCAAAGCAGCCATGCGCCTGGTCGCAACGTGCTTGGTGCAGACGTATCCGTCTACGTACTCGGAATCGTCGGGCTTGCCACCGGGGATGCGCTTGATCTTGACGAACTGGCGAATGTCGCGGCTCTGATCCTCGCGAGCATCGGGTTTGACGCGCGAAATGGTAGTAAGGACGAATGGCAAGAGCACGTCACACCACTTACGGACGTTGTGGATGCCAGCTTGGAGCAGCGTCTGTTCCATCATCTTTCGCAGATGATCGAGGGCGCGGTGCGTGATGGAAGCCTCCAAGAGCGCTGGAGTGATGCCGTCGGCGCAGATGCGAAGCTCGCGGTAGATGTCGGGTGTCTCGTCGTATTCGTTGGCGGCGTAGTCGTTCTCGTCCGGCTGAGGCTGCATCAAGGGCGGAATGGTGGACTCGGTGCGACCGTTGCCGTGGAAATGGGAACGGATGAGTGCAGTAGCCTGCGAAGGGTCAAGCGATGCAATCGTGCGGAGCGAACGCATGCGTGACCGTACAGCGGGTCGCGACGTCTCGCTGACTAGACGCAGACGCGGATAGTCGGAGGTGGACTGGATTGCCGAAGGTGTCTCATGACCATCCCCGTTGGTGGAAGGAAACGCGACGGCCGCCATCGTCTCTTTGGCTTTGTCAGATGCTCGTCTTCCCTCAGTGGCTGGTGAACTTGTCGATGGCGCTATCGGCTTTGAAGGGTGGATGTCCGACGTCTGCCGAGAGGTTGACGGAGTAGCATCAAGTTGCGATGCAGGCGGGTCGTCCTCTTCAGGGTCAGGATGTACCGGAGCAAGCTCTTCATCGTCGGCACCCTTACGGAAAGGTGCGACAGGCGCTGCATCTACCCTCTTCTTGCGTCCGCGATCTGTCGCATCGTCGCCGTTCAGGTCACCATGTATTCCTGCTGCTGCTGAGCCCACATCTGTGAGGGCGAGGGGAATTGACTGACTCGAGCGGATGCCCGCACTGATTGCGGAGTGGCCTGCAGTGGCGCTGGCGAACAGATGATTGGCGGCAAATTGTGCTTGCGGGCTCTTGATCTGCGCCTCCAAAGGTGCTGAAATCATGTCCTTGTCTGGCTGTATACGGTTCGGGTTTAGGCTGGCACGTTGCGAAAGTACATTGAGCTTCTGCTGGTGCCGATTTTGACGTTCGTGTCGATCGTAGTCGTCGAGCGTGCGTTTGCAAAAGTTGCAGACGCGGATCATACCCTTGAAGTCGAAGCGCTTGCCCTTGATGATGTGCGCTGCGCATCGGCCGCAGAAGATCTGGCCGCATATGCGGCAATGATGCTTGCGGCGGAAGGGGGTGAAGACGGAGAGACACTCGCGGCACTCTTTGGCATTTTCGTCGGCCATCCAGAACTTACGACTGAGGCCTTCGCCCCTCATGCGGCGATCGATGGCGTCTGCGCTGGTCTGAAGGCCGATCTGTGCTGCCGAACGATTCATGACATGCTCTTCGAGAGTGTCGGTCCTGTGGAGCCGAGTGGAGCTGCTGAGAATTGATTTGGCATCGTCGGCAAGGATGTCTTTGGGAAGGGGGAAACCGGGGATAGCGGACCAGCCGTGTTTGGCTAGATGCGAGCGGTCGATACCGCCGTCGAATCCGCTGCGGAGCAGATATAGGGTGTCGCGCGACGAGTCGGGGTCCATGTCGCCATCGTCGGCGATGACAGACTCGCGGTCGTCGGTGTAGCTACCGGCAACGCTGGCGATGTGAGAGCCAGCGTGAACGGCTGTAGCGGGAGACGTGAAGGTGATGGCGGGTGCAGGAGCTGCGGTACGGAGCTTGAGAGGCGGCGCACGTGAAGAGGAAGACCTGGCTCTGCTCGTGGTACCCGATATCGAGCGGTTGGTGGAGATTGACGAGGAGCTGTGAGACGGCTGGATGCCGCCGCCGGGGACGGAGCGGGCTGGGTGAGCTCCCGAGGCGTCGAGAGCTCGACCTGTCCTCGAAGTATCGTCGCGAGACCTCGAAGGACCAGCTTGTGCGCCGCTCTGGCTGAGAGGAGAGATGGCACGCTGTACGGCCTGATAGCTCTCGGGATACTCTTCGATGTTGCTTAAGCCTCGTGATGGACGTGCCATGGAAGCTTTTCTGTACTGCGGCATGGAGGCGAGCCGACTTGGCCCCACGCCTGCGTATGAAGATGAATGGTTGGACAGTGATGGTGTGTGCTGTGACGAGGCGAAGGCGGGTGATGGATAAGTCTGAGGGACGTCGAATCGGGCAGAAGAAGACCTTGAGCTGTGCCGGGAGGCTGATGATGTGTGTGTGTCGTCATTGGCGCCTGCGTGTGAAGAGTCAGTGTCGGCAGCGACACCGCCTGCGAAAGCTGACTTGACGCGATTGAAAAGGCCGCCGAGGGCAAAAGACGATTCCTGAGCGTCCTGTGTATCGTCGAGGAATCCGAAGGAGGTGAACCCCTCATCGTTCAGGGCGCTTGACATCGGCGTGCGATGTCCCACAGATGTGGCCATCTCCCACGAGTGTTTTCAAGCAAGCTTGACGACGGTCTCCGGATGTTGTGGCGTAGAGAGGTGAGCAGCTTTGTTTGTACGCAGCTCTCGTGCTGGGTTTGAACTGGACGTGCTCGAAAGCCGTGGCTGACAACACAGCTATGTCGCCAGCATCTGCATGGCCGTAAGAAAGAGCAATAGACCGAAGTGCCTCTGTCGGTAGCTCGGCTCGAGCTGCCGGCTGAGGAAGATGTCGGAAGTCGAGTGGGTAGTAGGGGAGCAGCAGAGCAGGGATGAGTGGGTGTCGAGGGTCGTTCAAACAGTCAAGGGTCCGAGCACGGAACGAGTGCAAGCTGGACGGCCCGCGAACTGAAGCGGCTGCTCAGCTCGTGACGCATGGCTTGTCGCGCTCCTGAAGACCAAAAAGTCGCAGCAGCGGGCATGAGCTAAAGCCCAAATTCACCTTTGGACCCTGAATCAATGGTCGTCATTTCAAGCCGATGTTGACATTCACCGGTCTGACATTGTGAATCCGCGGATCATGGCTTTCTGTTCGCTCGTCGCCAGTAAGCTTGTCGGTTTCTGTTTCTGCAAAACCAAACGGATAAAACACGGCTCAAAATTGAGGACACGATAATCGCAACCTCATCGGTCATCGGTTGAGGCGTCGTCCCGATTCATTCACAAATCCACCTTCATCTCGTGTTCAGAGCCTCCTCTAACGTGGCAGCTGCCTCATCGACGACGACCGTCGAGAGACGGAGCGAGGTACACTTGCCACGACTAGATCAGCTGACACCTCGCTACCACGGTGCGGAGACGCACGCGATGCAGGTCGCGTCCACTTGTCTGTCGAATGGAACATATCCTACCGCAGCACCTTCCGTTGCTCTTGCCGAGCAAACAGCCTCGTTAGGTCACCTGGCACCGGCACAATGAGCACCGAGGTGTTCTTTGAAGAAGAACATGACGTAGAACGTGACGTCAAGATTCTTCGATGCAGAACCGTTCTGCAAGACCAGACGTCCGCAATCCGTGTCGACAGCCATCGATTGACAGAACAACAACACATCAACACCAGGTGAGTCTGCATGAGAGCGCGTCCACTCTGCGCACGGCTGGACGGACCGACTTTTCGTTGCGGGCACCACGCATCATGCAAGCTGTGAGCGCCGCCTGAAGCCACCGTAGCAGTCATCGCAAGCCTCCAAGGTCAAGCCCCTGGCCTAAGAAAAGCATATTGAAGGCTGCCTTGTCTGCACAAATGAGCTTGACCGTCAAATTCGAAATCGAAGGCGAGGACTGAACAGCTTTAAACTCAATATGCCACCGGTTCGAAAATTGAAAGCATGCAAGCAAGAGGAATCGGAGCCCTTCTTTTTTTCCCATAGTCGCTGCACGCGACCGCAGCCGATGCATAAAGAGCCACAGAGAGCCTGGTAAGCGAGCACCAGGCCTTTGTTCTGAGAGCTCAAGCTGGCCACACACAGCCGGCTCCATAACATATCGGCTGGACCGCAGGCTCTGGACTGAGCCGTCAAAGCTCGTTCACTGCTTGTCCGATCGAAAGACGATGATCGACAATGCATGCTAGGTCACACCACCACGTAGAAACATCAACAAGCTTCTCTGTTGTATCATCGTGCGTCGAGGTCTCAATGTCCGATCCGCTACGCCATTGCCGTTCCGGTGACGATCCAAGCTGATGAGGATGACATCTGGCTTGTTTGTTGATCGACACGGCAAGGGGTGGGGAAAAAAAGAAGGAAAGAAAAAACGAGGGGCAGGGGGAATCTCTGCATCTTCGCGCGAGCTGAAAGTGAAACAGATTTCGGTAATTTGGTGGATGTTGGTCTCACGCGCAACACTGTCAAAGTGCGATGTGTCCCCTCGATTTTCAAACTCAGATCTGCCGTCTGCAGATCCTTCGTGTTGATTCGCTTTTAGAGACGGCACTGGGGCACTGTATCAGCACAATACCGTGACACTTTTCAACGCAGCTTGTCCAACTCCGCCCCACGGTTCTTCTTTCTACGCCTTCTTCCGAATCATGGAGCAAGCAACGGACTTTGCCCCTTGCTCCTCTTGTCGATCCCTTCAGGACGATCTCGCTTGTTGATCCCCACGCCAAAGATCACTCCTTCACGCCAGCAGCGCTATACAGTGTGTACTCGCTCAGGGCGGCATCTGCGTCTACCGAGGTCGTTCCTAGCAAATTGATTGTCCGACCGCCGTAGAAGGCCGCAACAACCCCCATTCTTACCAATACACGATCGTGACAAAGGCTTGGATTTGTGCCTCCGCTTGCATACACCGCAAACCACTCCTACTCGATCGCAGCAAAGCAGGCAGCAACATCACCTTTGTCGCTGCTTGTGTAAGACCAGGGACAAGAAATCCACTCTCTGTTGCTGCGCCCCAAACTCATCATCCCCTTACCTCCTGCACTCGAGGGTACGCCCAGCTTCTATTGCCTCTCCCTTTCCCCGTAAAAGTTTCTTGGGTCGTTCCTGACCATCTCTCTCTTAACGACCTTCATCCTCATCTACGCTCATCCATCTTTCCTTCACGACTACATCTTGCCCACACCCTGCTCATCAGCATTATCGCATTGCAGCACCATCTCGCTCCCCATCGTCGTCAGTCGTCTGCGCTCAAGTAGCCGCCCACGTCTTCTACGCCACCATGCCTTCATCACTAGCAAAGAAGCTCTGCGTCGCCCTCGTGCTCGCATCTTCCGCCCTCAGTTCTCCCGTCGCCGCCGACGATCAGCACAACGACGCACCCTACGTCCGCAGTCTCAAGCACTCTCGTCGTGCAGCACGCGAACGTGAGGCCGGCCCATCCAACCTGACCAAACGAGGCCCCACCTACAACGGTCGCGCCACCTACTACGCCGCCGGTCTTGGCGCCTGCGGCAACTACAACTCCGGGTCTGACTTTATCGTCGCCCTCAACTCTGCGCAGTACGGCAACCTGGGCGAGGTGTCTTCGTGGTGCGGAAAGACGATCGCCATCACGTACAATGGGAATACGCAGTATGCGCAGGTTCAGGATGCTTGTCCCACCTGTCCCTACGGAGGGTTGGATATGAGCGAAGGGCTGTTCAAGGCTTTCGCGAGCACGGATCTGGGTGTGTTCTACATGTCGTGGACTGCTGCCGACGGGTCTGGTGGAGACAACAACAACGGTGGAAATCAGAGGCAGAGTTCCACCTCCACCACTCCGGCGTGGACCCCGCGACCATCGCCTACAACCACATCGAGCACACCTGCATACACCCCTCCTCCTCCCACAACCACCTCTCAACGGGCCAGACCCACCACCACCACCACCTCCTCTTCCTCGTCCACCCTTTCCTCCTCCGCATCATCCTCCTCCTCCGCCTCCTCCGCCACCGCTTCCTCGCAATCAACCCCCGATGCGACAGCCAACAACCTCGACAGCTTCGCCCTCATCTACCAGGGTCTCAATCAGATGGCCGTCGCAGCTGCTTCCTAACTCATCCTTCCCAATATCTCGCCTCCTTTAGAAAGTAACGGGTTTCACTTTCCTTCCTCTTGTCTATCACAGTCGCCTGTTGATCCAGAGCTGACTCTCTTCCTGCACGCTTAATCGGATCAGTACGTTTCGTTCTCTCCTCTCACTCGTGATCCCGCCTGAAAAAACTCTGTGCTATGCTTGTGTGTGCAATCCTTATTGAACTACAAATACATCTTCTCCCGGGTTCACTCATTATCCAGTTGTCCATCCAACTCTTCCGCCAAATCGTCCAAGAACCCATCGTCTGCATCATCATCATCTTCTTCGTCAGGCTCGTTCTCTTCCGAACGCTGCTTCTTGTCCAACTGGGCGAAATCCGTTGCTTGCAGATCGTCCGTTAGTCGACGTTTCCTCTTTCCACCGTCGGCCGGAATTTCGGCATCATCGATGTCCACGACATCGTCTGCCGCAAGCATCGATGGGGAAGGCGATGAAGTGTTGCTCGCCGTAGTGGCTGAATCTAGGTAGGCGTCGACTTCGTCCGCTGCAGCAGACCAGTCCATGTCGTTCAGTTCGTTTTCGAACAACGTCTCCTCCTGTTTTTCTCCCTCTGCTACCTCCTCGACCTTCGCTTGTTCCACCACCTCTTGCTTCTCCTTCTGCCCCTCCACTGCTCCCGCCTTCACCGCACCCGCACTCGCCACCGTATTCTCAGCCATCGATATCCGGTACAACCCCTCATCCTGCCTCGCCCACCTACTCGCCGACACATGAAACCAACTCGGCCAGACCACCTCCAACTGCCCACCCATCCGCAACGCCTGGTGCACCTTTGCCGTCCCCGGTCTCGCTGCCACGACGTGCGTCGTCTTGCCCGGTTCGATCTCCGACGCCGGCGTCGCACCGAACTCTCGCGCCATGGCCCAGAGGTCGGATTTCTCGGGATCGTGGCCGAACGGTATCATGCTGGAGAAGACAATGGTGCAGTTGGCAAGCACTTTGGCTTTCCGCGCGCCGATGAGATCGACAACGGAGGGCTTTTGAAGGGTGGAGGGGGACTGCATGGAATCGTGGGCGGTGTACCATTGGGCGTGCAGGTCTTCGAGGATGGATTGGACGCGATCGAGTTCGTTGTCGTCGTCGACGAGGACTGCGTGAGAGCGATGCGGGGGGAGTGGCGGCGGTGGAGGTGGTAGAGGCGGTAAGCTTGTGTTTGATGAGGAGGGTGAGGTTGGTGGAGTGGTGGTTTCTTCCGACTGGTCGTCTGACGGTGCGGTTGCTGTGATTGCATCTGCGCTGCGCTCATCGCCAGTGGGGCTCTCGCTACCACTACTGCTGCTATCAGCACCACTTGACTGGCCAGCGGGACTGTCGCCGTGCCCGTTGGGCGTGGCAGTGCCCGACCGTGAAGCACCGTTGCTTTGCCTTCCGAGCTTTTCGTCTAACGCTTCCTGCATCTTTGCTAGCGGTCTCGCTTCCCTCTGTTCCGCCAACTTGCTCTGAAGCTTTTCCGTCTGTGCCACGAAATGCGCTGCGGCCTCTCGAACCGCTTGCAATTCCTCCTCGGTTCGGCCTTCTGCTTCTGCTTTTTGCACTGCGTCTTCGACTGCTTTTTCCGGTGTCGTCGGAGAGGCGCTGCCGTTGCGGCTCGAACCGGGTTCTGCGCCTGATGCTTTCGTTGACGCAGCAGCGCCAGCAGTAGCCCCTGCCGCGTCGTCAGATTTGCCGCTCGGTTCCGCTGCCTTCGTTCCCGGCAAAGCCCCCGGCGGTGGTGGCGGAGTCGGTAAGAAAGTGGCGTTGATATCTCCGATGCCTACGAAAAATTCATACGGCAGAACCGGCAGCAGATTCGGGCTCCTACTCCATACATCCTCCCTATCATCGATGATGACGACCATACTGTGATCCACCGGAAACAACCTACTTAGACTCTTCCTCACCAAGCTCCCATTCTCGTCCCTCGACAAAATCCTGTTGCCGAAAATGCTCGCGTCCGGATCGATCAACTTGCAGACGCAGTTGGCATACGACCTCGTACCCATCGTATACACGTGCAGCTGGTACTTTTCTGACAGTCGTTTCAGGACCTCAGGAACTCCCGGTCGCGGTTTGACGTAGTACCAGCAGGCTCTGGACGCCTTGGCCGCATCCGCGTCTTGGTCGGAGATCTCTTCGCCGTCGATGCCGAGGCGAAACTTGCCGACGGATTGGAGGGCGTGGTAGTTGGGGTTTGTGGAGTCGCGCATCCATTCGCCGACGGTGGGGTCGACGGTCGCGTGGATGACGGTCTGATCGAGGTCGACGATGAGGGCGAGTTTGCGTTGGGAGAGGAGGTGGGAGGTGGATTCGGAGTCGAGGCGCTGCGCCTCTTCGGCGGAGACTTTGACGGCCGCGCTGGAGTGCATGACGGAGAGCGAGGCGGATTCCTCGGAGTCGACATCGACGGGTTGGCCGCACACGGCACACATGCCGAAGAGCTGCACTGGGTGCTTGCATTCTTCCTGGGCTTGCGACATGGTTGCTTGAATTTGCCGTGACCGGCGGTCGCTTACGAGGAAGAGGGATCAGTGAGAAGAGAGTGTCACGACCGGCTCTGATGATTATAGAGCTCGTCAGGACAGAGGCGTAGCGAAGATGGTCGAGACATGAGAGCCGAAGATGGTGTTGCGAGTAGAAGACACGAGACGCGTATGGTTCGGGACCTCGATCGATGTTTGGCACTTGACCGCTCGCTGCGGCGCTAAGCTTGCTGCTCCGACAACGAAAGCGACCTCGTTGATGCTAGGTTCCCGAAATGACCAACGGTAGTGGGGCCGGAAGTTGCCAAGATACGGTGGAGAAGCACCAAATGCGGGGGGATCAGCTTGGAGAGGAAACCGAATGAGAAAAGTGTCTGTGCGCAGCACTCTGTGCGTCTTTTTTGCGGAGGACGTCGGACAATTTCCAGTGGCAGCTCGGCTTTGTACGCGGGTCGGTATATATGTGAAACTGAGCGCGTGGCTCACGTCCTGTGAAACGAGCGTTCCGTGCCGCCGTGTGTGGAGCGAAAGAGTCGAGTCGTGTGGCTCTCCTCTGCATTTACCGGTGAGCAGCTGAAGCTTGTCGCGTGCACTCTCTCTTTTTTGTGGTCGAGCCATCTCGATTCAGGAATTATGACCGGGCGGAGAGAATGTTACGCCTAAGCAAGTGATGATTCTCAAAATAAACAGTTGAAGGTGGAGGTTCGAGCCTCATTTTTTGAAGGAGCAAGTTCTTCTCACTTGCTTGCTCCCGGTCCTTCCGTTCTCTCAACCCATCAATCGACAAGACTTTCCCCACAAAAACATGGTCAAGAAGCCATCCAAGGCTCAAAAGGCCAAGCTGCGCAGGGCAGGGGGTAGCGCGGACGATGGCGAGTCCCGAAGCGGAAGAGGTGGTCGAGGTGGACGCGGGCGAGGTCGTGGTCGTGGAGGTGCCGCAGCTGCTGCAGGAGGAGGAGGTAGGGTAGGAAGGTCCAGCTTGCTACCACCAGACCAGCAAGCAGCATTCGAGTCGCGCAAGCGCACCGTCCAGCTGGAGGAGTCTGCTTTCTCGAAACTTTCACCGCCCGTGTTGGAGCGACTCAACATCCTTGCTTCCTATGCGGACCTACGACGACCCATTCCGGAGGAGCTTACGCCGTTCGACTATTCGAGATTCGGTCGTGCCCGGGCGGAAAATCACCAACGAACCTTGGATCAAGAGCAGGGAAAGATAGACGAGCGAGACTCTCACCCACTAGCCGGTTGGCTTCAGGGTGGCCCGAAGCAATCAGAGAAGCAAGATCGAGGCGACGATTCCTCGGACGATGATGAAGCCGAAAAGGTTGACGAGGGTGAAGATCCAGGAGTGACAGGTGTAGAGGAAACGGGAGAGCTTCGTCTGCCCAAGAGACCAAAGTGGAGGTCAGACATGGATACCAAGACCATCCATTCGCAAGAGGAAGAGGTCTTTCGGCAGTGGCTACGCAAAACAGATGCCGTGGTCGAACGAGCCTTCTTCACCTCGTCGCCCATGTTCGCCGGACTGACATCTCACACCCGATCCGACGACAAAGCCGCATTTGCTCCCTCTCCAGCCACCGCAGGCATGGGTGGAAGTCGAATGGTCTCCTCCATCGCATCCCAAGACAGCATAAGCGAACTCTTGCACCACCGTCCATCTCCCGGCACCTCCGTTATCGGAAGCCTGTACGAACGAAACATCGAAGTCTACCGTCAGCTTTGGCGCGTTTGCGAGCGCAGCGACCTCGTTTGCGTCCTAGCCGATGCGAGATGCCCCCTGCTCCACCTGCCACCTAGTCTCATCGGCTTTCTGGAACGGTACATGCGACTCAAGGTCATCATTGTGCTGACAAAGGCGGACATCGTACCTAAGGAGATTGTCGATGCTTGGAGGGGGTATCTCAAACAGCTGTATCCGAAGTGGGAAGTGGTGGCTACGGAAAGCTATGCAAAGCTGGAGAGGATGGAGGGGCAAGGTTCGCGGACGAGGTTTGCTCCGTATCTTTCGCCACATTCGAGGAGAGAGTTGTTTGCGGCGCTGCGAAAGGCACATGGTGATTTGGTGACACCGCCAAAGGTGGTACAGGACGACGCGAAGAAGAGCAGAGAGTGGATGCCGCCGTGTGCGACAGATACGGACTGGGAAGGCGTGGAAAGACGCGTGCAGCTCCACACAGAGGGTTTCGAGGCAGGCGAAGGTGCTGACATCCCAGAACGCAGTTCCGAGAACGATCTTGATGCGAAAGACGCAAACCTACCCAGCCAGAAGAACAATCAGGACGCCAAAGCGACTCGCTCGCACCTGCCTTATCTCACCATCGGCCTCATCGGTCAGCCCAATGTCGGCAAATCGAGCCTGCTCAATGCTCTGTTTGGCTCCAAAGTCGTTCGCGCTTCCAAGACGCCAGGAAAAACCAAGCATTTCCAGACGCACTTCCTCGTGCCTCTTCCCTCACCTTCCTCCTCCTCTTCCAACAACGTCGATACCGACCACCCCAAAGCAGTCGGAGAAGAATCCCACCGCGGCCAAATCCGACTGTGCGATTCTCCCGGCCTCGTCTTCCCCTCGCTCATCGGGATGGAGATGCAAGTCATGGGCGCCATCCTGGCCATCTCGCAAGTGCAAGCAATCACCTCATGCATCCGCTTTGTCGCTGAACACATCGCGCTCGAAAAGGTTCTGCAACTGCAGTATCCACTCGATGAAGACGAGGCGCAGGAGGAGGACGGGAAAGAGGTGTGGACGGGCGTCAAGATTTTGGAGGCGGTGGCTAGGAGGTACATGTTCAAGACGGCAAAGGCGAATCGATGGGATGTGAATCGAGCGGGGAATCTGGTGATGCGTGCGGTCGCCGAGGGGAGGATCAAGTGGGCGTTTCGACCGCCGTCGTCGCGTGAACAGGTTGGAGTGGGTGGGATCGGAGAAGGTATTTGGATGCCGGAAGCTAGCCAAGATGCTGTTCAAGGGGACGAATCGGACTTGCTCACCGCGCCCAACCCGGACGACGAGGAAGAGAACGAGCAAGATGAAAAGAAGAAGACCGAGGACGAAGATGAGAGCGATGACGATGCGGACATCGCTCGAAAGGTGCGGTTCGACTTTGGCGTAGTCGAAACCGAAGACGACGATGACGATGAAGAGGACGAGGATGACAGAGGGATGGTCGGGTCTACAAATTCGTTGTTCAGTGCTCTCGCTGTCGAAGCTGGAGACGACGACGATGATGACGGTGATGACGATGAAGACGACCAGGAAGAAGACCAAGAGGGATAGGCTTCGACGAGCATGGCTATGCTCAGCAGCCCTGAATAGCATCTAGCATACGATCACATGCAATGATATACCCAGAACATATCATAATATCAACACAGACAGCTCGGTGACAGGCTTCTGCGTGTGCGTGTCCTTCGATCTCGTCGCCATATGAAACGGCGTAGGTTGCCGAGGGAGATCATATCAGTGACAGTCCCGGCGGCTGTCTCTGCAGCAGAGCGTGCACGTTCTCGGCACTGAATGACGTGCGCGCTCGCTTGGCTTGTGCACCCTTTTTTGTCTCGAAAATCTTCTGAAATCAGATCTTCTTATCCTCGTCAATCCAACCACATGCTCCATCGTCTTCCTAAGCTTCGACACACCATCTTCGGCTCACCCATCAGCTACCACCAGATTCGCCGCCTTTCCCTCCGCACGCAGCATCGCAGAATGTCGATCCCCACCGTCACATCCTGGACCGGTCCGCCCATCCTGCTCGGCGTCATCGGTGGATCGGGACTCTACAAGCTCGACTCCATCACACCCGTCGCCGAAATCTCCATCACCACTCCCTGGGGTTCACCTTCTTCACCCATCACCATCGCCAAGACTCCCGCCGATAACCACGTCGCATTCCTCGCTCGTCATGGTCGAAACCACGCCATCCTACCTTCCAACGTGCCTAATCTCGCCAATATTGCTGCGCTGAAGCATCTCGGTGTGAAAGCGATCCTCGCCTTCTCGGCTGTAGGGTCGTTGCGCGAGGAGATCGCACCGAAGGACTTTGTGATTCCGAGTCAGATCATCGACCGCACCAAGGGCATTCGTCGGTCGAGCTTCTTCGGTTTCGGAGAGGAAGAATCCGTCGTCGCACACGCCGGTTTCGGCGATCCGTTCGACGAAACCCTGCGTCCCATCGTCTACGAAACGGTCAAGTCCACCCTCTCCTCCCACCCTCTGACCGTCCACACCGGCAAAACAGTAGTCTGCATGGAAGGACCGCAGTTCTCCACGCGCGCAGAATCCCTCATGTACCGCACCTGGGGTGGCGACATCATCAACATGTCCGTCCTCCCCGAAGCCAAGCTCGCCCGTGAAGCCGAAATCTCCTACGTCCTCATCGCCACCGCCACCGACTACGACGCTTGGCGTCCTGCCAGCGCCGCCGTCAACGTGGCCGAGGTCATGGAAAGCCTCAAAGCAAACGTCGAAGCCAGCAATCTCGTCACCACAAAGGTCCTCGATAGAATCTGGTCAGAGATCGATAGCGACGATAAACCCGCGGTTAAGGGTATCAAGGACTCGATGCGGTTCAGCATCATGACTAGGTCAGAGTTCGTAGCGGACAAGGCAAAGAGCAACTTGAGGTTCTTGCTGCCTTGGTTCGCCCAGGAGTAGATGGACTGCATACACAGGACTTCAGATAGATTTGCTCATGCGACGGCCAGGTACACAGTAGACCACATCCGTCACAAACTAATCACACCCACACCTCGCTACGAACGAATAACAAAAGCCTGTCATTCCACATCTCCACACCTTCACCCGCCTGCGCCCCTTCTACAGCTCCACCCCCCCACTCGACGTCCCAAACAAGATTCTCAACTCCTCATTCCTCTCCTCCCTCCTCGCCTCTGCGCCCATCGCTCCAATCTGCCTCTTACTCCCCACCTTCTCCGCAATCATCAGCTTGCGCTTCTGCAGCCTGAGCATGTTCTCCTCGATACTGTGCCGCATAATGTACTTTGTCGTGATCACCGGCTTCGTTTGACCCATACGATGAACCCTATCCAGCCCCTGATTCTCCACCGCCGGGTTCCAATACGGATCCATCAGGTACGCCCGACACGCAGTGACAAGGTTCAACCCCGTCCCACCTGCACGCAGCGACACCAGCAGCACCTCGATGCTCGGATCGCGTTTGAACGCCTCCAACGCAGCGGTCCGGTCTGGCCGCCTCATCGTACCGTCCAACCGGGTGTATCGAATCCCAGTGAGGTTGAGCGACTTTTGGATCCGATCCAGCATCTTGGTCCACTGCGAGAAAACGACGCTCTTGACCGGATCGTACAAGTCGATCGCATCCAGCGACTGGTCCAGCTTTCCCAGCAACCCGCTCGAAGTCACTGCCGGCGGCGGGCGTTGAATCACCACCACAGGTTCCTCCACCTTGCGCACCTCTGCATCCTCCGACGTCGACGGATCGATGTGCACCAGCCTCGGCGCAAGCGGGTCGAACAAACTCGAATGCGGATTGCACTTCGAGAACGGCAACAGATCAGCAATAAGAGCTCGGATCTTGGTCGAAAGGTCCTTCCTCCCATCCAGCGGTACATCACCACGAGGTCGGCTCGAGCTGCTCCCCGTCGACCTGCCATTCTTGCGCGGAGCCTTGGGTCGACTCAATTGCGGTTTCTTATCGTCGTCGCCACTCCCCCAATCAAAGTCATCCACCAGCTCGTCCTTGTCCGAATCTTCCCCTTTGAGCTGCTTCAACCGCCTCTCGTCCGCAACCTCGTCATCGATGAAATCGCTGTCACCGTCGGCCATGCGTTCCGCCTGATCGTCGTTGAGGCCGACAAAGTCGGAAGCGTCCAACTCGACCGCGTCGAGCGCGAGCTGCAACGCGTCATTGCACGCTGGACAATGCCCGATATCCTCCGAAGTGACGTCTGGCCAAGGATAGCCGATAGTGCGACGGAAGCAGGCCGAACAGAAAATGTGCTGGCATCGAGTCACCACAGGTCGCACCGCCCCGCCTCCCGCCGGCGTCACGATTCCATTGCTCGACGTGCCCGCCGACACCGCTCCCATCCCAGGCTCGATCTTGGTCCTCTTGCGCGATCCGTTCCCATTGCGCGAATCAGCAGCCGCATCATCGAGCGCATCAGCGAGCTCCTGAGCATCGTTTCCACCCGCATCCGCTTCGATGCTACTCGAGAGATCTGCCTGGCACTCGGAACAATACGCCATCTCGGTATCGCGGAACAGGATGAACAACACCGCCGCCCTCTCCGGCGTAAGACCGTCGTGCTTGATCGCTTCGGACAGATCGGCTCCTCGACCCATCCGCTTCGCGTCCTTGCTGGCATCGACCATCGAAGGATGATCGCACGTCATGCGCAAGTTGAGGATCTCGTGCAGGATGGTGGCGTAGTTGTGCTTGACCGTGTCATTGGCCATCATGCCTTCAAAGTCGTCCCTGTACTTGTCGTGGAGAGCTTGGTAGCGAGCCTTCTCCCTCTCCTCAAAGTCGAGATACTCGGTCTTGCTGAGCTTCGGTGGGAGGGTGAGCAGTGCCTTGCCATCTGCCGTCTTGGTCGTCTTTTGCCGACGCAGCGCCAAGAACTTCATCAGAATCTGAACGTGCCCGATGTTGGCGGAGTCGATCGGACCGTCCTCCTTCTTCACTCTGAGGTGCAGGTTCTCGCGATGGCCGCAAAACTCATTCCAGATAGCTCGATCTGTGAAAGGCTCTAGGCGGAGAAACTTGACGAGAGCGTACAGGTCGTTGATGGTGTTTTGGATGGGTGTGCCCGTGAGACAGATGCGGCGCTGCGCCGTCAGGTTACAAGCAGCTCGAGATTGCCAGGTACCCGCTCCCTTGATCTGATGAGCCTCGTCGAGCACGATGCGGAACCAGTCGATGCGCTGCAAAGGATTGAGTGCTTCTTTGCCGGGTTTCCTCTTCGGCTTCTTGCCCTTCTTTTGCGGACCGGCGACGCTGGCTTCGGTCTCGATAGGAATGCCATTCTGATTGACCATGAAGATTTCGTCATCGTCATCGTCGTCATCATCCCGTCCGGAGTCAGAGTCGGGCGATCCATCCTTCTTGCCATTACGCTTCTTGTTTTCGCCCTCGGTGATCCATGTCGACTGGTTCGAGAACTCGGAGCCGAGCGTCGAGTAAGTCGTCAGGACAATATCGTGATCCGCGATCCACCGAATGCTGGTAGACCGCGAGGGACCGTGATAAATGTAAACTTTGGGTCGCTTTTTCCTAGACCAATGCTCCCTGATCTGCTCTTCCCAATTCGACACGACGGACAAAGGGCAGACGATCAAGGTTGCGCGACTGCGACACTCGAGGTTTTGGCGGCGAGCGACCTCGGGATCAACCTTGTCCTTTTGCGGCTTCTTCCCTTTGCTCTTTGCAGACGCTGTTGGTGCAGCCGGTGGAGCACCGTGAACGGCGAGCGACATAGTCGCTTTGTCATCGTCGTCCTCGTCAGGCTCCACGTCGTCGTCCGCAAAGTCGTCGTCAGATTCGCTGAGCCGACGCTTGGAACGGCCATTGACCTTGCCGACGCCGTTGCGTCTCTCGGCCTCGCGAGATGCTGCTTCTGTCGAGATATTTGCCAGTCGCATCGCCTGATCAAGCTCGGCCTGAGGATCACGCTCAACTTTCATAGCGCCGAACAGCCTCGCATCCCTCCGAGTATGTGCGATCAGAGCAAGGGTAGAAATTGTCTTGCCAAGACCCATGTCGTCAGCCAGGATGGCGCCACGACAGATGCGAGGCTGGCTGAAAGTCTCTCGATTCGTGATGAGGTTGCGCCAGGCGCGCACCTTACCATTGAGGCCCTTGCGCACCTTCCAGAGGGAAATGGAGTCTTCGTCAACCTCTTCCTCCTTTTCACTCTTGCTCCCGCCTTTGCTGTTGGCGTGTCCCCCCGTGCCGTTGCTCGCGGAGGTCTCAGCCTTGACCGATCCTGGCTTCTCGTCCCTGACCGATTCAGGCTTCACATCCTTGACCGATTCAGCCGGCTCCTCTGACCCGTCTTCCACGGTGATCGCCGGTTTCAGCAGCAGCTCTGGCCAGCGTCGATCCTTCTCTCGATTGATCAAGAAACTGAGTGCTTGCTTCTGGTGTTCAAGCAGTGGCGTTGCGATGACCTCGGCTGGCTCAATGGCTGGCAACTCCTCACCGCTGCGAAGACTGGCGTACACAGCATCGACCTGAGCCTTTTTCTCCTTCTCCGAGAGCTCGCGATTCTGAATGATTGTGCCCATACCCGCGCCGCGGTGGATACCGTTGTACATGCCGAGCATGGCATCGTTGCGCATACCTCCAGCGGGCGGATTGTGCGGATTCTCGTACTGCGGCTCGGTTGGGTAGTCCTCGGGATGGTACGAGGGCGGATGCTCGAGCTGAATGCCGTGCGACGACAGACGGTCCGAGACGAGCGCGAGATCAGTCCGACGAGCGAACACAAGGATTTCGAGGTAATGCAGGAAGTTCTGCGCTCGACCGATCGGGACCATACGACAGCGCGCCTCGCAGCGCATCTTGTTCTGCCTCAGCAGAGGCTCCATGGAATCTTTGTACTTGTCGGCTAGCGCACCGAAAGAGTGCTCCGCTGCAGGGCCGTACTGGTTCGCTTCCTCAATCGAAAGTTGAGGAAATCTGGCGCGGGGAGGCACCACTGCACTGACAGTGATGTCTGCGCGTTGAGGCGGTGGAGCAGTGAAGGTCCAACCACCGGGCAGTGCCCGATTAGATGCGGGTAAGTTTGTCGGATTCGTCATGTTGAGCATGAGTGGCCGGTAGCCGTCTTCGATCCAGAATCGAGAGGCTCTTGGCCAACTTTGGCGACTAAAATTTGGATCCGCTGGTGGATCCTGGCCGATGACGCCGTTGTAAGTTAGAGATGGCGGAAGGCCTTGCATGCAGAGTACGACCGCATTGATCATGCCTGCGCAGACGATCGCATTCGATTTCACGTGATCGATCTCGAAATCCTCGGCTTTTGGCGAGGCGAGCTTGTGCGAGACGATGACTGGCTCGTCTTCGTCTTCGTCGTCATCGACGACGGACACGGTCTGGTCTGCACGGCTTATTGTACCATTGCCTTGCGGGAGGAGGATTCGCGAAGGCCCTTCGGACGACGCTGTTGGATCGTACGATGGGATAGGTGCTCGGCTTGTAGCCGGTTTCTCGTCGTCATCGTCACTATCCAGCGTCAGATCGACGACAGCCCGAGCTTGTTGCATCGATTGTTGCCGTGGCGGGTGAGCCTCGGACGACGGACCGGCAGAGCTTGACAGAGGAAAAGCACCAGGCATGGATGGTACGGCTGCGCTCTGAGTCGCAACTTGCTGAATACCAGTTGACGGGGCCGGTCTGGAAAAGCCGCCGCTTTCATCCAGGAACTGTGTGGGCACGCGGGCACCACTGCCTCCAATGACCAAGCCGTATCCTGCCGACGATCCAGATGACGATGCGACTGGCACGCTGCGAGCGCTTGGCGTCCATATCCGTGAAGCTGCGCTGCTCGAAGGGCTTGCGCCTGTCGAGGAGGAGGAATATCCGGGCGGAAGGACACGTTTCTTTTCGACCACGTTCGGAGATAAGGGCGAAGGCGGCCGCACGAGCGGGACGGGCTCGAGCGGTCTAGAGAGAAGCTCGGATGGGTCGTCGATCTCCTCGAGCGTGTCGGAGCCACGATCCTCTTTCATCTTGTGGAATGATCAGAGGACGCTCTGCCCGGATGCCGCGCAGAGAGCGGCGAAAGCGCGAGCGGCAGCGCCGGATCGAGGGTTGCGAATTACGGAAAGGCCAGTTGGCCTGTTGTACAGCCGCCGCTGCTCTTTCCTACGGACAAGAGCGCTATCCGCTTGTGATGTGATGATACGAGCCCAACTTGCTGCACTACGTCTCGTCGGCAGCAATGCTTGCGTCGCTGAATGCGATGAGGTCGACAATCAGATTTGAGGTGCTGACGTAGGTTTACTGAGGATGAGCGAAATGTGCAGCAAGGGAGACGAGATGCAGCCGCAGATTGATACGGACGAATGCTGCTGTTACGATGAACAATGCCGTGCCGATAGATGATGAGCTGTGTGGCAGTCGATGTGACTGATGCTTCAAGTTTCGTGTGCTTGAGTCGCCAATACGAGCGAGGCGTGGTAGCGAGACAATGCAGGAGATCCGCAAATGCGAAGAAGCTCTGATGGCGGTGGAGACGATAAGCTCACCGACCTGACTTTCTCGCCTTATAGTCAGACCGCGGTGATGCGAATGCTGGAAGGCCGTGCTGAGCCAAAGTGACGCTGAAGAGCGTTGGGCGTGCTATGCGGCCCCGACGACGACTGCGAAGCTGAAATCCGTTCGAATTTGATCGACGTATGGGTACTGATCTTCGCAGTGCAGTCGTGTCCGAAATGGAAGGTGTGAGTAGAGACGATGGGTCGAAGTCGACGTCGAGAAGGAAGAGTTGCGTTGCGCGTCGGGAAGGAGAGCCAGCAACCGCGGAATCTTCGCGCAGCAGCGCATGCAGCCGTTCTTCCTCCTCCACTCACCAAAAAACCAACACTCACTTGGCATGCGCCTCTTCTGCTGAGCACCCTTGGACCCTGAACATGTCGGGTGTCGCGCTCCGCCACCCCAGGTTGCTAGCTCAGCATCGTTATCAAGGCGTCCGTCTAACCTTCCATCTTTGCTTTGTAGTCATCCTTCGTTCTGATTCATATCGTGCAGCGTGATCATGCTCAGTCAGGATCGGAGTCTCATGACAACGCCGCTTCGTAGGTGGGCGTTTGTCTGCTGTGGGATCGGTGGGGAAATCTTCCAATTCGGCGACCACAGCGACACACGTTTTTGCGCTGAGTCAGCGAACCCTGCCATACGAATCGGCAGCAGCCGCGCGCAACACCCTTCGCCCGTCTGGCTGTCCCTCAGCGCCACTCGGGTTTTCTCACGCAGTGGCTTCCCTCTTTTGTTCTTGCCGTCGAGTACAGTTGCATCGCTAACTGCGAGTGGCGGCGTGGCAGGCTGAGTCATGTGACAACTCTCGGTATCGACTGTCATGGTTCCGCTTCGTCGCTAAAAAAAGGGAAGCTTTCTAGCGGCGGCCCAAGCACGACCGAAAAGCGAGTCGATCCATGATCAGCAGCTCCAGCAAGCATGTTCCTTTGCGTGAAGATGGAAGTGTGTCTCGTGATCATCACATAGAGGCAACTGCTCTCCGAAAGATATCATGCAGGGCCACGAGATTGGCTGCCAAACAACTAGAACGGGCATGATGGAACGAAGACAAAGTGTCACAAGACGCTGCAGCGCGCGCTGGGCTGCAGAAGTGAGCGCACCGTCATGACACGTGAAACGGATCCACCCTTGCCGATCGTCCCGTCGATTCCTTCTCGTTTGACATCTCCGCTATCGTCGTGATCTGTATCGTCGAGTCTGATCGTCAAAATCGTCAATCTACTATTTTGACAGCCTTGCATTACAGCACACCTCGCAGCAACAACACCTGTTGTTCGCAAAGACACACCAGCACATCCTCCCATCCCTCTTTTCCGCTGCAGGGTAGCTTGACCGCACACACGCCCAACAGTGCTCCGCACAACCCTGCCGCCTCGTCTTGTCCTGTCTTCCCATCGGCAAGACGTACCACTCTCGATGGGGCATTCTTCGCATCGCCTTCCTCCGCCGAGTAGTACAGGAACAAGTTTCCCGCACCACCACCGCCTTCTCCACCCGTCACTTGAGGTGCACTTTCGAATGCCAGCACGACGTATCCTGAGCGACGTTGGTGGATGTGCACCCGTTGAGCGTCACGTTTCGATGCTAGGACGAAGGCCAGTGCTGGCATGATGGATGTGTGGTTCCAGGATCCAGCGGAAAAGCAGGTGAAGATGGCTCCGTCCAGATCGTGCTTCATCACCAAGGCTGAGCCGTCGTTGTCCGAGCTGGGAAGAGGTGTGGCTAATAGCGTGGAGCTTTCTTTCGCGGTAGATGTCTGGTAGCCATTGGGATTTGAGATGCTAGTGAGCACGAAGGGTCGTCCGACGTTGGCGTCTTCTTCCTCCAAATTGTCTTTGAGCAGGCTGGGTTGGTCGAGGGATAGACTCGTTTCACCATTCGAACCCGCACCCGAGGAACTGGTGAGGCCAGTACGATCCACTCCAAATCCAGCGGCCGAGTCTTCGTCCGCCGTGTACTTTTCCATACCTTCCAGCATGCTGAGCAGTTCGGACGGATCCATCGTCTCGGGAACATCGTCTTCGTTGTCCTCCCCGTCATCGCTTCCTTCTGCCTCTTCGTTCTCGTCGATCGTGTGACCAGCGATGGCGTGCTGAAAAGTGCTTTTCGCTTGCTGGAAGCTCGACTGCATCTGCGACCGACTCCTCTTCCGACTTCCGGTCCGATCGGCAAACACCTGCACCCACCTCGTCCCCTCGTGCTTCTTCTCCAAATGCAGCGTCAACACGCTCACCCCTTTCGCCTTCTCCAATGTCCACACGCTTCCCGTGGGATCGATCTCGCCCCACGTAGACCTCGAAACGTACCTTCCCGAAGCGATCATCTTAGCTGCTCTGGTCAGATCGTCATCCTGAGCTACAGCAGTTGAGCCCAATTCTGCGCCGATCTCGACTAGCCTCAATGATGATGTGGGTGCATCGAGAAGGGTGAGCGCCTCCTGGGTCAAGGAAAGGCTGAGCGCAGAGAGGGAGAAGTGAGAACGAATGTGCGAGGTGGTGATCCAGTTCGGTAAGACGAAGGCGAGCGTGATGGTGTCGCTCGTTTGCGCCCATGAGAAGTGTGGGGCTGGTCGTCTTGACGAGAGAGCAGGACGAGGCTCGGTGGCTGCTTCGGATGTACCCGATCGTGATGACTCTTCGAGCTCAGCTGCTGCTGTAGACTTGCCCGAAATGGTCCCGAAAGATGCTTCTGCGCCCAGCAGTACTTGCTGTTCATCGAGCTTAGCCATGATCAATGGCTCTTCGCCTTGAGCGTTCCACAGCACCGTGGCACTTCGTGTCTCTTGCCCTCCATTCTGTAGTTCCACAGTTGCACTCTCGACGCCATTTAGCTCGACCAGCTGCACCTCAAAGGAGGTTCCACCGCCGCTGATACGTCCTGTATTTGATCTCTCTGCTGGCTGTGCACCCTTCTGATACCCAAGACCTTGCATGTCCCCTCTCCCAACACTGCCTTCCGCCTTCCTCGACCGCTGCAGCAATACCCGAATCTTGCTCCCAACGCGCTTGCATCCCTTGATCGTATATCCCTCACCGACTGTACTGCGCGTCTCTGTACCACTGGTCCATCTCACGCTTCCAGCGTCGTTCCCCGAACTGACCTTTTGCAGCTCTATCAACACCACATCGCCTCCACCGCAAACCAGCCATTCCGTCGCCGAAACCGACGCCAGCGACGGCATAGCTTCCCCACTTGCTTCCAGACGATACACCGGGTGTCCTACCACCCTAGCTCTGCCCGTGTCGAACGTCAACGCCACCACGAACCCATTTGCATCAACATACGCAGCGAACGGATCGTCTCCCTCCCTCGTCCCCGCAGCAGGAACCAATACCTGGTGCAGAGCTCGTTCCTTCGTCTCCTTGTATCCCAAACCGGTGAACGTCAGATTCCCATCTTGTCTGACATGTCGAGATTGATACAAATCGACCAGCCGCGGTGGTCGGCTAGGCAAAGTATGCGAACGGATGGAAGAGCAAGTCGGATCATCCTGAACCAGTTTATATGCTTCGAATCGTGGGTTTAGCAGCGCTTGATCGACCTTGAACGACAAGCTATCCGGACCGGTGAGCTGAGAGGTCGAGGCTTCGGCGGGAAGCGGCAGACGATGCGCCTGAGAGTAAGCCATCCTCAAGCCATCCCTCTGTTGTCGGAAGATCGTTGGTATCTCTGTTGGAAAGAACAACACGTCGAGAAGAAATCCATGTGAAGGCGGCAAAAGAGAAAAATTAAAGCGTGTTCGCAACCTCCACTTTACTGCCGCGGGCTCTTTTCTCTCAATTCGTGTCGAATCGGATCTTGATACATGGAGCAGAGTCCACAAGACACAGATGCTGATGTGTGGTTCTCGAACGGATCTTTTCATTCACGAACTGTGGTTTTAGTCTTGCTTCATCACACATCATGATCTTGTTTGGCAAGGGTATATTGCTAATGAAATGAGGAAACGGGTAGAGATACTACATAAAAGTGACAGCGAACGACAATGTATCGTGTCGGGTTTTACTTGGCACCGGTAGCACCCTGAACGGCGCCCTTTGCCTGAGCAGCGGCGTCGCTCAGAGCCTGGCTAGCCTGCTGGCTGGCGCTCTGGGCGTTCTTCTGAGCCTCACCGGCCTTCTGGGAGGCGGTGTTGGTGGCGTCGCTGGCGAGCTGGCTGGCGTTCTGCTGAGCCTGACCAGCCTGCTTGCTGGCCTCATCCGCGAGCTCACCAGCCTTCTGCTGGCCGGCGGCGAGCAGGTGAGAGACCTGGTCGACGACGTGAGCGGCGGTGGCGCGGGCCTGGTTGACGAGGCCCTCGGCGTTGTCTCCGGCGGGCTTGATGTACTGGTTGGCCGAGTCGAGCGTGTGCGAAGCGAGGTCGCGGGCCTGGTTGGTCAAGCCGATCAGGGTCTGCTTGGCCTCCTCAGCGGACTGCTCGCCCTGCTTGGCAGCAGCATCGGCGGTCTTGGATGCCTCGTTGGAAGCGTCGTTGGCGGCGGCCTTGGTCTGGTCAGCGGCGTTGCCGGCGTGCTCCTTGCCCTGTCCGAGGAGAGAGCCTGCGGTCTGCTGAACGTAGGCGAAGGTGTTACCGGCAAGGTCGCTGGCCTGCTTGATAAGCGAGTCACCCGACTGCTGGGCCTGCGACGAGAGATCGCTGGCCTTGTTCGAGAGGTCGTTGCCGGCCTTCGAGGCCTGGTTCGAGGCGTCGTTGGCGAGATTCTGGGCGTCCTTCTGGACGTCGTTGGTAGTCTTGTTGGTACCGGGGACCTGCGACATTTTGAAGTATGATATGAAAAAGGGTGGATGGGATGGGAAGAAGTGTGGGTATGTAAAATTGGTTGGATGTGAAGAAAGAAGAAGATGTGAATGCGCAGTAATATATGTACTTGCTATCGACACTTGTGGCGGATTTCGCGACGGCACTGGGCTGCCCGCTCGGGCATGAACAGGCTTCCCCTAGCCATTCAAGTCTCAGATTGGATCGCAGACGTTCGGACAGCTTTGCCTTTCAGCGACCACGTTCGTCCACTGGCGGGCTGGCTGGCGGGCTGTCTGAATGGACCCAACGTGTTGCGACTCAGCCCCAGCAGCTGGGGCGCGTGGGCAGAGGTGGAGGAGAAATTCTCGCAACTGTCCGTGCGTCCGGAGTCTAGGCGCAGAATGATTTCACAGTCTGCGTGGCAGCGTAGATGGCCGCATCCAGATGACGCAATGGCGCGTGTGATTCCATTTCGAGCTTTGCAACTGCCGTCGCGTGCAAGATGCTCTATTTTGTCTCTCACTTCGAGAGCATGCTGCTCGCAAAGAACACACAGCCAGAAGTTCGGAAGAACACGCCATTCTCACATCATTCTTCCGCTGCTGCCAGCAACTCTCTGTGCAGTGCTTATCGCGTGTAATCTACTCCGATCTCTCCTCGATACAGATGCATGCACGGTGGGGTACGAGGCTGTTCCCCACTCAGCAATGGCAATGCCTTCAGCTCCTCTTTGACGCTCGATGACTGTCAAGCTCCGTGTGGCGTTCTTCGAATGTGAGCAACCTGACGTCGGTCAAATCCGTCTCCTCATATGCTTCATAGAAACATTTCGGCATCAATAAACACTCTTCTAGAGCCGCGGTGTTTGGCTTGCGAACATGGCTGTGTCGTTCCTCACCCGACGAATCTGCACAAGTTCGGACAGGGCTTCTCGGTCTCGCTTGGGGGTCTGCCGGCGCGCTTTTCCGCTGCACGTGAAAATATTAGGCGCTCGTTACCAGGAATAGAAACGACGACCTCCTTCTTTGCGCTTCTGTGGTTGTGGCAGATGCTACCTCATCAGACATTCCAGTTGATCTGCGTCCCGCATGAATGCATCGCTCAGCGGCCACCAGCAATGACAAGATGGGGACACACACCTCAGATGTAAGCAGCATGTTCCGATGAAGGTTTCTCGTAGGTCTGCTGTTGAGCAGTACTGGCTACTGCAGCAACGCAAGGTCCTTCTCGTTGGCGCCGACGCCGAGTACCTTGCACGCCAACTCGAACAGCTTCTCCTGTCCCTCGCTCCATTCCTTGCCTGGGTTCCTGAAGCTCGCCTTCATCAGCTTGCCCAATCCATCCCTCAGCGTCTTGAGCGCCACAAGGGTCTTGGGGTCGGCACTCGCAATCCTGATCCTCTGCCTATCAATGTACAGACTGTTCGATGCCAGCTTAAACTCTCCGTCTCCGCACAGCATGTACACCGCCTTGTCGTCCATCAGACCCGTCTCCCACGCATACAGCTTCTTGCTCTGCATCATCGTGTAGTACAGCATGTAGCTGCTCGAGCTGCGCACCAGCTCCGACATTTTTGCCTTGAAGTTGACCGAAGAAGGATGAATCGACGTCGGCTGGTTGTTGCCGATCGTCTTGAGCTGGTATGTCTTGCCGTCGATGTTGAGCAATTTCGGATAGAGACCGGCAGCCAGCGTCGCGTGGATCATGGCAAGACTCGACGAGTTGACGTCGAGGTGCGCCGGTATCGTCATGAAACGCGGCTTGGAAAAGTTGGCCGAGCCACCGCTGCGGTACCTCAGCTTGTTGAGCTCCTGTTTGAAAGCATCGTCGACGCTCACGAAACCGGCGTCGATCAGGTACGAAAAGTACTGCTGTCGTAGCTCCTCGATCTGCAGCAGGTTCTGAATGCTCAGGAAGCTGCGGTTGCAGAACGTGCGGTGGTGATTCTGAACAGTCGAGCGACGGAAGCCATTGAATGCGTTGGCGATGGTGAGGAAGTCCGAGTCGCCCAACTTGAAGCTCTGCTTGGCCCGATCAGCCTCAAGCTCTTTACCAAAGGGTGTCATGAACGGCGACTTGGAGTTGAGCGCCGCTGCGATCGTAAGGGCTGGATCCAGACATTTGAACAAGGTGGCGACCAGCAAAAACTTGCCCATGTGCACATCGAGCGGCATCTTGGACAAGTGCCGACCGAGATGCGTGATCTCTTCCGTCGACGTGAGCGCCTTGACCTCGACGAGCGCTGCAATGGCACGCTGCACGTTGGCAGGGCTTGGTGGATCGAGCGCCTGCGACAGAGCATTCTCGATAGAGTGGCCGATCTTGATCTTCATGATCTTGAGCTTGAGTGCCAAGTCCTGCAGCGACAAACGGAGCATCTCGGGCAGTGGATGCTCGTCCAGGTACGAATCGTGACGGTATTTGGTGAACAGGTGGAAGCAGATGCCCTCCTGCACACGGCCTGCACGACCGCGTCGCTGCTTGGCGTTGCTCCTGGCGATGAAGCACTCCACCAGGCGTGAGATCTGGCGCTTCTCGTCATACCGCATCTCGCGATGTTTGCCCGAGTCGATGACACAGGTGATGTCGGGAATCGTGATACCGGTCTCGGCAATGTTGGTGGCAATGACAATCTTGCGAACGCCGGGAGGAGGCACATTGAATACGGCGCCTTGATTTTCAGACGAGATGGTCGAATGCAACGGGAAGAGCTGAAAGCCTGCTCCCCCAAACGTAGGATGGTCGACCAGCATGTCGTGGCACTTGCGGATCTCGGCCAGACCCGGCATGAAGATCAGCGTGGCCGCGCTGTACGGCTCGAGGTCTTTGTCGAGGCAGACGCGCTCGAGGATCTTGATGATAAGATCGTGGTTGATAACATACTCGTTCATCTTGGCCAGCGTATCGATGGTCTTGCTTCGATATGCCTTGCCCAGGCTGCCGGTGCTGGGACCTTGACCGTCTGGATCGTCGTCATCATCGTCCAGCAGACCCGGGTCGTCTTCGTCTTCGGGCGAAGCTTGTGCCAGCAGCTGCAGCTTGCTCTTGTTGCCGGGCGCGTTCTGCTTACGGGCATACCCGTCGCCGTTACGGAAGCCGCGCTTTGGACGGAATGCGTAGGGCGAGTCGTCCTCGATGATGTAGTTGCTCATCTCGACAGCATCTTCTAGGTAGTGCACATTTACGGGGAAGGTGCGTCCAGGAACGGCAATGGTAGGGCATCCGCCGCAGTACTTGCTGATGCGCTCTGCATCCACCGTGGCCGACATGAGGATCACCTTGAGGTCCTTGCGATGCGCGATGAGCGTCTTGAGGATGATGAGTAGGAAGTCGGACTCGATGGAGCGCTCGTGAACCTCATCGATGATGACGTGCGTGATCTCGTTGAAAGCAGTTCCCTCGAGCATTCGAAGGACGATACCGGTCGTAGCGTAGACGAGCCGGGCATTCTTCCCGACGTTGCTTTCAAGACGGATCGCATAGCCAACCAAGCTGTCGTTGTTCCCGACGCTCTTTCGAGGCTCGCCCAATTCTTCGCTGACACGCTCGGCAAGCGAGATGGCCGAGATACGCCTAGGTTCGGTGACATAGATCTTGCAGTTGCGACCTTGCGACATGCAATGCTCGAGAATGTAGGCGGGCACCTGCGTAGACTTTCCACAGCCCGTCTCACCGCTGAGCACAAAGATCTGGTTGTTCTCCACCAGGTCGAGAATCTCTTGTCGATGATTGGCGATAGGAAGACCTTGCCGGCCAGGAAGCATCTTTTGGTAGGAAGGCGAAGCGACACGGTTTGCGATGTATTCGGCAATCTCCTTTGCGCGGGCTTCGGATGGTTGAGGCGCAGAGGCGGACGAGAGCTCGCCGAGCTCGGTCTGTTCCGCTGCAGCCGAAGCGTTGGTAGGGGCTGTCTTGCCCTTGATCTTCTTTGCTGCATTGGCCTCTTCCATCCTGACGCGAATGACGTCTCGAACGCGCTGGAAGCGGGTTCGACTCTTTCGGTCATGCTCGTCCTTCTGGAGGCCAGTGAGCTCTTCCCACCATTCACGATAACCAGGCGGCAAAGCACGCTGTACCGATTTGTCACGGTCAATGCAGAAGAGTGCAATTGTAGCCACGAAGTCGTCCGCTTGGAGCTGCGACGAGCAACCGACCGAGGTAAGAGTATACTCGTCGACGTAGGTGGGAGAACCAGCGGTGACAGGATGCTTATTCGGGACCACTTTGCCTCCGTTCCAGCGGATGGTAAGCTTGCTGCGGTGAACTCGACCGCCGGAAGGAATGGCGGTGAATTTGTACGTCGAGTATGGATCAGCGCGCTTGAGAGCATCGGAGAGCATGACGCGTGGAGTCTTACCTCCGCCTCCACTCTTGGCTCGCGCTGGGAGGTCGCGCATGGTGATGACGGATCCGGTTTCGTCGTCCTTGTCCTCGATAGGACCTTCGTTCAGGAGGTCGCCGAAGAAGCCGCTCTCATCGTCCGAGTCAGCATCGAGCTTTGGGTCGGTATCCGTCTGGTCTGCTGCTTGGGTGTCTTTGATTCCGAGACTGCTCTCGTCGGAAGCGGTGGCCTCGCTCGCCGACACAGGTTTGACATCTGCGCCGTTGCCAACGGTAGGAGAAGCAGAGTCGATCCCGGCTGCTGCTTCGAATTCGTCTCGTCGCTGTTGTCGTTTCTTGTCTTCCTCGTCGTCGGCAGCTTTGAGCTGCTTTTCGATCTCCTCACGCTGACGCAGTACCAGACGGAAGCCATCCGTGGCGGTCTTTTGATCAAAGTAGGCGCCGCGCTCGCATTCGCGCATGAAGTCTTTGGTGCGGCCGAGGACTCGCTCGAGCCTGGCGTCCTCGTGCTTCATGTGCGATTCACCTTCTTTGCCGAGCTCCTTCTTCCACTTGGACCTTTCCTGGTCGATGCGGATCTGCATTGCTCGCAGGATCGACCAAGTCGCTGTTGGTTTCTCGAGCGTGTCGATCTGGTTTGATTCGAGGTCGTCGTTCAGCTGGAGGATGAGACGGTCGCACGCTTTTTTGAGGGCTTCGACCTTCTCAGTGTCGACGTCCTGCTTTGTTCCGGCGACTGCTTCCGCTGGTACTGACGCCGCAGATGCATTCTGAGCACTTGCAGGAGGAGCAGCGCCTGGCACTTGCTTGTCATTAGAGGACAGATCCGTGCGTGCAAAATCGCCTTTACCAAGCGTCTCTGATCGAGTGAACTCGTATCCATCGTAGGCGGGAGGTCTACTCTCGTCGTAATCGTCGTCAGCGTCGTGGTCGGCTTCGTCCTGATCTGGGGCGGCGCCATTCAATGCCGGGAAGTCTTTCTTGTTGGATTCCTTTCCTCGACGATTCTTGGCAGCTTTTCCCTCTCCAGCGCGAATTGCGTCTTCGAGCACTTCTTCATCGAGCGCGAGATAAAGGTACGACAGGCAATCCTCCACGTCCGGAGACGGTGAATTGGAGAGAGCATCTTCGACTTGAGACGACGAGAAGCCGAGCTTGAGGAGAATGTTGTATGCGGTGAGCGCCCTCGCCATGACCTTATCTTCAGATTCGGTATACGCCGATGACGAGGAAGAAGATGCCGCTGCGGATGAGCTTGCCTGGCTGACGGAAAGCTTGTTAAGGTCTTTAGTCAATGTGGCCATGGCAAGAGAGGTGTGAGACGAGCCGACGCTGAGAGGTGTGGCGCTGCCAGAGACCGTGGCTGTGCCCGAGGCGGCGGTTGTAGGTGTAAGCGCAGCATCTGATGAGGCGCCAGGCGTGGCTGATGGTGCGTCTGCGGCGGTAGGATCGACAGCGGAAGCGATGGTTGTTTGCTTATTGAGGTCGGCGGCCACCTGAAGAACTTGATCTCGGAGCTCGGGCTCGATCTCAAAGTTAGGAAGAGTCTTTGCGAATCGACGGTCATATTCGATTGCCTTGTGCTGTCTCGAGACCTCCTTGTCGACTCGGTCTTGAAGCTTGTCGACGAGGTTCTGCAATGCTTGCTCTTCCTCCTTTTCAGGATCAAATACGTCGGCTGCCCTGCCGTTGGCGTCGGCTGCTATTGACTTGGATGCAGAGAGGTTATCTGCAAGGCTTTCGTCATTGATCTTTTCATAGTCGATCGCAGCTGCTGAGGAGGTGCTGGCGGAACTAGCAGCTGGTTTCTTTGCCGCGGCGCTTGCTGGCGTTGGTGGATCCTGAACCTTCTTCGGAGTTGACGTGGTGGCATATCCACGCTGGACGGTGCCCTTGAGCGTGGGTCTCTTCTTTCCCATCCTGTTCGTTCAACGAGGATGACTTTTCCCGTGAACGCTCCCGGATGGTGGAATGTGGTGGTGGTCGTGGTGGATAGACCTGTGTCACATGGGCCTTGAACGAATGTCAAAGCTCAGCTGTGACTTTGGTGGTGCGCCTTTTCCGGGCGGTTCTTCTCAAAAAGTCACACCAAAAACGCCTTTGCAGCTCCACATCATAGGCATTTACTTATTGATGTTACATCGGCTTACCGTACAGTACACGCTGCAACGTCGCGTCGGCTGTCGGGAAAGAGCAATTCTTCTCAGTTGTCACGCATGGCTCGAGCAAACTGCGCATTGGCAGAGTCGCATCAAGGGTCCGAACCATCACCATAGCCAGCACCTTAGAGAGCATCATCATTCGGAGCAGAGTGAGCTGGAAAAGCACACAGTCATGGTCTCAGCATCACCAGCGCCAGACGACGACGGTGCGGTCGGCGCCAAGACACAGCCCTCGAACCCGCCAGCTCTGGCTATCGTCAGGCAGAACGCCTCCAACCTCCCACGCAACCTTCCGGTCAAAAGATACGACGGTGACCCGCTCGGCAGGGCAGATGTGCAGCATCAGCTCCTCTGCTACCTCTTCGCCGACACAAGACGCGTTTTCACGAATCCAAGACCGATCGACAAAGCTCAGGATGGCAAGGCGAGCGGCTCAGGTCCAGTGCATCCGATCGCTGTGCCTGCGCCCGTCTATCCATTCGGCATGTCGGCAGGCTGCATAAGGCCAAGTGGCGAGACCGAGGAGGAGTTTCAGGAATGGCAGCAGTCCAGAGAGCGCTACCTTCGCTGGAAGAAGCGTCTCGACCGCAAGGAAAAGCAAGCTCGCAAAGCTGCAGCTGCTGCCGCCGCCGCTGCAGCCGCTGCCAAATCCGCCGAGGAGGGCGCCAACCACGATGCCGAAACCAATGGAAACGATGAAAGGGACGAGCTCGCCGACGGTGGTAACGACGACGAAGCCGACGCAGCTCAGGCAGATGGTGGGGCTGACGATGAGGATCTCGACGAAGACAACGAGCCTTTTGACGAGGACGAATACCCCAAAGCTGGTGCGCCCAAGCTCACCTTCAAGGAACTCTACATCGAGGCCCTTCTCAACAGCACCAAATGTACAAAGTCTATGCGCGACAAGGTTCTTGACGACGAAGAATACGCAGAAGACTTTGCCAAGGTCTGTCTTCTGGTCAATGTCGGTCGTATCAACACCACCCTCGCCTTCTACCCAGAGATGAAGACCATTCTTCGCTCGTACCATCCCATCCCGTCTCTGCAGAACAACGAAAACACGAGACGCAACATGCAGGATGCTCCTCGAATGAAGTCGCTCCTCAAAGGCGTCCTCATCGATACGGAGCGTCCCGCTCCTCCCACCGCCGGGCCATCCGCAGGCCAGCCCATCAAGCCGCCCAAACCGAATGCGCTAAGCGAAGAAGCTCCCTCTGATTTCCGAGAGGTCATCAAGCGCTTCCGAGCAGGCACGACGCCACCGACGAGTGTAGTGACGCTCATCTTCCTGCTCTCACTGCACGCCAACGAAGTCACCGATATGCATTTCCCTACACCGCACGACTCGCACTCGATGTTCTACCCGCACGCAGATCACCCGCTGCCATCAAGGCAAAGAGCAAACGCTTTCATGTGGATCCTCTACCATTATCTCGAAGGTCCGGCCACTCGACCTCCAGGCGAAATGCCCAACCCTTTCGACGACGAGACGTCTCGAAACGCTGCCAAAGACGCTGCAGAGGCGTACGCCAATGCGCTCACGGATGAGGACAGGAAGAAGCGCGCCAACATGCCATGGAAGGGTATCGTCAATCCGGAGTGGCAGAAGTGGAAGCAGGCGCAGGACAAGGCCGGTGCGGAAGGCGACGAAGGCGGGATCCGTATCGCGAAGAAGGACGCGAGCGAGGATGTGAAAAAGGAGACGGACAAGGATGGTGACGTGACGATGGACGAGAATGCCGATGGAGAGGACAAGAAGGAGGACGGCGACAAGGAGCCACCGTCGCATCTGCATCGCTTGCTGGTTCCCACGCTCGTCACCATGACCAAAGAAGAGGCGGCAAAGGAGAACGTCGATACCGAGGAGGAGATCCGATGGGGTAAGCAGATGCAATCTGAGCGAGCTACCTTCCTCGCCAAGTTCCAAGACGAGGAAGCTGCCAAGAACGCCGCTTCCACCGGTTCACCCGCTCCTTCCTCTAACGCTGCCGGTGGGAAAGGCCGACGCATTGGCGGCAACACCACAGCAGCCGACCGCGGATCACCCTCCGAAGCTGACACTTCGCGCCACAAACGACGTCACCCGAACGCAGCAGCTGGCGACATCTCCAAACGATCCCGCATGGCCAGTCCGATCGACTTTGACGATTCCGATTCGGACGCTGACGGCGCCGCTGCGACCACCGGTGTCGCAGCTGCATCGGCCAACCCCCTCACCACCGATCCGTACCTCAACCCGAACGTCAGCATCTCGGATCGAATCCGTCGACCGCTCTGGGACCTCGATCTGAGCGTTCCACGACAACACCAGATCACGGATTCCCTACCGCAGATCGCATGGACACGAATCCTGGAGCGCGCACAACGCGGCGTAGGCGACGCGTGCTACGAAAGCGACGAGGACGAGTTCGCGCTCGAAGAGGCGCAAGAACCGGAACGCAGTCGTGCTGAGATCTGTCGCATCTTGACGGGGTTGCAGGGTGTGGTGAGTCACGAGGTGTTTGATAAGGACAATCATGAGGTGAGGTTGAAGTATGGGGGGTACGAGAGACAAGATGATCAAGGGTATGAGGATGGCAGGGAGTACGAGGGGTATAGGAGGGGTGAGGGAGAGCGCAGGAGGGAGGAGCTGTATGAGAGTAGTACGCCGGTTCCGAGGAGGACGTATGAGGAGGGAGGCGCTGGAAGGGGCGAGGATGGTGATGAGCTGGAGGAGGCGTTGTTGGGTGGAGAGGGGGAGAGAAGGAGTGTGGGCAGGAACGGGTATACGCCTGTTCGCGTTTGAGTGTCGCTGGTGTGCGTCAACTGATCTTTCTCACATGTCAGGACTGTATGATTGCGGGTATGCGTGTTTGCAAGTGTGATGATGGTTCGATACAAGTACAATTGAGAGAAATGCTGGTGAAGAGGGTTGTCACTTTGCGGAGGACTTTTTGCTCTTCTTTTGCTTTTTCGATGGCGAGCTCGCCGGGCTGTCTGTTGACTTTGTCGTTGGTGCAGACTCCGTCTTGGGCGTCTTTGGCTTGTCGTAGCCCTCGAAAGGGTCCATTGCAGGGCGCTTCTTCTTCCCCGATGCTGGTGTTGACGCTGCTGGTTTTGCCACCTCCTTCTTCGATGTCTCTGTCTTCTCCACCTTCCCGTTCCTTTCTACTGGTGTCTCTTCGTCGAACTTGGTATGCTTCCCCGCAACTGCTCCACCCTCGCCTGCCAGCGCAGCCCTGATAAATCTCCCCGCAGCGCTCTTGTCCACCTTCGCACCCTTCTCCTCCTCAATCTTGCCCTTCTCCTGAACACCCTTGATCTTTGCAAAATAGCTCTTGACCCTTTCCAGCTCCTGCATCACCGGATGGTCGCGCGTATCCACACCTTTCGTCTTGAGAAGGATCCATACCAGGTCCATCAGTACGTATGCTACCGAGACCTGCATACGAGCTGCGTCGAGTCGACCTTGCAGTTCATCTTCGGTGTTGGATTTGACCGAGCTGTTGGATTGAAGTGCTGAGTTGAGTTCGGAGTAGGGGATCGAGAGGAGAGGTTGGAGGAGTGTATTTAGGTCGGTGAAGGATGATGCGAGAGCCGAGAGAGTCGGTAGTGGTGATTGACGTAGTGACGACATGGTCTGTGGTGCACGAAAGCGTTGTGGGTGGTGCGGAATGGTTGACGGAAGGATGGTGAGGAAGCGGAGAAGGTCGAGCGAATAGGACAAAAATCTCAAATTGTGCAAGAGGTGGAGTTCCGTGTGCCGAAAGGAAAATTTTGCCGTGCGAAAAGGAGAGCGAAACTCCGACGCAAGACAGCTGCAGCCGAAGCTGTCACAACCTAATCAAACAACGCGAACCAATTCCCCTTTGTTCTCTGTATGCGGACAAAGGGAAGACTTACTCTCAGATCCCCTGTAAGGTTTATCTCTTTGTCCATCAAATTGCGGCAAAAGTCTGACCTTGAGGGAGTGTACCGGAGTATTCTCACGGTCCGGACTGTCAAACAAAGGGAAAGCATATTGCATCGAAGCGGGAGGAGGTCAGAGCGCCCACATTTGCTTTCCGCAGGAAGAATTGGCGTCCCTTTGTTCTTTGCAGCCACGACTACAGGATCGCAGCAGAGCAGCCGTTTCTGGCTGGTTATGATCCGACGCAGCCATCAGCCCACATCGCTCATCAAGCTCGACGCGAACTTTCCCTTTGTTCTTCGGCGTTTCAACACGAAGGAAGGGTAGCAAAGTTTGAGAAGGCCCAAGCTCGCGTGCAGCTGCTTTCTTGTCCGGCATTGCTTGCCGGTATAATCTCCATAGCTGCGCCTCGCTGAAACGCCAAGCTTGCTCGAGTGATGCACAGTCGAAACGAGTAGAGAAGACGCTACAGATAAGGGGTGGATTTCCGGAACCAAAAAGAGACAAAGCAAAGAATACAAAGGGGACGGTGCGAAATCAACAGAACGCGGCAGAGAGGCTGTTGGAGCTGAGGGACTCTCTGCGGACGGGCATCGGCACCTGTCCGAGCGCATCGAAAGGCGGAAAATTGGAAAGCTCAGCCGAGAGATAGGAGGTGGCCTGACCGTCGCCGGCGCCAGCGACCTGCGCGTGCCCCTCGAAGGAAGCGCGCGGCTTGACTTCTTCGGCCACGGGATAGCACGTGCCGGTCAAAGGGAAGCTCTTCGCGTCTGTGTGGTTAAGCGATAGGTGATCAGCATCAGAAAATCAGTTTGTGCGCCATGGAAGAAAGGGGCAATACTCACCAGTGTGCATCGCGTCGAGCAGCTGCTTCTGACCGCGCTTGGGAAGCGCTTTGACTCTCCTGCTGTTGAGCGCGTTCAAACTCGGACTCTTGAGCAGATCGTCTCCAAGATCAAAGGGACTGTAGCGCGCCATCGAAAGATTGCTATCAAGTGTGCTGGAGCTGGTGTCGGATGTTGAGCACATGCTAAGCTCTGGAGTAGATTCGAATCGTTCACTCTCGGTGTTGCTCTCTATAGAAGGCGTCTTGCTTGCTCGTTGTTTGGCTTTTCTTGGCTTGGACTGTGTGGCGGTGGCCGTCTTGCGAGCTGGTGAGCGGCTCGCAGCTGTGTTGACGGTGCGGGCCTTGCCATGTTTAGGTGCCTTCTTGTTCGCAGCGACGAGATCGTAGACCCAGTCACCGACCTTTCCCTTAACGCCGTACTTGATCCAGCTGATCATGCTTGCCCAGTCGTCCTCGAATACTTTCTTGTCTGCGGATGTAAGAGGTCTTCCGAGGTTGTCTCGGAGGATGTCGTCCAAAGTGAGCGGAAGGTGTCCGAATGTGGGCGAGGGAGAAGTGGATAAGTCCGAGGTGTTCAATTTGGCCCGTACTAGACGCTTCATTCTTGAGCGATCTTCGCGTGCGAACTTTTTGAGAATGTGAGACCATCCAGAACGTCGGCGTGCATTGATGAACCAGAGCGTGAGTTGATGCACTCCGAGTGGAGGGCGTGAAGTGGAACATGGGTCGTCCTTCGCTGATGACTCGTTCGTGATCCTGACAAGGGCTTCCTTCTCTTCTTGAGTCGGATAGGGGCTGTAGAGTGTCTCCAAGAAGTGCTTCCGCATGTAGTACGAGGGGAGATTTTCCGAGATGTCTTGAGGATCAGATTGTACCTTCTCGGTTGCCTGGAGACATTTGCTTGCATCTCGAATCATCTCAGCTCGCAGTGATACGAACTGTTTGTCGAGGTATACGAACGTGTCGGCAAGCAGCTGAATCCTACCAGCAGCGTTGTGCACCTGACGTATCGAATCTGGATCACGAGCGATGCTCGCAATGTGCTCGGATGTTTCTTGATGCAGCACCCTTAGTTTGTTGACCAATGCCGCCGAGTTCCCCTCTGCTTCCTCGAGGAAATCGTTTTCTACCTCGTTCAGCGAGTGTAACAAGCTCTTGATAGAGAAGGAAGGAGCTGACATCTTGGTGAAGTCGTCGCTTGTGATGGACAAGTAAGAAGATGGAAGGCGAGATTGCACCGAAATTTGGTGTTGGCGTAAGGCAGTGACCGTGCGTGCGGAGCAAAAATGATTTTCATGCCAAAAATCCCTTCACCATGCGCCTTCCTTTGTTCCCATCATCATCAATTCGAAACGCGTTCTCTCGACCATACACGAATATGCTCAAGGAAACCATGACCGATGTTGACTTCTTCTCACAAGTCATCTCCCTGACCAGTCAGATCAGCACGAACCTTACTACAGCCTCGTCACCCATCCGTAAAACAGTGAAGTTGACTGCTACAATTCCCCTTAATCTAGGGTACGTGGAAGAGGACTCATTCAGCCTCGACCTCTCAGGTCTGGCAGTAGATAAAGCCTACCATGACGCTTTGCTCATGCTCTTCAAGAATCAGCTGGTGGACCTGGAGGAAGCATATCAGATCGAATACGATAAGGCGGTGACGGTAATGCGACAGGAAAATTTGTACGAAGAGGCTCACGACGAGGCTTTCAGAGGCCTCCTCACGAGGCTCTTTGCCACTGATTCGCAGAGGGTGTGGCACGTGATCCTTGAAGAGGTGAGACGAGCTCCACTCGCTATTGCGAGACAGTCAAAACCAGTCTCTACTGGTGCTGGCTGCCTGGTATTCAGCGATGGTGAGACTCATAAAGTCGGTCGTGGACATGACTCGGACGCGGTCCGAATCCTGGAGCAAGCCTTCGAGCACACACCCAACATCACGCAAGCCGAAAAATTCCAACTCGCCGAAGCCACCGGACTTCAACCAAAGCAAGTGACCATCTGGGTAAGTACCTACAGTATATCGAAGCTGTTTACACCGCAAGAGACTCGTGTTGTTTCGTGCAATGATGCGTATACTTGTGAAAGGAGATGCTGCGCACGAAGGGTCAATCCCTTTGATGAATGCATGCTACTCATGATCAAGCAACTATTCTTCTGAGGCACACGCCAATTGAACAACGTGTTCGGCCAATTTCAAATCGCTCAAAGCACTCACACGCATCGTCTCTCTCGTGTCCATGACGGTATCACAGTTCCAGAATCGTCGCAACCGCAAGGGCAAGAAAGGTTCAAAGCTTGCGATCACCAGCCAATCTGACTCTGACCCACTGTCCTTCAAGAACGGATCTCCTCCTCCCTCTCCGATGCGCGACTTTACGCTGTCCGAAAAGAAGCGCAAGTCGTACGGCGCGCTCGGTCGGGCCTCTCTCGACAGCAGCAGCTACGACTCGGACTCGCCCTCGTCCCTGCCCAAGAAACCTCGGCTACCAAGCGCAGAATCGGAGGTCAGCGATGGCTCTGCTTCCTCGTACGAACATCACGCCGCCTTTACTTGCTGGAGCACTCCTTCATCGCACTCGAACAGCTCGTCACTCGATTTGAGCGGCATGAGCGACTTTGACAGCCCGAGAAAGCCGCGCAACGTTTTCGACTACATGAAGCCTCGCACCTTGAACGTCAAGGCCATCACCTCCATGCCCAAGTTGACCATACCTGCGCCGCAGCAACACGCGTCCACAAACGCAACACTGGGTCAGCGATCCCCTTTCTTGTGCGACATTGCGACTAGCAAGGTCGCGACGGGCGCAAACCTCGACTTTAGCGGCTTGTACTTCAACTTGGACAGCGTAGCGGATGACCAGAGCTTCCGTGAGAGTGTGCAGAGAGTACTCAGCAACATGTCCGGCTACGAGGCAGACATCAGCAGGAATGTGTCGTCGAGCTCGTGGAGTTCTCAGCAGACGACGACGGATGACGATGGTTGGGAAGATGTAGATGACTCGATCGCGTCACATGTCAACGGGGGCTGGCAAGTTCAAATTTCCTCCGGGCCTACTCAGGTAGACGCTATGCCGAGTCAAGAAGCGCCGCAGACCACTCTCCTCCCTCGAGCCCAGTCGGCACCCCTCGATCAGACGAACAATGGTCTCAACACAGGCTCCGACAACGCTCACTCTCAGCCTTCACTCTTCGGCGACGACTCTTTCGATCTCAGCCAGTTCTTCCAATCGACATCGGTGCCTACGCACATGCCTTCGATAATGACCTTTCCGCAACAGCATGGGTTGTTCGAGGTGCCGCTGCCCCAAGTTCATACGCAAGAACTTGGCGAAATCGAAAAGCCCCTCGACATGGACCTGGACGACATTCAAAGCATCCTCGACAGCAACATCTTTGCTTCGTCCCTTCCCAGCTCGCAGCAATCGAACGGCGGGATTGCTCCACAAAATTCCAGCGCGCAAGGATGCAATGCGGGTACTGGAGCAGAGATGGGCGAGGGTGTGTTCCAGATGAACTTTGATCTGGACTCGAACTCGTTCGGCTATGTCTGATGCGCTTTCTGGACGTCCGAGTGATGCTGGTCATATGCCTCGACACCGCTCTTATACCTGCCTCTATTGGATCCGTGTTCCTGTCTTGTATGCTCCGTTCCGAGATTTGGCGTGCTTCGCCGCAATGTGCTCCGTCTAGCTTCAACATGTTCCGCAAATCAATATCCTCGCTCTCAAATCGTCGCACGCTGCACTGACTTGATGTCTACACTTAGTTGCTGTGCGTAGTGTCCGACCTGAGGTCTACATGAGAGGCTCGTAACTCGCACTGCCATTCGCTTTACCCTCTCCCTCCTCCACAACCTCCTCGCCCTTCGACCAACCCTTAAGCTTCTCCTCCCTCTCCCTCTTCTCCTGCTCCAACGTCTCCCTCGACTTGAACGCGCTCGCCAGCGGGAACACCTCCCTAGCCTTCCCATCGAATTCTGCTACACTTCCCTCCGATAGCTCTGCGAGCAGCGTCCTTGCAGCAACCGTCGTTTGCAACGCTTTGTTGCTCGACCGAGGACCAGTGACGCTCTCCACATTGGAGGGGAGGTTGAGCAGCAGTGCAACGGCTTCCTCCTTCCTATCCAGGAGCAAGGCTGTGCGCGCATTGGCGAACATGCCTTCCGGTGTGGAGGCGTCGGTTCCCTGCAGGAGTTCGGCGAAGAAAGTGGCGAGAGGTTTGTCCGCAGCGATGACACTGCTGAGGGCGGTCTCGATGACTGTGCCGATGGGTTTCGGTGCACCCTTCAGATCGGGCAATTTTGACTTGAGGCGAATCGCCATCCCCCCGACTCTCGCAGTCTTGCCTTCCAGGTTCTGCAGCTTCTTCAGTGCTCGAGTTGCCAACAACCAGTTCCTCTCCCTCACCGCTACCTCGAACACCGCCACCCATGTCTCCGATCTACTCGCCGAGTTTTGCTGCAACCACCGCAACCAACGTTCCGCTTGCTTCAGCGGCGCCTCCACACTCGACTTGAACACCTCCAAACCCTTCGGATCATTATCCGGTTTGGGGCCATCGTCGTCGATGCTTTCGCCGTTGGCAGCGGCTTCTTCGGCCTTGCGTTTCTTTTCCGCTGCTTCAGCTTCCTGTTTGGCGAGACGTTTGGCTTCGGCTTGACGTTGTTTCTTGAGTAGTTTTTTCTTCTCGCTCTCGGATAGACCGGTGAGGGCAGGGTCTTCTGTTTCGGTGGAGGTGTCGATGAACGCGGGTGTGGAGGGTTCGTCGTGCAGCTTTGTGTAGATCGAGATCGCCGCGGTGGCTGCTCGGACGTATACGGGGTGGGAACGAATTCCATCCTCAAAGCGGACCAGGTCGACGTACGATCGAAGCGTCATCTTGCGCATACAGTACGAGTGGAAATCCAACTGATCATCCCAGAACTCTTGGAAGGTCTTTTCCAACTGCACCAAGCGCTTCAACGCCATACCGTAGTTCTTCACCCTGAGGAAAGATTCCGCCTCCTCGACCAGATACCACAGCGCCTGCATCTCGTTCAGGTCGTACGTCGGCGAAGGAGCATCCGGTTTGGTGAACAGCCCCACGATCCGCTCCGCCTCCTCGGTACAGTCTGTCCGCAAGAGGTACTTGGCGGCTTTCGAGTTGAGGAATCGGTCCTGTCCGTCGAGCAAGCGGGCGTCGGTCATGGCGGAGGAGGCAGCGGAGAGGTCGCCCGAGCGTTTGAGGATTCGCGCTCGGACCATGTGCAGTTCGGGGAGGGTGGAGGAGTGGCCGATGGCCGAGTCGATGTAGTGGAGGGCGCGCGGGGAGTCGCCGGTGAGGGAGTAGTGTTGGGCGAGGTAGTAGAGAGACCAGAGGTACGAGGTGGGTGGGTCAGTGCCGTCTGGTGATGAGGCGGTGGTGGGGGCCCATTCGAGGCGAAGGGTTTCGACGATCTCTTCGATTGTAGCTTGCTTGGCGGGGTCCTGGTAGAGGGATTTGAGATCGGAGAATAGCGATGGAACGCCTTTGACGAGCGCGGACTTGATGTATGCGGTAGCTTGGGACTTGAAGTCCTCTCCCGTAGCGTGGATGAGTGCGAGACGCTTGGCAGCCGTTGATTTGGGGTGGTCGGCTTGCAAACCTTTGAACACTTCGACCGCCTTGCTATCCATCGCACCCTCTGTGATTCCTAGCAAGTTGAGCAGACCGGCAAAGTAACGCTTGTTCTCCGGGTTCGATTTGATGAGCTGTCTCCACAGCGCTTCCGCCTCGTCCTTCTTGCCCAACCCGGCGAGACACCTCGCCTGAGCCTCCTGCTTGGCGCGCAGATCCACGATGCGTTCCGCGCCATTTTCCATGACATCCAAGGACTCCTGAAACTTGCTCTGCTCTTCCAAGACGCTAGCGTGATACAGCAACGCCTCGCTGTACTCGTAGCTCCTATCCGGGATATCCCTCATGACGTTCTCGTACCCTTCGAGCACACAAACTGCTGCGTCCAACGAGCCTGCCAAATGGCGAGCAACCGCCAACCCGATCCAGTTCATCCTCAGATGCGGTTGCATCCGCAACAACGTCAACCTGTTCTCGACCATTGGCGGGTAGTTCCTCAGCTGCAGCTGCAAGAACGCCGACTCACGAAGCAAGTTGATGTTACCGCCGCCCTCAATCCGCAATGCCTGGGTGTAGCACTTTATCGCCTCCTCGTAGTTCTTGTCCTGACGATGCAAGATGCCGAGTGCGTGCCAACAGATGAACGAGGTCAGGTCGAGACGGACTCCCTTTTTGGCTAGTTCGATGCCTTCTTCGCGACGGTGGGTGGAGCCGAGGAGGAGACCTTTCATCGATAAGGTCTCGCCATGTTCGGGGAACTTTTTGAGGATGGTGTCGGCGGTTTTCAGGCCGAGCTTGTACTTTTTGGTTTCGTATTCCTGGATGAGGCGTTGGAAGAGACCTCGCTCCTTGGTGGGGAGCGCCGCGCGCTTTGGCGGCATGATCGGCGGGGAACGAGACGGGGGACCGTTGAGAGGTAAGTGCGCTGAATGGTGCTGAAAGAAGCAATGAAGGAAAGATGGAAGCAAGGACGGTCGGCAGTCTGTTGGTTTGACCGTGCGTACTGAGTTGGAAGCGGTTGATTGGCAACCGACGCTCTTCTTCCGATTTTCCTCGCCTAGAAGAACCGGGCTCGCTCGTCGAAAGATAGAGGCAGCACACGGCGACATGAATCGGTGATCGCTTTCTTCTGCCTTCCGTCCTTTCCGTCCAGTTTCGGATCTGATTTCAAGATGTTCGATTCTGGTACTTCACATATTTCGAACAATTAGAATCACACACCTCCACGCGGGGCACAGACTCGGCGAGCCGACTGAGTTGATGATCACCGCCTTGCAACCACTTCTCCACGCTCGACAACCATCACAATCGTCGCTCAATCGAGGGGTCACATCACACGCAACCCCCTCTGCTCAACATTCCATCAAGATAGTCGACCTAAACCCGGCTGCAGCAGTGCAAGCTGCTACGCCGTTCGCCCCGTCATCCACCTTGCACTCCCCCTCCTATCCACAGTACAACGATCCGCCGTCTTCGGCTTTTGCATCCACATCCAACACATCCACCAAATCCCGGCAGAGGCATCATATTGCGGATCCGATCGTCGCCTCAGGTGCAACATCATACGCACAGTCGAGCTCGATCCCCGCTGGCCCAGTCCGTCGTACAGCAGCAGCAGCTTCCGCGGCAACACACACCAAGAACGTCTTCTCCATCTCCACCCAACGTTGGGCAAAGCGTCTTGCTGATATGGCATCACCTTACCCCGCCAACAATGTCGGCTCCGCAGGCGCAGCAGATGCACCACGAGAAGTCTCCATAGGAGTGGGCACCGTGTACGATCGATCCGCCTTCAACTCCGGCCCTTACTCCCGCGCTGCCACCGACGACAATTCCGCACCGCTGCGTTCGCACTACTTCCTCTCGCGCGATGAAATCCTCAAAGGCGTAGCCAATCGCTTCGTTCATTCCAGCGCCTACCTCTGGTTTTACGCTGGAATGGCACTGGCTTCGCTTCTGACGGTGGTCATCAGTCTCACATCCGATTGCCCTGGAACGCTGTTCTACGGTCTCGAGCTTGCGATTAATCTGCTGTTGATCGCAGAAGTCGGTATAAGGTTGGTTGCGTTTGGCAAACAGTTTTGGAAAAGCACGTACAACGTCGTCGATCTAGGATTGGTGTTGTTGTGCGCGATCACGCTGTTGGTCATCTTCTTCCATCACGAATGTTCGCCCTTCCGACGATCACCGTCTTACCCAGACGATGAGGGAAGACAAGGCGGAAGATCTGGGAAAGGCGAAGAGCTTCTAGACTCGATCCTGCTTATCGGAAGGAATGTTGTGCAGGCAATGAGACTGGTGAGCATCGTCAGGAGGTCGGGAAGCAACGTCACGAGCAGACCGACCAGGATCGAAATCGGGAATCGTCCGTACTCGCTGGATCTGGATTTGGAAGATGAAGGCGCGATGGCGAGGGATAGGATCAGAATAGGAGAGGAGGAGAGGGCGCCATTGTTCGATGCGGATGATGACGAGTTGTAGTGCCTCTGAAATGTCCACGCTGTCCGCGCATTATGGGGTGATGTTGATCTGATGCTTGAACCTCGTCTGATCGTAGCCTGTGCTGTTCGAACAGAGACCATCCTGCGCATGAGTGTTCGATCAATGAGTGCCAACAATTCACATGTCCACACGGGAGCTAGCAGAACAAAAGGTATCATGATATTACTACTACATACAAAGGCTCTGTCTTACAAAAAGAAACAACTTCAAGACTTTTCATGCGGATAGTGGTTGTGCTGATACGGTGCACTGCTACCACCGGCTCCACCGGCTACAGTGTCGTAGCCTGGAGGACCGGTGGTGCTCTGATAGTCGTCGTACTGGCTTCCTTCCACATTGTGATATCCTTGCCCTGACGCAGAAGGTTCTGCGCGGTGGTCTGGGAATTGGCTCATGTTGCCTACGGATGGGTAGGAGGAGTGGTACTGTTGATGCTGCGGTTGGTGTTGAGCTGCTGCGTGGTCGTAGGCGGAGGATGCGTATTGGTCGTAGCCTGTTTCGTGTGCGGTCTCGTGCGGGTTCTGAGAGCCGTGTGCGACAGACGCTAGACCAAATCCATCGTCGATGGTGCCCTGGCGTCGGTCGGCAGGTGCGTCGGCGCGGTCATAGACGATCTCGTGTGGTTCGGGCGCACCGCCCTGTGGGATGGAAGGCAGCGTACGCGATCCCGCCATGCGCGAGCCCTGACCGAACGTGGCACCCGAGTATTCGGCAGCGTGTCCGTGCTCACCCGTGGGCTGACGGCGTGCACCTCCGGGCTGGTTGTAGTGGCTACCGCTGGCAGGAATGACGTTGCCATACGCGTCGTACTGCGGCTCGTGATGTGACTGCGATTGGTACTGGTCGTGCTGCCCGTAGTCGGGCATGGGCTGAGGAGACGAGATCTGAGGGTACGGTCGCGGTGCTGGTGTCAGCGAGTCTTCACGGAACGGCTGAGGGCCGACGCCGGGGACATAAGTTGCATCGCTGTGGCTGGTAGACATGCCACCAGCACCCGCAGCGGTCGACGCGGTGTTCTGTCGCTGGCCGGACACATTGTGGGCACCGTACCCAGCCGCATTGTTGAGCATGGGCGGGGAGTTGGCAAACGTTTCGGCGCCGCTTCCCTGTGCCTGTCTTCTACCGTAGCCCTGACCGACGCCGTTGATGACCGAGCCGCCAGCTACGGCAGCAGCGCCGGCACCACCTGCGCGGGCAAAGTTGCTGTTGGTCGAGTAAGCAAGACCGGGCTGATTGTGGTTGGCTCCGTTGGCGTAAGCACCGTCGTCGTAGTCGTTCTTGAGCGGCACCTCGTGTTCGGTCTCGTACTCGGCGAATTTGGGGAGATCCTGCCTCTGTGCGTTCCTGTCGAGGGTGGCCTGTCTGCGCTTCCTCTCAGTCTCTGCGTCGAGTGCGTCCATGCGCATCTGCTGGCCGTAGTTGTCTCGCACGGGGGCATTGGGACGAGCACCGTAGGCGTCGTCGATGTGCGAGTCTTTGACACGGTTGCGCCTCCTTCGACTGCAGATACCGCAGCTGAAAGCGCAACCTGCGAGGAACATGAGGATCCATGCTGCCAGCGTCATCCAGATGGCCATGCCGAGCGAAGCGGACGCGCCATTGATCGAGTCGATACGCTTCTTGGCGATGACAAAGAGCGCAAGGTCGAGGCCAAAGGCAACGAGGGTGATCAAGGCGCCAATACCAGTCACGAAGCTGCCGAAGCAGTTGGTGGAGAACTCGCGACAGTGCGAGATGAGGCCCAAGAGGACGGCGACGACGGCAAAGGCGAGCGCGATGGGATGGAGGATGAGGGTGTAGGTGAGACCCTTGATGACGGCTCCAGTGTACCTACTGCCGACGCCTTGCACACCGAGAAGCTGGTTGGGATCAAAGTTGTAGCCAAGAGTGGGGCTGCTGCACGTATTGCCGAGACAGTAGCCCAGGGTGCCGAAGCGGGCGACCTGGCCGGCCTGAGGACCATTGCCGCCGATGGTAGCCTCAAGGAAGTAGATGGACTTGATGATGGGAGTCGAGATGGTGACGAGGCCGAGCAAGATCGCAGCTGCCAGGGTGAGCAGCGTACCTGGCGTTGCGGGGCGAATCATGACGAAATGGGCGACCTCGGCGGCGCGTGCAGCCGGGTGCTACACGGGAACAATGTGAGAGATGCTGACGAGTTGGAACGAATGCACGGAACTTCGGAAGGCGTGAACAAGTGTGACACGGAGGTCGGGATCCGAGACCGCTGTGGTCGACAATCACACTAATGCGAAAGCGAGATGTTGAAGATGGTGTGTATATGTGGGCGTTGTCCGTAGCCTCGTGCTCCCGTGTACGTGCGACTCGTCTGCAAAGACTCGGATGGAGGTAGAGAAGAAGTGTTCGCCGCTCGCTGCTGGGATCGAGGATGGCAAGCGCGCAAGGCAGACCAGCGCCAAAGCAGATATGAAACGGAGAGAGCTGCAGCAGTAGTGACTTAGTGAAGCAAGAAGGACACGAAAAAAACGAGGTCTTGGCGACGTTGCCGAGAAATGAGCGTCATGAGCGAATAGGGGGTCAAGTCCCTCGCACAGGAGCGCCTGGATGAGACCAATGTTCATTTGTCGTTTGTACGCCTTTCTCCGCCTTTTGGGTGCTGTCTGGGCTGTGTGTGTCTGGCTCGGCTGTGCGGGGCTCAAATGTCAAATGTCGCGTTGCACTGCCTTGATTGTCAGGACCCAACGTGCCCTTTGAACATCTCCCTTCCATGTCGCGCTCTAACAATTACAGACGCAACCGGAAAATCATCGTAATCTCAGCTCCACTTTGCCAGACGGACCGCCGACGCTGGCTCGAGCGGGAGACTGCACGCACACACAGCCTCGATTGTGGGTGAAGCGCGAGTTCCGTCGATTCTTCGCACCGAGCAGCACCGATCTTGCTTCTGGCTGCCCTGGTGCTGCTGCTCTGCGTCACTATTCTATTGCCGATGGCCCTGTCCCGGCTGAGCTTCAACCTCGCTTACCGTCACACTGCCTTCTCACAACTCACTTTGACCCTGGATTTCTCTCACTTATCCACGGCTTCGACTGGATCATCCCCTCTCCATCCATCCATCAATCAGCCAACAATCCCGCTGCACAAGCACAGATGGCGCGCTTTGACGATCATCTCCCCACACGGCCTGTCGATCGCGACAAGGCCGAATCAGAGCTCTCCATCCACATCAAAAAGGCTACCAGCAACGAGGAATCCGCTCCCAAGCAGAAGCACGTCCGCAAATGCATTGTCTACACATGGGACTACCGAACTTCCCAGTCCATCTGGACCGGCCTCCGAGTACAGCCTATCCTCAGCGATGAGGTGCAGACATTCAAGGCGCTCATCCTCGTCCACAAGGTGCTCCAGGAGGGTCACCAGGTCGTCCTCAAGGAGGCTCAGGCACAGATCGGATGGTTCGAGACCTGCGCCCGCACTGTCGGTGCCGACAGCATGCGTGGCTACGGCTCTCTCATCCGTGCCTACGTCAACTTCATCCTCGCCAAACTCCGCTTCCACCGCCACCACAAGGAGTTCAACGGTCTCTTCGAGTACGAAGAGTACATCTCGCTCAAAAACATTGACAATCCCGACGAGGGCTACGAGACCATCATGGATCTTATGAATCTCCAGGACCAGATCGAGCAGTTCCAGAAGCTCGTCTTTGCTCACTTCCGTGGCTCCGCTAACAACGAGTGCCGCATCTCGGCCCTCGTTCCTCTCGTCAAGGAGAGCTACGGCATCTACAAGTTCCTCACTTCCATGCTCCGTGCCATGCACAGACGTACCGACGCCAGCGATGCGCTCCAGCCATTGCGAGAGCGATACGACTCGCAGCACCAACACCTCCGCAAATTCTACTACGAATGCGCTAACCTCAAGTACCTGACCTCGCTCATCAACGTCCCCAAGCTCAACCACGACCCTCCCAACCTCTTCGAGCTTCCCGAAGAAGGGCCCTACCTTCCACCTCGCCAGACACCCAAAGCACCGACCCCAGAACCTGGTCCATCCCAGGCTGAAATCGACGAGCAAGCCCGTCTGCTGAAGCAGTACGAAGATAAGCAGGCTGCGCTCAAGGCACAAGAGGAAGCCGAGAGGCAAAGACAGTCGGACCTCGCCGCAAAGCAGCAGCGCGACTTTGAAGAGCAGCAGCGTCTACAGGCCGAGCAGCAGCGACTCGCACAGGAACAGCTCATGCGTGCACAGATGGACCAGATGCAGGGTGGCCGACTCGCCGAGCTCGAACGCGAGATCCTCGCCATGCGTGGTCAGTACGAGCGCGATCAGCTCATGCTCGAGCAGTACGATCGACGTGTCAAGGCGCTCGAGACAGAGCTCGCCAACATTGGCCAAAACTTTGGCGCACAGATGCAAGGCAAGGATGAGATCATCAAGCAGCTCCAGGACCAGGTCACGCTCTGGCGCAACAAGTACGAAGCGCTCGCCAAACTCTACTCGCAGCTCCGAACAGAACATCTCGAGATGCTCGGCAAGTACAAGCAGCTCCAGATCAAGGCCGGCAGCGCACAAGAGGCCGTCGACAAGATGGAACGCATGGAGCGCGACGTCAAGGCCAAGAACCTCGAGCTCGCCGACATGATCCGAGAGCGTGACCGCGCCCGCTTCGACCTCGACAGGATCAAGGCGAGCCAGAAGGAAGAATTCGACCGTCTCAAGCGCGACCTCATGTTTGCCAACGAGCGTGCAGAGGACGCCACACGCGCCAAGGGCTCCGAGCTCTCCGGCATGATGGCCACGCTCAATCGCCAGATTGCCGAGCTCGAAGACTCTTTGCGCGAGAAGCGTATGGAGGCCGATGCACGCGACGCCGAGCTGGCACGCCTCCGAGACGAGAAGGATGCCGAGCTCGCCATCATGCAGGAGGGCATGGACGCCACCATCAAGCAGCTCACCGACATGCAGCTCAACCAGGGCGAGAATGACCAGGCCGTCAACGCACAGATCGACACGCTCATCCTCGACAACAGCAAAAAGCTCAACGCCATCATCGATTCCATCCTGCAGGCGTGCGTCGACAAGATCGACGATGCGCTCTACGAGCTCGAGTCGCCCTCTGGCACCGGCAACAACACCGCCACGCCCGAATACGTCTTGTCCATGATCGAGAAGGGCACCACCTCCACCAACGAATTTGCCACCGTGTTCTCGCTGTACCTCTCTGGCGAGGTGGGCGGCGAGCATGTCGAGGTGATCAAGCGCGCCAATCAGCTGGCGCAGACCATCAGCGACACGCTCACCAGCACAAAGGGCATCACGCGACTTGCGCAGAGCGACGACGCCGCCGACAAGCTCATCAGCACCGGCCGCGAAACCGGTAATGTGCTTCTGCGCTTCTTCGGCAACCTCCAGTCGTACCGTCTCGCCGGTGTCGCGCCTGCTCAGCGTCGAGACGTTGTGGCGCGTCAGAACATGGAGGCACGCTCTGCCTTTGCCAACCTCAACAGTGTGGTCGAGACCATGGTCAAGGCGGGCAACACCATGCTTGCCAATGCCAATGGCGACATCGGCGACATTGTCGAGCGCGAAATGATGAACGCTGCGTCTGCGATCGATGCTGCTACCGCCAAGTTGCAGGCGCTCTTGTCGAGGCCCAGGGATCACAACAAGTACTCGGCTGTCGATCTGCAGGTGCACGATGCCATTCTGGAAGCGTCGTTGGCCATCACACGTGCCATCGCAGGCTTGATCAGGGCCGCCACCGAATCGCAGCAAGAGATCGTGGCCAAGGGCCGAGGATCGTCGACCAACCAGCAGTTCTACAAGAAGAACAACCGCTGGACCGAGGGACTCATTTCGGCAGCTCGTGCCGTCGCGTTCGCCACCACCATGCTCATCGAAGCTGCCGACGGTGTCATCATGGGCACGCACTCGCTCGAGCAGCTCATCGTCGCATCCAACGAGGTCTCGGCCGCCACTGCCCAGGTAGTCGCCGCCTCGCGTGTCAAGGCGGAATTCATGTCCAAGACCCAAGACAGACTGGAGCGTGCGGCCAAGGCGGTCACAGATGCTTGCAGAGCACTCGTCAAGCAGGTCAAGACCATCACGGACAGGCAGAGCAACGGCGCCGGTGACTTTGACTACTCGACCATGGCGGTGCACGAGTTCAAGGTCAAGGAGATGGAGCAGCAGGTCGAGGTGTTGAAGCTGGAGAAGGAGTTGACCCAGGCGAGGAGGGTGTTGGGTGCGATGCGTAGGGCTGGATACCATGCTACGGAGGAGGATTAGTGTGAATGTGCTGATGATTTGAAAATGCCATCATGATGATTTTACGAGTGATGAGGGTTGGAGTGTGAAGTTGTGCTGCCTGCTGTGAATTGATTGACGGCGAAATTAGCCGGTGCTGCGAATGGAGTGAGTGAGAGTGAGAGGGCTGTGGAGTGAGGGAACTTCGGCAGGGATCCGCTCTGCAGTCGAGACCCTGAATTGCTTTCCCCGCACTTTTTTTGGTCTTATGTCCGTGTTCGAGATCCCCATGCAACTGAGTCTCGATCTCCTTTATCGTGCTCTACCATCGTCCTGTCACCTCAGCTTCCATCCGAGCAGATCACGCACTATGGCTACCTCGCACGAGTGGCACGCCGGTGAGCTGTACATCCAGTCCGCGCTCGGTCACGCCTCCGCCGTCTCCTCAGCCCACTCCATATTCCAGCCACGACTGACAGCTCAGCATCAACAGTTCCACACCTCGCTCAACATCCTCTCCGTCTGCACCCTGGATCGAGACGGGCGGCCATGGGGATCTTTCTTGACGGCGGCTGATGGTGGAAGCGGATTCATAAAGTCACCGTCGTTCAACTCGTTGGTGGCGTCGGGGATGAGGTTGCACGAGGATCATCCGGTGGAAACGGCGTTGAGGGAGGGAGCGAAGTTTGGTATGACGCGGTTGGTGAAGGGTGATGAGGAGAATGAGGGACCGGCGTTGACGTTGATAGCGGGGGTAGGGGTGATGTTCGAGAATCGGCGGAGGAATAAGTTCTCGGGGTTCGTGAATGAAAGGAATGTGGGGAGTAGGGAGGACAGGACCGTTCAGGTGGAAGTGATGGAGAGCCTAGGCAATTGTCCCAAGTACATCAACACTAGGATGTTGGTTCCCAACCCACAACATCGCCCTGTGATGCTGCACAATTCACTCCACCTCAAGCCAGGAGAACTTCTCCCAAAAGACACGCTGGATCACATAGCTCAAGCGGATACGATCTTCCTAGCCACGCGATACACCTCCCCCACCCAAACCATCTTCAAATCCCACCTCGGCATCAACCACCGCGGCGGCAAACCTGGCTTCCTCCGAATCACCACCGTCGCCGACGGCGAAACGCAACGTCAAGTGGTCTACCTCCCCGACTACTCCGGAAATCGCTTCATGAGTTCGCTCGGCAACATCCACAGTGACGGTGTGGCCGGGATCACGATTCCACTAATGAAGCAGGGGCTGCCGATCGACGTGGTGTACCTCACGGGGGAGGCGAAGGTGTTGCTAGGTGAAGAGTCGAGTAGCATCTTCCCTGGAGTAAGCACTTGTGTCAAGGTAGAGTTGACCGGGTTCATGCATGTGAAGGATGCGATGGCTTTGAAGATGGCGGAATCGTTTGATCCTACTTCCGGAGTGGAGGATTTCAAGACCGGCACGAAGGAGGATGGGGTTGGATGGAGCCCGTACAACCCGCCTATCAGGAGGCTCCGATCGGAACTATCCTCCACGACAGCCAAGAACCAAGCGATCGAAACCAACAACGAAGCGACCATCACAGCCTTCGAACCGCACACCCCGGACCTCGCTACTCTGACATTCCGCCTCTCAACCCCGATCAAGTACTCCGCAGGTCAGCACATCATCCTCGACTGTGCAAGGTTACTCAACTCGGAGGTGAAAGAGTACAAACACATGTCGGTCAAGTACGGTGGTGAACAAGAGCTGAATGATGGTGGATTGAGAACGTGGACGATTAGCTCTGCACCTCAGAAGCAAGAGGAGGAGGAGGTGAAAGTGACGATGCGAAGGGTGGAAGGCGGGTTGATCACGCCGAAGCTATTCGAGGCTGCGCAAGAGGGGCGGGAGAAGGTGGTGTTGCCGGTGTTGGGTGTGGGGGGAGATTTCGTGTTGCCCAGTCAGAGTCAAGGGAAGAAGATGCTGTGGGTAGCGTCGGGTGTGGGGGTGACGCCTTTCTTGTCCTTCCTGCGCTCGCTCATACGGTCGAAGCGTGAGGAGATGGATATCACGTTGGTGCTGGCTGTGCGCAGAGCAGAAGCAGCGGTAATGCTCGGTCTCGTTCTTTCTGCTGCAGCTGCTGCGGGAATTCCGTTGGTCGTCGGAAAGTTTTCGGTTCACGTCTTCTCAGCAGGTTTGACGGAGGATGCTGTCGGCGTGGCGCAGACAGAGGGCGCAGCGTTCGACATTACAGTTGCGATACATGATGTCCGTCTCACGCCGGACCTCTTACTCTCGATATGTGGCGCAGACGCGGAAAAGGCCGAAGCGTGGGTGTGCGGCCCACCTTCGCTCGAAACCTCCGTGATGCAGACGTTGCAGCAGGCTGGTTGGTCAGCGGACAAGGTTCATCGCGAATCGTTTGCTTTTTGACATGTACAGTAAGTAGTCTGCTTTTTTCTGTTCAAGCCATATCATATGCGTTGTGCGAGTGACAGATCCCCGGTCGAGACAGGTTGGTGAACAGGGGTCCAACGCGTGCAAGGTCCGAGTTCATGCATGCTGCGAAAGTAATGTGACCATTGACAGGGAGTGGCATCGACAAAATCCTCTGGCTGACAGCTGACACGTTCCCGCGGGGCGAAGGCGCACAGAAGTTCATCGCAGGAGGCCTTCGCACTTCGGTGACCTCTTGCTCGGGACGCTTCGATCCGGACCCTTGCCAACTGATGGATCGACAGCTTTGACCTGCTTTCCCCCACTTTGACCCATGCCGAATGATTTGCAAGGACCCCTGTGCCTGCCGCTCCCACATTCTGTGCCTCGTCGCAAGAGACCGAGCTCTAGACTTCATCTGTAGTGCCTTGCATCCTAACCGACAGTGCACATTGATGCTGGCAACCTTTGAACGTCGAAAGACAACAAGAGCGGGATCAACTCGGTCCGGCAGAGCCAGGACCGCCTCTTCATGTTGTGGGCACGGTCTGGCGTCGGTCGCTGGTTGGCGGCGAATCTCACACACAGGGGACGGGAAAAGGAAAGCTTCCCGCTACAACCACACACCCTAAGTAGCCCCTGCTTTGGCAAGCAGCCTAATACAAATGCCCTGAATTCGAAATATCGAGACTGAGATGATTCGAATTGATCGAAATACAAAAATCCAGGCCAGGACAGCACCGCCGTTGGTTGCGATCTGCTGGCCAATGTTTGGCTCCTATTTTGGGATTTGGTGGGTTGCGGGCCACACAGGGTAGAAGCGGCGCGATCCGGCCTGCAGCCAGGTTTGGGCGGATCATTTCGAAGCTGCATGCAGAAGCCAATTTGCAGCGAAAATCGTGTCAGGCTGAACGACAGCGCCTCAGCTCGAGGTCTGCCAATCACCTAACTCCTTGGAGCGTCCTTCTGACAGCCAGCCAGCCAGCCGAGCCAAGTCCAGCCCAGCCAGGCCGCTTTCGCTAATGTCCGTCTGTCGTCCGTCACGCCAGGCTGTGTGAGTCGGATTTCCGATTCGAAAATGAGTGATTTGACACGACACAGTTTGCATGCGTTGAGGGTGTGAGTGATACCGAGCGGGCTTGTGTGCTGTGCTGCTGTGTGGTGGGGCGAGTCTGCGCTCTGCCGCTCTGCATTTGTCTCGCAAGCACACAACACAGACACACACACACGCACTCCGCTGTCGATTCGATTTCGATCGATCCTTTTCACCCTTTCCCGACGCTCACCTCGCATTCTAGCTTAGCTCCTTTTCCCATCTTTCGGTCACCATCATCCTCATCCTCGTTGCTTTCCCTCTGCATCATCACACAATCAGAGGGTTCTGCGGCTGAGTCGACCGTCTCTACCTAATCTCGACCCACGTTCAATCCCTTGTCTGCACTCCAGATCACACCTCTCGAATTCGGTGCCGACCTTCTTGGATTATCTCGTCCGTTGGCACACGCACACGCACGCACACGCACGCTTCAGTTATCTGACTTTGTATCGTTCGGACAACACGTTGCTTCCGCACCATCATCACCCGCACCACGAACACCTCTGTCAGCGCATACGAACCTGATCACAATCGTCAGCATTCTCGACGCCAGCTCTGTTCGTCATTGTCATCATCGTCACTGCACAGCATCAGCGCATCCTCGCAGCATCGCATCATTCCGCTCAGTCTGCCTCGCCGTTCCGCTGAATCCGTGGGCTGAGTCGCACAACGCACCCGCTTCCCGCATTCAACAACAACCCAGCTGCCAATCATGGATCTTCGTGTAGGAGGAAAGTACCGCATCGGTAAGAAGATCGGCTCCGGCTCCTTCGGTGACATCTACCTCGGCATCAACATCATCTCTGGTGAAGAAGTCGCCATCAAGCTCGAGTCCATCAAGGCCAAGCACCCTCAGCTCGAGTACGAGGCCAAGGTCTACAAGACTCTGGCTGGTGGTGTCGGTGTTCCCTTCGTACGATGGTACGGTCAGGAGTGCGACTACAACGCCATGGTCATCGACCTTCTCGGCCCTTCCCTCGAGGACCTCTTCAACTTTTGCAACCGCAAGTTCTCGCTCAAGACTGTCTTGCTTCTTGCCGACCAGATGGTATGTTTACATCTCCCTTCTTTGTTCGCAGCGAGTTGTACCCGCCCTGGAGCGAACTGGCATGGTGCATGCCTCCTGTTCCTGTGAGACGCATATGTCCGCAGACAAGCTGACCTTTTTCGCATTGCATCTCCGTATTGTTTCCGCTCTCCAAATCACAGATCTCTCGAATCGAGTACATCCACTCGCGCAACTTCATCCACCGTGACATCAAGCCCGACAACTTCCTCATGGGTATTGGCAAGCGCGGCAACCAGGTCAACGTCATCGACTTTGGTCTCGCCAAGAAGTACCGTGACCCCAAGACCCACCTGCACATCCCCTACAGAGAGAACAAGAACCTTACCGGTACCGCCCGTTACACCTCGATCAACACCCATCTCGGTGTTGAGCAGTCGCGACGAGACGACCTCGAGAGTTTGGGCTACGTGCTCATGTACTTCCTCCGTGGCTCGCTCCCGTGGCAGGGCCTCAAGGCGGCTACCAAGAAGCAAAAGTACGACCGCATCATGGAGAAGAAGATGACCACCCCTACCGAGCTCCTCTGCCGAGGCTTCCCCTCCGAAATGGCCATTTACCTCAACTGCTGCCGATCCCTCCGCTTCGACGACAAGCCCGACTACTCGTACCTTCGCAAGCTCTTCCGCGACCTCTTTGTCCGCGAGGGCTTCCAGTACGACTATGTCTTTGACTGGTCCATCCAGCAGCGCAGCGAAGACGCCAAGGCCGAACCCGTGGTCAAGCAGCAGCAACAGCAGCAGGTCGTCCAGCAGCAGGCCGCTCAGCTGCCCCGTCGCAAGGTGCTGCCTCAGGAAGGTGATGAGGCCGTCAACAACGGCATGGACACCACCCGTGCTGCCTACGGCACCGCCCGACCCGCCGACAAGGCTTACCTGACTTCGCAGAACATGCCTAGCTCCTCCCGCCCTCTCAAGCGCGAGGACCAGCCCGGCTACTACTAAGCGGTTGCAAGCCAATCTGGTCCGGCATTGCCTCCGCACCAGTTCTTCCTCCTGTGCGAAGCGGTTGCAACTGCAGCAAAAGGGTAACAGAATCCGGATAGACGAGGGTGGTCACGGCGGACGAACGGCGACCGGCGGACGCTAGCTAGCTCGTTCCTCCTCTGGGCCCTCCTCCCCTTCGACTTTTCTCGTTCTGTTCACCTTGATCTGTCACGCATCCCCTTCGCACGTCCTTTCTTGGCATCCTCATGGATCTTTACGGCAATTTTTTTTCGGTATAGACGGTCGGGCGACCGCTTGGTTTTGATCATGTTCTTTTCTTCGAGTGGTGTCAAAGCGCTTCCTGGCGTACGCACGCACGCACACTATCTCCTCGCGGATATGCGAGAGGGCTTCGTTGGAAATAAAAGGACAGGTGTCCAAAAACATGATCAATCAACAGTCAGCCAAGCAGCAAGGAGCATCCAAGCCGCATTGCTTCTTCCATCAGCAGTAGCAGCAACAACAGGTGTGGCGGTCTCAAATTAGCCAATCTGCTCCTTGTCAAGGCTCGACGTCTCATTACCATCTTTCATGCCCGTATCAAATCCCGCCAAGGTCGTTTTCTTTTCTTCAAGTTTCGGTTCGTTTTCAAGCAAGTTTCGCTACTCTCTTCCTCTCCACTTCGACGCGCAACGTATACACATCGCGCTAAGCGCTTTGTGCAGCACCCGCCACACGCATTCCACCTCGCTGGTGCGAGCCAAGCCGCGCTTTGCTCGATCAACCTCGTGGCGTGGCTTCCCTCATCGCCTGTCCACGGCACATCGCTCGAAGCGTCAATCCCGCCAACTGTCTACTGTCTTTACTCGTCATGCATTACCCCTCCTCATCCATTCGCCCTTATCATTCCCCCTGCTCACGTGCAATCCTCCCATCTCATCTCGAAGTCGATCAACTCGTCTCGTTTACTCTTCTCTCTCGCGCGCGCGTCAATCCTCACTTCATCTCTTGGGATGCTTGTCATGTTTGTCACGTTTTCATATCTCTCTCGAAATGTTGTTTTCACAAATCGTACTGCGGGTTGGTGTGCGGTTTTGTGCTGAGTTGATGTGAGGGGAGTCTCTCTATGAAAGTCTGTGCTTGGGGTGTTAGAGAGGCTCGAGGGTTATGGGTAAGGGTGTGGTTTTGATGGCGGTAGAGCTGGGCGTTGTGCGACTGTGACGAGAGATTTAGCACACGCACACGGAGAACGAGCATCACGATCGAAGAACGGTCAAGAACGACAATTTTCACATTTGCACTTGTCACGCAGCACGAATGCCAGCTCTGTGAATGGCCCACTCCTTCTCCACCAGGTGCGTGACCTTCTCCAACGTCGACATCAACTTGTTCATGTCGGCGGACCATTCGTTGAGCACGTCCGCATTGCTCTTCCTCTTTTCGAACGTGACCAACCCAGCAGGTCGATCCATCTTGGCAAAAATGGTGCCGGTGGAAACGAGGTCTGCGAGGGAGGATTCGGATTGTTCCGGTGATAGATCCAGCAACTGCGCAAGACGCGCGAGGGTGATGCGTGTGTAGTAGGAGGAGATGACGCGGATGTTGTGTTCGACGACGCGTTTGTGCAGTTGTTCCCATCGATGCGGGCCGTCTTTGACGGGAGTGGTGGAGGAGTTGGAAGGTGTGGCGGAGGCTTTGGAGGAGAAGGTGGGGGAGCTCTTGAGAAGCGGTCCGTAGAGTTCTTCGATGCCGGGCCAACGCATCAACTCAGGCGTGGTGAAACACTTCAACAGATTCCTATGCTCCGGAACCTCCTCCAACCCTTCCTCCGCCTCCACTCTAGCCATCAAATCGCTCTGCTCATTATCGAACTTGGCCAACGCCAAAAACACCACCACGTTCCTCATAGCCTCCTTCCTCTTTCCCTCATCCTCCTTCACCTCCTTGGTATCGTAGATCTCGCGGTAGTACTTGCAGATGTCCAGGAACTTGTCCTCCTTCAGCGCGTACGAGACCATCAGCTCGTAGAATCGCAGCTTGAGGTCCGACTGCTTGGGCGAATCGAAGAACTTGGTGTTGATCTTCTTGCTGACGATGGCCATCTTGGCGAGGTCGTTGCGTTCGTAGTTGAGGCGCATCTGTTCGAGGATGAACTCGACCTTTTCGCGACGGTCCATGCTGCCGAACGTCTCGACGGCGAGGTCTTGCAGTGCGTCGGCTGCTTCGTTCACCTTGTTCTCCGAGTAGAGCATCTTGGAGAGCAGGAGGGTGACTCGGGCGCGTTCGACTTCGACAAAGATCTTGCCTTCGGTGACGGTTCGTAGGAGCTGGACGAGTTTTTTGCGGGTCTTGTCGTCAACTCCGACGTCGCCGATTCGTTTGGCGGCGTCCATGAGCTCCATCACTTTGGCGTTCTGCTTGCCCACTTTCTCCTTCTCCTGCTGCTCCTGATCTTCCTGTCGCTTTCGAGCATCTTTGGCCTCCTTGGACTCCTTCTTGCCCTCGTCCTTCTCCTTCTTGGCCGCCTTGGCCTTCTCCTTCTCCGCCTTTTCGGCGGCGAGATCCTTCATCTCTTCATCTTTGGCTTCCTGCTCCTTCCTCCTCTCCTCATCGGGATCGACGGCGGGGTGCAAGAAGCACATGACCAGCTGCACCATTCGAGTGGTAGCCATCTTGAGCTGACCATGCTTCTTGCTCAAGCTCGTCACGGTGTCGCTCAACAAATCCCAGTTGGTCTGTTGGGGAGATGGACTGTTTCGTACCAGCAGCACGGCGAGAAGCAACAGACGTGTGGTCGAGGTGAGATCGGCGGCATTTCGAGACTTCTTCTCGAGGGCAAAGACTTTCTCGAGTGCGGCGGAGAGTTGGGAGGAGGAGGCGAGGGATTGTGCTTCGGGAATCAGTGTGTCGACTTCGGAGGTGAAGTCGGCCTCCTGTTTCTTTTCGGGTGCCGACATGGTGGAGGCTCTGGCTCGGAGGCAATGCAGGTGGAACGGAGAACGAAGTGCGTGTCAAGGCAGGCTGGCTGTACGTTCAACGCGCAATGATGAAATGAGAAGAACGATGCAGCGGGATGCGAATGATGTGATGATGATGGTGGGAAGTTGTTTGGTGGAAAGTGTTGGTTGAGTGTGCGGCGGCTTGTGCGGTGCCAAAAGTGGAGCAATCGAGGCGGCGTGGCCTTCGATCACAGTCTCCAACGCCCAGCTTTGGCTTCCTCAGCTCAGCGCAGTCCGAACGCGTCTCGAAGCCGAGGTTGACAACCACTGACTAAAATTAGCTAAGCATCCGTCAGCACATGTTCCCAGCATTCTGACGCGTGACGCGTAAATTGACACGGCTACACGCTTCCACGCTGCGCAGTTGCACTTTTCCAGCCGAGTCAAGATCAACATCATCTTTGCTCCACCAACTCTTCCAGCGCCGACACCACTCTCGAGCTCCCCTTTGCCCTGTTAGCGAGCGCATCATTAAACGACGATGGAGCAAATCCTACGTCGAGAGCTCAAGACATGGCAGAAATCATTCAAGGCAAAGCACGGACGCGATCCTACAAAACGTGACATTCTCGCCGACCCCGCCATCGCTGGAACTTACGATACGTGGCAGGCCGTTGGAGGTGATGCAAAGGCCAAATCCAAACCTCGGTCTTCGGGTGCTTCGAGCACCGCCTCCAGCTCGAAGCAGAAACTAGACGAGAATGCCAGAGAGGAGGTCTTCAAGACGCCTTCCAAGAAACGACCGTCCAGCAGACCAGGTGCAAGCTCTACGAGACTGACGGGATCGCCGTCGAAGAACCCGTTCCGAACACCCACGAAGTCTCAGCGAGCAGTAGCGGCATCAGCCGTAACACCAGGGAAAAGCCGGAACCCCTTCGCATCGCCAACCAAACCTCCCTCGCCAGAAGTCAGTCCAGCTCGATCCCTGATCGAAGTCGAAATGACGCCCACAAAACGTTCGCCCCTCCTCGACACATTTTCACGCCGGAACAACTTCACACCGACCAAGCCATCTCTGTCCCACCAACATCAGCAGTATGTCGCATCCTCGCCATCGAAGCTGCGTACGACCCTCGAGGCGTCGATCTCTGCACGAAGGACCCCCACGAAGACCGCCAAATCGCGTGCTGTGGATGGCGATGCAGCACTAAACGCTGCACTGGTAGCCTACACGCCGAGAACCAAGGCGAGGAAGCGGCTGCGTGGCGAGGATGTACCGCCGACACCCGTGGCGACGCGGCGGGTCGTGTCCGCGGGGAATCTGGTAGCGAAGACGGAACCGAGACCGGTGCAGAGGGGATTGGGAGCGTTTGGGTTTGCGAGCGGTCGCAAGGTGAGCGCTCCCAGCTCTGCGGGTGTTTTCAGTCGTGCGCGTAGCGTTGTACAGACGAGGGCGGAGGAGGACGAGGAAGATGTGGACATGCACGACGAATCGCCTGTCAAAGCGGTGCGTCAGCTGCGTCGTGCAGCGTCTGGGTTCAGACCGCTTTTCGCTTCGCCGGGTGGGAATCATGCGCCGCAGGACGTGATCGGTGTTCCCCCTGCCGCTGCTCGAAGGGGCGATGGTCGAAAGGAGGCGGAGGACGATGCGGATGCGGTCATGGATGACGATAGGGTGTCGCCGGTGGGTGGACTATTTGCTACGCAGGTGGCGCAACGTCGACGCGCGCGCGAGTCAGAGTCCCCTGTCAAAGCGGTGGCGGGTACAGATGTCGTCAAGAAGCACAAGATTCGTCCAGCGTTACAGCTCCCCTCGTCGAGCGATGTTGATGACGACGACGTTTCGCTACAGAGGGGTGCATACGCCTCTTCCAGCCCAGCACCCTACCGTCGCAGCACCGGTGCATCTTCTTCACCGCACACCGACCTCACTATCCCCAGCAGCACGGCTCGCCCTTCCTCCGCCGACCACTCGTTCCTCTCGAAGAATCGCAAGTCGAACACAGCGAGCAGCAGTCCCACGCACTCCCATGACCTCCCCCCTCCACCTGCTGCACGGAGCGCAACTGACTCTTGGAGAAAAGTCCACTCGGTCGAGCTATCCGACTCGGAAGATCCTCTTCCGCAACCGGGTCACGTCAAAACCCTCACCATCACACCCTACCAACGCTATGGTACCTATACCGCATCGTCGCCCTTTACAGCGTTTGACGAAGACGACACGTCCTACACACTTCCTCACCCACACCGGGACATCAGTACATCCCCCAGCCTCTCGGACGACTCACCTCCCTCCTTCGCAGGTCTCAAACTTTCCCCTGTCCACCTCCCCCGTCGTCACATCAACCACCACCTGCTCAATTCGATCTTCGACCCAACCACCACTACCAAACACACGTTCAATCCAGAAGCTAGATCCGGTCCACTACAACCTTCCGCTTCAAGCGATGACGAGTCAAACCCCCTTCATCTCAATCACATTTCCAGCAACGATCACTCAGACTCCGACGACGATTGGCATCAAGAGGTCGATCAGGACTTTACCTTTATCGACTCGGAAATCGATCTTCAGGACGTCGCTTAGCATCCTCACAGCACAGCACAGCACAGCACAGCACATGCATCTCAATCGCATTTCGCATCCAGTTCACAGTCTTCAACAGCATTTGAGTAGTGGAAGCGTGAGAGCCTTTCGTGGAACAACATGGATGACGTGACTAAACTGGAGGGACCAGGGGTATTGAGCGTGTGCGACGTGACAAAACAAAACAAGGCATGGTACAAGCTGAACGAGACGAGAGACGAGCTACAACGAAAGAGCAGGTGGACGTAAAACAGATGCGCGTGCAAGGACAAAGAGGGCAACTGTGAGGAACAGAGCGTGCGAGATGAGACTGAGCTAAACCATTGTACCAGCAGGGGGAAAGAATCGCATCGGCGAAAGGATAGAGATGTTCCTTTCATCTCGACCAGTGCACGACGACGGAACGGTCGGTAGGACCGTGGTCCGCCACAATGGGGGAGCCATCGCAATCGACTTCGTGATCGAGTCTAAACGATTGGTATTCGAGCGTTGTGGACGACGAAGCGAACGGTGCTGGTGGTCGGTGGCACGACGATGGATACGTGCTCCAGCGGATGCGATCTGCTCTGGCACCTGTGCCATCAGCAGAGTCGAGCTTGTGCTCGAACCAGGCCCCTGTCAGGGTTCGTGAGGGGGGAGCCACGACATCCGTGCCGCTTAAGGCAGGCAGCTGCAGCGACAACTCTGCGAGCGAGGGCAGCGGACCACCATCCGATGGCAACAGCAAGGGACTCGGCCCTTCTCCGTCGCCCTTTGACGAAGCGCTGGACAGAGGCGATGTCGGTCGTGAGGTCTCGGGTGAGAGCAGATCGTAAAATCCCACATGATCGCCGCAGACTGGGTGAACGGGTGAAATGACCGGAGAGCGCGAGATTGGTGCCATGAGGTCGCCCTCCGACAGAGCAGATACTTCTTGGCCAGAGGCTCCAGCCGTGATCGGAGCGGCTGCCTCTGGCGTTGGTCCAAGCTGCAGTTCACCGTCATCGTCTGCGTCTTCATCCTCGTCCAAATCGCTGTCATTATCGTCAATGAGAGCTGGAAGCTCCTCAGAAGAGCCTCCTGCTAGGTCGATAACAGCAGGGTAAGGGCAGACGTTTGGGTAGCCAACGCAGCAGCTGGCTGCCGATGCTGGACGGGAAGCGGACTCGGCGAATCCAGAGTCGTCGCACGTCTGTGCTGCACTGACGGCGCTGGAGTATGAGTCGCTCAAGACAGCGTCTGGTCTTCCAGATCCAGCAGCCGAGTCCGCGATGGGCACAATGAGGCGCAGAGCAGATGCGAGCGATGGGAGCAGATGTGCAGCAGGCAAGCTCGAATCGAGCTCCTCTAATTGGCCTCCTTCTTCCGCCGGTCTGTCGGTAGTCGTTGGGCGAGTCGAAGTCTCGAGAAGCGCGCTCGCTGAGCTGGAGGTGTCTGAGCCGCTCAGTTCTGAGAGGAGATCTTCGAAGAATTGAGCCTCATCCTCGTCTGCGCCGGAATCGGAAGTGACCAGTGCGTCGACATTACTCGATGCAACGGCGCTATACTCGATTGTTGCCTCGGACAGCTCACGTCGCTCGCGTTCCAGACTGGATAGCATGGCATTGCGCAGTAGCACGTTTCTGCGGAGGCCTTCACCAGCCGAATCGTCGAGACGTAAGCGGCGTCCTGTGCTGGCACTTGATGTCAGAAGGGAGCTCTGGATGTGTTCCGGGACGACCTCGTCGACAAACTCGTCGGCATCCAAATCACGGGGAAGCGGCGTGCGGAAGACCGTCTTGAGGCTGCCGGGTGGGCGGAGCGGGCCCAAAGGGCCGCCATTTGGGATCGATTCGTCAGACATAATTTCAGTGGCTACGTTGGGTATTGATGGAGCGCAAGGATCCGGAGCGTCGTGGCTGGTCGTGCTTGCTTGCAGAAAGCGTGGAAGAGATACCATATTGAATTGGACCTGGCTGAGTCGATCGGCGATCAACGCGGCGTTGAAGAAATCAGGGTTTCGATGCCGGTGATCAGGGGGAAAAGAGGGGCCAAAAAGTGCTGAGCAACAGCTAGGGAAAGAGGATTTGCTGCAAAGTGATCTTAGAGGGCGGGCGGCGATTGAAAGGACAAGGCCGTTGTTTGTCGGAAATTAGACTCCCGGAAGGTGGAGAAGCTGACCGGCGTCCATGATGGGGAAGCGGGTTGCGTCAAGGCTGAAGCAGCAGCAAAAGCTATGCCAGGATTAGGGTTGGGTGGGAAGCGGGCTGTGTGACAGCTGCAGTCGTCATGCAGATAGATGAAACGGAGAGGCGGCGTGTGAAGCAGCGCAAACAGTAAGTGTCGCGGGTTTCAGGCAGTCATGATGCGCGCGGTGGCGATTGTGACTTAGATGCTCTCGAGATGGCGATCGGTGGTGGGGTTTAGAGATGCTGATGGTGTTGAGGATGGTTGCGTCAGGTGCGAGGCGAATGTATGGCAAGGGGGGTCGATCGAGGAGGTGAGGCAGGGGTCGAGGAGGCTGAGGCTGAGCCAAGGCCGAGTCAAGATAACATTATGTACTCGAGTCGCCATTCAGGGTCCAGCTGATCAAGCCCATTATTTTTTTTGTTTTGCGATAAAGCCAGGTTATGCACGCACGCCTGCAGAGAATCGCAGCCTGTGACTCTGGACACGGCCAATTGACGCTAAACCCCAATCCGAGTCAGCAGATCGCAGTCACACGAACCATCACACCACACAACGCGAGTCTTACGCGGATCGGTGGGCTGTCGTGATCTGCTAAATTATTGCCTTTGGGAGACCCGGGTCAAAAGGCGCGTGCTGTGGATAGTCAACTTGACCTTCACGATGACTCGTCGATGATCCGTGTCGAGCCATGACCTGCGACCCTTTTCTGACTCATCTGCTCGTCGAGGCACGACTTTAGAGCACTGCCGGAGCACTTGACCCTCCAGCACGCTCTCATGCAGCGGGCTGACACAGTTCCTTGGCGGACCCACAGACGAATGAGCTCGCGGTTCTGGTCTCATATTGCGTGGGCCACCGCCCTGTGGGATGGGTCCTCATAGCCAGCGAAGCAATGCTTGAATTCGTCTCACTTTGGATCGGTCAAATGAACGCAAGCGCCATCGACGCCAAACACAGCCGTATGACGCGAGAGTGTGTGAAAAGGAAAAAGTGTGTGTGCGGTCTATGTCGGAGCCATTCGATAGTCTTGATAGCGTGAGCCCGTGCTCCTCCGATCGACTCGCCAGACTCCAGCGCAAAGATGCGAGGCGCACTACTCGCATGATAGCAGAAGCACGGCGTATCGGCCCAAAGATCGAGAGCCAGAGCCTAGCTCACTCGGTATCAGCCGACTTGGCGCGACAGAGACGCCTCATCCGATGGCGCGCTTGCGTCACACGCGCTCCACGGCTGATTTCTCGACCCCGCAAATCTCGCATCGTAGATTGCGGTAGCGCTCGATTGTCGCGCTCTCTCACTCTCCCTCGCATCGTTTCACACGCCTCGCTGCTGATCATTGTCCGATAGCCGCGAGCCCTAAAGAGGCCATGCTCGCTACCATCGCTGACGTGAACTCCCGCTCGATACATGACCTCGCTTACAGCGTCGATGCTCGTTTGATCCGCAATTCGACGCATGTCGCTATTTTGGTCACTGCTGTTGCCAACTGAATGGCTGTCAATATTGCCGTCGGCAGCTCTGGAATCTGTATGCCGATTCGCCTTGATCACGGCGCACCATTGCGGAACAAAGTCACGAGCTGACCCTAACGACCGGCATGACACTCGGTTGCGGTTACTACAGTGCTCGAACACAGTTTCCTTTGGGTTGGCCCCATCCTCTTTTTCAAAGTTGAAAGATAAAGACGGTGAGTAATGGTGGAGAAAATCGTGGCCAAGAAAGGCGACAGCCAAAGCTCCCCCAACTTCTTTGTCACGCCAAGAAAAACAGGTCTAACACACGTAGCTCATTCCGTCTCGCAGGCTTGTTGCTCAAATTTTGGGAGCTTCATGCAGGGTTCAGTGCACTGCAGCGATTTAAGAGTGACATGCAGTGCAGACTCCAAGGTGCCGTGCCGAGCCGGAGTTGAAACGACTTTGCGAGACCAGAGATCTGGACCAGCGCACAACGGAGAAGGCCGACAGCTAATGTTACAGTAACGTCGAAAGACTGGGAGCGGAGCAGGGCTGCAAAGGTGGTCGAACAGAGAGAATGTGTCCCGAAGGCCGTAAGTTACAGGGAGATAAGAAATGCAGGCCAGACGAGAGACGTTCCTGCTTTTCACGTAGGTCGCTTGGACCCGCGACGCCCTCGTCGCATGGCCCCGCCGCTGTCTTGAGCTGCATGAAATGCCAGCGCAACGACTCTCGCCTTCCTTGCGACCTTCCCTATGAGGGTCAAGGACGACACTGCACCAAAGATCCCCGCATTTAAGACTGCGCGAGATGTGCGGCCTTCGATAAGAAGGAGCCTGACGAGAGGAAGCAATCGTAGAAGAACAAGGTGCAGCAAACTCCGCTCACTGCAAAAATTGGAAAGGTCTCGGTCCCGCCCTAACGAAAGGGAAGCAGAGCAGCATTCTGTAGCGCTGCCTTGCCTGGCTACGGTACCGCGGGGCTTGGCATTTTCCAGTTTTCGTACTCCTACCTGCTGGTCTTGCTTCTCCGCCCCTTGGTGTGAGAAGAAACGGCTTCGGGCAGACTCGGTCGTTGACCACTACCATCCCTCCCTCCGTTGCGTGGACAGGGATCGAAATGCTCGAACAAGGCATCGCCGCATGACAGAGTTTGAGTTCGTCATCCAGCATTTGTGCATTCGGACAAAGTGGAGGAGAAATCCGAATCGAGGATCTCATGACAGTCACCTAGCGAGAGGAAGTTCGAAGGTGTGTCGTCGAGCAAAGCGCAACGACCGTGATTCGTTCGACCCGTGCTTCGAGTTTTCCGATCAGTTTCAAGGGGCGGATTAGAACGGGCCGACTTCGGTGCCTCGCTGGTCTCGCACCGAAAGAATAGCCGGGCCGTCCAATCAGTCTTGCTCGCTCGGTCCGTTGACAACCACCATAACCCTTGAGTCTGCTGATAGCAACTCCAAGCGCTAGCTCGCGCAAATTTACTTAGCAGTTTATCTTTTTACTTTTATTTTTTCGATGTGAAGCTCTTCCTGCGCATTGACGGCTCGCTCGCCAGCCTGTCAGCCATGCAGGTGTGCAGCCGCGTGACTGCAGAGCCAGCTCGCTGGACCCTGTCAGTCTCTGCGCCTTCCTGTTCTGCGCGAACAGAGATGCCTGCCTGCCTGCCTGCCTGGGTGACTGCCTGTACGCCTGCCCACCTACCCGACCGACTATCTCACTATCTGTTCTGACACTTGGCGGACTGCTCCTGCTGCTCGACGACAGGAAGCTCTCGAGCGAGAACCCCTTCTCCCACCTTCTCTCTCGGTCAAAGCTTTGTTCTCGACCACATTGTACAGCTGCCTCCGCTCAACGCAGCACCACTTTAGCGAGCCTGGTATCATCAGGAGCACCGGTTGCGCCCATTGCTCTACTCGACGAGTCTCTCGGCTCATCTCTGTTCGGATACCCCGATAAGTAGCCCGAGAAAGGCGCCCCAAGACTCTTTCGAGATCAGGCTCATATCTGGCAAATCAACATGGAGGCATCAAGCGGAGCCACAGACAAGGGCAAGCAGAGGGCGCGAGCGCCCCAGGACCAGTCTCTGCTCTCTTCAGACGAAGCGAGCTCCTCTCGCACGCCACAACCCGTGGCCATTCCCATCAGGAACACACACGGCGATGACTCGGATGCCTTGACCAACAGTGCTGGTCGCCGACGCCCATCCCATGCGAGGGCAAAGTCTTCGCTAGGTTCCGCCAACATTTTCGATTTCTTCGGACCAAGCTCTCTCGCGTCCAACAGCACTGCTGCTACTAGTTTCCACTTCGGCTCGCCCGGCGGCAGCCCCAAGCAGGCTGCAGCGCCAGATTCTGTCGATCCCGATAATAGCAGCGACGAGGTACAGCGTAGCTCGCTGGAGCGCACGATTGATGCTGTGGAACCTCGAGCAGGGTTGGGACAGTCAGAATCGTGCTGCGTCCAGCAGCTCGGTCTATCCGAGGCTGTGACCACAAGCCGAATTGAGATGGGCGAGACAAGACTCGGCGATGCCGCTGCCCCCATGCCTCCGCTGTATCCAGAGGAGACGCTACCACACTACGAAGAGGCGCCCGAGTACACGCCGCCTCTCTCGCATCCTGCTGCCAGTGGCTCTCGCTCCAAGACGTCAGCGTTCCGAGCCGCCGCAGCCAGCCGCTTCCTGTCGAGTCGCATCGCCAAAAAGCTCAACCTGCCTCCGGCTCTGCAGAGTCGTCTTCAAGGGACCCAGACGCCAACTCCCTTATCGGTCTCGCCAGCACAGTCACCTCATCTGTCGGCGGGACCTTCCACTGGCAGGACTCACTTTGCGAGGAGCGACAGCGCACCGAATCTGACTCAAATTACGCACACACAAGCTCGTAGGCGTTTCGAGGTGCGCAACTACGCCGCCACTGTATACATGGACGGCGCCAGGATGGGTCCTTCGCCGCGTCCGACCCGGGTCGCATCTCCAAGACCCTCTACCGCCGGTGCCGATTCGGTCATGTCCCGCTCGAGAGCAGCACCTGTCGTTCGACCCTCGACCAGCAACGGTGTGGCGCGCAGCGAACCAAGGCGGCCAGGCGCTTCGCCTCTGCTGCATATGGGCACCTCCTCCGTCAGCTCCTCCAGGAGGAACAGTGGTGAGTCGCGCCCAGCAAGTCGCGCAACCACCAGATCGGCTCCCAACGGCGGTCTCTTCACCTGCGGATACAATGCTACGCGAAGCGGCACCGCAACTCCGACACGCCCAAGTCTGTTGAGCAAAGGTAGAAGCCGCAACGTCAGCTTGCGGAGTCTGGGCGATCTTTTGTTGCTCCATCGCGATCGCCATCGCGACGACGTCCCCTCGGACGACAGCTCCGTTTGTCACCACCAGCAGCAACTTGAGGCTTCTGGACCGTCAAGCGCCATCTCCCGCGAAGTGGTCTCGCCCGTCTCGCAGGAATTGCTCATTTCTGCACGAGTACGTCCCAACCCGAATCTTCGTCCCACGCTCATGAGCCCCACCCACAGCAGCCCGCAGGCCGGCATCGATGCAGCTGAGTCTGGCAATCCAGTGCTGATTTTGCCGCATCAAAGCAGCCAAAGGAGATCCGACCCGCTGCAGAAGCTCCCGCGAGAGATTGTCCTGACCATCTTCAGAAGCCTGGTCGATCTCCACGTCCAAGAGCACGAGATGGCGGTCCGGAATGGGAGCTGGCGTGGCAAAAGGTCGAGCGAGACGCGATGGGTTGGGACGGAAGCAGCTGTGCGCGAGCTCGCTCGTCTCAGTCGTGTCTCGCGAGCGTGGCAGAGTTTTGTACTCGACGGCCAGCTATGGCAGAACCTCGAATTCTCGAAACATCCTGAAATGACCGAGCAGGCGATGGTCAATATCGCCAAAGCCGTAGGTCCCTTTGTGCGACGCTTGGACTTGCAAGGTCTCACCAGTTTGCGATCTGGCGTTCTGCTTGCCCTCGCCAAAGCGCTGCGCCCCGAATCGTCCAGCGAACGGCAGCTGTCCTCATCGGCATGTGGGCCGTTCGCCACCCGGCAACTCGAAGTGCTCAATCTCCAAGGCTGTCGCCACATCTCGACGAGTGCACTCAACACTGTCCTCTCGCAATCGCCCAGCTTGAGACATTGCAAGCTCGCTAGTCTTCCATGCGTCGACAACACAACGTTGTGCGTTTTAGCTGCCACCGCCATCAACCTCGAAACCCTCGACATAAGTCGTTGCCGCAGCATCGATGGCGAAGGTATCCGTGCAATCTTTGCCATCCAAGAGAGCGACACCAATCTCTCTGCTGTCTCCAAGGAGCGCAATGTCGGCTCTCGCTTCCGCGAGCTGCGTGCTGCCGGTGTGAAGGGATTCGACCGCGACACGCTCAGTCAGCTTGGCAGGCACTGGCCGAATCTCGAGGTGCTCGACCTGAGCTATTGTAGCGATGTCACCAACGGCGCTATTGCAGCTCTGGTCAGTAGTGATGGCGATGTGGTCAGCGAAAAGGGGCACTTTGTCCATCTGACCCCACGTCAAGCAGGTAGTCAGCACGACGACGAGGTCATCAGGCGAAAATTTCCTTATCTCAGGAAGCTGAACCTTTCGTCATGCCGAGCCTTGACCGACCGTGCCTGTATGTCTCTTGCGCATGCTGTGCCAGCCCTCAAGGTGCTTGAGATGGCAAACATTGGCCCTGCGCTCAAAGACGCAGGTTTGGTGAAGCTGTTGGCCACCACGCCGCAGCTTCAGAAGCTGGATCTGGAGCGAGCCACGCAAATCACCGACGCAGTCCTTTCAGTCCTGACGCCGCCCGAATCGCACTCCGAGGCGTATGGGCTTGCCGTCCCGGATTCGGACATGCTCATGAACGGGACGAGGCCGCGAGGCTCGCTGCTCGACATGGCTCGAAGATCCGCCAGTAGGAGGAGACAGACGAATCGATCGGCGTCGACTACTGCAGCTCAGGAGGAAGCACCGCCGACGTACGACGCGGATGCAGTGGCGGCTCTGATCCCGGCGACGGGCACGCATCTCACGCACTTGGTGCTCTCGTCCGCCAACCGTGTGTCGGCTGAAGCGATGCTGTTGCTGATCAACCGATGTCCCTTTTTGGTTCATCTCGAAGTGGATGATACGCATGCTGGTAACGAGGTGGCCCTGCAGTTCGTTCAGCTTGCACGATATCGCAAGGTGCGAAATGCGTACCTGAGTCTCATCGACTGTAGGTCGTTCTCTCGAGATGCGTATTCTCAGCTCAATTATGGTGATGCGGCCGACGGTGGTGTCAGGCCGAGGAGCGGATCGCGTGGTTACGCTTTTCGTCACTTTAGCTACGATGATGTAGAGCCGTCTACTGCGGTCGCTACCGTGAACGCAGTCGCCGTGGGAGTCCATGAAGGGCAGGCCATGCTAGCGGTATCAGCGACGAACGGCGGGTCCTCCATGGATGGGCGCGAGGGTGAACGCGACCGAGGCCACGATGAGTGCAACGATCTCCGGCCAGTAGTCAAAAGCTTTTGGGGCTGGCAGCTGGTGGACGCGAGGAGCAAGCAGAAGCGCAAAGCCGAGCAACGTGCTGCAGCCCACCGACGACAAGGAGGCCGCGGCAAAGTCAGCAGCGTCGTCGCCATGGCGTTTGGTTTGCCCTCGGCTGCCATCGCCAACGCCGACGCTGCGACATCTGCCGCTGCAATGCACGCGAGAACTCAGAGGGGCGCGAATGCACCAAGATGGTCACGCATGCTGCTCGGACCTGAAGCAGCACGAGACGATGAGGGGAGGAGCATGAGCGATGATGATGACGATGAGGATGCTCGTGGATGTACCGTAATGTAGGCTCGTTGCAATAGTTCAGTTACGTCGAAAGAATCAGTAGCAGTCCTGAGGCCTTCTGGCGTTGTGCGAAGAAAGCCGACAGCGCAAAAGGCCAGATAACGGGCCAATCTGTGTTCGTGTATTGCAAGTATATATGTGCCTGATACCTTTTCGTCGACATCTGCGGCCACAGGAAGTTGAAAACACCGCATCCCGTCCGATCTGCGAAGTTAAGCAACTTACCGCCTAGTCAGTACTGCGGTGGGGGACCACGCGGGAATCCTAGGTGCTGCAGTTCTTTTTTTCTTTCTTTTTGAGAGTGTGTCATGTGGAGTTGCGATTTTGGACAAGTCCGTGGAGCGCGCATAGATGAAAACGGTATTTGTCATGTTTGAGGTGGTCCGAGCATACCGGCCGCAGTCAGCGTTGGTACTAGCTGCCGGAGTGAGAGGAAGAGATGTCGTGTGTGTGCCACCATCATCATCGACATTGATCTGCAGTCTACATGGCACTACCCGCTCTGCTCAGAACAACCCTATTGCGTCCCATCCACGTCGCAACTTCACTCCAACGATCTTACTTCTCCACGACCTCTCAGCTCAAGATGAAGATCCACCCGGTGCCCGTTCGAGACGACAACTACGCGTACATCCTGCAATCGTCGGTGGATGGTTCGGCCGTATTCGTCGACCCGTACGATGTGGATGCGGTGTCTAGCGCAGCGACCAAGCTCGGTATCTCGAAGGACAAGGTGGTGGGTCTTTTGACCACGCACCATCATCACGATCATTCCGGTGGAAACGATGCTTTCTCCAAATCCTTCCCAGGCAAACCTGTCTTCGGGGGTAGCGATCAGATCCCTGCCCTGACGGAGAAAGTCGCTGATGGGGACAGCGTAAACAATCTTCTCCAAGGAGTGGACATCAAATGTCTATCCACCCCGTGTCACACCCAGGATCACATCTGCTACCACGTCGTCGACTCCTCCACCGGCAAGCAGGGCGTCTTCACCGGCGATACGCTCTTCATCAGCGGATGCGGGCGATTCTTCGAAGGCACCCCTACCGAAATGCTTTCCGCTATGGACAAACTCTCCTCCCTCCCCGCAGATACACTCGTCTACTGCGGTCACGAATACACCCAATCCAACGTCGCTTTCAGCGCTGCCATCCTACCCCCCTCCGAACCTGCCATCAGTCAACTCGTCAAAGATCTCCAAGACAAGAAGAACGGCGGCGTAACCACCGGTATCTACACCATCGAGGACGAGAAGAAACACAACCCGTTCATGAGATGCCGAGATCAGGTGGTCAAGGATAAGCTGGTAGAGCTCGGCGCAGCAGGTGCAGGTGGGAAGGTCGAGAGCGAGGTAGAGGTGATGAGGTTGCTGCGCGAGCTGAAGAACGGTGGTCAGGTCAAGGCGAACATTTGAAATCGGGTCGTGTTGTTCGGGAATTCATAGCAGGCTTCCGTTTCGGTCGAAACAATCACAGTGTGTGGTGGTGTGAGCTCTAGAGACTGCGTACAAGCGAAAGTGACATAAGAGAGTGGAAGACGTGCAGTCACGAAAGCGGAAGGTCCGACAAGCCGACCAGACGATACACGCGAAAGTTTCGGCGCAGAAAGAGCGGCGATCGCGTCCTTCTGCAATCACCAGCTCCCGCCAGTGTGTGCAGCGCAGACGATATCGCGCCGAGATCAGATCCTGCAACAGGCGTTGCAGGCAGCTCGAGAGTCATTACCCCGTCAAGACCAGGTTCGGACTTGACCTGGACAGGGTCCGACGAACACAGCAAAGCAGGAACCAGCTTGGTTCGCTGAGCCGATGGAGACTCTGGCTCTATCTTGACCCGCATTCCCTCGTCAACGTTGACAGCAGCCACACTAGCCGGCTCTGGCGACTCGAGCTTCAATGCTGCTGCAAACGACACTCTCCTGTTCCGCTGCGGTGCCGCGGCTGCAGCACTGCCACCCGCATCGTTCCCAGAGCTACGAGCATGCGCCGCTCGAGCCCAGACGCTCCACATTCTCCGCACATCCAATGCTGTTGGCCGTACAGACTTGAGCATGTACTTTGCCAGCTTAGCAGCCCGATGTTTCCGGTCCAGGTACTCGCGTTTTCTCCTGTTCCACTTGATCCCCTCCGCCTTTCTGCTCGTTCTCGCTAGATACCGAACCAGGTTTGAAACGCAGATGCGTGCCGACGCGACTCGCTTGGCGGCGTGTAGCTCCTTGCGCAGGGCAACGTAGTCCCTTCGCTTGTCTCGAGGAAACAAGCCGGCAGGATCTGACTGTGATTGCGACTGTACCTGCGATGCTGATCCACTGTCGCATGTAGCTGGAGTGTCCTGAGGGATCCTTGCTTCCACTGGAGCGGCGATCGAGGCGCTCCATCGAGCCCATTCGATTCGTTCTGCTGCGGAGCGCTCGGCGCGATAAGGTAAACTGGTTCGCTGGTCTGTTTGCGCGATCGCAATGCGCGCGAGCCAACGCAGCTTCCGCGCCGAGTGGATGAACAAAGTGTGCGTCTCCTTATTGTATGGACAGCCCCGGTCTGCTGGCAGCCGCAGACATGCCTCGAAGGAAGGTACAGGCATATCGACATGGGGAGCCCCTGCGTCCACTGTCTCTGCCTTAATATGTCCCGGGCCAACCATCGCACTCCCCTCGGGCGTAGCGTCTTGCGGGCTGAGCTCACGAATGCGTGGAGGTCGACCTCGTTTCCTAGGGATCAGCATACCGTTCTCGTCGAGCAGCTCCTTCTTTTGCTTTCGCTTCTGCTTCTTGAGCGCTTTCTGTCTGACCATCTCCCAATGTGCAGGTTCGCGAAATCCATTTCTGATGTGCGCCTTACTGTCGAGCTGCGCTATTGCTCCTCTGTCCCGCATCTTCGCAGCGGCATCTTTCCTGGGCGACGATGCAGGCAACCGGCGACGGGAGCTTGACAGTGCGGTGTCGAGATGTAGCTGGTCATGCTGGTCGTGAAAGGTTGCGGTCGACGCGCCGCGCTGCGATTCTTGCTGTTGCGATCGCGACCAACCATTGGAAGGCGGAGCGCTGACTGCCGATGGAAGAGCATGAGGTGGTGATGCAAAGAATTGCGGCTGTGAGAAGGTGACAGAGGCGCTGAAGCCCGGATAGGCTATACCAGGCATCGGTCCGGTTGACATGATTGGCTGTGTCCATGCTATGGCTTGCCCAGGTACATGCGCCATGCTGTGTGCGGGCGCCATGAGCGAGCTAGACACCTGGTAAGATGGCTGGCTGGCGGGGTATGGATAGTATGCAACTGGGCCTTGGTACGACATGCTGCCAGGTTGCGCCTGTGCAGGGCCCAGAGGAGGCGCGACTCGTTCTGCACTTCCGGCATGTCGATCCTCTGTCTCGGGGTGAGAGTAAGCGCGCCTTTTCCCCTTGGAGCTCGAGGCCGTCTTGTGGAGTGCCAAAGCATCCAGCGGGGATTGAACAACCTTTGGTCGCGTTTGTTCTTGGCGTTGCGGCGGCAGATCCTGGGAGGGTCGTCGGTCTCTGGCTTGCGATCGAGCCTTGTTGATTGAGGTCTGACGTGCTAAGGAGAGTAGGCTTGCATCGATGTTACGCGGCGGCTTCGACTCGGTTCGGGACGTCGAGGACGCTGGTGGCCCTGGTCGCAAGCCATTGTCGACCGCATGCAAGTCCTTGGAGGAGCCAGCTTGGGACTCTGAGCTGTCTCCGCTGCGTCTGGCCGCATTTGACGTCTCGGTCTCTGTGGGCGTAGACCTTGCAAATAGGCGCTGGTAAGCCCGCTCGAACTCGAGGTCGACATCCCTAGCGCTCATTGTAGTGGTTTCGTCGCTTGGCTGGTTGGTGCCATGGCTCGAATTCTGCCAGGACTGGCGGCTTGAACCAATACTGCCAAATCGACGTCCGTCTTTTGGACGATGGTGTTCGGGGTGAGGCTTTCAAGAGGCGGATGTCGACCGAATGTGGTGTTGCTTGAAAGCGTCAAGCCAAATTTCTCAAAAGTCACACAATTCAGTCGACACTCCACTTGCTGCCTACCAACGCGCACGAGACCCTTTTCGGGATTCAGCACATTGCATCGCGACGCGTACACACCCAGCTGCCGGCACTCCAAGCATGGATGGCATGTAGGTCTACACAGAATTCAGATATCGCTGAACCAGTCCAATGCTCAGCTACAACTACGCTCGCCAGAAATCACAACAGACTAACAGAAACAATTTTGGAGACATGTATGAGATTTGCTGCGGACTCTTTGTGAGCCTTCTGATGCTGCGATATGGTGTGGCTGATTCTCTTTTCGAGAAGCAGACTAGACAAGTGGGATGCGGAGACAAGAGTGCGGGTTACAAACTCGTCCTGGTCGCCGATGCAGATACAATCGGTCGACCTTTTCGATCGTGAAAGGCTCTCATCTGGTGAAGAATCGAGCTGGCGGAAAAGTAGGGGGAAGATGAGGATATGAGAAAGAGAGGGGGGACGGAAACGTCGACGAGATGCGCTACAGCTTCACGGATCAGGAGCCGCTGCAACACATCGCATCCACGGTTTGGACGGACGCAACTCCATCCAGACAGCTTGATGCCGCTGGTCCACGACTATCGACCGCCGCAATATAGAAAAAGTACAAAAGGAATCCCGAAAAGGTTGGGGTCGGCCAAAGGATCGTGAAGCACAGCAACGCTGTCGGTGAACCAGCAAATGCGGAAGACAACCGCTTAACGGTTGGATCGGGCAACACGCTCCATCTCGTCACGCTTCTTGATGGCGTACGAGTTGGACGAACCCTTGGCGGCGTTGATGAGCTCGTCAGCGAGGCACTCGGCGATCGACTTGACGTTGCGGAAAGCAGACTCTCGGGTACCGGTGGTGAGGAGAGTGATGGCGGTGTTGACACGTCGAAGGGGCGAAACATCGACGGCCTGGCGACGGACGGTACCGGCCGAGCCGATACGGGTCGAGTCTTCACGGGGACCAGTGTTGATGATGGCGTCAACGAGGATCTGGATGGGGTTGGCGTCGGTGAGCAGGTTGATGATCTCGAAAGCGTGGGCGACAATGCGGACGGCCATGAGCTTCTTGCCGTTGTTGCGGCCGTGCATCATGAGCGAGTTGACGAGACGCTCAACAATGGGGGTCTGAGCCTTCTTGAACGACTTGTTCTGGTAACGGCCAGCAGTGTGGGGAGTGTATACGGCATTGCGGAGAGCGATGTAGTCGGTGAGCGAGATGTCCTTGACCTCGACCTCCTGGGCGCTGTTGAGGGTGAAAGATGAAGAGAATGAGCGAGATGGTCAGTATTTTGTTGTTTGACACGGAACAAGTGTGTTTCTCCATGATCTCGACAGAGCAGCGTGATCCAAATGTGTGATGGCCTTTGGAATCGTGAGGCCCCATAATGAATCGTGCTACTGACAATTGTCCACGTAATGGATCGATTGACACCTGTGCCTCCGCATTCAACTTCAGCCAAGCACGTCCTCCAATCGCTGCAACCATGAGTCCAGAATAAATGCCTCCAACTGCTGCGTGCCTGTGCTGCTCTGTCGATATCAATGGTGTCGATGCGGATACTTACTCCCACTTGCCGAAAAGTCGGACACCGCCAACCTGAGGGGCGGCGACGGCAGCAACGTCCTCTGCGAGATGTGAAAAGGAGACGATCGCGAAGCGTTGATGAACGATGGTGCAATGGTCAGTAAGGTCTGTTACGTGGTGATGGAAAGGATTCTGCAACGGCGGCTCTCTCTCGTCGGTCGGCAATGGCAAGGCGGGGCAATTGTATGGCAACGATGACGGTTCCACTGTCTTCGGGTCCAACTATGTGACGGCAGTGAAAAGTGATGGTGCTGGAAATGGTCTTGTTCCGTTTCCGAGACCGTCAATTGAAGATGAGGTGGTCGAACACATCATTCGTGATGAAATCCGCCTATCTGTGCATCGATGCTGACGGGCGAGCTGTTATACGTCACGGTGAAGTGTACTCCATCTGCACGTGTGCATCGCCATGCTTTCAAGTATGTCATGCCAATCTTGGTCTGCCTTCATAGCGGTGCAACAGACGGAAGTGACATTTGCTGGCACTTCCTGCGGTGAGGCCTGATAGTTGGTGTTGCTTCGTCGATGGAGTATGTCCGCTGCTGATGCTACTGCTGATGCTGATGTGCCAATGCCATGCTTCAATGCTACTGCCTTTCCCTTTGCCATTGCCGCTGCGATTGCGAATGCCTTTGTCGAAGAGAGAGCTACGCCGATTGCTGTTGGGTGGTCCGTTGCAATGGAAACTCACTAGGAATTCCAACCTTGACAGCCATGATGGGCGATGTGTGTGTCGATATGTCTTTTGTCCGCGAAAGGGAACAAAAAGTCAAGAGGTGATGAAGGGTCTTGAAGAGGGTGGTTGGTGGAAGTGCAAGCGATTGATGATGTCGAACTCGAAGACTAGCCGTGGATCGCTTGCTTGGCCGGCTCATTCACTGAATGGCTGGATGACTGAACAACTCGACTCGAGCTGCAATTCTGGCTCACACAAGGCAGCAGCAGGCGGCCTTCTGCTTCGCCACGCTTCGTCGCTAAGCTCTCTTAGCACAGTGGCTGCCAGGTGCACTAACAGCTCGAGACTCGCTGCAGGTCTGTGTGCTGCCTGACTATGGACCTAATCTAGGTTTTGAGCGTGACATCGCAGTGTGCAGGCGAATTGTGGATTGGCATCGAGCATGGATTACAATTTTCTAGTTATGGGCGAGTCTGACTTAGTTTGTATTCAAAATATGCTATATTTCTTGTTCTTCATCGTCAATTTTTCAGGGAATTTGCACGTGATCTATTAAGAATCTCGACCGATGTTGACAATATTCCGCCCAGATAGAATCGGGGGCATGAATCTGGCGATAAATCGGATCTACGATTCTACCTGATCAGGCCGTTGAATTGGCCTGCAGCCTCCCCTCACTCGCTGAGAAAGGTCAAATCTTGCAGTCCTCAGCGTCACGAAACGGCAAGTGTATCGAAGCGCCTGACACGTCTTTGGTTGTTGCGATGCGGTAGGATGCCTGATATCTTACTCTCGATTCACAGGTTTCTGACCAGACTGCTCCACGATATCGCCTACGCTGCCTCCTCACGCACAAGGAGGATGATGGATGAAAATCAGGAGTGGTATATCAAACAAACAAGTTTCCAGTGCAGAAGAACCCTTATATAAACTAATGATACAGAATCGAACCACATTGATATCGTGTCGTGGTCGAAGAACGCAGTCCGCAGTCCGCAGTCCACGAGATACGAGGTGGTGTGAGCGGAGAGCAGAGGAGTGGCCGGCCGATCATGTCGATACCAAGCGTGCACAAGTCGAGACCATGTTGAGCCGGACCAAATCCACCTTTTGTCGACACGTTTTAAGCGGGGATGCAACTTCCTTGGCGCAAGAATAACAAATTCGAGTTCGCATATCATCGACACGCGTTGGGCGAATACGTCGGCCACTGTTGAAAACCGACGATCGCCTCATACCCCACCTCGAGCTTGCTTCTTTGGCGGCTTGTCGCTGCCGGCGTTTGCCTCAGTCTTGACACCCACGGTTGGAGGCGCTTTGAACGAAGCAGTCGATTCGACGGCGTCGAGGTCGCCGATGTTGAGAACACTCAGCTTTCGGTCGGCCTGTGAGATGGCCAGCTGGTGGCGCTTGGCCAGCGGCTGAGGCCTGGCGCCAACCTCATCGCTCTTGTCTCCATCCTCCTGTTTGGTCTCGACCGTGTCGTGGACGTCCTTCCATGCAATATCAAAGATGGCGCCCCCTCCTTGGTACTGCTGTACCAGCGCACCGTTGTCGACACGCGAGATGACGACCTTCTTATCGATACCGCCTGTGGCGAGGTAGCGAGCGCACGGACTGAATCGCAACGTGTAGACATTGTCTTCGTGTGCGTCAATCACACGGATGCAATCGCCATTGTCGGCATTCCAAAGTCTGGCAGTCCAATCGAAAGAGCTCGTGGCCAGCATCCTGGGCTGGTCTGGGTAGGCCGAGCCAGGACCGGTTGGACACCACGCGAGTGCGTAGAGCTCCTTCGTGTGGCCGGCGAGCGTGAGTCGCAGTCCCTTGTTGGGTCCTTTGGCCGTGGTGGCGAGAAGGCTCGACGTAGCACCGCTATTCGACGCCGCTCCCGCTTGCCCATTGCTACCCGGTGCCGGAGAAGCACGCTCCTTGTTGCTGGTAGCGTTCGCCGACGACGAGCCGACACCGACAGAACCAGGCGTGGCACGGTCCTTTTCGCGATCGCGATCGCTATTGTTGTCGTCTGCCGCTCGCTGCGTGCCATCGTCGTCCACGTCCATTCCCTCCAGGTGTGCGCTGCCGCCTCGACGCTGAGATGCTCGCTTGCGAAGATGGTCGCCAGCCGATCCAGCAGCACCGGCAGATGCTCCACCTGCACCGCTGGAGCCAATGTCCAGAGCCCAGATCTTGGCTGTGGTGTCATCGGATACGGACGCTAGCAGCGTCTGAGATGGATCGAATCGAATCGCGTTGACTTCGTCTGTGTGACCTTTGAACGACTTGACCGGCTTGGGCTCGCCGAGTTTGCACAAATTGATGCTGTTGTCAGCTGAGCACGTGGCAAAGTACATGTCGGCGACCGTAGGGCTCAAGCCGTGCGGCATGGGCGGCGGCGCGTCCGACGACGACTTGGGCTTGAGCGAACCATCGGCAGTCGACAGCCACTCGACGTCGAGGACGCTGTCGCTGTGCAGCGGGAACGTGTGTCGCGGCTTGCCGCTGTTGAGGTCCCACACAATGATGGTGCCGTCTGCGCTGCCGGTAAGCAGCATGGTGCCTTTGCGATTCCAACGGACGCTGATGACGGGTCCTTGGTGCATGGACATGACGAGATGCAGGTCTCCCTGTGGCGTCCAGAGCCGGACGATACCGTCATAGGAGCCTGACGCGAGCAGCGTTCCGTCCGGATTCCAATCGAGCGTCGAGATGTCCTTGCTTTGGGTCGCAGGGAGATGCTTGCATATGGTAGGTGCATCGGGAGCTTCGTCTGCATTCTCCGGCACCTCCCAGATGCGCACGGTGGCATCACCGCCTCCTGATGCCAACATATTGGGAACAGACGGATTCCAAGCAGAGATGAACACTTCGCCAGTGTGGCCGGCCAGCGTGGTGATCTGGGCATCCTCAATAAAGTTGTCGCCCTTCGGTTGGGGTATTGGCGCCTTTGGATCTTTGCCCTTGTCCGACCGCTTCTTGCTCGCCTCGCCGTTCTCTCCGGCTGACGACTTTCCGCCCTTCTTCTTCTTACCGCTGCTTGCTTCCTTGTCCTTGGTCGCTTGCTTCTTCTCAGCACCCGGAGAGGTTGAGCGCGACTCGGCTCTGCCGTTACGATGGTCTCTGCGAGACGCAGCCGAGTCCTCCACCTCAGCCTGCGCTTCTGTCGCGGCGGGGGCGTCTGCCTTGGCGCTGACCTCGCCCCTGCGCACACGCTTATCTTCTCGATCCGCGTCCGAGGTGACCGAATTGGAAGCCTTGCGCTTGGCGTCCTTTGGTTTTAAGGTCGCTGAGGCTGCGTCGTCGTTCTCGACGACATCTTCGAGCTTCTTCCTGGAGGAAGACGCCACTTTGGAGGATCGGTCGGCATCTTCAGTTCCGAGCGACGATGCTGAGGTAGATGCCTTTGTGCTGTGGACGCCATTGACCTGCTTCGCAGGTGCAGATGGAGCTGGTGGTGTTTGCGTCGCTGCTTCTTTGTGTTCGAGTCGAGGTTGTAGAGCGGCAAACGGATCTGGCTCTGGCGACAGCCGTGTCGGACTCGCCGGTGGAGGGGTTGGCCGAGGCTTGCCGTCGCAGACGTGCGCGGGACCCACGAGACGGATGGTGGAAGAACACGGCTTTTCCGTGCCGTCGTCTTGGATGTGCGCTTCTACTGATGCATAGATGAGGCCCTTTTGCAGGAAGCGGACCAGCTGTCCGGGCTCGATGATGGCCTCTTTGGAGAGCGGCTCATCGTCTAAGCGAGACTCGTGCCGCAATGAGAAGGAGGCATGATGGAAGCCAGATTCCTTGAGGTAGTGGTAGACCAACAAGTTGACTTCTGACGAGGTGCAGAGGGGGGCCATGTTTGCTGGATGGAGAGGCAGGCCACGCAGTGCTGCAGGATTCTAACGATGCAACGAGCCAACGAACATTGGCCGAAGACTAGGTGCGCGGGTACTCGTTTGGTCGATAAAGCCGAGGAACGTCCCAAGTGAGGAAACGCAGACTCGCCACACGTAGGTTTACAGAGGCTATCGGCTCTCTGACTCGCTTGCCTTCCGACCGTTACCGGAAAGTCAAGTCGCCGCGCTCACTAGGGAGTGGTTGCGAGGTCGGCTGAGATTGGAAAGGAGTCTATGCGTATCACTGGGATAGCAGCTTTCGTGCATGCGCTGTTTCCCTGAGCACGCCTGTCAAGATGAAGTCGCGGCAGGTATTGGCGCTTCAGGTCTTCTCTTAGGTAACTCGGACGATAATGGCAGGTCGATCGACAACCGGCGGATGAGTCGAGGAGAGAGCGCGAACAAAAGAGGATGAGACCGCGTACCGGATGGATGACTGGATGATGGATGAAGCAGGACGTCGTCAGGCACAAATACAAGGACACGTGGACACGAGGCAGAGGTCGATGCGCTGGCGATGAGGAAGCACTTTGGATGGGTCGGAGTGCCGAGGGTAGTGCGGTGCCGTAGTAGCGAAGGAAGGGACGGGCGGAGCGTCTGGCAGCAGTATACGGCGCAGCAGAAACAGCGAAGGACAGGCGCCTAGAAAGCTGCAGCCCGACGGATGGACTTGCGATGTCGACGACGGGAGTGATAACCTTGGCTACCGTACTCGAATCGTCTTGAGGAGTGGTGCGGCGGATACTTTGACGTGACGGAGAGAGGATGGGGATGATCGCGAAGATGTAGATGGTCGATGAGGGTCAAGGAGCAACGGATGGCGCATCCAGATGGAGAGGCCTTGGGCCGAGAGGAGACGAGACAGCCGAACAGAGAGCGAGTGAGAGCAGGTCAGAGGAGACGAGACGAGGCAAGACTGGCCGATGAGATGGCGAGGGCAAAGCCACAGCGGAAACCTCGAATCCGTCGCTCCCTTTCCTCTCTCGTCGCCAACCTCTCACTTGTCGACCTCTCTCTGACTGCCTCAAAGCGCGCGTGTTCACGACCGTGCTTTCCGTCGCGGCTTGCAGGGCAGTCAGAAAATCATCGGTCGCACTCTCACGCCGTGTGGTGCCAGTCGCACACCCACTTTGCTATTTCTCTCATTTCGCACAGCTTGAGGGCACAGTCACACTCTGTTTGATCTGTCGCTGCTTTTCATTTGCGCGGGTCAGAAGGCTCGGACACTGGCCTTTTGCCCTCAATTGCAGAAATCTCAATTTTCGAGATTTAGCCTTTTATTCTTCCTCTTCGACTGAGCCGGATCGAGCAGTTGGCTCTTTTCACCTCGACATGCTGTTGAATACCACCTGTCATCCAGCTTTCTAGCGTACAACGCTCTCCAAGTTACACTTCACCCATGTTCATTGCAATGGACCCGATCACACCTTCGACTTGTCCAACATCGAGCCTCCTCATCCCATTCTGAATCTTTGTTCTTCGATACCGCCGATGCCTACACACGACAGCGATGCAGCCTTCTTGATACAGTCTCGGACCAAGCCGATTTCGAAGGGGAAGCCGCTAGACGGAGCAGAAAATAAGACGTCGAGCATGCGTAGTCTCTGTGCATCTGCTCGAAGCGCCTTGGCTGTTCGGATGCCGTCACCACCCTTCACATGAGTTCGGAACGCCCCGAAATTGACGCGGTAGAGCCCGATCAGCCATGCCTGACAGAGCAACTGCATGCGCAAAAAGACACTGGCCAGGACATGAACAATTGGCTTCCTGGTTTGGGAGACGCAAAGGCAAAGTTCTAGCACACCGACGAGACAAGAGCGTTCGACAAAGCTCGGGAAGACTTGATTAGACGAGGCAAGACATGTAGCAAAGGCAGCTCAGGGATCTGCGCGTCCAGAGGCAACCGCACTTGCAGCGGTGCAGACCCATCACTTCTTGGTCTTCTGCTTCTTCTGCTGCGTCTCCTGCTTCTGCTTGGTGCCATTGCCTCGCTTGTCTCCAGCTTGAGGCTCCTCCTCAGCGTCGTCTGCGCTTTCCTGGTATTCGGCCTCGTCTTCGTCATCCTGGTCTTCATCATCCTGGTCTTCCTCCTCCTCGTACTCTTCCTCATCCTCGTCAGCCTCGTCTTCCTTCTGGCTCTTCTTGCCATTCTGCTTCTGGTTCTTGCCGTTGGTCTGCGACTTGTTCTTGCTGCCATTCTGCTGTTTTCCTTGAGTCTGCTTGCCGTTCGACTTTGACTGAGCTTGTTTCTGCTTTCCGCTGTCTTCCTCCTCCTCCTTTTCCTCGTCGTCGTCTTCCTCATCGTCATCATCCTGCTTACCCTTCTGAGAAGCCTTCTTGCGCTCGTCGGCCGCCTTGTCCGTGTTGGCGACGAACTGCTTGCCCTGCTTGCTCTGCTTCTGCTTCTTGTCGTCGGTCTCTTTCTTCTCCTTCTCCGACATGTTCTCCCACGCCTTCTTGGGCAGATAGCGCTTGCGACTGCCGTCCTCCTGCTTGGCATCGCCAGATCCATCCTTGGTCTGCCACTCCTCTTCGCCCCATTTCGAGAGGTTCTTCTGCGACTCGTCCTTCTTGCCGTCGTCTTTGTAGCCGCCTCCGCGCTTCTTGTATTCCGAGGCCATGAACTGCGCCTTGCGTGCAGACCACTGGCCGGGTGCACCGCCCTTGTCGGACTGCTTCACTTCTTCCTTGATCTCGTCGCGGAGCTGTTGGAAGCGCGGGGACAGGGGGGAAGTGTGTCAACATCGTTGGTCGAAGCGACGGTGGGGTCGGTACCCAAGTAGCAGGAATTACTCACCTTGGGGTCGGTGTACTTATCGGCGGACGGCATGTTTGCTGTTACTCTGCGGGTTTTGACGCTGGCGCTGAAGAGGGGAAGTGATAAGAGGCTTCCAATACGAAGAATGGATGATACTGCTGCTTATATCTTCAAGGCAAGAGGATTGACTTTTGCAGCAGTCTTGTTGGGCGGACCACTCTGTACCGGAACACACACCGAGCGCAGACGAGCACCCGAAGTGGAGGAAGTGCTTCGCAGCGCAAGACATGACATACTGTACTTTGCTTGTCCGATTTGCTATCCTCGTGAAGTGCATTTGCATCAAGGACCTCAACGATGACGGTCGATCCGGGACGGGGTTAGATAAGATCTGATTCATTCTGGACCCTGGAACGGAAAAACGCCGCTGTCGTCGCACTCTCGCCTTCAACAAGATCTGCATTCCGCACCCATCACATGCTTTGCAATGAAGGTCACGAGCCTTCTCTGACGTTTCGCGTCCCGGAAACGGCTGTTGACCCTGGTGGAAGATGTGGAGAAGTTATGTAACCTTTGGTGAATCATCCTTCCGGTGTCAGACCCTTTTCTTTCGCGAAAGGGAAATGGCGTAAATGAGGAGCTGCCTGACGCGTGACTTACCAAAGCGTCTCGGCAGCATGCCTCTTGGGTGTGCTACTTGTTCTCATGGGACGCATCGTTCAACGTCGCACTGTCGCTTCCACAAAAATGGCCCTGGAGGAGCTCGACGTCATTGCAGTCGCAGGAGTCTCTCATCGGTTACCGGCTACAGATCTCGTGACAAACAGAACGCACCGCAAGCGAGGTCCGGTTCCGGGATCGTCTTCTCCTCGCTCTCCCCACAGCGTCCTGGCAGACTGTTCCAACATCTCACACCGCCTTTGACCCAAATGCACTCACCCCACATCCGCGTTCCGAACACAACTCTACCGATCAGACACGATTTGAAAAAGAATGCTCGTAACTTGGGCTAGTGAAGAATATGTTTGTACAGGCAAGAAAGGTGGTGGGTGGGGCTCGCAGCTGTCCCTATGCACAGCATGCGAGGTGTAAAGTCAAGGGCATCACATGTATGAAAGACATCCATATCTGTCGTTTCCTTCTTTTGTTTCCATCGGCGATCAAAGCATGAAGCTGAGCGGGTTCTCAAGGGCGTCCTTGAAAGCCTTCATCCACTTAGCAGCCGTGGCACCGTCAACGGTTCGGTGGTCGGCAGAGATGGTAGCCTGCATGACCATCGACTTGCGGAAGCCCTGCTCGCTCTCTGCGTCGGGCAAGAGGCGTGCCTCGGTGCCGCCAATGGCGAGGATGCAGCTCTGAGGAGGGTTGATGATGGCGGTAAAGTGGGTAATGCCGAACATGCCCATGTTGGAGATGGTGAACGAACCACCCTGGTACTCTTGCGGAGAGAGCTTGCCGGCACGTGCCTTGGCCGCCAACGACTTGGTAGCCGCCGAGATGGTGGCCAGACCCGATCCGCCGACATCCTTGACGATGGGCGTGATGAGACCGGTAGGGGTGGAAACAGCAATCGAGATGTCGGCCTTGTTGTGCTGTCGGATAAAGTCGCCGTACCAGGCCGAGTTGACCTCGGGAACCTCCTTGAGCGCGACACCGGCGGCCTTGGTGATAAAGTCGCCCACACTGAGCTTGGCCGCCTTGGCCTTCTCGACGTCCTTGCCGGCCTTCTCAGCGGCAGCCTTGTTGAACACTTCGCGGAGCTTGAGCACCTTGTCCATCTCGACGTCGATGCTGACGTAGTAGTGCGGGATGGAGGACTTGGACTCGGTGAGACGCGCTGCAATGGTGCGGCGCATGTTGGAGACGGGGATGTCGGTGTAGTCGCCTTCGCTCGAGGCAGGGGCGGGGGCGGGCGTACCAGCCGACTTGGCGGGAGCAGCCGAGGAAGCGGACGGCGCAGGCGCGGAAGCAGCAGCAGCCTCGGGCTTGTAGTTCTCGACGTCGGCCTTGATGATGCGGCCCTCAGGGCCGGTACCCTTGATCTTGTTGAGTGCGATGCCCTTGTCCTGCGCCAGCCTGCGGGCAACAGGGGTAGCAAAGATGCGGTCGCCCGAGCTCTGCGAGCCGAACGACGAGCTGCTGGAGGAAGACGACGAGGATGAAGATGGCGCGGACTCTTGCTGCTTGGGCTCCTCCTTTGGCTTGGACTCTTCCTTGGGCTCCTCCGTGGCAGCAGGTTTGGCGTCACCACTTTCTGAAGATGCCTTTTCGGCGAACGCATCCGCTTTCGACAGGTCGTCGCCCTCCTCGGCCATAATAGCGATGAGCGAGTTGACCTGGACAGCCTTGGAGCCGTCGCCGACGAGAATCTTGGCGAGAACACCGTCGTCCTGAGCCTCGACGTCCATGGTGGCCTTGTCGGTCTCGATCTCGAGCAGAACATCACCGGCAGAGAAAGCCTCACCGGGCTGCTTCTTCCAAGCGGCGATACCGCCCTCGGTCATGGTGGGCGACATGGCGGGCATGTTGAACTTGGAGAACTCGAGCGCACGTCGCGACGAGTGGAAGGATCGGTGCGAGAGCGTCGACGAAGACGACGAGGCGGCGGCGACCGCCTTCTGGAGGCCAGATCGCTGGAGGGCACGAAGAGCCTGCATTGTGAAGAAGGGCTGGCAGGGGCGGATGAGGGCGCGCCGTCGACGAAGGATGGTGGAGGATGGAGAGAAGAGGAGGACCGGTGTTGAGCAACAGCAAGGATGAGTTCCCGTCGATGAGAGAGACACGCGAACAACCAGCGCTAGGGTGAGAGAGAGAGACACACACACACAAAATCAGTTGCGTGGACGAAGCGAGGCCAATTAACGGACAGGCCAACAGAAGAAGAAACGAGGAAGGAAAAAAGGGGCTGGATCCTGCATGGCATTCTTTTTGGGAACGACCGACGGCAGACCGTTGGCTGGGATTTCTGCTTTATTTTCCCTTTACGAGAATTCGGTCGGCCAAATTGAACATCGTCGCCAGCAGCCATGCGAATATCCAAGTACCGAATTTGTTTCAACGAGCTAGGCACCATCGATCCGTAACGGAAAGATGCGGGATGGCGCGGTGCGTCCGAGCTTCGATCGCATACCGGATGGCGAAGACCACACAAAGCCAAGCCTTTGATCGGAGTGATGCTTGCTCTCGCTGCCTCAAAATGGAGTCTGCACATGCTCTATGGAGGGGGCAGGATCAAGTAGATATTCTCGATAGAGACAGAGGTCTCGAAACTGAATTTCGCCGTTCGAAAGACCCGATTTTGTATCGATAAGCAGGTCGTCCTGCGCCTGTCTGCACGAACACTCTTGTCGAGCGTGCCGCGTCGGCGAAATTCTCGACAGCAGCAGCGAGCAACGTTGCAATTCCACTCTTCGCCTTCTCCGGACACGACCAGTCCCCAACATTTACCGCCGAATGACAGCTTGCCTCAATGAGTAGTGTTAGGTCCGAACGGCATCGACTAGATCCATGTATGCCCCCCTCCTGTGTGTCGCAGATCGTTGTGACCGGCGCTCTTGTGAGACGGTCTGGACCCTGCAGATCTTCTCCAGCAACGCTGTCGTGCATGTCAAAACTGGCGAGGCTGAGCAGGGTGAGGACAGCGGGCAGCGGGGTTGATTCGGATCAGGAACTTGGCCTGTTCTTCCCCGCCTCCTGTCGGAAGTCTCCGAACAAGTACTCTGAATGGCTTTTTTCTTGGAGCCCTTCCCTCTCAGTCTCAGGGGACCACTTCGTACGAGGAGACCTCCATCACATCCTTGTTCAGCTGGCGGCACTGTTCGATGTCGTACCATTCTCGCCTCGGACCATCACGCTCAAACGGCAGGACCTACGAGGCTCGTTATCACACGGACGGGGACGATGCAGACCACACAGCATCTCCTCTACACAGGCTTTCCAACAGCGACGCTCTGGCAGTGCGATTCTACGGATTTCTGATTACTTCTTCTTTTTACTCCAGACACTAAGCGTCAGCGATTAGCTGGTCACCTTGTGCAGCGACTCGGCGAGGTGCTGGACGTTGTGGTTGGTGATACCAGCGACCGAGATACGGCCGTCTCCGGTGAGGTAGACGTGGTGCTCGTTGACCAGCTTGGCCACCTGCTCGGGCGAGATGCCGAGGAAGGCAAACATGCCGATCTGGTTGGTGATGTGGTCCCAGTTGAGCTTCGAATTGAGGTCCTGCACAAGCAGGTCCTTAAGCGTCGAGCGCATCCCGTTGATGCGGTCAGCCATGCCCTTGACCTCGCCCAGCCACTGCTGGTACAGCTGCTGGTCGGCAAGGATGGTACCGGCGATCTTGGCTCCGTGCATGGGAGGGTTCGAATACAGAGGTCGCACGATGATCTTGATCTGGCTGTCGACGCGGGCACGCTCGTCGGCGTCGGCGCAGACGATCGAGAATGCGCCCACGCGCTCACCGTACAGACCCATGTTCTTGGCGAAAGACTGCGAGAGGCAGATCTGGTGGCCCTCGGAGACAAAGTGACGAACGGCGAACGCGTCCTTGTCGGTGTCACCACTGGCGAAACCTTGGTAGGCCATGTCGAAGAAGGGGAAGTGGCCCTTCTCCTTGACCACGTTGCTGATCTCCTTCCACTGCTCCACGGTAGGGTCGACACCGGTGGGGTTGTGGGCACAGGCGTGCAGAAGGACGATCGAGCCAGCAGGTGCCGCCTTGATGTCCTCGATCATGCCCTTGAAGTCGAGGCCGACAGTCTTCTTGTCGTAGTAGCGGTACTGCTTGACCTCGAGACCGCTGTCGCGGAAGATGGGCGTGTGGTTACCCCACGAAGGGGTGGGCAGGTAGATAGTCTTGGCCTCGGGGTAGTGGCGCTGCAAGAAAGCACCACCGATGCGGAGCGCACCGGTTCCCGAGATGGACTGGGTGATGGCGATGCGGTCCTCCTTCACGGGTGCGCTGTCCTTGCCGTATGCGAGGATGGCCGCGTTCTTGGTGAAGTTGGCGAGACCGGTGATGGGGAGGTACTCCTTGTCGCCCTTGGCATTGAGAACGAGCTCCTCGGCCTGACGCACCGAGGGAAGCACGTAGGGCTTTCCGTTCTCGTCACGGTAAGCACCGACACCGAGGTTGATCTTGCGAGAGTCCTGGTCGCGCTTGAAAGCCTCGGTGACACCGAGAATCGGGTCGGGAGGTCCGGCCTTGACGTGTGCCCATGTGCTCTTGAACTGTCGCACAGCAGGCAGCGAGATGGCGCCGAAACGAGGAGCCTGCGAGGCTCTGACAGCCGTTCGAATGGTAGCGGGAGCGAGCATCTTGTCTAGCAATCGGATGTGAAGCGTCGAGAGATGGTGGTAAGGTGATTGATGTCGTAGCTAGCTTTGTGCAAGCTTGACGTGGACGCCAAAATGACGAAGTACACACAGCAAACACACTCAGAGTGCGAGCTTGCCGAACAGATCGCCGGGCCTCTCGCTGAGAAGAATCGCATTTTGGCAGGATGCGGATGCTTAGCGCATGCTCAGTGCGCGGGGAACACAGAGACCGGTCTCGGACCGCCTTCTTCTTTCTCTTCTCCTTCGACTCTGACTCAACTCGTGAAAACTCGGAGATCTCACCTCGATATCACCCGACGACCCGATCTCACATCTCCGCTTTTATTTAGAGTCTAACAGATGAGGTCGGTAAAAACAACAGCTCGGAACACGGCGCCTGGAAGATCGTGTGGAATTTTTTGGTCAACTTTGGCCAAAATGAGCTTTTCTTCTGCTTTGCTCGTTGTGGTGTCACAACGCTAGTTCATTCGCACAACATCACCGACCCTCTCCTGATCACAGTAGACACTTGTCCAAGCTTTCGACTCGCTTCTTGGTGGCTCGAGAAGCACGGAATCAAGGCAGGAGGTCATGGCAGCGCGGTTGTGTGCCAAACGCGCACATCAGCTCGCCGCCTCAGTGCTCGCAAACGGTGTAGGGCCCTCGCGCTTGCCTGCAGCTTCAGCATGTAATTGTCGTTCGCCTTCAGCTTCCAGATCCACTGCGACACACCGCATCAACCTCTTGTCGCAAAGCTTCAGCACATCAGCATACCTGCGAGACGAATCACCTCAATCGGCATCAGTAACGGACGCGGAACCACAACACTCCAGCAAGAAGCCGAACGTAGGGCTTCTTGCCGGAGAAGATACGAACGCCGAGCCCACACTAGAGTATCTTGACTCGCTCAAGCCTAGAGCCAGACGCCTTCAGCGAGAGCAACACCGTCCAAAACGGGTCACAGTCAATCCTTTCGCCAAATCTTCTCCGACCAAGAACAGCGTTGAAGACAAGCAGTGGGAACGCACCAGAGCTCGCATCAATGCCTCCTTCACCAGAGGCCAGCTAGTCTCGCTGGGAAAAGCAGCGAGGCTACCGGGAAGCTACGCAAGAACAGTCAAGAAGGAGGATCTCGTCCGTCGGATTATGGTGCATCGTTTTGGCATGGAGGACGCACGCGAGAGGACTGAGCGGGAAAAGCGCGAGGAACTCGACAAACGGTCGGTGCACATCGCTTTCCGGCCTGCAGAGCTCTACTTGCTGCTTTCGAGGGGCTACAACAAGGTCAGACAGGAGGCCAGCAAGGCACAAGTGGCGATTCTGCCTCAAGCACCAGCCAAGGAGAAAGCACAGAATAGTGGCGACGCTACCGCCTCCGCCGAAAAGCTCGGGTTTTGGATACGTGGTAAGGATCCGGGTATTGCACGTATGACGGATTGGGTCGAAGAGTTTAAGCAGTCGATCAAGACGAAGGAGGATACGGTCGTCCTATCGAACGACTCCCGCGATGTCAACGCATCAGAAGTCGGTGTCACCGAGGTACTCCCCGCCGAGCTCGTTCGCTACATCTCCCAGCTCTCGCGGTGCTTCATGGAGGCAAGTCCGATTCAAGGCAGCAAGGTGACGCTATCGCTTGCATTCCTCGACGAACGCGATGCTCAGAAAGCAGTTCTGCTGCTGCGGCAATATCACGCCGAAGGTGCCAAAGCAATGCACCGCATCGGTGCAGCAGCGTGCAGCGACGATCTGCATTCCAGCCGCCAGTATTCGATGCTTCCCTTCGTGCCCAACGAGCCGACACCATGGATCAAGCAGGCAGACGACCTTTTGTACGGGTCGCACTCCGACGTCTCGTTCCGCGTGTCTCACGTGCCGGAATTGAACGCGTTCTCGATGCTGTCGACCACCAAACTGCCGACGATGAAGTTCAACGCATGGAGCACCCAGGACAAGCTTTCGTTCGAGGAGCCCTTCCGATCTCTGGCGGAAAATGCTGCGACCTCTACAGCGAGTAATGGGATGTCGCTGTCAGCGGAGGCTAGCGAGGTGGAATGCAGCGCTGAGCTCGGCCACGTTTTGTTCGATGCAGGAGGTCTCACGCTCGCCGACGAAAACCTCAGCGAGGAGGACATCGTCTCTCGTGTCCAGGATCCACTGGCTGCACCCATTTCTGGTAGCTGGTCTTTGGAGACTGCCGTAGACTGGACCCGACGATTCCGTGCTCGCTTCGGCCGCGAAGCCTCTCGCTTCGTTCCTACCACCCTCTTTCGGTCGCAAAAGAACATCTCGCTCGACATCTGGCTCGAGAGACAGGGATACGTTCTCGCGTCAAACCAGCCAGACGCACTTGCTGGTGAGCACGAGACGCTCGTATACCAGCCATCAGACGCTGGCTACCTGGCGCAGGTCAGCAAGCTCGAGATCACGCTGGTCCGAAACCAGAGCGAATCAGATGTGGCGGAGGGAGCGAGTGGCGGATGGAGGATTCGGCAGGCGAGATGGGTTCTTGAGGCACAGGCCGATGTGTTGATCCCGGAGAAGGGGTCAGATCTCAGGCTTAGTGCTAGACATATCGTCCCGCTGGAGGCTGAGATCTTGGCTGATGTCGAACGCGGATTGGCGTCGTACCTCGACCCGTCGGGAGCTGCTGTCGCTGCGGAAGTTACGATGGAAAACATCGGGATCAGCGAAGACGAAGCAGCGGGAGTCGACTCTGACGACATCCTAGGCAGCGAGACCGAAGTCGTTGAGCGCTCGTCGCTCTCTACCGCAAAGGCATTGCCAAAGGGTCGCGTGACGTCCCACAAAGGTGCACTGAGACCGTCGGTGCTAGAGCTTGGATCTGTTGGCAAAATGGCCCTGGAGACTGTGACGCGCTCGTCCGTGCAGACGTACGTACAGCGGTCGGCTCTTTCCGCTGCGCCTCATGCGCGACCAGGGACGAGCTCCGAAGTGCAGGCTGCGACAGACGACGATGCTGGCACCCACCCCGTGGATTCCACTGAGCAACTGTCGGCTTCCTCCGAGGCGGACGCCGTCGCAGCGACCCCCATCACGACCGCGGAAGTGGAAGCCGTCAAGGCAGAAGACGCGGCTCAATTTACTGCTGAACACAGCGCGCCTACCGAAGGTGCACCTGCCACCTCAACCTCACTATCGCCGGTGCTCATCCGCGAAATCTCGCAAGATTGCATGACCGAGATCACCACCGAATCGCTTCGCATCAGCTGGCGGCTGCCTGCGTCGTCAGAGCAAAGCGTACCGGAGTGGAGCTCCGTCGTAGAGCCTATCTCGGCGTTGCTGGAGCGACATGATATGTCTACTCGTTAGACCTAAATTGCATCTTCTCGACGATTCACTGTACTCTACACCACCATCAAACGAAGACACTCATCTCGCACCTTCAGCCACACGCAGACTCCCCACGCTGGGTTTCGATTTGACGTTTTGGAAGTGTTGCTGGCCATCAAGCGGGCCGTGACTTTTCCCTCTCCAAATCTTCCAAATGCTCGTTCGCCCCGGCACCATGACCCACGCCAACCGTCGATTGAGCCTGCCACAAATCCCAATACAACCCTTTCCTCTGCATCAACTCATCGTGACTTCCCTGTTCCTCGACCCCTCCTGCCTTCAGCACAATGATGAAATCGCTATCGCTGATGGTCCTCAACCTGTGCGCTACGAAGATCGCCGTCTTCTTGTCCGCCAACAGCGTCGCATGGATGTTGCGCATCAGCTCTGTTTCCGTGTACGAATCCAGCGCCGAGGTTGCTTCATCGAAGAACAACACGCTTGGGTTTTTGAGCAATAGCCTTGCGACGGCAAGACGTTGCTTTTCTCCTCCAGAGATCATCAGACCTCGTTCACCGACTTTTGTACTGTAGCCTTCAGGAAGGTTTCGTACGATCTGATCGACTTTGGCTGCACGTGCGGCTTTCTCGACGTCTTCGTCGGATGCGTCGAGTCGACCGTAACGGATGTTGTGTCGGATATCATCGTTGAACAGTGGTGTGTCTTGAGGTACGACTCCGATGTGTTTGCGGAGCGATTCGAGGGATACTTTCGTGATATCCTGTCCATCGATGTAGATCTTTCCGGATTGCGGTTCGTAGAATCGAAAGAGGAGTCGGAAGATGGTACTTTTGCCACAACCGGAGGGTCCGACGAAGGCGGTTTTGAGACCGGCGGGGACGGTGAACGAGATGTTGCGGAAGATGGGTCGATCGGGATGGTAACCGAAGGTGACGTTTTCGAAACGGATCTCACCCCCGGTCACGCGGAGAGGTGGTGCGGTGGGATCCTCTCGAACGGCGACGTTGACGTTCTCCAAGTTGAACATGGTCTCCATGTCTACGAGACTCTGCCTCAGCTCCCTGTACACCGTACCGAGGAAATTCAACGGTAGCGAAAGTTGGAACACCAGCTGGTTCACCATCACCAAGTCACCCACCGTCATCGTCCCATTCGTCACCCCCTGCGCCGCCAACAGCATCATCACGGTCAGACTCGTACTGAAGATGGCATTCTGACCCGAATTCAAGGCCGCCAGCGAGGTAGCCACCTTGATCGAGCTCTTCTCGTAATCCGCCAGCGCCGCATCGTACTTTGCGATCTCGTGCTTCTCGTTGTTGAAGTACTTGACGGCTTCGTAATTGAGCAGGCTGTCTACCGAGGTTGTGGCGGCACGATTATCGGCGGCATTTGCCTCTTTGCGGAAGCGAGTGCGCCAGGAGGTTGTGCGGATGGTAAACCAGGCGTAGGCGGCCATGGTGACTGCGGTGACCGCGGCGAAGCTGGGACCGCACTTGTAGGAGAGAATGCCGCAGACCATGGTGATCTCGAGTGCCGTCGGGACGATGTGGAAGACGATGCTGGTGAGCAGGAAGGAGATACCCTTCGTGCCTCTATCGATGGCTCTTGTGAGACCGCCGGTTTGACGCGTCAGATGCCAACCGAGATCGAGCGCCAGCAAGTGCGTGAAGACCGAGTGTGCTACTCGACGGATCGAACGCTGTGCAACGTTGGCAAATACGGCGTTTCGGAGCTCGGAGAAAGCAGCTGCACCGACACGGGCAAGACCGTATCCGAGGATAGCGCTTCCGGCAACTACCCAGACGGTGTTGGGGTTGGTCATGTCGAGGGGAGCATTGACCACATCGTTGAGCTTGTCGACGATGGTTTTGAAGAAGAAGGGAACTTGAACGTTGAGCAGCTTGCCGCCGATGAGGAGAGCCAGAGCGAGGACAACGCGTTGCTTGGTACCGAAATCTCCTTTGGGCCAGACGTACTGGATGAGCTTCTTGATGATGGCCCAATCGACCATGCGCTGCTCCTTGACGGTTTTCTCCTTGGCATTGAGATTGAGAGGGTCGTCACCATCAGGCTGCTTCTTCTGAGTCGAGGCTGGAGTTTTTGATGCTTCGGGGGATATGTTGGCTACGATCTTGTCCGAGGCACTACCTGGCGGCGTCTGAGATTGCTGCTTTGGCACTCTGTCGTTGTCCTGGCCGGCGGCCATGTGTTGGTAGGATCTCCGACCAAAAGCATGCGTTGGATTCGCAGTTGAGACGATGTGACTGCGTCGCGCTGGCTGAAATGTGATGACTCGATTCGCAAGAGCAGCTATTGAAGAGGTCGCGACGAAGCTGCGCTGTTGATTTCGAGATGCGAGGTTGCTTGCAGAGACGATGCCGATCAAGGGACGACGAGCGCCGATCGACTGCCACGGGAGTCGCCGGATGGCGACCCTCATGTTCACTGAAGGCAGCTCGAGGGACGACTTGGGAGAAACGTCGTGTCTGATCGCAAGCTCGTCTGGATGATTTGATGAAGAGCGGACACGGGATGGACGAGAGGAGGGGCGTGACAACGTCGAACAAGTATTCCGCGCTCAGAAGCTTCTGAAAGGCTTGTCCGGCTTTCGGTGCAAAGCCGTGCGCCGCGAAATGTTCGTGATTGAGTTCGGGGATGTCATCACCGCGCTCTGCTGCTGCTAAGCCTAATTTGAGTCGGCCTGATGTGGAGTTGCGGCGGCTTCTGTGCGCCTCGTACGCCGTGGACCTTGCCGGTCATGGACTGGATTATTTGAGAATGTGATTTTGACTAATGTAACACTTGTGATCATTTTCGCCCGTCAAGTCCATGAGCGAGATAGCCCTCGGCGTTTTCCTCGATGCTGAGCTCGAAAGCGTATTGTTGATCACGGCGACAAAAGGAGTTTCTGCGAAACCGTTCCGGCAAATCATCGGCTTGAAGGCCAAGAAGCTCGGCAAAAAACAAAATGTTGTACCTGTGCATGTGCTTTGTGTTATTTTTCTTTTTGGCCGGTGCTGTACGCCAAGAATGACAGACGCAAGGACGTCCCGTCTATCTTGCTTTACGGGCTCTTCATTATCTGAGTCGATCAACAGGGACCGCCTCCCGCTAACATCCGAGAGCTTGGTGTAGAGTCTGCGGGCGAGAAAGGAAGTGAGCCGAAGGAAGTGTACGAGTTGCTATTGATCGGATCGGTCAGGGACAGCTAGACGGTGTTTTGCAGCTAGAATGCCAAGCACGGCGCTATCTTGGTTTCTTGATGCAAGCGACGTGCGGCGCATGTCCGAAGCACGAGGTTCGAGGTTTGAAAACAGCTCCGCTTCGGAGACTTGTTGTCGTTTCTCGTCTTCGGTGACATCCCAGCCCCGCTCTCGCGCCCTGATCGGCAGGCACGCTTGATCCGAACTGACAGCAGACCCGGCCTCGACCTGAATCTCCAAGTCGGCTACTTTTCTTGTTCGACGTCGATTAGCCGTTCCTGACGTCTACCATCGCCGGGCCTTTCTCAGCAAAACTTGTCCTTGACTCGCCCCTTCGACAACATCAGAGGCGTCTTGGTCGCGTCCAGGACACCCTCGCCTTACCAAGCTTCTGCCAATCAGCACGTTCGAATTCCTAATCCAGCCTCGCACGACAACTGAAAGACGACCATTGAAGACATCATTGTCTTCTAGCTGTTGCATTGCGTTCAACGGTTGTGCATCGCTCTATCTACGGCTTGAAACCGCAGCACACCGCCATCGCAGACATCGTTTGACTCAGCTCACTCATCCGGCTCCTGCTCCAACTCAACAGGTCTTCATGGCTTGGATGACTGGTCCATAGCCTTTTTCAATTTGACGACTCCTCACGCAGCTGGATGTCTGCCATACGCAAACATCAACACCCACGTAGTCTGCCGGGTCCGTCAACGTCATACTCGCCGTCCAACACGGAGCTTCCTTCACATCGACATCATGAGGTTGAGGTCAGCGATCGCTACCCTCCTGACGACTGCGTTCAGCTTCTCGTCAGTCGCACATGCATGGGATTGGCTTCCGGCATCCGACAACAACCGCACACTCGTCACCGACTTTGCCATCAAGGCGACCCCACCTGCACCGGATAGCGATCTCCAATTCACCAGGTCGCAGCTGCAAGTCCTGCAGAACACCGACTTCTATCTGTACAACTACATCTCGACTGGCTACAATGCGACAAAGGCGCAACGAGCCGTCATCATGCTCCACGGTCTCGGTCGCGATGCCTGGGCTTACTTCGACCTTACGCGCGAGTCGCTTCTGAATGCCACTTCGCGCAGAGTCCGTGGTAGCCACGACCCGCGATTGCGATTCGACGAGGTGGTTATCATGGCACCGGTGTTTCTCAATCAGGAGGATGCGGGGTGCTATCCTGTCGATGAACAGGGAAGGGCTACTTCGAACGCTCTTGTTTGGGATACGAGTAGCTGGGCACAAGGGGCGGATTCGGTGTTTCCCGATACGATCAGCGACGCAAGCGGCAGCAGCTTCCAGCCTCCTGGAGTGTCGTCGTTCGAGGCACTCGACGCTGCCGTCGCCTGGTTCTCGAACAAGACTATCTTCCCGAATATGAACACCATCATTGTCGCTGGTCACAGTCTCGGAGCCCAGATGGTTCAGCGATATGCACTCATCGGAGCGGTACCGTCAGCGACGGTCCCTGTGCACTTTGTGGTCGCCAATCCGGGCTCGTACGCTTACCTGTCCGACTGGCGTCCGCGGTCGTACGACAAGTGTCCCGACACATTCAACAACTGGAAGTTCGGCCTGAACGCCTATTCGCAATCCTACCTTTCCGACTTTATCGCCGACTCGCTCGATACGACCAACGAGGTGGAGAGCGTGGTACAGCGGTACCGTCGACGTATCGTCTCGTACCTTTTCGGTCTGGCGGATCACGGTAAGGGTGATACGGGATGTGAGGCGCTAGCTCAGGGTACGACTCACCTTGGTCGTGGGAGGAACTTTGTCCGTCACCTCAGCGGGTTGGAAGGTGGATTTCCGGCGGCGCATTCGGTCAATTATATTGCCAATGTATCTCACGACGGGCTGGGTATGTTTCAGAGCAAAGCGGGGCTGGAACGGCTGTTCTTCATTAATCTGAACGGGACAGAGTCGCCGACGGCGGTGGGCGATGATGATCAGAGTGCGAGGAAGTGGTCTGCTGCGAAGGGGAGGAGTTGGAGCGCGGCGGAGCGGGTGACGGGCAAGGCGAGAGGTGGAGTGATCCTTTTGGTCGTGGTGGTCAGTGTGGCTGTTCTGAGCGGAGGGGTTGTTTGAGCGGAGGTTGGACTTTTCGCATGGACGTTAATTGCATTGCGTGTTCTCTGATGACTTTTGTACTATAGCCTGCCTCAGTCGCTGATCGAATAGCATATTGGTGGCATAAACCTTGCGTGTGATGGGGGGCTAGCTGTCGAGCATCGCAACGGTGTCACAGGTAAAGTTGATGATGGCGTGGCGGGTGGGGAAAATTAAGCGTCGAGGCCTCCAAGCCTCCACAGTGAAAGCTGCCGGTGAGTGAGCAGCTGGACCCTTGAATCATCAGCTTGTGCGACCTGAACAACATCTGTCTGCTTCATTTGAACGCCATCCGTGGTTCGTCGGCGACGGTCACAACCGACATAGCAAGGATGACACTCTAGTACCCTATACAAGCCATGCATCAACGGCCATCTCCGCTCGGAAATACACCATGTCCAATGCTCAATTTCGACCGCCCGCTCCACCCACCTCCTCTGCGGGGATCCGATACCAAGACACGATAGGTTCGCTCTCGCGTTCGGAAAAGACGATCCAGCGAATCCTCTCGCAGTCGACGCGCATCCATGTTCTGCGCGACAAGCTGGAAGCGGAACGAGTGCAAGAGCTGGAATTGCTGGCGCAGCAGTTGGGTGCACAGGTGACGACGACGGTGGGGGCAGCGAATGTGATTGTGACGAGTTTGAGGGCGCCGAAGCGGATTTTGAAGTGGGTGGAGGATGGGGAGGTGAATGTCGTGCCAAGAGGGAGGGACGGAGAGATAAGGAAGGAGGGGGCGGAGGGAAGGCTGGGGGATGGGGTGGGGAGGGATTGGAGACGGTTTGTGGTGAGTTTAGATTGGTTGGACGCGGTGAGGATGGCGGGGACGTTGGTGGATCCTGATCTGTTTGCTGCTGTTCCGCTCAAGGAAGAAAGAGAACAGGCGGAGACGTCGATGACAGATATGGAGGCGGAGAGAAAGAGGAAACGCTCTCCCAGCGACTCACCCCTGCTACCAACGACCCACGATGCTGCTCCTCCTCGAATTCGACATCGCAAACTCTCCCCGTCCCCTTCCTCTTCCTCCTCGATGCTCCCCAACCGCCCTACACCATCATCTCACTACGACCCGGTCTATCCACCGCCCGACTGCCCGCGCTGGCAAAATACTCGCTACGCGTGTCGTCGACCCTCGCCCCTCGTCTCTCGCAACCAACCGCTCATCTCGGAACTCGAAACCATCCGAAACGAACGTCGACTCACCGGTGACACCTATTCTGAAATGGCCTACATGCGAGCCGTCTCCGCTCTCAAAGCGTTTCCCTTTCCCATTCCGGATCCGGTACTCGATCCACCGGAAGTGTTCGACTCGGATCTGCTCGAACTACGACTGAGTGAGGTGGAGAAGCTTAAAGGAGTAGGGAAAAAGGTGTTTTCCCTGATCAAACAGTTCTACGCCTCAACATCGACCAAGAAGGGTGAAGCAAGGATCGTAGAAGCCAAAGTGATACACAGAGATCGAGCCGTGTACATCATGAATGCCTTCACCGAGCTCTACGGTATCGGTCCTATCGGTGCTCGCGAGGCGTACAACTCGGGCGCTCGATCCTTCTCCGACGTCCTCCACCGAGGCAAATCTCTAGCCACCCACCTGAGTGCCAAGGAATCCGTTCGGATCCTCGACGACCTCCGCCAACCCATCGGTCGGGAAGAATGTCGTTCCATCACGGAGGAGATCATGCGGCTGGTCAAGGCGGTGCTGGCAGACGACGTCGAGGTCAAGTACGAGATCTGCGGCGGATACCGGAGAGGTAAGGAAAGGACTTTCGATCTCGACGTGATCATAGGCCATGGAGAATCTCCGAGTAGAGCATTGCACATGAGGCTGTTGGAAGAGATGAAGCGCAAAGGACTGATCACCCACATGGTCAACGTCTCTACACCTGCTCCGTCCTTTCTAGATGATACAACGACAAAGTCAGAGGCGGTTCATATCGATATCGCCAACATCGTCGTACTTCCTAGTCCTGCTTCCACGACCCATCGTCCACCGGTGCATAGAAGGGTAGATCTGGTCTTCTGCCCACTACGGGTATATGGAGCAACGGTGGTCGGGTGGTCGGGAAGCTTGACTTTCGAGCGCGATCTGAGGCTGTGGGCGAAAAGCAAAGGGTACAACTTCAGCTTCGACGGATTGACCAATCTGGCAGAGGAGAGTTTGGTCGAGACGAGGGATGAGAAGGATGTCTTTGATGTGTTGGGTTTGGAGTGGATGCCTCCCGAGTGGCGCAATTGCGACGCTTGACGAGTTCGTTCGGGGAACAACATGCGCGGATTGGAGAGTAAAAGAAACGGGAACAGTTGATCATACGAAAACACGAAACAAGCGCAAACGATGTCTGTGCAGGTGTGTGTGCCATTAGCAGATGTGCAAGTTGCGACGATGCAACGATACACGGGTCTAAGAGACGAGAATGAACACTGTCGACACAACAAAACGAAACAAGGCAAGCTCGAAATGGTCAGCGTCTCTCCAGCCACAATCCATCGCATACTTCCCATCCACTTACGCAAGAAAAACACAATGAGCACACCAAATATCTTCAACATCAACCACCTGTTGCTGCTGACACTCGCATAGTACTTCAACAACTCCCTCTGCGCGCCTCCCACATTATCCACCACCTCCATCACATTGTCGTCGATCCTCTGCACCGTCTCCCTCTGCTCGGCGACCATGTGAGCCAGCTGGCTGAAGATCTGACCGAGCTCCGAGATGGTCGATTCGATGGACTCGATGGCGGTGCTTCTTTGCTGCATGTAGTTGTTCTGTTGGTTGTCCATAAGCTGCATCTGCATGTACTGTTCGCTTCCTGCGGTGGCGCCGTTGGTGGAGTTGCCCATGTCGAGCGCCAGAAAGTCCGAGTCAGCCGCTTTGGATTTGCCTTTGGGGTCGTAGCCGTCGGAGGAGGCCGAGTGCTGCAGTGTTGACGGGTTGAGTGGTGAAGGTGCGGTTCGATGGGCCATTGCTGATCCGGTTCGTGTTGGATTGTAGAGCGGTGAATCTGTGCCGGGGGTAGGTTTGCCACGCGAACGGAGGACTGCCGTGGGCGCTGGGTCAGTGAATCAATGTCCTCGTTGGCGTTGCGGCCCTTATCGACCAACTTACCTGAATTCTCTCCCGGAGCCATCCCTGCTGCAGAGTTGGAAAACATGAACTGCTCGCTTCGATCCTTGGACGCCTTCATATTTTGCGTCCTGACCTCCAAGATGTCTTGGAACGACGTCGTTGCTCCTGCCAATTTGGATTGGAGCAGGGTGACGACATTGCCTCGGTGCTCCTCGGTACGATCGGCTGCTTTGCCAGACTTGTTGGCTTTGTTGAATGCTTGCAGGTCTGCGAGCTGTTTGTTGATCGCAGCAATGTCGTGCTTGATGATGTAGGTCAGTTCTGAGATCTCCACCGGTCGATCGTCGAACAGCGTCTTGCGGCGAGCCACTGCGAGAGCATATATATCAATCAACAGGGGTTCAATGAATCGAGAGCGACAGTAGGTGTGATCTGACAAGACGCAGGATACTTACGTTGCGCAAGCCGCTGCAATTTGGCGGTGGTCGAAGCGATGTCCTTGCCGATAGCCTGTGCTCGACGAGCGAATTCTCCTTTCGGCGATGCACCCGGCGCATTTTGATTCAACAGCTTTTGCTTTGCTGGTTGTGCGGATCTGGAGGCGATCGACTCGACCAAGCCGTGGAACTCGGATGTTCGATCTTTGACCGAATGGCCATAGTATGAGGTCGGTGCGTACGACATGCTGCGCTGGAACCCTGAAGGCTACGAGCCGACCTGGTGGTAGAGGACGAAGGGACGCCGATTTGAAACAGAGTGTGTCTTAACACCGCCTGGCGGTCCCGGGTCTGATGACGGTCACGGTGCAGAATGAAGTGTGGGCCTGATGTTGTCGTTGTGACTGATGATGGTGTTCAACAGCGGCGCCCCGCGTTGGCTGTCCACGTCGACGTCGAGTTACCGCACGAACACCCGATTTCCGCGTTATTTTTTTGGCTGCTCTGTTGGGCACAGGCCAAGGTGGAGGCAGACTCCTTCCTTCTCATTCTCCTTCCTCATCGAATGATCGACGGCGTCTGCAACAGCATGCACCCTGCACCACCTACGGCGTCTGGCTCGGAAGACCCTCGAGTGTACCTCGATCGGCTTTCCGGCAATTGGAGGTACGAAGATGATGAGGGCGACGAATGGGAGTGGCAGCCGTTTGTACAACACTCACGACCAGCCGTCGATCCGGGCGAGACCGAAGAGGAATCGTCTACCACATCCGCATCCACATTCAAAGCCTCCACAAGCTCGCTTCCATCAGGGCATTGGGTCAAAGTGCTGGATGACGACTTAATTCGCGCACAGCAGGCAGCCTACTCGGTCGAGGGGGTCGACGAATCGCAACCTGCACAAGCTGTGCTTCGACGTGGGAAGAAACGTCCTGCCTCACCCCCTCCATCTGAAATCCTCGCCACACAGTCAACCACCACAAATCAAGCTGCTCCATCCTCTTCAGCTTCCAGACTTCCGCCATCAAAGAAGCCGAAACCAATTACATCACTTTACGTCACAGGTCTACCGCTCGATGCCTCGTCAGACGAGATCGCACGCGTCTTTTCGCGATACGGTGTACTCCTCGAGGACGATTCCGGCAAGCCAAGGATCAAGATGTACTACGATGACAGGACGGGAATGTTCAAAGGGGAGGCGCTGGTCGTGTATTTCAAGCCCGAAAGTGTCGAGCTGGCCATTAGTATGCTGGACGAGACGAGCTTGAGGGGTGCGATTGGGTCGGGGGATGATAATGGGCAGGTCATGCGCATTCAACGTGCAGAGTTTCCTACTGCTGAAAGAGGTAACGGGCAAGCGGGTAGCACCGCTCGTACAGATGCGAACCTGAACGAAAAGAAGACGGCAAAGCCGAAGGATGAGCCAACCAATGGCGCTCGACGCAATCTGACCGATCAAGATCGCAAGAAGATTGCCAAACGAGTTGCCAGACTGGAGACCAAACTCTCGGATTGGCGCGATGATTCTCCCTCCCCGACCCCTTCCGACGCCGAGCTCACCAATCCCACCGCAAATACCGCAAACACCGCTGCTCCAACAGGCCGCACCGTAGTCCTCACCAAAATGTTCACACTGTTCGAACTCGAATCCGACCCGACCTTACTCCTCGACCTGAAGGAAGACGTTCGCGAAGAATGCAGCTCCACCATCGGCGGTGTCACAAACGTCGTGCTATGGGATGCCGAACCAGAAGGCATCATGACGGTGAAGTTCCAAACAGCGGAACAGGCGCAGTCGTGCGTGAGCATGATGAAGGGCAGATTCTTTGCTCAGAGACGTATCGATGCCTGGGTCTTCAACGGCAAACCGCGCTTCAGGAGAAGCGACGCACAACAGGATGCCGGTGACAGCGATGATGATTCCGAGGCAACAGGCAAGACACAAACCCAAGAGAAGAGCAGAAGAGACGCCTTCGGCGCTTGGCTCGAAGACGCCTGACCACACTACTGGAGTATCTGCAATTGCTTCCTTCTGCGATTTCACCGTGAATAGCGATCTGACGACAACGTGCGATCATGAGTGATTAAAATCTGTCTGTGGTGAAACTTGCTATGAAATGTTGCGGGCCGTGATCTTGTATGGAACCTCGTCTTGTGGGAAAAGAAATTGTCCGTGGAGGAGAGAAAACTGTATGGAAGGTGTGGGTCGAATGCACTTGTACTTGCGTAGAGGGCAACCTCGTGCCTCAGCGCGTGTTCATCACTTCATCGGCGTCCAACGACTCCAGAGCGGCGATATCTTCGTCGCGCATGTCATCGTCGTTGACACCCATCCTGCTCATACCCAGACTGGCGCCTGCCAACCCGAATCCGCCCGATCCTCGTCTGCCGCCAAAGCTGCCCGCAACACTGCCTTCGTACGTGCCGCTGTAGCTGAAGCCTCTAAACTTGTCCTGAATGCTCCTCGTCAGCAGCTGGTCGTCGTCATCCTCACCACCTCTGCCCTTGCCAATGGCAACCCCCTTGCCATTGGCATCGCCCTCCGCGAGAATGTCGCCATTCTCTAGTGCTTTGGCCGCATCTGTCGACAAACCTTCAAAGCCTGGAATCACGGCGACATCTTTGAGATCCGTCTCCGTGAACTCGGGGTCAAAATTGGCGACGCTCTCGTCCGACTCCACGAGCGGCTTGAATGGTGGCGTGAGCTGCTTCTTGGCCAGCGCATCGAAATCGATGTCCTTGAAGAAGGGGTGCTCCTTCAAATCCTGGGCATCGCGCTGTGCTCCCAAACGGTGGCGCGGGTTGCGATTCAACAGACCCTTAACGAACTGCTTTCCGTCATCGCCGATAGCGCCGCGCGGGAACTTGATCTTGCCGAAGCAAATGTTGCGGTACATCTGCTGCGTGTCCTCGGCATAGAAGGGCGACCATCCACAGCACATCTCGAAGAGCAAGACACCCAGTGACCAAAAGTCGACGAGCTTCGAGTAGCCTGATTCGTCAAGCAGAACTTCGGGAGCCAAGTACTCGGTGGTACCGCAAAAGGTGTTGGTAAGCTGACCAGCGCCCAGGTCAGGCTTGCTGAGACCGAAGTCGCAGAGCGCAACGTGGCCGGTGGCGTCGAGCAGGATGTTTTCGGGCTTGAGGTCGCGGTAAACGATGTTGAATTTGTGGAGGTGCTCGAGGGCAAGCACCAGTTCGGCAATGTAGAACCGCGCGCGCTCCTCGGTAAAGCGGCCTTCGCGTTGCAAGTGCCAAAAGAGCTCACCTCCCGACTTGTAGTCGGTGACAAAGTAGAGCTCGGTGGCGCTCTGGAAGGAGAACTTGAGGCCCACCAGGAAGGGGCAGTCGAGCGACTTTTCGAGGATCTTTCGCTCGCCCATGGTGTGTGTGACCTCCTTTTTGAGGGCGATCTCCCTCTTGGAGAGGACCTTCATGGCGTAGATTCGCTTGGTGTCCTTCTTACGAACTTGGAAGACGCGGCCAAAGGTGCCGCGTCCGATGAGCTTGAGGTACTCGAAATCGTGCGGGGTGAGCTTCTTGTGCGGCATGCGCTCGTAGGTGATCTGAACGCGAATTTCGCCGCGGTGATGCTCCATGCCTTCCTCGTCGTCGCGCGATGAGAGCGGATACCACTGGTCGCTCATCATCTTGTGGACCAAGCGCGGCTTGATCTCGCGCATGCCGAGGAAGCCCTCGTCCTCGGAATGACGGTCGTAGACGCTGATGTAGATGGGCTGCGAGTCCTGGGTGACATCGAATGTGACTTCGTGCTTCCAGACAGGATTATGGTTCTGACCTGTCCGTGAGAGGGCGTCGGCGGGGGTGACGGTCTTTGCACGGCTTCGACCTGCTTCGCCGGCCTCTGATCTGGGCTGCGCAACGCCCTTTGCCTCCTCGCCGAATTCGTCGATGGGCTCGCGACCGATAAACTCGTTCTTGTCGAATTGGACAACGGCGTAGGGTCTGGCGGACGGGCTACTGACCGCTAGGTTACGGCCTGCAACGATCTTGATGGTGAGGTGACCTCGAGGCGAGTAAGTATTGCGCGTCTTGCTGGCGCTTGCATCAGCGCTCGTGCCACCCACGGGGCTGCTAGAGCCAGAAGAAGATGCGGCTGGCGCGACGGCGGACATGGGAGTGTTTGCGTCGTTGGAAGGTTGTGTAGAAGGCATGCTAGGCTCGTTCTTTTGCTTTGATGGTGGAAGCTTCATGGTAAAGTCGGGATCGCTGAGCGAAATTGAGGTGGTCGGAATGGCCGACTGCGACGTGATGCCGCCGGGTGTGCGAAGACCGGGGGTGACATCGCCGGGAAGGTGATTGTTAATGATGGAGGTATTAAGAGATGAGCGAGAGGACTGCTTGGTCATAGCAGGAGGCTGCATGCTGTCGAAAGGGTTTCGTTCTGCGCCATTGGAGTGAGAGCTGGATGCCTTGGGCGTGGTCTGGTCTGCGGGTCCGGACGGCCATAGGCCCCGAAGCATGTTGGAGGCCATGGCTGGAGCTAACGCGTCGGCTCGGCAGATGCGCTGGGGTTGAGTGAGATTGCTGCGCACTCCAGATTGCTGGTTCGCTCCTTGCCGTGACGCGTGCTGATCGGTTTCAGACGCAGCGAGGCTCTATCGTGAGTGATGCCTATAGTGTCGGGGATGCCAGTGACAAGTTGCGTCGGATCTGTTCCGATGCTGAATGACTTGAAGATATGCCACGCGCCGAATGTGCGATCAGTTTGAAGAATAGAGTGAGGTGAATGCTTTGGCAAGATGGCCACGCTCGAACAGATCCTTTGGTCCGACGATGCCTGGACTAAGTCTTGGTGTTCGGATCTGCGCGTCCTAGCAACTGTAGGGTGGGTTGGTCGAGCGCGTGGGTGGTACGCGAGCTCCGAGGTGCAGGTACGCGACAACACCGATGTGGGAGGCGCTGAAGCAATGTTGAAGTAGGATCGCGACCCGAGAAGAGAGCCGTTGTCGTGACAAGAACAAGATAGGGCATAAAGCTGTTGGTGGACGTGATGATGTTTCGTTGAGGAGGATCACGGTAGCATTCCAAAGCTACAACACACACTCGTCGACCAGAGCTGTCATTTGACACCGAAAGCGTAAATGCCGGACTCAGCGCTGCACGAACACACACACAACAGTCAGCCAGTCAGTCTTTTTCTTTCTTTTCCAATTGCCAGCTCGGCAGCTCAATCCGCAGCGTGCAATTTCAGCACGGCTGCAGCACCGGTACGCAATCAATTATACAGGACCGCCGCGGTTAAACTCGTCAAAAACGTGTCCTCCCGAGGTGTTGCCCGTACACCTTTGACACTGTGACACCATAAGTTAGCATAGAGCGCACAGAGATGTCATGGGACTGCAGACGCTCATAAAGGCGTTCAGCCACGGAGCATGCCTCAGACCTGGAAAAAAATGTATTTCTTACGTCCTTGTGATCACGAGGCCAAAGCAACGGGACGTCTGCAGTGGCCGCCTTGATGATCGTCGCATTTTTCGGGATGCTCCAGATCCCGCATGGACGGCTGTCGAGTGGTCCCAACGGCTGCGCTGCATTTTCATTCCCACAAGCGACGTCCGGCTCCTTTGCTTGTCATCTTCCCAAACTATGCCTACAAAAGAACACCCCGCAATCTGGCGCAAGTCAAATATGACATATTCTCCCGAAGCTTGAGCGAGAGAAGAATCCTCCTCCTCCCTCCCTCTTCTGAGCATTTGTGCTGGATCCAAGTAGCCCTTGAAGCTTATCGAAGGCTTGCGACCAGCGATGAGCCAAGAGTGTCAGTCAACATATAAGCATGCGACAATCTTGCCGACCGCGATGAGACCTTACTCCACTGCTGCCGAGTTCACTGCACGGGCCAAGATGGCCTCGACCATGAAACAATCAAAAATCAAGAAAGGCAGAGAAGAAAAATGGGTCTGAAAAGCGAAAAAAAATCAAAAGAACCAGAGAGAGAGAGATCAGTAAATCGCAGTATAGTATGCATTGTCCGATCGATCGTAGCCCCAACCGGCCGGATCCTGCGCCAAAGGTGGAGAAAAGGCGGTCGTGGACCGTTTGTCGCGCAGTTCCGATTTGCGACCCTCACACGTCTTCTTCTGTCTTCCTCTTCCTCTTCTTCCGCATCCTCTTTTCCCAATCAACTTCATCTCGGGGAACATTTGGACAAGCAACATCCTTTTTCCTTTCTGGAGAGTCTCCGAGCAGCAAGCCACGTTCCTTCACACAAAGGGTTGCACAGCCAGCAACCGCCCGCAGAAACAGACCGCCCAGTGCAGCCGTATTCAAGCTCGTTCGCCGTCACTCGTTAAGGATCATTGATCGGATTTGTTACTCGCTCGCGCATACTTCCACCCTTCCCATCCACCTTGCTCACATTCGTTCAAGGAACTTTCAGCCAGGTGCCCCTTCATCATGGCCGCTCGTACCGTTCCAGGCGCAGCTGAAAAGCCAGTCCGTCGCGTAGTGCCTGGCGCTCCCCCACCCGCTTCCGCTCCGTCAAAGTCCGGCAAGAAGGTCAAAGGTGGCGCAAACAAGGATGGCGCTGCAGTCAAAGTGACGAGCCCCGCATCGGCTGCCCTGCTCGAAGAAGCACCGGAGAACCCCAACCAAGTTGCCAACGGACTCAAAGTCACCGCTCAGGATCTCGCCGAAGAAGCCGAGACACAGGCTGCTGTCGCTGCCGTCGAAGCCATTGAGACGTCCAAGCCATCCACAGTGGCCTCGACACCTGCGCAAAAGGTCATTAGTGAGCGAATCACCGAACTGATGTCCAAGAACAAAAACGCAACCATCACCGTTGCAGTCGACGAACTCAAAACACTGCTCAAGAAAGTGTCTCAAGCTGAATCCCTTTCCACCTCTTCATCGGCACCAGTCGCATCGACAGACTCGGACAGCAAAGCCCACCTCATCTTGTTGCTCCAGTTCCTTCACCTCTTCAACCTCTTCCACCCCAACCCAGCCGGTCCTTCTACATTCGCACCCACACGCAGCATGCCTCCCGCGCTCGAGATGTCGACAGGTCAACAGGTCGCCGCGCTTGCCAGAGTCTACGATCAGCTCGCAAACGGACCCTTGGAGGGCGGAGGGGGGGATGCGCTCGAACTTCTTGCCAGCATCCAACAGGGATCCAAGGACGAGGTGCTTCCGGACGTCAGCTTTGCTACGCTTCGATCAATGATCTTCAAGCTGACAGCCCCTCCCGCAGCAGCAGCTAGCGAGCCGAAACCCAAGGCTTCCGGCCTTGACGCACCACCCGCCGACTTTGTTCCTCTCGATGCAGTTTCGCCAAGCGCAGCTCCTGTTTCTTTCATTCAGGCTAGCGAGATCCTCGACCGATCCGCAGAGCCCGAAGGCGGTCAGCCTTCCACTGTTCCCGCAACAGGCGCCACCGAGAGCAGCAAGGGCAAGCAGGGAGGCAGCGGAATTGTGCTGGGCGAACAGAGCGCAACTTCGAGCAAAGCAGATGGCACCGCCGCTTCAGCCGTCCAGGAGCCGATCAACACGACCGTCAAGAGCGCCGCGGAGCCCAAGCTCAACTGGGCGGCTCTGGCCGAAGAGGACGACGATGACCTCGGCGAGGCACCCGTCTTCGAGCCCCTTGGTTCCAGCACCACCTCGGCGCTCGTCACACCTGCACCGGGCACGCCTACTGCAGCGGAGCCCGAAGCTGCTGCCTCCACCGCCGCCAAGCCTCCGCCATCGGCTGAAGCAGCTGAATCACCGCTGTCACCTAAACCAAAAAAGAGCAAGCAGAACGGTGGTTCCAAGGGCAACGCAGGCGCTCGCAACGGCAACGGCAAGGCTTCGGGAGCTGCCCCGCCACCGACGCCAAAGGGACCCAAAGTAGACGAAGACGGCTTCATCCTTCAGGAGAGCAAAAAGACAAAGTATCTGCAACAGAAGCAGCAGCAGCAACAACAGCAGAACAGAGGGAACGGCGGTGGACGTGGCGGTAAAGGCGGAGCAAACGGAGGTCGTGGTGGAAGACAAAACGCAGGAGGTGGCAGAGCACCCAAGTCGGGAGAGGCAAGACCAAGCAATACCTCTGGAACTCAATAGCATGCGCAACATGAGAAATCAAATTCAGAGTTTCATCCACAACACACACACAGTATCACATGCACGCGAAGCGTGGGCAGCATCAATGTAATTGCACGTCTACCACTTTTTCGCCTCCATCCCATCTGGAGGTGTCGTCGTGACCCTTCCCTTGCCCACCTTGCTCCAATCGGTCGAGAGGGTGGTGCCGCCACTTTCCTGGTAGCTTTTCATCATGGCCCTGCGCGTGTCTTCATCTGCATCCGCGTAGAGTTTTTGAAAGAAGGCGTTGATGTCTGCTTCGCCGCCGTCTGCTGGCTTGTCTGCCGACGATCCTGCTGTAGCATCAGTCTCTGTGTCTGGGTTGAAGCTGTCCCATTTGGACTTTTGTCTAGGTGCAGATGTGGATTGTGCGTACGTTGGCGTTGCTGCAGACACCACCGACGCTGATCCCGCTTGTAGCGAGACCCATCGGACGCCAGGTTGCGCTTTGTGTAGGATCACATCGATTTTGGTGGAAAGCACCTTGAACGAGGAGCTCGTCACGTCAACTTGCGAGAAAAGAGGGTCGATGCCCAGAATGAATTCGGAGCCAGTGTCGGAAGAGACGGCTTTGACGTGAAGCGATTGTGGTCCGATGTCGACTTGGAGCGAGTCTTGAGCTACAGACTTGACAAAGATCGAGATGGTGACCGCCGTGTCGGTCTGATAAAAGTCGAAACGCGGCGTGGCTGCCGCGGCTGAGGAGGAAGACGTACTTGCGTCAGCCATATTGGAGCGCAGGTCGGAAAGGGATTGATGGATGATGGTGATGGTCAGGTGAGAAGATGCTAGGATCACAAAGGGACGGATAAGAACTGCGCAGCTGAGCACTCTGCGTCTTAATTTCGGAATCGGCCGTGCCGCGCTTTGCTTTTACAGGTTCGCCTCGACTCGTGTGGAGAGCAACACCAAATGCACAGACCCACTCGAAAAACACAAGAGTCACAGGAATCTTCTTCTCCATCACCACGTCTTCGACTCTGATCACAGCAGGCACATCCTCTGTCCTCGCTGGCGAATTACATCACGAATGTCATGAGCGCGGCACCTTCGCCTCGCTTGTCGAGTGTTGCAGCTCAGTCGACTAGCGCGAATGCCGACGCCAATGGCGGGACGCGCCTCGTCACAGAAACTGCGTCTACCAGCAAGCCGTCACCTGAAGATGACTCCGAGACAACAACCTTTGGGCTGAGGCGGCTGGAATGGGAACTTTTGACCCTCAGCACGGCTGTCAAGCTGCTACTATTCCCAACTTACCACTCGACCGACTTTGAGGTGCATCGCAACTGGTTGGCCATCACGCGGACGCTGCCCATCCGCGACTGGTACTTCGAAGCTACTTCACAATGGACACTCGACTATCCTCCCTTCTTTGCGTACTTCTCATGGATCCTCGCGCAACCAGCACCACTGGTCGATCCGTTGATAGCAAGCTTGCACGAAGGACTCGAACATGCAGCGTGGCCGTGCAAAGCGTACATGCGTGCCACCGTCGTGGTCACCGAGATCGTCCTGGCAGCAGCGCTGCTGGCTCACGCTCGACTGGGTGTACAGAGGGCCATGAAGATCGGATTCTCGGATCATGTTTCAAACTCGGGCGTATCTACATCGCATCTCCTCGCAGCGAGCCTGCTTATGCATCCCGGACTCATCATCATCGATCATATCCATTTTCAGTATAATGGCTTTCTTTTTGGCGTTCTGGCATGGTCGCTCTGGGCAGCTCGAGAGGACAAGCCACTTCTGTGCGCGTTTCTGTTCAGCTCGCTTCTCAATCTCAAGCACATCTACGTCTACGTGGCACCACCCTTCTTGATATTCCTCCTGCGATCCTACGTCTTCCCCGTCGGCAGCAAGGCAAGCGACCTGGGGCGAGGTTTTGAACGTCTGCTTACGGTTGGCGTGGTGACCTTGACACCCTTCTTTGTCAGTCTCGCACCCCTCGCAGTCGATGGACTGCGACACGAGGCGGGCCCGCTCGGTGCACTGTCACAGATGCTGCAAAGGCTGTTCCCGTTCAGCCGCGGTCTCATTCACGCGTATTGGGCTCCAAATGTCTGGGCACTGTGGACGTTTGCAGATCGAGTATTGGTCAAGCTGCTACCAAGAGTTGCTGCGCTACGAGCTGTGCTGCCAGCGAACTTTGCTGCACGATACGATGCCACGGCCAGCTCTGGATTCGCCTCGGCTTCGCGCGGTCTGGTGGAGAACATCTCATTCGGAGTGCTGCCCGAGATCCGCCCGTCGACGTGCTTCATATTGACGCTGACATGTACGTCTATCTACATGGTCAAGCTGTGGCAGACGCCTACCTACCGTTCCTTCTTGGCATCGGTGAGCCTGTGCGGCTTTGCGTCGTTCCTGTTCGGGTGGCACGTGCATGAAAAGGCCATCATGCTTCCGCTCATCCCCTACACCTTCCTCGCCGCAGTGGACTATGCGCATTTCAGGACGTTTGTGCTGCTCAGCGTCGCGGGCATCGTGTCGCTCTTCCCGCTGCTCTTTACGCCGCAAGAAGGACCGATCAAGATTGGATATTCGATAGCATGGGCGCTGCTCGTACTCGGCCCGCTGCAAAGACGCGTGTTCCGACCGGTGCAGTCGAATGTGGGCATCTTGGTCCATCAGCTAGAGACGTTGTACATGTGGGGCTTTGTGGCCTTGCAGGTGTACGTATCGGTCCTGCACCCGATGGTATTTGCGACGAGTGGAGGTCAGAGTCTCGTCGCGCATACCATCTCAGCTGTCGACGCAGCGTCAAACAGGACATTGGACGGGTTTGCTGGTCCAGCAAATGTCGCCGATGCTCCTTCGGAAGCTGCCCCAGCCGTCCCAGCAGCAACGGCGAGCATCGTGGAATCCGTCGTCGCGAACGTTAGTACTGCAGAGGCGACATCCTCCGATGGTAATGTGATGGATCCGAGCTTGGCCGTGACACCCGAGGATAGTTGCATGACTATCAGCTCCGTCGAGCTTGATGCTCCACGACCTGCAGCAACGCAGTCAGCGGATCTCCTATCCGTCCAATCAACATCTGCACAAGCTCAAGGAACAATTCCGGGAGTGAAGTCGACGATATCAGATGGTCAGCAGAAGCAAGGGGCTGATGCTGTACAGACATCGTCGTCGTCGTCGATGGAATTCTTGCCGCTCATGATGGTGAGCGTATACTGCAGCGTCGGTATCATTTGGGCATGGACGCGTGCGTCTGCGCTGTACCTCTCGAGTGAAGCTTGAACACCGGTCAATATTCGCAATACTATAGAACAATGCCCTCGAACGAGACAGAGACGTATCTGCATGAGCAGCATAGCAGAATGTGTCACCGATTCATGACGATGCGGAGGCTGGTGAAGGACCGCGGACATGAGCACCGCATGGAAATCGGGGTGGAGATCCGACCACGTTCTCCGGCTAAGCAGGGTGCGCGGACCAGGCAGTAAAAACCAATCACGAAATTTATCGGCAGCTCCGGAAGCTGTGTGGAGATGTCAGCGATGCTCGGAAGAACGCCGCGATCTGCAAGCCGACTTTCAGAAATTCGCACAATCGCTATCACATCGCAATCGACGAAAATCAATCCCACAGCCGAAGAAAGCTGAGTCGCCTCTATGCGTTTTTCTGGTGGGGTCAGCTATGAGCTTTTAGGCTCGACCCACGCAGACCTTGGTGGTACCCTGCAGCTGTGTTTGTGTTCCATGGTTGTGTATGGCTCGTCCGGAGTATTGCTTGCCTTCGGGTGCAACAATCACTGCCAAAGAGTGTTGCGTTCATGTGGCCGTGTTGGTGTCGCAGGAAATCTGTTGATGCTGTTTCAGAGGGAAAAGACGGAGGTGTCGATCTGACTGTGCGCGCTGCTGCACTGTGTGTGATCTTTCGGCTTGTGCTCCGGCTCACAATGGAATTCTTGAGCCCTCGCTTGAACCCTCGCCAACGTTATTATTGCCTTGGCTATCTTTCCTCGTCTCTCCTTCAGTCTTCCCACCTACCTCATCTCACCTTCTCCTCCTCATCGCATCTTCCAGAGTGGTTTTGACTGCTACCAAGACGTCGTGTGGTATCTCGTGGAAGATTCTAGGAAGCCACACACCGTCGTCTGCTCATCCTCGCCGCTTCGGGGAGCTTTGGGGTCAACTCGTTATCCCACACTTCGAAAGAGCGAAGAGGTGGACAAAGAAGCAGCTCAATCCCGATCGGATCCTATCGGCATCAGCTGCCTTCTAGATATCGCCATCACCATCGCACTCGTCTAGGCGCCCCTTCTACCAGGCAAGCGGCGTGGCTACAAGCGAGATAGCGACCCGATCGTCGAGCCCTGCCAACACTTGCACAGCAGCCCAGAGGGACTATCAGAAGCGCACGAAGTTAACATCAACGACCGCTTTTCTCACATGATCATGCTCCGATCCTCCTAACTCGAATATACGGACTTCTGATGCTCTAGTTGACCGGCATGGTAGATCGTAGGGCCTCTTCGTTTGTTCAACAGCATCCCCCTTCTCTTGCACAGTCCTCTGCCTCATCCGTCAATCCTGCATCGACGCCGCCCTTACGTCCAGTGGCAAGACGTAGCGTTAGTGGCAGTGTCAATACTGGCGGCCTCCCCTCCTTCACTCCTGCCGACAGTCGAGTGAGCAATCGAAGTCCGCTTGCACCGCAACGCTCGGCTACTACCATGTCCAAGGTAGATCAAAACGCCTGGCCCGAGCCTGCTGGCACCGCATCGTCCGGCAGCCCGTCCAGTGTCTGGAATGGCCGTCCACCGTCCACCATGGACGGCGACGCGGTCACCACCGCCTCTGCTTCCAACGTCAGCACCCCAGGTCGTAGCACCACGGCCCTCGATGCCAAGGAGGCGACTTCCAACGCTTCCGTCTACACACCATCTCCGCTCTTACCGCAGGAAGGCTCTGCCTGGTCCATAGGTCGTCCCGGATCCCTCACCTGGGGCAATGATCTCGCCACGAGGTCAAACACCTCAGAGATCATCACCGACTCTGCCGCGTCAAGTCCGAGTGCAGTCAAGCGCGCCACCACCAACGACACCACAGCTATCACAAACGACTTCCAGAAAGATGCAGCGTCCGCCGGCAAGGAGGATGCGCGACCGTCGGTCTCGCCAAGCACCAGCAAGAAGACAGCCGCACCCGTCCCCAAACGCGCACCGATTCGCTCGGCGACTTTGGACCCCAAACACCTCGCAGCAAATCGGAGGCTCAGCAGTGACAGCGACGACGAGTTAGCATCTGGACAGACTGCCGCTGACGATGATGAGCAGCTGGTCGCCGGCGTCAGCTCCCTCAACATCACCACTACGGACACCGCTCCACAGCAGCCTGGATACAACTCGCCGCCTGCCTTCATGGTTCCAAATCAGTACGCCGCTCGTGCCTCTGCTCCCTTTCCTCCACCACCTTTCAGCCCTGGCGAAGCGTTCATGAATCCCTCGCCGTATCTTCCAGGCAGCGGAGCTCGCTCGCCGGATGGATATACGCATGCCTTCCCGGGTGTCGCAAACATGATACCTGGCATGGCTCCGATCGACATGTCTGGCTACGAATCCTACCGCACGACGCCAGACCCATACGCACCCACCATGCCTGGACGCGCCATCTTTGCATCACCCGGCTCACAAGGGTCCACACCTCAGAGTCCATCGTTCGGACCTGCACCGCTCGGGCCCCACTTCAACCCTGCGATGCGCAACGGAGAGGCACTTTTCTACCCTGGCATCGTTCCAGGCTTCGGCCCGCCGCCAACGATGGCTGGAGGCATGGCGTCGCCCGTAAGGCCAGGTATGACCGCAGGACCCGGACATTATGGCTTTGGTCCCGGGCCTGGAGCTGTCGACGCACGCGGGTCGCAGCTCGCACAATCGCCCATGATGGCCCCTGGCATGCCGATGCCTATGGGTGCGATGATGATGCCGCCTACGAGCCCCGCCATGAGTGCTTCGCAAATGTCTTCGGGCGGACCCGATAGTCGCAGCTCACCAAGCTTGTCGCAGTCCTTACCCTATCAGCCGGGACCGCATCGCAGAATGGGATCGACGGGCCCCGAGCCTTTTGTTCCAGGTATGGCCATGTCTCCACGACCTCCGTTTGGCATGACGGGTCAAGCAGGACCATTTGTACCGGGTCAAGCCTCGATGCACGGCATGATGGGAGCTGCACCCATGCACGCCTCTATGATGCCGTGGAACGGGCGTTTCCACGACCACCGTCGCGTGCCTACAGGTCCAGGTGGCGTGATGGCACCCGTCGGCGGCTACGCCGTGGGAGGGGGACCGATGGATCCGCACTACGGCCGCAATGGTGCCGGATTCTACGGTGGTGCACCTTTTCACCCGTCAGGAGGGAACGGCGTTGCTGGTCCCAGCAGCAGCAATGGCGGTGGTGGACCGAACAGCCATACACGCAGCCCGCTTCTGGAAGAATTCCGCAGTCGCCACGCCAAGAATCGCAAGTTCGAGCTATTCGACATTTACGGTAGCTTGGTCGAGTTTAGCGGCGATCAGCACGGCAGCCGCTTCATCCAGGAGAAGCTCGATACGGCGTCGGCCGAGGACAAGAAGGTGCTCTTCGACGAGGTCTTGCCGCACGCACGCCAGCTCATGACGGATGTGTTTGGAAACTATGTGATTCAGAAGATGTTGGAGCATGGGGATGAGGAGCAGAGGGATGTATTGGCGAGGGAGATGGAGGGGCATATTTTGACCTTGTCGTTGGGGACGTATGGGTGTCGAGTGGTGCAGAAGGCGTTTGATCACATCTCGGCGGTGCAGGGGGAGAAGCTGGCCAAGGAGTTGGATGGACACATCATGCAGTGTGTTCGCGATCAGAATGCCAACCATGTGGTGCAGAAGGTGATCGAGAGGGTGGATGCGGACAAGATCGATTTCATACCGCGGACGTTTGTTGGACACGTTGCCGGGTTGGCTGGACACTGTTATTCGTGCAGGGTGTTGCAGAGGACGTTCGAGTACTGTAAGAAGGAGCAGACGAGGGTGTTGTTGGACGAGTTGTTGGGCGAAGCGGTGGAGTTGATGCAACATCAGTATGGGAATTATGTGGTGCAGTGGGTGTTGCAGAGGGGAGAGGAGGGGGATAGGAGGGAGGTGGTGGGGAGGATCAAGGGCAAGGTGTTGGTGTTGTCGAGACACAAGTTTGCGAGCAATGTCGTGGAGGAGGTGGTGCGGACTAGTGAGGGGAAAGATAGGGATGAACTGTTGGAGGAGATTTTGACGCCGATCACGGGGGCGGGGGAGGGGAAGGACCAGACGAACATCGTTCCGGCGGTGCTGATGATGAAGGACCAATTCGCGAATTATGTCCTGCAGAGGTTCTTTGAGATGGCGGATAGGGAGCAGAGGGGCAGGTTGGTGGAGGTGCTCCAGCCGGCGTTGGTGGGGGCAAGGAGGTCGAGCGTTGGCAGCGCCGGTGCAGCTGGGGGAGGAGTGGCGGCGCATACGGCGAAGCATCTGGTGGCCATCGAGAGGCTTATCGAGGGGTATCAGGCTGATGCTGAAGAGTGAGGGAAGGGGCAGAGGGGAACATGCTCAGTTTTCGTAATAGAGTCTTTTATGCACAGCACAGGTCGTTGAGGGGTTATACGCAAATGGCGCTGAGTGTGGGGTATGAAGTGTCATTTGAAGGAAGTGTGATGAGCCGTGTTCGAAGATACAGTGACGCACAGCACGCGTGAAGCGCCTAGACCTTTACTGATACCCCTGATGTGGTCTGCGGTTTCAGATGAGTGTACGGTGAAGCACCGCCTTCGTCTTCCCAACTGTCATCTTCGTCTGCCTCGTCCATGCTATGCTGCTGCTGTTGCTGCTGATGTTCTGGCGACGCTGCGATATCACTGTTTTGCGCGACTGTACCGGTCTTGCTCATTCGCCTCCGTTCAACATCAGCGGGGACGCCAGAGGATGGGTATCTGCGCATCCGTCCCACCCCAAATCCTGTGATCGGTGGCGGCAGAGCTGCTGTACGACTCTTGTCAACCTCTCCTGCGTGGCTGCTACCGGTAGCAGTGGTTGTAATCGAAGCCGACTGCTGTGCGCCGACCTGACCAGATCTTTTACCTAACGACCCAGGGAAGGGATGCAACTTGGCGTTGTTCTCCAGCTTGTAGTTCGCCCGTGTTTTGCGTCGACCCAGCGAGTGCTGTGAAGGGATGCGTGGGCCGATGCTCGTTGTGGACCGGGTGGAGATCGGTCGATGAAGGCCACCTCCTGTTCCTCCGGCGATGCTGACTGCGCCTGCCGGGGATGTCGGAGCAATGGCGGTAGATCCAGCCGGACTGTGTCTCTGCCCTTCGGTCGTTATTGCGGCGGGCGAATAGTACCAAGAGTAGCCGCTGTAGTACGCTAACCCGGACAAAAGTCGTGCACCGTAGCCGCTGTCTCTCGCATTGGTGCCACCTCTCGCACCGCCGCTGTGCATGCCAATCGGGGCACTCGTGACGAGGTTCCGTTTGACAGCACGTACGGATCTGCGACTGGTGCGTTCAAGCTCTCGAAGTGTGTCTACCGCTTTGGTCGACGAAACCGCCGCATCGATGCCACCGCCCGCCGGCGTCGCTGCAAGATCAGCACTGGAGTTGAGCAACGAAGTATCGGCACTGCTCGGGACGACATGAGAGCTGCCATTGGAGCTTGCCGGGTTGGTGAAGCCAGATGATGTGGTTGATTGTTGCTCTGTCGATGCAGCAGCGGCCACGCCGTTGCTGCCTCTAGAAACAGATATCACGCTTTCCGTGACTGCGACGGCATCGGCGCGTGCAGCTGATACAGAGATGGATCGAGACCCTGAATCGACCGAAATCTTGCGGCTGCGGCGGTCGGCTTGTTGCGTCGCTTTGGGAGACTTTCTTGGTCGTGCAGAAAGACTATCGGGGTACTTTGCGCGTGCTTCCTTCGCTTTGCCCCTCCCTTTCGCGTTCGCAGTCTGGCCATGTAGGCTCTCAAACCCTCCCGACGAGCGAGGAGTAGGAGGTTCCGACAGCTCCGAAGGCGTACTCAATCCATCCAGCTGCAAGCCCAGACTGTCCCTTGCACCGGGAGCCAAGCTGAGCGCTAGTGCATCCGAGCCTGCGAGCAGCATCGCACTGACTCGTCGTACCTGTTCCTTGACCTGCACATCTTCTGCAGACATGAATGGCATGGACTCTGTCAGTGCATCTGCTAAGAGAGCGACCAAGTCGGAGCTTTGCTGCGAGGGTAGAAGCTCTTCTTGATGGACATCGATGTTCGGAAGCTGCTTTGTCGATTGAAATGATCGGGGCGAGAATCCGGACTGCGAGTTCTGCCTGCGTTCCATTTCGGCGTACAGTGCTGATGACAGCCGACGCATCTTGCGATCCAGTTCCGGCGCTGCTTGACGATGCTGGCGATCCTTTCCTGGTTCAGGCGCATGCTTCGGCTTTCCCGCACCTTGTCGTCCATAGCTGTCGCCAGAAGAGCCATCGCTGCCTTGCTGACCTGTGTGTCGTACACCATCAATGTGAGCGGCAAAGTATTCGTTCGACAAGAGTCGCGATCGCTTCTCGGCTGGACTCATTGCCAACGCCACCGACGAGGGCGAAGCAGGTCCGTTCTGACGCAACGTAATGTCGCCTTCATCCTCCTCGTCCAGTTGGCTGTCAACACTTTGAAGGACTTCCTGTCGATCCCCTGGCGCAAGATTGAGCGTGGCTCGTTTGAACTGATGTTGTGCTAGACCGTAAATAGGCTGTTCAGAAGATCTGCCTTTGGACAGATAGTCTCCTCTACCGGCTTCCTCAAAGTCACTAGCAGCTACAGAGCCTGGAACCGTTTCGGTGCCCTCCGAAGGTGTCAGACCAACAAAGCGTTTCTTCATTTTTATAGGTGAGAGCATTGCCGAAGAGGTCAATGAGGACGTCGAGTGTGCCATGTGGTCATCAAAGCCCGTGTCTGAGTCTGTCGATGTGAACATGCCGGGGGAGGCCGGCGATGCAGTACCCTGCGATTTGCGCATGCCACGATCGCCAAAAGAAGGAGGAGCGAGGCTCTGCAAATCCAGCAGCATCGCAGGCCGAGCGAGCGGGCTGCTCGGCGACGTGGGCTTGTTAGGCGAGCCAGGAAAGGCAAGAGCGGTGCGATCCAAGACAGGCGTTCCGGGCAGCGACGATGTCCGCGGCGGTAAAGGGCTTTTCGGCTGAGCTGGTGCCTGAGTCTGGGCGAGGATCTGTCTCTGAGCCTCTTCGTTCGTCTGGGTATTGGCCTGCGCAATGATTTCACTGTTCGTTGGCGCAAAGCTGCCTTTGACTGGGGTGATCGGAGTTTCTGGCACGTCTGAGAGGCGAACGGACCCAGCATGTTGCGGAGCTGAGAGATCAGTCGCAACTGGGACCGGCGGGTTGGCTTCTTGAGTAGGACCTGTTTTGCGAAGTATACCTCGCCCGACCACGGCGGGCAGCGTTCGATGTCGATACCATGTGCCGCTCGCCTGACCGAGGTTGTCCGCAACAGCGTCGGCATCCGTCGAATGACGCTCGTCGAATTCGCGATACAGGGCAGGAGAGACCTGCATGGTTTTTGCAACCTTTGCAACCGATGCGATGCTTCTCGGCACCAACGTAGAAGCGACCATCTTGATGACCGAAGCGGGCACCCAAGCGGCCATCTCTCCTAGGTCGGAAACCTGAGTGATACATACAGCAGGGCCACGAGGGTCCCGAATCGGCACATAGGCAGCAGAAGGATCTGCAGAATCTGACGTTTGTGCAAGGAGTCGGCTTCCAGAGCTGCTTGAGGAGTTTGACCTTCCACGGCGACTGAGAGCGAGGAGACCTTTGCGGAAGTGCGAACCTTTGGTTGAGGTGGCGGAAGAAGGGCTTTTACCGAGATCGGAAGTGCTAGTCTGAATGTAGTCGTCCGGAACACCATCGTCGCCCAGATCCTCGACCATGAAGCCTCCTGTCTTGAGCTCGAAGCGGGTGTAGCCTTTGCGAGGCGGCAAACTAGGGTCGACGATACTTTGCGAAGTGGACACGAGGCGTAGCGGTCCAGCCGAGCCAGGCTTTGACGGCTGGGAAGGCAGGCGAGCATCCACGCTCAAAAGGACCATATCTCTTGCCTTTGCAACCATGAAGATGCTTCCGAAGCGAAGAACTTCGACTCGAGCAGCGACCGCGCGTGCCGTCTCTGATGGTGAGCTCGTTGTTGATGAATCGTTGGAGCGAGTTTGTGCCTCTTTGGACAACCAGCGCTTTACTGCTCCCTCCTCGACAGTGTTGTCCCATAGCTTGCGGTTCTCGGCACTAGCCATGAGCGACCAAAATTGTCTGGCGGTAACACCTGGCAGGGTCGACTGAACGCTGAAGAGGTAACGGCTAGGATCAGGATGAGAGCGAACGGTGATGGAAGAGGCAAATCCGCCGGGCGTGGCTGGTGGAGCGGTGGTGGTATAAAGAACGTTCCACTCGGGTATCGGGATTTCTGGCTCGATTTGGTCGAGTTCAGTGGGTATCGATGATGATGTTGCATCATTGTCGGAGAGGGGCAGCAAACTTGCTGCTTCTGGATCGGCGTAGGCAAGGAATTGGTGCAGAACGTGAAGCGACTGCCGAGTCAGGTTGGCGGTAGAGCTCGAGTCGTCCTTCGGATCCTCCGCTGTCAACGGCACCGGCTGTGTCTTTTGGGGACCAGCTGCTATCGGCGTAGCCGATGCGACCGCCGTCTTGGCGGATCTGGAGAATGCTGGCATACTTTGACTTCAAAGAGACGGAAAATGCATTTGGTGACGTCCCATTCGGATCCGCCGTGTGCTCATCGAAGCTCTAAAGGGTGATCGGAGGCATGAGGTCGGTGTCGTTGCGGCGACGCCGTAGTTGCAACGTTGGAGATGGGCTTCCCGCTGTTTGTCGTGTAATGGCCGCTGTGTCCAATCCTATGCCGTGGACATCTAAAAGGCGTCGGCGGAAGTAACAGGTTTCGGAATTTGTTGTCCTGGTGTCATAGGCAACTTGAGAAGGGATCGAACGCTGCTTCTGATCGAGCAGAGTGAATGCTGTCAAGAAAGAGTCTCTATGCTTGTCGATAGGCAACTTTGGATTGCATGCGCCAGCCAGTCGACATTCGACTCCACACCGTAGAGCAACACGAGCTGCTGCATTCAAAGCTGCGTTGTTTGAAAAAAGGGGCCAAGCGCCACAGCTTGCAGCAAGCGGAACGTGTGTGTGTGTTTGTTTCGGCTCGCCGACGCTCCGTCAGGGTCCTGGACAGAAAAACACGCATGCAACACACGCGATTAAAGTCGCGGCTGCGATGCTCTGTGTTGTGGCCCCTGTCTCTGCTCATGGTTCCTTGATATTGATTGCGCTGTTAAGTCGGACGTGCGCTCGGGTTTCGGACGTGCACAGCATTCGAGTTGGAAGGTCTGAGAAGGGAGAGCAACACTTCGGGCGGACGGTGCTCCGCTGACTCGCCTTCCTCATCCAAGGGTCTTGCTTCCACACACTTGTCTAGCGCACCACACGTCGCTCCAACATACGACCAGACAAGCATCTCAGCACCACCACATTCTCGAATCAGTCACCATGCAGGCCGAAGTTGACGCTACCCAGGACACCGAGTTCCACGATGCATTGAGGGCGCACGGCATCATCCCGCCGAAGCCGCCATCGCGCTCGCCATCGCCCGAGCTCCCGTCTGCAGGCGAGATGCGCTCGCAAGCACTCAAACAAGCCACCGTCGACGACCTCGACCTCGAGTTGGAGAATGAGCTGGACGACGAGGAGGAGAAGCTGCTCGAAAAGATTCGCAGGCAACGAATGTCGCAGCTCCGCGCAGAGACCAAGAAGGAACGCTTCGGACGAGTATACCCCATCAGCAGACCCGATTATACACGCGAGGTGACAGAAGCGAGCAAGGAAGACCCAGATGCAGATCCCGATGCACAGAAGCAAGATGACCACGAAAGCAACGGCAACGGCACGGAAGCAGACGGAGTGGACAAGCAGCGTCAGGGCGGCACAGGGGTGGTGTGCTTCCTGTACAAGGACGGCATCGACACATGTCGACTCCTCGCTGGCTACCTCGATACGCTAGCCGCCAAGTTCCCTTCTACCAAATTCGTCAGCATCGTCGGCGATCAGTGCATCCCCAACTATCCGGACCGAAACCTGCCAACGCTCCTCGTCTATCGAAATGGCGAACTGCACCGTCAGATCGTAGGCTTGCGGCCTGAGATCGGGTTGGACGGTATGAAGACCAAATGCGAGGATATCGAGCTGTTGTTGACAGCGGTAGGTGCGATTAAGAGGTCAAACGTTCCCGGCGCACCGACACATCTTGGGTCACAGAAGCCGGATACTATCGAGGAAGGCGATGAAGAGGAGGAGGAAGAGGGTGGAGCTAGACAGAGAAGCATCCGACAGAAGACACAGGAAGAGCTGGATGACGAGCTTGATTGGGATTAAGATATGCGCTGCTCGAACTTGACCTCTTTGTATCACTAGACCATAATCTCTCTACATTACGACACATTCCATTTCTGACTGCAGCACTGTGGACAGGGACGTCCAAATGCCGACGAGGCGAAAGTCTAGAACAGAAGTCTTTCTCAAATCGACAGGTGAGAACCTCATCGCTGGGAGAACGTGTGATGCCGTGCGAGGTCCTAGAATGAGTCTGGGAGCATGTGCCCAGCGGCAAGCACGTGCCACCGGATGATCATCTTCGGAACTGAAACGCTGCCGAAAATACTGAGTCGTTGCCGGCGGCGGCAAAGTGCGGTACAACCCTAAATTTTCTTCTCCGATAATCTTTGGCCTCTTGCCGAAAGTACATGCCGATGACGAAGGCCGTGCAGATCAGCGTGAAGGTCCTCTCCCCTCCACTCTCTCTTTCTGCGTCGTGCCGTGGATAAAAGAGCTTCGTTTTGGCTTCGAGCTTTGCAACAACAGATTCTTCAGCCAGCTTTATTACAAGTTCTTCCCTCCTTCCGATCCTTCAACACCATCATCGACCGCATCTGCTTCCAGCCTCTAACAACCTCGCTATGACTACTCCTGATCGAACAGGCAAACCCGAAGACCTCGGTCTGATCGAACTGTTCGGCGAGCCCTCCTCGCCTTTTGTTCGAACCATCTCGCTCGCTCTTTCGGAACTCAACATCCACTACATCCCCATCGCTCGGTCATCGCACTCTGACGAGATCAAGTCTCGCAATCCCTACGGTCTCACTCCTGTGCTTATTCATCGACCGGATGGACTCTATGCTCGACCCGAAGATGTGATCACCTTATCCGAGGGATCGATTCGACGATACGTAGATGAGCTTCTCTTCCCACTTTCATCGACACATCGACACTTGACACCCCCTCTACGATCCTCCGGTGGAGTCGTTGATGCCAAGACCGTCGTTTCAAGGTCAAGATTGGACGGTCTCATCTCCAAACTCTCTCAAACCATCATCCCAACCCTCGACGCTGGCTACATCAAACCCGCCTCAGCCCTCGCTAAACAAGGCAAAGACGCTGAAACCATCAATTCCACCCTAGCCGAACCTTTGACCAGAATCCACACGCTGTTGGAGATCGTGGAGGGTCAAGCAGCAAAGAATGCAAAGTGGTTGCTGGAGGGTGAGAACTTGACCTGGGCGGATCTATTCTTGTTCCCTGTGCTGGACGATCTGAGGTCGAGTCCTGCGGGTCATCTGGTCTCGGGCAACAGTCCGAACTTTGCTTGGTTGTCAGGCTGGTTGCGAAGGATGGATGAGAGAGTCAGCGTCGAGGTCGGAAAGAAAGCATAGTGACTGTGTGAACAAATCATCGCTCATTCGCTTCTGTAGACTTCACCTGGTCTTTGGAACGAGAATGTGATTGCATGCATATATGAGAAATGGATGAAAAGATGCGAGGGTGACAGTGTGACAGAATGTGTAATGCTGAGAGAAAGAGTTCTATTTGGTGAAGTGTGTGTTCGTAGACGGCTGCGTTTCAGACGGCTGCGTTTCGTCTCTGGATGACCGTGACGTCCTCGATGAGCTGGTGGAAGCGCTCCCTTCTATAGTGGACGCTGGACTCATCTTCTGAACCGATCCGTGCCGCCGCTGCTGCTGCTGCTGCTGCTCTTCGTAATCATAGTCGGGTTCGTTCGCCAGCGGTGCATACCCCATCTTTCCCGCTCTTCTAGCCTGCGCATTGACCGCCTTGACTGCACCTTCGGCGGGTTGCCATTCTAGCTCGGCAAATCTCGGATAGAGCAGTTGCGTCGTGATATCACCCCATCGTTGCAATTGGTCGATGTGGTACGTACCGCTTCCGTTGCGCTGTAAATCATACTGATTGAGCAATTCGACCATGAGCTTTCGCATAAAGTCAACGAAGACAACGTCCACCACTTCCTCGTCCGATTCGGGTAGCGGATCAGGATTTGATGCGACGTATTCCGGCTGATTGGGATTGAACGGCACCGGAGAGTGCACCGTGTCGTCGCCAGGTCCGGCACACTGGTCAATCGTGCGGTAGCCCAACGAGGGTTTATCGAGCGAATCGTACTTGTGGAAGAACTTGAGCAGCTCTTCGTCTTCTTCCGCCTCAAGCTCTTCCACGCTCTTGAGAGTCGCGTGGGTGTGGTTTCCGGCACCGCCGTCGGCTTCTGCAGCCGCTCTTTGCCGATCAGCCTGCTCTGCTTGCAAGAACTTGAACCACTGCGACTTTTGCCATCGTACGAAGATGTCTTCCACAAATCCGCTGCCGTATCGCAACAGTGCATCGCCGTCCGAGTATTGAGTGCCACCTTGCATCACCTCGAGGACGGCTCCTCTTTTGAATGTACGAGTCTGAAGTCCGTGTAGGAGACTTTTGGCAATGCCCCACGGAACATCAGCCATGTAAAGAAAACGATCCTTAAACGGCGACACGATGTACTGGTCGTTGCGGGTGAAAGGACCCGAGTAGACATCGAATCGTTGTGATCCGCTGTTGATGAGCACAAGGCTCTTCTTGTCCTGTCGAGACTTTTCCGACGGCCGCACCACCTTGGGCAGCACTTGATCAGCCAAGAGGCTCAGCAGGCTCGAGTTGTCGCCGTACGGCACGCGATCGAGGAAATAATCTTGCGGCACAACTCCGTGCAAGCGCGAGAGATTCCACGCTTCAGAGATGGCGTCCATGATAAAGCGAATGAAGCTGCCCTTCTTGGTCGCAAGCTCACGTGTGTCTGCCAGCTTCAAATGATGGGCAAAGTTCCTGGGGTTTGAATCAATGTATCGCCGGGTGAACTTGACCTTGCCGCGATTGCCTGCCCGCTTGCGCTTCTGGAGATCCTTGATACCCATGAATCCGATGGTCTCCATGTAACGGCCGCTCTCCAACGCCATGGTCTGACCATCCATCATTCTGCAGTCGCGCACGTGCGTATGCCCGCCCAGGATGGCGATGGGTGTGTCGGGGAATCGTGAGCGGATCTTGGTCCTCACAGCCTCCCAACCGGGGTCGCCCGAGACGGGCATGTGGCCAAGGACGACAAAGGCGTCGACGCCCCACTTTGCGGCTCGATCGAGGCTCTGCTGGAACCAGTCTTCTTCGACCATGTCCTGCGGCGATTGCACAACAATGCCTTTAGCGGCAAGCTTGAAGTCGAAGAGGATGCCGTACGACATGATCTTTAGCCCCTGCACTGGCGTGACCAGGGTGTTGAAGAGAGAGCCGATGGGTGCGTAGCTGGCATTAGGAGCATCCGGACCGGGTAGAGCGATCTTGACATTGCTGGTCATGTACCTGCCTCCCCATTGCGGCACGAAGTTCTGGTATACATCCTTGGCTACCGTGTAGTTGTAGAGCTCATGGTTACCGATTGTGAGCAGATCGTAGTCGATCATGGCGAAGATCTGATTGCTGACGTGCCCCTCGACAGCTTCTTTGCCACCTGGCTCGTCTTTGTTGTAAGGAGGGAAGCCATCAGAGATGCCGTTGCCATCATGCAGGTCTCCTGTGTCGATAAGCAAGAGGTCTCGACCTTCCAAACGTGCCTTGGACCTCATCTTGGACGCGAAAGACGCCCAGTCACCCCAGTCACCCGAATAATTGGGCTCTGGCGGCGACAGCTTACGATGTGCGGCGAACCAGCCGTGTATGTCAGTCGAGTGCAGAATGTTGAGGTCGCCCCATTCAAGCTCTCGTAGTCTATCGTCGGATCTAGGCATGCGACCTCGCTCTCGACTCCATCGTTGGAAGCCTTCTACCTCGGCACGGTAATTGGCGAGGGAGTCGGCGTCGGAATCGACGCGGTAATTGAAGGCGAGCTTGCTCGACAGAGGCTCCATTGGGGAGCTCGCAAGAGTCGAACATATTGAGGCAAGCCCGAGGGAAATTGCAAGTAGGAGTTTCGGCTTTCGACATTTGGGTCGGCTGGGGAGATGCGAAGGACCTGTCCGAGCGGGACTGGATGCCCAATGCATCATTGCAGCCGAGAAGAGAGGGAGCAGACCGATGGACAAGAGCCCGTGGATCCTCGAGGAGTGCAAGTCTCGTTTCAGTTTGCCGTCGAAGCTTGCTGAAGGCACGGCTGCCACGACGTTGTTCTAGACTCGCGCGGACACATCACGAGCCCGGCACGGTACGGTAACGCTAGAGAGGACAGCTGTACAGCTAGCTTTAGTGTCACAGTGTGCCAGAGACTTGCGATGATGGAATGTCAAGGCATTGATTGAACGAGAAGGGAAGAAGGAGGCGGAGTGCCAGGGATTGGATTATCTGTTTGGTGTGACGGCGATTTCGGCTGATCCGTGGGCAAAAATGACCCAAGATCACTGTGCCCGTCTGCTGCTGCTTTTTTTCGGTGGCATGCGCGATGAGGTGGAGGCATCCGACCCCCAGGTTCGGCGTCGCCGATAACGGCCATGTGCACATCATCTCAGCGGTCACGGGATACTGTATCTCAACAGAGGCACTGTGGCGGACTGCATGTGATTGTACACACTCGAGAATGAGCAAGTTACGAATGGAGGTAAGAGGATAGATTGACTCGAGCCAGTGTGGTGCAATGCGACATAAGACAGGGGACGAAAGACAGATCGTGTGGTGCAAAGTACTAGCGTGACACTAGATTCTAAACACAGGAAGCACATTATGGAGGAAGATGAGAAGCGTGAACAGGAGCGATGATGTGTTTGGTCTTGTTATGTGGACGCAGTGACGGAAGAGCCGGAGCCTGATGCCGAGGAGGTCGTCTGGGTCTTTGTCTTGTTGAGCTTCTTCTTCTTCTTCTTCATCATGGCGGATGCCACAGCTGAGCGTACGTTCTCGACAATCTCGCGGCTCTGTTCGATGTACTGCGAGTCCTCGATTCGTTCTTTCCTCTTGCCACTCGTGACGGACGGCTTCTCGACGCTTACCATATTCCTGCGCTGAGACGTTTGATTTGCCTGACCGGGACTGCCGACACGACGACTGGGGCCCGCTTCGGCCTCAGGAATGTCGCTCGCTTGATCGGCGTCGAAGTCCTCTCCCGCATCCGCCATCCTTTCAGCAGCCTCAGCGAGGTCTCGCTCGCTGCGAGGTGTTCGTCCCAACATCTTTTCCAACTTTGCGTACTTTTTCTTCTGCGCCTCGTCCATCTGGCGCTTTCTTTCCGACTCTCCCTCAAGGTATTCTGCCAGCTTCTTGGCTTCCTTGAGGACGCCCAGTCGACGTCCGTTGAGATCGCGACAAGAGTCATTGTTCGAATTGCGTGCTCCAGCAGACATCTTGCCACCTTGCGAACGCAGCATCGATCCGAATCCACCTTTGCCACCAGGCAAAAGCGCTCGCAATTGCAGAACCACAGGGAAGTCATCGTTGCTTGTGGTCAGACCGCGCAACCTCGTTGAACCGACAAGCTTTCGACCGCGATGGGTAAGAAAAAAGCACGGCGGGGCACGACCGCAGAGAGCTTTGCTGAAGCCTTGCAACACATCCGTCGCGGTGGCGGATGCCGGCAGCGCGAGGCAAAGATGCCTCGGGAAGGGGTCGAAGGACTCCACCAAGATGGGAATCATGCCAACAGAGCAATGCTGAAGGTGAAGGGCGGAAAGACGTAAGCAGTTGCAGTATATCAGGCTGTAGCGGTGGTGTGAGAGTCGCCGAATCGATGGTGGATGAGGAACGGTGATGGTGATGAGAGAAAGAAACTGCAATTGAATAATTTCGAAAGCTGAGTTAGCTCCGCGGCCCGCATTTTCCAATTGTTGCCGATGCAGGGTCTCGACGAGAAGTTCTTGACAACGTACAAACGCTGTAATTTTGGAACTTCATCCGTCAACGACGACACCAGCATTCAATAAGACGGGTCTCCCATGCGACTTCGATCCGAGCACAATCAGGCATGACGATCGTCGCGTACCAAGTAGAACCCGTGTGAGGGCATAACGAAAACCCGTCTGGCTGCGTCGACGCCATGACCAATTCGCATGGCTACGTCCTCGAATATCCACGCATTCGTGTCGACCACTTCGACCAGGCAGCCATCCCACTTCCCGCATCGCTCCTCGCTCACCGCCGCTCGATCTCAAACGATACAGTGGGAGCAGCTCAAGGTCCGGACAGCCTATCCTTCGCCCCTGGACAGACGCATTTCGACAAGCCACTGCTCTATCTTCTCACCCATATCCACACCGATCATCTCAAGGGGCTCGACAGACCCGGCATCATGGCACCAATCTACTGCAGCGCTGCCACCAAACAGCTTCTGCTCAGGTACGAGCGTCAAAAAACACGTATAGAGAAGGATAGAGATGGAGTACACACGAAGCACGTTGGCGTCGTGCGGCCGTATGCCCACCTACGGGTCACGGACGACCATGCCACGGCAAGGGCAAAGCTGTCTGGTTATCAGTCCACCAGTATCGATTTGTTGCATCCACTGCCGTACAATGTGCCGACAAAGGTGCAATACACACCTACATCAAGCGTCGTGTTGACGCTCATCGAGAGCAATCACATGTTCGGAGGGACCATGTTTCTCATTCAAGGTGCTCAGGGAGCCGTGCTGCATACGGGAGACATGAGGGCGGAAGAGTGGTGGTGCGAGGCCCTTACAAGAAATCCGTCCCTATCGCCGTACCTCTGCTGGCATCAGGACAGTATCACAGCATCAGGCAGCGAGCACGTCGAAAGGGAGGCATGGGCTGAGCAAATCGAGTCGCTCGGCACCACCGCTTCTTCGTCTGTGCGGGGCCAAGAATCCCTTTCGCAATCGCAGGATGACTCTCAATCTCAAGGCGTACATCGCAGCAATGATCTCAATCTCGAAGAAGCTTCGAACTCTACCGCAAAGGCTCCGTCCAAGCATCGGTCCCAACTTCGCCTTCGCAACATTTACCTTGACACCGAGCTCCTTCTCTGCAACCAGAAAGTCCCTACCAAACAACAAGCCTGCCTAGACATGATCACACTCATGCGCATGTATCCTTCGAACACCGTCTTCTTTCTCAACTGCTGGACCTGGGGCTATGAGGATATGCTGATCGTCACAGCTAAAGCCTTTGGCTGCAAGATCCACGTCGACCGCTTCAAGTACATCATGTACAAAGCTGCTCGAAGCGAAGCCCCGTTCCTCGCCGACATCGTCACCCAAGACGGCAGCAAAACTCGGTTTCATGCTTGTGAGAAACGCAACGTCTGCTCGCACGTCCAGAGCCTCGCATCTCGCTATTCGGGCAACGCCGACCCTGCCTGGGCGAGGGAAGCGCTCGCTGCACATTCTCAAATGGATAGCAGTAGTCCCGACGCCAGACAGCGCTGGGGACCGGTACGCTCGCAACCGGAGCCACTGCTGGTGTACGTCAACCCGGGCCAGATAGCATCTGACAAGTGGCCGGGGATGTTTGAAGATACCAAGCACCGACTAGAGGCTGCACAGAGACACGAGACCGCTTGGCCCGAGGCGCTGGTCGTACCTATGGAACGTCATTCGACCCTTCCTGAGTTGCAGATGTTTGTTGGGCTGTTTCGACCGAAGACGGTCTCGCCGAACACGATCCTGGATCCGAAGGGCGGTCTCGACTACTACCTACTTCATCATCTCTTCGGACACCTGCTAGCCGGTGCAGAAGATCGTCGTAAGATGGCTGACGAAGGCCTGCTCATGCTTGGTAACAAGACTTGGAGCTTCTACGAGACGCAGCTGGCAAGGGCGCGGGAACAGGCACAGACCAGGCGCAACGGTGGTGTCGCGGATTCCACCGAGGCCATTCGGGCCACGAGCGCCAGTCTCAACACCAACGGTCATGGTGAAAGCGTTGGGGAGAGCCTCGACGCATGGCAGTTGGAAAGATTGTCGAAGCTAAGAGGTATCAGCTTCAAGGGACTTATGATGCAAAACATGGCGGGAAATTTGGCGGCGATGCTCGAAATCGAGCGATGGAGAAGAGCTGCAGGGATCGAAGAGCCACTGGAAGGTCTGGATGGTGTCATCGAAGAATCACTGGAAAGCACGCAGGGCAAGACAGAGGCAAGTGTGCCCAGCGTCGACTATGAAGCTGATCACAGTCAGATGGCGGAAACGCAGATCTCGCCATCACGCCTGCGTGCGAGTATCCTGCACAAAGATGAAATTGCGGAAGTATCATTTGCCCAGGATCACCCTGTGGATGCATCTGATGAGGCGATGCAAGCGGAAGCGCAATCTTCACCAGCCCCTGCGCAGCAAGCGGTTCATCCGTCGGCAGTCCCGACAGCAGCGGTAGACTCTTTGCTGGACTCGCAACAATCTCACCCTTCCGCAGCCGACGAAGAAGAGGAGCTCTCCACCGAACTATCCGAAGATCTGGCGAGTCGGTATCTCAATGTCCTTATACACCATTTCAGCGTCCCGTTTCAACGCACCGACACATCCTACGTGCAAATGTGGAAGGCTGTCCGTCGAACGCTGGCCGACCAAGCGCAGAAAGTCGAAGAGCACTGGTTCAGAGAAACGGGTGTCTTGCCTCCGCTGTGGAGCTCGAAAGCGGTTGAGGCTGAACGGGCCGTACATGGGAAAATGCGGACCACCACAACTCTCAGTGAAGACGACTCGCAGCCTAGAGCCGCGGTGGTGGACGAGGTTCTGATCTCGTTCATCGACATGCTAGCTCCACCTCCGGCAGAAGAGGGAGCGGAGCTTCTGGATGTACCCACGGTCTACGATCAAAGCGTCGCGCTGCAACTGATCCTCCGACATTTTGTCAAGCTTGGCTTCCACAACTGTGTCGCTGCAGAGTCGTCTGGCGACGGTCAGAGTCACGCAAGCTGTGGCGTCGATACGACTGCTACCGATTGGCAGTCACTCTCCTCCCCACTCACAACATTGACCAGGCACTTGACCTCGAATCTTCAAATCCTTCCCACATCTTTCATCGACAAAACGGAGCTTGAAGTGACATTGCTTAGCCTCCAACTCGCTGGCATACTGTTCTCAACCCGCCCGCTCTACACGATTATCAACCTCGATGATGTACAACACCTCCTCGATGCGGTCATCGTCATCGTCGAGTCAGCGTCAGATGATGTTTTAACGCTCTCAGCGAGCAGAAGGAAGACAACAGCATTCGCATGCGCGGTGCTGCGCGCGGAAGAGCTTGACGACGGCGTGTTGGCACCGTTCGAGCAGCGATTACTTGCTCTTGCTCAAGGTTCCGACGGTGTGTTGAGGAGGATGGAGAGTTTGATGGAAGAAAGTGCGTTTGGTGAAAGTCAGTATGCGCCTCAGCATGTCGCTAGCGGAGCAGGGCAGTTGCTTCGAGTGGATCAAGCGGAGTCGCCTAGCGAGCTCGTTGACGCGGGAAACTTGGACCAAGGCGAGGAGTCCAGTATGCAAATCCGACCACCGCGCGCCCCAACCACATCCATCACCTCCTCGCAAAAGACATCACCCATCCCAGCCCCACCGCTGGTCGAAACAACAGACTCGATCATCGCCGATGCCACCGAGCACGACACCATCGAATCCTCCACCTCGTCAGCCGCTCATCCACTCGATGCTTCACAAGCATCCTCAGCTACGCAGGAAGAGGACGAGACGCAGTCCGAACAAGACGAGTCCCAAATTGCTTCGCTACCGATAGGCGGTAGATCGAACAGGTTGAGCAATGTAGCGAATCGGAGCGTCGGTCGGACTACGTCGACGCCGAGCATAGTACACTCGAGGTTGGTGGCTGGAGAGGAACGACGCAAACGAGGCTTGGCGAGCGAGCTCGATGACACACGCAGCAGTAGACGCACTCGGAAATGAACACATCATTGTCGCATCATGCCCTCGTATAAATTTCATTTTTTACCACCCATACAGATCTCGCTACCTCCTTCCACCTACAAAATTGACCTGCACAACGGACACGTACTAGCCCCACTCGTCGAGATCCACTTGAACAAACACCCAGCGTGGAACTTGTTCTTGCACGTCTTGCACGGCTTGGTCGGCAAACTCCTGTCCATGGGCGAGATGATGGAGTAGCAAATCGCACACTCATCCAGTCCTTGGAACTGCACCTCGGCGTTACGCTTGAACAAGCTCAACGCGTCAAAGATGAGTCCATTCTGACCCGTGATGAGCTGCTGTACCGCCAACAACCAAGATCTCCATTTGGCTTCGGTGATGCCGACTCGTTGAATGTCACGAATCTCGACGCCGTGAAGCGGGAAGTCCGAAGGAATCTTGACGCCGATCTCCATGGGGTGCTCATCCACCACGTAGGTGGCGATCACTTCGTTCGTCGAGAGGATCTTGATCGAGAGGGCTTCGTCTTGCAACTTGGACATCGCTTCCGGTTCGCGAAGGTGCGAAAGTTCACGGTTGGCGATGATGGGCGAAAGGTGACGCGTGGTGAAGCTGGCGATCTGCATGGAGTGCTGTCGATCTTTGATGTTGACCCACCATCCGCGGACGGCGGTAGGCATATGGATCAACGCTCGTAGGTAAACGTGCGCTGCCAACACCTGCAACACGGTCAATGACGATTCGGCATCGATTTGATCCAAGAACACTTCTTCCAGGACGAAGCGGCTCGGATCGAACGGTCGTCGACTCTCGTCGGCCAAGCCGACCAGTGCAAACACGGTAGGCAGTAGCGACTCGACCAACAGATCACGCTTTTCGATCTCGCCCAAAAACGCCGACTTCACAGACAGCGAAGCCCCCTCGAAATGCTCAAACACCGCAATCCAGCTGAGGAAGTAGCCAAACGCGGTGCGGCGTGCAGCTCCCTCTTCAACTAGCAGGTTGAGCTGGGGGCCCATACTGTCGCTGATGTTGGCAACCAGAGCTTCCGGAAGCTTGAGCTTCTGCTGCCCTTCTTCGGTCGCCAGCGCTTCCCGATCCACCGCCGACTCGACAACAAGCTCCTTAATGTGCTCTCGGATGGCGCCGCTCAGCAAGCGGTAGCTGATCACCTGAACCTCGTGGCTTGGGTTCTGCACCAAAAGCTTGCACAACGGCGCAGCAGTCTGTGACAGCATGAAGGGCGCCTCTGATGTCTCGCGAATGAGGTCCACAATGAGGTCGATGCAGGCCTGCTTGGGAGCCGAGATCGACTCGAGACCAGGAAGAGACAAGAATTGATCCCGTACCCTGTCGATCGACGCAACGCTGCGATCCTTCCAATAATCGCGCAGATTAGCGTTGCGAGATGCCAGATCACGCATCGTCTCGAGCAAGCGAAGATTGTGGTAGAGCTGCGCCACTGTATCGTCTTCGGCCAAGGAGCACAATTCCAAGTTTGTCTCGAGAGTGTCAAAGATGAAGTCGATGTGACTGCCCGGTACATCCTGTACGACCGGGAGCAGGTGAACGAACAGCTCTGCGAGACGTGTCGATGTCTCCTCCTCAGGATCGTCGTTGTTCTCGTCGTCCGAGTGCCATCTTTGAATGTCTTTGAGCAGGAACATCGCACGCTGCTGCGGAATGATTGCCAGATCGGAGTCTACCGGTGGAGCCAGAGCAACGAGCGTGCGGAGTGACTTGAGTAGGCGATCTTCTGCCGAGTTGGGGCCAAGTCCTGCAAGTTTGGCAGCGGCTCCATTCCGAAGACGGTCGTAGACGGGGGAAGAGCCAGCGATTGGTTTGACCGCATGGAAGATGGCGTGAGCCATGGCTGGCATGCGATCTTGGACTGCATCTCCAAGCTTGAGCCAACGATCAGCTCCTACTTCCGTTACAGTGCCGAAGCTAAAGACTGCATTCAGCAGACGGTGGAAGACACGTGCAAGATAGCTGCTCGGGGTGTTGAGCTCTGATGCCATTCCCCACACCGCAGAAAGTACGTGGCCGATGCCGTCCTTGTCGGCGTCAATAGCAGTCGAGCGCTGGAGCGCCGTGACCAAGTCGTTGTGCCAATTTTCCGTCACTGCGTCGCTGAGCGACGAGATTAGAGCAGTGGTGGCCGTGACCGAGGACTGCAGCCATGCACGATGAGCTTCGGGAAGCACAGAGGAAGCAAGAGCGTGCTTCGATGCACCAGCAACCAGCAGGTCGTCTTCGATCAGAATCGACAGAAGAACTACAAGCGGAAGCAGGTTGACGTGCTTCTTGGCACCTGCACGGTCCTGATTGAGAATCAGAAGGGCAGCAGCGCAGATTCGCGCGAAAATGCCGAGGCCTTGGCCATCGATTAGCGAATCCGAGCTCGCGGAGGCGGACACTGAGGAAGACTGCTGTGGAATCAGCGGATCGAACACCAGCAATGCCGCGTGCGTCTCTTGACGGCACACATTGAGCATCATGTCGCGCAGCTCTTGACGCTCTGGAAGCAGCGATGCTTTCATCATGGCGGCGTTCACCAAGACGTCGACCGGAACGTGGATGTCGAGCAAGTGATCTTGAAGTCCTGCTCTTTCTTCCTCTTGCATCTCCCTCCACTCCTGCTCGGAGGCGTCTTTAAGTACATGCTGCATCACATGATGCGCAAGCGCTCGCACTCCTGAGGCATGTCCTTTGCTGATCCAGTCGTGCTGCTCAGCGCTCGGATCTCCAAAACCTTTGTATAGGTGGGCGAGTTCGAAGACGGCGGTCAAAATACCTGCGAAAGATTGGTTTCTGAGAGTGCGCCGAGCATCGGCTCCGGACGATTGAGCCTTGATCCAAATTTCTAGCACATATAGCAAGTGCTCCGTCGTCGAAGCGGCTAAGCGCTTGCGGAGGTGTTCATCCTCCCCAGGTTGTGGCCTTTCCAGCAGCGTGTTCCTGAGGTGCTCGATCGTCGAGCATATAATGGACAGCATCGCCTTGACGCACGATGCGTCGATGAAGGATCCTGGCTTGGTCATAATGTTCGAGACGAGATTACGAAGGCGATAACGAAGCTCGTTGGAGACGTGTGCACTGTCGCAGAGGCTGGTGACAAGTCCTATGGCCAAGTCCTCGATGCCAGCCTCCGGCGCTGGTAGCTGAAGTCGAGAACTTGCCGCGTCGCTGGCCTCCGCTGCTTTCGAAATAGCTTCTGAGGCGGCAAACAGCTCGGACAGCGCATCCACTCGGTCTTGGAGCTCGCCGAGAAGAGCCACTGACGATAACGTTTCTGTCCAGATGGATGCTCGGACCTTTTCGTCCGTGCACAAAGGCAGATAGGCGGCAAGGAAGGACGCTGCTGACGTCGGCGCAATGCACTTGGTTGCTACAAGGTGAGGAATGGACACTTGTGATGTCTGCGCCAATACTTCGGTGGCAGAGCCGTCAGGGGCATCTGGTACGCTGACCGCCGACCGAAGCAAAAGACACAGAAAATCAGAAAGCAGGGTAGCGCGAGTTCGCCTGAGATCCGACGAAGCGGTCGCCTCAGTGTCGACATCAGACAGACGCGAGGCAGCGAGTTTGATGGCCCTGCTGAGACCGGCAGCTGCCGCTGCTCGTATCTCAGCGCTGGCAGTCTGACCCTGGGACGGCGCTAGAGCAGCGTAGAAAGACGCGGCACGTTCCAGCGTAGCAAGCACCTTGGGATCGCTTGTGTTTGCGGTGCAAAGAGCCTCGGTGATCTCGACGAGGTCAGCCTCCGTCTCGGCAACAAATGGCAGGACGAGTTGAGACTCGGACGAAGCCACGCGTCGTACTTGGATGGCAAGATCGGACACGATGCGTGTGCTTCCAATGTTCTTGATCCGTTGTACTCGTCCTGCTTCGTCGGCATCCTCGGCCGCCGCGGATGCACCGAGGGAAGACAGCAGGCTCGCCTTTGGAAACACCAGCTCTGACCATGCGCTGCCAAAGTGTACACGCACAAGATCGTTTGCTGATGCAGCGTTATCCTTGCCTGCGCTAGTCGTGGTGCGAAGCATGCGTAGAGCTAGGAAAGCGACGCATTCTGTGAAGGACGCGAAGAAGGCTCGACATCCTGTCGGGTCAAAGTCGAGCGGACGGCTGTACAAAGCCGAAAAGAAGTTGGTGAGGAGATCAGAAGCAGCGTCCAAATCATCGTGAGCGAGAATCTCGGCAGGGATGGTCGAGATGAACACGATCACGGCCGAATAGCCCAGATGAGGAGCACCGCCGCATGCTGACTGCAACCATTGCAAGAAGGAGGTGTAGGACTGCGGCTTTGGTCGTGATTCCTGTGCAGTACCTGCGACTTCGTGGTCACGATCATCAGATGCGGTGTCTGAGCTGTCGTCATCTTCTTCTTCGTCGTCATCAGTGTCTTCGTCATCGTCGTGCTCGTCGTCGCTGTCGTCGGCGTGGGTTCCCTTGGCCTTCTGAGCAGCATCTTGGCGGGAACCAATGAGCCACAACTCTGGACGCTTCCTGAGCAGAGGCAGGATGGCATCGAGCGTGGCTCGCTGAACAGCATTGTCTCGCTCGGACCATACCGAAGACATGGCAACGGTGCCGATCGTGTTGATGTGCTGGTCGAGGAGGTCGGGTGCCATGTCGAAGATGGTGCGCAGTAGTGTCCAGGCGCGCAATCTGACGGCGGGTGATTCGAATCCGAACGAGGTGACGGGTGCGGCTGCCTCGATGCGTGCTGTGGACGATGATGTTGCCAGGTTGTGAGGAGACAAAGAAGCCCATACGAGCCTTGAAGAGAAGATATCTTGCAAGCTTTCCATGACTGCGGAATCGGACTTCTGGCGAATGACGGAGGAGAGTACTGCGAGGGCACCGGCAACGAGACGCTTGTCGAGTGCTGCAGTGTCTTCTTCGACGTTGCTCTCGTCTCGGTTCTTGGCGTCTCGCTCGACACCGCTCGGCTGCAGCGACGGCGTGGCGTATCCTGAGGAGGCACGAGACAAGGTCGGATCAGCCGAGGCAACGGCATGAGCCGATGTCAAGGACAGGGCGAAAGAGGGCGAAGGGGACAAGAGGATGGTGCGCAGGTGGGTTACAAGAATGTCGCAGTGCTCGGTCAAGTCCAGTGTAGTTGAATTTTCGGCTCCCGCAGATGCATCAGTTGCTGGAGAACTCCTCCACGAACAGGTATCGTTCCAAGCAGCTCGACCGAGCCGTTCGATGGTGCGATCGGTATCGTGACAGAGGATGGCCCACGGTCCAAGAATGGGTTCGATGTATTGGGGCGATTCCAAGAGCTCCGCTCTCGTCGTAGAAGTATGTTCGGACGGTTCCTGCAGCTTCTCAAGGAGCAGCGTCTGAATTTGCATGGTTAACAATCGGAGACGACGTGTTGGCGACAGCGCCAAGCGAGGAAAGAGGTGGACCCAGCTTGGGAGCATCATGACGAGGGCATCCCTCTTCTCACTTGAGCTGAGATTGGAAGCCTCGGCGTCCGGCTCGCGGGAAGAAGTGGACGACGATTTCCCTAGGGCATCTTCCACCCAAGCTAGCAATCCCTCCAAAGCGCGACAACGAGTGATGACGTCCTTCTTTGACGCCTTGCGCAGGAGCACGACGAGGTCCGCGGGAAGCAGGGAAGCGAGACCCATAGAGTCAAGCGGATCCGGCAGCGGCTGTGGTGGTTTGGGAGGTGGAATGTACTGTTTCTTCTTTTCGGCTTTACCCTTTTTGCCGCCTTTGCCATCCTTCTTGGTCTTGTCTTTCTTCTGTCCACGCTGTGGGCCATGTTGTTTGTTCTGCTTCTCGAGAGCCTCGGCAAGCTCGGGATGCAGAAGCTTGCCATCATCGTCTCGCTCGTAGGCCTTTTTTATGGCGGCTTTGTTGGCCTGCTTCTTGCGCGTGGCCGACGAAGCCGACGACTTGCCTTTCGGCGCACCCTTGGCCATCGTGTCGCTACTGGTGTGAAGAGTCCAGTGAGGCCATACGAGGAAACCGGCTGTGCGTGCTGTGTGTTGCGGAAACGATCCTTTGTAGTGAGGACTGGAAGACCCAGACGTGACTCTCGGCCTATGTCGAGTGAAGTTTGATGTGGGAATGGAAGAGTCGATCGCTGCGACAGAGTTGAACAGAGTCGACTTGCTTCGCCTTTCTTCCAGGAAGCAAGTTCTGTCGTGTGTGTGCGCGGTGTGACGTTTTCTTTCTTCTCATCAGCCAGGTGGAGGCAGGCGTCCTCTGCTCGAGTGCACATCCTGTCCTCTGCACACAGCAAGCGCACGCGAGAAGAAATAAGCTGAGCTCACACGAGCTGTGAATCTGACTCCCGATCGACGCTCCTGTGACGTGACACCCGATGCAACGACCGAAAATTAGATTCATTCCATCCGAGCCTAATCGGTCGGCTGCTTGACTTAGCCGTACATCTCATCGCACTTCCCATTCCCCCTGGCTTCCATCACCGCATTGCTCTTTGTCGCAGAGCATTTCAAGACGTTGTGGAAGGCGGCTCATACTGACCACACCATTGTGGATTTAGAACTCGGGTGGAGACCTGTTCAGCAACCATGTCCGCGCCTATATCTGAAGGCACGGACAAGGCTCTTAGCCCGCTCGTCGAGTCGTCAGCCGCTGTCGATGCAGTAGCAGCAGCAGCGGTCGGCGTCGATGACACGGCTGCCGCTGATGCTCCACGCAGAGGCTCACGAGCTCGTAAGCCAACTTCCAGAGCTGCAGGACTGGATCCGATCGAAGCGGCATCAGCGTCATCTGCAACTCAGCAGAAAGAAACGCGCTCAGGACGGAAGCGCAAGGCAGATGACATCGGCGCAGAGCTGGAGGACGTGACAGAGACCGAGATCGCTACCATCTTCGAGAAAAGCGCAAGCGCCGAAGAAGACGATGAGGATGAGAAGCAATACTGTATCTGTCGCGGCAAAGATGATGGTACCTTTATGATTTCGTGCGACCGCTGTCAGGATTGGTTAGTACGACCGGGTGATAACGACGACTCTGAGGCTTCGACAAGCTGCGTCCAAGCTGAGCTGACCCAGAACCTTGGGAATCGATGCACCTATGCGGACATCCCATACGTCCTTCTCTATACAGGTTCCACACGAAATGCATCGGCACCACACAAAAGGCCGCCAAGAAGCTCGATGAATACGTCTGCGAGGCTTGCCAGAACAAGAAAGGCGCAACACAGCAAAGAGGTAAGTGTGATCGTCAGCCCTGTAGTAGGTCGCCAGAGCTGGTCCTTGGTGTCTGCAGATGGAGCAAATCGCAAATACATGCCACACGCATCCTACGCTACGATTCTGACCGGCCATGAATGCATCGTCTTACTTATTCATCTTTCAATAGCCGCCACTTCAAAGCCGATCAAGAAATACAAGTCATCTCGAGGACAGCAAAGATCTCGAAACGCAAAGCTCGACGCCGCAGGGTCCGACTGGGAGCATGAAGAGAAGCAAGACACTGCATCTGAAGAGGACAGCGCCTCGGATGATGAGTACGTCAGCGAAGCCGGCGACGATGGCTCGAATCGCGAGGACGCAGCGACGCAAGACAACGCAAGATCCGGGCTTCTCGCACGATCGCAACCGCGCAAGCAATCCGAGCCCAGCATCTCGGCCTCAAAAGCAAGAGCGGTAGCGTCCGGTTCCGGACCTGCCGATAAGGCCTCTCAGCGCAGAGCATCCGAGAGCCTCAGAAGAGCGAGCGGCTCGAGCAAACCTGCTCCCACTTTGAAGAAGGATGCAGAACGTAAACCCACCGGACCCACCGACGCCAGCACTGAGGAAGCAAGATCGAGGGCTCGTAAGGTGCTTGCGGCTGCTCTTGAGAAAGTCTTTATCGGCGCCGCTGCGAAGGGAAAGTCTTCAGAAGATAGCGGCGAAGACGAAGAGACCGACGAGCAACGCGCTCAGACTTTTGCTGCGCTGCTGGAAGGGGAGATCTTCGAGTCGAATGCTGACGTCCATGGCTCGATTCGTGTTGTCGGCTCAAAGTACAAAGATCGTTTCCGCACTTTCTTGTTCAGTCTCAAGGATGCAAAGAATACTACGTTGCATTCTAGGATCGCGTCAGGTCAACTGCAAGCTTCTGAGCTGGCCAAGATGTCCAACGAGGAGCTCGCCAATGACAGCATCCGTCAGGCTACTGAGAAGGCGCGGCTCGAAGCGTTGCACAGGAGTACTTTGCGATCAGAAGATGCAGGGCCGCTGCGCAAGATGACGCATAAGGGCGAGATTGAGATTGAGAGCGATCCCGTCATTGCTCGAGATCAGCCGCTCAAGTTCGATGGAAGAACTGCTGCCAAGCAGAACAATCGCTCCATCGAGGCTCCCGCGACGAGGGTGTCCGAGAGCGAGCCGGCGGTCCCTGTCTCGCACAAAGACGGGGAAGACGATGAAGAGGCGATGGCTCCGTCATCGCCCAAGGAAGATCCTGCGCGTCGTTCGGCTCCTGTGTCGGATCTGGCTCATGCTTCACCCAGCCGGCTCAACTTTGGCGATGTGTGGACCCAAAGCGGAGATGCACCAAGGAACGACCAGGACGACGAAGCTCAGGAATCCTTCGGCTTCGGCATCGGCTCACCACACGACGAAGGCTATGATCAGAACGTGGCAGTGGACGAAGTTCACGACACCGTTGTCGGTGGAGCTGACGACTTTATCGATTCGTTCCTCGACGGTGCGGACGACGAGAAGTACGAAGCTGCCCAGTCGACAACCGTGGCGGAAAGGTCGACGACGCCGACCGCCGAACCTCCGAGCAGTGCTGTGCACCGCTATCGTAGCACCATCTGGAATGGTCTGATCGATCTGCCAGACGTATTTGCATTCCAAGGCCACGTCAAGCAGGTCGCAGGTCGCAGTCTGACCTCAGCAACCAGAATTTGGTCCAAGTTCTTCCCCGAAAGGCCTCTCTTGGTTGCTGGTCGGCTCCCCACAAAGGCCGCCACGGACTATCTGCTCCAAGTCGTCAACGCGTCACGAACCGAGATCCTGGCTTTCACTATGGAGCCGGGCGTCGTCAAGGACGGTGCGGTGCATCCACAAGAATCGGACCTCGCAAGCTTTGAGGGCATGCTCCGTCACTTTAAGGATGCCGACCGATGGGGAGCTTTGCACATCTCTTCGAGCGTCAAAGGCAGTCTGATCAAGGATTTCTACGTCGTGCCGCTGCACAAAGACGACGAGGTACCGCTCTGGCTCGACATGGCCGAGTCGGATGCTCTGGGAGCGGAGTGGCATACCAAGCGCGATCGCGACTTGCTTATGCTCGTCGCTGTCGTGATTCGCGATGCTTTGCACGCCGAGCTGTCTAAAGCAGGAAGGTCGCCAAAGCGTGATCGAAGCACGACCAACGAGGGTCAGCGACAGCACAAGAACGAGACGGAGGCAGCAGCCGAAGAAGCGTACGATCCATCGGCTGGCTTGAATGTCGCCCTTGGTCAACCTGGCGGTGGTCATGCTGCCGCTGTCAGCGCTGCAGCCCCAGCGGCGTCGGCAGCATTCGGCTCTGATGCATTGCAGTCGCTTCTGCGTACGCTTGGCAAGACGACTGCCCCATCAGTATCCGGCAGCGTACCTGCGGCATTGTCGGGTGCTTTGAGTCCGCTTGCTGGTATGCAAGGTGGACCGCCTCCACCTGGACCCCCTCCTGGCCCCCCTCCCGGACCACCTCCGGCGTTCCCGAACGTACCTCCGCCTGCCAGCGCGTCACCGATGGCTGGCTCATGGTCGCCATATGCGGCTGCCGGGGCCGGAAGGGATACAGCGACGCCTCCACAGCATTGGCAGCAGCAGCAGCAGCCTTATGCGGCCTATTCCCACACCTATGCTCCTGCTGCTGGTCCCGCCGCCTACGGGCACGGCGGTGGCTGGGGTCAAGAACAGGCCTGGCAACAGCAGCAACATCAGCACGACTCGGCACCACCACAACATCAAGACATGCCAGAAGAAGAGTACCCTGGCCAGTACAATCCGGATTTCCTGGCTCAGGCTAGCGCACGCGGAGGTCAAAGGCATGGGCAAGGACAAGCAAGAGGCAGGGGAGGAAGAGGTCGAGACGGAGGCTGGTGATGCGCACAGCTCGGAATCGGTCACTGATGGCGTTCGACGAATTCAACCACGAGATCGATTTGGAAGCATAGTTCACAAAATAATATGAGCGGCGCACTCTCTTTGAAGCAGGTCAAACCTCCTCTCCTGATAAGGTGAGATGAGACGTGCAATCGCAATGAGCGCTCCGTGATGTCAAGCATGGCATTACGGATCGTCATGGATGGTGATGCAGGAAGTCAGGCGATACTCGAGGAACGCTTTGTACTCAAAAAATGAAAAGGTCTTATCTCCGCCTCATGGCAGACCAAATAAGTCTCAATCAAAAGTTTTGACAATGTGCTCGAGCGAGGTGATTTTCCTATGCGATCAGAAATATACAACTGAGCTGCCCGCAGGAAGAAGCAGAGTGATCTCGTGGCGCGTCCTAGCTGAGCAGAAGAGAAGAAGGCAGAGAGCCGATTTCAAAAAATTGTCCGAGGTCAGCCGGACAGCCAAATTGCTCTTGCTGGAAGGAAATCCGGCTCGTCTCCACTTTTTGAAAGTGATCACACTCTTTCTTCACCATCACCTGCCGATCGGATCTTCTCGACCCTTCCTCTCTTCCATTTCGGCGCAGCTGTACCTTCCTTACCTTCTCGAAGATCCGCATTCAAGGTTCTTCGGACGGCTTCTATCTTTCTTCCCCGCAGGCAGCTTCGATTTGGAAAGTTGGGCATCGTAGGACATTTGGCATTCCAGTACCACCATGTCTAGTCCCGTCGCCCCTCCACAGGCTACGGCCTACCCACCAGGTGTTCAGGCACCTCCTCCTTCGGGAGCGGAGCGAGTCGGCCCCGGCGCACCTTCACCCTTTGTCGACGAGAAGCGTGCTGCCTACCCCTCCGGCCTCACCCCACCCATCTCGTCGCATCCTTCCACCTCGATGTTTGGTTTCTTCCAGCCCATCGTTGCTCCGATCAACAACGCCCTAACTCGCATCCAGGACATTCGCACACGTCTCGAACTCTCCAACCCAGGCACCGTCGAGCACCTTCAGCGAGAGGTCAAGGGCGTGCACACCACCAACTTCATGTTCGACGGTGCACGTGCCGATCTGACCAAGGCGATCAGCATCAACCCCATCTTCCAGGTCACTCACGCCTTCTCCATGGGCTCCCAAGCCGCTCCTTCCTCGTACAACTTTGGTGCGGTGTACGGCGACAACAAGAACTTCTTCCAGGCTGGTCTCGACGACGGTCTCAACGTTACCATGCGTGCCAACCGCGGTTGGGTCCCGGGACACACCACCAAGGTTCAAGCGCAGCTCACAGCCACCCCTGGCCAATCGTTCGTCCAGATGGAGCACGACTACCAGGGCACCGACCACTCGGCCAACTTCAAAGCTCTCAACCCATCACCCACCGACCTCACCGGCATCTACATTGTCAACTACCTCCAAAGCTTGACGCGCAACTTTGCCTTTGGTGTCGAGACTGTCTACCAACGTCCCTCCGCCGACATGGAGGAGGCCAGCACGGGCTACATCGCCAAGCTCACCGGCGACAAGAAGGACTGGATCGCCACCGCCCAGGTGCAACCGCAGGGCGTTGCGCAGTGCACCTACTACCAGAAGCTCTCGGAGCAGGTGGATGTGGCGGCCGATCTGCAGATGATCACCATGGCGCAGAAGCGCGAGGCGGCAGCTACGCTGGGTGCGCGCTACAACTTCAGGATGGCGACGTTGAGGGCGCAGATCGATTCGGCGGGCAAGCTGAGCTCCGTGTACGAGACGAGGTTGTCGCCTGCGTTCGGGTTGACTTTTGCAGGGGAGATCGACCATCTGCAGGGTGCGGCCAAGTTTGGATTCGGCGTTAGCATCGAGAGCGGTAACGAGATGGACCCGAATGCTCCGCCTCCGACGCCCCCTTCGGTGCCCATGTGAGGTGCCGGAGGGTCATTCGGCAATTAAGAACCACCTCTCTCTCTCTTTCTCCTCTTTCCTCTCTCGAGGGGATGGCACCTTTGCAGCTCATCGCGCATTCGAACAAGCGGTATGGAGCGAGCTGCTCATGTGTACACGTACATCTTGTAGAAAAAGCCTTTCCAAAAATGTTCAGAATCGTTTCCTCATTGGCATATCTGGCAGAACTTGAAGCAGAAGAATCAAGACTTCCTTTGACGCGACTTGTGAATGGGCTGTGCGTGAATGAGATGAAATGACAAGAACAATCTGGAATGCTGGGTGATGAAGACGATGTCGATACAAGTACAAAAGAGGGGATGTTGGGCGGATGTGGAAGGTGTTCTACTGAGCCATGCCTTGATCTGGCAACCTTTCGATCCTGAACTGTCTGCTCGCGATGTACATCAACGGAATACCGGGAACCTTCCTGACCCTCCTTCTCAACTCTCTATCGCACGTGGCTACGATATAGCACTTGTGACTGGTGATCCTTTCGATGATACAGTCGTCTGCATAGGTGCCCTTGTGACTGCACTCCAGCCTTTCGAATCTGGGATCCCTCGCAACCCGCAAGGCGATTCGATACTTGGGTCCCAACTTTTCCAGTTCGCTGATCACACACGTCGTGATACATGGAATGCTCTTTGCGTAGAGACAGTCCATCATCCCTTGCACCAGTTCGATCTTGTTCTGCAGTGCAAAGTTGATAAAGTTCGTATCAACGAGGACTCGATATGGTGGTCCAAGGGATGTGTTGTGTTCGAAAAACATGGATGATGCCGGTGTGGAGATGTGTCGTACTACGGTTCCATCGGGAGTATGCGTCTTGCTCGAACCAGATGCACCGGCTTTCTTGGCGGCGGTTTGAACAGCAGAGTTGGCTTTCAATCGATCGTCTTTGGGATTAAGCATTCGCTTGACCTCGCCAAACTTGCGAACTTGCTTCTTCTTTCCCATCTTGTATCACAAGACCCCCGAGACAGATGGCTGTGCTGGAAACTCGTGGCTGAGGTGACCGAATGAGGAGGACCGAGAGTCTACACAATGCCTTTTCCAGAGTGCGACGATCGTGATGTAGCTATGCGAATGTGCCGATTCCGGTTCAATGGGTGGCGAACGACGTCAATGATGGTCTAAGGATGGTGTGGGAAACCGGAAAAGAAAGTTGCAGTTCGAAAGAAAGGGTTCAGCTTCGAAATCTTTCAAGCGCTCCCTGCAGGCCCACTTTTTTTCCCAAGGCTCAGCTCCACTTTTCAGAACGTCAAAAATTTCGTTGCCAGACTCTTTACTCAATCTAACATGTTGAGCTCCTCGCCTCCTCTCCTTGCTCAGAGGTCTTGCTTCAAGTTGCTCAGGAACTCCAGACCAAGACAGTGACGACAACGACGGCATGGCCGCGAGAACCACACAAGTAACGGTATGTATTCGACAGCCCAACATGCTTTAAGAGGGTTTTTCAAGAATAGGAGGAAGTCCCTGCCAACCTCTATCGACGATACCTGTCGTCGAGCCATTCTGTCAATCAAGTAGCTTGGACTCCTTCCATCGTCTCTCCCTCGGCGCATCGCCCGCTAGCTGCGACATGGGAGTCGAGGTTCCCGACTCTTCCGACATGGTTGTCGCATACCCATAGTGATACACTTTGCTTCTCAAGAGCGTTGCGTAGAAGCGCTGCACCAAGAAGAAGCAATGGAGGCGAACAGCAGCAAAGAATAGCCCGAACACCATCAGCAACGGAACCACCGTCGTCCTGAAACCCTCCTCGCAATTCTCCGCCGCAAAGACTCCATCGAGGAGTGTCTCCCACCCCGATGCTGTAGCTGTCACGTCGAAAGATCCGCTTGACAATGTCGTTCCTGCCGACTGAGCCAAGTTGTTGACGTCGGAGTGTGCTGTATTGCCGAGTGCACCGCTTGCTGTGCCGGTGGATTGGGAGCTCGAGAACCAGCCTTGAAGCTCTCCCGATCCAAATTCGTCGCAGAGATGCGCTCGTACGTTCGGATAGGTGCAGACGATCGCGAGAGCAAATAGTGAGAGTGTTGAGAGGAGGAAATCGAGGAACGAATGGATAACAAACAGCCTCGAGAGCAGAAGCTGAGAGCGTAGCACGCCGACTACACCGGCGCAGCAGCACGCTACGCTGAAGAGGATGTACCATCGCAGCGTACCAATGACGAGCCGCAATGCGTCCCACTGCGCTCGCTCAGCATCCTCTGCGCCATCGTCGAGAATCTCGTATCCTGCGGGCGGACCACCGCTTGTGTCGCTGTATCGACCGTACGCGACCGCATTGTTTGCTTTTCCGCTGCCAGCAGCGCTGTTCTTGTTCGCCGAAGCGTCCGCGCCTGCATTGCTTTGCGTAGGTACGTACGACAAGCCCTGTGCTTTCAGATACGCTTTTGCTTCGGCGACCCATTCGGGAAGATATATATGCTTGTTTGCAGTTCCATCCGCTTCGGCTGCAGCTGCTGTTGTGTCCAACAATCGGTCGCCTGTTGCTGCAGAGTTGGCAAATATGTCGGCTAACGGAGCAAATGGTGCCGAACCTGGAGGACGAGATGCGAAATTTCGGTCTGGAACATCGGGCAGTGTCGAGCTGAGCGATCCCAACCAAGAGTATGTGTTGAGGTGGATAAATATGCCCAGTATCGCGATCGTCAACGTTGCTGTTCGTGGAGAAGTCCAGCTCAAGATGCCGGAGCCAGAAGTGCTCATCGTTGAGCGGCCCATCGGGGGCTATGTCTCTCGCACCCGAACGAGCCCGAAAGAACTATGTGCAGCGCATACAGTTGGCGATGCTGAGAGGTCGTTTAGAGGTCATCGTCCGCTACAAGAGGCGGAATGAGAGGGTGAGTGAGGATGGTCGTCGGAGGAAAGGGACGGCGTCGCTTGTGGAATCTTATGGTGTCTGAAACTTACTCCTGCGCAAACAAAGAGCCAACACATGGATCGATCAGCTTGGAAGCGGCGGAGTGGGGCAGCATGCAGCAGCCGGCACGGAAGGTCCGAAGTTGGTGTAAACTTCCCTTCGACCGTTCACACAACGGCGAAGCGGGGGATATTACCGATCTCGCTGTACGAACCTCGCGTGCCGCCTGCATGGACAAAAAGAAAAGGAGAGAAAAGGAGGGGCCAAGAAGACAAAAGGGTCCCGCGGTGTATTGCAGTGCCGACGACGGTCATGCAACAAGAATCACGAGGACACAGTCACACCAGCACACGACCCACGCCTTCTGCTTTCGATCTGTTCCATTGATCCCTCGCTTGTCCATGAAAGCTGCAGGCGCATCCTGCGGCGAAGAGGTCACCAAACCCCCTAAAGGGCCAGCAGGTGCGCACAGGGTCACATCTTCCACTGTCCGAGTGCGGGTCGGACACGCCAAGACTTGCTTTGGCGTTTTAATTAGCCGAATCTCTGCTGTGCTGCCTGAGTGTGGCTTTCTTCCTTTCAAAATGCGCTCAGGCCGCTGAGCCCCCTTCCAGCGCCATCGCAAAGTCCGCGGGGGTTGGATTTTCTTTTGCCCAAGATTCCTTCCATCACCATCATCATCAGCAAGGGTCCATTCTGCATGCGACAACCCGCAAATCGCTCCGGCGCAGATGGCTTTCCCCTCTCTGTCGTTTGAAAGCAGCAGTCTGGTCAGTGGCCTGGTCTGGTGTGCTTCAGTGGGGTGAGCTTTAGCACTGTCGGATCGTTGCTGGACCGCCATGTGGAAGATGCACAGTATCGCAAGAGTCGCTGCTCCCCGTCGCGTCTTAACTCGCTGTCACTCGAAGCGATTTGAAGTATCAGTGACGGCACGGTCTCGCGGTATCATCACATCGGCAAAGCCGCCTCGGCTCATCCTAGGCATCGAGACCTCATGTGATGATTCTTGCGCCAGCGTCGTCTCATCCGACCGCAATATCCTATCCGACATCGTCACCAAGCAGGACCATTCTACCACGGGCGGCATTCACCCTCTGTCCGCAGCGCTGGGTCATCATGCCAACATCGCGCCTACTATCGCTGCTGCTATCGACCAGGCACAGATCGCCGCGTCAGATCTTGACGCCATCGCAGTAACGCAAGGCCCGGGCATGGCTAGCAGTCTTGGCGTCGGCCTTTCCGCTGCAAAGACGCTCTCGGCGGTGCTCCGCAAACCCTTGATATACGTTCACCACATGCAGGCGCACGCATTGACGCCCTTGCTGACCGAAGCAGATCCGCCACAATTCCCTTTCTTGGTGCTGCTCGTTTCAGGGGGTCACACTATGCTGGTTCTCGCTAGAAGCGTGACCGACTTCGAGATACTGGCGACGACGAGTGACGATTCGATCGGTGATGCGTTCGACAAAGTTGCGAGGGACCTGGGTATTCCGTGGACCTCAGCGCCTGGAGCAGCTCTAGAGACACTTGCGGCGGAAGCCGAAGCGACCGACAACCAGCAAATCTTTCCCGTGCCTCGCAGGGGTCAGCCAGGATTCTCGTATTCTGGTCTCAAGGCAGCGGTACAGCGCCACATCGAGTCCCAGCAGACCGACGGTAAGATGGCAACATCGAAAGCTCTGATAGCTGCTGCCTTCCAACGAGCAGCTTGCGCTCAGCTCGAAGACAAGCTCGGCATGGTCCTGCGACCATCACATCACGAGCAAGATGCCCGACGTCGCCCATATTCGCGTATCAAGTTACCCGATGGCGTCAATGGGGACGACATCAAGACCGTTGTTTGCAGCGGCGGCGTAGCCAGCAATGCTTTCATTCGTGCGCGGCTGCGAGAGCACCTCGACGATCTCGGAAGGCAAGACGTTGACCTGCAATTCCCTCCTCTACCACTGTGCACCGACAACGCGGCTATGATTGCGTGGACCGGACACTTGATCTTCGAGCAATGTACCAAGGACTATACTCGCCACGCCCGGCCCAAGTGGAGCATGGAAGACATCCCGCGATGATCACAGTACTCTTACGCATCACAACCTTGTACAATAGCATGCTATTCTCATATACCACTACCCATGCTCGAATGCTCACCTCCGCTCTGCCTTGACCTATGGAGCGTCTCCCGTCCTCACACGCTTATGTGGACCCCATGGTCCCGCAAATTCCTCTTCCTCCCTTGGCCCGACCTGCTTCCTCCCTCTCTCCTTTCCAACCTCGCTGAAAAATTTCCCCTCCTTCCCGTCCCCACTACCCTTCTTCTTACCCCTTAGATCTGAATCCCACACGAAAAAGTTACACCTGAACTCGGGATTCACATCGCCCTTTGCACGTCCCGACTTTTCGTAGCCTGGTCCAACGGGTCGATTGCACAGCCAGAATTTCCGACCGTGGTTGGGACCTGCTTTGTTGACGGTCCATGCGCGACACGGCTCCGAATGGTTGCGACAGAGCGGAGCGGGCGCAGGGGAGAAGATCGCGCCCCAGGCGAGCGATGCGCCGACTCGATCGGCGGCCGACTGCTCGGGCGTTGGTTGCGAGGGCGATGTCGAGGCAGGAGTCGGTTCGTGGAATTCGGAGATCAGGTCTTCGGATTCTTCGAAGGAGGCATCTGAGACCTCGCGGTTGTGGTTGGAGACGGCGGAGATTACAGCTTCGACACCCTGATCGGCGCTGGTGCCGAGATCAAAGTTGGTCGTGTTGTCAGTGTCTTGCGACAGATCGATCGTCTTTGGTGTCTCCATTGGTGCTGGAGGTACGGCGCTTTTCGGCTTCGCGAAGAAGGACTGCAGACTCGTCTGGCCCTTAAGACTTGCAGCATTCTTTGCCTTGGCCGAATCTTTGCTCTTTGTGGGCGCGAATGTCCGCTTCGGAGATGCAGCAGCACGTTTGCCATTCGGCGATGGCTGGCTGGCGGGCGCTTTGATCGGTGAAGACGAAGCAGGGGATGCTGCAGGTGCGGAGGCTGAAGGAGCCGTCGATGCTGCGGTGGGGACCGATTTCGATGGCGTGCTCGCATATCCAGATGCGGATCTAGACTCCTGCGATGCACCTTGAATGCCGAGTCCCTCCTGCTGCGAATGGAGAGAAAAGAGGGAGTCTACAAGCGAGCTTCCCTCATTGTCCGTTTCCGTTGATGTTGGAACGAACTTTGTATCAGGTCCCTTGGAGACTGTGCTTTCCTTGCTCGTTGTGCCATCGGAAGCTGTTGTCTCCATCGACGTCTGATTTAGATCGGGTTGGACGTTGATAACAGGACTGCTGCTCTTCGCCGGCGCCGCTTTGCGAGACGCTCCAAAGAAGGAAGCCAGTTTCCTCTGCTTTCCCGAAAATTCGTCATAGTGACACGCTGCCAATGCTGGAGGTAGACGATGCGAGCCGCCATGCATCAAGTCAGCCAGCTTGACGATCTTTCCATCGATCTCCCTTTCATCGTGCAAATCTACATAGACGGGGCAGTGATCGCTACCATACACATCAGCCTGGATGTCTGCGCCCTTGATCCAAGGCAGCAAGCCTTCTGTCACCAGTGTATAATCCAGCCTGCATCCATAATTGGCGGGTCGCGCATCGATGAGAGTATTCCAGCAGGTAAACATCTTCTTCCTGTCTGGATGGTATTCTCTGCCGACATCGTGGAACTTGCCCTGCGGCGCGAGGAAGGTTTGAAACCATGACCTGGCAGGATGCTGATGAAAATGATTCCAGCCATGTTCTCTCATGCTCTGTTCCGGGTCGCAGTGGTCGATGGGGTCGCGTATGATGTTCATGTCGCCGACGATCATGACCTGTCGTCCTGCCTGGATCAGTCGATGCGCTCGTTCGGCAAGACCCTGGTAGTATGTCATCTTGTAATCGAGCCGTTCCGGTCCGGTCTCATTTGGGCAGTATACGTTGAACAGAACGAAGAGGCCGAGATCGAGGACGACACAACGACCCTCCTCGTCGAGTGCATTCCATATCTGAGGATCGACGTCATCTCTAGTGTCTGCTGGGATACAACCGATGGGGTCGTTGGGTATCAATGGGTTGGATGAAACGTTCGTGACGGGCACTCGGCCAGTGATGCCCTGTTCAGCTTTAAGAGGAATGGAGAGGCTTTTGCGGACGTACGTGACGGTGCCGGAGTAGCCTTTGGTAGGATGAAAGTTGAAAAAGGCATTGTACGACGGTAGAATGCACATGGGCTCGGTAAGTTGCTTGCGTGTCATTTTGGTCTCTTGGAAGCAAGCAATGTCGGCGCCAAGATGTTCGAGACATGCTTCCCAATCTGGTAGCTTGTACCACGGTTGGTAGCCCTTGAGTGTCCGAAGACCGTTGATGTTCCAGACCGTGATCCGCATCGTTGTCGAACGACTTCAAGCGAGGCTTGTGGGGATAGGATCTCACGCAGCGTGCATGAGTGCGTCGATGCACTTGTGGCATGTTATGAATACGCCATATCGATACTTAATTGTCCTGAGTGGTTCGTCGATGCAAATCGCTCGCAAGCTGGTTTCGAGAGGTGGACGAAAGTCGAGGTGGCGGAACGTATGTTGGTCTCGAAGAAGGTGGAGGCATGAAGCTGCTCAGCCCCGCAAAGTGGGGAATCGATCGGGAACGCGCTTTCTTGCTGCCGATTCCGAACCTCATCAAGGAAAGCTCCGTTAAACGCCGTTCGACCTTCGACCCTCCCTCATCCTCTTCTCTCCTTCCAGCATCCGCAGACCATCTGGCGCCCAACCACCATCACAGCGTACTGTAGCTCGACGCTCGACTTCTCGGCGCGCTGAGAGGTCCGATCGACATTCGCACCCACCACCAAATGAGGGCTGCGTGAATCGATCCGTATCCAACCCACATTCAACCCACATCGTACTTGTGGCCGGCTCCAACCATTCGGATTCTGTCGCGAGTTTAGACACATCGTGGCCTTTTGAATCGCAATCTTTGGCATTCACTGCGCACTCGAAATTGGCGCTCATGATGAACACACAGAACGAGGCCCCGACCTGGGCCGACATCGAAGAAGCTACACGGAGTGGTGAGCATCCGTTCTGCCATCCTGCGCTATCGACTCGCCAATTTGTGCGTCGTCCACTGACTTTTGCCCCTGCAATGCTCCTCAACATGGACTTGCTGTGGCAAACTCTCTTCCTTTTCCAGATGCCGAATCTCCGTCAACGACTCTGGTCGACTCTCCAGCTTGGCACTACGACGACACGGTGGTCACCGACTTTGGTCCTGCAGCGCTGGACGACGAAGTACAGATCGTCGAGTGTTCCGATTGCTCCAAGCCTGTCCTCAAAGATGCCTTGAGCTTTCATCTGCAGAATTGCAAGCTTGCGAGAGACATTGCATCCGGTCGCGTGTCACCATCGATTCTGGAAGGCGATCTGCGGAAGCGCCGCATGATGGAAGGTGAGTGTCGTCGCCTCTCTGCACTTGAAGCTGAAGCTCCAACTCTAACGATCTGCTCCAGTTTTCCCGCTTGCTCATACCTCAGATGACGACGAGAGCATCCTCGGCGATGACACCGGAACACCGCTGACCAAGAAGCAGAAGAAAGAAAAGCGACTTGCCGAAGAGAAAAAGAAAGGCGGACGCAAGAACAAAGGTCCCATCGACGTCGACAAGCAATGCGGAGTGATCAACGACAAAGGTCTACCCTGTTCGCGATCCCTTACATGCAAGTCCCATTCCATGGGAGCCAAACGAGCCGTCGAAGGTCGATCCGCACCCTACGACACGTTGCTCTTCGAATGGCAGAAAGCCACCAACCCCAGCTTCGTCGCAAAACTCGAAGAGAAGGAGAAAGCCATCGCTGCGGCCAAAGCTGCAGCAGCAGCAGCTCCGCCGAAGGAGAAGAAGAAGAAGACGCAGAAGGATGGGAAATCCAAGACTTCGTCAGGAGGTGGAACGGGAGCGGGAAGTGGTGGTGCAGCTGGTGGAGCGGGTGCGGGCAGGCCGTTTGTCGAACACGACGATATGGACATGTTCGATGCAGGTGCAGATGAGGACCAGATGGATCAAGAGTTGATCTCCGTTCTCGGTGCGATCGCCAACGCTGCAGCCAAGGACAGGACGACTCCGCTGCCGTTGGCGACGAGATCCTTCGCAGGGAGCTATACGAGCAGAGCGAAGCGCATGCGGAACCTGCGCGAGCTGTTGAGGGAAGGTCTGGCTCCCGGCGGCGGTGCTTACGGTATCAACGGTTATGCTACGTGGAGCAACCATCACCATCGAGCGGGACACTATGGCCCAGCAGGAGCAGCAAGCGGTGCGAGCAAGAAAGGTCTGGCTACAGGGGCATGACCTGTCGCTTGGGCTGGACAAGCAGTCACCGCATTGACGCTCGATCCTCTTTTCGTTCATCCATGTGTAATTGTACCGGTCGACATCTGTCCTTGTCTGCCGTACGGTTTGTCTTGTGGTCAGAGCCGTCCGTGAGCGCTCTCAAAGTCACAAATGCACTGCATCCACTGCAGCTCAACCAGTCAACCTCGTCAACGATACTCGTGAGAATTACAACCGCCAAACAGAACGATACAAATACACAGAAAACAAAGCGCATGTCCAACCCTCGGCTACTGCGAGACGGAAGCACAGGCCTCGGAGCTGTCGGCCGCAGCGTTGGTCTCATCCTTCGACCTTGCGATGGCGTCGTCAAGGTCGATGGGGATTCGTACCATGGTATCGATCAGCGCGGGTTTGCTGGTGGGGGCAGGACCGTAGTTGTAGAGGTCGTCGTCGGAGTCTTGTTCTGCAGAGGTGTCTGCGGAAGTGGGTTCGGTGGATGGAGGGTTCATGAAGACGGTTGAAGCTGCGAGGGAGGATGGGTAGAAGAGAGATGGGGTGAGTATGCGGATTTGAGATCAGGGTTGTGGGAGGGAGAGGGAAAAGCTTACCTCGAGCGATCTGGATGGCGCGGAACACGCCTTGCCACGAACCCATCACCGAAGCGATTGCTACCGAAACAAAGAACAAGAAAGAACGAAGTCAGCGATCCCGCACTGTGCATTCTGCTTCTTCGTCATCACCGCACCGATATCAAGATACTCACAGTCACCACCATCCGCCATGATATCCACCTTCTCCGCCAATCGCTCCAACTCCTTAACCATCCTCGCGGATTGATCCTTCAGCGCGCGCAGACCTTCCAACTCCGCCTGCTTCGAGATCAGACGCATCTGGTTCGCCGACGACGAAGGACCGCCGAACATGATGTTGGCCGGGTTGTTGGCTTGCGGATACATGGATTGGCGTCCTGCGGGTCCTCCTGGTCCCATCATCGCTGAAGGTCGTTGCGCCATGGTCTTGCTGTATACAGGGAGAAGTGCAAAAGCTCTGATATCAGAATGAGAGCGAAAGGGTAGTCGATGATGCTGTTCCGTTGCGATGTGTGGAGCAAGAGATCGAGTGAATCGATAGGGTGAGATGATGTTGTCGTTGGTGAAGGTGGTGTTGTTGTCTGCAAGTGCGAGCGGAGTGTTGGTCTGTTCAAAATTCCACACCGCAGTGGTCCCGAGACGCGCGCGTTTCCGGCCCTCTAACCCTCAAACAAATTTACGCGTCTCGCTCGTCCACCTGCAGCGGTTCCTCAGCTGTCACAATTTCTCTTGTGCTGTAATTTCAATATGAAGGGACGAGCATGTTGTCAGGAATGTCTGAGGGCGGTAGAGCCTCCGCTTCACAGACATCAGCAGGCTCTTACGCAGACGTCAAGAGGACGGAACAAATGGCTTTCTGAAATGATTGACAGACAAAACGGTGCTTATAAAGGGGAGATCCGGAAGAGACGAGCTACAAAACCTTGTGTCATAACGCTTAAGACTCTCAATCGGTGAGAGTGCGGAAGGCCTCGGTGATATCCTGGTTGAGCTTGTCGAACTTCTTGGTGATGGTCTCCTCTCCGTCCTTGGGGCTCTCGAACTTCATCTGCGTAAGCTGGTAGATGACGTCCGAGCAGTGCTCCTTGACCTTGGCCCAGGTCATGTCCGGGTTGTTGGCGATGGCAGCCTGCGCCTGGTTGTGGAAGTCGACCATGTTCTTGAGCATGCCCGACGTCTTGTAGAAGGGGCAGTAGGCGTCGTACTCCGAGATACCGTTCTGCTGCAGGTAGTCGTCCTTCATGATCTTGGCCACATCCAACGTCACCTTGTCGCCCTCACCGAGCGCCGACTTACCAACCAGCTGCACGATCTCGGCAAGATCCGAATCCTTCTGAAGCATGCTCTTGGCGGTGGTTCGCAGCGCAATGAAGCCTGGGCGGTTCTTCTCGTAGTACGGCTCGAGCGCGTTGATGTAGTTCGAGTACGACACATCCCAGTTGACCGAAGGGAAATGCTTGCGCTGCGCCAACTTCTTGTCCAAACCCCAGAAGGCGCCCACGATACCCAGGGTGGCAGAGGTGACCGGGTCCGAGAAATCTCCACCAGGTGGAGAGACAGCTCCAACGATCGAGACCGAACCTTCACGCTCCGGCGAACCGAGACAGGCGACCTTACCAGCACGCTCGTAGAAACTCGCCAGCTTGGCTCCCAGGTAGGCAGGGTAACCCGAATCGGCCGGCATCTCAGCCAAACGACCTGAGATCTCTCGAAGCGCCTCGGCCCATCGCGAAGTCGAATCGGCCATCATGGCAACGTTGTAGCCTTGGTCTCGGAAATACTCGGAAAGCGTGATACCCGTGTAGATTGACGCCTCGCGCGCCGCCACTGGCATGTTACTCGTATTGGCCACCAAAGTCGTACGCTTCATAATCGGGAACTCCTCGTCATCTTTCATGAGCGTAAGCTCTGGGAACTCGGCCAACACTTCGGCCATCTCGTTTCCACGCTCGCCTGTTCAAATGGGAAGAAAGATAAGCTGATGTTAGCCGTGCTCATCTGGAATGGCTACTTGAACCGATACTTACCACAACCAACGTAGGTGATGATGTCCGAGTTGGAATATTTGGAGAGCGCCTGAGAAATAACGGTCTTTCCGCATCCGAAAGCGCCCGGGATGGCCGTGGTACCACCCTGGATGCAAGGGAAGAGCGAGTCGAGGATACGTTGACCGGTGAGAAGCGGGTTATTGGCGGTGAGTTTTTCGGCGACGGGACGCGGAGCTCGTACGGGCCAGATCTGCAGCATGGTGTGTTTCTGCTTCTTGCCCTGGAACTCGGTCTCGAGAACGACGTCGTCGACCGAGTACGATCCCTTCTCGGCAATGTGGGTGATGGTACCCATAGCACGGGGTCCGAGCATGAGCTTGTGGTCCTTGAGCAGCGCGTTTTCGTAGACCGAACCGAAGATGTCACCTCCGCTGATGTGGTCGCCCGTCTTAAGCTGACCGGGAGTAAAGTCCCACGAGAGCTGACGGTCGAGAGCCTGGGTGTTGATACCTCTAGGAATGTAGATACCACCGCTCTTCTTCATGATGCCTTCGAGAGGACGCTGGATACCGTCGTAGATGTTCTCCATGAGACCGGGACCGAGCTCGACGGAGAGAGGCTTACCGGTGCTGAGCACAGGATCACCGACAGAGACACCGGAAGTCTCTTCGTAGACCTGGATGGTGACCTTATCGGCGTCGATTCGGATGATCTCTCCGACCAGCTCGTCGTGACCGACACGGACGAGCTCGTACATGCTCGAACCGATCATGTTTTCGGCAACGACGACGGGACCGGAGACACCAAAGACGGTACCAAATCGGCGTTCGCGCTCCTCATCGCGGATCTTGGGAAGATCCTTCTTCTGGTCGGTCATGGTGGAAGTGCTGATCGTTGGACAATGCTATCCTTAGCCAATGAAAGGTGTGAGTCGAAAAGGCTGCAAGCGTCAAAGCAGACAGCAGTGAAGATCGAGATTTCTGATCCCGGAGTCGAGCAGAACCAAGGCGGGTGGAGAAGAAGGAAAGGTTAGGACAGTGTGGTGGGGATAGAGAGGTGAGGATGATGCGACGATTCACTGATACGATGAGCGCCAGGTGGAGCTGGACGTCACATTTCGGCGGGCTCTCTGAGAGAGAGCACAGAACTGCGAAATTCGAGCTTGGCACATCGCTCTGGCTTCAGCTTGTGCGAGCCAGAGTCGGATTCGAATCTGAGAAATTGCTAATTATTTGGCTGGCTCGTTCGCAGCCTTTTCGTCGACCTCAGAGAGAGACTGAGCTGCAACTGCCCCTAAGCTCACGTTCCGCCTTCGCTCTCGAGCCTCTTGGATGAAGATCTGCGGTTCACGATGAAATCTGAATGTTGACATTGAGACTCTTAACATGGCTTTCAATTTGCTCTCATTTTCCTCCACTCTGAGTTGTTGGCTGGTGATCGACCCAGGCTCAGCCGGCTGGCTTCGCGCAACACACACGCTGAGAGCCAACAAGGCGCGTTGGAAGCGAGTTGACGACGCCTCACCTCCACGAGCTACAGTAAATCGACTCCAACACTTTCAACTATCACCACCTTCCTCATCGTCACAACCATCACTTCATCACCTTTTCCTTCTATCGACCCGACCGCCACACTCTACGCCCGCCCATTCGAAGCACAGGCCTCGCACATATTTCGCCCGCCTCATCGTCTCCTAGCAACAGTATATTCATTGCGTCGAAAAGCTCAGCTACATAACACATCATGCCGCCCAAAGCCGACTGGGAGAAGTACAAGAAGCCCGATGCAGACTCCAAGGATGAGGAGAAGATCGTGGCGCTAGATGAGGGCGATATCCAGCTCCTCAAGACCTACGGCCAAGGTCCATACGCCGCCTCGCTCAAGGGCATCGAAAACGAGATCAAGGAGCTGCAGAAGCGCGTCAACGAAAAGATGGGCGTCAAGGAGAGCGACACCGGTCTTGCACCACCAAATCTTTGGGACTTGCCAGCAGACCGACAGCGCATGGGCGAAGAGGAGCCTCTCCAGGTCGCACGTTGCACAAAGATCATCCGAGCCGAAACCAAGAAGGAGGGCGAAGGGTCAGAAGGAAGTGCTTCGGGAAGTGCAGGAGGCAGATCAGGAGGTCTTGGAGGTCTGGGAGGCCTCGGAGGCTTCGGTGGCTCGTCGCATCCGACCGCGGACGAGGAGGACAAGTACGTCATCAACGTCAAGCAGATCGCCAAGTTTGTAGTCTCGCTCGGCGAGCGTGTGGCGCCCACAGATATCGAAGAGGGCATGCGCGTGGGTGTCGACCGCAACAAGTACCAGATCCAGATCCCGCTACCACCCAAGATCGACCCTTCCGTCACCATGATGCAGGTCGAAGAGAAGCCAGACGTCACCTACGGCGATGTCGGTGGCTGCAAGGAGCAGATCGAAAAGCTCAGGGAAGTCGTTGAGCTTCCGCTGCTGTCTCCAGAACGTTTCGTCAACCTCGGTATCGACCCACCCAAGGGTGTCTTGCTCTACGGCCCTCCCGGTACTGGTAAGACGCTCTGTGCAAGAGCCGTCGCCAACCGAACGGACGCCACTTTCATCCGTGTCATCGGCTCCGAGCTCGTCCAGAAGTACGTCGGAGAGGGCGCAAGGATGGTGCGAGAGCTCTTCGAGATGGCAAGGACCAAGAAGGCGTGTATTATCTTCTTTGACGAAGTCGACGCCATCGGTGGTGCTCGATTCGACGACGGTGCCGGAGGAGACAACGAAGTGCAGCGAACCATGCTCGAGCTCATCAACCAACTCGACGGTTTCGATGCGCGAGGAAACATCAAGGTGCTCATGGCTACCAACCGACCCGATACGCTCGACCCTGCGCTGCTGCGTCCCGGTCGTTTGGATCGAAGGGTCGAGTTCGGTCTACCGGACAACGACGGTCGTGCCCACATCTTGCGTATCCACGCACGATCCATGTCGGTCGAGAAGGATATCCGATACCACCTCATTGCTCGTCTTTGCCCCAACGCTACCGGCGCCGAGCTGCGATCGGTGGCGACAGAGGCGGGTATGTTTGCCATCCGTGCACGAAGAAAGATGGCAACGGAGCGTGATTTCCTCGATGCGGTGGATAAGGTGATCCGACAGGGAAGCAAGTTCTCGTCGACAGCATTGTACGCTCAGTACAACTAGACGGGATTGCACCCTGCTTACTACTCGTGTATTATCACCTTGCGCGTCGATAGCAATCATTGTTGAAGCAACTAGAGCGTTCGAAGCGTGGAATCAGGCTGTGAGTTGTGAAATTTGAGATTGATGAACTGATGCTCGTCGGGTATCAAAATGCTGTGGGCTCTGTCTCTCAATCATGATCGTCCTCAGCCTCTCCAGGACACGACTCGTGCAACTCTTCCGAACTCGAATACTGACAGCCGCAAAAGAGGCAATACGAATGATCTCTTCTCAGGCAGTCCAATACGAGCTCGAGCTGTTGCTTGGCGTCCAATTCGAGGAAAGTTTTTGCTTCCTCCTGCTGTTCTTGTTGTGAGCTCGAGAGGGCGGATTGAAGCAGCTCGACTGCTTCGCGGAAGGATGGATCGGTCTGCATGCGTTCGTCGATCGTAGCGAACGACGTGGACGACACGGGCGTGTGGCCGGTTAAGAGATGGTAGATGTCGCTGTTGAGCCAGAGCGGATTGTATTGGATGGAGGAGGATTGGTCGAGTCGGATGAGTGTTTGACGAGCTCGTGAGAGGAGGTTGGAGGTATGACGCTGTTGATGCGCGGTAGAAATCCGCGTGCGGAAATCGTATTCTTCGGCAGACTGGTTTGCGGTGTTGGTGGACGACGACGATGCTTTAGCTCGAATGGCGGAGGATATCTTGGCCGGGGTTTGGGTGATCATCCCAATCCCTGCTCGTCGGTTCAGGCCGAGCCAGCGCTGATCTGGTCGTAGAGGCTCGAGCTGTGCTGACGCTGATGCTGCCGCCTTGCTCATCGAGTTGGCCTCGGAAGGAGAGGAAGTTGAGAATGGTCCGCCTGTCAAATACTCGTCCGCTTGTCTTTCTTGAGAGGCTTGCCTTTCCTTCTGTTCTTCTTGCTCTTCATCGCTGTCCAGGGGAGGGGTCCCTGCATCATCCGCAGGGCCTCCCTCGCCAGGTCTGGCGCTGTGCTGTGTTGCTTCGTCTCCGTCTTCTCCGTCTTCTTCCTCTTCTTCCACCTCTTGCTCCTCCTCCTGCCCGTCTGAGCCCTGCACCCGCTTTCCAAGCGCCTGGCCGCGCCTGTACCCCATGGCCAACATCATCCGCATCGCCTTTGTCGTCCCATCTTGTCCTCCACTGGCTTCACCTGCTCTCGCACTCAGTCCTCCCTCCCCGCCGTCCTCCCTCTCCAGCAGGTCCCACCTCCTGACTCCGCCCTTTCCTATCGGAGGCAGTGTCCCTCCACCTGCGACGATCTCCGCTTCGGCCAACAAGTCTCTGTCCAATCCCTCCTTACGTGCTTCCTCCTCCTGCTCCCTGATCGATCTCCCCGATTTCGACGCGGTAGCATGATGCGCTTCGAGCCGTCTACGTTTATCTGAGTACGTCAAAGGTTGTTTCTCCTCGGTGGTGGCGAGAAACTTGTCTGACATGAAGTCTTCGTCTTGATCCGAACCGGCATCGTTTTCGGGAGCTACGGTAGAAGGCGTGGCGTCGGATTGGATCTCGCGCAGCAACAACAGGGCGTCAAATCTTGCCGGCTTCGATGACGGTCCGGGAGGCATCGAGAGAGAATGGGAGGCTAAAGATGGTCCGAGAGCATGGTCGAGGATGAAAGAGAGGATGAAGAGTGGTTTGACCGCCTCGAAAACCTCCACACCTTTTTTCGGCTTGCGGGCCGCGGGACGGATTACTCCGAAAATGAGAGGTGTGGTCAACCCTCTGAACAATCACTTTGCACACAATGAACAGCCGAACGCCAATTGGCGACAAGCATGCACGGCCTGTTACCTAAGTCTGAACGGTCCTAAGAAGCAGTGTGATATTACGAGAATGATTAGTAGATACAAGCTCAGAACGCTGAGCTGTGAGGACAGGAGAGGGAGCAACAATTGATTCCTCCTAGCCCCCCTAGCCTGTGTGAAGGTTTGCAAATCCCCTTTTCGATCATCCTATGCTCGACTCATGGGAACCCTGGGCAACCGATCGACTTGGCCGCGTTCGGAACTTCCGATGTCGTCTTGTCGGATCGGATCTTCAGCCACCACGATAAGATCGGAAGCAGCCGACCATTTTTCGTCCTGAGGTCGATGCGATGTGGGAAGGAGGGATGTGTTCGTCGCCTTGCTCTACAGCGACTTGATGCGAGCCTTCTGTCGATCTTCCAGATCCTTGCCCACCAACACCTTGGCTGCCTTCCAGAACTGCACGCAGTTAATAATCTGCTTAGCAGCGCAGATCGGGAAAGTGATGGCGCCCACAATCTGCGGCCAGCTGAGCTGGGGTGTCTCCTTGATGATGTACGCAATCCACGGCGATGCCTTCAACGCCGACGGGAAGAGGAACAACAGCGGCTCGATATCCAATCCGAAAGGTCGCTTGTAGAAGTCCATCAGATACAGGCAGACAAAGAACAGCTCGTTGCCCGCGCAGAACATGAACAGCGTCCGGCTGTCGTTGTAGTAGTACCACAGGATCTTGGATGTTTCCGAAGTGACGATCTTGTGGGATGCCGATCCGGTGACGAGCGAGCTGTACATGTGGATGTAGTGCGAGCTGAAGTCGAGCGTGATCAGGCCTTGGAAGATGACGGCGCATCGAGGGTAGGCGGCGGTCAAGAAGCACAGCAAGCATGCGGTGGTGCAGCGATCGGTGACCATGTCGAGAACCGCTCCGAATTTTGTCGATTGTCCCAATGCTCTTGCAGCCATGCCGTCAAACGCATCGAGAAGACACGATACACCGTAGAGGAGAGTGCAGACCTTGGGGTTGCCTTTCATAAAGTAGAGCGACAGGGCCGCGAGCACGACACGCGCGTATCCTATCAAGTTGGGCACGAAGAGGAAGACATTCTCGTCCGCTTGATTTGCTCTTTGCAGGAGCGACTCGGTCTGGCCGCCTGCAGCGCCGTTGGCGGCTGCTACGTCCGCCGCTGTCGACTTCGAGTTTCGTGTTTGCCTTGGCATCGTGGATGGACTATGTGCAATTCAGATCCAATCACAGCTCGTTAGAAGAAGCTACGTGCTGTCAACGTGATGAGAAAATGCCTGCAATGTAGCAGCCTGTTTGCTTGTCGGTGTGATCGACCCTTTCTGGATGGTCCTGGCCAAGTTTCCTTCACGTGTCCCTTGCGGATGGACCGACTCGCACCTGCGATTCGAGCGCGGTTGGTACCAGAACGATGCTGAGCGAGAATTGAATGCTGGACCGGCTCGCGACGTCGTCGACGATGATGATGACGATAACGTGGAAGGGACGCGGTGGATGGATGAGAGGTGCTTGATTTGGCCCGTGTGACGCACCGTCTGAGTCTCAACAAAACGGACAGCTCTGTTTTCGGATGATCCGACCGGAAATCGCGTTGGCGGGCCTATTTGGCGCAGGGTGAGAGCGAGCGAGAGTGGAGATCTCCTGCTAAAGTCCGCAGCTCGCCCAAAACTCGACCTTTTCGAGACAGCGTCATCAATCGCCTTTTTGCCTTTGAGCGGCTCATCTTCCCCTTGTGAAATGCGGATGTCCAGTTTTTTTGGAAGCATGTTACTATCCGCATTTTGACAATTTCGACTTCTTTCAACGACGCGTTGAGAAGTGTTGGTCCGAGAGCCGAGCCTAAGTTGTGTGTAACTGTAATGCTTCCTTCCCATCCCAACCTTTCCGCAGCTTCCCTTTCGCTCGACGTCAGCAGCCAACGACAGGCGAAGCACCCCCAGCAGCGCTTATTCGGAGCCTTCAGTCAATCAGGGACAGACTGCGAGCTCGGGAGGTTCTCAGCTGGATTCTCGCAATCACAGTCCCTGTCGGCCATGTCTGCTGCTGCAAGGTCACAAACCGAGCCAACGACAAGTGGCCTCGATAAGCTCTCGTCAGCATGCTACACGATACCTTGGCGACCAAAAAAACGCTCAAAAAAGTCTGCTTCGAGCTCAGGCGAGGCTCGACCGGATTCTGGACAGCCTCATTTTCCCGTGCTTACTGAGTTCGAAGCCGACAGCGACCCGGCTCGTGTCCGCTACGCATCTTACCAGATCGCCGTTCAGCGAACAGAGGCAATCTTCGAACGATGCATGGACAACGTCTATGGCTCGCTGTTTGGTGATTTACGCACCTTCTTCAAGGCACAACAAGATCCGACGCACCCGGAGGAGTCTACCCTGGCGCATGTTGGGGTTGCGAACGAAGGTCTCTTTCTTCCAGGTTTCGAAAGTTCCGATCAGGCTCAGCCAAGCACAAGCAGGGCGGGAGGCTCTGCGACAAGCATTCAAACGGCTCTCCTCATATCCACCTCGGCACCTTACCTGTCCACGTTTTCAAATCGTCTCGTTTCTCAGATCTCGAATGCAAGCAACGATGGACCGCCGAGCATTGTCGTGACTCTTTCCGCAAACGAGTGCTCCAACTTGTATACCGCACTGCGACTCCTGGTAGCCCGCTTTGTCGCTCAAGGATCACTGATCGACTCGTCGCAAGAGACGGACCTGGCTGACGTCGAAGCAGCAGCTTTCGCGGGCAAAGTCGAACCGGATCTCCACGTGCTCGGAACGTGGTGGCAGAACAAGTTCGCTCATCTGCAACAGCGTCCACGGTTGGTGCTGAATCTGCCCACGATCGAGTCTGTTGAGCCAGTCGTGCTCTCAGATCTGCTGTCGGCCTTGCAGACCTTCATCGCCGAGCCGTCGAGCTCGACGTCCGCATCTCGAGATGCAAGTCAGGCATCTTCGACGAGGCCACAGCTCTTGCTCGTCTTGGGCATCACTTCGCCATCGGGCGGCCTCGCCGCCGTTTCGGCGGATGGAATCGGCGCATCGAGCAGCTCTTCCGCCACATCAGCACCGGCGCCATGGATCGATTACATCCCGCGTCAAGTGCTTCGCGTTCTCGACATCTCACGCTTTTCCTTGCCGAGCAAAGAAATCGTCTGGTCGCAACTCGTGCAAACGTTCCTCACATCTCGAGAACTTCCCCTCTCGCTCGGACCAACTACCTTCGAGTACATCAGGGAAACCTTCTGGGAGAGAGACGCCGACCTCGACTCGCTCCTCGATGCTGTCCGTCTGGCCTACTTCATCCATTTCTCGGGCAAACCCGAGTCGGTCTTCACGATTCCAGGACAGGCCAAGCGCGTGCGATTCTTCAGCTGGACACCCAAGATGGTCGAACGGATGAAAATTGCTTTTCTGACCACAGACGAGTCCGGTAACCTCGTGCTGCCGCTCCTGGCGGACCCCACGCGTCCATCGAATCTAGACGTCAACCGCTTTCTAGAGGAAGCTTCCCGCTCAGACCAATTCATCCTCGGAGAGCTCGACCAGCTGCGTCATCCGCGCGAAGTGCTTTGCTTCCGGGTCGAGTTTGCGATCCGCTTCCTCTTTCGAGCGTTCGAAGCACTGGTGCGGATCCAGAATCGAGCTAGCACAGCAGCGCAGGCGATGCATGCCCGCAATGTATCGGTGGCAGCGCAGCAGGCGGCAGAGATGGACGAGCAGAGGCAGATGGAGCGCGCGAGCGAGATTCTGACTCAGGTGGTCATGCAATGCTTGAATGCCTCGGTGGGCTCATTGGATGCAAGCAAACGACCACCGGCAGCGCTGACGTTGAGGAACGGTCTTGCGAGGCTTTGCAATGCCGCTCGTAGGCTGTTGTCGGACGAGTTTGAGACGCTGTTGGATGAAATGGTGGCTGCGGCCGAGGATGAAGTGAGGAGGGTTGACGAGTTGTTGGGTGAACAGAGCGATGTAACGGAAGAGCCGGAGAGCGGTAAGCTCAGATCGGCGGCGCATTCCATCAGCAGTCAGAGCGCATCGTTCCTCGCAGGGCTTCGGACTTTCCAGCAGCGACTGGCTCAGACCATCGTCGCCGGTACCGCAGGCTTGAACAACGACGAAGATGCCGAGATCGTCTCTGCCTCTGCAAACGGTACCGAAAACGGCCAAGCAGCCCAACACAAGAGAGAAGCACGTCTTCAACGGGTCCAACGAAAACTTCTCATGGAAGAGAAACTGCTCGGTCTCAAACGCGAGATCACCGACTGGATCGTCCACTCGCTCCACGCTCTCGTCGACTGGAAGCAGATCTCCCGCAGCTTCTCCTCCGGTGACAGTGGACCTCTGCACCTGCTCCGCGATATCTTCTGGGTGGATTGCTACAGCCCGCTCTCCACCCTCTTGGATCCATCAACGCGTGCAGGTCTGACCCTCCCGCTCTCGGCACCCGTCGAGTTCGTCGAAAGCCTCTACGATGCAGCATTGAGCGTGGTCCCCGCCGACGAACTGGGAGAGATCGAGTTGGAACAGTTGAAGCAATTGCAAGAACCGGACGTGTGTAGGTTGTTTCAGCTGTACCTGGAGTGCGGCAAGTTCGTCAATCTGGCCGATTGGTACGATGCTTTCAAGCAGACGGTGGAGGTCGACAGGATTGCGGATCAGGCGACACGCGATCTGCAGCAGGAAGATGAGGCACAAACACCTTCAACGGACCGAGGCGAAGGTGAAACGTCAACGCCGAGGAAAGGAAAGCGGGCAGTTCAAGATGATGACGACGTACTGGACACTCCGTCGAAACGACCGCGTGGTCGGTCAAAGGCTGCCGATGAGGTGAAGGAGAGCACAGAAGCCGAGTTGCAGAGTCGCTTCGCATTAGCGCTCAACGAGCTGGCCCGCATGGGTATGATCCGCGGCACAAGACGAAGGCAAGAACACATCACCAAGGTCATGTGGGATCTCGTCCCGGATAGCTTCTAGTCCCGCTGCGCGATCCGTGCGCACAACATGGTCCCTACAGCACAGTTTCGGCAGTGCCGAAAATCACACAAGAGTGTTGGGAGAAGAATGCATAATCAATAGAAAGCAGGTGACATCGAAGCAAGGATACGAAATACAAAATGACCGAAACTTGTGTGTGTGGGAAGGTGACAGTTTCAACCGAGCATGTCATCGAGGAAGCTTTCCAGCCTTCCCAGTTCGCCTGGTGTCGAGTGGATCGGCGTTTGCGGTGGATGATGATGATGCTGGAAGGAATTTGGGACCAGTGTACGATCGGAGCGATTGGGACTATCGGTTTGTTGCGACTGAGTGTGTCTGCCGTTTGATCCGCAAGAGCTGAGCGAAAACACCGTCGGATCCTTGCCCGCAACAGCCCGATCGTTCAGGCTGGCGAGAAAGCTATCGATCCGTTCGGTGCGGTTTGCGGAAGGAGGCGAAGGACCGGCGCTGCCGGCGGAAGCTCTCTCCCATTGCTCCGGCTTGGGCGGACCTGAAAGCGGCGATTTGCGCCTTCCGAACGTCGTGCTGAAACTCGAACGGCCCGAATGCGTGGATGCGGTTTCGCCGTTGGCAGAGCCGTTGCGCGTTTTCTCGAGTGAAGATTCGATTTCCGCGGCGATGCTGTCGGACAGTGTACCGTTGGAAGAGGTCTGAGCGTCGTTGGGAGGTTGAGGCTTGTTCGAGGCTGCGTGACGCCCGATCTGGATAGAGGGAGCTGCACGCGATCTTCCGTCCTGACGAGCACGCTCTCCGACGCCGTGACCTTGGAAGCGTACTTTGAGCGCCCGAAGCGCGTCGGCTTTCTCCTTTTCCTTCTGCAACGCATCGAGGTCGATGGCATTGCCTTCGGCGTCGACAATGAGCGCCTCCGAGGCCACCTTGTTGCCTCCTTCATGAGCTCCGCCACGGCCTTTGGCCTTCTGACGCAGTCGTTCCTTTTCGTGCAGGTATGCCAGGCTGTGATCGATATCGTTCTCCACATCCGAAGCCGTTTCGTGCTGGCCGCGACTGCGCGCGAGCTCCTCCGCAACACCCGCTTGGGTACCTGCAGAATCACCTAGCGCGGCCACGCGAGCGACGAGGTTGGAAATGTCGACTTCAGGCTCTGGTTCCTCGTCGTCTGGCAACCTAGGATCCTTTGCTGCTTCGAGCCTCTCTAGCCTTGCGAGCTTGCTCTCGCCGAGTTTGCGTCGTGCGTATTTGCCTCGAGAAGGATTCGATGGGTCTTGATCTGTTTCGAGCGTCTGTGACTTGTCGGAGGTCGCGGCAGCTTTCGAGAGACTCGGAAAGTCGGCGTTACCGTCCTCTTGCTCACTACCGCTAGCAGAGCCTGATGCACTGTCGTCGCCATCGTCATCGTCTTCGCTCTCCTCTGATCCGCTGACTGCTCCATTCACAGCGCCATTCCGGCCGTTCTGTGATGAGCTGTGTCCATGTTTCTTGACGAATCGATGACGGTAGCCAGGCTTGGAAGAACCCGATTCAGCATCGTCTGTAGCGGCGTGTTGGTTGTTGTATCGCCTCGAGGCTTTGGCTTTGTACTTGTTTTGCAGCACCATCCTGTTGCGCCGGAGGATGAGTGTAACAAAGGCCGTTTCGCTTCCAAAGACGATCCGGCCTCAGCCAGTAGGTTGTCGATCCAGCGAAGACAGCAAGAAACCGGGCGTTGAGTGCTCGACTCGGCGTGCCTGATGGAGCAAGACGTCGTGGTCGAATCGCAAGGACGCGAAGAAAAGGTCGTTCGATGTTGTACGGTGGAATCGACAAAATCGACGTGCGGGATCGAGCTGCAGGGGAGCTGCGGGAGGAATTGTGTCGGACTGTCAAATGAGGATCGAACGTAATTTACTGAAAGTTCGGGTCAGCCTGAGTTCCAAAAAAAACGTCGCATCCGACGCAAGGTGCTCCTTGAACACTTGCAGCGAATTAGGCATAAATGCTCGCTTCTGTTCTGCGACGTCGCGGCGGTTTCATCTTGATAAAGGAGCAGAGGCAACCTGGCCGAAGCGATTGATAATGGTGACAATGTTGGTGCAAGCTATTCGAGGTTCAACAAGCAGGTAAGAAACCAGCGCGAGAGTGCGACTCGGGGCTGCGTGTGTGGATGGTCTGGCTTCAGGCACATAGGCTGCCGGCGTTCGACGATGCGGAAAGTGTCACTTCTACGTCAACAGCCGGCAACCCGATATTCCGGTGCATGTGTCTGCTATGCTGCTGAGAAGCGGAAGCGGAGGCAGAAGTCGTTTATCCGCGCGGCCTTGAAGAGGGCTTCTGTGTAGTGTCGAATGTTTGTTCAAGGTGGAGTTTCCGGAAATCTGAAAAACACATGACTTCGTCGATGGCAGCTGCAAATCGACACAGCGTCATAGAGCGTGAAGCTTTGCGATTTGACGACTTAATCTGATTTCTCAGGTTCCAGATTGAGGTCCAGGCCCTCGCTTCGTATCGTGATCAAGCAGCGAAGGCTGGCGTACCTCGGTCCATCGAACGGTTTGCCATGTGTCTTGCTGTCAACAATGCGTCCTTGCATGGCTTCGATCGGTCGGCAGTCCCTAGTGACACTCAATGCCATGCTCTGGGAATTACGAACAGCCCTCTATTTCGTGGTTGCCTGGCGCCATTTCCAATGCTTTTAATTGTGTCTATTTCGTGGTTGCCTGGCGCCATTTCCAATGCCGACGAGATCGACGACGCAGAGTTGTCACGAAACACACAGCCATGCACATGTCATCAAGGTTCTTGTTCTGCTCGGAAGAGAACGAAATAGACAAAGGGTATATCTTAGCCGCTGCATGCGGATCGAGACCGTGATGTGACCGCAGCCAAGACTATCCTCTCTCTTTGGCCGCCAGGCTCTTGGTGACCGAGTCGATGTAGGTCTGCAACATCTCGTTGTCCGCTTCCGCCTTCTTGCAGTCTTCCTTGACCGTATTTACGCGGGCAATGAGCGCACGCAGTCCATCCTGTGTCGCCATGATCTCCCTGCAGTCACCACGTACATGATAGCGACAGATCAACGAAGACGTCAGTGCCCTTTCTCTCAGTTGTGTTCCCGTCATGGACAGAGCCCGAGCCCCAAGCCCAGTCACAGATCATCGACACTTACCGTACGAGCTTCTCCTTTTCGACAACCTCGTTGGCCGAGATTTCGGTTTCAGCGGTCCACGCTGCCGACTCTGTGAAGTCATCCGATGCCACAATGGGCGAGGCCGTTGATGATCCCGTCGTTGTGTCAAGATCCATCGTGGACAACGCTCCGATTCATCAAGCTTTCGACGTCAAGGTTCCTGTGCCAGTTAGCATCGGAGACAGGGCCGCCTTTACAGTCGTTCAGGTCCTCTGTCCGATTGATGCGACTGAAGCGGAGATCGCGATGGTCCTAGTGTTGTGAGGGCGAGAGCGTTGTCGTCTGAAACGGTGTGGCTCGAAATCCGCAACCCTGGAGTCGGGAATCGGGGTCCAACTTTGTTTTCCCTCAAAATGTGTCTTCATACGCCATAACATTTGTTTCTACCACTTCCTCACTCCATCTTGGCTTTGCCCACTTCGCCGTCCCTGCTGGGTAGCAGACAGGACACTGTCGCAAGTCACTGGGTGGTCACCGTCATCGAACTTGATCACGCGTCGAAAAATGAAGATAGAGCTGATCAGGCTTTCGTAGCGAGTCAGCAATGTTGTCGTTTCGAAAGATCACCTGTAAAGTGTCGGTAGGCTCCACCGTCCAGAATTGATATCCAGAACTGTACAGGTCGATAATATCTGGAGGTCCAAGCGATCGACGAATCAAAGGATGGCTTGACTTCACTTGCGGGGCCCTTTGATCAGCTGCCAAAACCTTCTTCGGCGAGACTTTGTTCGATTGTCAACATGTGTCAGATTTGGACTCGGTTTGGAAGAAAACATTGTCGCGAGGTCGACTCATTTCCTGGCTGTCAAACGGACGAACTGCGGAGAGCTATCGGTGCGCCAACTCATGGGTGCTACAACCAACCTCAGACGAGCTGTTCCTCGCCGGGCGACGACCCCTCGGAGACGTGTGATTCGCCAAGCCTTGCCGGTGAGTTTGTTGTCTTTGTCGACGTCCTCAAGAGGGCCATATCGACGGTGGCGAACCAGGCTGTCGGACACTTTGTGCGTGGACAACATCGTCAAAGGATGGTCGACAATCGATAGGCATGGCGAGGCGAACGATTTCACTGAGAACAATTCGCAGATTTGTCGGCGTCTTGGACGGACAGGATGTCGCCGAAGGATTGCCGTTTTGGATCCGGCGTACGAGGTGGTCGGTTGGTGTGCATTGCCGTTCGCTTGAGCTTTGAATGGTTCCCAGCGCGATGTGACGGGACACGGCTGAACGGCACAAGAAGTCCAAACAACGATAGCCTATGGGAGCTCTATTCGAAACGAAACAAGCTACGGGCCGAGCCAGGTCGGTTGAACAATGGCGGGGAGACGTCCCGAAATCAAACGACCCCGAACTTTCTCAATACCCGAACCCCAACAAACACGAATTTGCGCAAACGACTTGACCTACCGGAATCAGCGCGGTGTTGTTCGACGGTACCGCTTGCTTGAGTCGGAGCGCAAATATCATAGGCAAGCAAGGGACGGGTCGTGAGAAGAAGTGTTCCCACAGGGTGGTGAGCTAACTCGAGTGGTGCGGGGAATCCTTGTTCTTCTGGATCCAACGCCTCACGCAGCCAGCGTCTTTACCGCCTTCGCCACGAGAGCCGAGCCCTGCTTTCGCGAGCGCTTACAGCAGCACTGAGACAATCCCCCCTTGCAGTCAAATGGCACAGTGAGCTATCTTAGGACAAAGAGGAACGAGGCAGACCCCCTTCGGTCAACTTTTGTGCATGCCGTTCAAAATCGAGAATGCAGCGAGAGGGGAGGTGGCACAAGGCTTTTGCCGCTGTGCAACTTTTGCCGCGGTTGCAGTGGCACATCCGCGGGTCGAAAACAGGTACCGGGCGCTTCAGGGCACGGAACGCTGTCAGGGCGCCCGACCCGCTGCACGAAGCGCTTGCTTGCTGCGTCTCGCAATTTCGCCGACACGGCGAGATTCAAGGCAAATCCGAGTTCAGGGCCAAGAGTCGCCGAGAATTGACCGCGCTCGTCACGGGCCAGCCAGGCCTCCTGGTGTTTCGCTTTCCCACATCATGGTGTGCGGAGGCTCACAGCTGGGTCAGCCTTGCAGGCAGCCCGCATATCTGGACCACGCCACGGTATACGCGAGCCCTACACCAATGCTGAGGGGCTCCGTGGGACAACAAGGTTGTTTTCGTGGGGACTCCAATGAAAGTGCTTTGCCGGCGCAGGATTTTCGCTCGAAGGGGTCCACTGTCTCGCTGAGCGTATGCTCCGGTCTGTCACGCCGTTAATTCGAGTTGAGCCTCGTGCCAGGTCGCATGATTTATACGGCATCTTGCGTTCAACAGCAAAGGGTGGTCTAACATCCCGCAACCGAGAACGAGACTGAAACCGGCTAGGCGCGCACCACGATGAAGGCTTGCATGCATGTGCGCCGGGGTCGGTGTCCGTCCCGCTAGACCGCGATCGCGACAAATTCTCGCTTAGACGATCGCGCTCTCCACACGGCTGCAGCCCGTGCAGCTGATATGCTGGTGACATCCGGGTTCGCCTTCATCATAGATTCCGAGCTCCGACATCCATTTCATCGGCCGCTTCAAGACACAGGCGCGTCTACAAACACGCTGCACCGTTTGTGTGTGTGGAAATGTCGGAGAGTCACAAGAGCCGGCTGGTGTCGGCGCTCGTCACAGTGCAGACGGAATCGGGAGCCTTCCATCAAGCACAATCTTGTACACCTGCACACCTTACCGCCGGAGAGTTCCTGCGACCTGAAATTTCTTGAGATGGGCTCGAATAGTTCAGCACCAGGAATCGCAGCGTAAACGAGGGCACTAATAAAGCTCAATGCGAAGCAACCATTCGGCGAAGGTCCTGTCATCACATCGTTTGTGCGATCGAACAGAATAGGGGCGTCTCGATCCGGGGTCAAGGCTCGCTGAAATGCTCTCTTCGAGGGCTGGATTGTCCGGACAGGTCGTAGCTCAGCGCACATGGTCATCATGTTTGCTCGCCAAGAGGTCTCGTGGCAAGGTAGAAGCTTCGATCGCGCCGTCGTCCGGGATCGCAAACGGGGTCGTGCTCACATTATACCAGAGCAGAGCTAGCCGACTGGATCGACGACGTCAAGAGAGACCCTGAGATCTCCCTTCTTTCGGCTGGAACGAGCTTGTCCGCATCAGGGTTCAGATCACAGGACCCAGCACAATCGTGCTCGTTCGTGGCAGCATTCAAATACATCAGTGACGTCGACGTTGACGTTGTGGATCGACGGAGTCGGCAGGCGATCCTTACCCCGGATCTGCAATCAAGAGCCACACAGGGGTCCTGATCCGTGTCAGGGTTGAAGCTCAGCAGCTGACCTTTTTCCGTCTGTTTGCGCCCGGTCTGCACAATCCCAAGCCGGATTCATCGGTACATACAGTAAGCACAACAATGTGGTAGACCGCTCTCGTCCGGATCAACCAGAGGGGTCAAGAGACATTACCGCCGCGATGCAGTATATGTTGTATGTATCCAGCGCGACATGTCATTGACTTACTCACGGAGAAGATTCCGTTCAACCAGGCGGATCCGGAGCGAACGCCATTCCATCGAGGCATGTGAGCGGCTTGATGCCTCCTCAACCATGCATCATTTGTTACGGACCAAGCTTGCTAGGGACTGGTGACGGGCTGGTCAGCCCTGTTGCCAAGCAGGGCGGCAAAATTTGTCTCCAGCCATCGCGAGCTGCATGACCTTTGTGGGGATTGGCTCCTCCGTCGAATTCACGTTTGACTTGTCATTGAAATACTTTGGCCTTCCATCCGGCTCGTCGTTACGCAACGAGACCATGCCATCGGAACTTTGTTGCCTGTCAAAGCTTGAAACAGCATGAAGGGCGCTAAGTGATAACGCAGTTCGGTGAGAGCTATCGATTCAAACCGGTCAAACGAATTCCGTCGGGAGGGCCACGAGAAAAGAGTCGAGAAAAAAATCTGGAAATTTTGTGGTTGCATCTCGAAACTTTGCCAGACGCAGACTCCGTCCGGCGCTGAGGAGGACGAAAGGCGGGCCGACACAAATGGTCGAGAAATAGCGTTCCTGTCCTGGTCCGACATGATGCGTGCGTTGCAGCCCCCCGCCCGCATACCACTGTACACTGTAGGAGCCAACATCAGTTGGTGCGTGGCTCAGTCCTACATCCATGTTGAGCAACATATCGGTTCGCAGCCCTCCATCGGATGTCTCGCCGTATGAGACCGGCATGTTATCTCCTGAGACACGCCATCGACTCTATGATCTTTGTCTCCTTACAACAGCTGATCGAACCTCGCAGAGTGCTTGTCTCGATACAGGATTGCACTGCATGCAAGTTGACTCGAAATTCAGATTCAAGTTTTGGCGGAGAGAGATAAGACCCCCAACGTGGAGGCACTAGAGACGCGCAACGACGCAATCGATGCAAGCAAATTCGCTTTTTGTGCAGCGAGGCTGCAGCGCGACCGGTCGCGTGCTGATGATGGGGTTTTCCATCTTTTCGTCCATTGGCTTGAAGCAGGAGTTCGATTCTTTTGATCTTCAGCTCTCCACCGCTATCAATCTGATCACCGCTCGGCACGAGCCGAAACGATATCGATGAAGGAAGCGAATGGTGCTAAACAACTTCCGACAGAGGTGTATGTCGTGCCAAGAAAGACAAGAGGCTCATGACTTGTTGGCGGCGTTGAGACCACCGTTGGGATGGATCCTTCGTCGCAATCCTTCTGACGGGACTTGTTTCTCCTGCGTCTTCGAAATGAGTTGGGACGACAGATGCGAGACTGAAAGGGGCTTGAGTGCATCTCCGCGTGCCGTGCTGACTGATGTGAACCGAGCTGGAAGTCATCCGCCGATTTTTGCGCTTACGGTCTGGAGCAGTGTAGCTTGTGTCGGCTTGACGTGCCGAGTCGCGCTGGCCGAAGGGGGCGATTTGTGCGCAACGGCGTGGTGAGAGAGGGGTTGCTCGAAATTTTATTCATTCATTACGTTTTTTTTTTTTTGATGAATCGCCTTTTTTTTTCCTCATGTGAACTCAGCCAAGTTTCTGGTTCGAAATAGGTACGGTTGATGCACAGTATCGATTGCAAATTGGAAACGCGAGCGGAATATTCCCAGGTCGGACGCCGCGAAGGACAGGCTGGATCGATCTCAACTTTTCGGTCCTCAATCCCGCCATGGCAGCGCTCTCGCCTCGCCTTGTCGGTTTGCTCTCGCGTTGCCGCCGCCATTCATCCTCCGCCTGGCTTCCTCGTCTCGCTCCCTAACCCCTTGATGGGAGCAGGATGCGATGCGAGGACGAAGCGAGAGTACTGCTGTACAGTGTCGTGCAATAGCGCGGAGAGCCCGAACAGGATCGAGTTTGGCTGCAATTCGTCTCAGTCACTCACTGTGTCACTTGACGCCGGCCTCTATCGATGGGCACAGCTGCTGAGCCAGAGTCTCTGTCCCTGCCTGGCAGGACTTTGGGTCGTACGTCCTACGGAATCAGCCAAACGATCAAAGCTTGAGAAATAGGTCTGCCAGCCAACAAGCAGGGTGTAGAGGGGAAAAGACCGTCAGCAGCCCCGCATCTCGTCGATCTGCACGAAATCAGCGTCTCCCCGCTGTGCTTATACTGCAGTGTAGTACGTACAGTTCAGAACATCCCACTGCTCGTATGCTCGACATCGATTCTATCAACCGCAGCCTTCCTCGCTACGTCCTCGTACAGTACAGTCCTACACCGCCGAAACAAGAGACTGCGAGACTATACTTACAAGCAACGCCCTTGCGCTCGTCCCTCGCTTCAGTCTGCTTGGCTCGGCTCGCCTATGGGTCCAGCACGCCCTGAGTGCGCACCCCACAGCGCTGTAACAGCAGTACAGCACCGGACCGTATCGCATCGCGTCGCTGGCCTCGCTACCACTTCTGGGTGCTTGCCGGCAACCCAAATTCTTATTCTTTGGTCCTTTTTGGCTGAAGCACATTTGCTGTCCTCTCCAGCTTTGGCCTTGGCAGTCGTGAACTCTCCCTTCCCCAACCCAATTCATCGACGACCTTTCCTTTCCGCCCCTCGTCTTGCAGCCCTGTGTTGGTCGATTTGCGCAGTCGCTTGCGCCTCTTCTTGCCTTCCTCCCATTCGTCCACACGACCCTTTCTATCCCTGATCGCTGCTCCTGAAGTGTCTGTTTGTTCGGCCACAAAGTCCGTCGATCCGCGTTGGAGAAGCCCTTTGCTGCACATTCCTACTCGCGGTTCCAGATCGCCTCATCCTTCCTCCTTTCTGCCATCACCACCACCAGCCCGACACGACACCCTACAGACAGCAACCTCTCCTGGCTTGGCTCGCCCTTCATTGTTCGTCCGTTGAACCCTGTCGTCCTCCTCATCCATCACCTGCAATCCTTTCGGACCGCGCGAATCGAATGGTCTCTTCGATACCGACCTTCGATCGCTACTATCGGGACCATTCGTGAGCTCTTTTCGACAGTCAACCCATCTTCGAGCCACCTTTGATCCCTGAGCTAGTATCGACACTTCCATGCCGCAGCAAGCTTCGTGACCACACGTCCGTCCGAGCTTTCCACCTTGTCGCCAAGAGGTCTGTACAACTTCCACGTTATGCTCGTGAACGCATCCTACCAGGCTTTCGACCGTGTTCCCGACAAGCGACTCCAGCACGTCAAAGTTCCTCACTCGTCACACGTCCACATCGTCACTGGCAACGACCAACTCGACGCAATGACCCTCGCGACGCCACCTGTCGAGGTCAGTGTGCTCACCGACAGTCGTGGAGGCCCCGCCAACAACGCAGGCCAAGACCACCAGCGCAACCCTGCGCCTGTCGCCAGCACATCCTCGTCCGCGTCCCACAACCTGGCGCAGCCCGTGCCGACGCGACCCAAGAACCACATGCGTGGCGTCGCCTCGGACTCGCGTCTCTGGACAACAGGACGCAGCTTCTTTGAGGGGCGCTACAGTGAACGACAGACCTACGTCTCCGCCTCAGAGCAAAAGGAGCTCGAGGCGGAGCGCGACGCCATTCAGCAGATTCAGAACGCTCAGGCGGCTAAGCGTCGCGCCAAAATGATGAGGCTCACCCCTGCCTTCCCTTCCGCCCATAGAGAGAACGTCCATACCCCGAGTCCGCCTTCCAGCGAGGCTTCATCCGCACGCACAGCCAGTGAGGCAGATCTCCCGACGCCACCTGACAATCGACTTCCCTTCCCGAGCCCCAAGACGCGCATAGGCATGGTCGCGGCACAGAACGCAGTCGTGCCTCTCCATCCAGGCTCAAGGAAGGCGCTCGCTCTTAAAGCCAACAGTCCCGGCCCAGAGGTCCTTGGCGGCCTCAGCCTCGACCTTCAATGTCTGCCATCGCCCGCCGGCGATCGCAGTTCGATCTCCTCCACCGCTTCTACCCACTCGGAGCTTGTCCGCAAGAAGTCGGGCGAGCCCGTCAAGTCGTCTCTCAAGTCGTACACGGGCAGCTACATCGTGCCGCGCTCCGCCAGTGCAGCCACCTTCCCCACTTCAAGCCATGGTGCTAAATCCGTACCCACCACGCCCAGCGCCATGAAGACGGTGCATTTCGATCCGCAGCTCGAACATGTCAAGATCTTCAAGGTCAAGGGACGTCCACAAGCTGTCTCGCGCGAAGGAAGCCCAGAGCACACCGAGACCGAGACCGAGGAGGAGCGCGACTATCCTTGGTTTGGATCCCGCCGTGGAGGCGGTCCGAGCCGATCCGCCGGCAACCGAAGCCCCATCAACCTTGCAACTCCTCCAGCCACCGAAGCAGACGAACAGCTCGTGCTTCGCTTGCCCAACTTCCCCTCGTCTGCCAAGCTCTCGCTCGACAAGGACATCTTCCTCGAGCGGATCTATCTCTCAGATGATCTACGATCCGTTCGCGGTACTGTCCAAGTCAAGAACCTCAGCTTCGAAAAATGGGTCGCCGTGCGCTTCACTCTCGACCATTGGGCGACCGTGAACGAGGTGTCGGCGGAATATTCGGAGAGCATCAAGGAAGGCAACGCCGATCGCTTTGTCTTCTCGATCAAGCTCAACGAAGTGCTCAACTGGCCTCGCGGTGCCGGTCTCAACGAGACCAAGACCATCTTCCTCTGCCTGCGCTACACCACCGGTGGACGCGAGATCTGGGACAACAACGATGGCGGCAACTACCAGCTCGACTTCCGCAAGCGTCCCACCCAACCTGCCGAGGCGTCTCGCATGCCTCCTAGCTCGAAGGAAGTATCGTCGTCGTCGTCGTCCTCCTCCTCCTCGTCCTCCTTCGGCAATACCGTACCACGCAGATACACGCTTAGCGCCATGGGACCGGACGCAACTTCCTCCATTATCGAGATGGGTCGCAGGACTGGCGTGTACGGACAGAAGACTACCCGCGACCATGCTATGGAGAGGCTCAAGCAGGAGCTCGAGCGTCTTCGTTCCGATGAGGAGGAGGCCGACAAGGTTCCTGCTTCCGGTACCTATGCCTCTGAACTTGCCAAACGTCGCTCGCCGCCCGTGTCTCCGGGCGGTGCCGCAAAGCCTGGCTCGCCTTCCGTGTGGTCGGCCAGGTACGACTTCGGCGCTTCGCTCCGAGATCCCACTTCCGGCAGTCGTAAGACCGAGGCTGGACGCGCCGCCGCGCTCGACTACTTTTCTGCACGTCCATCCGCCGTTGCAACGAGCCCGATGCGCTCCTCCTTTGTGGTCAGCGCCGCTACTCCTTCCCCCGATGGTTCAACGCCTAGGAGTGCCGCAGACCTCGTTCCCAAGTTTGGCCGTCTGGGCATGCTGAGCCCTGGACTTGGCGAGATGGTTGTGGAGCATCCCGCTGTCTCGAGCTCCAACACCAGCTCGCCCAGCGGATCCATGCTGCAAGTGCCGCAGATCAAGGGTTTGGGTGCCTTGTCTCCCGATACACCCTCGTCCCCCACCCCAACGTCATCGACGCGCTTTAACTCGTTCCCGCCCAATCGCAATGTGCAGAGCCACAGCATGCTCAGCATGTGGGACGACGATGCACGCAATGGCACCAGTTCCGGATCTGCGTCCGGATCTGCCTCGGGATCCAGGTCGGGCACTCCACCCTCTCCGCTCGGCTTCTCCACCCCGAGAGTCGCGATAAAGAATGACGGGACCGTCCTCGAGGACTATACCCCGGATGGCAGCCAAGCGTCGCCGAACTCCATGACAAACTCGCCCAATCCCTTCTCGCCTGCACTCTCAGCCAGCTCGGTCGATTCTGATTCGACGGCTATGCTGGACGCCAGCGGAAAGTCAAACATGTCGAGCAATTTGGAGAATCTGGAAAGCGGCCCTTCGTCTTACCAGTACCTCAGAGCCGATCATCTCGAGGGCAGGAACAGACCCTCCTCGTTTGTCGATGGAGGCGATGCGGAGCAGCACGGCTATTCCTCTTCGGCGCTGTCATCCACGACGCTCTCGCCGTCCTCGGAGTTGGCCACGCCGGACGAGGAGTTCATGCGACCTTCCAACTTAACCAGCTTCAACGAACTTGTCGCGCGCTTCTGCTGGAACAACGACAACCAGGTACCGCAGGCCAGTCCAGATAGCCCGGCTCTTGCTGCGCACACTCCAACTTCGGCCTCGGGACGCTCGACCCCCATCGCCCGCGCTGGTGGTGCCTACTGAGTGTGCGTGTCCCACGCGAGAACTCGACTTCGACCTCTTATGATCTCAATGACGGCGATACGCTCGACCCGAATCATCAACGATCGGCTCAGTCATTTGTACACTATCAATATTTCCACATGTTGCTCGATCGTCCACACTCCCATCATCCTAACGCCAACCAGCTCTCTCGTCCGCTGCGAGAGTCTACGAAAGATTCTCTTTCTCACGTAATGGGTTTCACAGTGCTGCCTTGACACATTGCATTTATATACGCAAGCACGTTCAAACACGCACCATACACGTATATCACAGCCGCATGGCCGCCATTTTTGCACCATTCACCTTCACATTTCGCATTCAGATCAATGTCCGCAAGCCGAAATGAGGCGCCAATCAATTCAATTGCATTTCTTCTCTCGATCCCATGTCATGAGTGTGCCAGAATGAGTGGGGGTTGCAGCCGGTTGACATATTTGCGTTTTTGCAAATGAGACCGAAGCCGGAACCGCTTCCTGTGTCTCGGGAGGCGTTTGCGAGGAGAGAGACAAGGGATTGGCGAGGGACGATCTGCGTCTCAGAGTGTTTGGCTGCTGGAGTCGAAGCGATGCCGTAAGCGAGCATGAGGGGCAGGGTGGAGGACCCTGTACCCCGCAAACCAAACGACTTTGTACCCGTGCAGATCGTTGTCGCCCCCTGAAGTGAGGAGTGCGGGTCCGGGGGGACAGGAGTGCCAATCCGGACCACAGAGGCTCCATGTGAAAGAAGTCCAATCTGGAGACATGCGACCAATGCTTTGTGCAAAGCCAAATGCGTCCCGCGAACCGATGGATGGTGTGTAATGTCGATGTTCGGAGTCTGAATAGAATCAACCGTGATCCTGGGTCTCGCCGATCTCCTTCATCCGTTCAGTAATACGATATATATACGTTCACCACAGTGATGGTGGTATAATCCGGTTGTATGGAGTAGTTGGTTAACTTAGGAGATTCTGATCTTTCCGTCTAGGAAGTAGATTCGATACTTCTCTTGCCCTGGGTTCGAATCCCAGTACGACCTATTTTTTTCATTTTTTTTCCTCGAGATTTCTAGACGGTCCCCCCTTGAAAGGCCATCGCCAAACATCGACTCTCCGAACCAGATTCTCTGTTCAGGCAAGATTTCTTCAAGTTGGTACGCACACCGAGCGGAGCAACAAGATCAAGGCAGCGATCACACTCATCTCGGGGGTGAACGAAGGTGCTTGCGAATGAGTGAAATGTGTAAAAGAGTGATAGCAAGGGGAAAAGTGAGAGTGTATGCGTGTTTGGTCGGTTTTCACTGAAGACTTACAGTATGTCGGGTTGAAGAGGAGGTCGGAGAACAAGAGTGAGTGCGTTGAAAAGGTAGACGAAACCAGATGAAAGCACTGAGACACGGACGAGGAGAAGGCAGTCTCACGCCAACATCAGGCACGGGGCTTGACATCGTCAAGATACTTCTGGAGATGTTCCGGAAGCTCCTCGAAAGACCAGGCGTTGGTTTCGCCGTTGTTCAGAGGAGCCCGCTTCTTGTCGAAACGGTGATACGTGATCCCCCGTTCCTGATGGGTGACCCAGATCTGCTCGGGCTCCTTGCCGTCCAGGTACACAGAACCGAAATCTCCAGATTTCCTCAGCAGCTGAAGCTGTTCGAAAGTCGGTCCGCGCACGACCATCTCGTCTACACCTGGAAGCACCGTTCTCAGCTCACTCTTGTCACTTTCCGACAGCGCGTTGAATGGCTCGAAGGTAGCAGGCTCATCGCTATTGCCACGAAATCGGGCGAAGCGATACCCTTTGTTGTTACGGAGGACGCGAAAGCCTTCGCCGCCATAGTGATGGTCCTCGAAGTATAGATGAGAATCATCCAGCAGCTTGTAAGGTCTGCCAGTTGTACCAAATTGCCTGAACAGCTCCGACCTTCCGCTACCTCTAGCCAAGGTGGGAGTATTGCCAGGGGCGTCTGTGGCCATTACATCGACGAGGCCGGAAGCGGAGGCGCCACCGCCACCGCCAGCGTCTTTCGATGCAGGTTCCGACTGAGCGGCGCCCCTGATCTCGTCCGTATCCTCGTCAGAACCAGCACGTCTTCCGAGCAGCTGCGCGTCGGCACTGATCACCCGCTTGTGCAACCTGTGTTCAGCTTCTTCGGCCGCCGCGCGAACAACCACGTCAAGATTGCCGTCTCCCATGACAAAGACGCGCAAATGAGGCGGCAGATCGGAGAACTCTACCGGTCTGGAACGATCTACCTCGAAGACGATCTTGCCGTCTTTCGTTGGAGAGATTCGGATGTCTCGCGCCGGAAACTCGGGATGAACGTATGCGTTGGCGAGATCGAAAGCATCCTTCCCGATCTTGACGCCTTGTCGCCTCGCACCCTCCTTCGAAAGGTGAGACTCGACGACAGAGCCGATTCTGGGCTCTTGATCCTTCAGACCGTCTCGAATGTTGGATGATAGACTCGACCAAGAGCTCGTCTTGTACACCGTCTTGCCGTCTTCGTGCAGGAGGTGGAAACGGAAAGTGATCTCATGATCGCCTTCGAGCATGGTGATGACGATCTTCTTGCCCGGATAGCGGACGAATGCGACGTGAGTCGGAGGCGCTCTCGTCTCCAAAGATCGCTTTCGCAAGCGCCTTGCTGCTGCCTCTGCTTCCAGCATGAAGCTTCGAGCGCCTCGGTCATTCTCGAGATACGACCTCAGATGCGACGGCATCTCTGAAAGCGTGATGGGCTCGGCGGCGCCTCTCTGGAAGACGACTTTTCCCTGTGGGTTGCGCAATATCTTGACGCTTTCGGACGGATACTCAGGGTGGAAGTAAGCGGCGCTGAGGTCGAAAGGGTGCTCTCCGATCTTGACGCCGAACTGTCTTCCATCATGCACCCGAAGCGCAGTGGACGCCACGTATCCGATCTCGCCAGACTGTCGCTCCAACCCCTCCTGCACCGTCGGTGAAAGACTCGACCATTTCGATGACTTTGTTGTCCTGGTACCGGTCTCGTCCAAAAAGTGGAAGCGATAGGGAGAGTTGTCGTTGCCCTCCAGACGAGTCAAGACGATCTTCTTACCAGGATACCCGACAAGACGCAGAGAAGTATGACCAGGGGGATCGTTCCTCTTGTGGAGCCGCATGGAGCTCATCGCCTCCGAGAACAGCGAAGGGTGCTCATTCGCAAAGAATTCTCGCAAGTTCGTGGGAAGAGTCTTCAAGTCCATCGCTTCGTATGCTCCGGCTTCGGGATTGTAGACGTGAAATACGACTCGGGCCTTCTTCCTTCCGAGCATTCCGAGAAGTCGTCCGCGTTGAATCTTGCGTAGCGGACTGTGATCGGTGGTCCGGGCTGATGAAATGTGCTCTGAAGCTCGCGAGGGTCTTTTGCAGGATCGAAGGCAAACCCGCCCCTTTTCGCCTCTTCGAAGTCTGATACATAAGCATAGATGTTCGGAATGGCTTTTTTTATTTTCGCCTTCTCTTCCGGCGACAGATTCTCCCATGTTCTGTACTGCACACGACCTGGCAGTCCTCGAGCCCATTGGAAGGAGAATTGAAGACCTGAACGAGTTCTGGCAACTTCGATCCATTCGACGGGGTAGGTAAACGTCTGATACCGGTCACTTCCAGCCGACGTTCCAGCGGAGGATGCACCACCGCCTGGCAGACCGAAGGTCAGCGTCCTTTTGCGCGGAGACGCTCCAAGTTGATGCTGTTGTGTCCTCTTGCGGAGCTGAGCTGGCTTCACGGCGTCCGTACCAGGCGACGGTAAAGACCTCTTCCGAAATCGGACGGCGCTTGACCAGGGATAGTCGAGACCCAACCGACTCTGCCATCTTAGAAACTGCTTCAAGTGATCCGGCAGCTCTTCGAATGTGGCCCACTTACGACGTGCTCCACCCCATCCAGACTTGGAGAGATATTCGAACTGAAATCGCTGGTACTGGCCGTTGACGCTTCTGACCCCGATGGTCTGCGGCATGCGGTTGTCGAAGAAGTACATGCCTCTGTCTCTGTCGTTAGCGTGAGCGCCGATTTCAGGCCTGTAAGCTAAATCGTCGATGTTCCAGCTGTTCTTTTGGAGATCTTTGACCACTGGAATAGTCTTGGACACTGATTTCCGCTCGTGTGGAGTAAGGTCGTCGAACGACTTGCTCATGACAGCAATGTCCCGGTGTGGTTCGTAGGGAGCGAATCTGATCTCTCTTCCATCTGTGCCCCGGAACATTCGCCATCCTTGTCCCTCGTAATGGAGCGACGGGTGCTCGGTGTATTGGTCGGAGGACGAGGGAGGTGCCCTCTTACGCAAAGTCGGAAGCGGAACGCGGTGAAGGACGTCCGAGAGGTCTGGAGCGCCATGCTCTGCGGCCATCCTGGCCTTCCTTTCCAGCATTGCAGCATCCATCTCAGAACTTGGTACCCTGCTGAGCTTTCTGAGACCTTTGGATCGCAGAGAGCGACCATCTGAATCCTGAGCAGCGACATCGGCAGGGTAAAGCTGCTGATGATCACTCTTTGGCTGGAAGGCTTTTGATTGCGACGGTGAACGAGGCGCGGTTTGGGCGACTCGGAGATCTTGAGTCTCGCGCTGGGCAAGGCTGAGACGATCGTTCTCCTCATGCGAGAGTCTGACATCGTGGGACGCCTTGGCATGCCTAGCAGCCTTCAACTCTTCCTCAGACAGCTTGAAGACGGGTTGGAATTCGACCTCACCAGGCTTGCGTGCAAGCTTAGCGAGTCGTCGCGCTTCGGCTTTTTGCCGAACATGCTGTTGCCTCTGCCACGCTCTGACGTCCGCAGCTTGCAATGACGTACGCCATTGGCCGTAGTTGAGAACGGCAGACCTGCGAAGCCTTGCGAGGATGCGGTCCCATCGGGTCGGAGGTGTATTACGCAAAGAAGTCTTGATGGTCTGTGGACCTTGCGAGGCGGGAGCAGATGAGGCAAAGCTAGAAGGAGTTTGCTGAAAGCTGGACCTGCCGCTGGAACTGTGGCGTAGGGCATTGTCGTGCAGCCTGAAGGAAGGAGCTTGATGAGAAAGCTCATCATCGGAAGCGAGCTGAATCTCGCTTCTGTCGCTGGTAGGAGCAGCGGCTGCGATAGCAAAAAGCAAGAGAAGGTGGGACACGCCGATGATCAACCACCAGGGCTGAGATCGGCTAAGTCGACCAGTGACAAGCATGTTGTCCGAGCGGTCGGGCTGTAGTTGAAACGAGAGGGTTCTGTGATCACGAGGACTATTGGTCAGAAAGCTGTGTGATGGGGGTTTCTCCCAGAACAGCGCATGCTTGCCTAGCAGCGTTGTAGTGACTCACTGTTTGTTGTTGCGAAGAAGTTGTTGTGATGCTCGAAACGAGGGTGCTGAGGCTGAACGAGGGGAACGTGAGGAAGAGCTTCAATAAGTACAGCAACAGCCGTCGTGAGAGAAGATCGCGAGACACGCAGACCCTCACCATGCCATCAGGCCAGCGTGGGATCGTCTGGCCTGCCTCATAAGATTCTTTTCGCTGCAAACCGTACCGATTGATGAAACATCCGCATGTCGCAACCATTGCCACTCGGGCATGAGCGAACAAATTCTTTCAAGATGAATTTGCAGGTTTCGCATCGGCTGTTGGTGGGGCATGGCATATGAAGGCAGCATCCAAAAAGCGATGTTGAGTCTCAATACCATACTCTGCAGCCCACCAAGGCTCATCAGACGAAATGAGTGTGTGATGAAGAGTCGTTTCAGGCATGGATGGCTGCATCTCGGCGCGACAACGACAAGCAAGTTATGATGTTTGTCTGACGACGTGGGTCGGTTGCCAGCACCAAGAATCGACCAGCTCATGCGACCCATCTTAGCTCACCCGACAGCGTCACTTGGCTCAGGAAAGAGCGCTTCCTCATATCATTGTTCTGAGGCGCAAGGATGTATTCCACAGCTTTCATTGACGAGAAAAGATGATTACATCCACGACTGGCATGCAGCTCGTTTCGAGCGACCTAGTTGGCAAGCTAGAACGTGAGCGGCTCGAACTGGTAGCCTCCAGCCTGGTAGAATTTGCTTCCAAACTCGACCCAGGCAAGACGAATAGCGTGCAACAGCGAACTGAGGCCTTCCATGCAGCACAAGATGGCGATGGAAAGGCAGAACCAAAGACCGAAAGCGAGCACCGTAGCAATGGCGCCGGTGACACCGGTCATGCCGAAAACATTCTGGATCGTCATGGTCCAAAGCACCTCGGAGAGCTGTGCATGGGCAAGCGACAGAGCCCAGAGACGCAGGTAGGACGCCGTGTTGGAGATGCATCCTAGGCAGAACTCGATCGTGTGAATGACTTGGTGTATGACGACCTCGCCAATGTTGAATTCGTGCTCCTCCTCCATCTCACCGTCGCCGTGGCCACCGCTTCCGTTGCCATTCCTCTGGCTCTGAGCGAGACGGTCGTTCTCGTCAGCATCTTCGTCATCATCGTCGCCGTCGAGACCAAGACCTCGCGACCCATCGCCGTGGCCGACGGCGCGATAGCCTTGGCCCTTGGTCTTCTGGTGCTCCTTCCACTCTATGTAGGGCGTAACGACGAGCATCCAGGGGACACAGATGAAGGCGATGAGCAGCAACACCGTCTGCACAAAGGCTTGGCCCGAGTAGAGTTCGGTCTTTGGATCGACGGAACCAGGCTTCAAGAACATGTAGATGAGCATGTTGAGCAACCCAGGCGGGTTGTTGCGGAAGACGGTGCCGTTGGCGTCGGTCTCGTACCAATCAATGGACCACTTGTAGACGATGGCAAAAACGAGGTACCCGAAGAGCGACTGCATGAAGAGCATCTGCGGCACGATCTCGGACCAAATCTTCCACTTCTGACCAAAGCGGATGAAGTTGGGCACGTTGAGAAGGATGGCGAGCGTCATGTGGAAGACACCGAGGATGACCGACATCTTCATCTTGAGCGAGTTGGTAAACACGAGTGCGTTGTCGGCGCCGTGCCACGTCGGGTCGATACCGATGGCGTAGACATTGCCGTTCGGAACGGCCTCGATGGTGCCGTTCTTGTGGGGCCAGTCCCAGCCGGTGTGGAAGAGGTGCATACTCTTGCTACCGATGTCGTTGTAGAGGAAACCGGTGAACATGGAAAAGACACCCATGAGCAGCATCATGTAACGACCGTAGAAGAACATGGTGAAGATCTCGTTGTCGAGCTTGGCGAGCTGGCGTTCAAAGACGCACATGGTAAGCGCTGCAAGCGTCATGAGGAAGGCGTGGAAAACATCGCCGAACATGACAGCGAAGAGGAAGGGAAGCAGGATCAGATTGAAGAGACCTGGATTTACCTCCTTGTACTTGGCGATACCATAGCTGTCGCCGACCGACTGGATTGCCTCCGTGTACTTGTTTGAACGCTGGAAGGTGGGAGGCATCTTGTTGGTTCGAAGCTCTTGGAGAACGGCGGGGGCGCTGGTGCCGGCGTTCTCGTTGGCACGGCGAAGAGCGAGCTGGATCTGACCAAGATCGCTGGAGGGACACCAACCTTCGGCAACGAGCGTCTTGCGACGGTTGTCGAAGAGGAACATGTTGAGCGTGGAGTAGATAAGCTTCTCCTTGCGCACGACGTCCTCCCAGCCACTCAGAACCTCAGCAATCTTGACGAGCTCGGTGCGGCGAGTGGCGCTAGTGGAGTAGAGGACATTGTTGAGATCCTCAATGCGGCTGAGCACCTCGCGAAGGCTCTCCTCGCGACGATCCGCGTTGCTATCGATGGGGTAGAGAGTGCCGCCCATGCTCTCGCTGATCTTTCGGATCTTTGCAAGAAGTTCGGCACCGTGAGCAAAGATGATGAAGACGTTCTTGCGAACAGGCTCCTCTTTGGTTGGGTCATCGAAGGCTTCGTCGATCTCGGCGTAGTTCATGTAGAGGTTACCGCGCAGCACACGCCAGAGGATGCGTTCGAAGATAGCCATCTTGCTGCGGTCGATGGTTCCTGCGACAAACTCAAGGTCGAAGGTGCCGTAGCCACTTTCTTCTCCGCGGGAGGTGTTGAACGCATGCGACTCGACGTCGTCTAGGAGGGGGGCGTTGTCATCATCGAGGGAGGCGCGGTTGGCATCCTGGCGGCCTTCTGCCTGGTCGAAGAAGACAGCGGTCTCACGAAGGACGTGCTTGGCCTCTTCAAGCTCCTGCAAGCGCTTCTGCAGCGTCTCGTAGGAACCGTTCATCTGACCAAGACGCTCCTCGTGCTCGCGCAGCTTGACGGAAAGCTCGTCCATGAGTTGATGGCCGCGACGACCGTCGGGACCAGAGCCAAGGCTGATGAAGGGGAGGGCGCTCTCGAGAGGTCGAACGGGCACGCTCTCCTTCTCCATCTGAGCATAGAGAAAACGAATACGTCTCTCCATCTCGTCAAGCCGCCTGATGTCGGTGACGAATGAGCGCTGGAATGGGGAGACATCGGGGTTGAGGTCCTTGAACATGACATTCCCAAGCTCTCCTAGTTCCTGCACGGTGGCGTGGGCAGTCTCGGAAGGAATGTAGAGCTGGATCAGCGACATGGTCGCCGACCTGAACAGGCTCTCTTCCTCTGGCATGTTGGCTGATGCTACGGCAACGGCCCTCGCTTACTCTGATAGAGTAAACAGTAATGAGGTGTTGGCCTGAGTGCTGAAAAGAGAATGCCTGAAAGGTATCCGGATGAACACCGATCAGAGTTGTCGGAGGATCAGAGATGGAGGATTGTCACTGAAACGGCGAATGTGACGATTCTGAGAATTGTACGAGGACCGTCCGTGCCTCGGTCTCGAAATTCGGACTGTGATTGAGTGGCTGGCTGGCTGGCTGGCTGGCTGCGTGCGTCACAGCGTGGTGAGGGAGCCGATGCAGGGGTGACCAAATCGCAGTTGCACACAAGTAAAAAAATTGGCTCAGCTCGCAGCTCCACGGCCACGGATCCGACGACGAAAAAAGCACGAACCCACTTGGCGACCTGTGGCCTAACAACTTAGAAAAGTTCTCCACCTCGACATGCACAGCAAAGCAGCCCGAGTGTTGCACAGGACCCTGTTTCCTTGCTTCACTTCCACGCATCACCTTCAACGCCCATCACACGTCTCACCGCAGAGGCAGCCACCAGGCTGACAGTCGTTCCCCACCATGGCGTCAAGCTGCGAGGCTGAGAGCTCCACTGCTGCGCTAAGACGTTCGCGCAAGTCTCGACCTTCCAAAGCTCGCAAGTTCAGAGGCGCGTGTGCATCAGCACTGCTGCTCTCTGCTACCACATTCAGCGGCGTCGACGCTCTCTTTGGCATTGGCGAGAAGCGCTTCAAGTTCGAAGGTCTCATCAATGCAGGTGGCCTGGGTCTCGATGGCATCCAAGGGCAAGTAGCCGCCTGGGGAGACTGGAACGGAGACCAATTCTTGGATGCCATCCTTGTCGATTCTGACCGCCAGACCGCGAACGTTCATCTATGGGATCGTGCCAGCTTTGCTTTTGGACACGAACCCGCAGCAAGCGTTCGGATCGACGACGGCTCTAAGATCACCAACGTGATCGCAGCTGACATCAATTACGACGGCAGGCTCGACCTGCTCATCATGTCTCAGGACACCTCTGCTTCGACCAAACAGCTTTCGATGCAGGTATATCTGGGCAAACCAGATGGGAGCGCTTTCGAATCAATACCGCTCTCTGTACCATCGTCAACGATGGCCCAACCCATTTCGCTGGATGCTTCCGGCGACATGCAGATGGACTTGCTCGGACTCCCCTTCGGCGCTACTACAGCTGCAGGCAAGGACGCATCCGATCTCAAGATTTGGCGCAATCTCCTCGTAAACTCGACCAACAACACTGCCGCCTTCGACATTGACGATGCTCCGCTGCTGGACGCTACGAAAGCACCGTCATGCAAGCTTGCAAATCCACACAGCTCTGCCTTTGTGGATCTCAACGGCGATTGCCTGGCAGATCTGTTCCTCGTCTGCTCCGAAGAATCTTTCCTTAGCTCCAAGCTCACCTATCAGATTTGGACGGCCGTCAAACCAAATTCCAAGGGAGAAGGATCAGGCTTCAAACTCGCGTCGAGTGGCAATCTTCCGCCTGGCACCGGTGCCTTGAGCTTTGGCGACATCGATCGCGACGGAACCATCGATGTCATCTTTCCGACCTGTGATCCAAGCGGAGATCAGTGCTTCGTCAATGTCGCCTTCAACCGTCAAGTGCCATTATGCTCACCACGCATCGACGGATTCTTCGGTGGTGGACCAGGCTATGGCTCGCTCACGGCAGGGAAAAAGAGTAGCAATGCTTCCAGCTCTCGCACAAGCACGTCGGATAGCGCCACAGACAAGAAAGAGCCTGGCCTGCAATGCAGGGAAGCTGAGGATCTCTGTGTAGCAGACGACACCTTCCGTATAAATTTCGACGTCAGCAAGGACAATGTTGATCTGCTGCGTGTTGCCGTGGACAAGCTCACGGGCGACAGTCGCATCCTGCTGAACGACGTGCTTGCGCCGTCTTATCTCAGCTTGCCAAATTCGCTCCATTTGGGCGACTACAACAAGGACGGGTATCCCGACCTCGTTCTGGTCACCATTCCGGACCAGCTCGCATCGGGAGGACGCAACAACGTGCGCGGAGGAGGCGAGACCCGCGTGCACATCCTCCGAAACCTCGATTGCAGCAAGGTACCCGCGAGCGAGAAAGTCGACCTCGGATGTATGCCGGATCGCCCCGAGGCGAGAACCTTCATCAAGGTGACCGCAGGCGCGGGGTCGATCGAGGTGCTTCGAGACGTACGCAGTGCAAGCTGGCTCGATATCGACGAGGATGGCTCGCTCGACTTGCTGTTGCAGCGGACACCTTCGACGTCGAATGGGATGGATTCGAGTCGCCGCATCACTTTTGCGCAGAACAACTACTTTCACGACTCTTTCTTCCTCAAAGCGCTCACGCTGAACGGAGCATGTCAAAGTCTTTGCGAGCCGAAGGATGCGCCCAAATTCCAGCCATGGGGGACAAACTACGGAGGAGCGTCTTACAAGTTCACCGTGCTCGATCCGAACGGCGTACGACGTGCACAGCAAGTGGGACAACTCCCTCAGACTGGGTATCGTTCCCTCCTTACTCCCTACAGCTACTTCGGCCTGGGCAGGACCAACAACTATGTCGAGTCGCTATTCATCGGTTCAACACGCAGGCAGAAGGAGCACTTCCTGGCGTTGGAAGGAGTCATCCCGAACAGTCAGGTGGTGATCAATCCTTGGCAAGGTGGAAAGGGCAGCGAAAGCGAAAGCGGTGGACCGTGGATGTGGACCAAGCAGCTATACTTGCATCCTGGCGATTGGATACCTTGGGTGACGGTGGTGTTGATCACCACCATTGTTGGGTTGGCGGCGGTGGTGATTGTGCTGCACGTCAACGAGAGGAGGGAGGACGAGAGGGAGCGGAAGCGCGCTGTGCATGCGATCAATTTCGATGCGCTTTGAGGTGGTGTTGCCCCTGGATAACATTTGGAATGAAGCTCATACCCGCGGATCTAGTGATGCTGTGATGTGAGTGTTTGTGATGACGAGCTTGATATAGTGTTGTGCGAATTCGGCGTGGAAAGTCGTACAGGCGGTGTCGCGTAAATGAGCGTTTACGCAGAAGCTCTCGCGTGGGTTCGCGTGTCGAGACCAACACTTTTCCACCATCAGCGGATTTCTGTCCATGTTGCTGTCCTCTACTGTATTCTCTGAACAGCTTGCTTTTCAGACCTTCTCTCGGCATACTCGATCATGGCAGCGGCAACCAACACGGCGGCGGTCTGCGCTAGCACGTCCCTCCCGGCCACACGCTCGATGCGAACAGGTGTATTGATCCACCCGACCACCGCCACCTCCGGGCGGCTGCTCATCCTTCCCCATCCTCAAACACTCATCCCCACATACTACCTCGCCTGCCCCTCCTCGAGCGAGCTGTACGAACTTTCGACGCTGCAAGATTCAAAACACGATCGAACATGGATGATCTCTCAACTGAACCAAGTCATCTCTTCTGGTCAACTGGACATTCTCTCTCGAATCGATGCGAGGTTCATCGTCGTATCGTTGTTGCATAGCGTATTGGACGATGGGAAGTATCGATCTAGAGATGATTTGTTTGAACAGGCGGCGCAGAAGCTGTATTCGAGGAGGAAGGAGGAGCTGTACAGCGCAATTCCCGAGCTCAAGAAGGGAGGGGATGAGGATGATGCTGAGCAGCAGGAGTGGTCGGATGTGGTAACGTTTGGTAATCTTGATCTGGTCAAGACGGCGCTGGAAGACGTTGCGGATGTTCAAGGTAAGTCTCCCGCCCGACCCCTCTAACCCTCTCAGAGCCTATCATACTAATCCGCCTGATTAAACAGACCTACCGAACGCGGAACAAGCCTACCGACTCTCCCTCAGCAAAACCTTCCACCTCCTCGATCGCAAACACACCCTCCTCTCCCAACACTCCACCTTCGCGCAAACACCCAACACCCTAGGTCGAACATTCGAACGCTCATGGCCTCACGAATCAGATCCCTCTCCGTACCTCTCCACCGAAAACGACGAGGAACACGATTGCAAAGACGCAGCAAAACTACGCAGTCAAATCGCCGCTGAAATCATCGCCACTTACCTCCCAGCCAAATTGGCGGCTGAATACTTTGCTCATCTGGGACTCAATGACAAGTAAGACCAATGCAGATGGCCTTCAAAAGTCTTTCGAGTGTATTGTTGGCTGTGCATTGTGCAACGGCCACGACTCGGGTCCGGAAAGCAAACACTAACACGACGCTTTTGAGATGGTGATGAGAGAAAGATGTATGTTTGCATAACAGAAAAGACTATGAACAAAGGAGCTCGGAAAGCTACCGAACGAAGTTCCACAAACCGACGTCAGCAGAACGCCAAGCCGATCTGGACAATCACAAGCCTCCAGCGTTAAGGCTCAAGGCCTTGCCGCACCTTAACGCTGGAGGTGGTCAGCATAGATGTTGGCGGCGATCTCAGCCTCTGCGCGATCACCGTTGGCCAACAGCTTCTCCTTGTTGTACAGCAGCTCCTCGCGCGTCTCGGTCGAGTACTCGGTGTTCTGCGTCTCGACGATAGCGTCGACAGGGCAAGCCTCCTGGCAGAAACCGCAGTAGATGCACTTGGTCATGTCGATGTCGTACCTGGTAGTCCTTCGTGCGCCATCCTCGCGTGGTTCGGATTCGATGGTGATGGCCTGAGCGGGGCAGATGGCCTCGCAAAGCTTGCAGGCGATGCAACGCTCTTCGCCCGTAGGGTATCGACGAAGTGCGTGTTCGCCACGGAAACGCGGGCTAAGCGGGCCCTTCTCGAAGGGGTACATGATGGTGTAAGGTGGGCGGAAGAAGTTTTCGAGCACGATCCACATGCCGCGGAGGATCTCGGTGAAGAAGAAGAGCTGACCGGCCTTGTCTAGCGCCGAAGGACCCTTGGAGTAGTCTGGGTAGACGGGTGCATCGCGAACCTGGTGCTGGGCCTTCGAAGCGTCGTAGGTGGCAGTCTTGACGATCTCTGGTGATGGTGGGTTTTGCGAGGCGACGTGTGTAGGGCCGGTCTGAGGGGTGGCGAGCGAACGTGCGATCGAAGATGAGAAAAGACGTGCGCTGTACAGGGTGGTGGAAGGAGCAGCGACGGCGAAGCGCAGCGGCGTCGCTGTGGAGGTAGAAGCGTACGATCGGCTAGCGATCGCTGCCGAACGAAGCAAGGATCGGTTCAACGACGAAGCCATGGTGACGAGCTCGAGGGTTTAACGCTGGGAGGAGATCCTTTGCTCGAACGCAACGGATGCGAAAGGTGTTATCCGTTAGATAGATGAAAGAGCGAAGCTAGCGGATGCGCGATTGCAATGAAATGTGGAGACGATGGAGTAGAGGTGGCGACCGAGGTGAGGGTGAAGAGAGAAGGGTTCAAGGTGAGCAGCGACGATCAAAGGTCCACTCTGAGACGATTAACTCGCATCATTTCTCGACTTGGATGATCGCGCGGAACTTGGACTGACCGGTGGCTGAAGCTGAGCGACAGGCAGCAAGACAGCAGCTGGCTCAATTTCTTCCTGGTGATTGATTTCAAATCAACTCGTTTGGCGCGCTTGCACACCGCACACTCGCAAGATCTCCACCCTGGTGACTGAACCGAATACAAACCGGGTGGAGACTGAATAACAAAATTGCAAATGACATCGCTCGTCGACAGAAATGGGAGAAAATCAGGCTGCAGACGGTGACGAGCAGAGGCGGACCAATGACAGCCGTTTGAATTGGTCATACTCGACTCGAAATGCGGTTTTTTGGCTTCAGGTTGGCTATGTTTGATCTTTTGACGCACGGCTCCGCTGCCTGGAAGAAAATACAGCATCGCGCTCTTGGCTTGCTTGGAAATCACAGGAATGGTCGTAGCTTTGGTAATGGCGGGCCAGAGAAACAGCGGCAGAGCGAGTGTTGGAACTTGTGGGATCGTCCGTCTCACGAGCTTGATATCGAGTTGGCGATCAACTTTCTCCACCTCTGCTCCATCATCACCATCATCTTCCTCCCTAAGGCGACTCTCAATATGGCTGCTCTCCGTACATCCTCACGATCGCTCATGCGATCCGCAGCTGGCGTTGTCGGTGCTGCGACTCGATCCAATATCGTTGCTGTCGCAAGCAGCTCTTCCCGCACCGCTGCCAACCGAACCATCTCCACTTCGGCAGCTCGATCCTCCGACTCTCTCTTCGTCCACCGCGATACCGACTACAACAACCCAGACATTCCATTCCAGTTCAACGAGGAGAATGCAAAGATGGCACAGGAGATCATCTCGCACTACCCCGAGCAGTACAAGAAGGCAGCCGTGATCCCCCTGCTCGACCTTGGTCAACGACAGAACTCGGGTTGGGTCTCCATCTCAGTCATGAACTATGTCGCCAAATTGCTCGAGATGCCACCCATGCGCGTCTACGAAGTGGCTACCTTCTACACCATGTTCAACCGCGAACCCGTCGGCCAGTACTTTTTGCAACTTTGCACCACCACCCCTTGCATGCTCGGTGGTTGCGGCTCGACCAAGATCCTGGAGGCGCTTGAGTCCAAGCTCGGAATCAAGGCTGGCCAGACCACAAAGGACAAGAAGTTCACCTTGGTCGAGGTCGAATGCCTGGGTGCCTGTGCAAACGCTCCTATGATTCAGATCAACGACGATTACTACGAGGACCTGACACCAGAGAGCATGAACAACATCATCGAGAAGCTTAGCAAGGGTGAAAAGGTCAAGCCTGGCCCGCAGTCGGGTCGTCACTCGTCGGAGAACGCCGCTGGCCGTACCGCACTCACCTCTGAGGTAAGTTTGATCTCCGCATTGTGGTGCTTGGAGATCGCATGGATAGGTCTAGAGGAGGCAAGAATATCGATTACTGACGTTGCCCTTCTCTGTCACTCCCACCATGATGCTTACAGCCATACGGACCAGGCAAGCACTGTGTTCCTGAGTTCGCCTGATCGCTTGCTCAACGATGTGCGCACACACCGCACCGCACGCACCATGCTAGATAATCTCAGAATACCTTCAGACTCTACTCTATGCCTGCGTTCGAAGCGACCAGAAAGAAACGCCGCATGCACAAAGACTAAGGGACGAGCTCGGTCCACACAGCCGACCGACGCAAACACATGCATCGAACAACCTGAGGGAATGACGCTTTTTTTTCGATTTATACAAAGATGAATCTGCTCTCTCGCATCTAAAGCAAGGTCGTTGCTCTGCAGCAGCGTTGCGATCAAGCCGACACCATGAGCGAAGCCAAGCTGGCTTCTGTCTGAACCACGTCCAACGCCTGCTGCACCTCCAACCTCTTTCGCGACGCAGCGAGCCAATCGGAAGCGAGCAGCTTGGGCCACCCTTTGAGCTGGTTCAACTCTCTCGTCGCCGAATCCAGGTCCTTGCGGTCCAAGTAGTATTCCGCCCTCGCAAGGACGGATGGAACGTCCTCGCCTGCTACCAACCCCTTCTTGTGGAACAGGATGGGCGAGAGTGCTGCGCTGGCAAGGTGAGACAGGACGCCCGAAGTTTCCGGCGAAGGTACCAGGGAGACTTGACGGACACGAGGCCCGACTTTGTTGTCGAACCACTGCTTGAGCGTGGTGAACGACTCGACGCCGGTCTCGGCGGCTCCGCTGGCATCGAGGGCTTCGATAGCGGCGGAGAGGACCGGGTCGTCGCGCGCCTTGGTGGTTCCCTTGAGTACGCGCAGCTGTTCGGCGAAAGGTCGCTTGGTGGCCGAGACATCGTCGAGCGCGTGCTGGACAGCTCGAACCGCCGTCCACAGCGTGTGTACCGACACGTTCTCGTCCAACACGTTGCTGTTGTCCAAGCTCACCTTCTCGAGGCTCTTGAGCTCCGTAGCCAGCTCGTCCAGCTTGGCGAGTCGTCCTCCGCGCTCCTCCTCCACCTTGCTCTTGATGTCCTTCATCCAGCGTCTCTGCAGCTCGATACCCTGCGCGATCACCTCCTCCTTGAGCCTCTCGTTGATGATCTGGCTCTGCGTGGCGAGCTCCTTCTCGAGCTTCTCCTTGAACTGCTGCGTCTGCTTGGCGTGCTCCTCTTCGAACGACTTTTGCCAGTCCGACTCGCGGCTCGACAGCTTGTTGGCCGCCTCCTGCGATTGTTGCGAGATCTGAGCTTCGTATCGCTTGGCCTGGGCTGCGAGGCTGTCCTCGACGCGCTTGGCCTCTTGGCGCTTGATGGTCTCGAGACGCTGGCTCAATTGCTGCAGGTCGATCTGGGCGCTCTCGAGGACACCCTTGGCGTTGGCACCGGACGAGGGAGTCTCCTTGAGGAAGGTGGTAAGCTCATCGATGGTGCCGGCAAGCTGTGCGATCATGGGCTCGGATGCAGAGAGGCTCTTGATCGAAGGTGCTAGCAGAGGCAGCTTGGGTGCTTCGGGATCGGGGCGCAGTCGAGCAGTGGGGTGCTCGGGAGCTTGGAGTCCGCGATCGCGGCGAGGAGCGGCGTATCCGATAGGAGCTTCGTGGTTGACGGGAAGCTCGCCGGTGTAAGTCTCCTTGATCTCCTCCTTGGGACCCTTGCCGGGAGCAGCACTCTTGGAGGGAGCAGCCTTGGTGTTGGCGCCAATGTCGGTCATGACCTGGACGCTGTCGACGGCACGCTGAATGACGTTTCGGCCATCCGTTCTCGCCTCGGTGGCCTGACCACGGACCTTGGCCTCTGCACGTTCAGCAGCCGCCTTGGCACGGTTGACGAGCTCCGACGTCTTGTCCTGCACAGTCTGAAGCGCAGACTGAGCCTCGTGCTCGGCCTTCTTCGCACCAGATTTGGCCTTTTGCGCGAGCTTCTCCGCTTCGTCCTTGGCCTTGGCACGAGCCTCTGCAACCCTGAGACGAGCATCACGCTCGTCGCCTGCACTCTCGCTGGCGCCTGCATCGCCGCTGATGACGCGACCCACGGCACCGCTGACGCTGTCGTAGGCGGTCTTGGTGACGTCGATGGCCTTGTCTCCGTAGCCGTGCAAGTTGATGTTCTTGATCTCTTGTCCAACATCGTGTGTGTCGAGGTAGTCGATGATGCGTTCACCTCCTGGGATGCTCTCTACGAAAAAGTGGCTGTATCGGTCATTGTTGAGTGCCGCTACGGTCGAGATACCGTAGAAGAGGGTAGCGCCGACCGTAGAGTAGACAAAGAAGCGACCAAAGCCGGATCTCGAGCTTCCATCGACGCCAGTAGCGTAAGTGCGGGCACCAGCGGCGCCGGAAGAACGAGCTGCTGACGACGGGGCGAGTGCGGCAGCCTTACGCAGGGCGGCAGCGCGATTCATCATTGCGACCATGGTGACGGTCTCTGCTGTCTCTCTCTCTGCGCTGGGAAAGGAGTCGAGCAGGCAAGAGCGGTTGCGCAGCTGGTCGATAAATGATCAAGTTTAGGTTGGCGATTGTTGTAGAGACGAAAAGCGACGGGTCTGATCGCCAGAAGACTTGTGGAGGAGTGACAGCGCCAGACGAGACAGGCTCCGTTCGTGACTTCAGAGGGAGAGAGGCTCTGCTGCCTTGCACATCGGAGGGACATCCAAGAAGAAATCGCGACATTATTGATGGATCGCACTCCGCTGCCTTTCTCAACGCTTTTGGCCGAATCGGGGTCAGGCCTTTCTCTCGTGCTCTGCCTCTCAACTCGCAGGTTTGCTCTGAACGATCACAGATTAAATTTCACTGAAATTTGTCAGGTCGCAATACTGTATCAACAAAAGGACACGAAAGGATCGGAAGGTTCCGCGAGCAGTTCAGAAAGCCGGATCCGAGCCGCTGAGTTCTAGCCGCTTGCTGCCTCCTCAGCACACGCTCCGCAGACGTATAGCAATATAGCACAATCTGCTAGTATGAAGTAGGAGATCCGCAATGGCAGACACGCCTCAATGCGTAGTCGATTGACGCTTCCCTGAGAAGATCAACTTCAAGACGCTTTCCAGCTCTGTCACTCTTCTCGGACAGCCATTCAGTGCTTGTTGGATGACCAGCAAAGACTCGGAGATGGATCTCGAATTGTTCGATTATGCGATGCGAAGAGATGTCACGAATACAGGTTGCGCGGGAGATTATGAAGGATGCATGCAAAGATCAGGACATGGGGGGTTGGGACTCGCTAACGACGTCGTCAGATGAACGGCGCTGGGGAGAGTGACCGTCTTTTTCGGGTATATGTGGGTCGCCTCGCCACGAGTGGTTCAGAGGAATAAGGTGAGGGGTCGAGGGCTGGCTTCTGTCGACGGCGGTGGTCGACTAGATGAAACTTCCTGGCAATCCGCGTATATGAGGACCACCGAGCAGAGAGATACCAAGCAGGAAACGAGCGAGAAATGGGGCCGAGCGACCTTAGGAAAGGCCGGGTAGGTTCCTTTCAACGCCGTAACAAAGTTGTCCGAGTTCTGCCACCGAAGCTCGAGGCGAAACCGAGCTGTCACGTGGCGGCAACTCTTCAATGACACGGTAGGGAACGTGCACCGACATCTTGGCGGCACGGCCACGTCCCGAGATGCTGTTGCGTGGACTGAGGTTCGACAGCTTTGCTTCGGCAATGGCGGCGGCTAGAGCCGCCGGTGTCGCAGCAGCGACTGCAGCCGCGGCTGCCTCCGATACTTCTGGAGTGCTCTTGCTCATGCCGAAAGCGCTGAACAGGCCCGGACCGCGCAGCGACATGTCGGCATCTCGACCACCATGGGACGAGCGGCGGCTCATCCAGTCCGGAAGTTGATTCCAAATGTCATGCACCGGCTCCCTCTTCTCCTTGTATGCGCTGTAGCGCAACACCTCGTGCGTAGCTCGTGCGGTACCGGCCAACGCCCAGTCCCATTCAGATTCCTCGGAAGCCGTGTCACATTTGCTCCAGTGGGACTCAGTGCACGAGCGCGATGATACGATACCCCCGGCAGGTTGGGATGACTCTGGCGAGGTCGAAGTCGAGACCGATGTGGACACGGGAAGAGAGACGTTCGTGGTATGCTTGGAAGCGCGAACCGGCGAGCAGGAGCTTGAGTTTTGCGCTTGCTGTGTCGAGAAACGCGATTTCGTAGACGATGCTGGGGCTGAGATGGCTGCACGTCCCCCCCAATCGAAGCCCGTCGGCTCAGCGATGGCCCGACGAGCGGCTTGAAGCAGGCCGATGTTGCCCGCACCAAGAGTCATGGGAAGACCTGCCAGATCGAGCATCAATGTCGAGGGCAGCGCCGTGGTTCTGAAGTTGCGTTTGCGGCGCCGACGCTCCAGCACACCAGATGCGCGGCTTTCCGAGCACGTGCGCGCCACCAATGGACGCGGCACAGATGGACCGGCCAGAGGCTCTACAAACAGCGATGTCTTGGACGATGACGCTTCGGGAGCACTTGAAGTTCTTTGTACGCTCGGTCTGCGGCTGCTGGCATTCGACATGCACAAAGGCTCGACGTATTCATCCTCCTCCGAAGGGCCGAGTAGATCCAAGGGGGCGGCAGCGCCGCTCGCGGGGCTCTCGACCGTGCTTGCGGAGAAGCGGAAGGACGAGAGCGTGGCCTGCACATCGCGGCAAGCAGGATTGAGCGATCGTCGAGGGGAAAGCTCAAAGCAGTGGAAAGAAACCTGGCTTGGGCCTGCCTCGTTGGGTATTCTCGTGACCATGTTGATATGCGAGCTGATCAGCTTCGGAGAGACGCGACTGGCTGGATTGATCGACTGACGATGGTGCCGCGAGAACGGGTGTGAGTGAGACCACGAGAAGGTTTCTGCCTGCTCGAAAAAATGTCTGGCAGCCACAATGTCACTGGAGCATGATCGAATTTGATTGGGCGATATTGACTGGTCGGGTGCGATGATGTCGGACTAGAGCGGCGATATCTGGAATGGTGCCAGCGAAGGTCGTAAAGGATGGAGCGACGGTGGCGAGAAAGTCAGACGTCAAAGTTGAGGTCAGGACGGAAGACGATCGCGACCTGTTGCGGCAGCCAAGTAGTCGGTAGGAGAAGAAAGAGGGATCAGGAGAGAGGCACAAGATGTGCCTTGAGGGATGAGAACAATGAAGAGCCATCGGACCCTGTGTCATTGTGCTCTCGTGCTGTCAGCTGCAAGCGAGTCGTGTTCCGACTTTCAAGCTGCGTACACAGACTAGCCGAGCAGCAGCTGGTCGACTGGAACGGTCAGGGTCTTCGTGTCGAGCTCAAAGGCTTCGGAGGCAGCGAGGGGCGGTAGCAGAGCCGCAAGGCACGCAACGGCCAAACAGAGATTTGGATTCATGGGCAACAAAGCTGGGCAACAATAGTATTCTCTGCCACGCTCACGAGAGCTTCTTCGGGGCAAAATGAGCCAAATTTCGAAGTTCCGTCATGGGCAAGGCAGTATGCCACGGGACCTACTCGCGATTGTCAGCATGCCTGCAGCGAGACAGATCTGTGGTGCCGCGCAGGGCGCCTCCGCTTCGGTCAGAACTTTGTCGCAGAGGGGGGCGCAGAGTGCAGAGCGGATTAATTCGACCCTCCTACGCTTGGGGAGACGGCACATGTTGTGTGAGGCAGACAACATGCATACTGCTGCACAGCGGTTCAGGGTGGCGTACCGTGGACGGTGCAAGAGTCTGCTGACAGTGCCGCTGTATTGTTGTCGAGTCGGGACAGCAGGAGACGAGGAGGAGTCCATAAAACTCGAGCGGAGTTGCTCCGAGGCGATTTTAACGCGGCGGTCTCCGGTGCTATCTCGGTGACGACACATAGTCACCCAAGGTGCCCTCTGCCAGAGTTCCATCTGGCTCTCTCTCTCACACACTGTTGTGGCCACGCAGCCTCCAGATTAGGCGCTTCAATCAGGTAGCTTGAGTAGGTCAAGACGATGCACGAGGGGAATGCGGTGCTGGTCGCAAAAGCCGTTGCTGTCTCCGGTGGCAGCGGGACAGCCGAAACATTGGTGCAGTCAAATTCAGCGATGAATAGCATACTGTAGTTGCTAAATCACTGCCTGATGACATCGTCACTGGCTCGTCAATTGCAGCTCCTCTGTCTCTCGAAATGGCGATGGGAAAAATCAGATCGTGGATTGGTTCAAACCCTGGTCGTATTTCAAATTCCGACGCTCCCTTGGAACCCTCTAGCGCGGTCGGGGGACTTGCACAGTGTGTACTGGAGTACTCAGACGTGCAGCGCGGTTCTTGCTGTTCACGTACCGTCCCCTGTCGAGCATGTCTCAGACGACCTCCCCGACAAGTACGCAAACCAAGCCAAGCTCTGAAGCTTCTCGGCGCTCCTCAGGCTGTGCGAGGCGCCAGACGCAGGATCTACAGTGATACTGTAGTGACAGCAGCAGCGGTCGAAGTTACGATGCGACTGTTTGTCAACAATGCAGCAGCCAAAAATGATCGCGTGCGCCACTTTGCGTCTAAGCGAGCACCTCGGCTGCAGCAGCGTGGCAGACATGGGACATCACAAGGTTCCGCTGATCCCGTGCTCGAAATGCGTGATGGAAATCGCGATCAAGTGCGAAACCGAAAATTCGAAAAGGCAGGAACAAATGGACAGCCATCGTTGAGCGAGATGCATGGCGCCCTTTTGCTTCTCTCTACACATGCCCGTCTACCTGCGTTTGCCTCGTGCACGTTGCGCGAGAGAAGATATCTTTCAACGGCAAAGCGCGCGCCTCATCTCGAGACTAACGAAAGCGATCGTTCGCGATCATGTTGTCTCGGCCATGTCCGCCTTCCCCAGCGACAGATACAGGTAAAGCGGTTCGGCCACGGTGTTTCTTCTTATCTGGATGGTATTGGCTCGTTCCTGGCGATGTGCTTTCTTTGCGGGGATTAGGTATAGGCAGAGCCGCTCGAGGCGCGCACCGGAGCTTCTCGCTCCGACCCAGCCGGCCCCTGCCTGTGCAAGATGGGGTATTGTCGGGCCGATCTGGTGCCTGCAGGTCGCATCTTGCTTTGCATTGCCACCCGTATCTATGGAAAGTTTGACTGACCGGTCAAGTCGTGGACCACAGTCCGACGCCGGCTCTGCATTCCGACCGTGACTGAAACAGTGCTTTTCAACTGGAAAAGGCAGCGCACCAGCAGACTTCGGTCGCTATTCTACCAATGTTAGCACGGCAGGCTCCTCTCGAATTGCGTGTCGTGCGGCTCGGTCGAGTTGCCCTTCGTCCCGATGCTTACGACTTTGATCCGCTGGCCGCACTAAGGCGAGCTTTCGCGTCTTGGTGCTCTGCATCTGCCAGAACACGAGTTCCTTGCAGCAACGTGTGTGTAACACTGATATGCATCGAGTCAAGCATCGACGCTATGTGTGCCGTTCAAATTTGCGCGGCCACCTTTCTGCGGTAAAGCGTGCCACAAATGTATTGAGGATTCCGTTGATAAACGGCACAAATTGAGGTAACAAAATTCTGGGCGAATATTGCAAGCTTGCGGTCGCTCCCCAGAGGCACGAGGTCATGCGGTCGGGCCTTTCCGACTCACATGCTCAGATCGCAATTCACCTCCAGGTCTTGCTCAAAGAGCTCGAACACGAGGAATCCTAGCAGAGCCGTATCGACCGGAAGAGCAAGCACACATCAGGTCGACTTGGCGGTTGTTAGATCCTCGGCGATCTGCGCGGCGTCTTGAAATTTCGGGAGACAAAGCTCCGCTTCCGGCGTGATCTTCGCCGTGAAGCCAGGGTCTTCGCGCACGAAGCAGACAAACATGTGCAGCGGCAACGAGCGCTCGAACCTTGATCATTCGCAACGATCTACTCGCGAAAGGTTGTCGAAGAACGCAGCAAGATGTTACCAACGAGCACGAAGGCTGGAGCGTTCCATGCAGACGAGAAGGTCGTCTCCAAGAAGACGCAGCGAGGCAACTGGACAGCCATTCTAGCACTCGTTCTGGCAGCGGCTTCTCTGACCTTCCTGTCTCTCGAGAATGCGGCGTCGAATGCCGTCAATGACAGTCTGTGGAGGCTCACTAGCTCGGCGAAGTCGGAAGCATGGACCTCGCCCGCCGCGGTCTGTCCTCAGCAGGACCCGTACGACATCAAGGACGGCTTTGCGGATCTCGACCGTGACCTGCTCGCCTCCAGGCTCAGCAAAGCTGTTCAGATCGATACGACTGTCGGTGACGAGTGGCCCGACCCGGACGAAGCACCAGAACGCTGGGAAGCCTTCCCCAAATTCGCCGAGTGGCTCAGCACCGCTTTCCCGCGGGTCCACGAGAAGCTCAGCCTGGAAAAGATTCACCAGCATGGCCTCCTGTACACGTGGAAGGGCACGGATGACACGCTCAAGCCGCTGCTTATGATGTCCCACCAGGACGTTGTACCCGTCAATCAGGGCACCTTGGACCAGTGGCGCCATCCTCCATTTGACGGCGTCATCGATGACGAGACCGACGTTGTTTGGGGTCGTGGCTCGACTGATTGCAAAGCGTGGCTCGTCAGTCTGTTGTCTTCTGTCGAGAATCTCCTTGAAAAGGACTGGTCACCGAAGCGAACCATTCTGTTCAGCTTCGGCTTCGACGAAGAATCCGGCGGCAAGCAAGGCGCCGGCTATCTCTCCAAGCGAATCGAGGAGATCTGGGGTCAGGATAGCATCGCCATGATCATCGACGAAGGCAACCCTGTTGTAGCCGCAACCGAGGCTGAGGGTCCCGGCATCGACGTTGCCATGCCAGGCATCGCCGAAAAGGGATCCGTGGATATCGCCGTCACGGTCGAAAGTGCCGGCGGACACTCCTCCATGGCTGGCGCACACACCTCGATCGGACTACTTGCTCGCATCGTTGCGCAGCTCGAAGACAAGCGTGATCGCCTGGACGACTCCAGGATCAATGGGCCACAGCTTCAATTCCTGCAGTGCGTCAGGGACGGTCCTCGCATCCCACCTGCGCTCCGATCGGCGCTCAAGGACCTCGAGTGGGCGTCCAAGTCTTCCTTCGAGCACCTTGGAGCCTACACCAGCTTGCAGAGTGTGCTGCCCAACGCAGTGACTTCGCTCGTCCTACCAGCCATCAACACCTGGTCGGAACGTGGTCGTCAGCGACGTATCCGCCGAGCCAGGGAGCGAGTTGTCCATGCGATGCCCGCGTCACTTCAAACGCAATTCATCACAACGACCGCTATAGACATCATTGAAGGCGGTGTCAAGTTCAACGCTCTGCCCGAGAGCGCCACCGCATACGTCGACCATCGAATCGCCATCACGAGCAACTTTGCCGAGCTCAAGCAGCACTACATTGACGTGCTCTCCTCGCTAGCCGAGAAGTACAACATGGAGATGGAGGCCTTTGGCAAGGTCGTCGTCAACGCTAGCTCCCCCGTTGGCGCTTCGAAACTGACCATCAAGGAAGCGCGAGGTGCGCTGGAACCAGCACCATGGACACCGCTCGAAGGCGACAAGGCCAAGCCGTGGAAGCTGTTCTCGCAGCTCGTGAGATCTGTATGGGTCAACGACGACGGGGAGCCTGTCACAGTGGCACCTTCCATCATGCAGGGCAACACAGACACTCGCTATACTCATGCTCTGACCCACAACATCATCCGATTCGGACCCTCCACGTTGAAGCCAGACAAGACCGGATTGGGCGCTCTGACGGGTGTGCACACGGTTAACGAGCATTATCCCATCCAGGGCCTCGTCGACAGTACCAACTTTTACACAGCTCTCTTCCAGGCTGTCAGTGTCGAAGATATCTGATATTTCGAGAGGGCGCCCCCGTCTTTTGTAGTCTCGAGGATCAGCAATTTATTTCGTCGCCGATACAAGAAGGGCTCCGGCAAGTCAAAAGAGAGAGTCATGCTTGTGAGGAGCGTATCGAGCTCGTGCGAGTCTATGTGCGTAACTTACCGCGTCCAAGTGACTCTGCAATAGACCAGATTGCCAGTCTACTTCGAAGACGCTTGTGCTAGTCATCACCATACCGACATCAATTTTGGCAAGTCTCGAGCCATCTCAACTTCAGTTCAGCATGCTGTGCGAGCTTAAAGATCACGCCACGCCACGCCCGCGCAAGTCGGTCATGCTCACAATCTATCTTATCACTATCCAATCCTTCCTCCGTGTCTATTTTACAGTGCGCGTCCTTCACCGCTGTGAGTAGTGAACACTCTATGTTCAGCTGCTGAAGGAAGCCTTGATGTTGTCAAACATCTGGCGGTATGTATCGTCGCGAGACTCGACCGATTCCGGTACGAGCGGGGCCTTGTCCCACCCATGCTCCTCTCTGTGGACGCTCACAAATGTCACCTTCTTGTTCTTCTCGGCTTCCGCCACCTCAGCAAAGTAGTTCTTGGCGGTAAGATGGAGAATGTCGAGGTCGCCACAAGCGACAAAGAGGTGGTTGGGGAAGCGGCTCGTGTCAAGGCCGCGGATGCGGAACTTTGGCAAAGAGCGGGTCGAGAGGTCGGGCATGTAGCTGTTGTTGAACAAAGCTACCACTCTGGGCGTGAGATGTACGCCGCTGCGGGGCTCGTAAGGTGTAGGGCGCTCGGGTGGAGCAGGCGCAACATCGACAGGTGGGTAGAGGCACGAGATGGCGCGGATCTTGCCGGGTCCGTGGACGTTGCCGGCGTTGAGAGCGAGACCGGCACCGGCGCTGAAGCCTGAAAGAGCCACCTTGTCAACATCGAAGCGTTGCGACTGGGTCAGCACCCACGCTACCACGTCTTCGGCATCGTCGTGTCCCGAGGGGAAGGGGTACTCGGGGCCTTTGCGATAATCGCAATCGAGGACGTTGCAGCCCAGCGCTTTGACAGCCTGGATGATGAATTCGCGATCTTCACCCCAGCTTGGGATCACGTAGCCGCTTCCGTGCCAGTTCACAACGACGGGCAGCTTGTCTGAAGCAGAAGCACCAGCTGGCCGGTAAAGATCCACACCGATCGAACGGCCCTTGTCTCGAGAAGGTACTTGGAACGTCTCGCGGACGATTCCGTCGGGCAAAGCACGGTTTCGTAGGTGATGCTGTGTTCCTCGTTTCACGAACACAATGGTACGTAGCACCGTAGCCGAGAACTTGAGGAACCAGTACCACGGCGAAAATATGCTGTGTGCCATCTTGTCGACGATCAATATGATCCAGAGTGTGTGATGGTCAGGAAGATGGCAGCACCGACTTTGATTACGGCAGGTCAAGATGCAGCACGAGCGTCAATTCCGGACAGCCGTCCTCGATCTTGTGCGGACCCTGACTTAGCACGTACTACCCTGTTCAAGCCTTGTCTCGAGACGCGAGCGAAACAGTCTTAGCAGCGAGCTAATCATGCAAGGGAACGAGACACAGTTTCAGATCTTTCGTCACCCGGCAGCTGGGCCCGGTCAGTAGCCGGACAGAGCTGAATGTTAGAAGTCGCGAGGAAACAAGCGAAACAAGACGGGATCGCCGATCTTGAAGGCATGTTTTGCGATTACCACGGATCGAGGTGATGAAGGGGAGAGGGATGGTTTCAGCAGGCCTTTCCGCGGCTCTGGTGTAGACGATTTGCGATCCCGGCGGAATGCTCTTATCGCATGAGGTTGTCGCCTACTGAATTTTCCGGTGAGAATGTTCGTTCAACAGCGAGGTGTAGACCAATGCTGCATCGATCTGCAGATGATTCATGCGCTTTTTTGTTCCATGACTTTCACTATTGTCGTCCCCGACGGCTGCGTCCAGACTCACGGTGTTTCGCATTCCCACGCAGACCGTTGTGTGTGCGAGGCGAGGTGAGCACCGGCAAAGCTCGATAGGATGCTGTAGAATGACATGTCGAGTGTCGCCTGGACTCCGACGATCTGCGACTGTCTTACCGCGACTTGGTCGCAAATTTCCGCTCTGTCAAACAAGCGAACTGCACCAGCTACTCGACCCACTGAATTCCGCAACCAGCCCCTTTTGCCGACGGTGGCTATGCGGAATGACATGCTCGCTTGTCGTTGCTTGTCCAAACGAACAGATCGTGCGACGGCAGGTACGGGCGTATACAGTACACGGGCGGCGAGAGGTCGCACTGCAACTGGCAAAGCGACGGGCACGGGTTTCACAACGCCACACCCTCAATTGTGGTGCATTCGGACATTTGGATCGCATCGGCTAATTTTGATCAGAGTCGTAGAAGTTTCGTCGACATGTGCTTTGAGCGCTAGGCTTATCACGAGCCTGCGCGTGCTTGGACCTGCAGTGCGAGTCCATGTTGTGCCAGAGGATCGAAGCGACGATCGACACTATCGGCACTGCAATACTGACTGTTTTCGAAAGACTGATCCGAGAACAAGGCTCTGGTGTTGTGACGTTCCGGGTTGACGGATGGATGTTGATCAGGGTCCCTCCAAGCGAGGCTTCCCGAAACCGACCAATTGTTCCAACCTTGTTGTTGTCGTTTCTCCCGCAGATTGTTTGCGGCGCAGTTCAGGCCCGGTTACCCTTGAAACGTCGGAGCTGCGAAGCTTTTGCTTTTGCTTCCATGCATGTTTCGACCCGCAAGTTTGTCAAAGCCAGTAAGATATCCTCGACGTTTGCTTTGGTCGCTGTCCGGAAGCATGATGCCGGGATCCACGTCGCAAATTCGTGACTGGCATACCGCAGCCTTGATCCTTGCCTCAATGAGCTTCTCTGCGGATACTGCCGAGCTGACTGTCCGTGTACCCGATTCGCCGGCTGGCGGCCTTTCTTGCCTCACTCTGCTCTCTTGGACGCAACGGAACGACAGTCTCCTCGTCTACTACAAGCGCGCCGGATTGTTTGCTTTTTCCGATGCTGCAGTTCCGGTGCGGACTTGAGACGACTTTGGTCACGCATGTCATACCTGCGTTTGGATCGACTGATGTTCTGATGTGTCTCGAACCGCTGCTGGATACACTCTCCATTCACTGCGTGATGGCGGCGCGGGGTCCGTGTCCCAGCTCACTAGCTCAAGACGGCTCTCGAGCCTAATCTACCTGCGTGTGTCAGCTCCCGTACTTATAAGGAGGTCTTGCCGTTCCTTCCAGTCGAGGTCGCCCTGCCGTCATTCCCCCTTCCTCTTCCTGTCGGTAGCCCTCGAACCTTCTCTCCCATTGCCATCCGGTTGCTTCCATATTAAAATGCTTCGTCTGCTTCTCCTCGCCACCTTGGCTGGCAGTGCGCTCGCAGGCGACTTTACAGTCAAGATCCGACCCAGACAGGAAAGCTCAGTGGGAGCTTACCCTCCGCCGCTCGCCATTCCCACCGCCGATCAGACACCACAAGTGTGGCTTGACGCTCTCAATGCCGCCATCGCTGCTGGAAAAATTCCGAATATCCCTGTCGCCCAGAATCAAGATGGAAACCCTGTGTATCCAAACAACGAGGGCCAGGACCCAAACACCTGCTCGTGGACCGTCACCAAATGTGTTTCCAAGACCGACATTGTCAACGCTCCTCCCAACAACATGGCAATCGGCTTTGACGACGGTCCTACAGAGAACAGTGGCGACCTGTACGACTTCCTTAACCAGCACAATCAGACGGCAACCCACTTCATGATTGGTTCCAACGTCCTTCTCAACTCCGGCCAGTTTGCTCAGGCGGTGAAAGAGGGCAATCAGCACTTTGCCGTTCACACCTGGTCGCATCATCTATGCACCACCTTGACGAATCAACAGCTCGTTGCTGAACTGGGCTGGACCATGCAGATCATCGCCGACAAGAGCGGCGGCTACATTCCAAGCTTCTGGCGTCCGCCCCAGGGCGACATTGACAACCGCGTACGTGCCATCGCAGAAGAGATCTTCGGCCTTACCAACGTGCTCTGGAATCATGACACGAACGATTGGTGTCTCAATGACCAAGGCGGATCCGACTGCCCCGGTGAGGACCCCGGAGAGGACTACGCTTCCGTCGCCAGGGCAGCTTCACAAGGAATCTATGGACCAAGGGATCAGGGTCTTATTATGCTCGAGCACGAGCTGACCCACGCCTCGATTTCGGTGTTCAAGACCTACTACCCTAGCCTTGCCGGTCTGGGCTGGATAACCCACAACATTCCTGACCTCTTCGATATGCCATGGTACAAGAACGCCTGGGATGACTCCCTACCGCCTCAGAATGGAACTGTCTTGCAGACGTTCCAGCTTGGCGCAAACCCCAACGACGACAGCAGTACGACTACGTCGAGCTCGGCGGTAGCATCGAGCACTCCAGCTTCCTCCGGCACCGCCAGTGCTGCAACAACCACCTCGACTCAGAGCGAGGCAGGAAAGACTTCATCTTCTCAGCATGCGCCTACCACCGCTGTCAAGCAAGGTGTCACAACGAGCGGCGCGTCGAGCTTCGCTCCCGCCTCTCTAGGGGTCGCCGGATTTGCTGCTGTGGCTGTCTTCGTGGCCACTCTGCTCTAAGCGTAGCATCGAGTGCCTGATGGCAACCTCATCCTTCGACTTCTTCAGCCGCCCTTTCGCAATTTTTCCCTACTCTCTTGACGGACACTCTTCTTAGTGATAGATCTACCGGACCATTCGCATATACCCTAATTTGCATCACATTCTTTTCGAGAACGACAGACATCTTTGTGCGAATCCACCTTGCCTGCTTGATGAATCGCCATAGATGAGTCGACACCTGTCAACTTTGACGTGGCTGGCCAAAATAAGCTTGAAGAAATGTGAGACCACTCTTTTCCACAAATTTGAACGAGCAGAACGACGTCAACAGACCACGCGTCACCGCGAGTTGAGAAGACCCGATCTTCACGTGATCGGCTGGCTGCTCTTTTCAAATTTGGAGAAATGTGCGCATTGACTGTGAATGCAACATCACGATGGATCTTCTTGCGCTCCATCATCCGCACCCATCATCGTGGCTCGCCCTTGCCTTCGTCCAGCCATTCCGAGCGGAGAAGACACGATTCACAGGGCTGCTACAACCAAAGTTAGCGTAGTGCGACTTCCTGTGATCCCGGGCTGATACGGTCTGACCAGCACAGCCATCACACCCGCCAAGGCCGCTCGTCCAACCTCGTCCCTCTCCAGTTCAGCTCACCTCATCAAGCGACGTTCTCAGCAATCACGGTCGCGATCGAGGGCCTGCGACTAAAGATGCCTCTACCTTACACACCATATAAGCTGGCCTCGGCATCGCTGACAGTGCCGGCATCCCTTGCAGGTATTCAAAATCGAGACGAGGATGCCATCGCCGTCCCGACTCCACAACATCCCGGTGTCGAAGACGAGCCCGAGACGATTTCCTCAGCGTACCATCACGCCGTAGATGCTCGCCTGTTTTTCCCATCATGTTCGAGCGATGCGTACGACGGAGGCTACGTGTTGGCGCGTGTCGTCGCGGGCGGTCGCGAACTGCAGCTACTCTGGTCGAGCCTGGAGGATCATCCTCCAGCGGCAGGGCCATCGTCCAAAGCCCTTACATCTAGGCAGCACGCATTTACAGCCGCTCTGGATCCCAAGCTACCATCCGAGCCAGCAAGAGTCTTCCTCTTTCCCGCTCCGCTACTACCGGGCCTGGGCGTGTTTGCCGACCCATCTTCCAACCGCCTTTACGTGATCGCAGTCACAACAACCGGCTTCCTCTACCGACTCATGTTCAGCGCTCCTCACCTCTTCCACGACTCGAGATTGGCACCGAACTGGTCATCGGAGTACCGCATCCAGCACATCGCATCGTCCGATTCCGTATTGACCGCATCACTCCGCGGCGCAGCAAATGCCGCCCAGCTCTATGTCATCGATTCCGGGCTTGCCCTCGTGACCTGTGATGACGGCACTATAGTCAAGCTCAATCGCTCCGTCTCTGGAGCCAGAGACGTGAACGATGGCGCTTGGAAGGAGACTGTACTGCGACCGACTTCCTTTCTTTCTGGCGTCTCTCGGTTCTTCGGCAGGTCCAACCCCGTCTCCGACTCCGAGTCTTCTCCCAGCTACGCACTCTCTCTCGATGTCTATCCTGGCGAGGTCGGCAACGCTATGGCGTTTACAGCCAGTCGCGACCGCAAGCTTCGGGTCTGGAATCTGTTGACCGATTCGTGCATCCGCACCCTTGACCTTCCACTGCACATGGATTCGGTAGCGTCCAACGACAAGCAGCTCGTGGTCGCAGAAGACGCAAGTAGCTCAACGATGGATGCGTCCGATACTCAGGCCCTCTTCAGCACTATCTCTCGCCCCTTTGTAAAGGTCTTCGCCCCCGGTTCCGACGATAGGGACGGCCATGCTCTCTATGTCCTCGTCTACATCCCTGCTTCGCCACCTTCCGGCAACTTCTTCGCCCTCTATGGCGTCGAGCTTGAGGATGCAAAGGGTGCTGCTGGTGGACTGGGCGAAGTGACGCTTCTGTGGCAGAAGCGCTGCGACGCAGAGACGCGCGGCCGCAACGTTGAGCTGCGCGACGTCGTCTTCACACCGCAAGGCCAGCGTGGAGAAGGCTGGATCATGTGGGCATTGTGGGATGCTGGAGCCGGTCCGGTACTCAAATACGCAAAAGTTGGCGTCGAGGCTGCAAATCCTGACGAAAGCACGATGAGCGTTCGCACTGTAGCCGAAGACCTGTCGAAGGACGACTGGCGGACTGTCTCGTCGGAGCGAGCGTATCGCCCCTTGCATGGCGAGGAATTCGAGGCGACGCTCGAAGCAACAAAGGAGGTCATCGACGCAGCAGACATTTTCCTCGACCGCGTCCTCGAGCCCGGCCGCTTCTCGGAGGCCACGTTGCGACTTGCCCTTTCAACGTACAAGGAGGTCGCATCGTCGTCTGATCATCCACCTTCAGAACTGTTCGCGAATCTACGAGACGAGGTCGCATCCGTGGTCGCGAGCGGCTGTCAGCTCGAGAACGATCCGAGGACCGGCGGGCCCATGTACGAGAAGCTCTATGCTTCGCGCGTACGCGAATGGATGCGCTTCGTTGGTCTTGCGGAGCAGATCGAAACGGCCGCGCGCTGGCCGATCGGCTTCTCGCTCCCAACAGCCAGCTTGGATGGACCGCGAACGTCCAGCGAGTCCATCGTGCCTCTGGTGATCAGCAGAGACACTGTGGCGTTGCCGGTCAACGAGGACGAGGCGAGCATCATCGAGCGTTTGCAACGCAATCTCTTTACCAACCCGAATACCTCGCGCTCAGGCACTGCTCTCGCCACCGACTCGGCCAACGAGGAGCGTGCGCTTCTAATTCACGCGGCAGACTCGCATCCGACCAACATCCTTCCCACTCTCGGTCGCACTTCAGCCACGGTAGCTGAAGTGTTGACCCTCGTCGAGTCCGCCTCGGACCTCGCTGCCTGCTTCACCGCTCCCGAACTGGAAGCGTTCGCGGCTGGCCTCCAGAACTTGCTATCGGAGCCACTCACCATCTCCGTCAAAGAAGCCATCGCTGATGTGTGGAGTAACAACTTCGCCTCGCTTGGCGGCGACGACGCGAGCGAGATCGTTAGGCGCATCGCATCCGATCTCGGCGCCAGCCTCGACAGCACCTTGACCGACATGGCGGTGCTGCTTAGCGAGACTGCGGGCGACATCGACGGCCTCGCTGCTGCAGCTTCTTCGATCGCCTCGACCGACCTCGGTTCTGCTCTGACCGCCGACGCGCTCGTCCAGACTCTGGCTTCGCGCCATCGCCTCGCAGTGTCCTTTATGCTCCTGCTCACTGCCCTGGCCGCGCAAGATCAGATGGCTGATCTCGTCGAGAACGAAAGCAGGCAGATCGCTGCTGCCCTGAGCATCTTCCAGTCTCTCAGTGCCGCTCTGCAACTGGCACGTACGGATGCTGCCATTCAGGTAGCCTTCGGCAGCAGCGACGCCGTTGAGACCGACTCGATCGTGGCCAAGCTCAACCAGATGTCGGTCGCCGGACGAAAGAGCCGCGAGCCGCATCACTTCACGGCGCCGACGCTACTTCATCAATGCGTCCGCGACGGGCTGCTGAGCACGTCCAAGGCTCGCAATGATGATGCCGCGCTGAGCCTGTCTGTCAAGACGGCAGTGCTCAAGAGCCTGTGGTCTCTCGGTCTCACGGATCTGCGCGACACGCTGGCTGCTGGAGCCAAGCCGCTCCTGCCCAACCTCAACGATCGACACACCTCCATCGCGTTTGCCGTACTCGTGCAAGGCTACCCGTTGGCAGCGGATGCGCTGCTCGCCAGTTTTCCGGAGACGCCGGCGGGCGAGTACGTGCGAGCGCGTGCTCTCGTACAGTTGCACAGGCTCGATGAAGCCAGTGCATCTTTCGACAAGGTAGTCAGCGCTCTCGAGCTGCCAAGCACCACCAGAAGTCGAGCTGCAAGCGGGCTCTTCGAGCTCCTTCCTTCTTCGGTAGTTCTGGCCGAGGGAGAGGAGCGCGTCGCTGCATACTATCGCCATGTAGCACTGTTCTTCGAACCTTTGGAAGCGATTGAGCACGTCATCCGCTTCTGCCAGGCGAGCATCGATGCTGTCGGCACGTACGCCGACGATCGACCCGCCAAGATGAACTTGGGAGACTCTGGCGCAGAGACATCCAGCAGCGCCGGTCCTAAGGAAATCTGGTTCAAGATCTTCCGCTGTCAACTAGCGCTCGACGATTTCGAGGCTGCGTACGCCACGATCATGGCGGCGCCATACGAAGGCGTGCGCAAGGATTGTCTTCGAAACCTGGTCAGCGTCATGTGCGAGGAAGGACACATCCAGTCTCTGCTCCACTTCACCTTCCCCGGCCTGCAGAGCGAGGTGGAGAGGACGCTGTCGTTCAAGGCTCGCAACTCGGATCCGCTGTCGGTGCCAAACTACTACTCGGTGCTCTACTCGTATCACCTCTTCCGCGGCGATCTCAAATCGGCAGGTGCGGTCGTGTATCAGCATGCCGAGCGACTTAGCGAGCTGCACCGATCCTTGTCGGCTAACAACGACGGTGTGGACCCGCTGGAGCGATTCATGGTCGTGGCCGTGGAGCAGGCGCAGAGCTATCTGGCGTCGATCAACGCGCTGACCATGCTCAAGCACGAGAACGCGTGGTTCGCGCATGCTGCTGATCCGGAGATCTCGCAAGCGGCGAACGGTCGAGAATCTCTCTTCGAGCCATCGACATCCGTTCGAGCAGGCGCAGCGAATGGAAAGCAAACCAGCAGCCTGACACGATACATTCCAGCCTCGGCCTACAGTCAGCGCGTTCGAGAGATCCGCGTTGTCTCGGTCGACGATGTTCGACGTGAATACACGCTCGCGCTTGCACGTCTGGAGTTGGTCAAACGATACCCTGACCTAGCGTACTCTACGACGGTGCTTCGACCATCGGATGCGGTGTTGTTGTTCGTCAACAGCGATTCGTTCGATTCGGCTTTCAACGTGGCGTGGAATATGACGGTGGATATGGCGCCGATCTTCTCCGCTCTCACGGTGAAGGCTGTTGCGCTGTCGAGGGCCAAGTTGCAGCGTGATGCTGGCAAGAGCAAGTCCAATGACGATGTCCATCCGGAGATCGCCGAACTCGAAGAAGCAGATGAAGACCTGATGGAACCGGAAGCAGTGTTCTTGACGCTATCAGAGAAGTCGGCTAGTTGGCAAGGTTCTGCAGCTGAAAGAGCATGGAGGTACATTCGATATCATCTCGAGATGTACGATTCGGAGGAGGATGGGAAGTACTACCGCGTCGTCTTGTTGAAAATCGCATCGTTGGATCACGAAGTCACACCGACTTGGTTGACGGATTGGTTCACGCGGACGGACAACAGCGACGTATTGCTTCGCATCTACATCGAACACCAACTCATCCTCGAAGCCGCCTCGTTCGCCACCAAGTGGCTGCAAACAGCTGCGACGCAAGCTAGCAAGTTGACCAGGTCGAACGAGGAGTACCATTCGAACCACATCATCGACACGCTTCTGCTCAATCTCGATGAAACCCAAGGAACGGTGCTACCTTCGAAGCAGAAAGATGCGTCCAAGATGAAGGCGGAGCTGCAGCAGGCGAGGAACAAGTACATCGACGCACTCGCGGCTCGCTCAAAGACGTTGAAGAGGCAAGCGGAACAGGATGCGTTCAGGCAGGAGAAGAGACGAGAACAACAAGGTGAACTGGGTAGATCAGGTGGCTTGCGTGCTTTTTGAAGACGGTGACAGAGTCGACCGTTCAACGCGCAGGTGGCCGGGTGATAGAAGTGTTCACGATATCCTTCAATGAGATGAATCAAAAGCGTCAGATGTCGGTTTTTGCTTGAAGAGAAGTGTGAAAAAACTGAGACATCGTCTTTGAACCGAGATTGGACGAAGATCAGCTTCCGAGAGATCCGAACCCGAATACCATTCAGCTACCGACAGGACACCGGTCGAGCTTCAGGCCAACCGAGATCCATTCGCGCGCGAAAGACTTCTGCGAAGTGAGCGAGTCATCGGCCGTAAGAAGCATCCAGCGGGGCTCGCCCTATTCTGCATGTTCCTGTTGCCTGGCTCCGTGGGTTCCTGTGGGGACTGTGAGTGGGGAGAGGGGTGAGAAAGTTGACCGGGAAGCGGTAGTGTCACCCACCTTCGTTCTCGGAAAAGACGGAAGCTCAAAAACAAAGCCGCCATGCAGGGACACTTCACGGAGGCTGGAAGTCCGCGTCTGCCTTTACTGCTGGCTGAACTGCTTTTTCCGCCTCAGCTTGGTAAGCGGTCAGTCGCTGTAGCCACGCAAGACGGGAATTTTTTCCCCATAACGTAAACGCCTCCGTCAAATCCGAGCCTGCCACTAATTTGACCAGTGGATCGGTCAAATCCTCTTTTTCTGTTTTGCGGAGAAGGGCACTGTTGCACAGAACATCCTTGTGCGAGGCGAGCCCGTTCGAGCTTAGGTGGATTTTCTCGGCTTGCCGCGAAATCCAGATGCACGTCATGCTCCTCTGTGCCACGTTTGAAATGCGACAGACTCCGGGGGGCCAGGGCGAACGACGTATAAGTTGGGTTCTCGTCTGCCTCACCGGTCTGTGCTATCCATGGACGTCTTCCCCCTTCGACTCGATCTTTGATCCCCACACAAAGCGCATCAAACTCTAATCCTGGAGCGAGCCACAGCTTCATCTCGGCATCAACCTTGACCAACTCACATCGCCGAAGAGGTCGAGACGGTCTGCAACACCCCCGCTACATCCCTTTACCGCGCTGCGAGGCTGTGACTCTGATCACTCGAGCGTCCTTTCCATTTGCACCTTTGCTTACGTCTCTCGCATCCCAGCTTATCGGTGGAACCGCGTTCCTCGTCTGTCCTGCAACATGCCTACACACCAGTTCTCAGCACCGGGCCAGGCGGTCGAAGAAGCCAAGGCTGGCGGCCACCATGCCCACGGCACGCACAACTACCCCGATCCTCTGACACACATCGACCGCACCTCATGGGATGTCACCATCATCGGTGCCGGTCCCGCTGGTCTGATGCTGGCCACCTCTCTTGCTCGCTTCGGTGGCTTTGACGTGCTCGTCCTCGATGAGCGTTCCGAGCCTACCACGGCAGGTCGCGCTGACGGTATTCAGCCACGTACCATCGAGGTGCTGCGCAACATGGAGCCGTTGGGATCCGAATTTTTTGAACGCAGCGCACCGTCGTACGAGCGCACTTTCTGGGATCCTCGTTCGGACGGCCAGCGCGGTATCGAGCGTACCCGTCGTGTGCAGTCTTTCCCCACCGACATGGAGATCCAAGACAACTGCACGCTGGGTCTGCAGCAAGGACTCATCGAGGGCGGCTTCCTCAGGGACATGGAGCGTCACGGGCAACGCGTTACACGTCCCTGGGCGTTTCAAAGCTTCCAGATGACCGACGACCAAACCTACCCGGTCACCGTCACGCTGGAGAAGATGAAGCCAGTCACCGAATCGACCAACGAAGGCGGCGCTCCCATCAGCATCATCAAGCCTACCGGCGAGACCAAGACGATTCGCACCAAGTACCTCGTCGGCTGCGATGGTGGTCGATCGCGTTTGCGCAAGACGCTCGAGGATCATCACGAGTTCACTTTCAATGGCGATTGGGTCGACACGCTCTGGGCTGCTCTGGATTGTGTCGTGGAGACCAATTTCCCAGATGTGCGCAAGATCGCAGCAATCCACTCCAAAAACCACGGTGCGCTCTACATCTTCCCACGCGAGAACAACGAGAAAGGCGAGCCAATCATCCGATGCTATACCCAGGTCAACCGACTTGGAGGCGAGAAGAGCAAGGAGTCGGCGCTCGATGCCCGAGACAAGGTGACCGCCGAAATGGTCATGCAGGCGATCCAGGAAATCGCTTACCCGTACAAGTTCGACTTCAAGGGGGTCGAGTGGTTCACGTGCTACCCGATCGGTCAACGCTTGATCTCGAGGTATTCGCTTCCGGCAGGCAAGACGGCCAACGGCGCCTCCTTCCCCGCTCATCGTGTGCTGCTGGCCGGTGATGCGTGCCACACGCATTCGCCAAAGGCTGGTCAGGGTATGAACACTGCCATCATCGACTCTCAAGCGTTGGCATGGAGGATCAACTTGGTGGAGAAGGGATTGGCCGACCCCGAGATTCTGCTAGGCACCTACCACGACGAGCGCCACGCGACGGGCAAGCAGCTGATCGAGTTCGACTCGGAGTATTCGGCCTTGTTCTCGGGTGAGGTGCCTAAGAACACCCCTGAGGTGGCTACGATGACCGACGCCGAGAAGCGTGAGCACTTCATCAACATCCAACGACGAAACGCGGCGTTCACGACCGGTGCCGGTGTTTTGTACAAGGACAATGTGCTCAACTACCGCGACCCGTCCAAATTGGGCGTAGCCAAGATCACCGACAAGCTCGAGCCTGGTCGCAGGCTGCAACCTGCATGGGCTACGAGATGGTCCAACTCGCAGCCGGTGCGAATGATTCACGAGATCCAGTTCACAGCGCCTGGTGGCTTCCGACTGTACGTGTGCGCTGGCGACCTCAACAAGAATATGCGCCACCTCGAGGCGTTCGCCAGCCACCTTGCTTCCCAACACTCCTTTGTCAACCGCTTCCGTGCCAACCAACGCGCGATGCTGTTGCAGCACAAGGCGTACCACCAGCTCCCCGACTCTCTCAACACTGGCTTGACCGAGGGATTCGCCTCGGAGGCCAATCCCTTCTTCCACATGCTCCTGATCGTCCGCGCTCAGCGCTTCGACATCGAGTTGGAGCAGTTCCAGCACCTGGGTGCGCTCAAGAGCATGCTCTACTGCGACGACATCGAGGCGGGACATGGCGCGTTCAAAGTGACCATGGACGACCAGTTCGTAGGCGGTCTGCACGAGAAGTGGGGATTGCCGAATGGTGGTATCGTCGTGGTCAGGCCCGACGGGTATGTGGGATTGGTGGCGCCGATCGACCAGGGATCGGCAGGGTTTGAGAGTATCGAGAAGTACTTTGATGGCTTTTTGAAGAGCTCTAGAGTGTCGAGTCAAAAGACAAGGCTGTAGTCGATGCAAAGCAATTGAAATGATCGATGTTCCAGTACGTGGTCATGCGTTTGTGATGAGTGGATGGGCAAGGAGAAGCCGAAGAATGACAGCTGACAATCGCGAGCGCTGCAACTGGTGAACGCACTGTCGGCCACCTTGCCGAAGGACCTTGACCACTCGGCATCGCATGTGTGACATCCGCTTCACGTGGCGCCACTGGATAAGTTAGCTGAGCCTTTCATGCGACCGCCATTTCCCACGCCTTGAAGGCTGGCTTCTTGACCGCACGCTTCTCGCTCGCAGACTCACAAACTCTCGTGATCCCGTCCCGAACAGAAGTGCTGACAGCAAAAAGAGGTACAATTACACGTGACAAAAGACATTAGAACGGGAACAACGCACTCCGGCTGATCTACAGGAGAGATGCGTAATGGGGTCAATGAACGGTCCAGGGAGTGTCGGGGTGCATTCACAGCATGCTGGCGATGCTCATGCTGGAACGCGGTGTAGCCGGGGCATCTGCCTCCGACTCCTTCGCCGCCGACTCTCCTTTTGTCGATTGAACTCGGGGATGGGCTGGACGAGTCGCGGCAGCGTCTGCTGATGCTGCTGATGCTGCTGATGCTGCTGCCGCCTCATCCCTGTCTCCGCTTTGTGGAGCGTTCGAATCGGCTTCAGCTTCCTTGATGGTCTGCGGCGTGGCGCGCAACGGTGTTGCTGCAAAGGGCGCCGGTGCTGCCGACGAAGAGTTGGTCGTTGGATAGGTTGCGCTGCGCGGCGCTTTGGCCCACGAAAAATCGCCAAAGGTGGTGCGGAATTGAGGATTCGGCTGACTCAGACGCTTGACGGGCAACTCCTTCGCTTGCTTGGCAAGAGCCTCCAATCCGGAGCACGAACGCTGACGATGTTCGATCAGCTCAGCGAAATTGGAAAGCACATTCGCCAGTCCGCTCGATGAGCCGCGATGTGACGAGGAAAAGGATCCGCCGGAGACGCTGTTTGATGTCTTTGCCGATGGCATCGAAGGCGATTCGCCAAAGGGCGAACCTCGTCTCGACATGATGCGCGATTCGGGGGCCGATTGCTGCTGCGGTGACGTTGGTGCCATACGATCCTTACCGCCGGTGGTCTCTGCTGTCATTGGACTCAAGGTTGGGTTGGGGTTGAAGAGCGGATCGATGCGGACCGAGCTCCGACGACGTTCGAGCTCGAGAGCCTTTTGCGCCCACTCTTTCTCGAATCTGTAAAAGCGACTGTAAGTGTGAGCAGCCTCTTTGGCCTCCTCGAACAGCGAGTGACCCGAATCGGGGGGCGAAGGAGGACGCAGAGGTTCGACGAGGAGTTTGCTCGAACCAGTCGCTGAGACCGACTGGGTACCATTGTTGAGAGTGATGGATGGTGTGCTTGTCGGCGAAGCCACGAGAGGCATCCGCCGAGAAGATTGCCCAGGATCCATTGACGGCCCTGCCGAGGAACCGGCGACAGCTCGCGACGCAGGCTGATCGTCGGCGTTCTGAGGGGCAGTGAGAGGAGCAGCCGACAGAGGACTCCTTGGCGTGGTAGGTGTGTGAGGAACCAACAGTGTCGACGATGCGTGCGGCTTGGTGGGGGAAGCGGGGGCAGGTGTGCCCGCTGATGGGGTCGAGGTAGCCGATGATGGAGGCGTCAGGCCAAGATGGTTGGCTAACACCGTGGCGATGGCAACATTTTGCGATGCGGCTTCGACGTGGCGCGACATATCGTGGCTCATGCTGGTGACGCTTGCTTTGCGTGCTTGCTCGATGAGCATACCGAGCTGTTCAACACGCTGACGCTTGTGCTGTTCTTGCTCTGGGTGGGTCGACATGCGGCGCTGCCCCGCCTGGCTTTGCAGAACCGCTGCTGCAGCGGCGGTTGCCAAGTTGATGATGCTGGCTCGGCGCAGCGGATCGGTCGGCAGGCGAATCTCGTTCGCCGAAGCAACCCTGTAGGCCGTCGACGGATCGGCGTCCTGCTCGAACTTGCGCTTGGGACCGGGCGAGTCGCCGAGAGTTGGCGAATGTGATCCTGTTGGCGACGACATTCCGACGTTATCTCGGGACTGCGAAACGTTCGAGAGGCCGGTGAGAAGCTGATTCATGGCGAGCTTGGCGTCCGGAGAGGCCGTAGCGAATGACTCAGACGACGAAGCTCCGTTAGCGAGCGACGTCTGAATAGTAAGATCGACTCGCGAACCACGACGCGAGGAGAGGGCGCTTTGCGCAGGTGGATCGACCCAGGATGATCGACGTGAAAGAGCTGGCGAAGATGGCGTCATGGAAGCTCTGCGGGTGGCGATAGACATGGTGACAGTACACGGCAGATGCGCGAGGTGCTCCTTTCTGTGATAGAATTCGTCACCAATCGAACTACGGCCGACCAAGACCGCGTCTTGGCTTGATGGCGCAAAGATCGCTCAGATCGCAAAGGAGATAGAGAGCGCTGATGTCGATAAGTCTGTTGTGAGATGAATGCGAAGTCTCGATCAACGTGCAGGATGTTGTCGGTCGAGACGAGTGTAGCCGGCGGTCGAGGTGCACGAGATCGCTACAACATGGGCGTAGATGAAAGGCGTAGACAACAGAAGGTGTAGGAGGCCGACTAGAAGGTGGTGGCAGCGTCGGCGATCGAGGCGGATGGAGAAGCTGTCGACGGGTCAAAGACGGATGAAAGTTTGTGTCGGTAGCGATCAAGTTGGGACAGAGCGAACCGATCCTGTAACGAGCCTAACGTGGCGGGGAAGGTTTGCAAGAGCGGACAGAAGCAAACGACCCGTCGTGCTCAACGCTGCGGACCTGTGTGATGAAGGTGATAAAACGTCGACGGAAAGGCAGAGTAGAAAGATGGGAGGAGAGTGTCGCGACTTTGTGAAACGACGGTCAGAGGGCGTGAGAGGATCGTTTCTGCTGTCGAGCGTGGGAGCTGTAGGAGAGAGTCAAATTTGCAGGCTGGGTCGGGAAGGAGGGGTCCAGAATGACAATCGAGTAGGGTCGTTAACCCTCGAGCCGAGAGGATTGAGTCTCGAGTGTGTACTGTACAGTGATGCAAAGAGATCTTTCCCAGGCCTGTCGGTGCGAGGATGGCCGACGAGCGAAGCGAAGCGCTGCAGTAGCGAAAAGGTCGGAGGAGGTTGCGGCGTCTGAAGAACCTAGGCAGGTCTGCTCAAACGCGGAAAGGACGGTGGACCGGCCTGCTTGGTGAGAGAAGTCCGACCAGGGCTTTGCGCCTGTTTGAAGGTTCTCCAAAGCCAGAAGCGGCGAACGGCGCAGGCTCGAGGTCAACTCGGTTGGCACCTTCAGAGACGCGCTAATTCGACCCAGCCCACCCCGGAGAAACGAGACATGGAAAGCGGTCGAGATGTGAGAAAAAGGCAGCGTTCAGGCACTTGACCAGGCCACACCAATGGAAAGAATATTCGCGAAAATTCAACATTTCTTTCCAGCTCCTCTTCTTGGGTTTTTCAAGAATCGCAGGAGCCGCTGGTGCCCTTGACAAGCCACGCGTTCCGGGAACATCACCTTTTTTTTCCTGCAATGGAGGGAAAGACCTGTCTCAGATCCCAGCGCTGACTGGTCGTGTGCGCTCATCACAGAGGGTCTCGACCCCCAAGCAAACTGGCTATAAAAACGGGGATTTCTTTTTCTTCTACTTCTGCAGAGCTGCATGTCATCAGTGTGCCTGAGCCGCTGATGCCCCGTCGGATCTACATCTCCATACGCTTTCTGCATGCATCTGCCGCGCACTGCATGGAGCCTTGTTGACAAAACCTAAAGATTGTAGGCTCGGCAAGGCTGAACACTGTGGCTCTGGGCTTTTTGGCTTGGGCTGCGTCCCACCACTGATCTCGCCAGCATGCGAGCCTCGATGCATCTCAGATGTCTCTCGCTTGCGCGGGATGGCCACGCGACGAGCTGACACAACCTTCCATCCAGGCTGCCTCTGGTCGGTACAGAGCGGGGGTCAGAAATCAGAATCGAAAGTTGAAGCGATCCAGCTGTCCTTTCTTCATGCCGTTGCTGAAGTATGACACACGGGGAACATGGCCTGACCCAATTCTTATTTTGTCTGCAGATCTCTTCTTTGTGCGCGATCGCTTCAGACGTCTCAAGTCTGTGCCAATGGAGCTGTGGGATTGAGCGACCGAATTCTGGTCTCATCGGTTGGCGCAATATTTCACAGTGGATCATTCGCTTCAGACGCAACGCACATGTCGGACTGCAAGTGCATCGTGCAACACTTTCATCTGGACAACGCTGCCACATCAGCTGTCGTGTTGTACTTCTGACATGCTCTCGGGGGCGCTTGTCTTTGTGGTACCGACGGAAGCAGTCAGGAACACAATAGGAGCAAGACTGGAATGATTGTATTGACTACCGACACCATTCTCCAGAGCCTCTTTCTGTGCACAGATTGGCTTTCGAGCTTATGCCGAAAGGACTCTGTCAGCGAAAGCTTGGTACGAAGGCGTAAAGCGGGGCTTCGCAGAGTCGAGACAGGTCCGTGGATGAGTGAGCAATGCGACCTCGCTTGGAAGAAATATGCATCTTCTCGGGTCTATGTTCTGTCCTTCCCATCGCTGTCCCGCCACAGACATTTGCTTGCCAAGCCGTGGAGCCCGGTCCCTGCGGTCGCGGGCAGAATCAACGCGAAAAGAACAGGAAATTTCGAGGTTTGGGGCGAAGGAGTGTGCTGAAGTGGCTCAGCCGAGTTCTCATCGCTTGCATTACCGGATCTCCGCGCCACCTGTCAAAATTCAGCAAGCATTCGTCGTGGCGGGCCTCCATCAGCCGACGAACAACGGACGGTCGAGGATCATGAGTACTGTACATGACAGCTGGATTGCATTCATGCCTGCGTCTCGGACCAGGTAGATCCTTTCCCGGAGGCAATCGCTCCGTCGGCACTGCGTGCTGCCATATCCGCGGCTACTGATGGTGGCGTTCACGAGCTTTGTGAATGCCAATGTACGCGCTAGCGTTGCCGACATGAATGCGGACTTGCAGAGATGCAGAGCAAAGCGGGCTGAACACGGCACATCAGCAGCTTGGTGCAGCGCTCTTGCGCGTTGCCGGAAAAGGCCCAGTTCCAACGAGCTTGAAACGGCAGCAGAAAAGACACGTGGAATATGAATTCACCATCACCACGGAGCGGGCGGATCTGGAAATCGTTGAGACTCCGCGCATCACTGCGCCTTGCCCTTTTTCCACAGACGACTTCAGCATCTTCCCGTGTCTGAATGGTGCAGAGTCAAGGACCTCTGTGGTTACGGAAGACAACTCCGCTTTGTCTCGCTCCCGCAGAACAAGGTGGTGACGTATGCAACCATGTAGCAGAATCGTGGTACCGTGGACTCTAAGAGCATGCTTTGAACTTTACCAAGAACACGATCCTGCAACCCCAGTGGTAGCTTGTCTCTGGAGAATACGTGCAGCGATCAAGAGGATCCACAGTTGGCGCCGGGAACATCGCCATGTGGACACTGCCGCAGATAGGGATGAAAGCTCGCAGTAGTTTTATGCGTCCGGCAGTCACGGAAACAAGAGGGCGCTTGATGTGCTGAACAGCCACCGTCAAGTCCGCTTTCGCATCAGGCACCTAGATGAAACGTATTGGTCGGAACGCTGAATGACACCGTCGTGCCACGCATGACTGGCATAACCCGAGACTGCCAGGTTCAAAATTGTTCATACACCGCAGGCGGAGTGGGAACCACGGATCTCATTGGAGAGCTCACACGTCGTCCGCCCCGCTTCCGACACTCTGACTCACTTGGGAGAGTCATGCCGACGCCACTTCCTGGACGGACATCATCATGTTGTCCAGCCCACTCGACACTTCACCCGCAAAGTCGCTACTGCATCCTGATAGCTTTAATCGAAGCGACCACCACCGTTAGGGCAAAGCGGAGTTTCAACCACTCGCCGAAACCGGTTGCTCGATGGTGTTGACGAAATTTCGGCCTAAATTACAAAGGTGCAGGTCTAACAGTTGTTAATTTCGTCCACAATCTCACACACCCCATTCGAATTCGAAAGTGAGTCGCCGTCTGACTCGCCCTACGCCGCTGTCTTGGATCGCAGCTTGTACAGTGTTTGTCTCCTTGGATCTGTCTCTCGCACTGAGGAGAATCAGCAGCCGATGTCAGCACTGTCAACCGAGACATGACCGATTCGATGCCGTTGAAGCGTTGGGTTCCCAGAAGGCGGTCAGGCACCGAAAAGTCCAAAGATCCAGACCCTTGCGGAACGGGCAGCACAGAAAATCGAGTTCTAAAATTTCCAAGATTTCGGCGACTTGCCGGCCTTCGCGACAGCTTACGAGCTCAACCATCATCAACCGCCTATAATTTGTTGAAGCAGTGGTCGGGCTTCTCGGACTGAAAAGTCCAGAAGACGCCGGGGAAACGTCCTAGCGGAGAGCCCCAAATAGAGCTACATGATGGAAATGTCTAGATAAAAGACGATCGAATCTTCGATCGGTTAGATCCTAAAGAAGAACAGACAAGGTTCTCGACCCGCCTTATTGGCCGGCAATCAGCTGTTTGTCATCATGTCGCCGGTTGCCGGTTTGATCAGACACGTGAAGCAGCATGCATCATTCCCTCGGCTGTAGACGTCACACAATCTAGAGTGTGGTGCTCGACGCTCTAGCAGAAAGTCTAGATCTCTCACCGAATCTCAGCGAGAAGGTTGCAGCTCAATCTCGGATTGTCGTCGACAATGTCGACGTGGTGATCCCAAAGTGTATGCTTGGCTGGCTCGCCACTTTAGCATCTCGCCAGCAGACCCGCGCTCCCATCGATCGCTGATAAGTACGTCGGACCAGTCCTAGACAGTCCGGCTTCCGAACGAGATCGTCACCCTGCAGGGCCTCGACCTTTCCAACGACGCGTGCGGGTCACGCACAACCCGCAACACAAACAAAACATTCCCTCGCTGCAATTGCGACATGGATGCTCGATCTACTTCAGCTGTATACAGCACGCAAAGCAGACCCCCTACCACCTGCTCTCCTCGCCTGCGCTCCACTCGCCGGAGCTCCAAGACCACCGTCACCGGCCTCGTCCTTGCCAGCCGCCTGGACCACCTCGAACTTGTCGGTAAGCTGCAAATGCCGCACAGGGCCCGGACATGACCGAAGACAGATCGACGGGAAAACCTGATGTCAGTCTCGGCTCGATTCTCAACTCTTCTGTCAGCGCCAGAGAAGGTGGCGGGAGTTTGCCCGCGAGCCAAGAATTCGCACGCTCAAGCGGGGTTGGAAGCGGCGCTGAGTGGCTGGGATTTCGGCTGGTGTCTAGACTTACCTCGTTCATTGTGTGGAGACTTTCCGTAAGCACGGAAAGGTAGTTGGTTAGGAGGACATCGTTGTGTTCCTGAACATTCGAAGAGCGACCAACGGGTGTGAACAGTAAGAGTGCTTGTTAGCGATGTGACCTTCGATGACCTTGAATCGAGATGGCATCGACGTCGTTGCCCGATCGTCTGACTTCCGGCTCGATCGAGAAATACTTGTCGATACTTTTGCATCTCGATGCATCTGACACTCACCCTCAGAAGCTCTTCTTGCAGCTCAGGCAGAGCCGTTTGCGGCAAGTTGGCGACGACGGTCTGAATCTGCCGCAACGCGTGGTGATCCCAAGCTGCGGCACCACCTTTGACAGCTTGCAAATAGGCGAGGACCTGTCGGATCCGATCGTTGAGCTTGCTGATGGCGCTGTGCTGCGCTTGCATCCCTGCCAACATGGTACCTTGATGGTCGCCTCCCGACTCGGCACCGGCCTTGCTCGCATGGTCCACCGCAATCCGTTCCGCCTCGCCTGTCTCGATCTTGTACCCAGCCGGGACGAAGAACTGGGTCGTTTCTCCGCGAACCAGCTCCACCACCGACTCGTACACCCGGATCGGCAGCTCCCCGTTCGCCTCTGCGTTCTCGAAGGATGACACTGTCTGATGAAGCTGAACGAGGAGGGGAGTCTCATTGTACGCTAGCAGCTGCTTGTGGACCTCGAGGTCTTGCGGCGTGGGCACGTCGCCAATCGTGTACCATCCTAGGAGGTCGAGCGTGGGGAACACTTGCTTGTACTGCGCCTGGCGCGATTTGAGGAATGCATGGTTTATGGTTGGCGCCGACGATGCCAACGTGGGGGGATCCAAGCGGATCTCGAACGAGTTCTGGATTTCGATATCTCGTCCTTGCTGTGTCCCGAGCAGAACACCATAGACGGTGAGCTGTTCGTCCTGGCTTTGCAGTCTTGTTCGAACAAGATGCTCCGAAATATTGAGGATTGGTAGTGGATGCAGACTGATGTTGCTACCTATGCTTGCAGACGAGTGATTGTCGAGGACGACAGGCGAGAGGGTTGACGTCTTGAACGACGGCGACGAACCGGATGGCCCAGCGATTTGGGAAGCCATGATGCACTGATAGCAGCTGTGCGAGCGTTGACGATCTGTAGCTGGCTGTCGTATCGATGTGGGCGGATGTTGGCAGTGACGACGGTGTTGAAGAAGAAGGGAAGCCAAGATGGCTCGAGCACGCTTGCAGGCTTGAGAGAGTGCTGCGCATTTTTCCTCCACTTGACAGCCTGCACGTGATGTAACACTTTTTGATATTCAGCCAGGCGCGTCTTTCGGCATGTCAACGTCTGAACCCTGTGTCTGTCACTTTGTCGAACAGCTCTCCATCATCTCCTCGTCCCTTTTCGTCTTTGCTCGCATACGAGTAGTCATTGCTGCTCATCGCGCGATCTTCGTGGCACGGAACAAACTTACCAGCTGTCCAACATACACATCGACGTCCAGACATGAAGCTGCCAGCCCGATCTCTGATCAAAAAGCTCATTCGAGCTCACCTCCCACCCAACACGAGGCTCTCAAAGACAGCTGATCTCTACGTCATGCTTGCCTTCCTCATCTACCTGCAAAGGCTGGCAAACGAGTCACGACTGGCGCAACAGGTCGACCTCTCGAACGGATTGAAGGGATCGAAAACCATCACCAGACGTCATATCAATGGCGCTCGCAAACGCGTTCATGGATGAGCGGCGGGTGAGGACTCGCGTTTCGGACGCGTGTTGCAACAAGTATACACCACGCGGGACGAGGAAGAATCGGACTTGAGCCGCAGAGATTGTTCCAAAAGCGCAGGGGATGCTCAAGAGGCCATTGCGATCGCTTCAAGCTGAGAACGTCTTTCTGCTATTCCATCCCACACGTCATCATCGGAAGGTTGCTACAAGCATACGCAGGAGCAGAGCACGCCATCCGAGCCTCCTTCAACATCAAGCCTCGATTGCGACAGCATCGCAAAATTCGCCCAGAGCTGTTCAAATCCTCGCGAACTTTTCGGCTGGGATCCGTGGGCTCGATCTGCACGACCTGCTTCGTATCAGGCCAGCTCAAAACTTCAGCGTCTCTTCGAGCATAACATTAGGCACCCTGGCACAAGCGACTCGATCGCTATCATCAAGTGAAAATTGTTCATTATCATCCAACATTTCGATACATAATACAAAGCGTTGGCTTCGGTCACATCATCTTGCTCCTCGGAGGCGAATAGTGACGCATGTACGGCTGCGGGTTACCCAAGCGCGCCAGCTCCGCCTGAATCTCGTCCTCCATGGTGTTGTTCCCGCTGGGAAGAGAGCCGAGGCTGGGAGGTGCGCCGGCAGAGTTTGTGCTGTAGACCGAAGAGAGTGTGGATGCGGTGGATTTGTCCGTGGCGTTCGAGACGTTGCGGATGCCAGTTCCTGCGGTGGAGTAGCGCGAGCTCGGTTTGAGACCGAGACGCGGTAGACGCGAGGAGATGCTTCGATGGGCTGGAGCATCAGCGATGCCACCGACGGAGCGGCTGGTGGGGATCTTGCTCGGCGTGGGAGATGGACGTGGCAGTTGCGATGCTGTGGAGCTCTTGGTGACGGTCACTTGCGAGCCAGATCGTGGCATGGAACCAGACTCGTCACGCTGAGGTGTGACGCCATTGGCTGCGACACTCGTCCCACCGTGATGAACGGTAGATGGTCCGGAGCTGTATCGATCCTCCTCGTCATCACGCTCGATGCTCTCGCCAAGGTGCCCTAGATTGACGTACTGTGAATCGATCGTGTCCGCGGGCGCCACCGTAGCAGCCACTTGTTGATACGGAGGAATGATCTCGTCATCGATCTCTGGCAGATGTTCATCCGCAATGTTCCACATCTCATCGTCCCCCTTAGGCATACTGAGACTCATCAACGTAGGCGATGCCGCGCGAGCCTTCGCGGCGTTCGCCGAAGCTCGATGCGGATGACGCAGCAAGCTGCTGCTGCGTGGAGTAGGAAGGGGCGATGCTTGGCTGGATCGCTGCGAGCCAACGTCGTCGCGGAACAGACCTCCAGGTCCGTTCAACAAGGAGACAGGACGTGCACGTGGCAGCTCGCTCCTGCTGATAGGCAGCGTCGATCGCCCAGATCCGGGCAGGCCAGCCACAAATGCTTCGGAACGAGTGCTCCTGTGCGTTGGCTTGGGCTGAGCCGATCCCAGCGCAGACGACAAGGACTGCGAAGGCTGAAGGGCAGGATTTGCCATACCTCGCGGCGAAAGCGGCAGAGCTCCGATGCCAGCTCGAGATTGAAGACCGGGTGGCAACTCGACGTCCATGATGGAACCCTCGCCGTCCTCTGAGCCGAGCGTCTGATCCGCGCTCGAATTGAGCTGGAAGTCGAGGTAGCGGAGCTCCACCAGCTCCGTCTCCAGATCTTGGATCTGACCGATCAGCGTAACCTCGCGAGAATCGCGACGCTCGAGTTCGCGTTCGAGCTCCAACACGCGCGTAACCTCGGCGTGCAGATCCGATGTGAGACTCTCGTGTCGGGCATGCAGATCGGCGTTTTCGGCGCGCACCCTCTCGAGCGTGTCGAGCAGACTTTCCTTTTCTAGCTCGTGACGACGTACCATGTGCGCGAGCGAAGGTTGCGAGACGGACGTGGCGAAAGACCGAGGGGTGCCCAGCGTCTTGGCTGTCGCGGACGGTGAAGTGTGTCCGGCGCCAGAGCTGGCCCGACCTACGGTGGTGTTGTCCGTGCTGAACCGTTTGCGGAAACCATCCGACTCGATCATGGACGATGCTGCGTGGTCTCGGCTGAGCGCCTGCGAATAGCGGCTCGACACCGATCTGGCATCCGAAGGGGGTCGTCTGCGGAAAGCCGAGCCCTCCACAAACTCGCCTCTGGAGACATCCTGGAGCGAGGAAACGGTGGACGCACTGCCCTGGCGCAGCATGTGAGGATTGACGTCCAACGGCATACCCATAAGGCCGGACAGAGATGTGGATGTGCGATTCTCTGCACTTGGCTGCATGCGCGCCTGAGAGCGTGTAGAAGGGCCAGATCCAGCACCTTCCATCGCATCTCGCGTCGATTGCGTCGGATTGCCAAGAGGCTCGTCCGTCTTGGTCGAGGCCTTCGCCAGCGGAGAGATCGAAACAAGCTCACTGACTCCGGACGTAGCTTGGCCGAGCTTCATCGGTCGTCGAGGGGGATCAAAGCCGAGGCGACCCTCGTCCCCGCGCAACTGCGGCGAGGGCGTCACGCCGACAGCCGAAGACTGCACCAGTGCCAGCATGCGGCTGTACGCCTCCTCGATATCGCGCATGCCCTCCTGTCGCCGTTTAGCAGCTCGCGCCGGCGTGGCCTCGGACAGCATGGACGCGTCAGCAGCCATGGTTCGTTCGCCGGCTGGCTCAGCGGCGTCAGAGACAAAGCTCTCCATGCCGAGAGTGTCGACGGATCGACCGGCGAGAGCGGCGTGAGCATCGTCGCCCGCGTTGAGCTGTGAAGAGCTGATCGCCCTACGGACGCTGCGCACGGCATCCGCCAGCGCCTCGTGTGACTCGGGCGCGAGCGTGATGCGTCGCCCGTCGTCAGCTGTCGTGACGGAGGAGGCGTTGTCCTCAGCCCATGCGCCAGGCAGCGTGAGTTCGTCGGTGCTCTTGTGTGCGAAGTGCGGCGTCGAAGGCAGTATTGCGTCTCGAGAAGCCATGCTGCTTGACGATGGATTGGCGTGCATTGAATAAGACGCATCCGACATGCGCTGCCGCAGCGAGGTGAGATCGAAGCTGCCTCCATGTCTGTTGTCCTGCAAAGCTGCTTCAACAGCTGCCAGATGGCTCTCAATCTCCGAAACCTTGACCTCGGGCAGTACAATTTCGCGCTCCTCGGAGTCCTCGCCAGGTAGGCGATCGACATGCTGATCATCGTCCTCAGGACCGGCCGTCGCTGAGGAGAAGCGAGAGAACTGCGGACGAGTTGCATGAGCGGCAGCTGAACCCTCGCTAGATGCCACCTGCGCGAGAGGTGTCGATTCGAGTCCGCCAAAGGTGTCGCGTTTTGAGCGCGAAAATCCACCGTCACCTGGGAAGGCGGCCTGACGGGGTGTGCTGGCTGCCGGCTCGATGAGCGAATTGCGATTCGAGGGGTTGAGCGTCTCGACAAGCGCCGTGTGCGAGGCGGCCGGCAGATGCGTCTCTCGGGGCACAGCGCGAAGGGATGCATCGTCGTCTTCGTCCGAGAAATCATCGTGGTGCTGTCCGTTGCGTGCGATCAGCGAAGGTGGAGGCGAATGATCCTGAGCGGCGGCGTGGCGAACGTGATCCGGCTCGAGATGCAAAGCTTCGCTGCTAGGGGAAGCGACAGCATCGAGGTAGTGTCCCGACCCGGTTGTGCCGGAGATGCTGCGAGTGCTGATGCGTCTCTCTATGCTGGTGATGAGATCGGAGAGCGGGGAGTCCAGCCTAGGGCTCTGGTCGAAGTGTCGGGCCAAAGGCGTGTCCAGCGTTCGCAGACTGACTCTTGATGCTCTCGATCCATCCCTGGGCCGACGTGTCGAAGCAGTTCTAGGCGGTGAATCAAGGCTGCTGACCGCCGTCTTGAATGAGCTCGTGGTGGTAGCCGTATCGAAACGGTTTGCAGGCAGTTTGTGATCGGGCGGCGTGTCGTCGGAGCTATCGGCATCGTCAATGTGCGTGGAGCGCAAGGTGTGATCGGCATCGACTGACTCGAGACCTTGCCAGATACGAGGAATGCCAGGTCTCGGACGTGTGAGCTCCTGGGCCTTTTTCGAATGGCCGGTGGACGGAAGGGCAGCTTGACTGTGATCATAGGAAGCGGACAAACGTTCCGCAACATCGGATGGTTGCCCCGGCGTAGCAGATAGCTCACCGTGGCCCAAAGAGGCTTGCTCTCCCGTTGACATCGGGATGGAGGTGCCAACGCCGTAGTCGGTCTGATCGGTCGACTGTGACGATGGTCGCTGATCGTGCTCCTCGAGGTCATCAGCTTCTGCCAGCTGAGGACTCTGGAGCACCTCGCTTGCTCCTTGCTCATCTGGCATGTCGGAATGCGGCCGCTTCGGCGAAGCCTGAACAATTGCAAAGTCTCTGCTTTGTACGTCATCGTCGATGGAGCGTGTGAAAGTTCCGAAACTGGGGTCGCGTGCAAGGAACGGTGAGCTCGAGCTGAGAGGTAAGCTGTCCCTAATGTACGGCGATGCGTCGTCGTCACGTGGCATTGGTCCTGCATGCCCGAAGGAGTCGTCGCGCTTTGTGCGATATTTGCCTTCTCTCTTGTTGGGATCGCGAGCGAGAAAGGGTGCGAAGAGAGAAGACGACTTGGAAGTCTTTGACGAGTTGCGCTCCCTCGACTTGCTGCGACGTCGAGTGAGTGTCATAGGAGTGGTAGAAAGGGTACTGGCGCGCGGTGTAGCGTTGTCCGCGCTTTCCTGCAAACCGAACTCTGACGAAAGCGGCACCGACGTCTTGCCGGGATTGCCGACCACGGACGGCGCGCTCCCTACCGATTGCGACTTTCTGCCCTTCAAGCTGGCTCTGCGAATGAACCTTCGGATCATCGAGTCGCCATTCTTGGCGGACGAGTGTTTACCTTGTAGCACGTCCTGGCGCTCTCGCGGCGTGAACTGAGCGCTGGCGCGAGCTGGGAAGCTGAAAGGTTTTGACGAGCTGCGACTGCGGACCACCTCGCTCTCTGCCCGCTGGCCATCGGCGCGTCGAACGGTGGGTCTATGGTCGGCCAATGCCTGAGGCACAGGCATTGGCGCAGGAGTTGTGATGGCGCGCGAGGTGCCGCTGGGAGAGATGGTCGGACGAGAGTCGGTCCTCTGACGAACGGGTGCATATACGGACTCGAAGCTTGGATTCTGTTCTGCGTTCACGGGAAAGTCGCGCAGGGAAGGCGTTGTTGCAGATGGAGCGCTTAGCTTCATGATGGGAGAGCTGCTTGAGCTGGCATTGGAGTCGTTGAAAGGTCGCAACGCCGCAGCTTCCGCTTCGTCGAGGAACGCATCTTCCTCGACATCATCGCGGTGAGTCGCCATGGTCGAAAGTGGAGCTTCACGATCGCTGGAAGCGTTCGAAGCGTCGAGGTGGTCCGGGGTTGAAGGCGAAATGTCTTGGTGAGGCGGCGCTGAGAGGTTGGTCTGCGAGGGTGATTTGGCAGGTGATGGAACAAAGTGTGATCGAAGCGAAGTGCCCAGGTGCTCGCCAGCGGCGCGATGGATGGTTGCAGCAGGACCTCTGGCGCTGACGGAGCTCTCTTCGTAGCTGCGCATACTTGGCTGATCGGAGAAGGATCTGCTCATGCTGGCAGAGCCCGCGTCTGATGCCGCGTTGAACCTGCGAAGCGAGCCGATCTCGGATGCCGGCTCGGTGCCAGGGGTATGTGTGGCCTCTGATCCACTGTCGGGCATGACGAAGGGGAAACCGGACGCGCGTACCTGGGCGTACTCGAGCGAGCAGCCCTCTCGACCGACGGAAGGTGGAGACACGGTGGCAGACAGACGGTCGGGAATAGTTCCCAACGAATGTACGTTGCGAGTGTGCCTTGTGAATGGACTAAGGGGCCCGGATGGGATTCCCGAAAACGAAGCAGAAGAGGCTCGCCTGGGAGGATGCGGTAGGCTTGTCGGTCCTTCGCGATTGTGGTGCCAGACTCCGAACGGATGGGGCTTGTAGATGTCGAAGGAGGAAGCGAGCGGGTCGTCCTTTGTCGCCGAGACGAGATTGAATGCTGCCCTCGATGCCGTGACAAGTGCCGATCGATCCTGAAAGTAGCCGGCGGAGGCTGAACGGACGTTTAAAGGAAGGGAGTCATGGGTGGGGATGACGGTGGTGGTGGTGTCTGTTGCATCCGGCGAAGAAGAGGGAGATACGGGGCGGTGAGAAACTGATCGATCGAAAAGAGACAGATACAAGAAGAGTACGGCGACGAGGAGAAGAAGGATCGGAGAAAGGAGAAGAAGAAGTTAGGGGAAGGACGAGAAGCGGAGTGTAGCCCATCCACGGCAGAGCCATCCATCCAACTTACCTTTGCATCCATGCGCATCTGCTTCAGCTTGAGCTTCTTCCGCCTGCTGCCGCCAGAATGATAAAACTGGATTTTTCGTCGAGGCAAAGAAGCCCAAATGGGAAAGTCTGCGGCGTGGTGCTGCACGCCGAATTTGGTCGGATCTGGAAAAAGACGGTTGAGCCTGAGGACGAGACTGGGGCTGAGGCTGAGACTGAGACTGAGGTAGAGGTAGGAGGCGAGCAGCAGTGTCAGCTCGGCAGTGGAAGCCTTGACGATTATCGACGTCAGCTGCCAAGCCGCCGTTTTCGCGTCCCGTAAAGTGGTCGGCAGTATTTCGACGAGGCGAGAAATTCTTGGATCCATCCACACGTTGGCAGCGACTGCACACGGGACCTGGCCGCGATTTCGGCGCAAGCCTCCAGCCAACGCCTTCCCTCGAAGCAGATGTGCTGATGCTGCCAACACCTCCTTCGACTCGACGACGAAAGACGTCCATGTCTGTATCGCTCTTGACCTTGCTGCCGTTTTGGCTCGACAATTGGCTTCTGCTTCTTGTACCATGAGATCGAAAAGATGCCGCAACGAGGCTCCACGCCCTTCGTCCAATCGAAGAAGGGGTCCTTCGCGTTGAAGGTGCATCCGGATTTGGCGAGGCTCCTCTGACGTCTGCCTCTGAAAATCCTGCATATGACCGGTGGTGCTCTGCAGCTGCACCAGATTCAAACCTGGTTTTCCCCTTTCCAAATCCGTCGTTTGGCCGGCTGGACCCTGTCCTCAACTGCCATCCAGACGCTCCCAAATCAGTTTGAGATCGTGATCGACGCCAAACATCGCAGCGTTCATCCACGATGGTTGACGATCGGTCAAGTCGCTCTGCCACGACGTCTCGGTCCAGCTGCTCGAACCTTACGCTGCGAGTCACCGACCTGAAAGCATGAGGATTCTTCTCCCTGCGATCTGCATTGGACCGCCGGCTGAGTTGCCACCAGTGATCTCTGAAACCTTGACCTGACTCCTTTGGCCGTTCTGTCCCTGCCGAGAGAGTAGCTGGCGATGGTCTTCTGCTGACCTCAGCTTGCGAGGAGTCGGTGTTTGTACCTCGATGTGACCACGTTCGAAGAGTGGACACGATCTGCGATCCGTTGTCGTCGTAACGAGCAGTCTGTTGTTGCTGATTCGTCGAGCGCTCTTGCTTTGCTCGCCATAACATAGAGCCAAATTCTGTCCGCCGACGCAGCCAACTGTCTGGCATGGTCCGCTTTCGTAGATGGCAGCGCCTCAATTCTTTGTTGTAAGACAGACATTGTCCGCCGCTCTTGGTGAAGTAGATGACATGACTGTCGTCGTGATCGTCGAATGTTCGTTTCCAGGTCGTCAAACTGCGCTGAAGGAAGGTGCTAGGGTAGTCAGAGAAGGTCAGATGCCCAAGACGACTGGAGTCAAAGTACGATGGGCAGCTCCTGGAAGCTGTTGACACCGCCACTTTTCTCGAGGCTTCGGCTTTACGCCTGCTCGGTCTGCAAACAACAGCCAGTGCGAGGTTCGAGCGCCGTGTTGATCCCGACATCCACCTCGGCTGTATGCCATGGAAGCGATCCAAGCGCCCGACGTGCAATCTCATCAGAAGTGCCAAGGTGAAGCCGTCGGAGACAGCCCCTGAGTACGCTTGTCCATGCAAGGCAGCTGCGAGGTCCCATCCTGAACGTGAGCACACTTCATATCACGGCTGCGCTGTCACAGGAGCCACGCTGAGGCGTGTACCTTGCACTGCCGCTTCCCCAAAATTTCAACCTGCAAGCTCATGCGCCGGAAAGATCACCGCATTGTTGTTGCCGATCAGTCAATTCTTGCATCCGAACGTCACCCTCGAGCGCGCTTGCACCGACTCACGTACAGCAAAGGCAACGCTGCAAGAGCATTTTGGTGTAACTATGTTTGCGATGCAATGCGACAATACAATGTAATAAGATGCTTTACGGCGATTCAGTTAATTGTCCCGGTTGTCAATGGTCAATCGTACCCTCTGATCCCGGGGGCGAAGTTATCGTGATCGAGCGTGCATGATGTAGGTCAGCTTGTTCCGTTGTGGGCGTCGGATGTCCCTGCGAAGCCTGAGCAGAATCAATGACGTTATCGAGCGGCGATCGCAACGAGGCAGGAGTCAGTAAACCTGGTGTGAGAGGGCCATTCGAAGTGACTGCAAGCGGGGATGGCGCGGTCGTTGAAGTGGCAGCAAGGTACATGCTTCCTTCTTCGCCAGACAAACCTGTGCTCGAGCGAGGCGCAGATTCAAGGCTATGGGTGTGCCCCTGAGGACTTGGATCTGTTTCGGCTCGGTGGGCTGCCTGGGTGGGGTGCATCCTTGCTGAGCCCGCGACGATCGCGCTGCTCGATCCACGGCTCGCATTCGCAGGAAGGTCGACGGTCTGCAGTCGAGGCAAGGACCTTTCAGTCGGTTCGTCGGCGCCCACATGTCGAGGATGCAACCTGTCTGCGAGAGAGCCAAGGTCGGCGGCCTGCGTGGCTGCTGCATCCTCCTTCGTGGAGCCTCCACTTGCATGTCTAGAGTGACTGGTCCCAGCTGCATCGGTGCTTCCGTCACTCCCGGCGGCAATGGCCGGCGTGATTGCATTGCTCCTTTTCAGACTGGCACCACTGACAATCGGAAGATCCGAAGGAGAAGGCACGTCAATTGAGCTGTCGGTGGTCGGCGACGATGACGCAAAGGCGGCGTCCGCTGCGCTCTGGCCAGCTCTGGATAGTTCACCGGCGCGTGTCGACGAGATAGGCGGGAGCAGCGGTGCACCCGCCGTCTTGAGATCGAAAATGTCGTTGCAATACAGGATGAGATCCTCCATCGTCTTGTCTTCCTCCATGGCAGCAGCCACGCTCGTAGTCTCGTGGTCCGCCTCAGACAAAAGACACGGCGAGAAGACAACGCTCAGGTTGGCGGCCGTCATCTTGTTCTGATCTGAGTGTTGAGCCAGCCTGCTGAGATGCTGAACAATCACTTTGAGTGTGAGCTGGTGAATGGGAGGCAGTCGACGGATCTTTCCTTTCAGCGTTGCAAAACCGGTTCGGATGTGCTCCTCTCTCTCGTGGGTATATTTGATTCGCTCTGCCCAGGGTATAGCGAGCACCGGCTCAGGCAACTGACGCAAATAATCCTTGAAGACGCCCGCGACGGCCGCCGGCTCGTCTTTGGCTGGATCGAACTGAAAGCCCAGCTCGTCCTTCTCAATGGCCAGAGCCAGTTGCTTGACGCTCGACTGTTTGGCCGAGATACGGTAGATGCCAGGAAGATTGATCGCATGTGTCTCGATGAAGTCGATACACTTCGTGACGATGAGAGGAGGAGCAACTGTGTCGCTCAGGCGATAGGGCACAGTGAGCGGATAGTCGGTGAGCGGCGTACCAAAGATTAGGTTCTTAAGTTCGCCATGCCAATAGTTGACATAGGACACCCTCTTGTCTTCCAGGGTCCTGGCACCTGGCAGATTCTCTTCCATCGATCTGAGCTCCTGGTCGAAATCATTGAGAGCCGCTTTGACCCTGTCCTCGCTGTGTTGATGAAGACCGCTGCTTCTGTCGTGCAGCACGATCTGCGAGCGCTCCGACTGCAGCCATACTGCCTGAGCCGTGTTTGCTAGCTCGGTGCGGCATTCTATCACGGAAGCTGCGGCAGCTTTGAGTGTCCTCAGCCTGCGCAGACGCAAGGTTTCGAGGTCAAAGATGGCCTTGCGGTACGCTTTGTCCGCTTCATCCACCTCTCGCTTTGCACGTGCCTGCTTTGCAGCGATGGTCTGCGTGGCCTTGTACGGGTTGTTGTTGTTGTTGCTGCCACCGAAAGTCCCTAGGAGAGTTTCGCTCATGGACGGCGTGGGCGGCCCGCTGTCGACACCGAAACCGGCAGCACCTCCCTGTCCGCCCTCTCGCATGCGATTGATGAGCGCGCCAATCTTCTTTGGCGCTTCCTTCCTGGCCGCATCCCAACCCTCTCGGGTTTTGAAAGCTTCGAAGAAGTTTGGCCTCGTCTTTTCGTGAGACGGACTGGGCGGTGAGGTGGACAGGGCGGAAGCTGTTGCTGGGAGATGCGTATCTGTGACGGGCGGCGAGCCGACGGACCTCTCGTCGGAGCTTCGATTGCCCTTGGCCGAAGCGCCGAGAGACTTTGACGAGGCATCCGAGTGATGTCTCGAGTGATGACGGCTGCGACTGCTTTTGCGACGCATGAGGCTGGTGCCGGTGCTGCCGGGGAAGGTGGAAGGAGGCGATCTCGCTGTCGGGTCAAAGTCTGGATGAGAGGGTTGGCGGCTGTGGCTGGTGGAAGCTGATTCTCGTTCTGCCGTTCTGGTGCTGAGCAACGTGCGCTGGTCTTCGACGGCTTTGGCTTGAAGCTGGAGATTCTCGACCTCCTCGGCTCTTTTTTCGTACGTGCGTCGAATCCTAGGCAGATTGGTGTTGCGCATCTCATCGTATTGTGACAAGCTCGTGCGCACATCCTCCTTGACACGTTTGCGGATGCGTTCCTGAGCATCACGGAAGGCCAGCAGCGGTGCTAGAACGCCCTGGCGACACGTCTCGACCATGTAGGAGCGTGCTTCGAGTTCACGCTGGTCATTTTGGCGCATCTCGAGCCACGCACGCCGGAGTTCAGGAAAGCGCTGAGCGTCGGCCATGAGGCTCACATCGCCGACGATCTTGGAACTGACTTTGGCATCGAGCTCCTTCTGACGTTCGAGCGAGATCCTCAAGCTCCTTATGTAGTCTTCTTCGAGGCGTATGCGTCCTTCAAAGAAAGTGATGTAGCTGTCGGCTTCCGACAGAATGGTGCTGAAGGTATCGAGGAGAGAGGATGAAATGTCAGCTGCCGAGGAAGCTGTGCCATCCGAGTAGTAGCCGTTGCTCGAAGCGGCGCGCGAGTGCTGTTCGGTCGACCTTCTGATATGAGAAGCTCCGACGGAGAACGAGTCCATGTTGACGCTCTATGCCCTGAGGGCTCAACACGGTTGAAATTATTGTTGATGAATCTGATCAGCCGTAAGGTGAGTCGTACAGCCGGCTCGAGCTACAAAAGTCTGGTGAGCTGTTCGGCGCCGGACGATGCTACAGTAGTAGCAAGCAGGGCCGTTCAAGACCCTTTGCCGGATGTTTTGTGTTGTCGACGAGTTGGTGGCTATGTCAGTGGCGGCTATCGGTCCACCTCCAAACAGCAATGCTGTTATCGTGAACTGTATGGCCGTCTCGTCGGCCAGGCTGTGTCCAAAAGTCATGAAGGCCACGACGCAACTCCGATTCCCGTCTTGCGCTGTTTCTCGCAGCGAAAGTGTCATGTGGAGACGCAGCGTCCAAAGTTATTGGCCGGCTTACTCGCGTGCTACCTCACAGCCTGACCTGGCCTCTCGGTGCGAAACCAAAAAAAAATGTCCTATGCACAGCCAGAATGGCTTGTGCTCGGAACCCCTTAAACTCAGACATCTGGCGAGACGCTCTGTACCGAAATCGGACCGTTCTTGACACGTGAACATCCAACGCATCGTTGATGAATTCCAGCTAAAGTGTTAGACCTGCAGACCTTATGGTCTCGAATGTATACCAAAATTCGACACGTCTTCATGCAGAAGCGAACGAGATCGGGTACGCTTTTCACGAGAGAGTCGCCTGGCGGGTCAACACGACAGGGAGCCTAGCTGAGCTTTTGGCACTCAACTTAGCCAATCCACCAATCCGACAAGGCGCCACAGGAACAGCCGCACACACGCTTCCACCTCGGCGGATCTTCCAGAGATTTTCAACTTTGGGATTCGAGCCACGCCTCCCCGCACAGACACACACGCGAGATTTCACCGAGAGCGTCATTTTTTCCATTCTCCCCGAAAGACTGGCCTAACTGCGCTTGGCGAGGTGATGGCATCGTCATTTTGACGTCGACCACAGAGTTGAGTCTGAACCTTTCACATCCTCGAGTTGTCGTTCTGGTCTTTCCATCTCCCCGTCACTGTTGTTTCTCAACCACCACCACCGTCATCGACTCACCTACATTTCATCCGCGTCTGTCAGTCTCTTCTTCTGAAAAGACCGGCGTCGTATATACCTTGCTCCATCCACCTTTCGTTCTTGCATGGTGCTCATCGAGCAAGTGGTCCTCGTTGCTTCCATCTTGATCACATTCGGTACCTGTCTCGCCGCTACAAAGCTCGCTGCGAACCTTTTCCCCGACTTCGAACCTCTTCAATTCTACGACGCGGCAACCAATCCAATGGAGATCAACGTCGTTCTCGCCTTTGTGGTGGGCCTGGTGTTCTCGGTGGTAGCCCTGCTGTACTTTGACTCCCAGAAGCTCAAGCCCGTGCTTAACCCCACACAATGGCAGCAGTACCGCCTCATGGAGAAGCAGAGGCTTTCGGACAACACGGCGCTGTACCGCTTCAAGCTTCCTCGCTCGAACAACATTCTTGGCTTGCCGATCGGACAGCACATCTCGGTCCAAGCCAACATGGGCGGCAAGAACGTCGTGCGTTCGTACACGCCCACCTCGTCGGATGACGACCTCGGCTTCTTTGACCTCGTCGTCAAGTCGTACGAACAGGGCAACGTCTCCAAGTACATTGGCGCCATGAAGATCGGCGATCTCCTCTCGGTCAAGGGCCCCAAGGGTCAGATGCGCTACTCTCCCGGTCTCTCGCGCCACATTGGCATGATTGCTGGTGGTACCGGTCTTACTCCTTGCCTGCAGATCATCCGTGCTGCGCTCAAGAACCCTGCCGACAAGACGCAGATCGACTTCATCTACGCCAACGTCAAGGAGAGCGACATCTTGCTCAAGAACGAGCTCGACGAGCTCGCCGTCAAGCACAAGGACCAGTTCCGCGTCCACTACTTCCTCAACGAGGCCCCCGAGGGCTGGACCGGCGGCACCGGTTTCGTCACCAAGGATGCTCTGGAGGAGAAGATGCCCAAGCCCGCCGACGACATCAAGGTTCTCATGTGCGGTCCTCCTCCCATGATCAAGGCCATGACCGGACACCTCGAAGCCCTCGGCTACCAAAAGCCTCGCACTGTCAGCAAGCTCGAGGACCAAGTCTTCTGCTTTTAAGCCGGCGGGCCCTTGGCATAGGCTTAACTGGCATGCTTACGATGGTCCGAATCTCTGGCCAACGAAGCAGAGATCGAACCACGCAAACAGCGCAAGATCCGTTCCTGCGTCCCTTCATTTCTCTAGAAACCTCTCGCCTCGACATAATGCTGTCCGAGTCCGTATGACGGTTCGGTGTAGGACAGTATCTCTCCTCACCCTTTTTCCTCTCGCGACGCTTCGAAAAGCAGCGCATCCGTGTTTGGTATTGTTCCAAGTTCTCCTTTAAAAAAGCAATACAATCGCTTCGTGCACCTAACGCGGATGAACAAAGCTCAAATGCGGGTCGGCGTGCTCTGCGACTTTGAATCTCAGACGTCACTCTACAGTAGAAGTATGAACACACTTTTGCATTGATCACAGGAGGAAACCACAAGACTCGTGTGTCTAATAAGGAGGTGGGCACGCCGATTTTTCCGCCGTTGCGGCAGATGCTGAGCTGCCAGAAGCGCCTGCTGATCCAGAGATCTCCGAAGCAACGGCCTCACCTTTCTCGTTGACATTGATGGTGACCTCCCTTCCATCGTCGAGCTTCGCCTTCATGACACGAGATCGTGCCGCTTTGAGCAGAGCGGACCTTCGGATCCCACGTACGTCCTTGTAGACGATGAAGACGTTCTTACCTGCACCACCGATGCCTTCAGCGACGGAACGGGCGTCAGGACCGTACTTGTGACTAACAACGTCCGAGGCAGCCTGACCAGAGGTGTAGAGAAGGGTTTGTGCTCCGGCGTCGATTCCGTCGAGTACGGTGTTGGCGGCAATGAGACCGCGATTGACGAAACCTCGGATGCCGGTGGGTGCGGGACCGGCGGTGCCGTCCGGGTTGACTTTGCGCTGGATGCCTGTCTTTTTGCCGATCTTGTCACCGACATTGCCGGCGACGCGGAGAATGGCACCGGTGGTTTGGGACGAGATCTGCACGGCAGATCCGGACCAGTTGTGAACCGTCTTTACGCCGGCGTGCGTCTTTGGGCCGAACTTGACAGGGTCTCGTCCTGCTTCGGCCTTTTCGTTGTTGGGAGTCGAGGTGCCAGAGGAGCCGGCAGCGGGGTGTTTGGCCATGTAGGAGTCGGCAGCACCCTGAATTTTGCCTCCTACGAACTCGGATGCTCTGATGATGGTGCGCGAGATGGTGTCGGCCCCCTTGATCATCCAGTCGCGCTTCTCCTCAGCAGAGAGGACGTCGACATCGACATTTTGCTTTTCGCTCTCGCTGATAGGCTCGGGCGGAAGATCGATGAGAACAGGTGCTTTTTCGTTGCCTGCGTCAGACATTGCATCCGACTCGCGAACGGTGAAGCCCTGAACGACGCCGATCACTTTTCCGTCTTCGTCCATTAGCTCCATGGTACCCGCGTCCGATCGATCCTCGTCATGGTAGGCAGCGTACTGGGAGAGGATCTGCTCGAAGCGCTTCATGTCGGCGATACTGGTGGTGGCCGGAAGCGCAATCTTGATGGAAGCGCCTTCGAGCTCGAGCGAGGGAAAGACGTACGAGCGTTTGGAAGTGTCGCCCTGAGGGATGATGGTCTGCGTAGCTGCTACAGGAAGAGAAAAGTCGTCTCCGATGGAAAGTACCAGCCAGAGGTCGGTCTCGTAGTTCGGAGCCTTCTCGCTCGAGGAGGTGGCGGTGGCGTGCCTCGAAGCATCCTCAAGCTCGATGCTGACGAGCAGCGACTGGAGTTTACCAGAGGCTAGGATGACAGTCTCTCCTTGGTAGTCTTGGGTGGCGATGGCGCCGGGCAAGGAGAGCAGCTCCACACCCTTTGAAGATTGATGCGAAGAGGTGGAAGACATGGTTGCGGATGAATTTGGGTGGTAGTGGTGGTACAGACGCAAGAGAATGCCTACGGTAACAATATGTATTGATCAAGATCCTCTTCAACCACACAGCCAACGATTCATCATGACTTGGTCGCCGGGCGAATATCAAATTGGCTGTCGGTTGACTGACAATGACAGCAAGATGCGCAGCGTTTCTTCAAGACAGCCGACGTTGCGCTGCAGTCAAGTGCTCAAAACGACACAAAGCAAGAAGATGAAGGAGTGTGGAGGCAGTGCATGGACCGTTTAATTTTCCTTGTCCTGCAGTCCCCGCGTTGGAGTTTTCTTGGCGCGTGGCTATACAGTGTGATATCATCGGAACGGCCAATTTCACCGAGGTTGCTACGCTGACTGTCTGTGTGATGCTTTAAATAGAATGACCAGCTGGCTTGGGGCGTAGCGCGGCGACGGCACCGATACAATTGGACGCAACCAGACTTCGATCAAGCTCATGGTGTCACGCTTTGAGCCATGTTGCAACAGCTGTGGACTCGGTCTGGTTGCGTGTCAAGCAGCTTGCAAGCTGGACATGCCAAGGAAAGAAAATATTCAATGGGTGTTAGATACGAATTTGGCACTGACCCTCCACAAAGCAGGTGTGAAACCAACTTTGACTTCAACTAACTCGAAAAGGCACACACACAAACACACACACACGAGCGCGGTTCAATGCGAGTTTCAACAACAAACTTTCCAACCTTTCTTCCTCAAGATTCCTCTCGGCTCAGTTCTACCACGACGTGCCTGCCTTCGATCACCACCGAGACCGTCGTCGATTCTTGATCAATTCACAACAGAAGGCAAAGGTCCGGATACCATCGCTTTCAAGGCTTCTCAGCTCAGTCCAGAACCCGACTTGGCACACACACATCAGCATTCCAGCGACGATGGCTTCGTCGAAAAGAATCGGCAAGGAGCTGGCCGACCTCACCAAGGAGCCGATCTCAGGCATCACCGTTGAGCCCAAGGAGGACAACATTTACAAATGGGTCGCAAAGCTCCAGGGACCAGCAAAGAGTCCGTACGCCGGAGGCACATTCTTGGTCGACATGGATTTCCCCATAGAGTATCCTTTCAAGTCGCCCAAGGTCAAGTTCAACACGCGCATCTACCACCCCAACATCGACGAGAGCGGAAGTGAGTCTCAATGTCACAACGTCGTCAGAGGCAAGGTTGGGAGTGCTCTTACTGACTTTTTGGAATTCGACGCTGGCTATGACGCAGACTTGTGTGTTGGTATCCTCAAGAGTGAAGCATGGAAGCCTAGCACAAAGGCGGTCACCAGTAAGTCGAACACAGGCGAAGACCTTGGCAGGATGCACACTGCTGACATGTTCCGCTCGGTCGCTTTGTCCTTACCCGCGATCCTTGTACGCAGTTTTGCTCTCCATACTCCAGCTCCTCGAAGAGCCTAACCCGGACGATGCATTGGTCGCGTCTATTGGTAAGCTTCGACATCACTCGCTCGAATCGAAAGGTCTTTACAGCAACTCCGCCGCTGACACGTCTCTGACTTTGCTCCTCGATGCCTCTGCAATGCAGCTGAGCTGTACAACACTGACAAGGCAAAGTTCGACAAGACGGCGCAAGAGTACACCAAAAAGGTACGTCCAGATTTGCTTCTGCTCGCAACGACATCCGCGAACAGCCACTCACCTTCCTTTTGTCCATTTGATCACCTCCACCCGACATCACAGTACGCCTCTGCATAAGTCGATACAAGCAGCCGACCAATGCGCTTGATGCCTCGCCTGGTTCGATGGACTACTAGGCAAACCTCAATCCAATCCCATCTTCATCCAAAACCACCTTTTACTCTCTATCCATAATGAAAGCAATGTACCAACAGATGAAGGCTTGCAATGGCATCGATTTCTTCGTTCCAGATCTCGATCTTGCGCACTCGTTTGAAGAGGATGCTTAGAGATGGCGAGAGTGATTTGTAATGGGAGCAACACTCGTGAGAGACGCGACTGTGATTCATGCAAGTTGGGTCGGAATTTTTTGAGTGTTGGTCTGAGAACATTCACGACCTGCGATCCGACGACCATCACAACGCCCTTCGCCCGTGTTTCAAGAATGGTGATGCACATCCTCGGGCTTCAGCTGGCCTCGGGGTCGCTGGCCATACCAGCCGCGTATCGACGGCGTACGATTTCCGCTCTGACCCGGATGCAGTCGGCGTCGGCGTTGGCGCTGGTGGCTTTTTCAGTGGTGCACCTTTCCGCACCTCTGATCGGACTACTGGGTGGAGGAGATGTGAATGATAGGATTGACGGTGTTTCGAGGTGGATGTTGTTGGGCAGGGTGGCGTATCAGAGTGCGGTGGGGGAGGGGTTGTTGTGGTTCGGGTTGGGGGTGCATTTGCTTTCGGGTGGGTTGAAGAGGGTGTTGAGGAACTTTACCGTTGCAAGGACCGAGGATGGAAGGGAAGACAAAGTGGTGGCTTTGCCGGAGGAAACACCAGCGAGGGCGAAGATGACGGTGGCGCAAATGTCCGGGTGGCTCTTGGCGCCGTTTGTGGTACATCACGCCGCACTGAACCGTTTGATACCTTCGATGGACAGAGCACCGATATCCGGACTGTCACCGAGCGAATTGGACTACTCGTTCGTCTCGCACACCCTTTCGCATCCAACAACAGGCGTCAAAGCGACGATGGCGTTGGCGTATACTGTGTTGGTTGGCGCTTTTGCCGTTCACGCGACGTACGCCGTACCTGCGCTGCTCAGGTTTGCTAAGAGGTCATCGTCCAGTGCCGCAAGTCCAGCAAAGCGGACCAGGAGGAGACGCCTCTCGCGAGCGACCATCTCAAGCTCACTGGCAGGCATCCTACTGGCAAGCCTGCTATCCGTCGTACCCCTTCGTCACACCGACAGACTCACGATTTCGGCTTCACTCAAGGCTCGCTACGACGCAGTGCTTGCATACGCTTGGCCCACCCACTTCTTCTTCCGCACATCCTGACGCTTCAAACACGCAAACTCTGTCACCTTTCAACCTCCAATTTCATTCCATTCAGATACCCTCCTTAGTCTTCTTCTTCGTCCACCTAACTGTCCCCATCTGCTGATCATCCCTACACGCACCCCTCTGCGCCAACTCCACCGCTTCGGCATTCTGCGCCTTGCCGACCTTCCAAAACCTCACCGTACAGTCGATCTCCTCGTAGCCCCTCACCGCCTTATCGAGCAACTCCCACAGATCGCGATCGGGCACCTGCTCACCCACCATACCCAGCGGAGATTCGGACATGATGCGCCAATTGTTGTGGCGCCATTCCCAGATCCAGCGCGAGATGCCGTCGACGAGCCAGGCGTGGTGTGTGGCGATGACGAGTTTGTCAAAGCCTTCCGTTTCCCAGCGCGTATATTCGAGCGCGGCGAGCGCGGAACGCAGGGCGGCGCGACGGAGCGTGGTGGAGGAGAGGTCCGGTGGACGTTCCAATCGGCGCGAGAAGTTGGTTTCGATCGCCACGCCGGCCGAACGGGCGAAGCCTGGCTGACGCGAACGAGGGTCGTGTGTGGGGCAAAATACGAACCCAAGTCCAGCACGTTTTTCTTCCGCCTGCTGTGTCGAGACAAGGGATGAGCTGGTGTGGGTCGATTTTAGCTGCGCTTCGAGCGACTTATAGTCCGGCAGCTTCCCAGCTCCGAACATGGCTTTGCGTGTCGCTTCCACAGAAAAATCGGTCGGAATCGAGCTGTAAACCGATGCGGTATCGGATGCGCCGAACCCTGTAGCCGAAGTGTCGGTGGTCATGATGGAGCTGGCATCGCTGCCGAGCTTCATAGCCGCCACCTGACCCGGTGTCAGAGCAGCCCCTGCACACAAGATCAGCATCTGACGTGGATCGATCTTGCGCACGTACCTCAGCGGTCGCCACGGTCTCGGATCCGGTACAAATAGATCTTCCACCAGCAGCTCTCCGTTCGGACGCGCCGTCCTGATCGTCGCAGCGTCCGAGGAAGGTGCAAAGAGGCTCGCTTCGTATGCTGACGGAACCCGCCCTTCGGAGGCTTGTTCGAATTGAGTGATGCCTGCCTTTTTCTCCTTGTCGGTGAGACGGTCGAGGGTGCGATGGGAGGTCCACGTTCCGGAAGCAGCCCAAGGGGTTTTGGCGTTGGCTGCGTCGCCGGTGATGGAAGGGGGTGGTCGGAATGGTGTGGTGACTGCGTTAGCTGATACGTTCATCGGGAGTGTATCGGTGCGTCCTGCGTTCAGGGTATAGGTGGTCATCTTGGATCGCGCCGAGGTGGCTGTAGCGTTGGTGTTGATCGAAGCTGCGTCGCTGTCGGTAGGGTCTGGCGCTGTTTGCACTGACGACGATGCGGGAATTTCGAAAGGCTTGACCGGCTCGTCGACCGAACTCGGCTCAGACTGCGACTTCTCCACCTCCTCCTTGTACGCTTGCGCCTGTGTCCTTCCCTGGTCGTCCAGCTTCCCCTTCTGCTCCGACGCTGCTGCTGCAGCCGCTTTCTGTCTTGCCTCGATCTCCTTGCTGAAGTCATACTCCTTTGCCCCGCGGTCGTGCATGGTAGCAGGGATGAAGAGACGCTTGACCGAATTGTGCTGTGCCAGCGCATCAGGTGCATACGAGATGCCACCCGGAGTGTCGAGTCTAACTTGATACGCCGACTGTTGCTGCTGAAGTGCATCCTTGCCATCGGTCGTTGTTGCGCTGACATCCGTGGTGGGCAGCACGGCTTCGTACGAGCTGCCGCTGTCGTACAGACGTTTCGATGTGGACGCTGCTTTGGAAGCTGAGGGTCGAGCCCATGCTTGCAGGTAGCGGTAGTCGGGCGCCGACATGACGACGATGAAAGAGTTGATGGATGAGGTCGAAAGGAGAGGAGCTTACAGAGAGAGGTCAGGTCTGAAACAGGGATTGGAAGGGCTACTTCAGGGTCCGTGTGTTGTTCGGCAGCAGAGTGCGCTGCGCCATGACCTTTTCCGATTTTTGGGAAACACGGCTGCAGTCTTCGAAAAGGAACAAAACACGCACACCAACACTGCAGTACTCTACCTCTCGAGTCGGGCCGCACTGGACACCGCGTTTTGTGTTTTCGGAGTTTGTAGTCCGAACCACAGCCTCTTCTCAACGCTTTCTTCTCGCCTAGCTCACGGTCCGCCGGCGTCTTGATGCAGGCAGCTCGAATCGCACGCAACACAATCAGCTCTGCTCGGGGAAGGAAGCTCGACATTCAAATTCGCATTTGCCGGAATGAGTACATAGAGGCACCGTGCTCAAGCCTTGGGAAGCGTACCGATCTGCTGCAGGTAACGATAGGTCTCCAAGTACCCATCCTTGGCCGTATCGCACACCACATCCCAACCAGCAGCCCTGGCCTTGTCCAGGCTTCCCTGCTGATCAAACGTCGCGCCCAGCGTGAAGTCGGCGAATGCAAACGTAGAGTGATCCGAAAACGCCTTGGGATCACCGCCCTTCTCGCTGGTCAGCTTCTTCCACGCCTCGATGTTCTCCGGCTTCTCGCTCCACTCGTGCAGGCTCAGGCTCAGCTTGGGCGGCTTCTCGTTGTACTCTGTCTCCAGGGTAGGTGGCAGGATCTTGAGTCCCAACTCTTTGCCCAAGTCTTGCCAGATCTGACCGAGCTTGCGTTTGTCACCGTCCTCGATGTTGAACGACTGGTTCTCGGTTTTGGCTGCGTTGGCGGGGTCGGTGAGGAAGACTTGGAAGCGGGCGTTGTTGATGGCAGTGCTCTGTGATACGAAGATCTGGTCCCAGTTGAGATTGTTACCGGGATACTGGACTTCGGTCTTGCCTTTGGCCTTCTCGAGCGCGAGGTAGATGCTAGTGGAGACGGCCTGGTTCATAAAGTTGCCCTTGGCGGCACCGATGATGGTGTTGGGACGCGTCTCGGACCAGGCGTATCCGTGCTTCTTGGCGTGTGCGACGAGGGTGTCGACCTGGTCGTAGTAGAAGTTGGGAGGGTCGGTGGGTCCGCGAGGCGCATCCTCCTTGTACGGAAGCGGCGATGCGATGTTCTTGTCGGCCAGGTGGAGCGAGTACCACTTGTAGCCCGTCTGCAGGTGGAAGTGCTTGAGCGACTTGCCAGCTGCCGCGTAGGTGGCATCGAGCGCCTTGCTGAGCAAGATGTGGTTGATGTCCAACAGCTCTTGGGCATCCTTCTTCTCGATATAGGTGTAGTGCAGAGCAGCATTCACCTTGTCGCCTCCGTTGGCCTTGAGCTTATCGGCGATTTCGTCGACAGAGGCGTTGAGGATATCGATCGAGACGAACTTGATACGATCGTCCTTGAGGTCGACCTGAGGAGGACGACGCGACACGGCCAAGATGTGGCCCACGGTCTCCTTGGGCTGCTCGACGAGGGCTCGGAGGGCGGCGATGCCCGAGACGCCGTTGGCGCCCCAAACGAGATAGTTGCGTTGCGACGACATTTTAGTTCCGACAGGTATCGAGTCAGAGGGCTGTGAGCAGACTAGATGAGTGGTCTGAGGATACCTCGTAGTGAGCTCGGATGGAAAGCTGTCCTCCTTATATGTCACGGGCCAAGTCAAGTGAATGGAAGACACGGCTATGCAAACAGGCCATCCTCCACCTACGATTATGCCAAGCGCAAAACCAGAAGGTAAAACAATAAAAGTGGCGTTCTTACTCGGAAACGATCTGTGTCATTCTGTCAGCGTGAAGCAAACCAGAAATTCACCGTGCAATCGCAAGCACGTTATGACGTTAGCCCTCTTGCGAATCCCTAATCCCAACTTCGAACCTCACCTTCGTGTCTTGAAACATTTGGTCGTTCGCTTCGGCGAAGTCTACAGGTTCATCACATCCGATCCGAGGAGAGTCCCGTTCACAGTCAGTTCTGGTCCCGGATGACTGGCGTTGACAGCCTGGCAGCCTCGGATGAGTCGGTACCCTTCGCACGGCCCATTCATCCCTTCTCGCTACTCATCCTCACTCTGCAGACCGTCACGCGATGTGGACGCGCTGCTGAAATGGTGGCTGATCTTATGTCCGCAGAGAATACGATCGATGCATCATGTATGCAATATGCAGTGTGCAACCTGTACATTGTCTGCGACCAGGGCAACGCCTTCGACGACCGTTCAATCCCGTAGGAAGGCAAGACGCTTGAGCAGGATCTCGGCGCTATCGGTCATCTCGGTCCCGGCTGCAATCACTTTTTGCAGGTAGTCATTAGCCACAGCCAGATTGCCCACTTTGGTAGCGGCAGCGGTGGCGCCTTCGCCATCCTGCTCCATCTCGTCGGCGGCACCTCCTGCACGCTGCTGCGCGGCCCTTGCGCCGATCTCTCCCATCTCCCACCTCGCTGCGATGATGTACGAACGGGCGTAGCGCGCTACGACGTTCGACTCGGCACCCGCCAGCGCCCGATCCACGACCTGGACGAGGCGTCGGTGGTAGCAGGCCGCCGCTTCGAAATCGCGCTCCTTCTCGTACACCTCGATGATCCTCGTCAGGCCCATCACCGTATCGCCTTGGTTGAGTCGGCAAGCGAGGTAGCGTTTGAAGCACGAGATGGCGTCCTGCGACCGACCGAGGTGGTCGTAGCAGATACCCATGCTCGACCACATTCGTCCATCGTACGGACGGATCGCCGCACACTTTTGAAAGTAGTTGACCGCGTACGTGTACGCACCGTTGAGCTCGTACACCTGCCCAAGACCGTAGAGCGCACGGTACTCGCGCGGGTTGATCTTGAGTGCTCTTCGGTACATCTCTGCCGCCGCGTGGCTGTTCTTCAGCTCGATGTACTCGTGACCGAGCAAGATCCAGGCGGGCACGCACCCGGAGTCGAGTCGAAGCGCGTGTCGGAAGGCCTCGATGGCACGGTGGTGATCGCTGCGCTGGTTGTAGTAGTTGCCCACCAGACAGCACACCTCTGGCCTGTCCTTGGCGAAGGAGCTGAACTTGTGCGCAAGGTGGGCTAGCTCGGCGGTGCGGTTGAGTAGGTAGAGGGCGTTCGAGTAGTCGGCCAGCCCGTCGATTCGATACGGATCGATCGACCATGCCTCCTGGAAGTCCTGCTCGGCTTCGATGTAGTCGAGACGATGTACGTTGGTCTGCGCGCGGCAGGTGAGCAGATACGCCGAACGCGGGAACGACTCCAGCAGACGGTCGATGCGCGTGATGGTGACATCGCCTTCTTGCGCTGAGTGACGGTCGAGGAACTCGCGAAAGAAGCTGACCATGAACGACTCGGGAAGCAAGTCGGCCATCTGATCCGCCTCGCCTGGTTCCAGTGTCATGGCCAGCTCTTGCCACGCCGCCCAGTTGTACGCAAAGCCCTGCACCGAGCGGATCAAACAGTCCATCGCTTCGATCGGTCGATTGAGTTTGCGCAGGATGGCACCTTTCAAAAACAAAAGGAACGGTTCGGATGCGTCGACGAGTTCTTTGAGGATCGGGATCAAGCTTGGCGAGGTAGCTGGTAGCGTGCTGTTGGGCTTGGGGATGATCATGCCGTGTTCGTCGAGCTTGCGTTCGGACATGAGCAAGCGAGCGTACAGACGCAAGAAGCGTGCCTTTTCCGAGCTGCTCTTGCCGCTTTCGAGCACCCAGATGCATCGTTCGAGTTGGTGCTGGTCGAAATGGCTTTTCGCCAGCAAGTACGTTTCCTCCTCGAGTAGGGACGATCCGGCGTATGACGAGCCCCCGAATCGGACTTGAGACGCGCCGGGAGAACAGTCAACAGAGTTAGAGTTGGATTGCCAATGGACGTGAGCAGACCCGGGAGCTGCGTCGTCCTCGCTGTCGACCGTGATGAGCGAGCTGTCCGGGTCGCCTCTCGGCGATGCAACGTGAGCGAGGCGATTGTTCGCAAGAGGTGAGGAGGCAAATGCGCCGGGTGCAAACCTTCCCGAGGCCTCGCGTGTTGATGCATCTTCTGTGCCTGGCTCGACGGACATGCGCTGATGCATGCCGAACGCAGGCGTCGAGTGCTCCGGGATCAGCGACTTTGCCTGTGAGCGACGCTTCGCCGCAGGTGTCGATGCGGCCACCGCCGAATCATCGGATGAAACCTGTCGTGAGAGGAACGGATCTGCATTAGAAGAACCGGTGTAAGGCACCGACTGAAGCAGCTCGAGCGTCCATCTGGATGACGAGGCTAGCCCTCGTTCGGACAGTTCGAGGGCCGCGAAGCGGAGTGACTCGCGTGCTCGAGCCGGGTCGAGGTCAGGAAAAGGATAGTCGGCATCGAAGACGGTCGATTCCGACATGGTCATTTGACACGCCGAGCAGAGCACAAGGACCCGCGTTCGGGGAGTTGGGATGATGGCGCGTTTGTTGAGAGATGATGAACAGGTCGCAAAGTTGAAACGCTCGATAGCCTCCTCTCGACGTTTTGGTGTTGTTCTCGACGCGCTCTCGACATTTTTCTTTCCTCCGCCGCAAGAGAAAGGGTCTCCCATGTCTCAGCGCGTCGCTCTGCCACATTCACAAACACCATGCAAAACCTCACCAGATCATCAGGAACGTGAACAACACCTCTGTGGAGCCGCTGAAATTCACATACGCAGCACAGTTCTGACCGCCTTCTGTAGCACAGAGTCAGCACAATGCTCAAGAGTCTCTGAGAAAGATACAGCGCAAATGAATGGTGATGATGTGATTCCGAGTGTGATAATGCACAGCTGCTTTCTGCGAGAAGGCATGCTTCTATATGACGAGGATCGAGGATCTGAATGCAATCGAGTGGCTACAAGTACAAAGAGGATTTGACGGGAGACGATAATGATCGAATCTAGCTAAAAGTACACGTTGGAGGGGAGCTGCTTTGCGTCCGAAGGTGGAGCACGAATGTTTTGAGATGGTTGTCAGAGCAAATGCTGGGCTCGCTGTTTACGGCGGATGTCTACCACTTGCTGGCACTGCTGTCGCGGCCAAATCGGCTCTCGCGAGCATCGCGACCACTTCCCCAGCTGCTGCTGCCGCCACGTCCGCCGCTCGATCGGGAGCTTCCTCGACTGTCTCGGCTAGGCCCGCGTCCATCGACGGCGAAGCGGCCGGAGTTGCCGTCATTGTCGTCCTTGCTGAAGCGACCGCGTCCAAAGGAGCGGGAGCCTCCACTACCACAGCGCCCGCCGGCGTTGAAGCGACGACCGGAACTTCCGCCATTTCGGTCGCGGAGAGAGATGCCGAGCTTCTGCATAAAGGCATCGCTGAGGTGCGGCGGTCGTTCCATGCGACCAGCCTCGACTGTCCATTGCTTGAGGCCGTCGAGAACCGACATCTTGTTGGTGCGCAGCTCGTCACCCTTGCCAAGGTAGAAGCCGAGCAGCGAGTTGAACGTTTCGCGCACAGCGTCCTCTTCCTCGAGCGACTGGAGCGAATTCTCAATGAGCGGCGTCAGCGTCTCGGTGGCAAACTTGCCCGTCAGAGGTCCTCGGATCTTGGCAGGGGGTCTGGCTGCGCTGAGGTTCTTTTCGCGACCGCGGATGCCTTTCTGGAACTCGTAGCTCTTAGCGTACTTCCTGGCTTCCTGAACGAGCTCCTCGGGCGCAGAAAACTCGTCCGGCGACTCGTCGAAGCGCTTGGATAGCGTTTCAACCTCTTGCACGAGATCATCGACGTGCAGCTGGTTGACGGGAAGGTCGTCCAGCTGATAGTAGAGGAAACCACGTTCAAAGTTCTGCAGCACGATGTCGGATCGACCTTGAGCGCCGGCACGACCGGTTCGACCGATGCGGTGAATGTACTGGTCCTTGCTGCTGGGAATGCCGACCTGGATGACACGCGTGGTGCCAGGATAGTCTACGCCACGTGCACTGACGTCGCTGGTGACGAGCACGCTCGCTCCACTCTTGTCCTTGCGGAAGCGATCGCTGGTGTTGAATCGCGCTCGCTGGTCCTTCTTGCTGTGAATCTCATAGACGCTAGAGGTCGGGGCAGGCAGATGACGTTGGGCGCCACGGATCACGTCGGCCAACAACTCGGTCATCTTTGTGGTGGGTGCAAAGACGATAGTCTTGGATTTGCCAGGGTTGATGAGCTGGTCATGGGCGATGAGACGCAGAACGTGAGGAATCTGCTCCTCTGCTGACTCCAGAACGGTGGCGTACTGGGGGATGTGCTTGTGGACGTTCTCTTCGCCGGCAGGAACGCAATCGACGAAACGGTGGTCCTTTTCCAAGCTGGCACGAGCGATGGCACGAATCTCGGGGCTGACGGTGGCACTGAAGAGCATGTTCTGACGGTCCACTTTGGCGGGGAGATGGCGCATGATGGCCTGCAAATCGTCGCGGAAACCCATCTCGAGAAGCGTGTCGGCCTCGTCGAGGATGAGGGTACGACATGCTGTCATGGCCTCGCGGATCATGCCGACATCGTTGAGCAGGTCCAGGATACGACCGGGAGTGGCGACAACGACGTCAGGTCTTGAGCGCCTCCAATCGTTGATCTGGAAATTTCGGCTTGCGCCTCCGACAAGGAGCTGTACCTTGAGCTCAGGCTGGTGTGAAAGCAGCTTCTTGGCTTCGTCGGCGATCTGAGTGGCCAGCTCTCTGGTTGGCGACAAGATGAGGGTGCCGACAGTGTTGTTGACGAACTGCTTGACAATCTCTTCGAGCTCCTTCTTCTTCAGGGAGGATACGTCGAGTTCGGGTCTGTGTCTCTGAAGCATCTCGAGCCAGGGTTTGGAGAACTTGCCATTGCGAACATCTTCGATGGATCGCAGACGAGCTTCGAGAGCAGGCACAAGGAAGGCGATGGTCTTACCCGTTCCTGTCTTTGCCTTGACGAGCATATCCCTGCCCTGTCCGTCGGGCATGGGTGCGGCCGACTCTCCAACGCCGCTCGCGAGTTCTGGAAGGAGGTGAAGGACGCTCTGCTGCACGGCCGACATGGTGGTATATGTGAATGGCTTGACGGTCAAGGCTTTGAGGATGGATGGATTGATCGAGCCTTTCAAGGATGCGAAAGTCTCATCTTTGGCACGTTTGCCTTTTGTTTGAACGGCCATGCCGCTCTCTGGAGCCACGTCATCTTGTGGAATGTACTCGTCCTGCGTTGATGTCGCAGTGGCAGTGGCGGCTTCTGCCGACCTTGTTGATTGGGACAAGCTGCGGATCGCGTAAGCCAAGCTCGAGCTGGCATCCAGACGTGCGCATCGAGCGGAGCTGATTTGTGACGCTGAGGCTTGGATGGAAGACGATGAGGCGATAGGGCTGACCCGAGCTCGTACGATTGATCTGGTGGTCAACGTCGAGAGCTGTCGAGCGGTGACCGATGATCGTGCAAGCCCGAGCGGGCTGGTCAGCTTGGTATACAGCATTGCGCCTAGGTTGGCTTGTGACGCCAAAGCTGTCTGAGTGACAAGCGATTGCCTCTGCTGTAAGTGCAAAGGATGCTTTGCCGTTGGTCCAGTCGATGGATGTGCTGTGGTGGATGTAGACGCAAAGGAAGCGAAGGATCGTGCTCAACAGGAAGGACACAATACCGTCGTTGCAGCGCTCAGTCTGCATTCCAAAAATCTTCTGCAGGGTCAGACCGGACACTTTTTTCTTTTCCAATAAAGTTTCTTCATCACAGCAAATCTCCACAGAGCTGACCAATTTGGGTTAGACAGAATCGGGTCGATCGAGATGCCTAGCTACCCGATGATTGAAAAGCAACACTTTCAAAAGACGCGAAGCTTTGAATCTCAATTCCTTGGAGAATGCGGAACTGCGGGAAGTACGAGACCAACACCTCTGCTAAGTTACCGTTCGACTCTGTACACCATCCTGTACGTCAGCCTTCTCCTCTCATCCCGGCTACTTCGTCAGGAGGTGCTCAGACATCTCGTCAGCATGAAGGCGACGAGCCAGATCGATGGTTCAGCCAAGAAGCTGACGAATAGAGCGCTTCTCCCACCAAGGTGGCCGCTATACCTCACCTTGATTGGCGCAGCCGTGCTACGTATCGGCATCGTCCTCTACACAAATGCATTCGAGCTGCTTCAGGATCGTCCCGAGCTCAGCACACCACTCACCAGCTTCAAGGCGCTCATGGAGACGCACTATCTCTTCCGACATCCGCCCAAGCCAGCCTCACCTTCGTCCTTCCCCTCGCTGTCGGATCCATATTCGGCTGGAACAATTCACCATTCACCGCTGCTTTTGCCCGTCCTCGACTTCGCACTCAAGCGCTTGCACGCATCGGGCGATCCGTTGCCGGTGACATTCATCTGGATAGCCGCCGATGTGTGCGCGGGCTGGCTACTCTACCGCATCTGCCTTGCCCGCGAGGTAGCCAGGTGGTCTCGGCAGATCCATCTCTACGCTTGGGACCAGAGCAGAGCGTTGAAGGTGGCCGCCATATTCCTCTTCAACCCTTACACTATAGCCACGTGCATCTCGAGGAGCTCGGTATCGCTCGAGATCGTTGCGTTGCTCGCCGCCATCCACTCTGCCGTGTCAGCCTCGGCCATCTTGCTTGCTGTGTGCTGGGCGATATCTTCATGCCTCTCACTCTACCCGGTCCTGTTCTTGCCCATGCTCGTACAACTTTGCCGCTCCAGAGCCGGCGAGCTCATCTACGAACGCGAGGTCGCGAGGATCGGCAAAGACGCCAACTCGACCGACACAATCAAGGCAACACGCCAGCGTGGCTTCCTTGCCGACCGAGTACGTTCCGCAAAACGCTTCGCCGTCTTCAAGTGCATTCTTCTCATGCCTGTTGCACTCGCTGGCGGCCTGTGGCTCTCGAGGGCCATTGTTCTCAATCCAAGCAGCACCTCAGCAAGCGCTCTGCTCCTCGGCCTTCCAACCATCCTCCAGATACCATTGCACCACGGCTGGGCATGGACCGAGCAAGTGTACGGTTCAGTCGTCTTGTGTACAGACCTCACGCCCAACCTCGGTCTGTGGTGGTACTTTTTCATGGAAATTTTTGATCATTTCCGCGACTTTTTCCTCCTCACCTTCAACGTGCACCTTGCCTGCTACGTTCTGCCGTTTGCAGTCAAGTACAGGCAAGATCCGCTCTTCGCCATCACCCTCATGACAGGCGTCATCGCCGTCTTCAAGAGCTATCCTACGATGGGCGATCATGCGCTCTTCATGGGTCTGCTGAGCGTGCATAGTCAGATCTTCGAGTACATGCGGTACCCATTGGTGACGACCTTGACGTATGCATACTGCACGTGTCTGTCCCCCGCGTTCCACCACCTGTGGCTCAACGCAGGCTCGGCCAATGCCAACTTCTTCTTTGCCATCACGCTGGTGTGGGCATTGGGCGGTGGCATGCTGGTGCTAGATGCCATGTGGGCGTGGGGACGCGAGCGATGGGAAAGCGAGAGGTCGCCTATTCGGCCGCGCCGAAGCAGGCACGAGGACCAGCCTGTCGAGGCCGATGTTTCCATCGACACTGTTGCTTCCAACGCTTCGGGCAGTGCCTCGAGCGTACCGAAGGAGGAGACTGATAAGCCGAGAAGAAGAATCGTTGTACAAGTATAGAACGAACCCAGGACAGTCACGTTATGGCATCTCCTCTTTGTTTGTGCGTCGTGTGTGAGATTGGCCGCGTTGAATGTTCTGCAAGTGACTGGTCATGTCGACTCAATATACTGCCTGATCGGCAACAGAGGCCATCGACGATGACAAGGTGGATTTTGCGTCGCCGTGATAGTAGATGCGATTCGCGACATCCTTGACTGTCCATTCGAGGCCGTCTACGAGGTTGGCCCCGGTGTAAGCACTGCACGGTTGGATGCGCCAACTGTGCGTCGAGACCCTGTCGAGCTCGAGGTGGTTCTTGATCTGCTCTGCCGATAGTGCACCTGGCAGATCCTGCTTGTTGGCAAAGATTAGGATGGTAGCGCCATGCAGACGCTCCTCCTGGAGCAGCTTTTCGAGCTCCTCCTTGCAGTCGGACAGCCTGGCAGTGTCGGATGAATCGACGACCCAGATGATGGCATCTGTCTTTTCAAAATAGTTCTTCCAATAAGGCCGAAGGCTCTTTTGCCCTCCGATATCCCAAACGTTGAGGTGATATCCTTGATACTGAAATGTCTGGATTGCAAAGCCGAGCGTCGGTGAGATGGCTTCGATCTCGGACTGAGGTTGATTTTGTAGCTTCTTGAGGATGGTCGTCTTTCCAGCGTTGTCGAGTCCGAGGAAGAGGAAGCGGAACTCGTGTGACCGCAGCTTGGTCTTGCGGATGATGGTCAGCAGACCCATGCTGTCTCCCCCCGGTCGTCGTTGTGGTCGATGAACAAGGAGGGCCGCAAGTAGGTCCGACTCGAAAGTGACACTTTCCAAGAGACCCTTTCCAGACAGACCCTGTAGATTGAAGATTAGATTTATGTGAACTACAATGCTCTCACATTGATATGAATTTCCCACGTGGCAGTCAGGACGATGATTTGCTCGGCAACTCACTTTTTCGTGTTGCTGTTGTTGTTGTCGTCGGTGAGCCGAGGCCGTTCGTAAGTCATAGTCGCAGCGGTAATGTCCTCCCCTGGTACAGCACCACAGTGTCCGCCCTTCACAGTCCAGACCTTTTCCTTTGGATCGTCACCTTGCAGAACAAACACGACGCCTATGACCGTCCTCCTTTCTTGTATGCTTTTGTTTCTTCGATGCCATCCCATTGGAAACTTGGACAAGGCTAGCACGCTCTGTGTGGCTTGTGAACACCGTAGGCGTGCACACAAAGCATAGGACGGCTTTCGCCCCGAAGAGGCGGCCAGGTGTGCTGGCGAGCTTCGCATGAGCTTCTGTTTGTGGACCCTTACAAGCTGAGACGCATTACAAACACCCTCCCAAACCTCGAATCGCCTTCCACTTCCATCTCCGCTCCTCGCACGTTTCGTTGCACTGCCCCTTTGTCGCTCGTCACTTTCAGTAGAGAGGGGAAGTTTCGAGGCCGTCGAGTCGGCGCCGGATTCTTGAGCAACTCTTCTCCCCTTCCATCAACAACCTAGCTCATTCTCACCACCATCCCATCCGCCCTTACTCCACCCCGGATCGACTCCCTCATCGAGTCGACATCGCCAGGCATCGGCTCTCGACCATGCGCACAGCTGTCGCACAGTCTTTAGCGGCCCTTGTGGCTTTGGTCGACCTTGTCCCCACTACCCATGCCCAGATCACACCGCAGCAGATATATCAACCGCCGCCGGCCTCAAGCGGGGCGGTTTCACAACAACAGTCCAACCTAACCAATGGAGTCAATCCGCAGTACACAGATCTCCTCGGCAATGCTCTGTGGTTTTACGAGGCTCAACGAAGCGGTGCTCTCCCCTCCAACAACCGTGTGTCTTGGCGAAACAGCAGCTGCGAGAATGATGGCTCCCTCAACAACACCGATCTGTCTGGTGGCTACTATGATGCCGGCGATTACATCAAAGCCACCTACCCATTCTGCTGGACCATGACCTCGATCGCCTGGAGCGCGCTTAGCTTTGGTTCGGCTTATTCGAGAAGCTCGCAAGACGCATACCTCGATTCGACACTGCGTTGGGGCCTCGACTGGCTTTCCAAGGCGCATTCGGATCAGGACACGTTGTGGGTTCTCGTCGGCAATCCTGCCGTCGACGACCAATATTGGGGTGGCGATCTCGACATCCCCGGTCCACGATCGTCGTACAGCGTCACTCGGCAGAATCCAGGGACCGACGCCTTTGCGTCCTGCGCTGCCGCCTTTGCCGCATCAGCCTACCTGTACAGCGGAGAGAGTGGCTTGCTTCCTACCAGCCCAAATGGCGCCAACCTCGGTGGCGTACCTAGCATCCGCAATCGCACCTACTCGGAAGCGCTGTTGCGCCATGCCGATGGCCTGTGGGACCTCGCCATCAACAGCTCGCCCAGGCAGGTCTATTCGGTGGCACAACCTGTTGCCGGTCAGAGCTACCCATCGAGCGACTACGAAGATGACCTTGCCTTCGCCGGCTTGTGGATGGCTCTGGCTAAAGGGGACGCCAGCTACGTCAATGAAGCCCTCACGTTCTATCCGAATGGCACCAATGGATTCGCCAGCACCAACGCTGCCCTCAACTGGGACCGTAAGGTGGCAGCACTGCCCGTCCTTGCTGTTCAAATGGCTCAGCGCAACACTTCTTTGATCCCCAACATGACGCGTTTCCAGACGGATGCAGAGCTGTACTTTGATCGCTTGACAGATGGCAAGATGCAGTATGTCAGCCAGACCAAAGGTGGTCTCTACTGGTGGAGTGGTGACAGCGACGCCGCGAGTCTCAACCCTGCCCTGAACGCTGCTTTCATTGCTGATCTCTATTCGAACTTTGCGACAACCTCGGCCAAGACGAGCGCCTACCGATCTCTTGCCGATTCGCAGGTCGACTATCTTCTCGGCGACAACAGCTACAATGGGCCGTATATCGTTGGGCAGCATCCCAACAGCCCACAAAATCCTCACTCGGCCATGGCCTCGGGCGGCACTGATATCACCAACATCAACAACAGTCCGCCCAAGGAATTGCACGTGCTCTACGGAGCTGTAGTCGGTGGCCCGGACAAGCAGGATCGCTTCTTTGACCTCCGAGATGACTACCCTGAGACGGAGATCGCGCTCGACTACAATGCGCCCCTCATAGCCGCCGCCGTCTCGCGGATTGCCAGAAACGTGACCAAGGATCCTCCCTACACCACGTCAAGCGGAAGTGCCAACGTCGCCTCGGGACGACCGACCGACGCAGCATACCCTGCCGGCAAAAGCGGTGGACTCAGCAAGGGCGCCCAGATCGCCATTGCCGTCGTTGTCGTCGTCGTCGTGCTTGCCGCTGTCGGTGGTGTGTCTTGGTGGCAGCGCGAACGCCTCAAATGGTGGTACCGCCAGAAGAAGATGGGTCTGTAGGTCTGACGTCACTCGATCCCGCAGTCGCGACCTATCTTGTCGCGACGTTACTTCTCTAGATCACGCCTTTAAAGGATCCTTTCGACTTCATTCATCAGCATCATGTTCAAATGTCACGGAGAGGAAATTCGGTCTCATTTTCTCAACGGAATTCATTCATTTGCAAATCCTGCTCGAGTTCTTGCTGAAGTCGATGTGAGTGCAAGTCAAAGGAGATCGGTCAGCAGCGAGGATACGAGACATGTGCAGTATGTCGTACGTGTCGGACCGCCGTCACGATTCAGCATGCGGTTCGTCAGATCGGTGCCTTCACGAGTCAGGTCTGCTACACTTTGCTTCCAAATGAGTCTAAAATCGGCACGCGAGGCTCGCCTGCACGTGTACAGCCGGGATTTATTGGTCCGCGGTGTTCTTGTTCCGCTCCACAAGCGGGCGAGTGGAGGCTGTGCTCCAGAGACCGTGCACGATTCAGCGACCACATCCGGTCCTGGCATCAGCTGCTCTACGCCTGGCTTTCGCCACCACCTTCGATGGTCAATTGTATCTCTACCACCACGACCTTTGGAGGATGCCGATCGATCTCAGAAAAGCTCTCAAGACAGACGATCCCAAATGGGACAAGCTCAAGCAGGGCTACAAGAAAGTCGAGACGGGTGCTTGGAACGCCCTCGAGCCCGTCGGACGGTGGACCAATCGCACCGCCGGTAAATTTGGCGCCGAATCCTTCTGGCCCACCGACCTTGGCCTGGAGTGCGATAAAGCGGCACGCATTCTGCGCACCTTTACCACCAAGGGCGCTTCGGTCGAGGTCGATGCCAACGACGCGGCAGGCATCAGCGACCAGAATGCCGTGATCCCGCCTGCAGTTCCTAAATTCGACGAGAAAGGCAAGAAGATCAAAGACCCGCACAAGTACGACAGTCGCAAGACGCAAAAGGTGATCCGTAGAATCCCTCCCAAGGTGCTTCAGAAGGCACATGGACTTGCGATCTTTACCGTCTTCCGCACAGGCTTCGGTTTTTCGGGTGCTTCGGGATCCGGTGTGGTGCTCTCGCGTCTACCAGATGGATCGTGGTCATCACCTTCGGGCCTCTTGATCCACACGATTGGCTGGGGTTTCCTGATCGGTCTCGACGTTTATGACGTCGTTCTGGTGCTGCGAAACCAAAAGGCGGTGGATGCATTCAAACATCCCAAAGTAAGTTTGGGAGGAGAGCTGTCGGTTGCCTTTGGCCCTGTCGGCAACGGCGCAATGCTGGAATCGGGCATCGAAGCAGCACCGTGCTGGTCGTACGTAAAAAGCAAGGGCTTCTACGCAGGAATGCAGCTGGACGGTACCATAGTGCTCAAGCGTGACGATGAGAATGCAAGGTTCTACAAGTCGCCTGGCATCAAGGTCGACAGCATCCTTGCTGGTCAGTTGCCAGGACCTCCGCCTGCCACCGTCACTCCTCTATGGCAGACCATCTACGCTGCCGAGGGGAGACCGGAGCTGATGGGCACCGATCGCATCCCCGAGGGCACGACGCCGGGCGACCTCGAGCTGACCGAGCAAGACATGATGGATGCCAACGCTTATGCTGAGCAGCAACAGCAGCAGCAGCAGCAATCTGCCGGAGCAGCAATCGCTCCGGTCGGGAGCCTGTCCAGCCGGAGAGTGCCACCACCTCCCGCAGCAGCATCTGGCTCGATCGCATCCGGAGCTACCGCCCCAAGTGTGCAACAAGCGCACGCAGATCTTCCACCTGACTACGAATTCGCAAATGCGCCTCTCAATGCACAAGGGGGAAAGCAATTCGGGGATGCTCCTCCGAATCCTTTTTCGCATCCATCGGATGCCCCTGCCGGTGCTGCTCCGTACGAAAGCGCCGAGCAGGAAAAGGCAAGATTGCAGCAGCAGTACGCTTCGAGACACGGAGATGCAGCTCCTGTCCGTGCATCCTCCTCCTTTCCTAGCCATGTAGAAGCCCTGTACGACTTTGCTGGGCAAGAGCAGGACGATCTGGCTTTCAAGATCGGGGACGTCATTCAGGTTACCGGGCAGGAAGACGAGATGTGGTGGCGGGGTACGCTCAATGGCCGCTCTGGCATCTTCCCAAGCAACTACACTCGTGCACTCTAGCAGCTTCGACTTTGATGTATACCTCACCCGACCCGTGTACCATAGCGCTCTCCTCTGACCTCAATCGCGACCCAGTTCGATCATGAACCCCAACCGACAGGTCTGAAAGTGCATCCGTCAAATAATTTGAAGGCTGTCAGATTACTGCCTCGCATGCAGGGACCTGTCTGCCAAAAGTCTAATCACCGCGGCAGTGTGGAGCAATCTGCACAATCTAGAGTGTTTGCCGTGGTTTCAAGAAGAAAGTCACAAAATGATTTGGCGACTCAGCTTTTTTGGTGCCCGCAAGGTGCGATGCATTCAAGTTGGCACGCGACAGCTTGCCATTCGCCACCGATCCTTCCTCCGTGTTGCTTTGCCCTCCTTACCCAGCTTCCTCTTCACACAGGTCAAAGTGTCCGTCTCAGTCCAAGACACGCATCGACGTTCTCGCTCAGTCCACAAAGCGATATGTCCAACGTTCGCGGACCCACTTCGGCGCTGACCGAGTTTCTCAGGGAGCGAGGCATTACCGCCAGGAACACCAATCGATTCCGACGTCGAGATCAGGACGAGCAAGAAGCCGCAGCCGCGGCTGCTGCTGCCAATGCTTCCGCTTCACCTGTACCTGCCTCTCCGGCCCCAGCTAGTCGTCCTCGTCGCCCACTGGCCCGCAGTGGCAGCTCGATGAACTTTGAGGAGGACGACGAAACGGACGAAGACCTGCCCGAAGCAGCCACTGCTAGTGCCGGGACTCAGCCCGAGGCGAGCACTAGCACAGGTCGACAGACACGAGCAAATGGGAAGAAGCGTGCTGAACCGGAGCAGCTCGCTGCAGAGACCAGCAGCAGCTCCGTCGGCAAAGGCAGGAAGAAGGCGAAGAAAGACGAAGACGACGACGATGATGCCGACTTCAATCCCAAGGGCAAAGCCAAGAAGGAGAAAGGACCAGCGCCCGAAGACTGGGAGGATTCACTGGGGTTGCCGCAAGCAAGCAGCTCCCGCGCCAATCACTCGTACGCCAACAGGACCCCCGGCAGCATCGCCTACTGTGGCGCGTGCAAGATGAAGTTCACCATCACTTCGTACACAAAGATGTCCGATAAAGGCCCTCTGTGCCATCGATGCGGTCCTACGTACAAGGGCGCAGGCGGTGTTGCTGATACCAAGGCCAAACCAGCACCCAAAAAGAAGCAGGCTCGACGCAAGACGGGCATGCAGGACGGTGTGCGACAGAGCTTTCCGAGTCTGCAGAGCTACTGCATCGAGGTGGTCAGTCGTCATATCGAGGACGTCGAGGCCCTTGGACACATCGGCTTCAGCAACATGGACGCCATCAGCAAGTCGATCTCCAAGAACCGCAGTCTCAACCCGACCACATTGCAGCTGTTCCTATCTCCGAGCATCACGACACTCTCGCTCTACGATTGCAGCAAGCTGAACAGCGAGTCTTTGCAAAGCATCGCCACATTCGCTCCCAACCTCGAGCATATCAATTTGCAGCTATGCGGTATGCTGGACAACGATGCGATGGACGTCTGGTCCAAGAAACTCCCCAAGCTCAAGAGTGTTGAGCTCTACGGACCCTTTTTGGTCCGCAAGGAAGCCTGGCACCGCTTCTTCGCCGCCGTAGGATCTCGTCTCGAGAGCTTCAAGATTCGCGAGTCGCCACGCTTTGACCTGTCGTGTGCGGAAGCCATGGTCACGCATTGCCCCAATCTGCGAGAACTCGGCCTGGCGCAGATCGGTCCTTTGGACAAGACCATGCTCAAGCCGCTGGAGAGCTACGGCGAACAGCTCACGTATCTCGACATTTCAGACCCAGGCGTCTCGGCGCCAGGCATCCCGCCCAAGTCGCTTGAAGATGACGAGGTGGTGAGCCTGCTGAAAGCTGTCGGCAAGAATCTGACGTATCTGGATACGTCCAAAAACATCGACCTGACCAATCGAATCGTCGAAGAAGCCATCGTGTCACACTGCCACAAGCTCCAGACATTGCGTCTCATCGGCCTGGAACAGCTGGAGGCCAAGACAGTAGCTGACATGTTCACCGAATGGTCAGAGAAGCATGTGCCAGGTATCGCTTACCTGCATCTCGACCGAATGCTCAAGCTGGACGACAGTTTGATGGAGCCCATGCTGAGGCACTCGGGACCTGAGCTAGTGGAGCTGTCGCTCAATTCGGTCGACGGAGTCACCGACAAAGGGCTCGAGGTGCTCGCCAACGCTAAAAACCTTCCGAAACTCGAGTTGCTGGACTTGTCGTTCGTGCGAGCAGTCGACGACGACAGTCTGGACAAGATCTGTCGCAACCTGGAAAGCTTGAAGAGAGTGTCGGTGTTCGGCTGCAACCGTATCAGCGACTTCCTCAGGTCGGATCGGGTCCGGATCGTCGGCAAGGAGAAGTATGCCGCTTGATCTGCACGCATCGACGCCCGCACCAACCATGTTACGTAGACGGTGTGTTGCAAGGATTCAGCTCGTTTCAATGAAGTCGTTCTCGGTCGAGCGTCCTTATTGTGGGTACAGCGCTCAGAAAGCTGAACTTTGAAGACGACTCGAGCGTCGATCATGCATGGTTCTGAGATGCGAGCATTGTGAATGAATGGCAATGCGAAGGATTTGGACGTTCAAGTGGCTACAGTGTGCTTCGGCAAGTGCGGTCCGTGTACTGTGGGCCGCTCCTGGTGAGACACGGAGCCCCAGCTCCGACTGCTTTGCGGGCATGCACCTCGAAATTGGGCCCGTGTGTGCATCTGCAATCGCACGCTATCTCTGGCACTCCTGCAGGCACAGCCACCTCGACGTTGCAACCGCTGGCGACAGTGACAGCCTTCGTCAAGGGATTTCCTCCCTCCGTGTATTGTCTCCGTCTACAGTATTGTAGATTGTGCGGTCTTGTGATGATTAAATTAGTCTTCAAGCCACAAAAGGTAGGGGCTTCGAGAAGATACGATTCCGATCTTCGGAACAGGTCACCGGTCTGCCATTCCCACAGCCCGGAAAGAAGCGCTCAAAATGGATTTCTTCGCTTCGCTTCGGCCCTGGCGAAAAGGCTGCCTTTCTGGCAGTAAATGCAGGTCCGCGGTGCACCGTGTGTTTCGAATGGAGCCCCGACATATCACCGCTTCCCGCCTCCTGGCGCCGACCTTCTGTATCAATTCTTGCAGAACAAGCTGCCTCTTGGGCGTGACCCGGAGCGCGAAGTTCCGTCTGGTCAGTTGATGCTGCTCCTTCATCCTGTGTGTCCGAGGCTGAGTGTGCCGGCGACTCTTGAGATTGCGTCCAACTATCGACTTAGCGTTTTCGGTCGGGCCGAAAAATGACGATATTGGCAGCAAAGTGGCGAAGACTGTGTTGCGGGCCGTGTGTCAGCCGGAAATCTTATCGCGCTCTCCTGATGCCTGTTCGAGGCCCAAGCGTCTTGGCGTGGACCCGAACCCTCTCCCTGTCCATCACGATCCCTGACTAGCTTTCCTGGAACAGCTCAAACTGATCCACATGAGCTACCACACCATCCTGTCCCCCTGAGGTAACCAAAAGACGACGACATCTGACACGATGGCGGTGGTCAACAGTGCCTCCATATCCGACCTGCGGCGTGTAGGCCTTGGTGCAGGCCAGCAGCCTGCAGGCTCATCGATGTCGAGCAGCGCATCCTTTCCGCGCGGTCTCGATAGTAGAAGCATGTCTGCTGGAAGTCCCAATGCTCTTGGCAACGGGCTGTTGACTCGCGAAAACCTGGCTGCCCTCCCCAACAACGGCAACGCTACCTTTCCCGGTCGATTGCGATCTCAAACTGTCACTCAGATGAACTTTCAGCATGCCGCACCTCCCCGGCCAGGACTGGCTCGTGTATCCACCATCGACAGTTGCAGAGCTTCGGTCTTGACCGACAGCACCGAGTTCAGCACATCGAGCACCATCAATCGAGGTTATGCGGCTCGCATCGACGTCAATGGCAAAGTGAAGCCGCTTTCATCCACGCCGGACAGACACGCATGCCAGACCATCGCTTTCCTCGAGGGTCCATCGGACTCGCTCGACTACAAGACCTACCGACCCGGCGACGAGATCAAGGGTGCCGTTCACCTTCTCCGCGACGATCCAGAACGCGGCATCATCACCGGCATCAAGGCTCGCATCAGGGGAGATCTCGAGACCAGCATCTTCGGTGTAGGCGACTCAAGCTACTACTCGATGGACAATGAGCACGGCATTGCTCGTCGACAGCTCCTCTTCTTCTCGGAGCAGAAGACGCTCGTGACCAAGGCTGACCTCGAATCGGGCGCTTTTGGCCTCGAGCAGACCGGCCTCGTCGACCATGGTCGACGCAACAACCTCGCTGTTCCCTTTAGCTTTGTCTTGCCGCTCAAGCTGCACGCCTCCGCTCTCGATATGCTCGACAGCAAGCTCAAGAAGACCTTTAAGCAAGGCAAGAAGTACATCGACCTTCCTCCTTCCATCGACATGGAGACTCGCTACGCTCCACCAAGACCTCATCAGCTTTTCGGTCGGGCCAAGGACAGGCTCCACGGTCAAAAGCTGCGACCAATGGCACGGATCAAGTACGAGATCGACATCATTGTCAGCAGGCAGCGATTCGGGTCGATGCTGCTTCCACACAAGCGAGGAGAACGTATCATCCTGTCTTTCGCTGTTGAGCCGTATCCACCACGCACCGCGGGCCTTGCTGTGCCCACGCTCGAACCAATTCGTGCCCGCCGGGTAACTTCGCGAGGTGACCGTGCGCCCTCGAATGACCGCAACGCTTCCAGCGACTCGGCATCTATCCGCTCGAGCGAGTCACAGGAGGACGAGGCTGCCGATGAGGATTCGTGGGCGTCGGATCTGGGCGGGTTCCGTCCCACGCAAGAGGTGTTCGGTGCGCTGCCTCTCGAAGCTGCTCCAGCCTTTGCTCCCAGTTCCATCGCCCGGTCCATCTCAAGACCAGGTCTCCCTGGCACCCGACGCAAGAGCTACATCAATGTCAAGGAAGGCGTCGACGGTCGCATGAAAGGCTGGCTGACCCACTCGCTCGAAAGCTCACTGCGTCAAGGTCACGGCTCGTTCGAAGCCATCCTCTCGGTGCCCGCCATGGCCGCGCTGTACATGGAGACCAAGATTCCTTTCAGTTTGGAGTTGCGCATGCCGAAACAACTCGTTGGATCGTACGTGCCCCGGGTCGAGTTGGCACTCGTCCGTTCCGTCATGACTTACTCGCGTCTCGGCACTCTCGTCATCGAGAGGGAGGATCCGGACAATCTTGCCAGCTTCAGCGGTCCCCACTCGTGGTCCGAGCGCATCCGCATGGTCAACATGGAACGTCAGTCCGACGACCACCTGCCCCCCTTCTACGAGCAAGGCCAGGCAAGGCAGATCTACACGGGCAACTTTGCCATCGGCCGATACGAAAAAATGATCAAGGCAGGCTCGTCGGCGCCTCTGAAGCAGAAGCTGATTCAGGAGCCGGAACTGAGGCTGGTCGTGCCCAGTTTCTCCTTCAAGGCGCTCAGGATCGAGTACAGGCTGAGGGTCAAGATCTCGCTTCCTGGTCCAGCCGAGCCGCAAGCATCGACATCATCCTCGCTAGCAGCAGCTGCGGCAGCGGCAGAGCAATTTATGGTCATGGAAACGCCCCCTGTGCACGTCGCCGCTAACCCGGACACCGTCGATTTTACCCGACAGCAGGTGGCCGAGTCGCTGGACGAAGATTCTCTGTCAACAGTCGATCTGCTGGACGAGGATGACGAGAGAATGCTCGAGGCTTCCGCTTCACGAATCGCGCGTCGTCCCACCACGCCTGTCACCCCGCTCACCGCTGCTGACGACCAGGACGACGAGGAATACTCGGCCCAAGCCACACCTTTGGCACGAACACCTCGTCGACGTTCGCTCGACCTTTCTGCCCTCACCACCCTCACCTCCACCACCCCTGAACAGAGCGAAACACTCCTCTCTTCAGCCGCCTCCATCATCAGCGATTCCAGTTCTTCGCCTGCACTCGAAGTGCCCTCCCTCGACCCGATTCCCGACGAAGCCGACGTCGACGACGAAGACGAGCTCACCGAGCAGCTCGCTCTGGGCCTCATCGATCGCGAACACGCGGCGGCTGTGGTTGCGTCCAGAAGGAGAGCCGCGACGATCACGGCGTCGTCGTCGACGGTGCAGGCTCTACCGAGTTACTCGGACAGCATCGGCATTCTCGGTTGAAGCTGTTTCTTCCACCATTCATAGATTTGCACGTATTCGTTCTACTCCGCACGCACGCATCTCCTCACTCTCAGATTGTTGCATTTCTTTAGTCTCGTCCTATGTTGTTCGCCTCATCCAAGTCTCTTCATTCAAGTCTCTTCTGTCAGTCGGTCTCATGCAATCTCAATTGTCAAACACATCAAATGATCGCTCTCATGTTTGATGCACACACACGATGTGGAGATGGGAATGATGCCTAAACTCTTTCGAGCAGTAGGACTTGTAGATGCTATTTTTGGGTTGTAAGAGTCGGTGACCCGCACACATCAACTGAGCCCACCCTATCGTGAGCCCATCGACATGACGCTTTCACCGACTCTCGAGATGTGGAATAGTACAAAAAAGGAGTGCGAAAGGTCACGTTTAAGCAACGAGGGTGGAAGCGGTGGCGGCCTCGTACTTGAAGGTGGGGGCGACGGCACCCTTGGTCTTGTAGTAACGGGCAAGACGGTGGATACGCGACTCGATGAGAATGAGACGGAACTTGGAGTCCATGTCCTTGCGGTTGCGCTCGAGGTGCTTTCGCACCGAGACGGCCTTCTTGATGAGGTGGTACAGGTCCTCGGGGATCTGAGGAGCAAGACCCTGCGACTTGAGGATACGGAGAATCTTGTTACCAGTGACGAAACGCACCTGGGCAATACCCTGCGAGTCACGCAGCTGAACACCGATCTGCGAAGGGGTCATACCCTTACGTGCGAGCTTGGTGATCTGCTCAACGACCTCCTCGGGGGTGGTCTTGAGCCACGAGGGGGGAGTTCGGCGGTAGGGCAGAGCCGAGGCGGAGATACCCTTTCCCTTGGCTGTTGAGGTGATCAAAGTGGTCCATGGTCGAGGCAACGGTCAGTCTTTCGGATGCTGTGATGAGTGGTAGGGCTGCGAGGCGGCGAGCTGGCTCCTATTAGACAGCTTGAATCCGGTCTTGCGGCCGTCATGTTGTCATTTTGCAGAAGGTAGTGGCTGCTGGTCGCGTGGTGAAGGGATAGATGTGTTCACGAATGAACTACATCAGGCTAGACGTAGGCAAGTGACGGCAAGGGTATCGAATAAAATCGTTACCATGACGATCCATGCCCACGATGGTCTCTCTATTCCCTTCCGACGATTCGCAAGCTGGCCCTTCTGCAGGGATGCGACATGACAACAACAAGAAACGGAACAAGGCTGTTGTTGGATCAGGAGTGCTCGCCGCCAGTACGGAGAACACTTACAGTGCATGCGACCCATTTTGGCTGAAGATGGTCGAAAATGGGGGTTGTCGGATGGAAGTCGAATTGTTGAGTGTGGTGGAAAGATGGTCGGACAGAAAGACAGCAAACAGTCAGCACTAGACCAACATGAAGCTCGTTCTACGCATTGTCCTCCTCGAAAGGTCGCCTCGCTTCACGCGTCCTTGCGGAGCGTTCCACGAGCACCTGTGATACAATTGTTCCTCTGCTGCTCTGATTCGAGACCGGGTCCGATGGAGTCGACGTGGGATGATCATGTGATTCTGACGGTGGTGTGTAGCGAAAAATGTGCAGTTCTGGTCGATCAAGCTGGACGGTGTAGTCGAGATGGAATGTTGATCAAATAGCATGTGTCGAGCATCCATTGGCTCTGTTGTGCTTTTTGTCGATGTCGAGAATGCCGCTTCGAGCGCATATGCCGTCTGGAATGCTGTTCTGCGTGGTGGTAGTTGTCTTCAATAACGTTGGCTCTGTCGATGCATGATCATCCTCCATCGTCGTTATCCCGACACCGAACCTCGAACCCTTCGAGAGCCTCCCACATCATCCTGATAGTACCTGCAAAGACCGCCCTGTGTCCTTAGTTTCTGTGTCGATTTCCGATGCGTGGTGATGGAGTACCTACCTAAATATTCTTGATCTTGAGGATGACGACGGTAGACTAGAAACCTAAAGGTGAGAGAGAAGGAGTGATGGCGAGCAACTCGTTTCACCAACCCGACCCTGTCCAGCGCCAGCCTGGCCTGGCCCAACTGAACTTCTCGACGCTGCCGGACGCCTCTCTAAGCTTTGAGCGTCGCTGTTGTCCGCAGATCGCGCTCTGCAGTTGCGTTGCGTCCAAAGGCTGTGAGCCAATCCCTGCAACCAGGTAGCACGTCGCTTTCGCAGCATCGGCTCTGTGCGTCTGCAGTGTTGGCCAAGAAGATTGGCTTAGATCCCAATCTTCAATTCGGAAAAAACGAGGAGGGACTACAAAATTAGCCGCACGTGACCTTTTTTACAGCGGCCGAACTTCTTCAATTCACCAATTTTTGAATTCGATCCAGTTCACGTCTCAAGGCAAGTGGCTTTGCCTGAGCCCTGGCGTGGACAGACTCGTGGCTTGAAGAAAATCCGATTCAAGGCAGCTCAACGCAACCAAGCGACTGGCGAAGAATTGACCGCCTAGAGAGTCAAGCAGCCAGCCAACACGCGCACACCCGACCCACACACTCCGGGCGGGCGAGCAGGTCCACCTTGCGATTCGAGTTTGCTCACGATCCTCTCTAACTTCTCACCTCATCACATTAACTATCCCTCAAGGTAGGTGTTCCGTACCCAGCATACGATCGACCGGCACCAGCGCATACTTGCAGAGACACAGCACATCATTCAGCACACGCCCAACCAGCCAAGGCAGCTTCCAGCCATAATCGACAATCACCGGCTTTGACAGAACGGTTGTTACAACACACCTCTCTCAGGATGGAATACGCATGAACCACGTAGAATGAACGACACCGGTGCACGCTCGTCAGCAATGGTCAGACACTTTATTATCATTAGGGACAGGGATACGAAGCAGCATCTCAGGACTACGGGAAGGTGGAATGCTGATTGGGAAGCAGGCAGGGATACGCGATTCATGCGTAATGTGCTGGTCTGTCTGTTCAAGACGCCCATCGACGAGAGCTTGCAGCACATCGGCAGCTCGCACCACTCTGTCCTGCAATGATCATCTGGGGTTGCTCGGCCAAATCACACACACAACAATCAACCGGCTTCACAGCTCAGATAATTGCACTGACGGCGAGCATCCCGTCGCAAAGTCAACATCGCTGAATCTCAGCCTTTGGCGCACGCTTCCACTCTTAGAGATTCAGCTCGGAACTTGTCGACTCGACCTTGCTTCATTCGCTACATCGCATTCCACCTTTATCAACGTGCTGTGTCTCGCTCGCAGATTCGCGCCGGTCGATCTTTGCCGCATACACAGTTGCACTCTGTCAGAACCGATATACTCACCGATACCCATCTCTTGTCCCTCCATACTCACAGATGAAGCTCAACGTTGCTAACCCGGCCACGGGTGCCCAGAAGTCTTTCGACATCCAGGATGAGCGTCTCGTGCGATGCTTCTACGAGAAGCGCATGTCGCAGGACGTCGAGGTCGACTCGCTCGGCGAAGAGTGGAAGGGCTACGTTCTCCGCATCGGCGGTGGTAACGACAAGCAGGGTTTCCCCATGAAGCAGGGTGTCCTCCTCCCCAACCGTGTCCGCCTCCTCCTCTCCAAGGGTGACTCGTGCTACCGCCCCCGCCGCACCGGTGAGCGTAAGCGCAAGTCGGTTCGTGGCTGCATCGTCGGCTCCGACATCCAGGCTCTCCACCTCATCGTCGTCAAGCAGGGCGAGAAGGAGATTCCCGGCCTCACCGACGCCGAGTCCGCTGTCCCCAAGCGTCTCGGTCCCAAGCGTGCCAACCACATCCGCAAGTTCTTCAACCTCTCCAAGGAGGACGACGTTCGTCAGTTTGTTGTTCGCCGCGAGGTTGTCTCGAAGAAGGAGGGTGCCAAGCCATACACCAAGGCCCCCAAGATCCAGCGTCTCGTGACCGCCCAGCGTCTGCAGCGCAAGCGTCACCTGCGCTCGCTCAAGATCCGCAGGGCAGAGCACCAGAAGATCCAGAAGGAGGAGTACGAGCAGGTGCTTGCCAAGCGCGTCGCCGAGAAGAAGCAGGAGGTTGCCTCCCACAAGGCTGCCCGCAAGGCCGCCAAGAAGGTTCAGGCTTAAAGCGGATTAGGATTTCCTCTTTCTTGTTTCTTTCACCACTTCTGCATTCGCCTTTGCATCTCCCTTCTTGTTGCCACGTCATCTTTCACTCTTCTGCATCCTACCCAAAAAACCGGGTACAGCTTACGACATGACCGATTCGCTGTCCCAGTAGAGGTGTATCTCGAGAGACGGCTCGAGATGTAGCTCTATCACATACACACACCTTTTGCTTGTCGGTAGCAGTCATCAGCTCTCTGTTGTACAGGAGCTCGTTGTTGCCTTCTAGCACCACGCCCCACACACCCTCACACTCGAGAGAGCTTCTTGCGTATAGCGCAGCCGTCTTCTGTATATCTATGCACGCTCGCTCGCTATACTTTCTCCAAAATCGAATCTGTACAATGACCCCAAATCGTTCGAGCTGTGTGAGCTTGTGTAATGTTGAGGATGGCGTGCATCTGAGAGGACACGAGTTGAACGATCTTGCCTTCGCTTGCGGCAAAGAGAGCAGCTGCATCGCGAACGAAGCTACGCGTGCGAGTCTCTCGTCAAACGGATCCTGCTAGACTCCCATGACGAGCGTGGCATGAGCGGCCGGTTGTTGAAGCGAAAGAACTCCTTCAAGACGCACGCCCCGTGTTTGAGATCAACGCTATCCGGTTGAGACCTGCTTGGATCTGTATGAAGAACTCAGTGATTGGACCTCGATCTGAAAAGCCCAACAATGTGATATATAATTACACATTATAGCTCGTCCTAACATACAAGCAGTCTTAGTATAGTGGTTAGTACAGCTCGTTGTGGAATTGGGTCAATTGATCCGTTTCTTCTGAGCCGAGCAGACGGATGTTCGATTCCTCCAGACTGCACCTCTTTTTTTGCACTTTTTATGGTGGTCGCTCGAGTTTTACTGAGACGTATCTATGATCAACCGCAGTTGCACTGTAGCGACCTGATTGAGGACCAGCTAGCAGTATGGCCTCTATCATGAATGAGGTGCTCGTGTTGTGAGGAGGGACTGATGTGACATTGCCGAGTGCTGCTTGTCGAGACCGATGTCGATGCTGCTCGAGACAGGCGACTCGAGAAAATGACGCTCTGACCAACTTTAGAAATCCGAGCCGTCGGCCACGAGACAAAGAGTGTGAATGTCCGAGCCTTGTGCGTCAAGCTGGCACCAACACACAAAAACGCGCGCGTCCACCGACTTGATCATTCAACACCAACCTCCGACATAGACACGGCTCCTTCTCTCGACTCGCCACGTCCGTCCGCGCATCGTCCCCTCGTATCGGAACTTGCGGACCAAGCATCTCGACAGCGGTCGCAGTGTATTTCCTCGACCCTGGACACGAACGACAGACTCCAGTGAAGGAGAGTCGGGCGACCCCATTGAGAGCTCAGCTGCCATGTCAACCTTCTTCCAGAAGCAGCAGCAGGTGGCTGCGCTCGACCCGCGTCTCGGAGGTCTCATGGCCAGCGCGGGTCTCTACAACCTAAAAGCACTCATCAAAGCTATCCGGTCGTGCAAGACGCTGGCCGACGAGCGCTCACTCATCCAAAAGGAATCCGCCTCCATCCGAACAGCCTTCAAAGATGAGGATCCCTTCGCACGTCACAACAACATCGCCAAGCTGCTCTACATCCACATGCTCGGCTACCCTGCGCATTTCGGTCAGATCGAGTGTCTCAAGCTCGTAGCGACGCCGCGCTTCACAGACAAGCGTCTCGGCTACCTCGGCATCATGCTGCTGCTCGACGAAAACACCGAAGTCTTGACGCTCGTCACCAACGGTCTCAAGAACGATATGGAGCATTCCAACATGTACGTGTGCGGTCTCGCACTCTGCACTTTCGCCAACATCGCGTCCGAGGAGATGTCGAGAGATCTGTGCAACGAGATCGAGAAGCTCATGGGCAGCAGCAACACGTATATCCGTCGAAAGGCCGCCATCTGTGCCATGCGCATCGTGCGCAAGGTGCCGGATCTCATCGATCACTTTGTCGACCGCACAAAGCAGCTGCTGTCGGACAAGAACCACGGTGTGTTGCTCTGCGCGGTGACGCTGGCCATCGAGATCTGCCGTCAGGACGACGAAGCGTTGCAGGAGTACCGGCGTGCGGTGCCACTGCTCGTCCAACATCTCAAATCGCTCGTCACTACCGGATATTCGCCCGAGCACGATGTATCTGGTATCACCGATCCGTTCCTCCAAGTCAAGATCCTGCGTCTGCTTCGCATCCTCGGTAAGGAGAATGCGCAGGCGTCCGAGGTCATGAACGACATCCTGGCGCAAGTCGCTACCAACACCGAGGCGAGCAAAAACGTCGGCAACAGCATTCTCTACGAGACGGTGCTCACCATCCTCGAGATCGACGCAGACAACGGCTTGCGCGTCATGGCCATCAACATCCTCGGTAAATTCCTCAGCAACCGCGACAATAACATCCGCTATGTCGCCCTCAACACGCTAAGCAAGGTCGTATCCATGGACACCAACGCCGTACAGCGTCATCGAAACATCATCCTGGACTGTCTGCGCGATGGCGACATTTCGATTCGACGCAGAGCGTTGGAGTTGAGCTATGCGCTGATCAACGAGAGCAACGTACGCGTGCTGACTCGCGAGCTGCTGTCGTTCCTCGAAGTGGCGGATAACGAGTTCAAGTTGGGCATGACTACGCAGATCTGCCTTGCTGCCGAGAAGTTTGCGCCGAACAAGCGATGGCACATCGACACGGTGCTGCGCGTGCTCAAGCTGGCCGGCAACTATGTGCGCGAGGAGATCCTCTCTGCCTTCATCCGTCTGGTGTGCCACACTCCCGAGCTGCAGGCGTATACGGTGCAGAAGCTGTTCTCTGCGCTTCACGGGGACTTCTCGCAGGAGAGCCTTACGCTCGCCGCTGTGTGGGTGATCGGCGAGTTCGGCGACGTCTTGATCCAGGGAGGCAACTTTGAAGACGAAGAGCTGGTACGCGAGGTTCAGCCTGCCGATGTGGTGGATCTACTCTCGTCGGTTCTCGACAGCCCTTACGTCAATGGGCTGATCCGACAGTTCGTGCTCACGTCGTTGGCGAAGCTGCACACCAGGCTGTCGGACGCATCGCAACAATCGCGCATCGAGCAGATCATCGGTAGCTTCGAGAGCAGCGTCGAGGTGGAGATCCAGCAGCGCAGCGTCGAGTTTGCGACATTGCTCAAGAGGGGCGATATCCGTGAGGGGGTGTTGGAGAGCATGCCTCCACCGGAGATCAAGCAGACCGTGCTGGGTACGGTGAGCGAGGCAAAGCCGGTGGGTTCGACGAGGTCGGATAAGGATGCGCTGTTGGATCTGATGGGTGATGAGATGCCGGTGGCGAGTGGTGGTGCGGGTGCGGGGAGTGGAGCGACGGGTGCGACGCAGCAGAGCACGCATGATCTGTTGGCGGATATCTTTGGTGGTGGTAGCGAGCTGGGTGGTGCACCGGCGCCAGCGGCTTCGGCAACTGCACCAGCGCAGAAAGCCAAGAGTTCGGTGAACGATATTCTCGGACTGTTTGGCGATAGTGGAAGTTCGGCTGCTGCGCCACCGCAGCAAGCGGCGACGCCTGCACCTGCCGCTGTGGCTCCTGCATCATCGTACGGCGGACTCGACCTGCTCGGCGGTCTAGACAGCAGCACATCCTCTACCCCAGCCGCTCCCTCCCCCGCTCCGGCCTCCGCTCCCACCCCCAAATCACACACAGTCTACACCGCGCACAACCTAACCATCACCCTCACCCCCACCACCAACCCCGCCCGTCCCGAAATCATCAACATCACCGCCCGCTTCTCCTCCTCCTCCTCCTCCACCATCTCCAACATCAACTTCCAAGCCGCAGTACCCAAAACGCACAAGCTGCAGATGCAAGCCATCTCCAACCCGACCGTTCAACCTGGAGCTACAGAGACTCAGGCACTCAGAGTCATGGTTCCCCCTGGTGCGGGTGCAAGGTTGAGGTTGAGAATCTCGTTCGAAAAGGATGGAGAGACGGTGCAGGATCAGATGGATTGGAGTCAGAGTGCGTAGAGGTCGGGGCAATGCACAGTTTTTCTCCTAGTGAAGATGTTTGGATGACGAAAGCAAGTCTGCGAGCGATGAAAAGTTTGCTGAACTTTTGAGATTGAAATGCTACATACGACGTACAAGTACAAAACAAGTCGATCAACACCTACCATCGACCCTTGGGGTATAAAAAAAGAAGCAGCTCAACCACTTTACACCTTGACCTCCTCCTCCACCCACGCGCCTCCCAAATCCGGCGGCAGTTCCTGCATCTGAACGCTCGGCGCGCCATGCAAGTACCGCAACTGCTCCAAGATCTGCACTCGTATCTTCTCCAAACTCGCCTTAGTGTTCTGATTCTCGACTCTGCCGGCCTGCGTCGGCTCGTGGAGCCTGTAGGTGGGTGCAAAGAACTCCATGTACGGCGTGCTCGGCAGAGTGTCGGGGATGGAACAGCCAGTGAGCACCGAAGTCTCGTACGCCCAGCAGCGAGCGACGTTGCGGATAGTGTAGCCTCCGCCGCCGAGGACAAGCAGGGGTAGACCGAAGGATTTGATGAATTGCACGCACTCGCCATGCGCTGCAATGCTGAGATTGAAGCATCCCAGTCGATCTAGCCCGAGCGAGTCGGCTCCGCACTGCAGGACGATGGAAGAAGGACGGAAGGTGGTGATGCATGGTTCCATGACGCTCTTGAACAGCGCTACGTATCCCGAATCGTCGATGCCGTCTTGGAGGGGTACGTTGAGGCAAAAGTGCTTGCCGAGGCCGGTGCCGATCTCGTCAATGTTGCCGGTGCAAGGGAAAAAGTCGTTGCCGTACTTGTGGAAGGAGACGGTCATGACACGATTCGAGTTGTAGAAAGCTTCCTGAACACCGTCGCCGTGGTGAATGTCGATGTCGATGTAGAGCACGCGTGGATGGTATCTGAGCAGCTCCATGATGCCGAGCACGATATCGTTGACGTAGCAGAATCCGGAAGCTTCAAATTTCTTTGCGTGGTGAAGACCACCGGACCAGTTGATGGCGATGTCGGTCTCTCCAGCAGCGAGCCTTCTGGCGCCAGCTAGAGATGCGCCAGAATAGGCCTTGCAAAAGTCGTACATGCCGTCAAAGACGGGACAGTCATCGGCGAAGTTGAACTTGGTGAAAGCAGCGGAAGGCGGTGTGGATGGGGTGACGTTGGCAAGGAAATCGACATAGTCGCTGTCGTGAAACATCTCGAGCTCTTCCTTTGTAGCCTCGCGTGGAGTAAAGACGCTCATATGCTTATGGAGACCGTATGCCAGGACCAGACGGTTGGTGAGCGTGAGTCGGGCTGGCTTCATGGGATGCCTCTCGCCATAGTGGAAGTCGCCGACACCAGAGGGATGGTAATAGCTGACGCGAGGATTTGAGTGAGGCTGTACGTGATGTGCGTCCTTGTATATGGCTTGGCCGGCGCCGTTGGCACCGGATCGATCGTAGAAGAAGGGCGAATCGGAAAAGGTGGCATTGGAGTTGCCGCCTGTTGCGGCCATATCAAAGTCGATTACGACCATGATTGCGATCGAGCCTCGGCGATGGCTTGATGCAGCAATCGCGAGCCTGTGTGTGCTGGCCCGTCGGCCGGGGCGTTGTAGCTAGATAGGGAGGATGACGGTGAGTGAGGAAGGATGGATGGCTTGTGGAACTTGGGAAAAGCTAGAATGCTGAGCATCTCGAATCGACTTGACAGGGTCTCGGGCGGCTTCACGTGCGATAGAAGAAATCGTCGGACAGACCGCCAAGTTGGCCGGCAATTTGAAGGAGAGTTTGTAATTGGATTCCGAGATGGATTGGCCGATGTGCCGTCACAAATGCGCGTTGGGCGTCGACCATGAATTTTGCGGCATTTTCATGACTTGAGGCAGCAGCGAGGCAGTACTAGAAACTACTTGGCCAGCACACAGCAGGTCAGACGAGCGAGGGCTTTTGGCGGTGACATGCTAACGCATAAATTCACGAGCGGAGTTGGGGCTGCCCAGACGCACAGTGTGTGAGTGGACAGCCAACGATTGCAAATCATCAACCTCTAAGCTCACGCTCACGTCAGGGTCCGCTCTGTTTGCTTGACTTGCATCGGCTCTGACTCCTCCACTGCGGTTCGGCGGCCTTATCTCCTCGGCCGCTCCTCGTCCGCGCCCATCTTCAACCCCCACTCACTGACTCACCCGCCCCATGTCCAACACTCAACCCTGTACATCGACACCAGCATCACCTTCTCTCCTTTCCTCCTTCTTCAGACAGCCTGCTCAGCAGTTGCACACTCATAGACATTCTGCAACCTCGACACGCGCAGAGGCTCACCTTCACGGCCCTGCATACATACACTCACACTACAGCCCCTGACAATCGACAGCGAGGACCATCACGACACAGACTACAGATACCATCGAGCTGGTAGCGCTATCTGCCACCGAAGCGCACCCATCCGCCACACTAGGCCAACAGCGTCAGAGGGCTTCCAAAGCCCCGGCCCCGCCTACCGCTGGCTCCCCGCCTCCCTCGCCGGACGCACCAGACGAGCAGCATCCCGCCCTCACTCCGATCGAGGCACCCACACAGGATAAAGCCGCCAAAATGTTGACATCACGCTCCCTCATACCCATGCTCGTCGCCGGCATGCTGGTCACCGGTATCGGCAATTCGCTGCTCAACAAGTACCAGGATATGCAGTGTGTCGCCAATTGCGACTCACCCGATCCCAAGCAGCATCAAGAATTCTCCCAGCCTGTGTGGCAGACGCTGCAGATGTTCCTCGGTGAATGTCTCTGCTTGCTGCCTGTGCTCTTCCGCACGCTCTACAACCGTTTCTCGGGCAACGACGCGCGCGATGCAGCATTGAAAAAGCCGCTCCTCCAAGCACCTCCGGACTCTGGCATCATCTTTGACGGCGATTCCTCGCCTCGCAACCGTGGTGGGGATGCCGTCTCTTCCTACGAGGCTACGCGCGGCCGTGTGCATACGGGTGCGACACACGCCCCCACCAACCCGTCCACTCCCGCACCGCCGCCCGAGATCGCAGGTCGTGCCGTTCAACCAGGCGAACTCAACGAATCCGGCTTCACCGATTTCAACGATAGCAGCTACATCAACGCCGTCGATTCCGACGAGGTTGGAGCCTTCAAGGGCGAGGCCCTGTCCGGCAAGGCTATCGGGCTGTTCTTTATGCCAGCGCTCTGCGATATCTGCGGCACAACGCTGATGAACGTCGGTCTGCTCTTCACGCCCGTCAGCATCTATCAGATGACAAGAGGCGCGCTGGTCTTGTGGGTCGGTGTGTTTTCGGTAGCCTTTTTGAGGAGACATCTGCATCTGTTTCAGTGGCTTAGTCTTGTCACTGTCATGATGGGCGTTTCGGTGGTGGGGTTGTCCGGGACGGTGTTCAAGTCGCCTGAAGCGACGGGTGCTTTGGATGGGGACGAGGATGACGAACTTACCGAATCGGCCCAAGCGCTACTCGGTGTGTTTCTCATTCTCTTCGCTCAGCTGTTTACAGCATCGCAGTTTGTGCTGGAGGAGAAGATCATGTCGAGGTACTCCGTTGAACCTTTACTGGCCGTTGGATACGAAGGCGTGTTTGGCAGCATTACGACTCTCATCGCCATGCCTCTGCTGCACTACTTTATCGGTTCGACGGAGGAAGGTCGCGGAGGGTATTTCGACATGTCTGCTGGCTTCTACCAGATCATGACCGTCCCCGCCGTGCTCATTTCTTCCATTGCGATCTGCTTCACCATTGCCTTCTTCAACTTCTTCGGTCTCTCCGTGACACGCAACGTCTCGGCTACGGCGAGAAGCACCATCGACACGTGCAGAACGTTGGGTATCTGGATCGTCAGTCTGACCCTGGGTTGGGAGACGTTTAGGTTGCAATCGGGTAGTCTGCAGGTGTTGGGTTTCGTGCTGTTGGTGTACGGCACGTTCTTGTTCAACGGCATCGTCAGGCCTCCCGCGTGGTGCGATCCGTATAGAGGTAGGGGAAGGTACAGCAGGGTGGCACGGAATGGGGATGAGACAGATGACGAGTCGAGAGCATGAGCCCCGCCCGTCCGTTCTACGCAGTCGCTTTCATCCATCGCTTGCATTCGCACTCCAGGCAATGATACCATTTTCATACAAAGCATGATCCTCTCAACTCGACTGTGTCTGCTCCGAGATCGAGCACGAACAAACCTCCCAAACTCACCCTCCACGCCCACATCCGCACCACATACCACTTCATGAGCAACAAATGACCATTCGAATCAAACAAACAAAAAACAATGAAAACAACGAAACAGCCTAAAAACTTGCAAGCATCTACTCGTTACCAAAGCCCATGCCTTCCTCGATGGCCAGAGCTAATTTGCTCTCGAGCGTCTCGAACGAGGGATACGGCGGAAGGTCGATGCGGTTGAAGCACGTATGCGACTTGGGAAGCTGGTTGACGTCTCCCGACTTTTCGATCGTGAATCGTCGCGGTCCATCGGAGCCCTGAAGATCTTTGAATCCGTTGACGGGGATCCTCGATGTTCCTGTGGCAAACTGCAACAGGCGCGACTTCTTCTCCGTTGGCCAAGCACGAACGCACTGCCAGAACCACTGCACCACCTGGTCCTGCTCGGTAAAGCCACGGTAGTCGGTGAACTTCTTCCAGTCGTCGACGTCGATCTCCGACATACCGCCGATGAGCAACTCGAGTTCGCGCTCGTCGAACACGTTGATCAGATCCTGTGGAATTAGCTCGGTGAAGCCAGAGATGAACGCCTTGAACTGTTCCTCGACACGCTTCGAGATTCGCCATTCGGTCATGAGGTCGACGTACTCCTTCTTGTTCTCGTCCGTCACGTCGACCTCCTCTCCACCCTTCTTGAGCTCGACGGTGACCATCTCGCCGAACTTGTCCTCGACGGCGGTGAAGGTCTCTTCCACGATTCCCTCGATGCTGTTGTCCAGCATCCACTGAAGCGAGCGGTGGTAGTCTGCATCCACCGACTCGAGATCGCTGAGCGTGATCTTCTTCTTGAGGATCATCTTGTAGAACGACACGATAAAGTAGGCGTCGAGAAATCGTCGGTGGAAGATGGCGAGACCGAGCACACGTCCAATGAACTTGAAGTAGTTCAAGTGTTCCGGGTTGATGCCCGAGTGCGGGTTGATCTGCAGAGTGTAGTTGTCATGCGCACTGTACTCGAACAGACAGTAGAAGGGATTGAACATCTCGTGAGAGAGCAGGAAGAAGAACTCTCGAGACAGACCACCGTAGTCAAGGCCATCTTCGCCGTCGAACTTGATCATGAGACGCTTCTTAAGATCGTTGGGCTGCTGGCGCATGATCTCGGCGTACGAGTCCTCGAAGATGTGAGTTCGGCGAATCTTGATGTGGCACTGACCAGGAATGGGACGGAGGGCAGGCTGACTTCGGAAGTAGATGAGCTTGCGACGGAAGTCACGCTTGTACTGCGGCACGTTCTGGTCGAGACTGGATGGCAATCGCGGGTCGTCCCAGGTGGTGGTCTTGGTGTTGTGGTCCACAAAGTAGACCCTTGCGGTGGAGGTGAGACGCATCTCCCAGCCGCTGGGGAGAGGACCGAGTTGCGAGACGCTCTGGGGCTGCACAGTCAAGTTGCTGCCGTTGGGACCCATGATTCGGAGAATCTGCTGTCGTCGCGGATCCACCCATGTGGTGGTGCGTGTGTTGTGATCGACAAAGTAGGGACGACCCTCGGGCGTGTGACGTTGCTCCCAGCCCGCAGGAAGGGGGCCATTGCCGGCGGTGGTGCTCGAGCTGGCCGGCAAGGGGTTGGCCGACGCAGCAGCGGCGCCAGGACTGTTAATTGCCGAGCCGGCGACAGAAGAGCGCGAAGTGTCTCCGTCGTTGACGCCAAGAAAATCGTCGGCAAGAGCTCGGTTGCTGTGTCTCTGACGGTCGGCAGCCGACGTGCTAGCAGCAGCGGCAACGTTGGCGCTCGGGTTGGTGGAAGGCCTGGTCCATGTGGTCGATCGCGTGTTGTGGTCGACGTAGTAGGTACGGCCGAGGTGGTCCGTCCTCCTTTCCCAGCCAGCGGGGAGCGGACCGTATTCATCGGAACGAGTGTCTTGTGAGGTGTTGGTGCGCGACGCGGGAGTTGCCGGAGCTGCGGACGACCTCGCTTCATTGGAAGCACCAGCAGAAGCGGAGGTGGCTGCCGTCGAAGGAGGAGCTGCACTGGCCGAGGAGGTTGGCGTTTCAATGGTCGAGGTGGGTCTGCTGGAGGCATCACCGTTCGCGGATGCGGTGGAAGCGCCAGTGGCAGCGGGAGTGGCAGCAGCGCTACCGGATGTGGACGGGCGGGTATCTGAACGAGCGGCACTGGACGAAGACGGAGTGGCGAGGGAGGCTGAGGAGGCATTGGATGCGCCGGGAACAAGGAGACTGGTGGGGCCGGCGCTCGAGTTGTTATTGATGGGCGTCGAGACGTTGGTGTTGAGGTCGATGATGAGCTTGCCGTGGACGACGAGGTTGTCGTTGGACTTTTTGAGCTCTTTGTTCAGCAAGCGCTTGCCGCCAAGCTCGAGGTCGAGTACATCTGCAACACGGATGTTGATGACGCCGAGGAAACCTTGGTCGCGCTTCTTGAACTTCTTCTGATCAAAGATCTGGACGGCGATGACGGAAGAGTCGGTGACATTGACGTCGAAGCTATCGTTCCAGTACGGGTTGAGCGTCTTTTTAATGACCGAGGTGGAGTGGGTCTGCTCCCCGTCTACGGTGACGATGGCAAATGGGTCGGGCAGACGGAAGACATCACGCTTGGCCAGACCGTCAGCGGCCACGACGGTGATGCGGATCTTCCTGGAGAGACTGCCGGGAGCTCGAGGGTTGACCATGATCGTGGAACGCTGGTGCGGGAAGGTGGTAGTACCAAAAGAGGGCGGAAACAACGCAGAATTGTCGTCGAGAGCGGAACTAAACGCAGTGCCACCGCAGACAAAAGCACAGCGCCGATCGTGGAATCAGCAGTCAAGCGGCCGATAAGCGTGAGGCGATTGTGGAATTGCGATCGAGTGAGACGATGGCTGATATCAAATGGAAGGAGTGAAGGCGGCGCGGTGTGGTAGATGAGAGAAGGCCGGGTCGGGCTTGAACGCACACAGCTGTCGATCGAGCGTGGAAGCCGGAACAAGAGTATCGAGTGTATGGAGGATGAGGAAGGGGGACCACGAAGAACGGTCTGCGACAATGGTGTGGAAGAGAGAGGAATGGTGAAATGATTGACGGCGCGATGGATCCCGAGCGAAATGTGCACCGCCCAAATTGGCAAGGTGTGATTAGCGTGGAGAAGGCGAAGGGCGAGTGTGTTGCTTGCTTGTCTGGACTTGCGATGCCGCGGCGCCGTGCTGTGCTGCTCAGCTGAGTTTTGACCGTTGACAGTCACAATCACTGCAGGTCGAGTGAGCAAGTTAAGGCACACACCGTGCGGCAGCGGCACGGCAACACTGGACATCTGCCTGACTCACGCCTGTGCTTGCCGAGGGGCAGGAATTAGCGTGGAAATGCACCGATCTGTCTCCAAATGCTGATGCTGACCCGCTCGCTGATTACGGACGCTCATAAATCACAATTTTTAAACCCGGGCGACAGGTGCGATTTCGAGGTTCGAATTTGGAAAGAACGGCCGCCATTCAGGGTTTCGAGGCGAAGAAATTGGCCGCTACGAGACGTCCATCCCGCTGTCTCAGAGGTGTTCGAAAAATCGATTTTAGAATTTTGCAGAGGATTTCTTCGGTCATTTTTCCGGTCCAATTTCTACGAAGATTTCTCAGGCAGACCTTCGAACATTGCCAACCCCTTCCGATTGACGGACTCATGATCATACCAAGGTTCCGTATGACTTGAGGACACGGGATCACAGCAAGGATTGAGATTGAGAAGTGATCATGGAGGCTAAAAAACGACAGATAAGACCGAGGAGCAAAAGAGGAGAACCAGGAATGGGAAGCAACGGGCGACAGAGAAGACGGCGACGGATGGAGACGGGCGTCGCACACAAACGGACCAGAATGAGCATGACGATGCGATCAGACGAGTCCAGCGGAGCCGCCGGCAGCCTGGCCAGCAGGCACTGTTGGCTGGAAAGTCTGGCCATTCAAAGCTGGTACACCCTGCCCTGCGACGTCTGGACCGTTGATCGAGGTGGGCATGCGCTGAGCATTCAAAGCCCTGAGACGAGCGACTTCCTGTTGCAGTCCATCGATGGCACCATCCTGCTCCTGGTTCTTCTTGCTCGACATTGCCTGGTAGACTGCTCCGGTACCAGCCGTTACGGCGGAAGTGCCTAGAGCAGTGTACATGAGCATCTTCCTGCCTCTCTGCCTCTGGTTAGCCGCCTTCAGCTGAGCCTCCAGGTCTTGGTTGGCCAGCTTGAGGTTCTTGATGTGGTTGGAATTTTCAGAGATACGCGCATGTCCTCTGTAGACGTCGCTGTTGAGGTTCTCTATCATTCTCTGGTCCCGTTCGAGAGCCCGCTGGTGGTCTTGCCAGACAGGTGAGAATTCGGTGAACGAGGGCGGCCGAGGCTCGGGGTAAGATGGCGATAGGATTTTGACCCGAGGCTCTCTATAGATTGGTACTTCGTCACCATGAGATCCACTCCCAGCGCCTCGTAGGACCTCAGAATGCTGAATATTACGCACTTGCTCGGGATTCTGATAGAACGTTACGGTCTTGGGTGATCCCGGACCAACCCCAGGATTGCGAACGATCGATTCGACTTCGGGCTTTGCACCGCGTCCGGCTTGGTCAGCCGCGCCTTCGAAATGCTCGATTAGATCCTTGGCCTTTCCAGCTGAGAAGATATCAAGCGGCAAACCCTTGGTCAGTGTTTGTGGCTCACGATTGCGAACGTCGACCGCTTACCCACCAAGCTCTTCTTCTCCACGTCTCCTGAGGCTAGAGACGAATCGGTAGGCTTTGTGTGCTGTCGGAGGATCATAAACACGTTGCACGATCTTGACGAGTCGAGGCTGCTTCAAGGACTCGAGCGGAGTTGCAGCTATAATCTGCAGAAGCAGACATACAACACCGAGGGACGCGAACAGCTTCATAATGGCAAATTTTTGTGCCGTTACGCCGTCAAGTTGTGAGGATGGGATGGCAAAAGGGGAGTTCGAGGGGGGCGAGGAGTACCACGATGAGGCGAACAGATCCAGCCTTTTTATGTCAACGAAGCGAGTGAGTATAGACCCACACGACGATTTGAAATTCATATCGACCCAATGTCGTCCTGACGACAATGCGAATCTCGTGTTGCCGACTTCATATGCACGGAGCGATCTCCAAGTCAATGTCTGAGTGGGACTGCAGCCATTTGAATGTAGCTTTGCTACTGATACATTCTTGTTGCATCACGCAGAGGTATTAATGTGGGTTGAGGAAGTCGATGCGGTTCATACCAATGATAAGTGGGTCTGGCGAGTATCGGAATGAAAGAGCCCGCGATTTTCCGGCCGGTTGAAATTTCTAGCTCGACAGCCCAATTTTTGGTTTTGGCTCCTTTCTTCCACAATTGTGTCGCTGAAAGCTCTCTTGCTGCTTTCATCATCTGTATTGGCTTGACCATCATCGCCGATCACCAAGAGGGTCCGTTTCGCCATCATCCGACCGGACACGCTCTTTCTCGTACACAGCAGCATTTGTAGCCATGACATTCACCGTTGCTCAACGACAGCGGGCCATCGGCCTGTACAAGCGTCTTCTTCGCACCTCTCGCAAGACGTTCGATGGAGACTCTACAGCCATCTCTGCTGCTAGAGACGAGACTCGTCGCCGATTCAAGGTGGCAGCGCAGGAGACCGACTCGGGCAAAATCGATGAAGGACTCAAGATGGGTGACGAGATCGTCTCAGTCTTGCGTCAAAACGTGGTGCAGGGAAAGTGGCGACAGGAGCGAGATGCTTATGGTAAGTAGACGCTGCCCGCTTTCATGGACTAGCTCAGCTGGCTTGTTGGACTCTTTACTGACTATTGAGATGACTTCGTGCTTCTGCAGAACTTCGCATGACCAAAGATACCGAGCTCGGCACCAACGACAGCATCAAAGAAGCAAGAGCAAAGCAGATTGCCGATCTCAAAGCCGGCAAGAAGCCAGAACGCAAGAGTTGTCGCGAGATGGCAGCCCAATACCAGGCGGCTTCCTCCTCACCTTCGTCTTCGTCCATGGCGTCAGCCTCTTCTTCCGCATTCAACAACGTTCGTGGATTCTCGACCTTCACGCGACCCACCACTTCTTCCATCGTGGCGCAAGCGAGCGGCTTCCAATTGCAGCGCAGCGGCTTCTCCTCGTCCGCTCCCAGTGCATCGCGCGACCCATCAGCGGTTGTGCAAACACCGCTCCCTCGACCCGTACCGAAATTCTCCTCGACAACCATCCTGGCCGACGGCTCTTCGATTCAGCTCGCAACCACCTCGCCACGTCGACTGACTCGCCTGACGCGAGACCCGACCAACCATCCTCTGTGGAACCCGGGTCAGGAGCGCAAGATCGGAGGTGATGCAGGTGACGACAGCGGTCGACTGGGCAGGTTCAGGAGGAGATTCGAGGGTCTCGATGGCGCAAGTGGTGCAGCGGCAGAGGCGCAGAAGGATGTGCAGGGAGAGGTGAAGTTCGGTCAGGATGATTTGGACTGGATGAGTGTAGGCGGTAGGGAGGCGAGGGCTGGTTCCCCGATCGCGGCAAAGAAGGCTGTCAAGGGCAAAGGTCGTAAGTGAGCAGAGGATGATGTACATTGCATCTTATACAACACTTTGTTATATCAAAGACGCCGGCACTGTGCTCCACTTCTTTTCGTCTGAATGCGTTGTGAATGTACGCACTAATTTCAAAGGTGGTCAGCATTGGTGCACAGCGACAAATGTGAGCCAGAACAAGTTGACTGAAGGACAAGGCAGTCACTTGGTGCTGCAGCACCGATTCTGTAGCCGGTGATCAACCTCGACCTCTCCCTCACTTCGTTGCCGGTAGGGAGCAACTGAAATCCGAACGCGCTCGCATGGACTGTCACGAAAAGCATTGACCGCTCGACTCATTCTTCGTCCCTTAATCTGCCCTCTGTGCACGCTCCAACCACTGGTCTTTTTCACATCTTGCACATTCCTGATCGAGCAACACCTTTCACGCTGACCACCGGTACTGAGTCTGACGTACTATTCGCCTCGAAAATCTTGTACATTGCGTTCCTTGTGCATCTACTCTTCGTCGTCGTTGTTCGAGCTTGAGCCCGCGACTCGTTCACGGTTCTTCAAGATCTGCTCCTTCTTATGTGCGATCAGCTCGAGTTGACGACCCTCGAGTCCGTGGATGTAGTATCCGAGTCCGCCGAATGCTGTCATGAGCATCGCGTGACCGCCGAGGTCTGCAAAATAGCACAGGTTCGTGGATCAAGTGAAGGTGTTGGAAGAGCGTCAGCGTCATCGTTGCTTCTGGAAATGACCCGGGAGGTCGCGGAAGTGACAAGGCCTCGTGGAAGAGAAGACTTACTCTCAAAGATGTTTCGCTTCTGGAGACCGAGTGCGTAGCATCGTGTGAGGAATCCAAGACCAGCGTAGCCGAGAACGCTTGCTGCTACCGACATTGTGGACTGTAAGGTCGGAACCGAATGGCAAAACAGATACGCCAGAGGAGACTGTAAGCGCTTTGTGAACAGGCGCGATGGAAAAGCGAAGTGGGAAAGATTGACGATGCTGTACGAACCTATGTGATGTGAGCTGGTGTGGTGATCAAGGATGGAGAGGGGATGATGATGCGAATCAGGAAGGATGATGAGTTGAGATGGTGTGGAAATGTGCGATTCGAGATTCGTCGCTGGGGCCATAGCAGTCACGTGGAAAAAGACTTAACAATTCCTCATTTTATGTCTTGCGCTTCGGCAGTCTATTTCGCCGCGACTCCTCACGCAGAAGTCTCGAGAATCATCTGCTGTGTTGTACATTGATGGTATTGCTGATCCTTCCTGATATGTGTATGGGTGCTTCTAAGCTGATAACATCACGAGCCATGATCTTCCGCCTCAATTTCCGGCGGGAAAGGCCATTTGACCTCACCAATCACCTTCCCCATCCAGAAGAACCTCTTGTGAAACCCATCCAACCTCACATTCGGCTTCAGTACGAGCTTCTCCATCTGTCTCGCCCTCGCCAGCCCCAATCTTGCGTCCAATTCCATCACTGCCGCTGAAGACTCCATCTGACCATCAACACTCTCGTAATTCTTACTCAGCAGCACCTGCTTTCCTTTGGCAGCCAACGATATCCTCCTCGCCACCTCCACCACGAGTCGAGCGATATTCTTGGTGTCGTCCAAGCCACAATGCTGTCTGCCTTGGAAAGGTCCGATGTCCAACAGCTCGAGCAGGCCCGCTAGACTCTGCTCGTGAGGAGAGAGTCCACTTGTCCTCGCATCCTCCTTCACACTTGAAGCAGCACCGACATGTGGAGGGATGACTTGAAACCCGTCCTCGCCTCCAAACCCTAGTGTTGTCGAGCGCGGATTGCTTCGACTCTGTTCGACTTTCAGCTCCTGTTCCCATTTGAACAAGCTAGCTATGCCTTTGCGGATATCCACCAGTGGTCCGCGGAGGAAGATGGGCGGTGCACCGTGATCTCTGTCTGCGGGACGGCCAGAGATCCAGGATTGCTTGATGACGAAGTCGCGCAGATCGGCGGGTCCGTGGTTGATCCAAGCGATGCCACGCCGCAAACGAAAGTTGTGCAGGTGCGATTTGCCGGAGGAGGTGTCTTCGACCAGGTTGTGCGATTGTAAGAAGTGGAAGAAGTTCATGACGACGTCGTTCCAGAGCGGTGCAGTGTCCACCTGTGATTGCGTGACACCTGTCAAGTCTCGACAGAACTTGGTGAGGCGCGGTCGGAATGTGGGCCGAACGTACGAATGAAAGACGTCGACGGTGTCAAGTTGATGCGAGTCCTCATTCCATCTGAGCAGCACGACGGGGAACTCGATGATCTCATTCGGATATTGGAAGCAGCCTGTTTCGTATCCGTGTTGTAGGTTGCGGTACTTGCGCGTGGCTTCGCACGTGGCCTCTACGTCGAGCACCAGAAACGTATCGAATTCGGGTTCCCATGTCGTATCTGCGTCGGTGGCAGCATCTGCAGCATTGGGAGGGCTTGAGCTACCGTTTCGTATCGCCTTCCTTAGCCGCAGCTTGAGATCGGCTTTCTTGCCCTTGGTATCGAGTCCGAGATCGTGCAGTCGAGAACGAAGCTCTTCCACTGTCAATGAGGAGGCCATGACGGCTGGAAAGAGTGGAGCCCAAGGATGAGCTTCTACGAAGAGCGCTCAATCCTCAGGCAGCCGCTTCCATGCGCAGCAATTGTTCGCTTCGAGCGAGAAGGTGTGATGCGTATGACTACGTGATGGGGAAGCTTTCGTAGCAGGGCGGGAAGAAGGTTGGAAGCTGTCACTGCGTGCCGAACTGGAAGTGTCTCTGGGTGAATTTGAGTTCCGAGTTCCCGAAATTGTGAATTTGGGTGCTCGTGTGCCAAAAATGAAAGCTTCTCGTACTTCCTCCACTGCACCCCCCAGAATTGCGCAGCAGCGCCCATCATCCTTCCCCCTCAGCGCCACACTTTTCTCCTTGCTTCACTGCCGCAACCATCCACCGTCAGCCTGTCTTGGCTGCTTCTTCTAACCACACCGGTGACACCATCAACAATGTCATCATCGACCGGTGAAGGCCTCGAGACGCCCATCCTCTGCGAACCATGTCTCGGACCCAACCCCTACATCCGCATGACAAAGGACCCACAAGGCAAGCTGTGCAAGGTGTGCACCCGCCCCTTCACCGTCTTTCGCTGGAACCCCGGTGCAGGCTCACGCTTCAAGAAGACCGAGATCTGCTCCACGTGCGCCAAGATTAAGAACGTCTGTCAGACGTGCATCCTCGATCTGCAGTACGGTCTGCCCGTGCAGGTGAGGGATGCTGCGTTGGGGGTGAAATCGGATAGCGGACCGACAGGTTCGGACAAAGCCAAGATGCTGTATGCGGACACTATGGAGAAGCAGTTGGAGGGTCAGGTGGGGAGTTCGAGTAGAGCGGGGCAGGATTTGCTTAGGAAGGCAGCGAGGAGGGAGATCGAGTACAAGAAGGATCGACCGGTGTCGGACAAGCTGTGCTCGGCTTTCGCCAGGGGAAAATGCGAAAGAGGAGACAAATGTCCTTTCAGACACGAGCTGCCAGACCACGACCAGCTTTCAGCACAGCAACAGCCAGCGACAACCGCTCCCCATACCAATGGATCATCCTCCCCCGCACCACCACCACCAACACTTCAAATCAAACCATCCACACCAACCGGTCTCTCCGCACCCTCCGACCCCACCATCCGCTCCCTCTTCATCTCCCACCTACCCCCCTCCTCCTCCGAATCGTCAATACGTCAATTCTTCCTGACCCTCACCCAACAACTCTCACCACACCACATAAAATCCATCACCCTGGTACCGTCATCCAACTGCGCCTTCGTCAATTTTGATACGAGAGAGCATGCCGAGTTGGCGGCGAAGCATTGCGCGTCCAAGATGTGGCTTGAGGATAGACAGGTGAGGTTGATGTGGGGGAGAGGTCGGCCTGCTAAGAAGGTGGAGAAGGAGTAGTAACGGTTGTTGTTGATGCCATTCATAACATTTGCATCTGTATCTGGTTCATGACATGTTTGAAGTGTCTGTGTAGATCGTTTTGATCATTCACGAGCCACTCGTCCGCGCAAAGTCATGCATTCAAAGTCTGAGATTTGGTATCATAGCATGCAACGCGAATACATACAACAGACGACAGGAGATATTCCACACTTCTCAAGGACGTGCATGCCCTTGTCCGTTTCCTCGCTTCCTTACAACTCCCTACTCACACCTGAACGGGACGGTAGTAGACCGTGGTGACGTACTTTCTTTTGTACCTCGTCGTGGTGCCCACGGCCAAGACTCCGCCTTTGATGCTGCTGGCTGTGAGATGGTTGAGCACCACGTGGTTGGGTGCCGGCAGAATGCTGTTGTCGTCGACGGTGCTGCTCGTGCTCGTGCCATTGCTAGGGTTGGCCGGTGACGAGTTGAGAATCACCTTCTCCAGTTGGCGCGGCAGTGCAGGTGGAAGAGGCAAAACGGCTCCGCCTCCATCGCTTCCATGCTGCGCATGGGCTGGCGCTTGACCGTCCTCTTCCGCCTCACGCTGAGCTTCTTCGGCCTCTTGCGCTTCGATGAGTGCAGTTGGAATTTCCGATGTCCACGTCTCCTCCTGGTCGTTGCCATCGTCGTCGAAGAGGTCGTCCAGTCCAAGTCGCATTGCTTCTGCCTTCCTCGCCTCCTCGATCAGGTTCATGGTGGTCTTCTTGGACTCGATCTTGGAGTTGCGCTCGCTGCGCCCGTTGTCGGCATCGGCTCCAGGCAGATCCTCTCCAGGCGCACTAAGCGGACCAGGATGCGCGGGCCCAACATTGGGTATCTCGACATAGTTGACCAAGTTGCCGTCTCCGTCAGTAGCCGTGGGCAGGTCGCGTGAGACGCGCCAACGGTCGTCGACGATGAATTTGAGACGATGAGTGCCCGGCGGCAGGTGGAGCACACAGGTGTGGTCTCGTTTCGACTTATGCAGCAGGATCTTGGACCTCCACTCGTTGGCAAAGGTTCCGGTGACAAACACTTCGCGGCCACCAGCACGCCATGTGAGCACAATCGGCATCAACGGAGGCTGCTGATTGCCCGCCTGAGCTTGTGCATGATGCGAGCTCACGCCTGCGCCAGGCTTTGCGCTCACCGGAGTGGTAGGCTGGCTAGCATGGCCTGCGCTTCCAGTCGCCGATGGTGTGCGCGGCGCTGACGGTGGGCGGGCACGGTCGGCTTTGGTGGTCGGAGACGACAGCTCGGAAAGTGGAGTGACACCGGGGATGGAAGCGCTCGGTGGAGCAGAGGTAAGCCCGGGTGGCAGAAGGGGCGTGTTGTAGCCGCTCTCGCCTCCGGTCTGCACGTCGACATGTGAGCGTCTGGCGGAGATGGGCTGGGTGGGTGGTCCGCTGGAAGTGGACGGTCCCACTGCTGGTGAAAGCGAACGCAGAGCGGCGGGTGCGCCCTTTCTCGTCGGCGTTTGAGCACGTGCGGCATGGCTCGAAGGCGTTGGAGTGGGCTCGCGGGATGACCGGCCAGTAGCGCCGCCGGCTGACTCGTCCGATGGCTGCGAAGAGCGCGCCTGTGCCCTTGACGCTCGTTGCGTTTCGTCCTTCTCTGTCGATGAGGTTGTTGCGGCAGCTTCGTCCGGCTCGCCTGTCGCTGGACTGCTAGGCAGATCTGTGACGTCGATACCTGCGGCCCGTGCTTCATCGACGCTTATTTCGGTGGAACCAGCGGCTTGCCTGGATGGTTCCTTGGACATGGCAAAGAAGCGGCCTCGATCCTCGGTGGGCGAGCTGGCTTTGCTGGCGTCTCCGGGAGGGATGACGACATCCTCTGTGTTGAGCACCGCGGCCGCTGCTCCGGCACCTGCAACAATGTGAGATGGGCGCGCATCGTCGTGATGGTGCATGAGCGAGGGCGAAGGTGAACGTTGACGTTCGGAGGACGGGCGGAAACGGTCCGAGTGCTGCGAGTAGATGCTAGCCGGTGGCGAGCTGGGGTGGACATGAGAGCTGGGAATGGCGGTGGGGATCTTGAGGTATGATGGAAGCGCAGCGGGAAGGCGTTGAGGGCCCTCCGCATCGTCTGTAGCATCGCCCGTAATGAGCGGCTGTGACGAGAGGACCGGACTCGAGCCACCGATAGGGGGCGAAGCAGTGGGATTGGTGCCAACGCTGGTGCCAACGTTGGGAAACAGGCTGGTTCCACCGACGCCAAAGAGCGGGTGACGTGTGGGTGCACGAGCCGCCACATTCGGCACGTGTTGGGGCTCGGACCCTTTGAAGGTGGTGGCTGGCACGGCATGGGCCTCAAAGCCAGTTGATGAGACACGAAGACCACTCGAGACACCCGTGGTTACGTGATGGCTTGGCAAACCGGCAGCATAGTGAGCCTGCGTGGCGACGGATGGGCTCGGGTGTGGTGAGACATAGTGTCGAGGATCGAAGTTGCCTGGTGATGGAGGGAGGGCAAGACCCTCGGTGAGTCGACGTGTGCGAGGATTGGCGCGAATGGCGGTCTCGATGCCGGAGCCAGGGGCAGGGTTGGATATCTCGTAGCTGGCAAAGTCGGTATCTCGATTTGAGGCTGAGGGAGACGAAGACGATGTAGAAGGCGCGGTGTCTAGTGGTGGCTCTTGCCCTTCCTTGACGGTGGCATAGGCATCGGCGGTCGTGGTAGCGGCAGTGGTGGAGCCTCGTCTCTGTGTAGCGAGGAAACCGGTGAGGCTTCCACTGCGTGAGCGATTGCGCTGCGGCGTAGTCGCACCGTCATGACTGCTTGCACGTCCAAAGATGGAAGCGGTTCTGCCGAGCCTAGTGCCCGACGACTGTCGATCCGAGATCTGACGTGATGCTGCGGATGATGGGTGAGCTGCAGCTGCACCGTTGCTGTGTGCGTGTGCTGCCTGGTGGCTGTGGTATCGCTTGATGGCTGGGTCGATAGCTGTGTCTGCAGCTGAAGCATCGCCAATGTTGGCGGCAGTGGAGTTGGCGTTGCCCATGATGACAAGTCGTTGTGCGAAGTGAAGCGTTTATCCGATCGCGTGGAGTCTATTCGGGGCTTGTGCGGGAGGTGATGATGCTGACCAGAGCGCTCACAGTCAGAATGGTGACTTGAGATGGATCATATATCACAGGGGCACGAGGAATGCGATGGAAGACGATGGACGACCTGCGTGATATGAATCCCTTTCAAACTGGTTCGTCGGACCCTCTTTACGGCTGCATGCTGGAAAAGATACTGATAAAAAGCTGCCGGTTGAAGTAGGTTGCCGGACGCTGGATTGTGAATTGTAGCGTTGCTGAGCCGTGGCTGTGATGAGTTGTGCAACCTGCCAAGTGCAATGTACGATCGGCGTCCGTGAGTCGACGGCGAGTCCGCTTGTGGTACGAGATCGGATCAAGGAGAAGGTGGACGCGGCAATTGAGTTGAGCGACAAGCGATTGATAAGGTTGTGGGGACGGTGCGACTCGCGCCGAGTGTGCAGAGGTGGGGAATCTTCGCGAATGTCCAAGAGCGAGAAGGTGGACGAGGTAGCGTGAGAGAGTGAGGTCTTTCGATACCGACGGCGGAGTCTTTGCCCCCGCACAGACAGATTGACGGAGGGAGCGAGGGGCCCGGTAGAGCTGGCCACGCCTTGTCGCTGCTGCTGCTGCTGCTGCTGCGACACAATTTAGCGGTGAGTAAGGTAGATGAATGCAAGGGCCAGACACAGGCACATGGATAGCGCCCTCGGCCAAAGAGCAGCGCTTTTCTGGCAACTCCCATCTGTGTGCCTTTCAACTGATAAAATCCAAAAAAATAAATGGGCGCTTTTTTCTGCGTCGCTCGAATCGCGCTGCAGCATGTGCATGCAGCTCGCTTGCGCAAGAAAGTCATCGAGCTGCCTAGGAGCGAGGGGCGAGGAGCGGCTCAGTTCATGTCTGCCAGGCCGTACCATGGGCACCGCCCTCAACATGTGCCTTCTAAGAGATCTAACATTTTCTTGATCTCACCCTACGTGCTTCCATCACCTGTGTATCGTCTATCAGGTGGCGACCACCGCCTCTTCATTGCCGAGCGATCTACAAGCAGCCACGGTCCGGATACAGTTGTTCAAACCTTTCAGCTTTGACACCCCACGTGCACCAAGAAGGACAGGGGTGTGGTGCTTTCCTCAGTTGCCGGGAGTGAAGCCATGTTGAGTCAGAATGATGTCGGAAACGCGTCATCAACTTTGACACTTGACACAACCACAAAGCGCCGGTTTCTCGGATTAGCTCCTCGCTTAGGGTACTCGCTGCTGCTGCTGCTGCTTCCTGGTCGTTTCTGGCTCATCCGAGAGCCGTCATGACGAGGCTGTAGCCACACTCGAGCAAGAGCGTGATGCAATCGAACGTCGGCTCGAGTTCGCTGGTCAGATATATATATACACTCTCGTACACTTTGATCGCGTGCCAGTTGGGGGTTGTTGTAGCCTCCTCCCCAAATCACAGCCTCTGTTCCAATTTCAACACGTTCACAATGTCTTCCTCCGATACTGCAGCAGCTAAACAGGCAGCCGGACAGCTGCAAAAGGATCAAGCAGAGCTCACTGGCTCCGACCACCTCAAGTCGGCCGGTCACACCGAGTTCCAGCATGGCAAAGGAATTGAGAACGCACAGGAGGGAACCGGCGCATCAGGGTGAGTGGACCGACTACGAGGCGGCTCGCATTGTCGTGCAGAATGGCCGAACGTGATTCAGACGCTGACCCTAACATCCTCGGTATCTCCGCCCGATAGTTTTGGTCAGGTAGCAGGTGCCAAGGACGCCGTCAAGGAACAAGCCTCAGCTAACAAGGACGAGTGAATTCTCTCATTCCAAGCCAAATGACGTGTCTACCATCACAAACGCAGACGTGTGTGACAGACCATGATGAGATTGAGCAAGGACAAGTTTGCAAATGTGTCAACATGCAAGGTACAAGTACAAGTGTGAGGGATGAATGCAAGTGCGGACGGATCGACGGCGGCGCGTCTAATAGTACAGACAATGGGAAGAAAGGGTGTTCATGGATCAAGCGTCGACCTCCATGCTTGGAACGGGCCGGTCGACCCTGTCATCCGAGAGAGGTGCTGCACCAATGCCTTCGCAAGCAGCTCGGATGCCTCGTGTCCATACTTGACGCTCCCAATCAAACCCGCCTGCACGGTAGCGTGCAATCTGTTCCTTAGTGACCCACGCTGGTGTCAGCCACGGGTCCTCGTACCCCGCTGCGCCCTTGACACCCTCGAGTCCTCCCAGAGCTGTCGGCGCTTTGCGTACAGAGAAGAGTGCGCTTGCATCGTCCAGAAACGCCAGAGGTCCTTCGAAATCGAGGATCATGTCGAGACTCCACGGTCTTCGGTCCGCAGCGTCTGCTCCGCCTGCGGCCCCGTTCGCCGAGGCTTGTGCTGCCTCCTTTTCTCGTCGTGCTGTCTCGAGGTCTAGCAGCCTCTGACGCTCCTCGCGCTCTAGACGCTTTCTGCGCTGTTGGGCCAGAAGCTCGTCCGGATCTCCACCCTTTTCGAGCTCACGCATCATCTCGAGCCGCTCCTTTTCGCGCTCCTCGCGCTCCGCCTCCTCCTGCTGGCGTACCCGCTCGGCGCGTGCCTTCCTTGCCTGCTTCTCCTCTTCGTCCACGCGGGCTTGTCGATCCGACTCTTGCTGCGAGATGTTTGCCGAGCTGGCGATGGCGGAACGATGTGCGGCTTGGTACTGCTCGAGCTTGGCGTTGGTGCGTGGAAGATCGATCTCGTGTATGAGGTTGAAGGTGATCTCTTCGACTTCCTCCAGGTAGTCATTGTACGCTTTGAGATCCACAAAGTCTTCTTGACGGCGGTTGAATAGTTTGGCCACCGTGCGTCGGACGGCAACTTCGCGTTCCACTCCAAGGTCCTGGAAGGTCTGCGCAGTGAACTGATTCTTGGATACCTTCTTGCCGCACTCTGGACACGGTGCTGGACCGAGCGAAAAGATGCGATCGATGCACGATTCGCACATCTTGTGGTAGCATGGACTGACCAGTAGACGCAGACGAGGGTTGAGGTATCGGTCTGTCTTGCATTGCGGGCACTTGTCGTCGGATGAGGAGAACTCTGAAATGCGGCGCGACTTGTCCATGACGGCTCGTGGACCCGAAGCCGCAGTGGGTGCATTCGGTCGAGATGGACCACCAGGTCTGCTGGGTACTGCAGACGTGGAAGGGCGACCTGATCCGGTCCTACGCATTGCCGACATATTTGAGACGATCTTGTAGATGTGGTTGCGAGGCAGACCCTCCGAGTCCCTCAGTAAGGGTTTTGAGGTGGAGGCTTTGAAGCTCAGCGGCTCGCACAGATTGATGGCTCGAGCAGCTTCAGAATTTGGCTCAGTCACGTGTGCTCAGCGCTTTTTCTTTTTCTTTTTGGCGGGACGGATCTTCACTTCAATTCTTCTCAACTCGAACGAGATGGCCTCCTTCTTTCTTTGCATCCACCATCACCTCTGCTCAACATGTAGCCTTCCTATCCTCGCGAGTGCGACTGTCTCATTCGTCGATACACAGCGTACAAAGCCACTCGTGTGCTGATGCGATGCCTTCGAACCTGCACTGCTGGCAGGCAACACTTGGCAACCGCTTGAACCACGTATCATCGACAGCGTTCCAACCACATCCTGAGCCTCGCCTTCACATTTCATCCTGCTCCTACACCCATCTCTCCTCCCTCGCTCTCACTCCCAAAACCCGCAATCTCGGTGACGCATCCCTCGTCTCTCTTCTCGAGAGCCGCGGCCCGGCCAGTCTCGCTACCAAATCTGCCCTTGTTGCGCTGTTCCACTTTGAGGCTCTTCGTGAGCTTCGGTGGAAAGGCACTGCAAGACAGTTAAGAGGCTATGTCGGGTGAGGATGCGTTTCACGTTCGAGGCTATCGGCGGAAGATTGATTTTCTTGCGGGACTTTAAAACCATCGTCAGGAGGCGCCCTCGAAAAGAGCGTCGCTGCCCATGATTTGGGGATGACCTACTGTCCCGACATTCCTTTTCTAGTCGTCTTCTATGGCTTTGCCTACGTTCAACGCCGAGCGCAAATGTAAGTCGGTCTTGGTCTGAATGCGAACCATGGCGCTTCCGCCATCGTGCGACAGGATGATGATAATCATGTTTCATGAAGCAACGGCTGCAGACTTCCGAATCGCTTTTGCGATTCTGCGTCTCAGAACGATGCACGTGTCGAGCAGATGGCTCACAGCTGCTCGTCAAGAAGCGGTCCGCGCATCTGCTCAGAGTAAAAGGCAATGCTGAACATGTATACACGGAGCAGAAGAATCCAGAGGGGTTTGTCTTGACATCGAGATCCAGTGGCTAATCACGGACGTCTGTCTATCTTGCTCTTCGTGATGAAATACAATGTCAGCCCCTAACTCCAGAACTGTCTCTGTGGCTGTGATTGCGAGGTCAGCCTGTGCTACATTCGGCGATGGTGTGTCTAGTTGATGCTTGTAGTGAGAAGGAGCCAACAAGGGTCTCACCGAAATCCCGGCTCTCGGCTCAATTTGTCGTTGCCGCACGGTTCCACACTGAATTCGAGCTCGACTTGACGTGGAGGCTCTGTGCACTCGCTTCCGCACCAACCCACTTGATTCATCTCATCGAACACCGTTCCGCTCGAACGCTTACGCATCCGACTGCAAGGGCAAGCATCCGAGCATGGCGAACTCGGACTGAATCAACCACTTTCACCGTTTCAGAACCCGCGCTAAGGTACCAGATGCACGACAAGGCACGGACAAACGTCTGTCAATACAATCGGACACCATGAACGCTGATGGCGTCAATGTTGCCGAGCAGCAGCGCGAAGAGGAAGAGGTCGAATTCATCCTTGGTGCGCTGCCATCTATCTGGCGCAACACTCAGAATGTGCTCAGAGATCTCGGGTACCAGGGAGCACTTGACCATGTCGAGGAGGACGAGCTCAGGCATCGCGGAACACACACAGGTGGCAAGGGACAGAGCGAAAATGACGGAACCGGCCCTTCTACCGCTTCCATTCTCGAGAGTGGTGACGAGGAAGAAAAGGTCTGCCGCATGTGCCTGTCTTCCGAGGACGAGCTCGGTGACGATGGCATGACTTTAGGTCGTCTGATTGCTCCTTGCCATTGCGACGGAAGCATGCGATACGTCCACGACACCTGTCTCGATCAGTGGCGTCGCAAATCGGCCGCTACCGAAGCTGCGCGCGTTTGCGGACAGTGCCATGCCCGCTACCGCTTCAAACGGACGCCCTACTCGAATCTGATGGCCTTTGTGCAGGCCAGCCAAATGCTCCGCATCCTCTTTTGCGTCTTTGTCGTATTCGCCGCATCCCTCATCTTGGGCGTCGCTGCCTTGGTATCTCTCCGCACAATCGCCTCCCTCAAAGCCACACCACTAGCCTTCGTCAGAGATGCAGCCCTTCGCACAGTGCAGCTCGACAAGAGACCCTGGAACATCACCCTCCATCAAGACGAAGCGGTGGCAGACGTCTGGGTCCCCTCGGATCTTTTGCAACTGAGCCGAGGCGGCCTCAACTTTCATATCGACCACGAGATCTACGAGAGAGCCGATCTAGAGGTTTTTGCCCGCATCCGTCAACAAGAACTTCACAATCCGACCTACTGGAAGCTCGTCAAGCGTCCGCTCTCGACCTGGCGAAGCAACTACACAGACAATATGGTCATCCGTGCCAAGCTTCAATCCGGTGAAAACGTCTCCGAAGAGCTTGACCGCATCTCTCGCGGTCTGCCTCTGTTTCCCTTGGACGACTGGTACCGTGATGCGAGTCCAGCACGATTGGCAAACTCGTCGACAGCAGCGGCTGCTTCGACGTCAGGTTTACAGACGCCGTTCAGTCTAGCACCTTCTCTCCGCGAGAGACTCGTTGGTCCCGACTTCAAGTTTGGCTTTCACTTGCCCTTCCTCTCCTCGAGACGCAACGTAGATCACGATGCTGCGGATCAAGACGAGGTAGAACTTTGGCAGCGACAAAACATGACCATCAAGTGGGTGTACGAGGAGTCGCCCGGCGACATCATCCCCGATCCTGCCGAACACTTTTTGGTCCGTGCGCTTCCCGAATGGCTTGGCTTTGCACGCTACATCCTGTACGGCTTTGTGCTTGCCATGGTCGACCGCTTCTACTTTGTGATTGGCGTCTTTCAGCCGTGGTGGTCGTCGATCGCGAGGTCAGCGTTGCAACTTGCGCTGCTGTTGCTGGAGTCTCACAGGGAGCTGCTGTGGTGCGCGAGCAAAGCGGCTGTCGCGGGGCTCATCGCGTATATCGACGTCGAATTGGAGCCTGTCCGCTGGAATCCGGGTAATGCGGTGATCATTGGACCGCCGAGAACGCGTCGGCGAAAGATTGCCGCGGTGGTCAGGGATGTACTTGTGTCTGCAGCGGACAGCGTCTTTGGTCCTCTGTGGCTCAACTGGTGGGGCGGGTATTCTCTGTCCGTATACATGGCACCACGGCAATTCATGACGACCGAGCGGGTGGAATTGACCCAGCTCGCTGCCGTGTTCGCTCCCGCGATCACCTTGCTCGTCGACGTCGCCGTGGGCGGGCTGGGCTCGTTCAGCGATCGAGCCGCCAGATTCCAGAAATCGCACACTACCAGATGGACACACGCAGATTGGGTACACAACGACTACTCTGCATCCGAAGGCTACCGTCGCATGATCGCGACGCTGCTGGGTGACGACGACGCCAGACAAGCATCGCTATACGATCTCTGGCTGGAGACGAGTCGGTCGCGCCTGCTTCCGGGACGGACACGGCCGCTTCGGATGGCACTGATGCCCAAGCTCGACACGTGGAGGACGGTGATGCTGCTCGGATGTCTGTTGACGACCACCGTGGCGCTGCTGATCGCTACGAAGCTGGCGTGGGATACGACCATCTCCCACTTTGCGAGGCAAGCGTGGCGTTCGCTGGTGTGCATCTATCAGCTCATCATGCATTCGGGTGATAGCTTCCGTCAGCTCTGGCGACAGACGTGGCAGACGTCGCTATCGATCGCTCGTTACACGACTCGCAAGGTCGGTGCTTTGGCAGGTCAGCTCTGGCGAAGCGTCAAGAGGCTGATACCGGGACATCGAGATGTCAGTGCTGACGGCTCGAACGATGCATTCGATCGCGATGCGAGCGTCTCTGGGAACCAAGAGCCGCAGGAGCAACCAGCACAACAACCGGCGCCAGCGATACCGGAGCCGCTCCAGAACGATCCCTTCCTGCAGGGCTCTCACATCGGACTGTTCGGCGCCATCCTGGGTCACGTCGCATCCATCTACGGCTGCATTCACGCATTCGTGTTTACAATGCGCTTCATCTTGGTCTACCTGCCCTTTGAACCGTTCATGATCATCTATACGATGTTGCAGAAGCTCATTCAGGTGGACGTAGCCAACACCGAGGTGCTGGGCAGGGAAGATCGGGCGTGGTAGATTTGTATCGCACGAAATGCTCATTTGTTCAAATGTGCGAAGCACAGCTGACATGACTGTGTCGACGACTTGAGCTATGCAAATCGAGAGTGGAGGAGGATTCTGTACAGGTGGTGTGGTAGCCGAGGAGGGGTTCCGTAAGGGTCTTTGATAGGGTTCAGCCACTTCCCAACAAAGCGGTTTGAGCTGCTTCGTGTAGTTGAGGATGAGTGAGGTGCGACATCTCAGCTCAGATTGATGCGGCCTGAGCTAATACAATTTCAGGCGGGCTTGGCCGTCGGAGCGGCTATAGAGACGAGCAGATATAGATGACGAGATGAGGTGGCTTGTCGCCTAGAGGTCACGCGATGCAGATGTCTCCAGTACGCCTTTTGGTTGGTCACACGCACCACCTCTGCCTGGTACATGATCGGCGATGCCCGGTCGAGACCGCAACGGTCGGAAGAGGAAAAGAAGGGTTTCCTACATCCGCCTTCAGAGGTAGCGTTGGATGAAGACCTGGGATCGGCGGCTTTCAGTCTCTCAATGTGCGACCATGACGCTGTATGGTCGACGATGGCGCCATCCGGTCGGTGGTGCCTTTCCGGTTCCTAGCTCGCTCGGACGCCTAACTCCGACTACTTGGCAGGCCGATCGCTGACGTGTGCCGAGATGCTTGTCTTGTCTCGGCACCAGATGACGGCATCTCTCTCGCTCGGCTGCTGCCGCGTGAATCACAGACGCTTCCAATCGCGGGGTAAGAGAACCAATACGATCTGCTGCATCCTTTGCAAGCGAGTCTTTTTAGCTAAACAGTGACTGTCAAATTGAACACAGAGTCCGCCCGCGACCGTGATTCGGTTTCTCTGCGGGAGAGAGAGAGCATGTCGTTACCACCGGTCTATTGCAAATCCCTCTCACATTTCCGGTTGCATCGGCTGCGGGTTGCCACCCACAGGGTGCCGGGGTCGATCGTAGGAACACGCAAAAACGTCATCGCGTCATGTCGGAGTGTAGCGCGACCATTCGCCGTGAAGAAAATTTGGCTTGCTGCAATGGATCGCTCCTACGACATCGAGGTGGTTCCAAACCTTACGCAGAAATGGTATCGGACCGAACGGATGAGATTACTGGCAGTCCTTGGACAACCGTCGGCGTCTGACGTCTCGTGTTATGCTACCTTCCGCTACATGCGATTGATAATGAGGGAATGCCACCGCGTATCGGGGACCCGATTGATTCGTACTAGATCTTCAGCACCAGCGAGAGCCTGTCTGCTTCGCGCGTCGGAGGAGATTTTTTTTTTTCGAACGACAATCCATCGTCGAAATGCTTTGAAAATCGAGGCACTAAAATCCAGGCTCAATCCTGTCGCTGTTCCCAGAGCATCACATCGGTACAGTCTGCCGTCACCAAAGCCAATGCACAAAGTCAGCATAATCTAGCCCGTCGCGTCCAAAACTTGACAGGGACAAAGGTAAGCCGCTGGTTGTAGGCGTGTGTGATTCGCTCAGACTGCAAAGTTTTTCAAGCTCGGCGAAGGCACATCGCACAATCATTCTTTTGGAAACGCGAATGGCGTTCTATTCCTCACTGTTTCGCAGCAGACAAAGGTTCACATCGCCGAACAATGGAGCTATGTTAACTGGACCTCGCCGAGAGCACGGTCAAAGAGTTGCTCGTAATGATTGCTGCAGCCACACACGTGCAAGCTTTATCTTTGGTCGCCCACGGGAGCAGTGGTCGAGCGAACGGGAAGGGCCACGTTTTCCTTCCGAGACAGCCTACCGTGCACATGGACGCGCTCTCGCCCGTAACGTTTCTCCGTCGTCCCCGACCAGCTGTCTCTCGTTGGACAGATACGTCTATCTGACCATCGCCTATGATACGACATACGCAAAGACCAGTTCCGGAATTCGGTGATTGGGCAAGACGGGTCCCATCCCGCAGCACGATGTTCAAGTCAGCTGCATTTTCTTGGCACTCGTGTCGCGTACCTCACCGTCCAATGGCAAGGCGGAAAGAAATTGGCTGGCTGCGGTGCTCTGCGCCGGATTGCACGCGTTTATTCCTTTCTCGTCGCAGCCCCCGTTGTCTTCATCCTTTCATGATTCACTGTGACTTGCTCTCTTCTTCTGAGCTCGCCATTGTTCGCAAGAGGTCCGAGCGACGAGAGATAAAGGGCCAGAACCACTACACCTCATTTCGCACGGTTTCCGTCGGGACTCGACAACCTATCTTTGATGCGCCGCCCCTAAACCCCGCATTTCGAATTTCTTCCTGCACAGGGAGTCGAGTCTGCAGCGGGGCTTGCAGCTAAACTTGTGCTGCAGAGCATCGAGCTGGCCGCAGATTCGTCGACAACTTTGTCCGGTAGAAGTGCCCCCACTCTCGAAGAAAGAGTGGCGTCGATGATTGGCAGCGCGATTGCTTTCCCCTCCCCTTTGATTCTGACCGGATTTTCCGATTGGTCCTTTGGTCGCCCACGTTCAGACGTGGCTTAACGAGAGGTGCAGCACCGGCAACTTTGGAGTGCCATCAACTTGTTGCAGCTAGGAGGTGCAGAAGCGCAAACAGGAAAGCGCACCAGCTGCCGAGTGAGAGCGTCAGCTTTTGGTAGACGTTTCGAGAGCCTCTTCTAAACCCCAAGACTCGGAGTCGGGACGGTGAGCAAGTTCGATCGTCGAAAATCAACCACAGTGAGACCTCTTGATCCGTTCCGCCGAGGGAAAGAATCCTGAGCGACTGGCCTGGACCTGCTCCCCTGCCATCCTAGCTTGGACTCAGACGCCGCTTGGAGCTATTTCGAGCAACGACGGCATCACAGTCGGAGCCCAGAGTGAGTCTAGGAATGGACGTCGATCGCCGGGGGACACAAACCCGTACGCGAGGTCGAAATTGAAAAAAAAAATGCGGGGTAAACAGATCCGTAATCATCACGAGTCGAGCCTTTGTCAATCGTTGCCCCGCAAAGTACTTGTCGAGAAGCGACAGAGCGTGATCACAAGGCTGGTGTGGTCTACAATGCACGGTGCAGTGTACGCTAGACCTCTGCGGAGTCCTCTTGCCGGCGTGAACGAGATAGACTGACGGGCTTCTCCGAGTTTCTGCTCTCGCGAACAGCTGACCTCGCTTTCCATCAAAGATCAAATTTGTTGGGAAGGACTGACTGCATGGGTAAGCGCGGCGGCACGGAAGGCGTATTCCGTCGTAAGCGAGCAACGTCTTGCCAAGCTGATGCGCTCTGCAGTAGTTCGCGGCAAGGGGCTTGTGCTCGCGATCCACCGCATACTGTAACACCAGAGTCTCTTTGCTCACATGCTGTGTCGCAAGCGCCTTTTGACGGTTCGGTTGGGAGAGATGCGATAGTTTGCTAGCTGCGTCTCGCTTGACAATGAACGAGGGTTCTCAGCCATCGTCTTGACAAGCGAGGCGGCTGAATCTGAGTAGAACAATTTGTATTCCAAGATTCAAAATCCGAGAGCCGCCATTGACAAGCGGAAAAACAACGACGCCGTGTAGATGTGCGGCTACTAGAAGCAGATCGGGCCCCGATTGGATATAAATTTCTGAAATTCACACTAGAAACTTCCATTGAGGCTCCACATCGTACGTCGACATCCTTCCAAAAAATGTCGCCTACTCGCTCGGCGACTGATGTATGGGACTGACGCAATATCGACGCTCTATCTCGGAGTCTACGTCGCAATTTCCGCGGGCTTGTCGAATCTGAATCCGGATACTATATGCGGTTAGCGACACAAAGTGTCAACGTGTTCCATTTCTTCCACACTTTTTGCTAACTAGAGGCTCAGTCACGTCACGACGCCGATGAAGGACGAGAGCACGTTCCCTTTGCCTCGATAATTGGCCGGCACACGCAACTGCAATGCGCATTCTCTTCTGTCATATCACGGCAGTGCATCCTGCAGTCACAGCATGTGGGACGTCATGAGCGTTGCACCAAAGGAGGCCGCCCGATCGACGTGTTGTGCAGACTTCATGTGCAAAGGGAGGATCGACCAATGGCGTCTGTTTGAGGTCCAACCCTGCTTTTGTTCCTTGCTTTTGTTGGCTACCGAAGAATTCAGCGAAGAAAACCCTGGTTCCATTTGCTTAACCCTGATTCCTCTCGCCGATCCTTCGTATTGTATGCCTCGCTTGAACGATTCCTTTCATGGCCATGAAGAGAGGCAGTGTCAATGGAATGGTCACTAGCAGCTCAGGGTTGCAAAACTTTTCCTGTCGGATATGCACTTTCGATGCTGTGCGATTCGATCCGCAGAGAACCGTCGCGGTCGGCGATCTTCCGCCAGAACGGGTCGGCACGTTTTCGAGCAAAAAAATTTGGATCCACTGTGTGTATGCAACCGTGGAGGTCCACCGCACAGCCTGACGATCATCAACCCTCACGGTAACTCGTTACAACGGATTCGGCTGTACCGGCAGTGTCGTCGTGTCGACTTTGCGTTCACTTGACATCTGCTCAACGTGTCAGCGACGTCGCAAAAGGCACGTTGCTAGCCCTCAGTCAGCTTCGCCGGCGATCGTTGCTTCATTGTCGTGGTACAGCAAAGCGGCTCGAGACGCGACACGTCGACCGATTGGTGAGAACGTTGCTCCTACCAGTCAGCCAGGACATGAACTGAGCAACGTTCTTGGAGCCTGTTGCTTCAGAAGCCGCCTTCTCGGCATCAGCGTATTGATGGCGATGTCGAGACCGATGGGAAACAATACAAAAATAGATTTTCGAAAACATTTACTGAATGACTCGGTCATGCAAAACGGCAAAATGGCGTGCCTGGCCCGAAGGTCTCAGTCAGGCGAAACAGTTTGCTCGTCACTTTCGGCGTCGATCTGACGAGCTTCTTGTTTATTTTTATGTTTTTTTTTTTTTCCAACTATCTGATATTACGCAGGGCACAAGGCCGCGTTGTGCTGTGCTGTTCAGCGTTTTCTGCTCCCGCCCCTAGAAACGATGGCGTGCCGCTGCGAAAGATGGTGCTGCAACGCACTGCGAGTCATGATCCCTGCAACCCTTTCGTTAGTTAACTTAAGCTATTTTCAGGTGACCTGCTTTCCCTTGAACCCTGCTTCGACCTCAGCTTTGCGTGATGCCTTGCAGCCCAAGCTTAGCTACGAGCGTACATCCGTCGCTTGCGTGCTGATCATGACCCACGTCCCGTCTTGTGTGACTCAAAGTACTCTTATTCACGACAGGCTGTGCTATCCCATGCCGTGGAGGAGCGTGTTCCTTTCATCCATTTTTTTGGCCTGCATACCCTCGATTCTTCGCGCTTGGCTCTTCGCTGCTGTCACATTTCATTCGGGCTCTATCGTATTGCAACACATTCGGTGCTAAGCACGGTGGTGACGGCAGTAGCCAGTGCTGCTTCCGTGGACGAGGACCTGAGCGTTACCGCGACCGCCTCGGTCGGTCTGTGAGGGTGACTTGGACGTCCCACATTGAGTCCCCTCCTCCTCGTGCTTGTGTTGAGTGATTGCCTTCTCCTCCTCCCCTAACGACCATAACGTTATCCTCCCCCTGCCTTCACTCATAACCATCCTTCCCGACCAGCATCCGACCCAACCTTTGTCCTTCTGTCAATCACGACAATCGCCTACGAGTCATCCGCCACTCTGTCGACATTGCATACTGCACGACGTTTGCCGCTGCAGAACACACCAACCGATTCTGTCACGTCAGCCTGCACTGCATAAGCCCCCACTGCTGCTGCAGCACGCACCTTTGACCCCCTTCTCTGCCATCACATCCTCCTCCTCGCACCAAAAAGCTTGGACCCTCGTCTGCACTCGTCATCTATCACACTAAGCCACGATATCGACGTGCTTGTGATCATTCAGAGTCACCCCTATCGACCGCTCCCAACAGGCACTTTTGCGACAGACACATAAGTACTCTTCCCGGCCAGCAACGTCGCGAACCCCGTGCCCCGTTTGCCCTCCTGTGTACGACCTCGACATCCCTTCACATCTAGCAACCTTTCTTCTCTGCTAGCCTCGACATTACACTCCGCCTCGATCGACCCACGCCCATAAGCGCCAAACCAGCACCGACTTGCTCCGCCGCTACCGTCCGTCGAACCCTCTAGCTGTTGCACTACAGCTCGGGGACCCTCTTTACCAACAAGTCGGCCACGGACTGGCGGGCCCTCACGCATCCCAGTGTCAACACCATGGCCGGCATCTATCGACGTTCGCTTGCTCGCCTTGGGCGTAGGCAGAGCGAGGTCTCTGAAGTCCGCACCACTCCCGCCGACGAACTCTCATCGTGGCTTGGCGACGACGTCTGCACCAACTGCGGTGCCTCCACACCGCACGGCAAGCTCTTCTGCTCCGAATCCTGCAAGCTCGCCGACGCAAATCAAGTGGCACAGGCTTCCCTCGTCGAGAGGCTAGCCTCGCCGCTGCCCAAGTCGGACGAGTGGACCAAGCTGGATGAAGCGGACAAGTTCCGTTACCCTTGCCCTCCTTCGCCCAGTCTGCTCGCTCAGATGTCAGCACCGCTCCGCACCACCTACCTCACATCGCCGGCCCTCGCTGCCTATCAGAGCTCGCTACCGGTATCGAGGGGTCGCGTCAGTCTTGCCTCTTCCACTTCCAACGATGTTGGCACTGGCGAGGCACGCCACACCAAGAAGCGAAGCAGCTCCCAGTCCACCTTCTCCTCCATCTCGGAATCTGGCGCAAGCCACAGCGGCTTTGCAGGCACCGACCCATCGACGCCATCGCCGGCATACGGACCCACGGAGGACGAGTCGAGCGATCTCGATGCTCATGACTTCCAGCTGCCTCCCTCAGTCAGCACCGCTAGCTCCGTGATGCTTCGCAAGAGTTCCAAGTCGTCGACTTCGCCATCTTCATCTGCATTCGCACCACACGCAGCAGCGGCGGCGCCATACCCCATCACCGCTGATGCTCGCACGCCCAAGTCTCCCCTGTGGTATGCACGCCGACCAAGCAACACCAACTCGCGCGGTAGCTGGTACACTTCGCCTGCCATCACCGCCACCACCATGGCCACCGCCACCAGCCAAGGCCACGCCGTCGGCGCATCTGCATCGCCCAAGATCGTCGCTTCGGACGCTCGAGCTCGCCCGAGCGGCACCGAGGCGACCTTGACTCGCAAGTCTGCAAAGGATATCCTCTCGCAAGCCATCTCTTCGGCCACCTCCCCGAGCCACCACACCACCGGCGTCGACCCAACCAAGACGTTCGGTGTTCGTCGTGGACGATCCGAGCAACTCGACACGCGATCTCCACCTCCCGTCCACTCGGTCGCCTCGTCTGCCGGCAGGACTCTGCGTGGTGCCAGCCCTCTCAGCTCGCGAGCATTCAGTCCTCGCAGCAGCACTGAGCTTGGCTGCGACCGGTGCCGAACCATCTCGAACCTTTCGGGCGAGCACAACGTCTATGGCAGCAGCTTTGTCTCGTCCAACTCTCGTGGTGGTTCGACCTCACCTCGTCTCGAGGCGGACGAGCGCTACCGCAGCATGAAGCAGCTGCACAAGCACTCGCACAGCGCTGCCGCCGGTCTCTTCTTCACTCACATGCAGTCGCGAAACTCGCCCGACGCCGACGAGCCTCAGGCTGCTCAAGAAGATGAGCGACAGGGACGTCGCATCCAGTCCTCTCGTCATCGCAGTCCACGCTCTGAGCTGGTCGAGGATGCGCAGCAAGATGTGCGCGGAACTCCCCCTCGTGGCCGATCCAAGGCTCGTGGTAGGAGCTCGCAACGTCGCAGCCCCAGCCCGCCACGGGCAGCAGCCAGGCGCGATGCAGAGGTCCCCATCGAGGCGAGCTACCCCTCGCCGGCCCCCATCTCTCCACGATCGCAGCCCATCTCGATCTCCATGATGGCTCGCGACGCGCGACGAGCCAGCGACGAAGGCACCTACCACAACGACGAAGAGCTCAAGTCTGCGTTGCCGGATCGCCCGTCCCCGCTGAAGCTCATCTCTGAAAAGGAGACCTTGGCTACTCTTGGTGCATCTCCCTCCGCCCAGGCCGAGTCCCGCGGACGCGATCGAGGCAGGAGCACGCGACGTGGCCGAGGATCTCGAGAGCGAGGATCAACCTCGCGATCCCGGTCTCGCTGGATCCACCAGGACTGCGAGCTCACCTGGGCCGGCTATGGCCACCGTGACTCGGACCGAGGCGAAGTGGCGCCTCGTTTTGCCAACACCAAGCAGCAACAACGATCTCCTCGCACACGCGTCGCACGCGCCATGCCGGAAATCTCCGATCCGGGCTTCGACGACGTCGACCTCGAGCTTGACGGCGACGATGAACGCGAGGAGCCGCAATCTCTGTCGTCTGGTGGCAGTTTTGCATCGTCCGCTCCGCGTGGACGAACCAGCATTCGTGCTTAAAAAAAGGTTGTGCGAGATGATCAACTCCGACGTTGAACGCTTATAAAAGCGTCTCCGAAGCATCTCTGCAACTCAAAAAGGATCTCAACGATCTCCCTTCGTCACCTTTTCCAACACCTAGCATTCAACTCTATAATCATTCACAACCCAACAGCATCGAAAACAATCTTGTAATTTTAGCAAAACACCCTCAAAAGAGAATCAGGTTCACGTCACCAGAAGGTATCACTCAGCATCGATCTCACCACTTTCTAGGAAGTCAAAATTTTCAAAACACATCAAAGGCAGACCTTGTTTGTGGTAGAAGTGCATGTGAGGGTGAAAAAATGGATACATTGATACAACAGAGCAAGGGCGGGGTAAGACGGTGTAGAAAGAAGGGGGGGGG